GGTAGAAGCACGATTTGGCGAGTGCCAGCATCCGATGATGCCTTTATCTGAGGTTGGAGAATCGAAACATGCTTGGTTGCCGCATTTCCGTTGCTGTTCCCATTGACGTGACCATTTGCATGGCCATTTGCGTGACCATTTGCATGGCCATTTGCGTGACCATTTGCATGGCCATTTGCGTGGCCATTTGCATGGCCATTGGTATCTCCATTTGAACCATTTCCAGATGTTATGCCATTTCCATTGGAAGCAGATTGTTTGATAGAATTGCCATTTAGCGTTGTGGTGCCCAGAACTCCTGGCTTTACATAATTCGGATATAGAATATTCACATGGTCAAGGATACAGTGTCCAATCGAACCACCGAAGCCTGCAGATGTGACGCTTGCTCGTCGTAACTTGCCTTCAGGCCATGGAATAACTTCAGTGACAACTTCAGCCTTGGCTTTCTCGAAGTCGATTCTGGGGTTCAGGGTCTTCACTCCAATGCTAGGCGGAATAACACCAGCCTCCAAGGCGAGAACAGCCTTGAAGATCCCGGCAAGAGCTGCTGCTCCCTCGGTGTGGCCCAGGTTTGTCTTGACAGATCCAATGAGTAGGCGGTCCTCAGGCGCGTCCGATCGTCCAGGTCCAAAAACTTTCCCAGCCGCTTCAACTTCAAGGGGATCACCAACACGCGTGCCTGTGCCATGACATTCAAGAAACGGTGTCTGTGAGGGGTCCAGGCCACCAGAATTCTCATACGCTTTCCGAATGATTGCCTCCTGGGCAGAACCGCTGGGATGGGTGATGCCACTTGAACGGCCGTTGGCGCCAATAGCGCTCCCACGAACCAGTGCGCGCATAGGGGAGCCATCCTTCATGGCTTTCTCCGGTTTCTTTAGGTATATGGCGGCAAATCCTTCACCTCGCGCATAGCCATCTGCAGAAGCATCGAATGCGTGACTCATGGATGTGCCGGACAATGCTCCTAGCTTATCCATGGCTATCTGCATGGCTGGGTCCATAATCCAATTGGCCGTGGCCACAATAGCGGAATCGCAGTCTCCGTCACGAATGGCTTGCATTGCCATATGAAGGCCATATAAGGCTGACGTACAAGCACTATCAAGAGTGACACTGTGATAATTTAGCTTCTGGTCTAGAGAGGGGAGGATACCTGAGGAATGGTACTACTCACCTTGGGCCGTACAGGTTAAAAACGTAATTGATCCGATTGCTCAAGATATTGTGGCAGACGCCAGTGGTGGCATGTGGCCTCGCATACTCCCAGTCCCGTGTTTGTGCATATGAATTATCGTATGAGATGTCTGCAACATATACTCCCATTCGTGTTCCATTGACACTCTCCCAGGTATCTCCAGCGCTTTCGAAGGCTTCATACACCACCTCTAGAAGTTTGCGTTGTGACGCGTCTATAGTTTCTGCTTCAAGACCGGAGATTCCGAAAAACGAGGGGTCAAAAAGACGAGGATCCTCAGTCACAGTGTAGCCGCCTTTGGCAGCTGTGGTCCCTGGACGCTCTGGGTTCGGGTGATAGAAGCCTTTGGCCGAGAAGCGAGGTTCGGCCCAGTCTTGGTAGCCAGATCGCTTGTTGATCAACATTTCCCAAAGACCAGGAGTATCACGGACGCCTCCTGCCCAACGGCAGCCTGAAATAGACATGAGTGATTATTCAAAGTATCTTCAAGATTCAAATTACGCACCCATGCCCACAATGGCGATCGGCTCTGGTTCATGCTTTTCAGACATATCTGGTGATGGAGGGTTGTAACAATAGTAATAAAGAAACGTTGGGTAGCTTGATAGTGTTTGAGTCTAGTTTATCTCAAATTTCTAGGTTTTCAAGTGACACTGAGAAGGATCATTCGCGGGTGTCATTGATTAATGAAGTAGGAGCCTGAAATAATCATTCACTTTATATTGTGAGGATTTAGTCACCTTTTTATTGTTTTGAAAGAGACTCCGCTATCTTACGGAGACATAGAATACTATCGAATGATACTAAGTGCTGGTGTCGATATCTACCCCGGTTCTGCACAAGCATCCCGAACAGGCCACATCGCCCGCCGCTCGAATCGGCCGACCATCACGCATTACCTTGCCCAAAAATATTGAGACGGAGATGCCTTTAAGTCGACAGCAAATGCCCGCACAATATCGGCCGAAATTTATCGGCCATCGAGTCCTAAGTAAGGGTGGGGGACAATCAAGTTTGGATTCAAACGTCGGTGGACTGAAAAACCCGAATGGAAAATAGAGGCCCACCATAATATAGGCAAAACCGGACGTTGCATGATTCTACTAGTAGTAGCTTTGACCCATGTATGGGACCATGCAGTGGAGCTTCATACGCGGGGTGTCTGCTGGCCGCAGATAATCCTACGTGCACTGGCCCATCAGCGGGAACGACATATTGTTCTACATTGTCCTTATTCGCCAAGATAAGCATGGCATAAGAGACCCTGCATGGCATCCATGCCCGTAAATTATCGGGGCCTAACCTGATATTTGGCCGACGCCGTCAGCTTACGGGGCGGACAGAAGGACAAGTCAGGCAGGAAACTCCGCAAGCTGCCAACCGGCATGAATGCTCCGTGTCGTGAAAGAACCGGAGCTATGATCAATTGGTACATTCCATGTATAAAGTCGTGGTTTGATCTAGGAACATCTATATAGAGTTGGTTGGATGCTGCTTTCTCCTCTGTTCCTCGGTACTCCAGACATCATTTCCAGTTCCCAAAAGACCCAAAGATCCAACCATGTCACACAATTCTAATGAAACGCATGTTGAGAGAGTTGACAAAGCTAGTATCCTTGCACTCGCCGAGCAGATAACTCAAAAGACCAAAGACATTACGGAGTACCTACAAGCCAACGGATATGACCAACCCTCCTCTTCAGCTACTTCTGCTGGGTACCCCGACACAGTCGAATATGCTGTGCTATACGGAAAACTCAAGAGATCTCTTGAAGATCTCAATTACCTTGTTGAAGGTCCAAAGCGCCACTTCCGTGAGCTTTGCTGCCAGGGATACGAGCTTGCAGCAGTCCAAGTGGCTCTAGAGTTTGGATTCTTCGAGATCGTTCCCCTCGAAGGTCAAATCTCAATTGAGGCCTTGGCAGAAAAGGCTGGTGTTGATTTTGATCGGACATGCCGTATTGTCCGTCTTTTGATCACAGTATTCATTTTCCAAGAGCCAGCCCCGGGGTTTATTGCGCACAACCCCAGTTCTTATCTCCTGCACGTGGACGAAGAGATTCGTTCAACACTGCATTATAGGTATGTCTACCCATTTTTTTTTTTGAATACTACCTGCTATGAGAGCTTTGGATGATTGATATCTATCTCGTACTGACATTTTGATTCGTGTAATAGCCTGGACGAAATGCTGAAGGCTGCCTCGGCCACTGCTGATAATGTGAAGGCATCGCCGCTCGAGTATGACAGCGCCCTTACCCCTTTTTCGACACTGCATGGCATTCCGATCTTCCAATTTTATGAAAAGGATACTCGACGATCCATTCGCTTTGCCAAAGCCATGGCTGGATGGGCAAAATGTATGTTCATCGATTCCCCTCAGTGGTTTGCTTTTCTGATCCATCATAAGTGAATCTCAACATCAATGCCCTCAAAGAAGCATTTCCATGGCATGAGCTCAAGGGCACTGTAGTGGATGTCGGCGGTGGAAGTGGCAAGGTCTCCATCACTCTGGCCCAGGTAAGAAACTCAAAAGGAAAAGGAGAAGATCTCCGAATGACGTGCTATGAAATTTAACTAATCTAATATCGTTAAAAGAGCTTCCCTGACCTCAAGTTTATTGTTCAAGACTCAGCCGATATGCATACGGCTGGGCAGTCGCTCCTGACTGATGAAACTAGAGACCGGGTCTCTTTCATGCAGCACAGCTTTTTCGACCCACAGCCGGTTGGTGGTGCCGCGGCATTCATCTTACGTGCATGTGCATTGAACTGGAGTGATCGCGACGTTATCACTATGTTCCGCTCGTTAGTGCCGGGGCTTGAGCGTTCGGAGTCCACTACCCCACTACTTATAAATGATTTAGTCTTGCCGCCACAGGGGACATTGACACGGGATTTCGAGCGGGGCTTGCGCCAGATAGACCTTATAATGCTCGTAGGCTTTGGTGGAAAGCTACGAACCCAGTCTGAATTCGCGACACTGTTGAAGGAGGCAGATGAACGGTATGAAATTCGCAACTTCTACCCGGAAGGATTGATGGGTCTCCTCGAGGTCTATTTGAAGCGCCAGGAACTTTCCTGAGCAACAAATCCTTCTAGCTAAATTGGTGTTTGGATTACGATTGTCTTCTATATTGAAAGCTCGGCTAGACGTTTAGCTCCTTCAGCTAGAGAAATAGATCAGCCTTCCCTGCCCTTTATTTCCTTCTATAATTGCCTAGTCTTCCGCATAACCCATTTTGGGTCGAAGGTCTGGACCCAGAGCCCAGCCCAGACCCAGTATAGGCCCAGTTCGACTCAGACCTATTACAGGGTCGTGCGGAAGACAGATAATCTTACTTATCTGATATGTTATCAGCCAGATGTCGTGATCTTATCGTGCGGGGTTTATCATATGATCTCTATATCAACAGTTTACAGTAGATGGTTTTACCTATAGTCAGGGATTCCCCTAGATCCGTCTTACTTCTGTAAGACTTAGACTTGGTACACTTCGATACATTGTGTTCCCTCCTCCAGTATCTATACTATACAGTCACTGTATCTTACCCGGTTGACAGGCCTTACACCTGATACCGGTATACATATCTTTAAATTTATATGTTGTATTGGGTAATTCTTTTTGAAGAAAGGCCTGGTCTCGGGTTTCAATGCCAATGTGCTAGCAGATGCAGCAGTGTAACTCCTTGATGACCTGTAGCCATATCGGGACTAGCTCGACTTGTGTTTAGATAGCTTCCTTCTCACGCTCCAGCTTACTTTCTTCTCAATACCACTACATTCTATCTCGTTCCGTTTCAACAATTGCAAAGTTTCTTCTTGATCGACTTGGCATATCCTTCAATAGGCGATTCCAGGGCTTGCACCTTGGGGTACCCATCACGGACGCCTCCGATGGGGCCGTCCGCGTGGGTACCCATCACGGAAGCCTCCGATGGGGCCGTCCGGGTGGAAGCGGGAGCCAGAACCACTATATATGTAGTGACCTCTTAGTCCTCCGTTCAATTGGTGCAACTCGGCCGTTAATTCTTCTAAGCGTGGGGTCCGTTTCATGTCCCGAGTTGTCCTTGTGTGTAGTTCTAAGCCCGAACGCGCCATGCGCGTTCCTTCCGTTTCTGTTTCAATTTGACAAAAGTCCAACAGCTTATCAACCAAGTATTCCTTCGGGGCCAGCCTTTGATTCGTTCCGGATATGCATTGAGAGAAGGTTGGCTGTAAGCACTAGAGTAGAAGTGTCACACCAAGAAGATACGTCAGAGAGGTGAAAGGAAACCTCTAGACCGAGGTCCCCTATATCGTATTTTGAGGCGAACAATGGGGCCCTCTTCTGAGGTGGGAAGTTCTCCGGAGTTGTATAAAACCCCGCTGACCCCTGAGGGACTGGCGGAGGAGGGTGGGCGGGCAAATTGACTATAAATACGGAATACTATAGTACATGATTAACAAGATCAGGCTACGAGTGCTGATATGGCTATCCATAGCACAGACCACGTATAGACCACGTGTACACTGTCGGCCCGACAGAAGAGACGTCACTCCATGCACGCCACAAGTAATAAATATGGTATTCAAATGAATAAATAGAGTTATATCCAAAAAAAGCTGTGAGCTGCATCCATCCATACCTACTAACAATCTCATTAGTAATAATCACTAGTACTAGTTAGTGGTATTACCGTGGAGACTCCCCGATGAAATGTACCCCAATTTTTACAGAACCCCGACGGTTTAGATACGATTTTGGGCGCCAGCAATTTTTTATGTACTACAGTCAAACCCCGTTAAAATGTACCTCACTTTTTACAGAACGGCAGTTCAGAAGGATTTTGGATTGTTTTACTATGTATATAAATGCCAAGGCTACCTGATTAGGTTTAGCTCCCTTGGATTTTACAATGGTTTTTGACACCTGTCGTCCACGTGATTACTGAGATTCTATGGATATTATTGGCTATATTTTATGTCCCGCCTTTTCAGTCGCCTGAGAATACTAGTCGTAGGTTCGAACCCGAGAGTGCACAAAATGAATAGGTTCACTCCCCCTTGTACGAGCCTATCATACGATGCCGAAATGGTCGATTGGAACTAAAAGGGGATGTGACATAACCGCCCAAACACTAACTAGTATGTACATATATTACAAGTGGAAAGGCCGAGTACCTTATAAGAGAGTAGGCCACTAATATAAGGCTCTGCTCTATAGGTCAACACAGTATACGTCCGGCAGAAAGAAAAGGCGGTATAAAAGTAAGAGAACTTTGGAAAAACCCAGGTCTATATGATAAAATCTAATCGGATGAAGTTCAAAAAAAGGGAAGTTATATGTATTGTTACTACCAATTCATCTGAAAGAGTAGAAGTAAATTAGTTGACGGGAAAGCCTAGTATGTTGATTTAAATAGCAAATATAATTAAATATTTTGGCGAGGCAAATGGCAGAAAAGTGTAAGCGGTCGCCGAGTCATATACCCGAACCAATCAGAACGTACGACTCACATACACACCCTCACTACCATACACACATGGTTGATGATGATAGGGAATCCCGACAAGTCGGCATCCCCTGGGAGATGTGTCAGACTGGGATACGGCCCCCCTTAGGCCCTAAACAGGGAACTTGGTTTTTGTTATGGTCTAGTGGTAACAATGGCGGTATTTTTTTTTTCCACAATGGCGACAGATCATCGAGGGGGATCGATGATGTGAGCACAAAGGACGGGGGTCGGGACATCGACCCCCTCCTATTTCCTACCAACATCACGACTTCAGGGACTCGACAGCACAGGATCTTCAGATCAAAGGGACTGAGGCCGGTAGATTCCCATAGGTACCAGCTTTTGCTCCCATGATGCAGCCCTCGCGAAAACGCAAGGTATCCTCTTGCATTCCTTGCTACACCAGAAAGCAAAAGGTATTCGTGAAAGAACCAACGTGATCTTGATAGGAATCCCAGGACAAGCCCTCTAACGTGTTCAGTGTAATCGTCAATACCCCTGTAACCACTGCACTCGCCGCCGTCGCCCGGAAGACTGCGCATACTATCCATCGGAAGACACCCAACCCCCTTCTAACCCGCTATTGCAAACCCGCAACCGCCACAATGAATATGATCAAAGGAGCCCCCAAAATAGAAACGTGAACCTCTTCTCTTTCGACACCATTTCAGAGCTAGAAAATATGAGGAGTCCGACATGCAGTGCCATGCCTTCGTCTCTGACGGATGTCTTCGGCTATTCTGAAGACAGTCAAAGCAACACGATAGCTCTTGTGCGGATGGTAAGTCCATTCATGAGTCCATAACCTGAGAAGGTTTGATGTGGAGCATTATTCCAACGGTTTTATATCTTATCAATAGGTGGATCGATGGGATGGAGAGGACCAAAATCGCAACCGTCAAGCACCGTCGAGTCAATATGATTCGGAGATTCACCAATCTCTAGACAAGATTCCTGATCGGCCAATCTTGGACTTCTTGGTGAAATATTTCGTGCGCGAAGTGAACTGGTAAGTACCGCAGACAATATACAGAAACCCCAAAAACTATACCAGGAATTCCTTATCTAACCAACTCCGTTTGTGATGTCTAGGATGGATCAGCTTGTTCATCTCCCATGGATTCTAGACGAATACCAACGCTGGCGGATCGTCGAAACTCCATCATCTCTCTTTGAGATTGAGTTCGCGGTTCTCATTTTGAGAATATGTTCTTATACATCTGAATATCTCCCCTCTCCGTCATGTACTATTGAAAGGATCCGGGATATATCACTGGCGGATATTCGCCACTCGTGCGACGAAGCTGCTAACAGTCTCGCAGAAATATGTCTCCGTCTTAATCCCAAAGGAAGTCTTCTTCGCGTACAACACTTGGTCTTTGTTGGGTTAAAGGCCAAGTGTCAGGGCTTTATGAAGGATTTTCGAGATGCACTCCGGTCCGCGATAGAGGTTGCTCAAAGGATTGGGGCAGATCAAGATGTTTCTCCAGACATTTCGGATATGAGTGAGTTAGAGAAAGAAACTCGCCGGAGGATCTTCTGCAATCTTTATATATGGGACAGGTGAGTGGCCACGGATATATATTTCTTGCCGTGGCACCTCTGATCAATAGCATATGCTGACCTTGCAGCTATTTATCACGACAATTGGACCGTATCCCTACTATACCTAGTGGGATAGAGCCGGAGAATATGCCACGGATGCACCTTGGCTCCGATATCAATGAAGCCCATGGCCTCGAAGAATTCACTGAGCGCATCCTTCAGGTTCGCCTGGCCAATTTCTGGAGGAGTATGGGTCCAACATTAGGGTCTACTTATGATATGATCCTCGCCCAAGAGAGATATGAAAGCTTTTGTGGTAATTTTCTGACCACGCTGCCACTCGCTTTTGCTCTCCAGCCAAACAAGCAGTGGGATGAACGACTTCCGATGCTTGCAAAGCAAAGAGAGATTTTATTCATATCAATATTTGAGTCTCTTTGTTACAATTTCCGGCCAGCCATTTTGCTGGATGCGAGCCATCTTCCCGAGTACAAGCAAATCTTGCTCTCATTACAGCGAAAGGCTCTAGCAGTTGCTGCACTCAATGTTCTGCAAGGGGTATCCAGACTGCATTCCCTGATCGGAGGTTCTCAAACACGGTACACAGGGATCATTCAACCCACTTTCGAAGCTGCAGTGCTTCTGGTATCATTATGCATGGATCAAAGCTTCCTGGGAGATGTGGAAAACCGCAGTTCAAGGATTACCAAGATGGATCCTCTTTCTGCCGGGATGGTAAACTTAACATGGGCGGACTGCATGGATGCTATACGAGATGCACTGAAACTCCTAAAAATGTTATCGGAGGTCAGCAATATGGCAGATGTGGGAGCACAAAGCCTTGGCAAGCTGATCGGCAAAGTCGCCAAAAAGCCCACTAGCGCCTCGCGAATGGAAAACCCTTCCAAGCCAGACGACGGAGCTTTCTCTCAAATAGGGGGAGGTTCGGCTGAAATTCATTTGCCAGAATATTCAGAGTCGGACCCCGCAGTCTCTCTAGCAGAGATAGCCTCGATGGCGGCCTTTGATGTTGATATGAATATAAACTGGGATGCTTTGGCATCAAATATCTGAGGTCTATGATCTTGTCTGTTGTGGCTCTCAAGAACTCTTCACCGCGCGAGTTTATTCCCATTTCACTATAAAAGTCTTGCGAGAACTCATAAATCAAGGGCTATTTTCAATTTAGTACCTGTTTCTTACCTACCATGTCCTAAGTCCAGTTGATATTTTCTTTTTCTTCAAAAAAGCAGAAGCCAAACTCATTTTGTCGTGAACTGAGCATCAAAATAGTGTTCCTGATTTGAGCACACCCCTCGTATTTCTACGAGTTGGAAGTTCTCGTATTCACCAGTCGTCTTGCATCGAAGCGTGGAGGAGTAAGGGTGGTGCTGACAAGGACGTTTTGGCACGCAGGGCCCATATCTCGATATTCCCGACAATAGGGTAGCTCTTTCTAGGTAATGACACGAGATAGCTTGATAACGATATAGAGATGTTAATCAGAACTTCACTCCACCTGTAGCATTGGCTGCGACGGGAGTTTAGCGATGACTACGGTTTCGTGGCGCTCGGGGCTCCAGGGCTGAGGCCACAGGGGGTTGACAGATTCGTCAGCATCTTCGGCCGAAGTTTTTCGGCGCATCCTATTGACTTAGGTGTATACTGAAGGGGTTTCGGCCATGGGAAAAACGTTGATGTGTCGGTGCACCGGCCGTCCTTGGTTGGAAGCCTTTTCGGGCAGGGAGGAACTCAGCTGCAATGAATTGATGAGAGTGTCTTCATCCAGGGCCTCAGAGCCTTGTCCTATCTGGACCTTCTGAATGGGAATAAGTATCTGGAGTTTGCACACCAATCCCGTCTCTAATTCCTTTTCCATTCAATCTTCCCTTCGAAAATCACCACGATGGCACTTTCAGAAACAGTTCAATCAGTCAGTGGTAGTCTAGCTTCAATCCCATGGAGTATTCTTGCCGTGCTTACGACATTCCTCGCATTATACTGGAGGATGATGCCTCACCCGATCCCGGGGATTCCATACAACAAGAAATCCGCATGGAAACTGTTAGGAGATGCCCCCGACATGATAAAAGAGGTCAGCGTTAGCAGAGAGCTCAATGTCTGGCTGGCCAAGCAAGTCTATCAACTACAAGCCCCACTATGTCAGGTCTTCGTGGAGCCATTTTCTAAGCCCTGGGTGCTCCTCGCCGACTCAGCTGAGGCTCAGGATATCATGATACGACGGCCGGAGTTTGACCGTTCCAACTTTATCACTGACGGCTTGGGCCCATTGGATGACTTCCATGCCCGTATGAAGGTTGGCTCAGTCTGGAAGACAACTCGAGCATGGTTGCAGGACCTCATGAGTCCGAGCTTCCTGAATAATATCGTTAGCCCAGTCATGTACGACAACTCGCTTCATCTGGTGAACTTTTGGCAAGAAAAGGCTCGCCTAGCAAATGACCGGCCCTTTGACGCCAACGAAGACTTGAATCATAGCGCCCTCGATGGTATGCTTTCTTTTGTTTTCGATCGGCATTTTGAGCATACTGCCCTTGGCCCTCAAGTCGAGGCTGCCTCCAAGCTTGACCCTTCAACTGTTAAAGTTGGCGCCCTTGGAGAGGTGGAATTCCCAGAAGGAAAACACCATATGTTCATCAGCGCGCTCTATGATACGGTAGATGCAATTGATAAAGTGACCAAGTCCATGTCACCAAGATTTACTATGTGGTGGCTGCGTCAGACGCCTCGGTATAGAAACGTCACAGCTATAAAGAGACGCGTTGTCCGGGAACAAGTGCAGAGTGCCCTAGCTAGATTTCGTGCGACAGGGGAAACCAAAACTGCGATTGAATATATGTTAATGCGTGAAACGAAGGCTGCTGAAAAGCAGGGTCGAAACCCGGACTACGAAAATACTACCATGATGGAAGAGGTGAGATATGCTTACTTTCCTTATCCACCTCCTAAAACCCTTGTTACATCCAGGTACCAGTCAATTTCTACTCAAATTCTAATGCGTCTTCTTCCAGATTGCTGCGCAATTTATTGCCGGTCTACATACAACCAGCACCACTCTTGCTTGGTCTTTTATCTACATGACCCGCTACCCGGAGATTCAAACCAAGCTACGAGAGGCGCTGTTTTCTACATATGCGGATGCCCACGCAGAAAAGCGCCCTCCTTCACTAGCAGAGCTGAACAAAACGCGAGTTCCATACCTCGAAGGTGTATTGGAAGAGGCTCTTCGGTTGCACGCGACAAGTGTAGCGCGACAAGCCGTTCGTGATACTGAAGTTTTCGGCCATCATATTCCCAAAGGCACCAATATTGTTATGATCGCCAACGGGCCAGGATTCCATGCACCGTCGCTTTCTGTCGACGAAAAGCTGCGTGGCAAAACCACCAAGGCGAATACCTGGGATGAACGCGACCTGACAGTATTCAACCCAGAGCGTTGGCTCGAGTACAAGAAATCAAGCTCTGGGGAGGATGAGGTTGAATTCAACGCAAACGCAGCTCCTCAGATTGCCTTTGGCTTGGGTCCGCGCAGCTGTTGGGGTCGTCGACTCGCATACTTAGAGATGCGCATGGTAGTAACCCTTATTATTTGGAACTTCGATCTTCTCCCGGTTTCTGCGGCTCTGGCTGCACCGAAGGCGAGCTATGGCATTGTTCACAGGGCGGATCAATGTTTCTTGAGGCTGAAGAGTAGGAAATAGAAGATGCAGAGTGAAGGAAGTGGATATCCATAGGTGAACCAAGTGTTGAACTTTGAATTCGGCAGGTCTCAAATTATGACGCGTTGTCACTGTAGTTGAAATAGCAAGATCTGAGTACCTCGAATCTTCTGGTGTGCGTTGATCTGGGGCTCTTGTGACTAAAGTAACTAGACCAAACGGGTAACATCTCTAGATTACGATGCTTTCAATCAGGAACTACAGTTTCAATCAATATACTACTAGTAGCAACACAAGTCTGTAATATTCAAGGTGTTTTCTTTCAAATCAAGTCTAATTTCTCATTCTTTGAAAATCTAGTACCCGAGACAAAACCATGAAAAAGAATTAAGAAGTTAAAAAAGTACCACAGCCAGAAGGACAATCACTAAAGCCAAGAATTATAACTCGGATGTAGTTGAAGAAGTTGAAGGGAATTCAATGGGAAACAAACAAGTCTTTTTGGAGTCTAGGTGCCATCAGCCAATAAACTGTCTCATGCCGCATGAACGCCACTCGCTACACCGAACAACTTAGTGCGAGGCAGCAGCAAACTCAATACAGCCACAAGAGCACCACCGGCAATGGTAAGAATGTAAGTGTCGCCAATGGCAGAGACAATAGCATCAAGCACGCGAGTCTTGAGTGCCGGGGACAGATCCCTTACAAGGTCTGATTGGGCACCTAGGATGGCAGCTTGAATTTGGGACGAAGGTACGTTGGGCAGAATAGCCTCAATTTTGTCAAGACATCCATTCAAAAGAACAGCGTTGGCAATGGCAAGAGAGATAGTGATTCCCGCGAACTGCGCCAGGGTCATGAACCCAACGGCTGGCGCAATGTTTTCGAGTGAAACGACGGCTTGTGTCACGGAGAATGAAGCCTGCAGAAACATGCCAACGCCAACACCCAGCGGAACGCTAGAGCCGTAAACCCAGCTCTGTGAAGTATCTTGACGAACGGTGTACATGAGGGCTGAACCGAGCACGACCAGCAGGCCACCCACTAAGTACCAGGGCATGTAGTAGCCCAGTCTTGCCATCAGGTTGCCGTTGATAAAAACAAATACCACCATAAATACCACAAATGGGAGAAGCCGCACACCGGCATCGAGCGGAACGTCGTTGCGCGTGAATTGGAAAAAGAGAGGAACCATATAGATAGGGACGAAGGCGCATGCGCCCCCTGATGCGCAGGCAGCGAAGAGGGTGAGAACGACTTTCGATCGGAAAAATTGCACCGGAATGATGCGACGAGCCGGGGAGGTACCAATTGCCCAGGCCTGCTGGAAACCCAGAGCAATAAACAAGACTCCCATAACAACAAACATAGCAATAATGCGACCAGAGTTCCACGGGTAGGTGATGCCCCCCAGATTGATGGCCAGAATCAATGTAGTCAAAGCTCCACATTGAAGGATAATACCTGGATAATCAAGCTCAACAGCCCGCTCTTTGAGAGAAGCACCCGGTCGAGGATCTTTGTTGGGGATCAGGAAGAGGTAGAAAGGTGCACAGACAGCGCCGATAAAAAGGTTGATATAAAACGCCCATCGCCAACCCACCGAGGATTCGCTGAAAGCGCCGCCAATCACCGGGCCCAGCACAATTCCCAGACCCCATGACAATCCAGTACAGGAGATGTAAACTGGGCGCTCAGATATAGTTGTAGTCATCGCAATGAGCGTCATACAGCCCACGTACAGACCGGATCCGCCGACGCCGGCAATGGCGCGACCGAGGATCATGACATTCATAGAGGGGGCTGCACCACAGATTGCAGAGCCGACTTCGAATAGAGCCACATGGAAGATATAGAACCACTTTGCATTGAAGTGACTATACACACGGCCCCAAATCAAGTTCGTAGCCGTTGCGCTCAGCAGGAACGCAACGCTGAGCCATGAAAGCTTTGTGACACCACCGAGATCACCAACAATCACTGGTTGGAGATCGGCGACAACTGTCGCGTCAAGCGCATAGAGAAATGTCGATGCTAGAATAGACGCCAGGGTCAAATACCACTTCCAGCCATTGATGTCCCGTGGCGGGGCCTCTGGCTCGGCAGGGGGAGGATTGTCATTTGCTGCTGTCGGTCTTTCATCATCGTAACTGTCTTCTGCACGACTAGTAGATCCTGACTCGTCCACCCTTTTCTCTTCCAGATTCCTTCCATCCAATCCCTCGTGGGTGTTATCAAGGACTACCATCGCAGCGACTATAAGACAAGTCCAGTTTCAGGTGAGATAGGTGTAGTTTCGACCTGTAATTGGAACGGGATTGGGTTTTTATCGCCTGGAAATCGCGATAGTAAGGAGCGGAGGGAGGTAGAGGGCCAAAACGGCGGAAAGTGAAGCTCTTCTAAAGCCGTGAATATTGTTAGAAATTGATACCTTCGAGGCAGAAGTTCCTTATAGCAGCTATTTTCTCAGAGAGAAGAGTGTTCTTAATGACAAGTCCACCAAGATCAGGTCATGAGGATAGATATTGAAGCTTTGAATTGATTTGTAAGGAATATTTTTAATTCCTAACAACCACCTTTGCACTGAGCAGAACTATAGTAAATGGGATTGCTGATCATCAAACAAAGCCTAACTTAATCCGGTCTAGATCCCTTTGTGATAGGCTTTGCTGTTTTACTCAGCCGGATGTTTAAGCTACTTTCTTCGGCCGACATTTTTCGGCCCAGATTTATAATACTTCGCCCGTGAATTATCGGCTGTAAATCCATACCCAGGAAGCCCCCCGGTTTTTATAAGTTCAAATCAAAAAGAATCTGACAAACGAGCGGGATTTTGGAGATCTTTGTGAAAAAGCTTTGACTAATGACTGCCATCCCAATTTGACGTCGCGAGAATCACAGCTTGTAACCCCACACGATAACAGTGCAAATGTAATGGGTCACGTGACCACATGACTCCAGTCATGGGACTGTACCAGTAGATAGTTTGCTCCCTCTCTAGTTTTCTCTCTCCTCTTTCCCTCCCAGAGTCAGTCAATTATATAGCATAATACGTTATATTGCTCTCTATATTGTATATCCATAGCTTCTGTACATTCCGACAGATAGCAACCTCCTTCCACTTTGGCCACTTGCCCCACTTGTGAGACAGGTGTACCCAATCAGGAAGCAATTCATCGAGATCGTATAGACAAGACATAATGCATCACAAACTTGCAGGTGGCATTCCCACGATCATCTGGGATGATTTCTCGTCGGCACTTAGATCTCTTCTCTTAAATACTCACGCTCAACGTTTTATTTTTCCAATTTCCAATTTTGGTCGACATGGTGCATGTAAGACGGTACCGTCATTCGAGACAATTCTCATCCGCTACTATTCCAGCATACTCTAACTGTAATGTTTTTACTCCCTACAGCGGCCTGTTTTGCTTCCAAAGATATTTCCCGACTAAAAAGTTGCCCCTTTTCGAATTATCAATGCGAAGTGTGCACTATTGACTCGCAACAGGGCTATCCTTGTCTAGCTTTGGAGGATCGACCCGAAGTGGGCCACTGTCAAACAAAGAACTGGACCGCAAAGCGAATTTGTGGACATTCAAAGGAAACTAGAGGCAAACTCGAGGCTTTGATCTCGAAATTATGTCAAAGCCCGCATGAAACAAGGGCTTCCGTCATATACTCAATCCTTGACCTGATACTCTGTACGGAGTACAGCCTTCCTATTGTTTGCTTGCTATTGTCCTCCTTCCCTTGACTTTCTCTCCTTTGCCATATTTCATGCCTGTCACTCCAAATACTATCTTTAATATTGCTCTATATGTGATTTCTTCAATGAGTTGACAGTAATTCTAATCTTTGTCGAATCAGCCTTCAACTAGCCATTTGTTCTCTGCGGTTTCCATTTTCACTACCACTATGAGCCTTGAAAATACCACAGTCCAGACATTTAGACGTCTATTTACTCGCCGTCGATCTTGTATACTATTTATTATCTTCATATGGTTCATCTTTTATCACCTTCCAGGTCCCCCTGCCACCCAAAATAATACTCGCGCAGATCGACCACCCCCAGAGCATCAAATAGAGGATACGGCACAATTTCTTTTCCGCTCTCCCTTTCGAAAAGATCCGGATGTTGAATATGAAAAGCAGCTATCAAATGCCCTGGACAGGATTGAAAAGGCTGTATTGGCACAAAGTCACGAAAGCAACATACCTCAAGATAGAATCTGGCAGATAGCGAAAGATCAAAGGCACAGGGGGGATGACTCAATAATATTTCGACATAAAAATAGAGAATGGGCATATAATGTAAGTACTCTGACTGGATGCTACATTACTTGCTTGACATCCACTAAAAATCCCAAAGTTAGCCACTGATGAAATGGCCCTTGAATTTGTCGAAAGTGAACTATCCTCCATCCCCGAAATTGCAACTGTTTACAAATCCTACCCTCACAGCATCCTCCGAGCGGACCTCCTCAGATACCTCCTTCTCTGGTACTACGGAGGCTTCTACGCAGACATAGATGTCTTCCCCGCTCGAACAATCAAGAACTGTCCGGCCCTAGAGCCCTTCTTTGCACCCACACCCGACGGATACACCAAATACGCCCATCCTGATGTATCGCTCGTTGTCGGAATTGAAGTCGACGAGCCATATGCTTCACCACAATACATGCGCGACTGGCACTGGACAAGGAGCTACGGACTGATCCAGTATACCATGTATGCGCCGCGACGGTTCAGTCCGCTTCTCCGTGAAACCATCGTGCGGGTCTTATCGCATACTAGACAATACAATAGGGAACATAAAAGTTTCTTTCCTAGTCTTACGTACGACGAGAAGGCTATATTGGGAGTTACCGGGCCTGATGTCTTCACAGATGCTATTCTTGATACACTTTCCTCTTCGCTTCCTGAGACACATCCGTTCATTGAACAGTCTATCAAAGCGGATGTGGATATAGGGGATCTCGCCCATAATGTAACTGGGAAGTTGAATAAACGGGTTACGTGGGCTCCGTTTCATAGACTCAGTGATCCTGTCTGCATTCAGGCTGGTGAGGCTGCCCCGAATAAATCAATGGGTGGACTGTGTGTCTTGCCGATTAGTGTTTGGGGGAATGGGCAGAGACATAGTCAGGCGGGAGGGTTTGGTCATCATAGTGCGTGTGTCAATCATCGGTTTGGGAGGACGTGGAAGAAGGGGTGGGGGGAGTATATATTTGGGTGAATGTTTTATTGTATCTGGCGTTGATAGTTGAATATACTTCCATCTTTGAAATAAATTCGATGAGATAACTCTTTATCTTGCAATAAACTTCTTGGCATTGTTGTGAGTATATTATCAGAGGATAGTAGATCGTGAAGCATGGCGCAAGGAAGTATGAGTGAGTGTATTGGAAAGCGAAAAATATGGATAAGGAAAGGCAAGGACTGTAGAAGTCCTTTACTAACATAAGCGAATTCAAATAGCGTTAAGCTTAAAAGCGAAAATGCTAAATTTCTCAAACCCCAAAGCTATCATTTATAGCACTGGCAACCTTCCTTATCAGGGTTTTGGCAGCGGGCCTGGTTGACAGAACAACTCCCACAGAATCCACATACAGTATTTTGGAAATCCACAAAAGGGAAGCTAGCTCTTAAATACGGGATTAGGCAATCTATCTATAGCCGTTCCGATTCTTGCCGCTGTTGCTGAACCAAGTCGTTAAAAGAAACCAATAGCCGCCCTAATACGAGCGATCTGCAAAAAGAAAAGAACAAAAAACTAAAGGACTGGGACTGAGGATATGAGCCAAGTTTCTAGATGCATGAGACAGAAGCCCTTGAAGCGCGAACTACATGACGGGAGACCTAGGACTGGCCATGTGGAGAGAATAACACAAACAATGGGGTGGCTGCATATGCGGCGTAGTGAGGGAATTATGCAGAAAGCTGTGCCATTTATCCTTATAGACGGAGAGCCCCAAAGTAAGTAACTAGAGATTACCCTGTTGTTGCAGAGCCTTACTAAGCCAGTCCGATTGACATCCGACCTAGTGTGTGCCTTGGATGCAATGCCTATCATGGTCTTGACCGGGAGTTCTGGTATGTCCTGGTCTTTATACACCGACATGTTACTCCGCAGTCCGGAGAAAGATGCAAGGTGATAAGAATTATACAAGTAAATTGACTAGAAAGAAAGAGCCCCGAAACAATGTAAAAAAAAAAAAAAAGAGCACAAGAATTGTCACTCCACCGCTATAAGCTCCACCTGTATCTCCGAGTAGGGGGCTGGAGTATTGTGAGAAAACCCGGGAACCACAACAGTAGTTCGTGGCGGTGCAAACGGAAACACCCGATTGTAGTGATCCTCAAATTTCTTTTTCCCATGAACATATTCTGAAAAATAAACCTGAACATTTATGTTTAGCTTCAAAGCATTCAATACTCACGAATCAAATCCTACCGTAGTTTTAACAACCCTGTCAAAGCTAGAACCCGCCGCCTTCAGAATCGCCTCTAGATTAAGGAAAATCCGTTCCACGGCGGCAGTTTCTCCGATAGCCATCCCGCCACGAGGCAGCGCCGCTACCTGGGCTGCTACATAGATCATTCCGTTGACTTTGAATGCCTGGGACTGTTATGGGTCATGAATGGTTAGATAGGCGAAATGAGGGGCGACAGGAAGAATTTCTCTTACGGAGCCGCTTGGCGCTGAAGAAAATCGCATTAGTGATATCTAAAAATTAGCCATAGAGACTCATGTAGGCTTACGTAGAGGAGCAGATGAAGTCCGTATGCATTCAATGACAGCCCTGGGCTGGATCGTATGATACTCTGGAGGATGCTCATCTTCTAACATGGCGCACTGCGCAGACTCTCCAGATGTGGACTGCATGGCTAGTTTGGGACAAATGTAAAGAGAAGTGGAATCAAATATGAGATCTGAATATGTGAATAGGGTATGTCTAACCCGTAGTGATGCGGCTGATAAAAGAAACAATTCACGTGTTTGGGCACACCCGTTTTTGTTTGGGGCGCAATGCAAGAATGACCCTGGACCTATCAGGGTCTTGCAGAGTGGCACGGGACTTTGTTCTTAAGTTAGCTTCCCCGCAATGTATGTATACGAGGTCAGCCACCTCAATTAGCCCAGGGCAATGGGGCGGCCCCAGGGGATCCGATAACCGGCCTGCAAATGAGAGCGCCCCAGGATCATTACTATGTGGATTGCGAGATATATCAACACTATGAACCCACTTCGTATGCATGAAATTGTAGTAAACCATCGACGGTAAACGGATTATATATTGTAGTGGGGAATCTCGTCCTCCACTACAATTTATGTGTTCCCTTTCTTTATTTCGGAGTTTCATTGTATAATCATCAGGGCACCGAGGGTATATGTATATACGGAGTAGGTAGCAGGTAGATGCAGATTGAGAAAAACACTTGGTTAGGCTATACCCATGGCTAGGTAGGCCTATCAAGATTCGTGAAATGCCAAGCAGTCGGTTCCAAAAAGCACTTGGGGTATGCTTTACTAGAGTTGACTTGATGAAAGTCACGTCAAATGTACCTCAGTGAGAAATTCTCCGTCAACATGAACTCGAAGAAATGCCAAAAGACTCGGGTTGCGCTGATTTTAAGCCGACCTTCATACCCATCCTCATCAGCTTCCAACAAAGACTAGTCAGGATTGCCCATATATGTCCGTAATATTGATCTGGGCCATTTGTGCCGTATGATAGCCGAGCCTCATCTGTTAACAAGAAGAATACGTTCGAACAAGACGACAGTCTGGGTATGTCAAGGAGATCGGAGCGGCTGCGGCATTTTCAATCAAGTCCTTCAATAATGTGCCGAGGAGGTTATTCCAGTAGTCGATGTTTCTCCTCAGGTGAAACTTCCGTTGGGGATTGGACTGCTTTGTCACATAGGGGCTCCAATTGAACGAATTCTTCCAGAGTAGTTGCCATATCCAGAAGAAGATGCCTGACGCTCTGATCGTTCTGATTAATAGAAATATGGCCGGGCGACCATCCCCAATACGATATCAATTTGACGTCCTGTACCTCTCCCTAGATACTTATTGCATTCCTTTGTGATTACAATTTATAAGATGGTTCTTTGGATTTCCTGTTAGAAGGCTTTTTGGAGCTCTCTTCCCCACCTCTCCAACAATGATGGATACATGCATCAACATTAAGTATAGTTGAATTGTTGCCAGGCATTATAACACACAGGCAAGTTTGCAAGAAGTGAATGTAAGAAAGCTCGGACAAGAAGTTGGCCTGGATGATATTATGCGTGGAGCCAAGTCTAATTTGTGCATTTATTTCCCCGCAATCTGATATCCACGGACCTCGGCTTCGGAGAATTATTTAACAGCCTCACTTTTCAACTTCAATTGTTCTAGTATCACGACAAAATAAAAAAATGTCACCATTGAAAGGAATCAAAGTCATCGAGCTAGCAGGCTTAGCTCCAGGTACGCAATAAAAAAAAACCACCCCCAAAAAAACCCATCATCATCATCATCACAACTAACAACTACTCAGGTCCATTCGCAGGCCTCCTGCTAGCGGACTATGGCGCCTCAGTCCTCCGCATAGACCGACCCAATTCCGCAACCGCCGACCAACTAACCCGCAACAAAACGTCCATAACCCTCGACCTACGCAACAAAGACTCCCTAAGCATCCTGCTCCGACTCCTCACAAACGCCGACATCCTCATAGATCCTTTCCGGCCCGGCGTCCTCGAACGCCTCGGCCTCTCCCCAACAGATGTCCTCCTAAAGCTCAACCCCCGCCTGATCATCGCCCGCATGACCGGCTTCCGCCGGGACGGAAAATACAAAGACATGGCCGGCCACGACATCAACTACATCGCCGTCTCAGGCGTATTGTCTATGCTCGGCCGCGCAAATGAAAAACCCTTCGCCCCAGGTAACATTCTCGGCGATTTTGCCGGTGGCGGCGCCGTCTGTTTCCAGGGAATCCTGCTCGCACTCATCTCCCGCTCCCATACGGGCCGTGGCCAGGTCGTCGAGGCGAATATGGTAGATGGCTCCGCGTATCTTGCTACGTTCCCGCGACTGGCGAGGAAGACTCATATGTGGGCGGAGCCGCGTGGAGAGAATATGCTCGATAGTGGATGTCCGTACTATGATACGTATGAGACTAAGGATTCCGGACGGTATTTTGCTGTCGGTGCGTTGGAGCCGCAGTTTTATGCCGCGCTCGTGCGGGGACTAGGGTTTGATATTAAGGACCTTCCTGAAAGGGAGGATCGGAAGCAGTGGCCGAAGTTGAGGGAGATCTTTACCAGGACATTCAAGGAGAAGACGCGCAAGGAATGGGAGGCTGTTTTCGATGGCACGGATGCTTGTGCTACGCCGGTTCTGGAGCAGGGGGAGCTTGAAGAGGATGGGTATGAGCAGCGGCCTATGGTGCATCTGGTTAGTACACCTGCAGCGCCGATTCAGGCAGATCAGGGTGGTTGGTCGGGTGGCGGACTTTTGCCTGGGGATGGGGGGGTTGATACACTTAGGGAGTGGTTTGGGTGGGAGGAGGGCAAAGATTTTGTGATTAGAGGGGATGGGGCCTTGGTATCAGTGAATGGGAAGTCGAAAATTTGAGGATGTCTTTGACACGGGGATATGTACTAGTCTGGAATGGATGTTTGAGGTGATTTGGGATATGTAACCGGACTCTATCTAGTGAGGCATACATGCATGTAACAATACAATGAAACTCTTTCCAATCCCTTCTCCGGAGATTTCTAACAAAGCGCAGACATTGAACTTCATAAATAACTGCCAACGCCATGTTTCAACCAGCATGAAATATTAACATTACCACCGAATGCAAACAGCAAACTATGCAAACACGCCATATCCAATAACAACATGTACAGAAACAAGAAGAGTAGTCCACACGAGCGACAAAGCAGCACCACTATTCTCAACGGGACTACCATCGCCCTTCGGACTACCACTCTTCTTCGCGGCAACCACGTTGGTGACAGCCGTAGAAGTAGATGGAATGGAAGAAATGGCCGAACTAGATGAACTGAAAGCCGGCTTGACCTCCGTTGGTACGTTGTGGTATTCCCGAATGATATCGCTCGCTTGCTCAGCCACGCCATATGTCGAGGACATCAAGTGGGTAGACAAAGAGATGGGGATGACGCTGGCATCTGCAACGCGCACATTTGCAAGGCCGTAAACGCGCAGTTTGGCGTCGACCACGCCGCCCTGTTCCTCAGGTAGCATTGCGCACGACGAGGACGGATGGAATTCTGTGCTAGCTTCCTTGCGTAACCATGCTACCCACTCGTCATCGGTCTGGACGCTCGAGCCTGGGGAGGTTTCGGTTACGAGGCTTTTGCTCATTGGCGAGGTTTCGCCTATTTGGCGGGCCATTTTGATACCTGCGAGGAGGAGCTCAGAGTCTGCGTTTTCGTCAGTATGGAAGCTTTTGATTGGTTTATTGGAGCAGGTACATACCGGCTGGGTTATCGAAGTAATTCGGGTCGATGATTGGATAGTCCATTGGGTTCGAGGAGTTGATGTAGATACGGCCATGGCTGAGTGGATGTTGAAGGGCGGCTGTGATACCGATATCGCCATTTCCATCGCTGTTCATGAACAGGAGCTCGATTTGGCCTGTTGGGCTGTTGAAAATCTTCGATGCTGTCGTGTTACAGATTGCTTTGTAGCCGGTGACGACGCCATCATCGTAAGTTGTTTTCGGTACGTACTTGTCGATTGAGGCGAGGAATTTCGACTCGTACTCATCGACTTTGTTGCCGTAGATAGCGGTGGCGTTCACGTAGGCAACGGCTGAATCAATGTATGTGAGGAATTTAGGATTATTCTGCGGGAATTAGCATATGGCGTTGCTTTGGTTGATGGAGGATACACAAGACGCACCTTATCCTTGCCGTTATGGTAAAAGATGGAACCTGCGGTGTCCACATTCGAGCTCCATTTCACTGTGGCACTCTGTGCAACCAAATTAGTCGCATGCTCATCTCATTAATAAGAAGTACACCTACAAAATGGTCTTGAAGGTGCTGACCGACACCAGGAAGTTCAGAGACAAGGTCAACACCGGCGTTGGAGAGGACATCCTTCGGGCCAACGCCACTGTAAAGCAATACAGCGGGGCTGCCAACAGAGCCACCCGCCAGGATGACTTCTTTCTTAACCTTAACCTTCAGTTTCGTTGATCCCTTATCATTTGTGTATTCAACAGCACTCGCTGTTTTCTTATCGGAAGATGTAGAATCTTCGAAAATAAGCCGAGTCACATGCGCGTTCGCCAATACATCGTAGTTGCCCCGGTCTGGAAGCGGATCGAGATAACCGGAACGACTGTATGACCGTGTCCAATTTGAAGGGTTGATGCAGGATGTTGAGACATCAGCGCCCCAGCTTTCACCTCCGTACATTCTATCAGAAATGCCAATGCCAATACTCTCCAGTGACGTTAACCAATCGCCAACTTCGGGGAATGTGCTAGGAACATGTTAGCTTTATGAGTCAGTTCCAGAGAGTAAGATTCCGCATACTAGTCCGGGTATGTTGCGTGGATCGGCCCGTTAGTGCCGTGATGCGTTGCATTCCAGGTGATTCTAGCCTCATCAACCACATCATCGGTTGGAGGAGTGAAAGTCTCGCTTTTTTTCAAAGCAGAGTAGAATGACTCCCACGACCAGTTATCTGCACCGTCCATATCTCCCAGCATGTCTTTCCAGGCATTGATTTCATCTTCACCCGGACGTGTCATGTACAAGCCGTTGATCGCAGAACTGCCTATCTCTCTGTGTTAATTTCCCACTATTTGTCCTTTAGAATAGGAAAGTTGTGCCAACCTCCAAGGACCTTGCCACGAGGCCAGTTAATCTTGCGGTCGTCCGCATTGGGCTGGGCAACGGTGTCGAAATCCCAATTCAAAGGCGTTGGCCATAAAGAATCGAAATATGAAAATGCCGGTGTATCTGTATGAGAGTTAGCAATGTCCCTGACTCCACAGCGAATAATTGAATATACCTATGCGATTCCGAAATTCATCGCCATCGCCGCCCGACTCAAGAACAAGCACGGTATGATTTTTATCCTCCGAAAGACGAGCGCCCAAGACGAGTCCAGCTTGACCTCCTCCCACAATCACAAAGTCGTAAGAATCGTCGATCTTTGTGCTTGGTGATAATGCACTGGCAAAGTGGTTGGCGACTAGGCTTGCGCCTACGATCTGGGTAGCGGACAGACCAGGTCGCATTGTTAGGGATCGCGACGCAGATGTTCGGGGGTTGGAAGGGCAGATCCCACATATAAAAATTCCATTTCAGCAGGCTGAAGGCTGTGTGGAGCAACACGTTTGGAACCCTTGGGAGCTTTGGGAATTCTCAATTTTACGCACGATGATCCCCGATAAGGACATTCTCAAGTCTCAATTGCGTTAGATGAGTGGGTCAATAATTGGGTCCAACAAATGAGATCTTGGTTCCTGTTGCTCCACATGGCCTTTTTTCCAATTGATAAACTTTGTTTTTCCTTGGAACTGCTCTTTCTACCCGTCCTTGTACCATGGATCCTTTTTCTTTGTTCCTGAATTATGTAAGGCATTTTATTTGCTATTCAAATCCAACGACGTATACTTCGTAGTTCGCGGTCAATTTGAGTTCGTTACTTTCAGCCCAATATCAATAAGTCTCTACGATTACGTTTCCGCAGACAACACATCAATTTGGGATCTCCAACATGCTGATGACTGCATGGTTGCTATGCATCAACCAAGGATCAAATGGCCAATAATTTGACTGAGACTATCTCCACTCACAAGTATCCACTACAGGTGGATTCTGGTAAACCATTCTGATAGGTTGATATTTAGATGATCGCAATTATAATCCGCAATCAGTAGCCAGCCACGATAAAGCGATTGAAAAATTTAGACCGAAGCCCCGTAACAGTGTCTAGATTTCCATGGACATGAAACACTGATATGACGAAACAGGGACCGATCGATCCTGATCGCGAATTGCTTGTTATGAATTGAGTAATTTAGTCTACACAGTATATGAAGTCATTCAGAATGATATCATATTGTTATATTTGGTGATAGTGGAGGCCTAGAGCTGGAAGTTATTTACTTTCCGTTACGGAGTATCCGAACTCGCCACACCCTGTGATTAGCCACCTCGCTAAAATTATACATTTTTACAATGAACTTCAATCCATTTTGAAGAAACTATTGATTGCCACAAAGGATACCTAAGAGGTGGGACAGAGAAAAACTGCGTAGTCATACATTGGTTGCACGAATATTTCAATCCACCTAATTCCTCAACCCAGTGAGATCATGCAGGCATAGTGCCAGGGGTCGTAGCAAATGCCTCTTCCAGTATTTCCAAGCCACTAAGCAGTTCGTCCTCGGTAATAGTTATCGGCGGGGCTATGCGAAAGGCGCCCCCGAAGCTAGGATGACTACTGAGATTGGCCCACAAGCCTAAATCATAAGCCCGGTCTCCAATCGCCTTACCCAAATCCAGCGCCGGCGTCTTGCTTTCGCGATCCTCAACAATCTCAACCCCTGCCATAAGTCCGCGACCACGGACATCTCCGATGCAACCATATTTTTCCTTCAGCGCGTTCAGGCGGTCATGAAGTACTTTACCCATAGCTCGAGAGTGCTCAACTAGCCCGTCACGAACAACAATCTCAAGTACTTTATCACCCACAGCAGCAGGCAACGGGTCATTAACATGAGTTGTGTAAAAGCAGAAGTCCCGCTCGACGCACACGCGCTCAATCTCAGCACTTGTAACGACAGCGCTGAGCGGTAGGCCATTCCCTAGCGTCTTGCTGAGGGTGAGGATATCAGGAATGACGTTTTCGTGGTTGATAGCCATTAAGTCTCCGCACCGGCCGACACCCGTCTGTGCTTCGTCGACGATCAAGAGCATTCCTCGCTTTTCGCACTCCCGTTTTAGAGCTGCGAGATAACCAGGCGGTAGGACATGCATGCCAGCCGACGACTGGATACACTCCACGATACAAGCCGCCAGCGATCCGCACGATTGCATATCGATCATACGCCAGCCGTACTCCATCTCAGCTTCCCAGTCGTAGGATCCGTCAGGGCGCCGGAAGATAGAGCGGTATGCGTTTGGTGGCGGGAGCATCAACATGCCCGGCATTAGCGGGCCTTGGCCTTTGCGACCGAAGTGGTATTGTGCGCCCAGTGCTTGCGCTGTCACGCCGTGCCAGCTACCGCCCAGTCCGACGATTTCAAATTTCCCAGTGTATACCTTGGCCATTTTTATCGCTGCCTCGTTGCTCTCGCCGCCGGTGGAGAGGAAGAAGGCCTTGTCAAGGCCGGTTGGTAAGAGATTGCAGAGACGTCCGCCTAGGCTGATCACTGGGGGAGATGCCATGCCTGAGAAGAGGTGGTCTAGGGACCCTGCGTGGTCGGTGATTGTCTGCACAATTTCGGGGTGTCCGTGGCCGAGTAGGCACGACATTTGGCCGGAAGTAAAGTCTAGCACTTTGTGTCCGGACGCTGTATATACGTAGAGTCCTCTGCTGCCACAGATCACGTCTTTGTTGAATTTGGTGCCATAGTTGAGGAGGTACTTCGATGCTTTGGCTTGAAGCTCTTCTTGATTGACATCGCTATACAAAATTGGCTTGTCATTCTTTGGGGGCACAATTGCGACCGCGGAGTCTTCCGTGGTGGTTCCAGGTGCCATGTTGAGACCTGCTGATGACCAGTAGGGTGATTCCACGAATCTGTCTTAATACTTCTAATCTCCGAGCGGGAGTCCCGGCCTCCTTAAGTTTGTTATCGGCTTTATTGCTTCCCCTCATTAACGCGCCACTTACAGGGATAGACTGCCTTCTCCTCATTCATACTATCTTGGCCGCGGTTCCGCGGCCAACAGGCATCCCGCCCCAACTGAAGACTCCGCACCAATCAAATAATTCAAAAGATTTTGCTCTGCTGCGAACCACTTTGTACAGCAAAATCGGGTTCTAATGAACCCGAATAGAATAGAAGTTGGTTTCTAAGACTGGATCATGGCGCTCCATTTTAATTCACTATAGTACTACTCCTCATATAGATGAGAAAGAACTCTTCCAGTGGTATGGTATGTATATTGAAACAAAGAAAGAGGGCAAAGGTCAGGTTTACGTATGATGTATGAGCGCCCAGCAAAATATCATTAGAGTAGACTAGCACCATATTCATAGACACACGCTCCAATAGTATATCTGATAGTTCCACCAAGCGCTGAACTAGAGGTTTTGCTTCATGCGTAGCTATGTAGTTCCTACTGGACCACATCCCCGAGGGCGCAGCCTATTCGGAATTCTGCGACCGTTGCAGGTCTGCATACAGACTCTAAGCCGAATTTCTTGACTGGCGCAAAGTCGACTGTCCCGATGTGACCAAAGATTCACAAGGAAGCGATGCGCATTGAATGTGAGGCCGAATGTCGGGTTAAAGGGCACACGAACTGTTTCTCGGGCTTTTTTCTTGAGACAAGAAGTATAAGGGATCAAAATTACCATGACTAGAAGGTTTGAGAGCTTCAACGGCTCGACAAGCCGTATTCATAAACACAGGCTGCGCGGATACTTTGTTCACTCCATAATTTGCAGTATATCCCAAGTGCTTGGAAACATATCATCAACAAAAGCCATATCCGGCACGAAATGCTGACGCAGATCAACATCCGTGTCCCCCGAGTTCTCAACCGGAGGCTCTGACTTCAACAGCTTCTCAATGACATCTGAATGCTGCGCGAGGCAGATATCACCTAAATCCCACTCAAAGTTCTTATGGTGCGATCGCAACGCAGCCAAAAGGTCGCTCGCCATTCGCAGTGAACCACTATGCGCAAGACCCGCTGCCTGCTCTGTCTCTAATGCACACCGGATCAAAAATGTAACCGTTGCTGAAAATGTGAATGCTACGACAGGTAGCCAATAGTCACCCAATTGTGCTTCTCCAAGTTCCTGGACCAGAACCACAATGTCCTCCGCGGTCCTGCGGGCCTCCATAACCCGGTTGGCCATGTGCTCTGCGTTGAAGTCTGGTGCTTGCCGCTCACGATCTAGGTCGATGCGCCGGAGAAGGAGTCTTGTTGCGAGATATGCTAGACGAAGGTTAGAGGCCCCGGGGATATTTAAGTTTGAGCCGCGTATAATGATCTTGCGGATGTCTCCTGTGAGTGAGTCCACCCATTTGTTCAACTCTAATTCTAGATTCCTGCTTGGTCCTTGCGTCTCGATACGTATGCTGTACACTTGCTCCAAGCAATGGTCTAGCACATCGGTTAAGTTCATGAGTTCGATGAAAACTGCGTTTGCTTCATGATCTCGTCCCCAATCTGACAGGTACTCAGATTTTGGTAGTGGTACGTCGTATTGTGATCTTCTGATATGGGGAGGTGTCCCATAAGCAAGACTTGACCTGTTCGATGATGAGTCCCTAGGGTTCCCGACTGTTTGAAAAATTCGCTCTTGAAAACATACCAGCGATCGTGGAGTAAGATAGACCACCATATCTTCATTCTTAAGTGCTTCTCGGCCTGTGGGATATCCCACGGCAGTGGATTTCGATTTAAACCCAGAGAATGGCACAACGCAACAGCCGAACCCAGTCGTACGCCGTTGCCTGTCATAGATGTGGTTGGACGGCCCCCAACATCGAGAAGAATGGCCTTAATCGTGGATATTCCGGCTGACGCATGTAACTCGGAATTCGCAGCTTCAATGGCAAGATTCCAGATGAAACGAACGTCTGGACACCTTTCTCGTGATAAAAGGGGGTCGTGTTGCCATTGGGTAAGCACATGGGCATACAGGCACGCCAAAAGTGCAGGAGAGATCCTGTGCCTGGAAACTATGTATTGCTCCCGAAAGGAGCTTGCTTCAAGTAGTGGGAGGCAAGGATTGATCTTTCTCAGATATCTAGCCACAACAATTAGTTTTCAAAGCTTCTGCCAGATACCAATAGCAACTTACATGTCTATCAGATGTGGCCCCCACGGCTCTATGAGCTTTTCAATAGTCTGTAGCTTATGCAATGCCGGACTAGAATTCACCATGAGTCCCAGGGGCCTTTTCTGCACCTTCGTGAATATAACCGGAGACGAGGAACTGCCCGGCTCGACGGGCCGAATTTCACGAATTCCCTGGCCACCCGAGATATTAGACAGATAGTCGGCCAAGACATGGTTATCCCCAGTTACAGCCGGGCCGAGAATATGTGGATTATCATCTTCAGCCTCTAGAGACAGCGGTGTATCCTGGTCATTCTGAGTCTGTGTAACAATTGAGAACTGTGGTGAAGCGGCTACCACAGGTGGCCGGCTCAGTGACTGGGCAGCTGCAATTGGCGTTCGTAAAGTCGGATGTGGGAGTAGTGGGCCTGCATCCGTAGCATATCTCTTTTGTGGGGTTGACTTTTCTCTCCCGTTGGGAAATGTACACTCTGTGCCATGTGCACGACACATCAAACAGGCCGCAGTATGGGGCTCTAGTTTGCATCGCGATTTCCTCCGCCGGCATGGTACGCATGCTGGCTTTGTGTGAGACCGGTATGGTCGCTCATCTCCACTTTCCATCTTGTTTGTCAATGTTTCTCGGATAAAGGGGAACCCCGCGGCGGGTTTCCCGCGGCGAAGCCTTGGAGATGTGTGATAAGGTTGATTTTTGTTTTGTGCCAAAGATAGTACGGAGTAATGTTATAAGCTGCAGTCTTTAGCAAGGTACTTTCTCTGGTGTGATTTATCAGGCTTCAAAACCGGCCTTGATTGAATGTGTTGAATCTAATGGTGGTATGATACAAGGTTGCCCGGAATATTGTGGGCCCGGAAATCCTGCATAGAAACGGCCCCGGTCCACGGGTCCACGGGTGTGTATATTGATTAGTCATATTGTGTGTGAGGACTTCCCTTAATCTGGTAGTCAGATTATGGTGTCGTCGAGACTGCTTTTCGTGGCTAGAGGGTTGTCAATTTGACAAGACAAACATTCTTTTTTGGACGTTCTGCTGAGATAAATTTCTCGCAAACCTGCTTCTAACCTAGTATAAGTATTCAGCAATCAACCAACAGTGTTTACCATCAAGCAACTTCTCCTCTCTTCACTCCATAACACGTTCCATTTACAAGCATTCTCTCTGCTTAACAAGAAAGGTCTATGGAATATACCTAATAATTATATCTCCAACTACCACGCGGAGTTGTTGGAAAACATAAATGCAAGTATTGTGTTGGGTGACGTATGCCTGAAGCACCCCATAGGGCCAGCCATGATGAGACAGGCTCTTCAACTAGGTCGTCTCTATCTTCCTTTCGCTCTCTGTCCTTCTTCTCTCATAGGAATCAACACACATTGTTTCTCCATAGCGAGTCCATTGTAGATTCCCACAGGTTATGAGCCCATTTCCGCTAGTTCAGGACTACTAGCAACTCTTTCTCTCACGCTCTATTTACCTACAATCCCACATTGCAGTCCGAGCCGCCTTTTGACGCGTCACAACAGCCAATTATGATTGCAAAGGGAATCCAGCTTCACTATATATTTACCTATCTTTCAGATCGCTAGCATGAAAGACAACGAGAACGATGGAATAACCTCCGACTCAACCAGGTTATCACCGAAGACGAAGACAATGAATCTGACCCGCACATTGTCCTAGTCAACTAAAGTTGCGGCATGCGGCTAGTCATATGTGTGGATATACAGAAGTTCAAGATGTTGGAACACAACTCGAAAATCCCAATGAGATGGGCTATTGTCCTTTGAGACGGGCCTCGAGAAGTAGAAGCGCTTCGGTTTTCATACATGAGAGGTTTCCCTCCTCACCCATGAAGATTTTACTATTTGCTATATATTGCAAACGGTGTTTCATCTGCCCAGGCCTCAAGCCGTCTCTTTATTCTTTGTCCAGCTATTCTGGCAAGGATTTAATTCAACGCTTGATGCAGTGGTGCAAAGATCAAGAAAGTACTTGGTTCGACTTGCTTTCAGCTTACTAAACATCAAGGACATTCGACCTTGTTCTATCAAAACTTCTTTAATCGTTAGAACTAGCTTAGTTGTCTGTTCATTGTCTGCCCTGCTATCCCGGCAGGGATTTAGTCCAACATTCGATGCAGTGGTGCAAATCAAGAAAGCACTCCCAACGATTTGCTCTCGGCTTACTTAACATTAAATGGATTCGACGTTACTCTATCGACACTTCTTTCATCGTTGGAACTGTTTTATCGTGGAGAGATGAGAATCTGGGTATAGATCGTGCCACAGAGCAAACGATGGGTATATTCCTACCGGCGACCTAAGGCTCTACCTACATATTTAATGCACCTTTGTCTCCGCATATGAGGCACCGAGACATGATCGTACCTCAATTGAATTGGTTTATTCTCCTTTACTCTCCCTAGATATCTAGTGATCAGCAGGAGCAAGACCTTTGCTGTGCGCTTTGATCCCTTATAGACTCCTTCTAGACGCCAACATTTAAAGAAATTCACCAGGACTCCGAGATCTGAAATAATCATAGTGTGAACCATGATATTATTTGAAAACACTCCAACGCCCTCTCAATTTGGCAAAGCTCCTGCGGTCGTATGAGTGTGTCTATCATGATGCCATCCCACCGATTTATCAACGCTCACCTGGTGATATCACGTAGCTACATCAGTGGCTATATTTGCTTTCTTTCTTCGATTCAGACCACACTTCAATGTTGTTTGCCAAACTTATCATAACCCCAAAATCTGGAGGAATTGACTACTCCGTAAGAAAGGTACTCGACCTCCAGGGCTTACTTCCAAAGTTGGAAGGTGGGTTGATTAGTCGACGAGGGGCCCACTCTTTCGCGTAACGTGGGGCTCGAACACTCGCCATCATTGGTCGACACCACGTGACTTCTTGATCAATAGCCAGGCAGGTTGTAGGAAGACCCACATCGTATATCCTCAATATTAAACGGCGAAAGAGAAAAAAAAAAGTGCGCTTCTCTTTGATTATGCGTGTCATCCTTAGTGCAGGGGCTATGCTAATCTTCTCTGTATATTTTCATTTGACCATATGCCCCGAAGGGCGAAATATTAAGTCGTTCTGTGCCACATAGCTTCTGTTTCCGGCAGAAAGAGACCGCTTACCGGATTTGTCGTGCTCGCTGTCCACAAGATCGTATCCTAATTTTACTCTCTCCAGAGCTAGGTAGCTTTAAAGCTTTACCTACATTGAGCCTGCTTGCTGCAATAATTAGGGGTAATGAACTCTTCACGTGCATATCTGGAAACGTTTTCAAAGGGTCACTCACTAGGTCATGAGTGATCATACGTACCTCGGCACGATCCACTATTCAGCCCTTGCGGCTCTAGAGGATACCTTGGAAGCTTCGATATAAAAGTCTAATATCCTGATCATATCTTGGTTCAATATGGGAGGTACAGTGAAAACGTGGAGCCAAGCATACCAGCTTCACAGTCACTTTCAACTTTCACGTTTTAGTACATTCGTGCCTCCTCCTCCTCCCCCTCCTCCTCCTCAGCTTTGAAGCTCCCCCTTCTTTCCACAAGCGACAAACCGATCGATGAACCATCCTCAATTCTCCAGCTACTCTGCAGATACATCAACGTTAGTTGAAGATTCAGGGTCCCTCGACGACTAGGAGGAAATCCAATACCCCGATAAGCAAAGCTTATATTCATCGCTCTTACCTTAGGCCTATGCGTGTTGCTTGTGGGGCTAGACAATACAATTACCCTCAGTGTCGTCCACAAGATGGCCGACAACTTACCACGTTAGAAGATGTGGAGTGTCATCCGAGTGCCTACATGCTCACACTGTGTGCCTTTCAGCTGATGTCGGGAAAGCTCTTCACATTCTACGCTGTCAAACGAGTCTATTTGTGTTGATCTTCAAAGTGGGTTATTTCATTTAAGATTGTTCGGCTTAAGTCTAGTGGGCTCGCGGCTGTCCCAAACCGAATTTTCAACTGCAACATCCAACGCTTATGCTTGTTCGACCATTTCATCGTCCCTGGCCTTTTTGTTAGTTATGTTGTACGTATTACATACGTACAGCCTCTTGAGATTTTCATTTCAGCATACTGCAAAGGTCTTCAACCAGATTCCCTTTTGGTTTCAAGCCATCAAGAAGCCACGCCAAACAAGTCTGGAGTCATGACTCTCCTTCCTGTCCAGAGGTACGTAGTCTTCTCGTCTGTGACAGGCGGCCTTACTTCTACATTCGGGTATTGCGTTCAATGGGCCTGTGTGACAGTGATCTTCATGACCATCAGAGCTGGTCTGCAGACGATACTACTCCAGCCACGCAGACTTGATTGGCTATCGAATGATCTTTGGGGCGAGAGTTGACTGCGGCCTACAGACGGCATTCTCCGCATTCTCCGCATTCCAAGCCGCGCTGTCACTGGAAGATATCCCATAGGTACCGCTGTTTTCATATTCAAAGAGAATATCGCCAGTGCGATCTTCGTATTGGTTGCGCAGAACTCGTTCACCAATCAGCTCAAGATAAATACGCCCCGATATGCTGCGGAATTAAAGCCGCTGCAATTACCGTGGCTGATGCAATGTAATCCAAAAGTCAATTGCCGAAGAGTCTGTATGACATTGTGCGTTTCGCTCCCAACAAGCCGCGGGAGCGAACATTATATGTTGGCATCGCCCTTTCTTGCGTTGGGATTCTCCGTGTATTTGGGCTGGAGCGGCTCGCTCCGCAGACTTCAAACTATGCTTCAAATAACATTATATGATTTCTAAACATTATATTACGTGCTTATTCTCCACATATTCGACATAGATTCTGAAAAGGCGCCATACTCTGGAGAAATAAGTAGATAATTGCGCTTGCACGAGACGACTAGCATATGGTATTTTGACGCAATCGAAGGTAATTATGAGCTCAACGGGATATAAAGCGCAAGACAATTCTAGTTCAATTTCACTCAAATTCCAACTCTGTTACTTCTTTACGATAATCAATACAATAGACTCGCAAAATATGGCTCATCTCGAATCCCGCAAGCATATTTCGGCCGACTCGGGATTCCCCATTACGCTTCATCCTCATTTCAACGAGAAAATAAGGAACCATGTGCCACCAGAGCCACTCCGGGAGCCATTTACCCCGCCCAAAGACCGGGCCCTTTTTGCAGATCAGGAGAAAAAGGCATTATTCTCTGTGGCAAAGCAGGTTGATCTGACTGAGTCTATTGGAACTGTTCTTGAGAATGTGCAGTTGTCTGAGTTGAACGAGACCCAATTGGATGAATTGGCACTTCTTGTGAATGAGCGGGGAGTTGTCTTTTTCAGGGATCAAAATCTTACTACCGAGAAACAGGTTGAACTATTTCAGCATTATGGTACGGTCATATGGGGTTTTTGAGTAACGGTATCGAGTTGTTAATATGATCTTGTAGGTATATTGGATAAGCACCCTGCTCAAAAGGTAAGTCAAAATACAAGAACTTCCCAAATTCCAAGTAGATTCAAGTCAGCTAACAGTTAACAGGATCAAAAAGTATAATACCCGTGGACATATATATATATCCATCTATATCATGCCCCCTTGTCATAGTTACTAACCTTGGAACCCATGAAGTTTGTCAGTATCAAAGGCAGTCGCGAGGATCACCGTGAGATTCTTAACTACACTCCCTGGGTACGATATTTTTGATCCCATCGAAAACCAATCTAACATATTCTACTTCTTTAGCCCAGTGGAGATTTCCACGCCGATACATCATTTGAGATTAATCGTATGTATCAAACCGTGCTCTCTGATCATAAATTACTAACATATCACAGCACCTACCTACTCCCTACTAAGAATGGAAGAGCACCCTGAAGTCGGCGGTGACACAGCCTGGGTATGTTGCAGATCTAGATCTCACTCAACCCCAGATTCTGATTTCATAGGTATCTCAATATGGCACTTATGACGCCCTAAGCGACGCGTACAAAAGGTTCCTCGACGGCCTTCACGCCGTTCATACCTCGAGGCTACAGTGTATGTCTCCTTACAGTGTCTTTCTTCAGTAGTAAGTTTGTTAATCAATTGACTACATAGATGACACTATTCTTGATCTATGGGGTGCAGCTCCCAATCGCCCTCCGATTGATACACACCACCCCGCCGTGCGCACGCACCCAGTTACTAAATTGAAGGCACTGAATGTCAATCCCGGATTTGTGACTGGGTTCGCTGAGCTCAAGAAGGCAGAGTCCGGTAGGTAAAATATTCAACGAATCGGTTTGTCGCTTAGGGCTGACGTCTGTTTAGACAAAATTCTCGATTTCTTGGCATATCATATCCACTCAGCTGATGATCACTCTGTTCGTTGGAAATGGGCTGTTGGTAGTGTTGCTATGTGGGATAATCGGTAACTATACACCCATATTTTTACTACTAGAGCGGGGAACTGATACGCTCTTAGTTGTACGCTTCACCGCGTTATCCCTGGTACATACAAAGGAGCTAGACGGGGTATTCGGACTACTGTTTTTGGTGAAATACGTGAGTGCTCTTATTAAAATATCTGGAAATCTATTCTACATATTTTTGCTAATCTCATACCGAAGCCTATCTCGACCCTACTAGTGAGAGCCGCGCCGAGCGTAAATTACGTGAGGAGAGACAGGATGATGAGGGTGTTCTGGTAGTTTGACAGATGTGTGAAGAACGTGCTATTATTCACAGACGATAGGCGTCTTATTTAGTCCCGAACTAAACTTTGTTCCAATGACCAGAGTGCCTTTGTATTGAATTCAAACCCTTGTCATAACTATATTACGTACTTTTTGCGAAGTGGACGATTCATCGAGTACTTCACGATTTCAAGACGTAGATGATGAATTAAGGATAATACTAAAATAGAATAATAATAAGATAGGATAATAGTACAATCGAATCGAAGCAAAATAGGTAGCGGTGATCATGATGAAGATAGTTGTAGAGAAAATGTTTAACAGAACGAGCTTTTTGCGGTGGGACATTCGTGTTTCCCGTAGCACGAGGAAGGGAATTGACAAGACTTGAATCAAGAATCGATTATATCGATAAGTTGGAATAATAGCTTTAATATCCTGGCGGATTGCAATAAACTCACTCATCAAGTCGGTGATAACGTCCTCGGCACAGTTGGACCAGATCATGCAATTCTCATAATGAATGTGACCAAGCTGAGGACATTGAGCTGCAAAGTTTAGTATCACCAACTACATTTGAGTCGACTTGTTCTTACTTATGAGATATTTCAGCCCCCCCCCCCCCCCCCCCTTTCCCTTCCCCAAAAATGCATTTTTGTATACTCGGGCCGCTGGTATGTGCATTGCAGAACTTTCGACCACTGTCGAGAAGAATGACTTCTCCCGCATATGGGAGCAGGGATCCTGAATTATTCGCGTATTAACAACCACACATCAAGGGACCATATGATATACTCACAAGTATGAGTCACAAGAATCACGGTTGTAATTATCCGTCGGAAGATCCCATCACGCCCAAATAGACGCTCACTAACGAGACGAGTTTTGTGCGTGCTATTCTCTCACTACTCGCCGCTTTTTTCCGCCGCTGAGAGCTATTCCACTACTTCCAGCAATGTGCATGCTTCCTTAAGGGAATTTTTTGATATCGTCCACGAGCCCACAAGCCGAGATGGTAATATCATACCATTTCTGATCTAATACCGGATGCATACCTCTGTGGTGAACTTAGTGGCTACCGCGAAACTCTCGACCTTAATATGTATCTAGGAAGATGGGATGTGTTCTCTAGGTTTCACCATGGCAAACAAACCGTATATACTGCGACATCTCGTATAGACGGGCACCACCCTATACGTTAATAGGCAATATCCCGAAACGACTAGATGCCACCGTAAATGTACTAGCGGCGGCCGACAACCCCCGACAGGTCCACACCAATCTCTGCCCATCCCCATCAACCCGCCACCCCCGCTGTTAATTTCATTGAAGCAATCATGCCAGCGGCCGCCACTTTGAAGTCTTTGAATGTATGCGCAAACTGCAAGGCTCGCAAGAAACGATGTGACAAGTCTCTGCCGCGCTGTCGCTACTGTGCTGAGTATCATGCTGCTTCTACTCCAACCGAGGGTTGGAATATCCGCCGCTGACCCAGAACCCCCTTTAGCTATGATCTACCCTGTCTGTATCAGACCTTGAATCATAGTCCGCGACATCGAGCAATCGCAGGTTCTGCCCTTGCATCCGCAGCCAGTCATCAGTCCCAAAGCGGCGTCTGGAAAAACGCTAGCGCTCTACAAGCTAATAACCCTGTCAGTGCATCAACACAATTACTTTTCGACAGCCTCACATACAGCGCGCACATTCCAGGCGGGGCTCCAGTCTCAACGATCGAGTTCACAATATGCGTCCAGGCTCAGCGGTTACTCGAAACTACCGGGCTTTATCTTGATGAAATCAGTGTCCGATACTTCCAGGGTGTTCATACATTCGTACCAATTATCTCCCGACGGCGATTCCACGCCCAACTGCTTTCTTTTGGGACCAATCTCCAGGCTGACTTCGCCTTACTCGTTCTATGCATAGCATTACTTGTCTCCTCCGCAGACTCTTTCGATCTCCTGGGGCCGCAAGGGGGCCACCGTGTCGAACATATGACGCTCTACGTTGCCGCTAAATCCCTTATGGCCCAGGCACAAGCACTCCACGCGCCCACAACCAGCCTTGTTCAAGCTGGCGTGTTGCTAGCGGTTTACGAGTATGCCCATGGTCATCCGGAGCAAGCTTTCGTGACGATCGGAAGCTATGCGCGGATGGCGTATGCAGCCCAGCTACGATCCACCCCTACTCTGACCAGAAATTCTCCGCCGCAGGCTGATTGGACCATAGAAGAAGAGGAAATTAATACCTGGTGGGGAATCCGGATATGTGAGCGGTACGTACTTCGTCCTCTTCACACCCCATGAGACCATTGGCTGACGCCGGCATAGAGCGTTCCTTTGTGAATTAGCGACTTTGGATCAGCCATTGGGCTCCGTTATACCCGCCCAGGATGATTGTCTACCGCTCGATCCCACCATTTTAGACCAGAGGAATCCTGCAGTGGCGCTCGCATCTCGCATCGCGATCAAGGCCCTGAACTCTCCCGGGGTTGGCGGCTTCGGGCGCAGCGCTCAAGCGGCATGGCTCCTGGATGGAGTGCTGCTGGGTTTATCTATGACGGATCCGGACCAGAAACACGCATATTTAAGTGAATGTGACCGAAAACTGCAGTCCTTTCTGGCTGTCTTGATGCAGCAGCATGGGGGCAACTATGGAATTTTCTGTGTCCCAATCGCTCTAACGATCCGGTCTGTCCCTCCCCAATATTCTGATTTTGTCGCTCAAAATAACCGATCTAATTTGACGGGAACGCATAGTGCATTGTTTCTTCTTCATTGGCACCTCCTCGGCTCACACGGTCGAGACTTCCCGAGGGCCTATGACTCGAGCAATAGTTCCCACCAGGCCCTGGATACAATTACGAAAATGGTCATTGACATTGCCGCCACGCACGAAAACCTCCCCTTCAGTCAAATCGATCACTTTCCCCCCAGCTGTCTGTATATTAATCGAGCAGCGCTGAAACATATCTATGAGTATCAGTCAGTGACCGCGGATCATCGGCTGCAAACTTCGCTCAGTCAATTCGAAGCGCGTTGGGGCGCATCGCCAAGTGTGCCTGGAAGATCCCAGGCGTTTCAGGCATAAGGGTCAGCAATGGAGCGAGAGGAGGCATAATATAGAGATCATAGTACGAGTAGACACGTGAGTAAATAGAGGGGAAATCTTTGCTCTGTAATTCTCATCGTTTCGCCTGGGCAGTACAATATCTCCAACAATCGGCTTGTTTTATTTCATACAACTTTTACTAGGCTATGATGCTTACAAGCAAAACACCCACAAAGATCAATTCAAGGCAGCAGCCCTGAAAAGTCAGGTATTCAGATCTTTGCCGTTATACACCTTCGTACATGGATCATCGATCGGACGCAATACCCGCCGTCGGCCGCCGCTAAAAATCCAAATCGAACCAAGAAGAAATAAAACATAAAGCCAGCAACGCCCGCTGGAGACCCACAACGGATACAACTGGATCTGCATAATATAATACGTTAGTCGAAGATAGTGCTTACTGCCTCCGAAAGCCCGCACTTCCCCTGCGGCTGCACCGACGAAGCCCCTCATTGACAAACGATGCTCGGTTGGCAAGATCAGTCCAGGATTTTGATTATCCAGGCCTATAGATGCAGATTGCCTGTTTATCCCTTACAGAAGAAGATCTAAGCAAGTAAGCACCAGGTGGCATTGTTGTAAATATTCAAGACATCTCCACACTACTATACCCCACGATCATGAAGCTAGAGCAATCTGAAATATTCCTCAACTTCCATCGAGATTGCAATCATTACGAGTCCCAGTAGACAGTACACCCACTGTGAGCTTAATAGGTACTGTTCATGACGGATAAGCGGCCACCGTCGGTGGTGAGGATCAATCCGTTCGAGTAGCTGCCTGCCCGACTCGTCAAAAATAAAATGGCACCGGCCATTTCCTCATCCCCTCCGAAACGGCGAGCTGGGATGAAGCGATCATCGTGAGTGGCCTCTTCCTCGGGCTTGCGGCTTGAAATTAGGACCGCTGCCAGGTCCGAAGGGTAGACTAAATCGCACACATTAGTACAGAAGTTAATGCATGAGTAAGAAGGAAGAACATACCGCGAGGAGCAATGGCATTGACACGAATGCCAAACCGGGCCAGCTGTGTACTGGCATGCTTGGCCACTTGCATGATGGCCACCTTGCTGGTCAGATACGGGGGTGACGAGGTCCAGTGACGGCTGAAGGCCGAGATACTCGTCGTGAAGATGACTTGGCTCTGGATCGAGGGCACATCGCTGCCCTTGTCCAGGGGCTTGCCGAACCCGCCCTTAAGAGCATTCTGCGTCCCCGCGTCGAGCAATTCGAGGAAGGCAGTCATTGTGAAGAAGGCAGCTGTAACATTGAGATTGAGGGCATCATTCATACCATCCATTGATAAATCAGTGAATAGGGATTGACGCAAGTCAGGCAGAGAGGCCGCAGGGTTGAACCGCACGGGGGGTCCGATGCTTCCAGAATTGGCGACAACAAGGTTAACATAGCCCACTTCCAACTTGACTCGATCCACGGCTTCCTGAAGATCCTGTTTGCAGGTCACATCTGTTTGGTGGGGGATTATAACATCAGGATATTCGGCAGCGGCCTTCTTGAGAACCTCCAGCCGACGGCCCAGAATGTAGATCTTGTGGGCACCATTGGCAGCCAGGGCACGGGTCATACTCAGGCCAATTCCTGCGAAATGACATGAGGATGACTGATACAATGAAGAGGGTGGGATGAAGAAAACGTACCGCTGCCACCGCCGGTAATAACGGCCACAATGCCATCCACCCGGAAGATGTTGCTGGAGTCCACGGATGCAGTCATGTTTGTTCTAGCAAGTGAAATGTTGGAAAATGGGATAAGTCTGACAAATATCCAAAAAATATTAGGGATGCGTGTAAATGTCTGGATTTTTATTTCTATCTAACGGAGAACCTTATATATGTATTACATCCACTGTATCAGGAGATCAACACCTAGAAGTCACACATTGAGGATAGGAGCAAGACTGAGAAGCATTCTGACAAATGAGACAAATAGATCAAAGACTTCAGAATCGTCTTTTTCTTCCGACAAGGCGGCCGCCCTGGCGATGGCGCGGCCGACGCTAGAGCCGTTGGCAATTTGGTCTATGCTGCAATCGCTATCTAACAGTGAATCCCTGTCCATCGTTACATTTCTTGTCTCCGCCTCATCGCATGTCCCTCCGTGCTAGCTAGTAATATATGACGGAGATATAGCAAATAGACTTCGGGCTTTTGCTGTCTCAACCTCCCCTGCATCTCGGTCCAAATCAATCTCAGCCTTTATCGACCCGTTGGATTACTTTCTTCTTATTCCACCGGTCCAATTATGAATTCCCCGACAGATATAGACCTTAACGAGGCTTATCAGTGAACGGAATCTTTCAAGAGGATGTCTCCCTACCCGAAGGTAAGAGATGTGCATTGCAATTTGCAACCAGGAGGTTTTGACTGATATTCCCGGCTGCGGTTTTGCTTGGTATGAAAATGAAAATCTGCGAAGCAGAGAAAGTAACCTGCGTCAAAATGTCCGCTGCTACAGTCTCCGACCATACGCAGCATCTCCCCCTAATTTATGCCTTCATGGTGGCGGAAACAACGCTCGCATCTTTTGCGCACAAGATCGAGGATTGGGGGCCCAGTTAAGATCGGACCTTCGCCTCGTCTTCGCACAACCACCCTTTCCATCTGATGCGGGATTCGATGTTCTTGCGGTTTACAGCCGATGGGGTCCCTTTCGGCGGTGGTGGCTACGGGGGCGACCCGAGCATCTATTCCTGTCACCGTTCGAGATCATCCGTGCAATTGACGATACCCCTGAAGATGCAATACCCCGCGATGATGAGGAAGGTGAAACGGGGGAGTGGGTGGCCCTGCTGGGGTTCAGTTAAGGCGCCAAGGTCTCGGCCAGTTTCCTTGACCGACAGCTGGACTTATGTGACCCACATACAGTAGTCGCCGGGTCATTGCATGGGATGCCCTATGGGCCCCCATTATAGCCCATTTAGGGGGTTCAACTAGCATCTTGTAATCGCTGTATTCTGATCCTTCTACTAGCTCTACGGAGTACATATAAGTTTAGACTTAGAATTTCAATTGCTATACAAGTATAGATCCTAAATTTGAATTAAATCTGACTAGGGGAGGTTGAGAAAAGGTTAGTATATATTTTAACATTGGATATATATTTAGGACCTACATGGAAGTACAACAACTTCCCAGGTGAACCTCTATAATTCAAAACTTGTTTAAATAACGCGTTTTCTCACGTGTTCAGAAGTAGTTTATAGTTAGACTCGACTACTATTAATAATATATCAGTTAAAATACTAAAATATTACCTTAAAATAAAGGCTTAAAACGGGTTCTAAATATAAGGTAATTCAAAAAGTCACGTTTCTTAGAATGTTTGTATTGTTTGGTGCTTAATGGGCCTTATTGGGTCCTCATTTAGAGCCCAGTAAACTTTCACCCCGGGCCTATAGCCCACCGGTGGGCCTGAGGACCGGGCCCAAACTTCAGCCCTTTAGTGGGCCCGGGTCGGGTCGGGTTTCGGGCTTTTCGAGCTTTGCGGATGTCTACTCCTAATTGTAGTCGTAAAGGCTTCTTTTGTGAAAATGCCTCGGTCGGATCCTATCCCCCGAGTCTCCTTTGTATTGGTTTTCTCAGTTCTTTGGCGGTTTGTACGTACATCTACTACGGTACACCGAGGTATTTAGCGGTATCAGTTGGTGTAAAAATTGTTGGTGCTGCATCTCTAGGTATTGTAACTAGCATACCATCACGACCCGATTGGTCATCTGGTACTTCCCCGATATCGGTTTCCTGGACCGGTTGTGTCGTGATTGTGTTGTTGTTCAATCGCATCAGATTGTCGTCCGGTCGCATCGCATTTTGGGCCGGTCGCATCGCATCGGATCTGGTTGGTGAAGTGGGGGGTGGGGGTAGCGTGGGGTAGCGTGGGGTTTCGTCTTATCGCATCGTCTTCGAAGCTGAGACCTATAGTCTCTACGCCGAAGCCTGACTTGATTTCTTACAATTTCTCGACATTGTATTAGTAGCTGCATTCGTAAGGTTATTCATGTTGCTAATTCCGTTGATCAGTGAATATTTTCATATTTGTATAGCTCTATATGTATCTTGTATTAGCTTTGGCAGATCTGTATATCGAAAACCTAGTTTCCTAATGTGACGATGTGGCGTGGTTTGGGGTCAATAATTGGGAAGCTACAGCATGCCGACTATAGCCGACGGGCCCCCTCGTTTATTCCCATTAACCGAACACCCTTATATTCATGAGCGTGGCGAGCGACGTTACCTTACTGCTAGATTCACCATGACCGGAATATCCAACGCAGATCAACGCCCTACCCGGCCCAACAAGTCCCAGAACGAAGAGGCACCCTCAATGGAATCACTCAAAAGTCTCGAGGAGTTCGAATCTTTCTCCACAAAACACCTAAGCAAAAGGGCTTGGTCCTTCAACTATGCAGGCGCTGGAGACCTGATCTCCAAAAGGTTGGACCAAGAGGTCTACCGCTCAATCCTCCTCCGGCCACGCGTGCTCGTCAACGTCAAAGAATGCGACCTGTCAACAACAATCATCGGCCAGAAAGTCGGGCTACCTATTTTCGTATCGCCGATGGCAATGGCCCGGTTAGCGCACCCAGCAGGCGAGGCTGGCATTTCAGCCGCATGTGGAGTGCTTGGTGCCATGCATATGATCTCGAATAATGCGTCGATGACTCCCGAGGAGGTTGTCGCGGCAGCCACGCCTGAGCAGGTCTTTGGGTTCCAACTTTATGTCCAGACAGATCGCACTGAGAGTGAGGCTGTCCTGGCGAGGATCAATAAGATACCCGCGATTCAGAGCATTATCCTCACCGTCGACGAGCCCATCCCAGTGAAGCACGAGCTCGGACCGAGAGGATTCGAACTGTACAACGATGCGCAGATCGAGGTCGCAAGTCAACAAAGGGAGGCATCCCCACCAAGCACAGAAGTTAGAGTGGCTATCCCATCAGTCTCCGGAGCGGCTGCTGATGCCGAATGGGAGAGTACGCTACAATGGATCGCGAAACACACCTCGCTACCGATAATCATAAAAGGAATTCAGACTTACGAGGATGCTCAAGTCGCTGCGACATATCCTCAAGTAAAAGGCATTGTCCTGTCGAACCACGGGGGACGTGTCATTGATACTGCGCCGCCAGCTATTCACACCCTACTCGAAATTCGCAAATACTGCCCAGAGCTTCTGGAGAAGTTGGACATTATGGTCGATGGGGGTATTCGACGCGGGACAGATGTTGTAAAAGCGTTGTGCCTGGGTGCGAGGGCAGTGGGCATTGGGCGACCAGTGTTCTGGGGCCTTGGTGCCGGAGGTGTAGCTGGGGTTGAGAAGATGCTTCAGAGTAAGTGCATCATCTCCGCGCCTAGCGTAGGCAGTGTGTGTAGTGATGCTGACTTTTTTCCTTTTTCTTCAACAGTTTTAGCAGAGGAGACGAGGACCTGCATGGGCCTGTTAGGTGTGCGGAGAGTCGCGGATCTGGGAATGCGCCATGTAAGTCGCCTTTGGTCACAACTTTTCTCGGGGCCAACGCTAATTTTGCAGGTTAATGCGAAGATTGTGGAGCAGCAGATTTATCAAGGGGACTCGGTTTGAGAAAGGCTTGAAAAAGAAAGCAGCACTAAAGTGTAGCTGCAATATATTTCCCCTGTATATCGCCATTCTTCTTCCATCCTAGTATCTGATATAGCTCGCCCAGGTCCATAGAGTATTTCAGTACGTTCGCCGACCGATCTTAGTAGATGTATAAAAACTCATTCTCTTTATCCGAAGCTTATCGGATACGCGCTTGCGAAATGGGGCGATTATCCCGCGTTGATAGACGGAGAGTCAGGCCAGGAGATTCCTGGCTACACAAACATCGCGCAGACCGAAGAAGCCCAGACGCTTGCGTATGATGAGACAAATGGCTACAAGGAAGAGCCTGTCGAAGCGTCAAGAAAAGACTTTTATGTATGCCGGGGATGTAAATGCTTTGTAACAACAGAGATTCGACCAAAAACTGTGGCTGCATCAAACAAATGGGAGATTATTGTGATCTGGCGGCGGGCTGTCATTTGATATCAATGATATCAAACTCGATTCCTGTAATTGCGGCAAATATGAGCTGGGGAAACGGACATCCATGATGATTACCAGGCCCACTTGGTAGGGTCTTTCTCCCAACCGGACTTTCTGGGTGGCCTAGTTAAACGCCAGAAGACAAAGGTCATATCGGAAAATTTCTCGTCGGGATCGAAGCGGTCGGGGTCTCGGAAACCGGCAATGTGCCTAAAGATAGTTAGCATATTCTGTTTTGTAATAGGTCTATATCGTATATCACATACATATCCCCGGTTGACTCGTCGTAGATAATATTCTGCAAAAGAGGGAGCCCTGGATACCATCCATGACGCTTCAACTCCCTTAGGTTTGTCAGTTTCACTCTTCACACGCTGAAGGATTCTGTAAATATACTCCCAGATATGGCGGAACTTCGTACGGACGGCCTCGCGTAACCGCGCCGATTCAGGCCTCCAGAACTGATCCGTATCAAGTGGCTTCCCGCTGACCATTTCCCACACAATATTTGTTATATAGCCGTCTGGAACCAGGCCGTCCTTGCCTTGCTTTCCTTCTTTGTGGGCGAGGAGAGCTGGGACCACGGTACAGTGTTGTTTACTGAGATCCTTCAAAGCTTGTAGCTCTAAATGCTGACGGGGTGGAGCTGCCTGTTGTTGTCGAAGCCGGGGGAGCTGGAACTCTGTTCCGGGGTTGGGAATCTGAAAGTAAATTCTCATGAATGCCTTCTTGCTACTGTCTGTCGCACTGTAGCAGAGGTATTTGAACACGGCGAAGGAAGGTCCACCACCCAACTCGAGTTCACGGATGGTAACTCTTTGGAAATCCTTTGGTGAGCTTCTCCTCGAGAACCCACTTCTGAGGCGAGGGAGTGGTGAAGGTCACTTGTGTGCCTAAGCAAAGATCTGAATATCCCATGATAGACATGTTGGTGTGGATATTTGATGACAAGAGTGCAAAAAGAAAGAGGAAAAACTGATTAGAGATCAAAGTTCATGAGTAGAGTAGAAAATAAGAAGGTGAAGACGTAACAATGACTTTGTTGGGTTCTCAGCCTCGTGGATCAGGCACCAAAAATTTATAGTGGTATTCAGTCACGGTATTCAGGGCGGCAAGAGGGGATTTCCAGCCAATTTAGCAAAAATACACAGCAAAAAAGCAAAAACATACAACAGTGAGGATTCGCTGGTGGTCACCCACCCAACTACTAACTCACCGGCGTGTGGCTTAAGTACGGCTGAGCGGACGGGAAGCCCTGTTTTCCACACCCTATGGTCGTATGTATAAGGTTATGAACAGAAGAGATATATACAGCGAGAGGGTTAGTGGTAGGGTGCTAAAAAGAGTATGCCTAGTAATATATTCCTCAAGTGAGTAGTCCATCTCGAAACATATAGCAAATAAGACATTTTATGACCTCACATCTCGACAATCACATTATTTGATATCATTATCATTCCATGGCTATTGACAAAACTTTTAAACATGATATATCAATTTTCAGAAGATCGAAAAGTTGCGTTATCATAGTATTAAAAATTACATTGCACAGAGCTCAAGATGTAGCAATCACATAATCAGGAATCTTCGAAACTTCACAGGGATGCTAGATATCATCTAAATAGCGGTGAGATATCCAGAAGAATCTATATAGACTACCATTTTTGGGATATTGAGTTGTACTTATCGTATTTACTATGCATCTTGGGATGAATTACTCACTTGTGGAATTGACTAGGATAAACAATTTATAAAAAGACTGGATTCCTCTAACTAAAGCATCAAAGAGGCAAAAACGCGAACTGTTCTTCACCTGAGCTTTTAACAATCGCCCAATACGGGGATCGATCTTGCTGAACATGGCAATGATAGCACCCTTGGGCTGATTAGGCAAATCTTCCAAAGCCCCCGACCCAAGGTCCCCAGAAAGGGTGAACCTAAGAATCATCAGAAAATCAATCAACACTTTCTTCAATGACTTCCTTAATATGTAGTGAGGGAAGTCTAGGGGCCTTTGCGGATACTATGGAAGCCCTTGCAGAGGGGTTACTAGACCCACTTGATCGGAGAGGAGACAGCGCAGTCTGATAGCCTTGGAGTATCATGAACGCTATCATATTAGCGATGGCACCCCAGCCATCGCGGCTGACTTGATAGGCCACTACAGACCATTTGGCTGTGTTATTGAGCCGGAAGAAGTAAAACCAATGCCCATCGCTTAGGGCACCCCACACAGTGCTATCTGACTGGCCTCGAGCCTTTCGACTGGCCTGTACCATTGCCATATACGCCAATAGTTGGCCTTGACCACTTGCAGCATTGCGATCTTGTTTCGCCTCCAAAATAACCAAGTGGCACGCCATATGATTATGGTTTCCTAGGAATAGACTGTAGTCGGCTTTGCCGACGCACTTGTAGGGCTTGCTGAGATATTTGACCGGCCCCCATTCGAGCGATGTTTCAAATTGCAGAGTGGCCTTCCGGTCCTCTTCCAAAAAACCACGGTATTGCAGATCTTCATAGACAGCGTGGAGTAGTACATCTATTTTGCACCGCGAGCGGGCTTCAGTTGGCTTGGAGGATCTAGTGAAATCCTCAAATGTATTAATCCAACTTTCTGTAAGTAGATATTAGTTAGTATTACAAACCAGACTGTAGGACATGAGGTTAGGAGGCTTTAGGTACCAAAACCCGATCCAAGTTGAACGAACTCCCGTGAAAACTGCCAAGTTTCATATCCCTGCACCTCACTCAAACCAAAAAAGTCGTTTACATCGGTCGGTGTCATGTCTGAGGCCGAGACAGTGAACATTTCCGGCTCGCGAGGGGGTTTGGCAATGAAGTCCTTCAACTTGTTTGTGTTGACCTCGGATGAGTTCGCAAGTTTGTTTAATCGGCCCCACCATGTTTTCCAAGATGTGGGTATATTCGCTAGGGAGGGCATTTTGATATAGAATAATAGAATGGAGTTTCTCAATGTAGAATGAAAGGGGGCTGTGGGAATCTGAGAATAAATTTGTAGAAGTCGAAAATCGCTCACCTAGGTAATACTTCAACTGTCGTCACTATTACCAAGGGCAAATACATCGACCGAAGCTTAAATAGGAACTTCGTCGGAGCCTTTGGGTATTCGGACTACTGGTTTCCATTAAAAAATAGTCGTCTCATTTATTTCTGTATTAAATTTTGTTCTAATGGTGAGGGTGGTTTTGTGTTGAATTCAAACCCCAGTCGTAACTATATTAAGTAATTTTGTGCGAAGTGGACAATTCATCGAGTCCAACTTACTTGGAGGCAGCTACTTCAGAAACAGCAGCCTCCGAAACAACAAACGTCTCCTTGTCAGACAGACTGACTCTCTTCTGCTCCTCGTCTTGAGCTTGAGGCAGCTCAGCGGTCTCCTTGTCATGTTCGATAGGAACGTGGGTGCTGACAACGAGCCAAGTAGGCCAGATGGACAGGACTAGAGATGAAAGTTAGTATTGTTTCTTTGCAATCACTCAGTGTGGGTCACTTACCAAGAAGGATGGTGTTGACAATAAGTGGCACCCTGCCGCCATGCCATTTCTTCGAGTTGAGGCCGTAAGAGACAGCCTGTGAAAAGCTCTCTTGGCCGCGTAGGATACCGGATAAACGGGCTACGTTTTATTAGGAATCTGTAGATAAGAAAATCGGGTTGGATTCGACTTACAGAGCTCGGAGATGTTGTCGGTCATCGTGGAGAGGAAGTAGTAGAGGAAGTTTTGCAGTGACTGCTGAGCGAATTCTGATGAAAGAAATGTTAGGGCTGTGTTGGAATATTGGCTTCTTGAAGAGACTCACCCCAGAGCAGGACAACGAAGAATCCCTCAACGAAGCCTTTGTCGGCCCAATCAAGAGTTGGTGGGTTCTTGGTATACTTTTCCTGGATAACCCAGCAGTAGACCCAGGCAGTGATGTGGACGACGATCACGTAGAAAAAGCTGTGATGATTGTTAGTCTTGCTTTTAGCTTTGACGATAAATGACGAGATGCCGTACCTGTACTTGAGTCTGTTTCTGATGGAAAGACCGCGGTAGTCCAGGAACTTGCTGATAATTGTCGAGGCAAGAAGAGTGGAGAAGTAGGCTTTGGTCTATGTTAGCACTGATGCACAAAGTTCAAGATGGTGCGAGTGTGTAAACATACTGACGAATCCCATCAGAGCACGGGCGCGCACGCCGAAGTAGTAGGTTTTGAAATCTAGGTGAAACAATGAGCATTTGCAAATAGTGAACACGAAAGAGATAATCCATACTTCCAGTGTACATGTTGAAGTAGACGGCCCAGAAAACAGGCAGGAGCAGCATAATCTAGGGAAGTTAGTCACATATATCATGTGGGAATGGATGAAACAATGTTCAACACACCTCTCTGCGCCGGCAGACCTTCCAGAGCTCTTTCATCTCAGCCTGCCATGAGTCTTGCACAATCAACTTGACTTGACTACCGTCGGTGCGTTGGACCTTGTCGGGCGACGTGAGGAAGTAGGCAATAGGCAATGCAGTACATTGGAGCGCGATGAAAATGAGGTATGTCTCTGTTTTTTGTTAGCGATCATTCTGGCTGTTCAAATATATGTTGGATCAACTTACCAGATCCCACTTTTCCTTTGGCATGGGCATTGGCAGCACTTTTAATGCGTCAGTATAATTCATTCATCATATGAATTCGAATTAAACATACCTGTTGAGGCCAAGGACAATAGCACCTCCAACCAACGGTCCACCTGTACGGAACCAAAGCCAAATGCTGTTGAAGTCAGTCATTTGTTACTGTAGGATATTTCGAAGCCTCTCACTTCATGTATTTGCCTCGCTTTGTAGGCTCGGGATAACCCAGTGCCACGGCACCCTCACAAGCCCAGAAGAGACCAGCGCTATAAAGGTTAGCCGATGATCTTATTTCATTTGATCAGTGCAGAATACTCACGATAAACCATTGATAGCTGATCCAACTAGCACAAACCATACATTTCCCTAGATAGGAATTAGTTTTCATTCCCGAATCGTACGGGTAGTTCCAATGTTGACAGAAAACATACATAAACGTTATTTGTGTACAAAGCAGCGCTGTATATCAAAGTCAGTTCGAACTCCACAAGATTTCATATTCTGGACTCGTGATACGTACGAGTACAACGGGTATCCCACGGTGCCAAGCATCAGAGTCCATCTCAGCCCAAGGCGGTTAGCGATAGGGCCACCGAACAGACATAAAAATCCCACTAGCAAATAAGTTAGCGCGAAGCCCAATTGAAAATTTGCAGTGCGATTGCAGCAACGTGTCAACATACTAAGACCGAAAACAAGCGCATTGGCCGCATTAATCAAGAAAGGCTCCTGTGCGCCACCAGCTCCCAAAGCATTCATGGCATTCCATAAACCCGGGGCTGTGAATCCAGCGCTTCCAATAACACAGGCATTGAAGAGTGTGCTGCGATACCATAGTCGCTTTTCAGTTGGGGCACCGGAAGATGCCGAAATAGAAGCTCGTTCAGCCATTATTGCGGTGTGGCTGAAGGATATTAAGCACCTTGATTCAAGCCACGAAATTTTAAATTTTTTAAACCCTGAGCTTAACGTTAAATGGGAAACCCGCCATATATAACATTTTCCCTGAATATATTAAATGTCGATCTGAAGATTTTCAAATGTCGCATATAGGCCGATTCGCGTCCGTCTAACAACATTGCGTGCTTTTGAGCTGCCGAGATCTTTCCCTTTTGGACTAGCTTTGGATGCCAAGTTTAAGTCTACATAATGCAGCCAATCAGCGGTGCGGCGGGCGGTTAATTATGGGGAATAAGGTTTAGTGGAGAGCCGTGAGTCAAATGTCGCTTCAATTGCCGCGATATCGGATTGGGAATTTGGAGCAGCGGAGGTCTTGGCCTTGATAACGAGCTGAAAATTGAGTAACATATGGCGACAGAGCCAGCCTAGACAAATAGAATAGAAAAATTTTATTATCATATGAAAAAGTCGTTACGTTTTGAACATCCTTCGCAGAACTTAATTTCCAGACACCTCCTTAACCGCGGCGATAATATCACCCGGTCCAAGGCCTTGAGCATTGACTTGCTCATATAGGCCACCACAGCCCTCCTTGATAGCACCCATGGCCTTGAACTTGGGTGTGAACTTGCGCTCAAGGAGGTGGGTACCCAGTCGAGAGCCAAGACCAGTCTTCTGTGCAATCGACTCAACAACTAGGACGAATGGTGAGGATCCATAAACCTTAATGGTTTCCTCGTCGACAATGTTGAGAGTAGGCTTGTTGATTAGACCGACATCGAGGCCCTCTGCACGCAGGTTCTCAACGGCATCAAGTGAGCGGTAGAGCATATCACCGTACGAGACGATGTAACCAGCAGACCCCTTGCGGATGATTTCTTCCTTGCCAGGAACGAATTTGTAGCCCTCACCGAAGAGCTTCTGGTCGGTTCCTTCCTTGAGGATGTAAGGGACCTTGGAACGAGTGGAGAAGATGAAGCGCATGCCCTTCTTCCAGAACACCTCGTTGACTACGGCCTTCATCTGCTCGCCATCGGCGGGGAAGTAGAGCGCAGTGCTCGCGGCATCCATCAGACCATTGTCGGCGAAGAAGTGGTTCAGACCGAAATGGCAGGTATTGTCGGCCATCTCGTCGACACCACTGTGAGAGAAGTGCGATAGAACGGTGCAGTCGTTCAGACGAGCCATGGTGATCTCAGAGATGCACATCTCCAAGAAGGCAGAGAAGGTAGAGAAGACACCTTGGCGCTCTCCATTGCTGCCGAATCCAAAGCCAGCGGCAGCAGAGAAATTGCCGCGCTCCATGACTCCAGATGGGACGAAGGACTCGGGGTGCTTGGCGCCGATAGCCTTCAGGCCAGTGGAACCTGCCAAGTCGGAGTCGATAACCATGACGCGACGCTTAGCCTCCTCCTTGCTCAGTTTATCGAGAATCTCATTCACGGCATCGCCGAAAATGGTGCGGTTCGCACCCTTATCCTTGGTCGAACCCTTGTACGTGTGGGGATTTGTGCCAGGCTTGATATCGTCGTAGAAAGCAAGCTGCTCCTTGCTGTACCCGCGCTTGGTAAGGTATTTGCGGGCGATTTCGACGGGAATCACATCGTGCGCGTGGCATTCTCCCTCAATGCCCTCAATGCCAGCGGCCATCTTGCGATCAACAACAACAGCGGCGGGACCGTCGTAGTTGATTACTTCGCACATAGCGCCGTATAGGGAGTCGAGGTTCTCGCCCTCGGCGCGGATGACCTTCAGGCCATGTCCGTCAAGAGTCCGAGCAACCTCATAGCCCTTGAGGTATTCCGAGGGATGTCCGGCAATTGTGACATCGTTGTTATCGATGAAGATCTTAACGTTCAGGTTATTGCCGACCGCAATGCGCGCAGCCTCGGCGTCATTTCCTTCTTGCTGGGATCCATCAGATCCCAACATAATCACGTTCTTATCCCGGTTGGCCATGGCAATGCCATTGACCATACCCCACATGTGACCCAGACGACCGGAGCTGAACTTGATGCCGGGGGTGAAGCCGAGCTCGGGGTGGCCGGGGAGGTGGGAGTCTGCGGCACGATAGTTCAGCAGGTGATCGGGCTCAATCTTGCCGTCCAGTGCGGCTAGCAGGTATTGTGTGGCGACACGGTGGCCGGCCTCATCGTACAGGGCATCGACCCATTTGTTGGGGTTTGCGTTCATGAAAGCAAGCAGGAGGCAGACCTCGGGGGCCGTATCGAAGGGACCTCCAGTGTGGCCTGAAACACCACGCGCGGCACCCGCTGCTGTGAAGGCAATGATGGCATCTCTGAAAATGTTGATGTTGTGTTGCAAATCGCTCTTCTGTTGCGCTGTGAGCTTTGTGGTCTTCGGGTCAAGCTTAAGCTGCTTGAATTGCTTGAGATCGACGGGAAATTTATGTCCATTCATGATGTAAGTTAATTTCCAATACTATTTCCAGTGGAATAAGGTTGAAAAAGCAAATTGAGTGCACGTACGACCGAGGGGTTATAAACTGGAATTACACCTGTTCCCAGCTGGTTGACGTCATAAGCCGTATCTGGAGCTGACCTGTTTTCGCCTGTTTTCTTTGCATTCTTTGCATCCTTGACATTCTCCTTCTATTATTATTCATCCCCATTACCAACTTTGCGATCTCATCTGAAGTGCTCCAATTTGGAGGTGTTCTGAAATACTTAAAACGTCCGGCCCGACCCTTTAGCATGTGGTAGTTTTCAGCTCCCTTGCAGTGCCGGAGAACTAATTTTCCACTATAAACCACAAATGACATCAAGCTCGAAGAACTGGATTCACTTAGAACAATCTAACACTTTGTTGAATTTGTCATCCTTTTTAACGTCCACTCTTGTATTAGGTACATATTGGACAGTCTGTTTCACAAGCTTATACACTACTTCTTGCTTCTACTCCAATCTGAGCTTCCCTGTTCGGCTTCATCTGTCGCTTTAGTTCTTTCATTCCGGTAGTCGCCGCTTCTACAAAGCCATGTTGTTTCACGCCGTTTCCGGGCAACTCCACTCCGAGAAACTAGACCGTCTACAGACAATGAAACCCTTGCATAAATAAAAAACAATGCCATTATGCAAATCATCAAGAATGCGGGGAAGGGGTTTCAACTCTAATTCTTCTTAAACAGGCTTTTCCCGAGGCACCTGAAACATTAAGGCAATATAAGCTATCGGGGACTCGCCAGGAACACCGTCGGGGAAATGTGGCGTGCATTAGTCGGTGGTACTGTAGTATTTTCTTTTCGTCAGCCCATAAAAAGTAAGCTGAAATGAGGGGTCTTACTTGAAGGGCTCGGCTTCTTTTGCCCTCAGGTGCGTGTAGAAAATTGTTTTGGTAGGACATATAAAGATCGATAACCTTCAAGTCCCTTGGTCCCCCAAAAGAAAGACTAATACCTCTATTAAAAACTATCTTAAGAATCAGTATACACCATGCTTCCATCTCTTCTCCCTGTGCTTCTACTTTCAGTACTAGCAGAAGCATCACCTGCAAAGCGAGCAACTACTCCATCAGCGTACTGCTCAAACTCAGATGGCAGTTACAAGCTCTCATCAATCGCCGCACCCGTCCAGGGCAGCGGCAATCCAGGCTCTGAATCGACCTGGAAGTTGAGCATCGATGATACATCTAGCGGACACAAACAAACAATCGTGGGCTTTGGAGCCGCTGTCACTGATTCGACAGTCACTTCCTTCAACACGCTGTCCAGTTCAACGCTGCAACAATTGCTGAATCAACTGATGACCGGTGCTGGTGCTGGATTTGCTTTGATGCGCCATACCATTGGCGCTTCCGACCTATCTGGTGACCCAGCCTATACCTATGATGATAATGGGAATAACGCGGATCCATCGCTATCTGGTTTCAATCTGGGCGATCGTGGAAATGCCATGGCTACGATGCTGGCTAAAATGAAATCTCTTCAGTCGAGTTTGAAGATCCTTGGTTCACCTTGGAGTGCTCCTGGGTGGATGAAGCTGAATGGTGTGATTGATGGTACCACGACAAATAATAACCTCAATGATGGCTACTTGACTAGTGGAGGCACTGGGAGTACTGGGTATGCCAGTGCCTATGCGCAGTATTTTGTCAAGTACATCCAGGCGTACCAGAATCTCGGTGCCCACATCGATGCGATTACTCTTCAAAATGAGCCTCTGAATAGCCAGGCTGGTTATCCTACAATGTACATGTTTGACTACGAATCTGCACAGTTGATCCAGAATTATGTCGGTCCCGCTCTCGCTAAAGCTGGTCTGAGCACCGATATTTGGGCATATGACCACAACACTGGTATGCATTCTGGAACCCAGTATCTTTGAGGGAGAATTCAATTTACTAACCGATAGACATCAGATGTGCCATCTTACCCTCAGAATGTCATCAACGGAGCTGGCCAGTATGTCCACGGAGTTGCATGGCACTGCTACGCCAGCAATGTAGACTGGACAGTCCTCACCCAATTCCACCAGACAAATCCCAACATCAAGCAATACATGACAGAATGCTGGACCCCGGCATCCGCGTCATGGAACCAAGCCGCTGATTTCACTATGGGGCCATTGCAAAACTGGGCGTCGGGCGTTACAGCCTGGACGCTTGGCACAAATGACCAAGACGGTCCTCATCTGTCAAGTGGCGGCTGTGGAAACTGTCGAGGTTTGGTGACTATTTCCAATGGCGGATATACCTTCAACCCGGCATACTACATGATGGCTCAGTTCAGCAAGTTCATGCCTCCGGGCGCGATTGTGCTGAGTGGTACCGGGAGCTATACTTACGATAATGGAGGAGGCGTGCAGTCTGTTGCGTCGCTGAATCCAGACGGAACTCGCACTGTGGTTATTGAGAACAATTTCAGTAATGATATTTACATTACTTTGTCTACTAACAGTGGTCAGCAGTGGAGTGGCAACATTCCAAAGCAGTCTGTCACAACCTGGGTTCTTCCTGCGGCATAGATATATTTTAGTGAAGTGACAGGAATAGCGATTAGATGCTATGACATGACTATTATCAAATGTGAGGTTATTCCCATAGGCTCGACGACATCGTTCATAAACATTTCTAACTTTCACCTTCTAAAATATCCGTCATATAATTTATTCCTTTTTTAGTCTTCAAACTCTAGTTCATATATATCTCTCACATATACCAAAGAGGATATGGATGGTGAGTATTATAGAGTTATTCGATTGAAGTGAGGATACTAACGTTTCGGTAGAATCGCACGTTTTGAACAACGGGCCTGAGTCCCAAAATTCACTCATTCCAAAACTGAGATTCGATGAGGCAGTTGCAGAAGATATAGATGGACCGCTTCTATGCTGGGAAAGTCAGGCTATGGCATTTATGTGACCAAAGACAGGAAAATAGGCAAATATCAAGGGTAAGCTCATCTACTAGCTCTGCCGGCTGAAATTGAGAATGAAGCCTACCCTACGCCTACCAGAAAACGCAGACAAGCGGAGGGTAGTATCAGGCCGACATTTCGATATCCAGATCGCGAAATTGAGATAAAACAGCGAGACTATTCTTGCACACTCGGTCGCCAAGAAGATGAAACACGGAAAAGAATGCAACACATGCATACAAGGCCGTGGCAAATTTCTATCCTGTGTCCGGGTCCCAGGCAGAAACTTCTGTACGTTATAGCCACTGGGGAGGCTAAAAGGACCGATGGTACATGAGGACTTCAAATTTGGTATTCGAATTGCAAGATTATGTCGACGGTTGTGTAATCAACTGCACGCCCACCCCATCACGCGCTTACCATACCCAGGTCATCACATAGTCACCCGTGGACGCATATAACGTTTAAAATATAGATGGCCTACGGAACAGCCCATGACTATGTTTAGTAGGAGAATGGTTACAAAATAGTCATTCATTGCCTAGCATTTTAAGAGTCACAAAGGAGGGCATCACTTGAACAAAAGCAGAAAGCAAAAGGTAAAAAACAAAGGACGAAAAGAGAAGAGAAGAAGATGTATCTCTCTAGCTTGGCAGAGGCGCAGTCCCCAAACGCCTCAGCTGGTTTTCCATCGTTTGATGTTCTGTAACGGCCAATATATCTTGCACAAGACAACAGGACATTAGGACAACGGGACAACAAGACGATAGGACAAGGGCAACGGGGCAACGGGACGATAGGACAAGGACAACAGGGCAGCAGGGCAGCAGGACAACAGGATAAGAGGACAACAGGGTAACAGGGTAAGATAACAGGAGGACGGGACGACAGGACGACAGGACAACAGGGTAAGAGGACAAGAGGAGAACAAGACAAATGAATTAATGAAGTGGAACCTTTGAAGAAAAGAAATATCCTCAGAAAATTCTTCACTGGATAACAGAGAGCTATCTCTGTAATATAGGTTCCAAAAATTGGGGCGAAGGAGATGAGAGCAGAGCCCCTTCTAAGGTTGTTAACCCGCTCCTGGCGGCGATCGGGAGTACCCAGACACGTACAGTCTGTTTCCGCAGAGGTCATAGCAAAAGCCCATCAAGCATCCGAAGATAGCTGGTCAGTAGCCCGCGTATACTTGCTTCGTGCCATTCACAGCCTAGCCTGGGCCGCCATCGAAATCCCTCCAGAGTCCTCAGGGTCCCCCGTTTCACTGGACAACAGTAGACATATGTTGAATATGAATCTGAAGCTGAACAACCGTTCAAAAAATTTAAGTCTCAACAGGAACCACAGAGTGGACCTGGAGTGGTTGAAGAAGGAAGAAAAAAGAAGAAAGAGAAGTGGGAGGGGGCGGGTATTTATATTTACCTTGTGGCTGAGGGTGATGGTGGTGGGGGACGAGTTCACCAAAAAGGAAGGAACCCCAGATGATAGGGAAGGTACAGGACCGATGTATCTCCAACAACTCCGAGTTGAAGACCCTACTGTTAAGGAGCAAAAATATCAATTCGCTACAACGCAACATCAGAGAGATGGAAGAGGAGCTCAGGGCAATGACAAGGAAGTGCTAGGCCATGAAAGAGGACTGCAAGGTTAATAAGGCCATTATCAAGGGTCTCAAGCGGAAGGAGAAGAAGATGGCCCGTGGAACGAGACTCATTTTCTCTGAATTTATCTATATGCAATTTGAAAAGAGATGAAATCCGATGGAGGCCCATTAAGATCTAAAGGAAAGGTTTATATCGAGCAACTGAAAAAGAGCCACTAGGTACAAACCAGGTTGCACTCTTGAATGATATTGACTAGTTCGTTTGAGATAACAGGTGGGCCAGTGAAGACAAGAATAGAACAATAGTGGAATAGATAACACCTGCCATAACTGAGGGCTGCGTTGAGCCTCTGGAAGTGCCGCAAGAAGTCGAGGGATATTGTTTGTGACCATATATCCATGGTCACCATATCAGCCTCATTTGCGGTAATTGTTTCGGTTTTTTGCCGTCGCACAGGATTTCAGTCGACGGACTGTTCCTGATTTGGTGTCGATTAGCCTCTTTGTTGTAGACTCACCATCGAGAATCGTACGCAGCTAGAATCACAGTGAGGTCTCGCAGAGCCCCGAGCCTGTCATTTCGTTGATGATGAAGCGGGCGGCGTTGACAGGAAGTCTCCACCCAATGATCACCAGCAGGTACTTCCAAGTCCTCCTCAATGAACCCCTTTATGTTCAATGAAGGAAGTCTAGGCGCCTTTGCGCACAATATTGATGCCCTGGCGGTCGGACTGCTAGAAGCACTTGGTCGAAGGAGAGACTCCGCAGTCTGATGCCCTTGCAGTATTGTAAAGGCCATCATATTAGCGATGACGCTCCAGCCATCGTGGCTAAATTGGTATGCCATTACAGACCACTTGGTAGCATTATTTAGTCAAAAGAAGGAAAACCAGGGACATCCAGCAATAAAGGGTAGTGTGACTAACCAGGATATTTCTTTTGAAAGTTCCATCCGATTCCTAAATTGGAATCACACAGTCCTGTACCCCAAGATTAATATCGTTGAGGGGATTTCGGTCCTGTGTACCCTCCCGGATTAACTTGGATCATTGCCACATAGGCTAAACGCTGCGCCTGACCTTTTGCAGCTTTGTGGTCTCCAGTGTTACCAATTGGCACACCATTTGACGACGCTCTCCAAAGAACGAATCAAAGTCGGCCTTGCCGACATACTTGTGAGACTTGGTGGGGTATGTAACGGGACCCCATTGAAGTGAGGTTTCAAAGTGCAAAATACATGGATCTTGGCACAGCCACAGACAGTGAAATGTAGTAGATCGATTTTGAAACACGATCGAGCCTTAGTAGGCCTTGATATTTTTTTGGTGAGGATAAAGGGGATGTTGAAGGTTGGAAGTCGAACTTTGGGGGAAGGGGGGTAGTAGAAGTGGTCTTTACTGCTACAGAGGGAAAGCGCATTGAAGTTGCATTATGGGACTAATATGGTATTTTTATACAAAGAGCATGCATGTCTGTCTATTGTAAATAATGAAACAGCAAAAAATAAATGAAAAGGTCAGACTCGACGGCGACACCTTGAAATGGATATCATTAGGAGATTGAAAACAAACAGGCTTGACCACTCGCAAAACTTCAATGTGAAGAATGCGATGGTCTCACCACTATTGGCCTGGGTAAATCACAAAAAAAAGGCCAAGAGGTGTTGAATCACTCCAGAAACTGGAGATCGGATGAAAAAGAATATAAAGACAATATCGTAAAGCAACCAGTCGCTAACAATTACCAGTTCTTCTTGAAGTCAGCATCGTGAGATCGATCATATCGCATAGATGATGAGATCATGCTGTCCAAACAAGTGGGCAGCTTCACAGCATCATGAACATGGAAAGAGCGATAGCGAGGACGCCAGTGAGGCTGGCAACCGCACGGGAAGCGGCACCGGTGAAGACCGGGGAGACACCGACTGGGTTACCGGTGGGCTCTGTGGGTGCGGTTGTGGCGGTGGGCGCGACAACGGCAACAATAGGTGTGCGCGAGGGGTGGAAGACGATGCTTGACGAGGGTCTGCCGGGGTGGAATCCTCCGCTGGGGATGACCACTGCGGAAGAAGACGGCGCCACGGGGGAGCCGCCAGAGCCAGAGCCAGAGCCAGAGCCAGAGCCAGAGCCAGAGCCAGAGCCAGAGCCAGAGCCAGAGCCAGAGCCAGAGCCAGAGCCAGAGCCAGAGCCAGAGCCAGAGCCAGAGCCAGAGCCAGAGCCAGAGCCAGAGCCAGAGCCAGAGCCAGAGCCAGAGCCAGAGCCAGAGCCAGAGCCAGAGCCAGAGCCAGAGCCAGAGCCAGAGCCAGAGCCAGAGCCAGAGCCAGAGCCAGAGCCAGAGCCAGAGCCAGAGCCAGAGCCAGAGCCAGAGCCAGAGCCAGAGCCAGAGCCAGAGCCAGAGCCAGAGCCAGAGCCAGAGCCAGAGCCAGAGCCAGAGCCAGAGCCAGAGCCAGAGCCAGAGCCAGAGCCAGAGCCAGAGCCAGGGACAATGGGAGTAGCAGAGGCAACGGGGACGATGAGAGTGACGGTGCTACCGGTAGGACCACAGTGCTTGCAGTAAGTCAGAGTGGTGGTGAAGCCCTCAGGGACCGCAGGAGCGGTGGACTGGGAGACAGCCTCAGTGGTAGTAGCGGCGGTGGCAGCGGGCTTGGTGAGGGTCACGGTGGTCGGGGTAGCGGCGCAGACAGTGCAGACAGTCACGGTAGTAGTCCAGCCCTCAGGGATGTCGGCAGTGGGAGTGGCAGGGCCGGAAGTGGGGGCAGTGATCTCAGCGGTGCCAGTTGCGGTAGCAGTGGCGTCACCAGGGCAGTAGGTCTTGGTGATGGTGGTGGTGATGGTGGTGAAACCAGTGGGGCAAATATCAACGTAGGAGGTCACGATGATAGTGGTGGTGGTACCAGGGGCCAAAGAGGAACCGGCGCTGGGCGCGGAGGGAGAGGCAGTGATACCGGCAGGGGCGGTGGTGGAGTCAGTGCCGGTGGGCTTGGAGCCTCCAGTGGTCTCGTTGCCGGTAGGCTGGGAACCTCCAGAAGTCTCACCACCAGTAGGCTTGGATCCTCCAGTAGTAGTCTCGGCGCCAGTGGATGGGCCACCGGTCGGGATGGTACCTTCGCTAGTGGAAGAGGCGCCAGACTCAGTGGCAGTGCTGGAAGCGGCACCGGACTCAGTAGCAGTGCTGGAAGAAGCGCCAGACTCAGTAGCAGTGCTGGAAGAAGCGCCAGACTCAGTAGCAGTGCTGGAAGAAGCGCCGGACTCAGTAGCAGTGCTGGAAGAAGCGCCGGACTCAGTAGCAGTGCTGGAAGAGCCTGGGACCACGGGGGTGGAGCTTGGGGCCACAGGAGTGGAGCTTGGGACAGTGTGAGTGTGACGGGTGTGGGTATGGGTGTGGCGGGTGTGGGTGTGGTGTCCGTGGCCATGTCCATGCGAGCTGTGGTGGGGCTTTCCAGAGGGGTGGGGAGCGACATGGCTGGAGGAAGGTGTCACAGAGCTGCTAGGGGTACTTGAAGAGGAAGACGAGCTGGAGGTGACAGCGACACTGGAAGAGGTAGCCGAGCCAGAAGTGACAGACGAGCTGGAAGTGGTCGAGCTGGAAGAGGTAGTCGTCGAGGTCGAGGAGGTAGTCGAGGTCGAAGAGACAGTCGTCGAGCTGGAAGTTGTGGTCGAGCTGGACTTGGTGGTGGTGGTCGAGCTGGAGGTAGTGGTAGTCGAGGTGGAAGTGGTAGTCTGGGTGGTAGGCGGGACAGTGGTAGTGGTCGAGGAGTGGGTGGTGGTGGTAGAGGTGATGGGAAGAGGAGCGCACTCGACCAGGATATCCTTGATGTGCTCAGTATACGGTGTTCCATCGGTGAGATTGGTGTCACCAGCAGTAGCCTCCCAGAGCATGACACCACCGAAGGTCTTGGGGTACTTATCCATATAAGTCTTGATAAGGGGCTTCGCCTCAGCAGGAGTCAGGTAGAACCCAGCGTTAGCGGCAGTCTCCGATGCGGGAAGACCGATGAAGAGCTTAGCATTGGGGTTGGCGCTCTTCTTGATGATGCTGACCCACGCATCGAAGTTGAAATTGCCGGTCTTGTCGACCCAGCTGCGAGCAGAGCAACTCTGGGTGTTGTACCACTGAACCCAGATGAAATCAAAGTACGAGTTGGCAATAGCATCATCAAGCTGGGGGTCGGGGGTGGGGCACTGGGGAGCACCAGAAATGTAGTAGGTCTGTGCGGTGCTCTCGGCGAAGTGCTTGCGCAGACGATTGATCATGGCAGCGTAGCCTAAATGGAGTGTTAGATAGAGCACCATCAGAGAGTTTGAGCATTAGGGAAACGTACCAACTCCGCCATTGTACTCGATATCAAAATCGAATCCGTCAACTCCGGAAGTGAGGAATGGGCGGGGGTAGGTGCCAACCATGTCCGCCGTCCAGCCCAATGAAGAGACAGCAGGATTGTAAGGGCCGAAAGAATACCACAGGAAATCCGCAAACCATTCTGCGGTAGCCACGTCTGGGAGAGACTGGCCTGTGGCAGTACCGCCACCGATGGACAGCAGGACAGTCTTACCAGCAGCCTTGCAACTGGGGAGATCCTGCCAGATCTGGTGGCAGCCACTTAGCAGCTTTGAACCGTCGAAAACGGCACCATCGCACTGATTCGCAAAATTGGAACCAGGGAAGTCGCCCACATGTTTGGGGAACTCGTTGATGAACCCGATGTTGATAATGTCCGACGTGGTCTGTTCACAGAAGTGCTTGAGCCGGAGTTGATCGTAACCTTGTCCATAGTAGACAGCAACATTATTCTTCAGGCTAACATCAACAGCAATAGCAGATGATGCAAAGAGGGACAGAGCCGACACGGCGGCAAGAGACTTGAACATCATGGCTAAAAATGAATGTAGTAATTATATGCAAAATAATTAGATGCAATAGAAATCGCCTATTAACCCAATAAAAAGAATGACAGGGTTAGTTCGCGAACAACGAAAGGACGCAGACAAATATCTGCTTGGGAAATTTCCCAAAAAGCTCAAAATGAGAGTGATGATAGTGGAAAGGAAAGAGGAACTCTCCGGGGGGGAAAGATACTAAAATACATCGAGGGCCAGTTCATCTGAGCCCCTGGGGAATATGCCGACCTCCGACATTGGGCACACTAATCAGAAAGCAGAATAGAGCTATCAAAGCGTGGAAATGAGGTGCGCTATATCCGGATGAGTCCACGATTCACAGGTCAGTGCCACCCCGAGTACAACTCCACCGGTGCAGGGCCGCTGACCGCAGAGTCGCAAAGTGGATTGGAAGCTTGATGATCTGGACACTAGACTCGGTGACGAGCCGGGTCTATTTTTCACAACGGCCATGACACTAACTTCGTAGCGAAGTCGGCGTAAAAGAGGCATGGATTGACTTTTTCACTGCAGACTGGTCACAGGCCAAACGCGTGGCATACAATATGGCCATACAGCCAGTGGCGTAAAAGAGTCACATCCGAGAAAGAAATGGGTTCAGCCATAAGCCATCCAGGCTTTCTGTGGAGAGGGGTATGTGCTGGCCCCCGTGCCTATCTCAGCACAGTAAAATTGCAAGAGCCGCATAAAAGAGGCTAAAGGGCCCTAATGGACTCTAGCGGCATTAGAATCAGGGTCATGACTGGAGCAAAGACAATTAGCTCCGTATACAAAGTCCAATCACAACTCGTAGCTCAGGTTGTAGGGCACGGACGCCTCGGGGTCTGCCCGCCGTTGTATGTCGGATGCAGACTAAATCCGTGATTTGGGCATATATGTGTAGGGAGATAAGAACACAGAAGAACGGGGGGAAAATATTGGTTTGACAATTGTTTGTATCAAGAAATTAGACGAGTGTAAGTAAGTATTGTAGAAACGTATGGTGTGCAAAGGAGAATGAAAAAATCAAGGTGATCGCAACCGACGGAGCTAAGAGTTGGGAAGCCTAAGCTAAGCCCCGGGGGGCCATATTACGGGGCGGGTGTCCAGGTACACCAATCATAGGCGTCAATCCGGACAAGGCGGGATTACCGGTTTTTGTTCGGTTACAGCAAATTACTCAGCACTATAACAACACTAACAAACTTGCAGTTTAAGATTGCTGTCTCACTTAGTCCATAAGTAACTCCGTAGTTCCTCGTTAGTTCCTATTTAGTTTCTATTTAGTCCCTAGTTTGCCATAAACTCGAGCCTAGAATTAAGATGTAACTCTGTCCAGTTCTAGCCTATCCCCAAATCGCCTTCCTCCGTGCATTTTTCTTTTATTTTCCGGTTTATGCAACGCACATGGTTCGGAGATATGACTGCTCTCAGGGGGCGTGCTTGGGCTGCAATGACACGCCACTCATCCTAATGGCTAACCTATATTATTAAATCACTAGCTAATCTTACAAGTGCGCGCACTTTGCATTTTCCATAAGCCGCCACCGCCCCATGATCCAGATTAACCGAGACAATAATCAAATAATAATCAAATTTAAGAAAGCCGATGACAATTATATGCAGGTACAGAAGCATGAAGTATTATTGTATACATAGTATATTAATCGTGTTCCGTTCCTGCGTTCGGGAACCTTCGATCTATGTGGATCATAATTAAAAAGATCCTCTCTATAGAACTTCTAGCCCTATTTTAAGAGAGCACATAAAGTCTATTAACTGCCAATTTTGAACCCCAATACAAAACACTGTTTGCGTTATTCAAGAAATATTTGCAGTTGGAGAAATATCCAATTACCGGCTTCATTGCCGGTTTGCCGGTTTGCCGATGTGCTATCTCGCTTACATCGAACTTTCAATTTCAGTATAAAACAAAGCAATAGCAACAAATCCACGATTTCTGTGTCTTGAATTGATACAAATTGATAAATTAAAATAAACAGTATCCATAATGAAAATGAAAAAGCCATCCGAAGCCACGAGATGCAGTATAAGCAACGAAGTGGGAACAAAATTGCCGAGCTAGTCGGCAAGATCTTTTGTGGAAAGCTACACTCGATGTGAATCTAATAACAATACTATGGAGTACTCCATGAAGTCTCAGACTATATATTATTATTATATCAAGGGATCTCGATGTGGTTACTCCGTACTGGGCTGGTACATCGTGTGTAGCACTAATACAGGCCCTCCAAAATCACAGATTTCAGACTAAGGTCATGGATGAACGAGAATTTCATCAACGCAATATTGAAATAAATCAAATTCGGCGGAACGACACAGCCAATTCTTCACCCGTTTGCTTAATCTAATGCAGACGGATATCAAAGTGGTCTGGTCTTGGCTATCCCATCCCGCTTTATATATTCACATGTCGCCTGCCCCGAGGTCTTGTTTACTCTGGCTTGAGACAACACTGAATCAGGTGTCGTTTGATAGACTTGGAGACACGAACTTGGTCACTAATTCATTGGTGACTCTAACCTTCAAAATATATATTCTAATGATATGTACTCGTGATGACGATGATATATCCCCGCACGGTGGCTTCATATGTTTGGGATAAATAATTTATCCCTGTGAAGATGACAAAAAGAGCTGACTAGCTCAAGGGCATACCTAAGTAACTTATCTCTTCTTCACCAAAAAGCATAGATCCTTGAAAATTATGATATTTGACTCCTAGATTTTGCACCTCCATGGCGCGTTCACGCTCTTTTTCCAATTCATTTTTCTATATCTCTGCCTCAGCCATACCGACTGGCCGATCTCCAGTCTCATCAGGGACATTTTGAGTGAAGCAGATCCGGTAATGGGGATCCACTAGAAACAGGGTGATATATCTTTGATAGGCAGGTCGGGCGGCGCCTTTCAGCGAGAACAGTCACGTTTTGATTCGAAGGGTGTTGACCCAAGCTAGGAATCGACCTTGGTGTGCGGCCACAGAACCTAACGTTTGGAGCCCTCCGGCCCCAGGGCCCCAATAGTTGATCTGTCATCAGATGTCATCCTCTTGTTGGAAGGATATATGTCCCTCGGTGACGTTGTCAACGTCCTAGTAGTACCAAGATATAGTGACAATATGTTCGATTAGCAAACCGTCAATGTGAAAATTGTCGTCGCCCTCGTAACATGGGTTCTCCGGGGTGAGTTCAATACTAGAAAGGCAAACGATCACCTGCAAGCCGTCTTTTTAAAACTCTTACTATAGAGACACAGACTGGTATTGGTGTTAGCTTGGCGGAGAGCGATTGTAATACTTTCTGTTCTGGATAAAAGCCTTGAGTATTTCCCCCTGTTTCAAATCCTCATAGGAGTAGGATATTCCCGCCTCGGAGTATTTGAATGTATAGAGCCGTAGCCATTTGCAGCGCATGAGATCGCCAAACTCATTTTCTGTTGTAAAACCTTTGCCAAAAGTAGCTATAGACATATCCCACATCTCTGAGGTCACAGCCCCAAGCAGATCATCAGGACCTTCTGTGTCGGTTGGATGTAGGTCATAGAACCTATACCTTTGATCGACCTCGGGAAGTGCAAGATACTCCTTAGCATTGATACAATAATCATCTCATTTCTCTTCAGTCCACTGCCAGTCTGGAAGTTCCCTTCTCAGCCGGTCGGGCATCATTTCGCCATATTCATCTTCGGGATCATAGCTCTCAAACCCATACGTCTTGATACGCAGCGGGTAGCGGCTTGTCCGGCCTTTGACTAGAATATTGTTTCAGGGATTTAGGCTCATAGAGACTAGCTTTTCTATCGCATGGTATGCTTGCACGTTTTCGGGGTGCAGGTTGTTGATATAAGAAGTGACTCACACATCTATACCTTCAAGGCTAGTAGATGATGCTTCGCAAGGTAATCGCTGGAATCGATCGGACCAGCGCTGCAAAAGCCAAATGAAACAATCACCCAGCTTCGATTTCTGCCCTGGATACTGCGCCTTACCTTCTCTCGTCGGGATGATCTGGAATTGGCGGGACGTGGATATCCGATGCAGGATCTGGAAAGGAAATTCCACCGTCAAGCAAATTGGCCTGCCCCCGGATCAAACACGGAAGAGCGACCGTAGGCTAGCCGACAAAGTAAAGGATCAACCAGGTCAATAACTTGGTTCGAATTGACCGCTTTTGCTGATGGAGGTTGGAGCAGGGAGACCTCCTGCAAATCACTCTGCAGCTCTCTTTCAATCAGGCCCGACTTGCAAACCCTAGAGTCGGCATTTAAAGTGAGAACATGATCGGTTTTCTGGAATCGAAAGGCCGTATCTCTCAGCTCCATTATACACCATTCCCATGTTCTGGAAGTCACGAGGTCCATATCGATGCTGACATCCTAGTCTTTGATATAGCTTTTTGCTTTCCAGTCAGAACAAAATTCAGTATTTCACTGGGTGACAATGCTTTTATCAAAGACGTCGCGCTCCCAATTTAGTTTGTCGGTCACTCATTCGATGACGCGTAGTATCATGACTTCGGGGATGGTCAAGCGATGCGCTCGACCCGGTGCGCCATCAAGTTCGTAAATCTCCATGGCCCCATATGCAAAGCGTTCAACGACAGGGAGTTCATAATCGATAGGGATATCACCAAACGCGGGGACCTGAAGCTGGCCATCTCCCGTATTTTTCATCTGGATGCGGCTCATTGTAGGGTTGAGTCTGTTAAATTACAAGAACAAGCAAAGTGGATAGTACAATGGCTGCTACTATCGAAGGCTTTATTCAAGCCCATAAAATTTGAGGAAGAAACCCATAATTCGAAAATTCCCTTAAGCACTAGCGGCTAATTTGCAGATACTAGTACCTACTGCAGTATTGTTGTGGTGGCCTGAGGCCTTATATTATGCCTTAGGCATTAAACACTCGTTTGCCAGATAGTTGGAGGGCTACCCCTTCAGAATCAAGTCTCTCCCTCCTCTCTCCTTAGGTTTCTGGTCTATTTAGAGCCAAAGAATACAACATGATATATTTGAACCGGGTTATAAATGATCCGAATGTCAAAAATGGCAAGATAAGCGCAACTACCCATGCGTTGATAAGTTGTCTTCTAAATCACAGTTAGCGCCGTACAGGGTGCCATAAATTAACTAGATCCCCTCTTTGTCTCCTGATTTCCAATTCGTATTTTCACCCAGGCTTTGGTCCCATCTTCTACGAAAGCATGACAGAAATGAATGATACTGGGATGTCGTCGCCAGAATTTTATCAAGGAAATTGCCATTGCGGCCAAATTAGATTTGATCTCAATCTACAGCAACCATTGCGACGTGCTTCTACCTGCTGCTGCTCGATATGTAGCAAGAAGGGCTACCTTTGGATATTTCTCGAGGAATCCCAGTTCCGTATTAAAAGCGGACAGCAAGCTATGGCCAGATATACTGCGAATGGTCGTAGTGGGGAACATTTTGTGAGTTCCCTTCAACATTACACTTCGCTTCTATCTACCGTCAAGCTTATCCCTTTTAGTTTTGCCCTTCTTGCGGTACAGGAATCATGGCGAAAAATCATATGGCACAGGGCGGAGGATCAGACATTGTTGTGAATGTGAGTGATACTTGTCTCAGCCTACGAGATTTGAATCTAACCCCTTTACAGGCAAGAGCATTATTTGGTGTGAATCCCTTTACTCTGGAAGTTGAGGCGTAAGTAACCCCAAGACCATTTACAAGATATCTTCCTTAACATACAAAAGCAGCCTAGACTGCCCCCCTTCCGAAAGTGTATCTGTTTCTACTGTGTTCCACGGAGAATTGCCGAAAGCATCAGGTGACAACCTCAAGCTCTACACCGGAGGTTGTTACTGTGGCGCCGTTACCATAGCCGTGAATCTTAAAGCTTTATCAGAGGTGGAGATCAAGGAAGATAACTGTAGTATTTGCCAGAGAGTAGGCATCCATCCCCGGAAGCTTCCTGTCCTATTAGGTCTAACCAGGATAGAATGCCAATATCTGCATATACCCTCACCGAGATAGTGTCTCCATTCACGGATCCGAAAACATTTCAGAATACCTCTTTCAGCGCAGGTTTAATGGCCATTGTTTCTGTCGGATATGCGGTGTGCATGTGTATATGAAAATACATGGACCACCGCAGACAGTTGTCGACAAATTGCCAGCGGAAAAACAGAGAATGGTGCAAGAGAAGATTGCAATTGTGCCGATTAGGCTCTCTGTCCTAGATGGCATCGAGTGGTCTGATTGCCATATCAAGAGGTTAGATGAAGGGACAGCAGGATATGCGATTCAATAACCACTGTCAAATACATCTCACTGTATATATTTCAAGATACACAGAGTTGGCATCACGGGTCACGATGCACTTTCTTCCCATTTATCATCCGGTACCATCCCATGCGACCAAGGCCATTAAGTTCCTTGGGACAGTTCGCATACTTAACGTATACTGGAGTACTCGTATCGTTCAAGTTCAAATCCCAAAAAGTTGCGATTTGTCGCTCACAATGCGCTGTATGATGTGTGTCACCAATATACCCGTCGATCAAACTCCCATCTAGTAAGGCCTGATGGATCTTTCTCCACATATATGTACAGTGGAACACGTGGTATTCTTGCGTAGCATATAGCTCCTCATAAAACCCCGAAAGGACGAGTTTCCCATCAGCAGGTACAGTACCTGCTTGATCCAGATACCATACCCACTCGCGGAGTGATAAAAACCGCTCCTGAAGCTCAGGATCAAAGCATTGACGTGGTAACCAGGCAAATTCCATGGCGTCAAATATGCAGTCTCGGTGACGTGCTTCTGATGGGGAGCTTCCGCAATCACCCATCGAATTAATGTAATGAGACCACTGATAGGACATGATGCCAAAGAGGGCTATGAAGATGATCATGGCGAAAAGGCAGATAGAACATGTCACGGTTCGAACGCTCCATCTGATGAGCGGTTTCTCTTTCCGGTCAGAACTCTCTATCAAATATTCCCGGCTGTTCTCGGAAGAAGCTGTATAGGACATGGCTTATAACTGGAGTGCGGCTTGAATCATGCCGTTCAAAAAAGGGTAGAAATGTCAATTGATAGTAGGTTGCAATTTTCTAGCCAGGTTTTTCATGGTAGATAGAGCACGATCATCAAGTTGTGAGGTGGAAGAAGCAGCCAAGTTTCTCATCCCCGAAAAAAGGAAATCTAACCAATGGACTGAGAAATTCCGACAAAGCAGGGAAATGGAAGGCGCCTCGTTCAAAAAAAAAAAAAAAAGGTTTCAAATTGGCAAAATTGCAAAAATCCTCTAGATGTCGTTGATGGGTAATTGTAAGGTAAATATGATACCCGATACGTACGGGACCCGTATTTCGCTGCATGTCAATACAATTACCAAGTCAATACGAAACGCTATAGCTATCAGGATTCAAACCTCATTTTTGATGACAAGAACGGTGTAAAAAGAGGCGATAATCCAGGGACTCAGGCATCGAAATTCCCAAAAAGGGTTGTGAATCCTGATGGCTGTACCGCCTTGGTCTAACCGATAGAGAGCGGAGGGATATGCGGAAACATCTTCTTCATGTGCATATGACGCTAACGCATAAAGGCAAAAGAGGGCGACCCTGATATGCCTTGACTGCCGGGAGATTTCCGAGGCCACCGCTTATGATACTACAAGGAACCAATGGAAATCAATTTTGGTATTAAAGCCCTTGACAGACGGCGGGTATGACCCTGCTTATTCCGCCCGGGGGAATGCAATTGTATTCCTATTGGATCCCAATAATAGCAGGGGTTGCATCCTTAGATCTCGAGATATGCAAGGGCACAAACAACAATCGTCTCACAATATGATTCCCGAAAGACACGTCACTTAAAATGACTATCCTGAAACTACTGCCGTCATCACCGACTTGATGTAACGCCGAAGAGGGGTAAAAGGTCAAGAATAGAGGCATATGGGAGTTGAAGGAGCGTGGCTGCATATGCCACATGAAGAAGTGCGCTTAGCGTAGGAGCATCCTCAACAACGGAGTTCCAACCCGAGATAGTGATCGGACTGTAATATGTATATGACAAAGAGCCAGGTTCGATGTTGTAGAAATTTCCATTTCACTTCTATCCACCGCAGTCTTCTCTCCTCGATAACCGAGTACCTCTCATAAAGACACCATGAAGAGCGCTTCATTTATTTTGGTGGCCTTTGGCCTTTTTGCCAGCCTGGTCAGCGCATCGCCTATCACCAAAGTTGCGGATGCTGTGGCAAAGCGTGAGCCTGGCGAGGCCCATACAGAGGGTGTCGTCACTTGGGCCGACGTCGTCAAGCGTGAGCCTGGTGAGGCCCACACAGAGGGAGTCGTCACCTGGGCTGACGTGGTTAAGGCCAAGCGTGAGCCTGGCGAGGCCCACACAGAGGGAGTCGTCACCTGGGCCGACGTGGTTAAGGCCAAGCGTGAGCCTGGCGAGGCCCACACAGAGGGAGTCGTCACCTGGGCCGACGTGGTTAAGGCCAAGCGTGAGCCTGGCGAGGCCCATACTGAGGGAGTCGTTACCTGGGCCGACGTTGTTAAGCGTGAGCCTGGTGAGGCCCACACGGAGGGTGTCGTCACCTGGGCCGATGTTGTTTGAATGTGACACACCTTGAATGGTCAGTGATAATATCTTCCGATTCAATTACTCCAATTACTAGGCTGACTTTCATCATAGACACGGAGCATTTGCCTGCTACTTTTTTATTGTGGACTGGATCGCTGGGAGATGGCAAATATTTTGGGTCAAATTCATGCTTTGCGAGGAACTTAGATGTCAATACAGATGTCGATCACGGCCGTTTTGATTTATGATCATCAATTTATCACGTAGTCGTAGTTTCAAGGTAGAAAGTGATTAAAAGCATAGCTAAAAAGGGTAGATTTCGATAACCCATCTGCGTCCTTGAAGTAAGCATGACGGGGATTTTGTAGAGTGGTGCGAGGACACTCAAGTGTCCATCTCTCCATATACCTCGCCTTAGGTTTATCAACACTCTCGTTGTTCACCCACCATACTGTTTCGCCACTTATATACCCATTATTCATAGAGAATGAATAGACTTGCCCAAATCAAAAATGATTAGGCTATTTACTCCGACGTTATAAGTTCTTCAGATCATCTTGTACACGGGTGAGTTCAAGAGCCTTAAATATATATGCAAAATCAAAATCAGCTGTGTGAGAGGCATCATACGCCTCGAGAATAACTTAAGTAGTGCTTTTAATGATATTGGATATACTGGGATCTAACATAAGGAAACATGGTTTATTGAACTTGGTCTCATGTACATGATGATAATGCAGGAGATCCCCATCTGTCAAAGGTTCTCTGCTTTGATCAAAGTAAATTGAATTACTCGCCCTTGGCTGACTTAACTGCTGAAGGTCCCTCGTAACGATCCACCATCCAATGTTGTAGCTTAGCAAAGTTACGGCATGTATGAGGGCGATCCGACTCCACATAGTTTCGTCCAAGTGCTGGATAATACTTGGTAGGAATAGGTGTCATGTCGCCGGAGCACATCACATACTGGCGTAGCTGCTCAATACAATGATCCTGGTGTAGGTGATAATTGGCGTCCTTCTCGGCGCTTCCATAATATTCTGGATGTAGTGCCTTTCGTAAGTTTCCCTGGACACAGAAAATGTTAGATAAATGCAATGCCTAAGAAGGTTGAATAAGGTGGGCTTACTAGGCAATGCAGCGTGTGGAACATATCGAGACTAACGACCGGTAAGTACAACCAAACAACTTGGCGAGATATTGGATACATACCCTGCTACATAGCCTCCTCTCTCATGATCCCAGTATTCTTCGATGTCATGACCCCAGGCACTCTCAGCTTCCTCCTTGGTGATGAGAATATAGCGGCCTAAACAGATTAAATCTTTGTTAGTCTCGAATAAATGTAGGACACTCTATTTCTCATGGACACGAACCCCATGTGAGTTCCTCCCAGTTATCATCTATCTCTTTGCTTGGGGGCCCAACATAGGCGATAGGATCAGGGTTAGGGATGAATATATGTTTGTTGGCATCAATAGCTGGGCTTCCATTGAAAACTTCCTCCTGAACCTCGATTTGACTTCGTGCTCCAACTATTTTGCGTATTAGCTTTGCTGCTTCCCGTTTTCCACGCTATGATGGAAAACCTACCAAAATCAGTGGCCCACCCGGTTGAGAACGAGAAAGTTGTTGTCACTTGCTCGTGTTTGATACTTAGTGACAAGGTGGATAAAGCGAAGACTAATGTTGTTATCCAAGGAAACAGTTGGAAGAATTTAGCAGACCACCCGGGGCGCCTTTCGCTGTTGTAAGAACCCGTATGAGGATCTTCTGGCTGGCAGATTTCTTGATCCTTTGCATGCACTGGAATGTATGCTGGTTTCTGTGCTCTGAATCCCTTCCACATATTGTCCAAGTAGTGAAGTGACAGCAAATCTTTCATTGTATCCATTTTGCTGGGGTTGTTGGTCATTCCAATGCCCCCTCGCTCTGGAGTCAGACAGAATTTGCCGTGATGTTTGCCTCCGAAATGGCCGAGGTATCTGGTGAAGTGGAACGCCACTAGTCAATGTTGCATTGGTCCCTATGCTCCGGAGAGATAGTGAACTTGCTAAGTTGCGGACAAGTTGCGGACAAGTTATTTCGCCTGAAATCCGAAAGATCAATTGGACCTAGCAATCTCAACGTGTCTCGGAGACGGCCCGGAATTGTCTCCTCCTAGGTTGCTGTACATTAGCGCTGATATCAAATGTCGTGACAGATCATCCTGAGGCTCCACCGGAAAATTAACCGCTAACACAATCTTACCATACTGCATGTGTTACGGTATGTAATGATGCATAAATACGTATACTACTGAGTGTAAACTACTATGTAGTACATACCACGCATAAATATAGTGCCAGCACTGGTTTCTTGACTTAAAATCGCCCGTCACTTTCTTTTTTTTCGCTGTATTCGTGTATCTGCCCATGAATGAGTAGTCCACGCTGGACTTCGAGTTTGTTGATCCGCCCTTTTCTGTTAAATCCCGTCAAGCATTTCCATCCGATCTCCAAATACGCAAGCAATCATTGTTTGCAGACATCGAGATGGCTACTGGAATGATGAAAGAGTCTCCCAAGTTCAGAGATGAATACGCAAGAGTCCCTGCAGCAAGCTATCATGGATCAGAAACTCCGGTCGACGACGAAGACACAGCCTCAGTCGGCTTGCTTGGCCATATTCACCCCAGGCTGCGACACTCCCGGAGTCGCTGGGTCATCTTCTTCTCATCGACCAGCCTAGTCCTTGTTCTCGCTCTCCTTGCCACTTCGGTCTATATCGCAACCAGCGTCCGAACCATGGGGAAAGTGATGTACCTCCATCCCGATGGTCGTGAGTTGGGTGACTGTGGCCCCAATCATACTGTTGAGGAGGCGCGTGAATACGGCTGTGTCTTCGATCCAATGAGTTGGCTTTGGGTACGCCCTGAATGCTACGACAAAGTGCTCATCGATGACTTCATGAACCGCACTGAGTGGTCCTGGCATACCGACTGGAAGCTCACCCCAGAGACTAAAGTGCCGCTCGACGTGGTCTTCAGTGGTGAGCATCCGCAGTTATACACATCCAAGAAGTACCACTCCATTCACTGCACATACATGTGGCAGAAAATGCACAAGGCGTTACTGGAGCATGGTCCAGTCGATAGCGACTTGACAAATTGGCATCATACCCACCATTGCGAGCAGGTTTTATTGGACCAATACCTTCATGAGGATTCCGAATGCACTGCAGACATGATCTGTCCTACTCTAGTGCGAGCTACTTGGACGGCATGTGGGTATTTCTAGGGATAACTGGAAGTAGGTGCGGGATTGGGAGATTTTTCCGGATAACTTTGTCATATAACTTCTACTATCATCCCTGTACAAATATTAGGGACACTTTCAAGTAGTTTCTTTGGAAATGGACAATTTACAAAATCAACCTGAGACGTCCTAGGTAGCCCTCTATGTACTTTCAATATACGTGACATATTTGTTGAGAGCATCATGAATCATGATATATACACTATAGCGATTGAGCAACTAGCTTAACATCACCTTCTTTCCGTATGGAGGCCCTTTATTTCACCAGCACTTGATGTGAACAAAGTACTATCCGACTGAGAATCAAAAAGGACTGAACTTCTGTCACGAAACGACTGACCATGCACTCGAAATAAATACAGGGAAGCATCGAAATTACTTATCCATGTATTCATGTGATCTTTTCAATTTGGGAGCTGTTGTATTATTACCGTACAAGTACCGTAAGTAAGAATACTGAAACGATTTGTTTGCACTTGTAAGATTTTAGATAAACTAACGCTGCATGTTTCACGGGAAAATGAGGGGGCAAATATATTGCAGGATTCAAGCGCAGGATTACAGGGTTGCAATGCTTATTAGCTTCAAAATATCCGATACGGAGGAAGGACCCCGCTTCATGTCATGATCCTTCAAAGGAACATCCGATACGGACCCCGCTTCATAGATTGAGTCCATCGAGTCCACAAGCACTAAGGCTAATACAACGCAACACCCCATCTACAGTTTTCAAGTGAGAATTTCCTAGTGCTCAACGCTACTGTCCATATTGAAGAGATCAAATCAACTCTGCGGACTTCACTCGGTGTGTTACATTGCGTACCAAACCGAGGATTGAACTTCCTCCGTTCCGGCTCGTCAATACGCGGCACTACGACAGCGATTTTATTGCTGCGACAAATGGCCCAACATGACTATGAAGCCATGCGCGAGAACGATTCTCTTCCAGTCAAACGTCCCAATGCGAGGTGGAGCACTTGGAGGGCCTGGATGATATCTCCCTGGCAAACAATCGGCTTCATGTCGATTCTTGGCATTGCCGCAATCATATGGACCTTGCCATCCATTCTGAGCACATACAATGCCATCGACTCTGCCACTGACTCTCAATCTTCCCTCTTCCAATGCGGAGAGTCGGCAGCGGAGGCTCTCGCTCGCGGATGTAAATTTGACATTATGTCTTTTGCATGGGTACCAGAACCCTGTTTTGATCGCGAATTAATGGAAGAGTTTCTTGAACTCCGACAATGGAAGTGGTACGCAGATAAGGATGGCCAGGAAGTGGAAAGCGAACTTGATATCCGCGAAGGTCAATACCCTGAGATGTTCGTGTCATGGGAATACCATCTTGTACACTGCGCATACATGTGGCGAAAAATGCATCGGGCTCTTCTAAAGGGCGGAGTTGATGCGGTTGATGGCTATGTCGGAAGCATGCATCACACCGAACATTGCTCAGGCATGTTATTGGAGTATCGTCAGGAGGCAGTGAACATCACTAATTCTTGGGTGTATGCCAAATATCCAGCTTGTGGGAAGGGAGCATTCCAGCTCAATAAAAAGGGATGGTACCGCATTGTGGATGGGAATAAGATGTTTAGCATACCAACACATGAAGACTTTGCACCATTGTGATAGTCACTAGGAGCTATAGTGAAGAACGTTATTGTATATACTCGCAGTTATAAAAGTTCCTGTATGGGCCCAATGTCAATGATCCCTTGTTCTTTTGGTCGGTCGCGTTGGAGTGATTATTCATCTCCGATATCGTATCTTTCAATAACCTGCTGCAGAAGAAGATCAAGGTCTCCTTAAGTAGCGGGGTCAGTATGAGGGGAGAAAGAGGGTGTGAGGAGTAGACTTCCACGTAGCCCAAGCCAGACCTAACCCATGCCATGAACTAGGGCCTTAGTAAACCCTGATTTAGACCTAACTTGATCAAGTTTTACATAAAATAGTACTATAAAATAATCAACAGCCACTTATAAGTGTCCAACTAAAAGTAGAGTGGCATACAGGTGATGATTTGCTTAACACCGGATGGAAAGGCACCAACTTTGGGAATGCTTCCCAGCCAATTGATCTCATAGATGCAAATGCCACTCCAACAAATAAGTTAACGTAGAAAGCTCAGCGTCAGCCGATAGAGCTCTGGTTGAAACCTTCCCTCACAGTTGGGTCCAGGAACATGCCGAGACCCCAAGTTATACTGATCCGCGGACCGCAGATCTAATCTCGAAGACCGCAACACTGATGATGTAAGTCCATTTCGTGTTGAAATGGAAGAATATTTTCCCCCAAAGGAGCACAGTGGCGGAAGCACTGATAACTAATCCAACACTGATCCATGATAGCTTATTGACAGCTTGAAAGTGTCAGGCGATCTCAGCCTGGATGTTTGCATTGATGGTGTGGTCTAGTGCAAAGAGAAAGGTCAAGCCCAGTATAGCCAACACGACAGCAATCAACTTCAATCCTTGAATCCGCGTGGTGGAAGCTCGAGCTCGTTAGCCGGAATTTCACCAGCCGTGACATCGACGCCGGTGTCGGTTTTCTCAATGCCGCTCCAGGATATCCCGCTGACAGCGAGTGCAAATGGGATTCTGGACGAGCAGACTATGAAGAAGCATTGTGTCTTATCGAAGGTCCCATTACAAATCGAGATCGCTACAGTTCTGGAAATAGGTTCGGGGCCGAGCCCTCCACAGTGGGCTGAGGACTCATCAGCCAAACAGAAGACAGACATATACGCATTATCCGGTAAGTGGGGCTCGGATGGTGATCGGCTCATCAGTGGCCTCACCTCAGTCCTACGCGTGAGTGGTGAGTGGTATGTTCCCAGCAGTCCTCAGGGGCTCCCGTGGTCTGGCCAGTTCGAGAATGGCTTTGCTCGTCCGGGGAAAATTATATTTGCTGCTACTCGCCCTGCTTTTCTCTTTCCTTCTTCAACCTCCATCCACCATCTTCTCCCTCAACCAACTATTCTTCTCTTCGCCCTTGGACCTGTTGGAAAAAACAATGTATATTACCTGTGCCGGAAGTCTTCATCTCGAAGGATTTGCAATTAACCCTTTTTATTTCCCCATCCAGGAATTCCACCGTGTTGCCCTCGGCCACCTACTGGGGCCAGTATGAGGAGATCACCAAATTCAACACTGATTTGAACATTGCCGAGAGATTATGGACTGCTTGGTATGCCTGGATGCAGAACGATGTCCTCGCCACCGGTATCATGTCCTTCATGATGCACGAGCTGGTCTACTTCGGTCGCTGCCTTCCCTGGATCTTCATTGATACCCTGGGTCTTTTCAAGAGTTACAAGATTCAGAACGTAAGTTGAGTCGCAATCCCCCACGTCAATGGTGCTGTGCTCATCCGGGTTTCCTCCCTCTCTTTAGAACAAGATCCCCGCATTGAAAGAACAGTGGGATTGCGCCAAGTTTGTGCTTCTCAGCCACTTCACTGTTGAGCTCCCTCAAATTTGGTACGTCCATTTCCCCTCCGATCAGCATTTGGAATTTATCAAAATCCTGCATTCATCGCCATCAATGCTAACAGTCTTTCCAGGTTCTTCCACCCCATGGCGCAATTCTGCGGCCTGTCGACTTCCATTCCCTTCCCCTCCCTCTGGACCATGGCCTACCAGATCGCCATCTTTTTCGTGATGGAGGATACCTGGCACTACTTCACCCACCGTGCTTTCCACTGGGGCCCCCTTTACAAGGCCATCCACAAAATCCACCACCAGTACTCCGCTCCCTTTGGACTGGCTGCCGAATACGCCTCTCCGATCGAAGTCATGATTCTGGGTTTCGGTGCCGTCGGCTGCCCCATCCTCTGGTGCGTTTTCACTGGTGACCTGCACATTCTCACTATGTACATCTGGATTGTGCTGCGCTTATTCCAGGCCATCGATGCTCACTCTGGCTACGACTTCCCCTGGAGTCTCCACCATTTCCTTCCCTTCTGGGCCGGTGCCGACCACCACGATCTCCACCACGAAAAGTTCATCGGAAACTACGCTAGCAGCTTCCGCTGGTGGGACTACCTGCTTGACACTGAGTACACTCCCGATGCGCTAAAGCGCCGCAGAGAAGGCAAGGCGGAAGCGAAGAAGGCTCAATGATCTGATCCGATAATGATTCAATGAATAGCTGCGTGATGAAGTATGCTTTTGTTGCTGTGACCTTTGCCAAATATATCAAGACTGGAATCTCGCAATACTCGCAGGACTTGGCAGTCTTGCAGCGGAGTGTGCACAAAGACATGGGCGAGATTTTCGCCCAGACTGTTCTTCCATAATGGATTGGCACCTTTATAAAATTAATAGAGGGGTTCTAATACGGAGTATATTATACTCGAATCAGGGGAACTTGCCTTACTGAAAATCGATGTTTTATTATTTTGACCCCTATATCCTACGTGATTTTAGCAGAACTATACACTATGCAAATTAAATAGAGGCAGTTAATAGGATTGTGATATTCAGGTTATAGGGTCATAAAATATTGATTCGGGTATCCCGCAGATTCCAGCAAGGAGTTCAGGCCGCCCAAGGTCGCTATACTTCTCCATTCGTGGTGATTGTGACCAAAGCCAAGGGACGATTGGAGGAGAAATTTTAGCATTCAACTATGCGGGCTTTTTTCAATGGAGAATTTAAAACAATGTAAGCGAAAAAAAAGAGAAAGAATTTGCTTTTCCCACTGAAAGAATATTACCAATTGTCGGCCAAAACGGTCTGTGAATCATCCGAGCCAGCGCTTGTCGGGTTAACTCATCTTTTTTTTTCAGACACCCACGGGGCATGTTATACGAGATCAGCCAGTTAAGGAACCCGACAAAGACCCGATTAGGGATATGTACATGGGTGGGGGACGGGATGATCTCGCGGGTAGATCTGTGGAGAGATATTTAAGCCGCCTTCGGAACCCGAACCCATGTGGGGCCATGCATCCTACCATCCTTTAATGTCCAAGTCGGAAGAACTATGATTCCACAGGTAGACTTATATAACACGATAGGTTTATTTGTTCACTTTCATCACTCAGTTCTTCTTTATCTCACGATTTTCTCATTGAGCCCACAAAAATGGCGCGCAGACCTGCTCGATGCTACCGGTATTGCAAGAACAAGGTTAGACCTCACTCTGGCTGATGCCTTCGCCATGAAAAATCATATCTAAAATAGAACTATCCAGCCTTACCCCAAGTCACGCTTCAATCGTGGTGTCCCAGATGGTAAGATCCGTATCTTTGATCTGGGGCGGAAGAAGGCGTCCGTGGACGACTTCCCATGCGCCGTGCACATGGTGTCCAATGAATACGAACAGCTGAGCTCGGAAGCTCTGGAAGCTGCACGTATCTGTGCCAACAAGTTAGTCAACTTGTTTCCAACTCATCTTCATAATACGACTAACCTTGTTTTCTAAAAGATACCTCGTCAAAGTTGCGGGCAAAGAGACATTCCACATGCGCGTCCGAGTTCACCCTTACCATGTAATCCGAATCAATAAGATGTTGAGTGTAGCTGGTGCGGACCGTTTACAAACCGGGATGCGAGGAGCATTCGGTAAGCCAGCTGGCAAGGTGGCTCGAGTAAATGTGGGCCAGATTCTGCTTTCCGTGCGAACTGTCGATCGCCATCGAGAGACTGCAGTGGAGGCGCTTCGTCGTTCGATGTATAAGTTCCCCGGTCGGCAAAAGGTGATTGTTAGCAAAATGTGGGGCTTCACACCTTTGCCAAGAGATGAGTATTTGCGGTTGAAGGAGGAAGGCCTGTTGCGGAATGATGGTTCATATGTTCAGTTCTGTCGGCGGAAAGGAGAGGTGGCGGAGAACATGAAGAACTTCCCACAGGCATATAGTTCCGCTGTGGAGGTGCGTATATGAGGGGTGCCATATTTAATTCATTTTCTGTCGATATAACTTTATTCGTGGATGATTAAATGTGACATATAAACCAATCTCAACCGATTGCCTTTCTGTATAGTCCTCTACAGTCATCAAGAGAATCGCTTCAATCCAAACCCATCGAGTGCGCGTAAAACGGCCACAAGAGCCAAGGTGCACATACCAACCAAGTAAATATTACGTATTGCCATATGCAGGACTTAGTTTCCCTATTAGACACATGGGACCTGGGAAGCGGAAGAAAATATCCGAAGAAAGAGAAATTTCAAAAATATCTCAAAGGAACAACTATAAAGAACATCAAAACGACATCATAGAGCTGCATAAGGGGCGGACTATCTCGTCTGGCTGGCTCGGCAACTTGTATGCGAATATGGTGCTCCCGTGTAAAGCAAAAATAGAACTAAAATAAACGCCCGAAGCTACGCGAATCCCAAATACCATTATTTTGGTGGGAAGCTCGTGATCCGAACCTCAATTGCACGGCGTGTCGCACCAAGGTAAAGCTCGAGGTCCTATCGTGTGTTGCACCAGTTACTCAGTAAAGGCAGCCACCATTTGGTCATTCAGCCTCGCCTCCTCTTCCTGGTAAATGCCAAACTTGCTTCCAGTCATGCCATCAACAAGTTCACGGATCTTGGCAACTAGGGCCTCAGCCTCAGCCCGTCGCCCCTGGCCCCATAACGCTCTGGCAATAATTCTGCGAGCGTTCAGAGCTTGCGGAGAGGCTGGGCCAAGGTGTGGACGAGCATCCATCCACTCACGAACTGGCTGCTCGACTTCTTCGGCTTCCTTATATTTCCCCACCTTAACAAGGTAATCCGCTAGCATATGGGGAGGGACAACGTTCGACTCATCCGGCCTTTTCTTCACTAGCATACGGACTGTCTCCTCGGCCTGCGGGAGGTCTAACTCATTTTCGAACATAAATATTCCCTGCCATAATTCATACCACTGCTTGTAGTCGACTTCATAGAGTGACCCAGGTGGTGAAGTTTCTGCTTCTTTCTTTGCCAGTTTATTCCGGAGTAGTTGAAGGAGAAGCTGGAGCTTCGCTTGCTGGTCTGCGGTATTCTCGGGGTCGATTCCCGCCGGGTCTGAGGCTAGTTGCTCTAGTTCGGAATTTGAAAAGTTGCCGAGAAAGTTCCGGGCAGTGCAGTAACTGAAACTGTCCCAGAAATGATTCACAGGTACAGGGGCCTCCCATGAAAAGGACTTTGCCATCTCGGCGGTAGCGATCTCGCCGGTTGAATACCGGAAAGATGGAACTGTCATTGTTGGCATGAACTAAACCTGTGAGAGTGAAGGAAAGGATGTATCCGAAGGGACAGGGTAAAGTCAAGGATGAAGATGGTGGAATTTTTGAAATGGTATTATGTTCACCTGCGCGCATTATTCGGGGGCAGTCGGAGCCGAGGGGCTTGCAAATCAACGCATCTACGCTAGTACCTGTTTGGGCGCACCTGATGTTTTGATTTTGCATGCAGCCATGAAGACAGCATCTATAGATACATAGCTACATAGCTATGTAGCTAGTGCTATCCTCCTTTCTCTCTCCTGTTGCACTCCACTTTGGTCAAATGTTGCACAGAATTTCTCTCGGGTCGAGGTCTCCTGTTTTATAGCCTTATCTAGAGTATCGTCTAAATTGACCAATAGCACACCTTGTCTGTATCGGGCCATTCAAGTGGTTTCAATCAATCTCAGTGCAAAATTTGCTTGGAATGATATGTCATCTGGAAAAGCGTACACATCGACATTCAGAGAATGACGCTGGTGGTATGTATATATATATTTTTACCCCATCGATGCATCTGTAAATATTTGATGTTGGATGATATCTGTGTCATTCAGATAGGATAGATGAAGAACAGATTCTCCATATCAGTCATGTCTAGCATAGCAATTTCAACTTGCCTGCGTATCATATTCCCATTTTCATCAAGTTCCTCCACGATCCCAAATTCATGAGACTTTCTCTCTTCACTAGTCAAGGATGCCGCCCAAGCCTTCCGGTGAGTATTCCTGCGTTTCAATATGAACCTTATAATGAAAAGGATCATCGGTGTCCCCACCCAGCTGACCACTATCATGGAGATCCAGGCACCATAATAGCGAGGTGCGTCGCTAGGAACCCATATTTGTGGAGAACAAATATTCGCAATGGAATAACCAACCATGAACATGACATTTCGGGTCAACTTCTTCGTGTAGCCGGCCGCAGATGATGTAGTCCAACCCAATGCGATAATGTATGTATTACCATAGGTGTGTCCGGCCAGCAATAGACAAGCAAGCATCCCTAGCTTCTGGTCCCAATCAATGGCAACCATCCCAATTCCACCTGCAACCGCAGGTATACACCAAAAGAGTCCGTGAAGGGCAAGATTTGAAGGCCACCACCGTAGGGCATAGGCTCCTGCAAGACAAACTAGCACACCAAAACCACCGCCAGCTGCAGCCACAAGAGTGGAACCCAAACTGTCCACTCCAAGAGCCTTTGTAATGAGATTTTGTTGTCCGTAGGTGAGATTATTAGACATCATGAGTGTGAAGGACTGCAGAGCAAATAGCCACGAAATGGGGTCACGCATCGTCTCTATAAATTGGCTCTTCTTGAACTGCTTCTGTTCAATAGAACTTTGACTTGACTCATGCACTCGTCTGATAGTGTGGATCTTTTCCTCGAGTGACAGGAACTGAGCCTCAGCTGGATTGTTCGGATACCGAAACCAAACAAGGACAGAAAGAAGTACCGAGACAGCTCCAGTGATGATCATAAATAGCTTCCAGGGCAGAACAGTGCTATGACTCCAAAGCAGCCCGTAGGAGATAAACGCGGCACATATAGGTGCGGCTGCTGACGTCAACCAAAGGAAGGGCTGGAGAAATGACTGTTCGTAGCGATTAAAGAACATCCCGATTGTGACTTCCATCGCAGGTACAACGACAGATTCAGCGGCACCGAGAGCCAATCGCAGAACTACAAGACCGGCATACGTTGTGGCAACGCAGTGAAGTAGTAGGATGACACCCCACATGAAGACAAGAGCGGCGACAAACTTTCCAAATGGTAATTTTTGCATAGCATAATGTCCCGGCCATTGTGCAACGATATAACCTAGGGAAGTGTTCAGAGAAGTTGCAATCGGAGCAGCAATAATGTCACATACCGACATAGAAGAAAGTTCCAAGATTGTTGTATTCAGCCTTGGTTATTCCAGTCTCTTCAAACAGGCCGAGGATAGCGGCGTAGCCCAGAGTAGATTTATCAATCTAGAGAAGTTAGAGGTTGGAAACAAGATGGTCGGATATCGAGCTCACAAATAGTAGTAGGTTAATAGCGGAGAGCAGCCCGAAGATATGCCAGTACAATTTGCGTCGCAGCTGTTTCTCCTTCTCTGGCGTCAATGGACCAACAAGGTCTCCATGGAGCTCAAGAATGCGCAGAGTTTCATCGGCATATTTGGTACCGATAGCTTTCTCGTTCGTAGGTGATGGACTCTCCGAGCCCGTGCGCTCAGTCTTGAAGGCCAAATCCATAGGTGCGTGCGACGTATTTCTTGCAACGAAAAGACGCGCGCACCATTGACTACAGTATTTGAGTTAAGTAGGCACCTGAAAAAAATAAGAGAAATGAGTGTGTTATTGTCGTTTTTGCGGTGTCCACACGTTTATCACGCCATAATTTAGACAAAAAACGTATCTCGTTTGCTTTTTCTTGGCTCTAGAGATAGGCTTGATTCAAACGAGACCATCATAAATATCATTGCGACTTCGAATTACACACCATGGGCCCCAATTATACTCGTTCCTCTCACAAACTCCAATAGGGTCAGATAGGGATTGGTTGCCTAAGGCATGTAAGCCTCCCCCCTGTTGCTCTTCCTTCTCTCCTTCTCCCTCTCCCCGGCTTCTATCCCTTACTTTCTCCCCATGCATTATGCGTGGTGTTGTACAATCTTGAATCACACGATATCGACTTTATCCTATAATACCTAGAGCGGGGTGAAGCGAGTCGACAAGAATTACTATCACTTGCCTATATTTCCCTTGAGTGTTACACGAATTCTAAGTGGGGACTGTGTGAGGGCCAGCCAAATACCGGAATATGTTCAAAGTCCGATCTAGTCCTGCAATCCAGAATCCCCTTTCGAGGTATGTCTTTCAACTCCATGGCTAGTCATCTGTCCAAGTCAAGCGTCTTGGGCTCAATCTATCTTTTAAAGACTTTGCGCCCACGATCTCAAACACATATGACGTGATAAATAGCCAAATAACCCCCCGCAATTTCCAATAAAACGCCATCGTTGCGCGAAATCGCATGGTTATATCTAAGACAACTTGACGCATCTGTGTCTGCCACCAGGGTTAACTAACCTTATTCCTTTCACAATTTAGCTAGTTATAGCGTGCGATATATCTTTTGGCTAGAACTAAAATAGTACCGAGATGTCAATATAGCATTGATATATCTTTCCGTGCAAATCTTAGCTCTGCAGGCCTCCTACCAGTACAGATATATTAATGGGCCGTGTTTAATTTATCATAATTATTATGCGACACGCAGGCACCACATTCAGCGATATAAAGGTTTCCCCTCCGATAGACATTATGGACAGTGAATTGTCGCGGGCTACCTTCTCCACCTGTAGTGCATGAGAGTTGCGGGCTGAAGATCAGTATACATAACTGGCTCAGGGCACCAGATGACAAATTCACTTTGTATTTCTATTTCAAGGTCAAGATTTACATGGTTTCTCACTCGAACCCCTGCTTTGGTTGTGACATTTGCCCCTCCGATGTTGAAATCACTTCTCCACAGACAAAAGTTTGCTGGTATGCCAACTAGGACCATGAGCGTCTCTTGGACGGGAAGTCCGGGAGGGAAAGAAGGGAGGACATAATGCTCGGTGCTATTATATATAGATGACCCATAAGGCATAATTTTGAATGGCTTTCTTCAGCATATACACCATCATATCAAGTGACTAGAAGCTTGATCACCTTGCATTTATTGAATTATTTATCCCAATCTTTTCCCCACAAAGTACCTTGGACCTGCGTGATTTTCAGAGGGTTTGAAAATTCCTGCAATGGTTTGGCGCCATTCTTTTAGCGAACGTCCTGCTGCTCTGAACACTGCGGTCGAGAGTCAGACAAAGCAAGCTTCAACTGTTCGTGGCCGGTATATTGGCGAGACAGGAGGCAATAATGCGACAACAACGTATCAAGATGCCTCTGGCGCTCCAGTTGAGAACGAGTCACCATTAGGATACTCTGTCGGTCCCGTTACAATTACATTGCTGAACATCACAATGATGATTGGCGCTGGTATCTACTCCACGCGTGAGTTCGCCACAACCCATGCAACTCCAGAAATTGTCGCTAATAGGACGAAGCATCATCAATTCTCTCTGGTACAGGCTCAGTCGGCGTCAGTCTTGTTTATTGGACTCTCGGCTACTTGGTAACTATGCCTCGCCCATGATTCGAAAACTAAATTCACCATTGACTAGCCGTGCTTACTCTATTCTAGCTATGCCTCACATCTGGAGCAGTGTACCTGGAGTTTACGGCATACTTCCCTAGTCGATCTGGTTCAGAAGTAGTTTTCCTCGAACAAGCTTACCCTAATCCTAAATGGCTCTTTCCAACCACCTTCGCAGTTCAGAGCGTCATTCTTTCGTTTGGAAGCGCCAATGCTACAGGTAGGTGGTTTTTTACTTGCCACACGGTATTAATTAACAATCTATAATAGTCATGGCTAAGTATCTTATCGCCATCTCTGGACACGAGGGCACCGACTGGCAAATCAAAGGCACTGCTCTAGCCTGCTATAGTCTTGCTACATTGAGTAAGTTCCTCTCAGTGCATCATTTGGTTTCAACTCGGAATACTTAGAGTCTGCAGCGCTAGTATTCAGCACGAAATACGCATATTGGTTCTCCAATGCTGTTGGAATTGTGAAGATTTGTACCCTTCTCTTCGTCATAATCACGGGCTTTGTTGTCTTGGGGGGCAATACCAAGGTTGGAAACCCCACGGCCAATTTCCAAGATGCATGGTCGGGTAGCTCTACGGCTTCCGCGTACGGATTTACTACTGCCTTATACCGTATAATCTTCTCCTATGGAGGCTATAATAATGCCTTCAATGTTGCCAACGAGGTCAAGGTATGGCGGCTCGAGATTCATGTCACACCAGGCTGAGACTGACAATTCCGTTGATAGAACCCCGTCAGGTCACTCAAAATATACGCAACCATTGCGCTTACAGCAGTTTATGTGTTATATATGTTTGCGAACATCGCATTCTTTGCTGCTAGTCAGTTACCAGTTTCCCATCTTGTACTAACATTACCATACTAATTCTATATGATTCCACAGTTCCCAAGGACGAGATAGAGAATTCTGACTTGACAACTGCAAGTCTGTTCTTTGAGAAGGTTTTCGGCAACAGCGGTGCAGTCCGCGGTCTCAACTTCCTCATTGCCTTGGCTTCGTTCGGCAACATGATAGCTGTGATAATTGGCCTATCTCGGCGGATCAGAGAATGTGGACGACAGGGAGTTCTACCTTGGACAAAATTCTGGGTCTCGACTAAGCCTTTCGGCACGACCTTGGGTCCATACGCTATCATTTGGTTTCTCACCGCGCTGATGATCCTAGCCGTCCCTGCTGGAGACGCCTTCACTTTTAGTATGAATTTCTTTTTTTCCCCCGTTAGAGGCCAATCAGTGGTTTGTGCAATTCTAATACTGGACAGTCAATGATTTAAACATCATCCCCTCCGCTGCCTTCAACCTTGCAATGGCTCTTGGTATCTACGTTGTTCGCTGGCGACGAAGCAAAGTCAACCTCCCCGAACCTGAATTCAAAGCTTGGAATGTGGTTATTCTCTTTAACATCCTCGTCCAGCTGTATCTCCTGGTCATGCCCTGGTATCCGCCGGCAGGTGGTCAATATGCTGGTGATGTCAGCTTCTGGTATGCAACGTATGCCGTGACAGGAATTGGAATGTGAGTCAATTCAACTCTTTCTACGCGTCTCTCCTGATGCTAGTCCATTATTACTAACCAAAGTATGTAGTCTTCTTGCATGCGCTATCTATTACTATCTTTGGGCCTTTTTGATTCCCAATTGGAAGGGCTACAAACTGCGACAAGAACTGTTCAGTCTAGATGGTGGTGTTCAGAGCAATCGGCTTAAAAAGGTCCCTAACGCCAAGGTCACAGAATGGGATGCGTCGCACGATGCGGCTGGTCGTCTCATCGAGTCACCGGTTGGAATTTAGGCTCTGGTAAAAGTCATAGACTTATGATGCAGATGCGCTAGAGGCAATACTCGAGGCTGAAAGTATTTCGCTACCAATCGTATTCTTGGTCTCTCGTCAAGTTGTTCTTGTATATATTTTCGACAGTATGATAATCAGGTGACGGGAAACGTGAGGTAAAGTAAGGTATGGTGAGATAAATCAATGTACATAACTCTAACTGATAACCTTCACATGATAAAATCCGCTTTTTGACCAATTTGTGCGGACATAGCTGACTAATTCAAAATAGTGGATGCCGGGTACTGGCTGTCACATGACATGTCGGGTACAATACCCTGTTTCCACCCAGTATTACAGGCAGTATTTCTGATTGTGCATCACTGCTGCCTGAATTTTTAGTACCGCCTTCCTAATTAGGTACTACTTTTGCTTGGTCGTCTATTCCCACCTACCGTCTTCCACACCGCCTTCAACTTGTTTACACCTTTATGTCAAACGTCTCCATATCTCGCACCTTGAGCCACGATGTTACCGGATTTTTTGACAAGTCAGTATCTTCAGTACAAAACAGATACTGATATTGTAGCCACATGGCTAGCAAGTACGGCAAAGAGGTGTGGGCTCGATGTGAGCTAGGAGGACAATCAAGGGCCTGGGCAAAAGCCACAAAAACCGACTGAAAGGGAAAGCGAGAAAGGCCGCTAAGGCTGCAGAAAAGCCCATACCAGCCAACGAGAACAGCAAGATTCCAAAGAAGCCAAAGTACACCTTCTCCATCAAGCAATTCACTAGCTTTGCGGAGCATATCGCTGGGTATGACAACCCCCCCCCCCCCCCCCACTGGGCCCGTGGAAGTCTCCCGAGGGTTCAGTCTTGCACTCGATCGTGCCATTTCTGCCCGCCGGGAATTCGCGAAACATGAAATTGAAGAGGTGGACGAGGCTGCCAAGGAAAGCCACGGATTCTTCGTGGACGTGCTTGAGCAGGTCCGCCAAACCCTGCGCCCACTAATGCCCAAGAGGCAAGCGGATATGCCAGGAGTCAAAAAAGATGAGAAGTCACTGGCCAATAAATTCGAGCATCTTGAATTAGAAGAACAATCAGAAGCCTTTCTCAATGCGCCTGATGGTCCTAAGCCAGTGGTGCCAGAAAGGTCTACAGGTCCTTCAGCTCCCGATCTCGAAGCGGAAGCTGAATTCAAAGCCGAAGTTGACCTTGACCGCCGTGAACTCATTTCCATGTTCCATCTATTGATTCAGGATGCAAACGCCTTCATGGATGTTATCGAGGAGACATGGAAGGGGTACAAGGATGGCCTTGTGGATCTTGTGTCGTCTTCTATGACTACCAACACCGCTATCGATCTCCTCCGGCGCATGGAAGGGGAAATGAAGCCTTTCCTTGACAAATTTGGTGGTGCGGAAAGCCTCCTTCAGGCGTATTACTATGCCCGCTGTCATCACTTTGGGGAAGATCCCGACTACAAAGAAAGGCCCGGTGATGGCTTTAACTTCAAAGTTTGCAGTCAAACGCAAGATATTTTTATCTCAGCGTGGCAGCTTCTCCGAGCGTTCACGGCGATATGCAATCCGGGCCAAACGCCGTTTTATAAACCGGAATTTTATGGAATCTACGATCCCGAAAGTAACCGTAAATTGAAGCTAGCATGGGAGAGGTTCGCTGAAGATATCTGCATTCACACTTATCATCAAACTACGCCTTGCGTTACAAGGTGAGGCGCCCGAACTTGCGTTTGACTATTTTTTGATGCATCGGACGTGCTGGCGACTTCTCACCGCCATCAAGGACGCCAGTGCAGGCCAGCTTCGCACCCTCTTCGGCACAGGCTGCATCGAGAAAGAGAGCCAATTTCCCTTGATGGTTGGGTATATCTTCCTTGCTGCTAGCAATTTGGACCGTGCGGCGAATATGGCTAAGAAATAGCCTGGCCAGGTGGCATCCAAACTGATGCTCACCGCTGCTGAAGTTCTCAAAACCATGTCGCAATCTGGAATTAGGGGGGGGGGGGGTGGTCGTCGCTCAGGTTTGCCGCGAATTCCATGGTCTTTTATTCGAAGTCGACTCTGACTCGGAATGTGACTCGATACCCGAGGGCCCTGAAGTGAGCTCATCGGAGTCGTACTCAACACAATGGTGATTATTGAGCTATCTTTGTATCATACGTATATAGTTTTTTTTTTCAAAAAAGCTGTCTGTGTTAAGCGAGTTCGATGAACAGGCACAGTCGATTATCGATAGGAGGGATTTTGTGGTTGATTCAAAATGTCGGAGGAATCTCTCGAACCACGAGGCTGTCATCAAAGATGCCGGGAAATGCTTACCGAAGTGATTGGCCATCGTCGCATTGGCTGAACATATTCTGTGTCCGAGTCATGGGATGCGAGTCCCCCAGCCCTTGTAGTGCCTACAACGCCTCCATATTCTTAAATACATTGAATGTGGCGCCAGCCACAGTTCTAGTCCCTGGAGCATGTAGGCACAACATGGATTCGTTCTGAGTACCAAGTTTGCATTTTCCGATAGGATCAAAAACAACGGGTGAATACGGACATACAATTGAATACAATCAATTCACTGGTGGTCACCCCACCACTACCTCACTCGCGTGCGACTTAACTGAGCGGATGGCCATGGTTGTCATACGTACTTGAAATGGTAGAAACATTCTAAAGAGTCGAAGCTGAGATGAGCAGTGGATAAAAAGACATAGGTGTGCTATAGACCGGGCGAGAGGGTGAGACGACCGGGCATTCCCATCTGCTTCCCCTAGCAGTTACGGAACTATATTCCTAGCCAGTGATGAAAAGAGTATGGTGTACTCCGTACTTAATTTAGCGTCACTGGGCATGTCACAAGTTGTATCTATCCGTCGTTTGGAGCCTATCAAAAGCCGCCGAGAGCTAAAAGAGGTGTGATAACCCCTCTTTTCATCCCGACGCAAACACAGCCCCGAGATAGCTCTCTACCATGCCCTATAGGTTAAGGCTCACTGGTATCGGTCGTCAGGCAACTCTCATTATTCAATCTCTTGGTGATGTTTAATTTATATTATGAGCGCTGCGCCACGCTATTGTGGCAGAACAGCCTGTCCTGTTAGGTATCTGTCCTCAGGCATCTCTCATTCAATCCTTTAGCGCCGTTTAATTTCTATTCTGGGTGCTGTGCCACGTCATTGTGGCAGAACAACCCTGCCGTAACTAATGGAATCCTTCCAAGGCTGAACGCGGAGCCTGAGATAATTGATATAAATAATTATGCTTCAGAGGGTATAAAGTAGTCGAACAGAAACCCTTCATACCCAAATGTATATTCCGATCTATTGCCTCTAAATCCCAAGAATTCCAAAAGCTCATGATGACTTCTCGATATTCCCATTTTGCAACTTCGCCCATGACTCCTTTATGCGAGATCATCAAACTCGAACCTGAGAACGAGCCTTGGTGTGCCGGTTACGCTCCTTCGCAGGGCCGTCGTTGTCATGCCCGTACAAATGCACGCGGTCGTAGGTCGGCAATGATTCTTCTCAGCGATGGTACCAAAGACCTTTGCACCGGTCGGAACATTGATACATTGCTAGAGGATTTAGCTCCTCATGTTTTATGCACAAGGTTCCACCAGAACCAAGCATCTGATCTCGCCCGTCGTTGGAAAAGACAAGTCCGTACATATCTCGATTCGCAGGTTGTTTCGATGCCATATAGACGGCCAGTGAGAACACCATCCAGAATGATCTCGGCGCCCGCTGAGGCGAATATGGATGACATGATTGTCGTTCTTCGCCAAAAACTTCGCGATGCCGAGGAAGAACTCAGGCGCTTTAAGCTCGCTCAATCTGGCCGACCAGTTACTACAATGTCTCCTCATCACGAGGGTAGAGCCATGAGCGCAGTTGTCAATTCTAGCAGCATGGGAAGGGCACCGAGCAGAAATCCTCCAGTAAACCGTGTCAACGAAACAGTGAGAAGAGAATTGACACAATCTTCTACCAATCAGTCAGCAATCACTACACCTCCTCCAGTTCAAGCCCAAGCCAGTCTTCAAACAAGCGATGTTTCTATTTCGATCCCAAGACCAGTGGACACACCAAATATGACAAGACCAGTAAGCACACCAACTGTGGCTCACGTCGCCAGCAGCACTGGTACCACAGCCAGCCGGGATGAAATATCCCAGGTCAATCGCCGTAAGATTGAAGGAGAATGTGGTATCTGTTTGCGCAACTTGCATTGCCCGCAAGATGAGGACCGGGAGGAACAAGAGGAGAGCGAGAACAGTGGTGGCGATGACAATGATGATAATGATCAACACAATGATGATGATGATGATAAGGATGATGATGATGAACAACTTGAAGAATTGGTTTGGTGCAAGACACGCTGTGGAGTCAACTTCCACAAACAATGCATCGACCAATGGCTGGAAACAGATCATGCTTCCACATGCCCAACATGTAGAAGTGATTGGAAACAGTGAATGGGTATGAAACCTTTCTTATATGACATGACGGCTTTGATATATATTATTGTTAAACGAACTACATACGAACCAATCAACTTTCTGTTTTTTTCAGCATAAATGCATAAGTAGATTGGAATTCTGATAGCAGAAAAGAACAAGCCCCCCTCTTGGATAGACAGTTGTATCAGGGGTATTGTAGGAAGCAGTAGCTGATCTAGGTGGAGCTGCTATTTGCTGGGAAGCGCACTTTTGACTAGGACTTACAGATCCTGCGCCTTTCAGTGGATATAACACCCAGAGAATGAAATTACCACAGCTACCTGATGCTATCGAGCCCGTCTGAAAAGAATCAGGCAGTCCGATGATCACAATCCGTTTTTCCATTCATGTTAAACAACTAGGAACCTTGAGGATACAAATTTTTTGATCAAGTTGATTGATACTGATAAGAATATGGTCATTATATACGCATCTTTCCTTGTCCTCAACTTCTCGTTGGTGTTTCCACTAAGCTAGGGACGTATCGCCTAAGGTGATATCCGAATAAAAAAAACCATAAACTTGACACTGTGCACGTATGTCTAGGCTAAATCATGCTGCAACTCGATTTGAAAACAACTATCTTCCACTGAATGACGCGTTTATAGAGAATCGGGGTCTTTTTTCATAGGTATGAGAGACCATGCTTCCGTCCCTCGGTCATGACTTTCGTTGGCCTCAAAAGACATACCAAATGATAACCCCAGCGCTACCATTGATCAGTCCAGTACCCTGAAAAAGGCATTGGAACCATGTATACCTTTCCATCTCATCTTTCATACGCGCGATCTTATCCATGACTAATGCTCCTCTATAGGCTTTGGCCTCATATTCATCTATGTAGAGAACGCTCACTTGAACCCCAGTTAATTGTTCCGGTGTGGCTGTCTCAGTAACTAAAGGAAATAAACGAAAGTATGTCTGCGGCTGCGCGAGGAATCGGGTAGTTCATATGCGTCGTAAAATCGCATTATATCATGGCCGGATTGTGAAAACAGTAAAAATCCAATTTGTGTAGTATTAAAGTTGAGACGCAACTAATTTGTATTTGACTTGATTCAAAACTTGGGGACTTTTCGCTACATCCATCTCATTGTACCAGCCATCAAGGTAATCATTTTGTTTCATCCAATACGTTAAACCCCACGCGACTAATCTGTACATTTAACTTGCTTGATGTTGGGACTTGTGGAAGAGTACATCTCGTTGTGCCAACCATCAACGAGAATCATGTTGCTTCTAGAGTCACCGTCCGCGGTCCAGAAAGTGTAAGATTTCCCCATTCCACTTGTACCATCCTTAGTCTTGAATTTGAGCATATACCAAGGGCCGAGTGTTTCAACTGCATATTCACTGATGCCTGTTTCCTGCGTCATGTACTCCGAGGGATTGCCAGAGCTGCCTACCACCCAGTTGACAGTAAATTTCGTGCCATCACACAAGTAGGCGGCTGACAGCTGACTGAGCAAGAGCGCTAAAGATGCGTTTGCGAGCTTCATGGCTTTGGCGCTGGAATTTAAGTCAGAGGTGATGGTTGGATTGGCACCAGAACTAGATGGATGTGGGTGGTATATCAAAAATATGGCTCTGGTTAGAAGGATTAGGTTGGATAGAGTAACATCTATGAGATTATAATAATAAAGTCGCCCGTCGACTGTAGCATGATGACCTTTTATAGAATTGTGGTACACTATTCGTAATGAATAGCTTCTGTAATTGCTGTAGATCCAGATCCAATTCGACTAGTAGTGAGGTAATTGCGTCGAAGTATGACTAGCATATACGCCAGACTGCTTCTGTTTGCGTTTGGCCGATAAGAAGATCTAAATTTTGTGGCTTATAACCAGCTGTGATTGAGTATAAAGTCGCGCATTCTCCATTTAATATGACAGATTATGATAGCTAACACCATTCATTGCAAACTCTGGTCCAACGGCGAACATATGGATCGAGTTGACAAAAATGACATCGTTCTTCAAATTGTGCTTTGCAGTATGATATCAAACCAAATTATGGAAAACTCGAACTTGTCAAGCACTCTTGGAATTAGGTTCAATCGACAACATAATGACTATCCATGTATACACTGCTTCTGTATTCAACCAACATTCTGTGGCATGGGGACAAAGTTAACTTTGTGGACTGGGGGTCTATAGGGCAAGGAATGGACTAGCAAAAGGTGCTGTTGACCAAACATCGGATGGAAGTGGTCAGAATTTCGCGCGATATATTTTGGGTCAGACCCACATGTAGAAAACCCAATTTGACAAAAAAGAGGGTCTTGGCGGCATCAACCCGCTAGATCAGCGGAATTATACACACAAACTTGTTTGTTATTTTGTACCCCAATTTAGGGTAGAATCAGTTAGAACACGGGATAGCCTGCAGTTGACCAGGTATAATTATACAAGGTGGCGGGTGGACCTCGGGAGTGGCCGTTATGGAATACCGTGAAGCTTCCGAGATTTAAGGTTACCCCATACTTAGGTAGGATGACGTATTTTAGCTCTAAGGGTGGCGAGTAGAGAACCCCACTGTTTTAGTCGAGACCCTATAGCAGTAGGTGACATGTAAACACAAAACGATAAATTGTCTAGACTAGAATTCATCAGTGTAAATATCTTCACAGTTAGGTCATAAATGATGTCAATCTGAGAGCTATAATCCATGTGATAATCATCGAGGAAGAGAGACTTACTATTAATTGGCATGTGTTTCCAACAAGAAAAGTTCGTTATGCCTGCTGGTACTCTGTATCATCATCCATTATCTTAATTATCACACATATCCAAACATTCCGTCTCGATCTATCATGAGATACTTACCAATTCTTCTGGTTTTTGTCTTTGCAGCAATCACTTCAGCATGCGGTAATAATGCGTATCGATGTGTTGGTTCAGGCAGTACGGATGACGACTGGGTGCATACGAAATGCATTTGTGACTTGATTAAGTCAGACACTTGCTACTGCTCTCACAGGGCAGAAACATATTGTGATCCATCTGGTGATAACATCAAACATTTCAAAGATGCTTGCGAGGCATTTTCTGGGTATCATTGGCGGGAATGTTGAGTTCGACTTCAGCCTGAAGAGCTACTGCCTGAAGAGCTACTGCTTTGTCACACCTTTAGCGCTGAATATGTCTTGAGGAGCTAAACCCGTTTCTATGTGTACTGCGTTAAAACTGTTTCTTTGACTACCACATGTGTTCACCAAGAGCACCAGTTATGTAAAACTGGAGGTTGAAAGATATTTTGTCATGGGTATTACTATGGATTTAAGAAAGCCTTGATATTGGTTTTTCCCATCCTTGGGTTTTCCTATATTATTATGCAAATGCAGAGGCAGAAATTTCAGAATTATCAACACCAATACCAGACTTTAGTGAAGAATACTGTCAGGATATTATACGCCAATATAGGATCATGATAGAAGACATGATGTTTTTATTATTTTGCCATGTAGTTTGTCTCCTGGCTATTTCCCCTGCACTGAAAATTAACAATATACACAGCACTTAGGGATGAGTGAGTGATATCGGTCACTACACCCAGAGAGGCTGTGTATGTCAACGGTGTTTGATTTCTGGAAAATACTACTTTTGATGAAACCACCGAAGCCTGATAGGGGAGAGAATGACTAAATAAGATCCCCAGCGACACTCCGTATATGGAGGGCATGATCCAGAGCGGTAAATTATTCTTCTGAATAGGGAGGGGAGGACCCACGTGCGTGATATTCCAACCCCATGCATTGAAGAAGGAGTTGTAGAGCAGGGATCATCCTGACATTGTCATTGCTCCCCACACTAAGAGTTGTGGATGTGTCACTCTCCCAGGGAACCCACGCCAATATCAAACTTCTTACTCCAAATCGGGGCTATGATATGCAGTTCCCGTGTTGATGGGAATAGATTGTGCATCATGCACTTGATGAAATTTAATGATTGGGCGACATGAGGCGTTATGATAGGCAATTTTGCCCTCGTGAGTCGAAAATTCAGCAGATCGACATATTGAACCTTCTTCAGCTTGTGATTCTTCCTCATCTTCAAAAGGATATTAACCGAGCTGAATAGATCTGAAGTAGCGATATTCAGCTCGTATGCACTGATCTTACAGATAATCCCATAGCTGATGGCTCAGCTGATTGTGACTCCTGGTACGTGTTGAATTCTCATTGGAAGACTAGCACTACACTGACCCATGCTCCTAAGTGAGTGATAGACTGATCGATTCTGGAATTTTCATCATCGATACAAAGATAGTAGGGGTACCTAGAGCATCCTACCCCACTATCCTGCCACGACAGCCCGAGCGAGAAGGCACGCCAATGTATCTGCACCTACTTGCTTTTTCTGGATATAATTCGGTGATTGTATTTGAAATAATACTGTATTCAAAGTGGGTGGCATGTGAGCATTAGTGTGACTTCTCACCCAAGCTGTCGTGGCAGAGCACATTGCATGTTGAAGAAATAGTACCTCGCAGATTTACATCAGTATTATTGTTAGTCGATAGATCTTTCGACCCGATCTGGAATAGTCTATCTTGGCAAAACAAGCCTACAAGATCGGGCCAAGAGGGCAGGCAGATCGAGACGGGAGAGAACGGAATGAAACTTAAATTTGGGCTTGCCTGTTGATACATCTCACCGCTGTTGTGATGAGATGTATAAACTCAGCTACAATTGTCGATCCACCACCTATCACATACATCTTGGCGTAAGTTATAAAAAGCCCCATGTTGGACTTGGAAGTTGGTCGCAATCGCATCAATCATTCTTATTAATCTTCAAGTTTACTTCACGTCATCACCCTCCGTTGAAATGGGCAAATTTAATCTTCATTCAGACAAGTCTGAGGCATGGGCCAATCATGCCGAGACCGCTGCAGCTCGCGAAGCTGAAATCAGAGCACCTGGGTCAATCCCCAAGGAAAACTTCTGGCAACCGGGCGAATGGGGAGACTGGACTGCATTGGAAAAGTCTTTTGAACAGGAAGCTCGAGGATGCGTACCACCATCGCAAGGTGGAGCTTTTCAAGGCGATGAAGAGTTTCATCGAAGAAGCCTACAAGCCTGACACAGATGAAAAGGAGCCCTCAGCTGAAGCTGTCAAGGCCGTTGCTACTAGCGTCGCCAAGGATATTGTGGTCTATCTGCTGGTTCAGTCGGGAATGTACGATCATGAGGGCGCGAGCATGGCAGAAAGCTTGGCAAAAAAGCAAGCTGTCAGCGCCTCGAGAATAGATATATCCGGTCCATCGCTGGAGAGAATCAAGGAGGCGTATAAGGAAAAGGTTAGTCTATTCCCTGCTTCCATTGATTTGTGTGTACCGGGAAATTTGGATGGAACTATCCTCTAGAGCGTCAAAAGGGAGGCCAATATATCCTGAGCTAGAACTTATGCTAACTGGTAAACCTTAACAGAAATCTATCGCAGACATTCTTTCATTTGAAATGAACAATGATATCAAGACCCTCGACATGTACATCACAGTGATGGAGCCTCTCGAGGAGATTGCCGAAAGCAAAAAGCAGATCATATCCATCTTCGATCCTTCCAAGGTGCATATCTACCATGGATTTTCAAAGGACGACAAATGGGATATGGATCGAGCCCAAAGAGCAATAAAAGCGATCAAAAGTAAAGGGTATATGATCAGAAACAGGGATAAATTCACAGCCTTCTTCGACACCGATGAGAAAGCCGCCATTTTCGGGGAAATGTTCCAGGATGTTGAATGGTCAAATGACCTGGAGAACATCCAAATGGAGCGATCGATCCTTGAAGCTCTCCTAGAGGCCAAAGGAATCCTGGCTTTGCTGCTGAAGTTTATGGTCGATAAAGTGGATGGCGATGCGATCGCCAAGGTTGATAAGGTGAAAGGAAGATTGCAAACACTCAATGAAGCTGGCAGGCATGCATTGACTATGGACTTGCTTAAAGATCTTTGACCGGGTTTCAAAGAGCGAGTACGGAAATTTGAACGAGTGGAATCCTCGTAATTTCCGTCTTGGGAAAGCAGCCACCGTTTAATGCATCCAAACATTCACAATGCTTTCGGGAAATGGTGACTTCAAGGTTGTTTCGGATGAGTATGATTAAGCATTGCAATTTGAGGGAAGAGCCACTTTGATCAAACAGGAAGCTACAGACGTAGTCACGACGTAAATAGTACAGAATCGGTAGGAACGAACCTGCTGGGTAGAGGGTAGATCGTGTTTCCCCCCAGGGCTCCAGTTGTTTTCTCAAAACATTCACATATTCTCATCATGGCCTACACAAATACTACTCTGATTATGGCGACAATTACCACCACTTTCTTCGATACTGTTGTGTATGGACCCTCTGCACCTCCCTCTGCACCTCCCTCGCCTGCTCCCTCTGCCGCCCCCGCCAGCCCCCCGACCGCGATTGAAAACTTGTCAAAGTTGCCGGAGGGCCTCTGGGCCCTGATCCTCCTCGTGGTGGGCGCTCTCCTGGCGGTCGGCGTCATGAGCGCACTGTACTTCCTCTTTTGGAGGAATAAGAAGGGTGATAAGCCCAATAAGAGCGAGGAGAGGGAGAAGAGAGAGGAGACCATGTAAGTTAAAGACCGTTATCCCTGTAGAACCTTCTCTGGGTGCTCCTCTGGATGCTCCTCTGGATGCTCCTCTGGATGCTCCTCTGGATGCTCCTCTGGATGCTCCTCTGGATGCTCCTCTGGATGCTCCTCTGGATGCTCCCCTGGATGCTCCTCTGGATGACCCTCTGGATAGTCTTCCTACAAACTAGCTAACATCTCGTGCATAGCATTGACGACTTCGTGGCCCCCTTGAGCCCCCAAGCCGCACTCACCGCAGAGTGGCTCCGGGATAGACGGGCAGGTAAGTTCAAGAGTCTCATAATTGCCCCTATACCCTCGTAGTAAATGCTGACAATGGTGGTTAATATTGAAGGCAAATCTCATTCCCGCCTCCGCATTTTGGTGGAGCCGGCCTACCACGATACCCTCCCGCCCTCCCCTGAGAGGTTAACCCGGAGTGACGTTGAGTTTGTCCCGGTGCCCCCGGGATTTATAATATCAGGCTCTCCGCCTCCCATCACCGCCTCCCCCGCTTCCGATCCCGCTATCTCCCCGAAGTTCAACTCGCGGGACCCGGCTACACCCTCCAGCGTGAGAAACACCTTGCGCCATAGTGCCCAGGCCACCAAGGAGTCCTACATCCTTAGCGATGTCCTGGGGGCTTCCCTGATGGCATGAAGGGGCGTTTGGTCCACGGCGTTCCTCGGTTGTTCTGCCCGTTTTCTTCACTCCGAAAACCTTAGCGAGGTGAGCTGAATGAAAACGGAGATACCATACATATAGGGCACGGGAAGTGGATGTTGTTTGTGGTGTTGAGTCGATGGCGTTCCTCGGTTGTTTTGACCGTTTTCTTCTCTCCGAGAACCTGAGTGAGGTGAGCTGAATGAAAACGGAAGTACTACATATACAAGGGATAGGGAGGGGAAGTTTTTTTTAGCGTTCCTCTGGGGCTTTTTGGCCGTTTTTGCTTCTCTCCGAGACCCTCAGTGAGGTGAGATGAAGGAAGAAAACTGGGTGAAGATGTGAGGTGGAGGTGAGAGGATGCGGGGGTTTTTATCTGTACTTTTGGTTTGTTGTTGCTTTTTGTCTCGTCTTTTTCTTTTAGTTGACTGGCCCCTTTTGGAGGTGACCGTGTCTCGATTTATACTATTGTTGGCGCCTTGGGGCACCTTGACTTTCCTCCTAGACATGAGTTTCGCTATTCACTGTAAACCCTTTGTCCACTAGAATTAGGTCCTGTGATAACCTTTGATTAATCTACCATCATGATAGATTTCAAAAAAAATATTTGAAGTATTGAGCATTGCACTTCAAAGTCTCCTATTTTGTCGGATGGAAGAAGTGTTTGGAATAAGGAATAAGATCGTATTGGAAATCCAAATCAAGCACACAGAAACAACCCATCCACCAAGCATATACATCCACATGTATCGTTCAAGTTGGTACCAAGAGAGACGAAACCTAGAGGTGTACTATGAAGATAAGGCATTCTGGAAAGTCTCATATGAAGTGCAAGACAAAGGGGGCTATCTACACTGCTAGAGAATCGAATGTTGGAACCAACCACAGAGATCAATGTGATACCCAAACAGGCATAAAGAAAGATAACACCAATATTCAACAGCCTGGGCGTATCTTGATCGCTTCACAGACCCTCATTACACTTTGCCATTAAGGCTGAGGTCAATGCTTCAAAATTTTCTTCCAAAGGTTCCTGCCTGGCTTTGCGGGAGTATCGTAAGTCACCTTCGAAACATTGGCCGCATCATGGCATTGAAGACTTTGGTCAAGTTTATCACTAATCTTATCCACCTTTGCCGAAAGCTAAAACAACCGATCAGAAGAGCGCGACGAGTCGCACGTGCAATCTGCAGCTCGCTCGTTTCCTCCCGTCCCTAAAGCGTCTCCATCGCAGGTGTCGTCGCGGTCCGTATCCTCCTGAGCCGGCTCGTGTCGCATCTGCTGGATTGGATCCCGCCTCAAAGAAGAATAGGTCCGGTTGAACTCATCAACAGTGAGTCTTGACATAGCGGTATAGATATCGGTGTTTTGAACAGTGCGTTCCTTGTACATATTTGCTAACTCTGTACAGGCCTGCGCTCCATCTGTGTATAAGCGACTCATCTCTAGAGTCACCTCCACAAGCAGAGGGTAATCCGTTTCGGCGGTCGCTTTGTCTGCAACCCTGAGAATGTCATTCGCCATATTGTCTAGCCGTTGGAGTTGTATCCGGCGTGTATACTCGCTCTCAATAATAGAGGTGAGTATATCTTGGCTTGGCTCGTTGGATTCGTATTGTGGAGGGTGATCCTCGCAGTATGACAATGCCTCCGATTCTTGGGGCGTAAAAGGTAGTTCGGACATTTTCAGAGATTATTCAACGATTCTTGTATGTCTTGTCGGATTTTTTATCAGGGAGGAAATAGAAATTTGTTAAAAAGAGGAATCTGGGATTGAGGTTTTGATATAGGGGAATAGCATATGTATATTCTGCTTCTGTCACTAGCCAGCCGTCGCCTAATATGGATTCCAGAGCCATGGTAGCCTACCCAAGTGGGCCGGATCGGCTCCGCCGACCTAAAAGGATTCTGACTGACTATGCAGGCGCTTCATCCAGCTGAAGCAAGAACTCGAGGCCAAACACCGAGTTAGGATCACTCCCAAGAGTAAATACAGAGGCTGATAACCTTTCCGAGATTCTTCTTCTATATTTGAGGGTCTCCTTACTTTAAAGCTGGCAAAAGCATGGAACCATGATTATACTAGTCGCTTCAACGAACTGACCACAAGTTTTTCAGTTACGTAGTTCTTTTAATATATCGATATTCATATCTAGCGTACATACCTTGCCTGCATTAAGGAGTGATAGTTTTCCAATAAATATCGAGTGATTTGCCTCCCATTCCTAGACTATTCTAAATTATATATTTTCAAAATTCCATCGGTCTTTTTCGAGGCTATCTCAACCTTCTTTGGGGTCTCTCTTTGAATAATTTTAAATATACGGCTGTAACCCCTACTATCCTCGCATTGAAAAACCTTGTAAACCAACTGTTTCCAGACTTTTTGACGAAGTTTACCTGTATATCGAGATGTATATTATACTATATATTTGCCACAAAGTAGATCTAATTCTAAAGAGGACAAAAGCCGTTCCTTCGATGAGACCATCCAAACTGGAGAGGAGAGAGAGCAAAAACAAACCAAACAACCATGCAGGTCTATATCGAGGATCTTATCTATCATATAACTAATCGCAAGCTTCTTTATACATTGGAATACAAAGTAGTGAAGTACTATGCCGAATGTGGAGGACCCACATAAATACTCCGACCCTATCTATCAATTCTCCATTGGAGGAATAATTCAAGCAGTTGTAGAACAGGGATGGCACTGAAATTGTCATTATTTTCTCCCATGGTGGCTATTGTTAGTGATTGGACATAAAATGATGGCAGTCGACTCCACCAAGTGGGTGATCTTCATCCTTCAGATTGAACAATTGGGAAATCCCCCCTTTCTAAAAATAGCTCAAGCCTTTTCTATGGCCAATACAAAAGAGTTGCCAAAGCAATGCAATGGAACAAATGTCTTCCCCCCTCACGGCATGCCCTCGGAGATAACACGGTACTAATGGCGTCATGGCTTACGCCTCAGTTCCGTCCCCGAGATCAGAATCGATAGACAGCCCCACACTAACACCCGAAGGCTTTCGATGTTGCCCTAACTCCTGAATATTCACCGTGGATGCGCGGGTTTGATTCGAGTAACTACTAGATAGTACATATGTTGTACATGGAAAAGTTGTTTTGCACATTTTAAGCCGTTTCACCACATATATGATCCAAACAAAATAAGATCCAAGAAAACATGTGAAAAGCCAGCCAAAATTACTACCAAAATAACTCCACAAGCACACATACGCGGCCAACATATGTACATAACTAGAAGTCTAGCAAGCCCACCAAAAAGCAGTATTAGTAGGCTTGGCACGATTATCAATCACCCTTCCTTTCTGACAAGGAAGGTTTGAGGGGGGATCATCTGTACTCACGTATAAAGTACCACCAGTTACAACGCAACTATGCATTTACCTTTAAAAGCAGCGCTGATCTTCCTGCATGAGAAATCACACTCATCACTCTTCCCTCAATCTACTATCCCTTTCACTTTCCTGTCTTGGAGGAATTTCTTCGGGCCCGTCATGAAGCTACTCCCCACCGTCGCCATTGCGGCAGCTTGTGGCTCACCACTCGCATCTGCCCTAATCCCCCCAGTCATTGATACTCACTACGGTACCATCAATGGCGGTCTCTCCCCTTTTGCTGGGGGTGACAAAGCTTTCGTTTACAAGGGAATTCCGTATGCCCAGCCGCCCACCGGCGCCAATCGCTGGACGAAAGTAGGTGGTCCAAGCTACTGGGGTGAGCTGAATGCCACTGAGTTTGGCCCGCAATGTGCGCAAACAATCAGCGGCGCTGGTATCTTCTCTAGCGGCAAGAACACAACTAGCGAAGATTGTCTTACCCTCAACATCTGGACCCCAGCATACAAGGACCAAACCAACATGGCATCGAAAAATCTGCCTGTTTTCTTCTGGATCTACGGTGGACGCTTTTCGGGTGGTTCTGCTGATGTCAAGACCTACGACGGTACCGGTCTAGCGCAGAAAGATATTATCGTGGTTACTATCAACTACCGTCTCGGACCCTTTGGATTCCTCGCTCACCCCGACCTGACTGCTGAATCAGGCACTAACAGCTCAGGCAACTACGGTATCTTGGATCAACAAGCCGCTTTGCATTGGGTTAAGGAGAACATCGCCAAGTTTGGTGGTAACCCTGGTCAGATTACAGTTGGCGGACAATCCGCTGGCTCGGCTAGTGCCCTCGACGCTATGTGGAGTCCTTTGGTTGCTGGCCTCGCTGCTGGAGTTATCTCGGAGAGCGGTGCACGCGGACCCCACGATCCGATGACTGGTACTGTGGCCACTTCGTACAGGGCCAAAGAGGCTGCGGAGGCACATGGAGGTAAGTAGAGATGGGATCAAATTGCCACAACAATACATCCTAATATCAATATATAGTCAGTTTGTTGAAAACCATGGGAGTAAGCTCAATTGCTGAACTCCGAAACGTTTCTATGGAAAGCCTTCTTGAATACGATATGCTGAACGACATTATCTGGGAGGGTACTGTGTTTGAGAGCTTCCCCGATGCGTTCATGGAGCCACCTATGTGGCGTCCCAACCTCGATGGCTATGTTTTCACAGACACCTATTTTGGCGCTTTGAGCAGCAATTCCCATGCCGATATTCCTATCCTGACTGGCAACAACGCAGATGAGTCTGGATCTACCCCGACTCTCACCTACTCTGCCTCCGAATACCAGGAACTTTTCAGCATTCTTTTCGGTGACCTTGCGGATGAATTTTTCTCCTTGTATCCCGGTGAAAATACCACCCAGGCCTCGGCAAGTGGCAATGAGTTCTGGAGAGATCTAGGTCGAATCGGAACCTGGACCTGGGCCCTAGACTGGGCTGCTGGTGGCGCGAAGGAAAATGTCTATACTTACTACTTCAATCACTGGCCGTGAGTTTGTCCTAATCAGTTCGGAAGCTACTCTTGGCTGACACTCTTACAGTGCCGAAAAACGATCAAACGGTGCTTACCACGGAAGTGAACTTTGGTATACGTGAGTTATTGGCATAACGGAACGTACACTCGATCAACAGCAACTAATCACAACGCAGCTTCAACAACCTGCCCTATAGCTCATACGACAATGCGACATGGAACGACGAAGATTACAACGTGCAGACGAAGATGGCGAACTACTGGGCCAATTTCATCCGAAATGGCAATCCCAATGGCGACGGCCAGGCTCAATGGAACCCCTCCAAGAAGCATGAGCAGACTATGTGGCTAGGAGACCAGTGGGGAATGGGCCCCCTTACTATGGACAACAAGCGCATTGCGTTCCTGGAGAAGTGGCTTGCTAGACAGTCAGCATGGTAATTAAGTTTCTCATCGCTCAGATGACCGTCCAACTCTGGGTGATCTGTAGCCCAGGTCCGCTCTGTTCTATTTTGTACTGGAGAATATAGATTACTATGAGGTATATACACGCATATATTTCTGTGCTTGCACATAGCAGGCACTTTCGTCTGCCAGATCCAAGTTTCATTATGCCAATTCTGCATGTGCTTCGCTTGTGTCTCACTTGTGCTTCAGTTATGTTATAAAGTACATATTATTAACATCATCCACAAAAGACAAAACTTGGACAGGCATCAGCCAGCTGTACTTGGGAAACCCGAGAGACCCTGACAACCGAAGAGTTTTCATTTCCATACAACATAATATCCTGGCGAGGCAACGCCCAAGACGCGTACAACATACGACCTGCACAGGGGTGAAATGCTACTGGTGCGGATCAGCTAGGGCTTCGGGCCTTTTGGGCCTTGCAGATCTTCGTCACGGAAAAGCCCGAGCCCTCGGTAGAGGATTCACCCGGTATTCTCTGGTTTTTCTTTCACGTTTATCGCTCGAAATTCGAATATTTTTGTTTCGAGTCTAGGATCAGATCCTCAAAGAGCAATCAAAGCCGAGAAAAACCACTGGACCACTGATTGATTGCTGATCTTTACTCCGTGGTACGGAGTACTGCTTGTCGAATTGGAAATCCGCACCAATCCACTTCGGACTTAGTTACCTTTTTCGGGTGCAGATCTCCCAGGGCTTTGATACAACGCGTATTTCAATATCTCAGTGTTTGATGTCGGTCTCAAATACAAAATACAAAGATAAGCAATGGAAACGTGAGTAGCCAATCCAATTTCAATAATTTGCATAGCGTAACGTCCTGGTTTGAGGAAAAATGTATGCAGGGTTTGTTCTCATGAAATTAGTCTGCCAAGACCTGGTTATGTACACATGGGCACATTTATGTATAAATTACTCTTGGCTTCCCGAACAGGTATCCTCGATGTACTGATGGGGCTTACAGGGGACTAAGCTGTTCTAATGTGGGGTCACAAAAAGGGACAATGTTCAATGTTGCTATGTACGACGTGTCTACGCCTAGTCTATTGCAAGCTGCTTTCAATTGCAAGCTGCTTTCATATTCTTATGTGAAGAAATAAGATAATAGGAAGCAAAGCCATGCTTCAATTATTGGAGGAAACGCTCTGGCTTCGCCAACCACTGTTCAATGTAGTCGTACGTAGTCTTCGTCGTGTCTCCATACTGGCCCGGATAGGACTCGCACTCAGCGCACGTCCAAATCTTGTGATCAGCTCCTTCAACAAAGACAATAGCCTTGTCGTTACCCGGGGCATTGATATAAATATTCTCTGCGTTCAAATATTCCCAATGACCAGTCATACCCATAGTCAACAAAGGAACATGAACTCCCTTTGACAGACTCCGACGGCGAGAATTGCGCTGAGGCGTGGTTAATTCCATGGAAGCCGGTGGGCGTAATGTCAAAGTCGGACGTCACACGGACGGCATAAGTTGAGAGATATCTCCGGACTGTTGTTTTGAGAGCTCCCTGGATGTATTGATTGGCGTAACTTTCGAAGTTCACTGGAACACGCACTGATTCGACGATGCGCGTTGTGATTGAGCCATCTTTGTGAAGGAGGGGCCAAGGCTTGGAGGTGTGGGCGATGTATCGAGTATCCTGAGGGAAGAACTTGTTGTTCATGACGCCGTATGCAGAATCAGTGATGTAAAGAGGCTCATCATCGATGAAGCTTCCGTTGTTCGCCTCAAGGGCTGTCAGACGTTCCTGTGCGTATTTGATAATGTAGTCGTTTCGAGCAACCGCGGCCTTCTGGTACGCCTTCTTGAATTCGGTTGTATATCTTGAGCTGTTGCCATTGATGAATCCATTGGCAGGGTTGAAGAGATCGAGACTCTGATTAACCTTAGTACCAGTGATCCCGTCGAGGGCAGGGTTCAAGCTGAGGAAGGGCATTGTTGCAAGGCCATAGTTGGCGTCCATCAGCATGATTCCATCGGCGGGATGCAGATTTGCCACTGCACTGGTACAGTTGTACAGCTTTTCCGGTCCCTGGCAAGCAGGAACACCGTTCTCTGCGACATTTTGGAATGTGGACATTAGACCGCCGCCGCCGCTGTGGCCGAAAAGGACGACCTTGTCAATTTCGGTCAGGTTACGCAGGTACTGCATGCCAAGTTCGGCGTGGAAGAGTTCGTTTTCGAAAGACATGGTCGACATCACTCCACTCTTGTCAGCTGCATTGTTGGCGCAGAATGTGACGAATCCTCGGCGCGGGAGCTCTTGGCATGCGGAGAATGCCATGTAGTCGCTTTCTGCGTGCATCACGTAGACTGCAATACGAGACTTGCTACTATTCACTGATGGGCGATAAAGACCTCCTGCGACGCCGTAGTCACCAAAGTCGACTAAAGTCGGTTGTGGCAGATCCGCAACAGGGCTGATGCTGAGTGCGGCATGCCCTTCCTGGATCATTGCACCAAATGCAATGGTCATTGCGGTGACTATGCTCTTGGAGTAGAACATCATACTCTCCGGGATTTGACTGTGGACAAAATAGGACGTGTCTGGGCTGTGCTTGAACGTACAACGATCACGACTTAGGGGAAGGCGCTTTTATAGTATATAAATCGGCGGACGAAGACTCCCTAAAATGTACGTGCATAATTTAGAGCAATTGAAGCAGAATTTTCCGGCATCTTTCTGTAAACCGAGGATGATTGGCCGAAATACCTGCCGTTATTCACTATCTGACAGCCATCCTGCATCCTTCCGGCTTCTTGGCGAATTTAATTCCGAAATCAGAGGGCAGCGGCAGATTAATTTAATGTTGCATGAAGTTCTGAAATATCGTGCGCCCGATGCAGCAAATCAAAAGTACAGTAATTCCCTTTCATAATGAAAACGTGTATGACGAATGCCAGTGGTTCATTTAATCCGCTATACAAAGTAGTAGTAATAAAAATTTCCTCTGCCACCTACTTCGTTCATTTGCCATTTCTCTCATACCAAGTTCGTTACCCACGGCTGATCAGAATACGGTAGCTACCATGCAATTGGGGGGTTCATGCTCTCAATGTTTAATCATACTATGATCGCTATTCCATTATCGCAGTGAATCCCAGGACCACACAATGCACTACGCGTTAACTGCATTTAGTTATTTAGGTATTTCTCTACATTTTAATATGAAATTTATACATATTTACTCCCTTAGTAGTACAGAAGCATATAGTTCAATGTGGTTATATATATTTGATGGGTCCAGGTAAAAACCGGTTGTCGCAGGACTTTTGCTCATAGAGTGGACATCGTCAATCCTCGGATTCCTCAAGTCCCATACTTCCACCGGCTGTGGGGAGTGTTGAACCCATCATAGAAGGGAGAATACTTGGGATATGCCTTCGTCTGACTATAAATCACCTTATAAAGCTCAATATCAGTGATATGTAGCTCCTTCAGTCCGATGCGAAGGGCTTTTGTGTCTTTCATCTGAGCAGGCGTTAGCTCACTTACAAAGAGGATACTGGTCCGCATCCACGGGACACCTACTGTACTTGCGGTGGAGAGCCTCAAAGACCTGCTCAGCAGTGCCGAATTCAGTAGTCCTGTATAGCCAGTCCTCCGAGACCGCGGCCTCTGGGAGACCTTTAAAGTTTTTGAGAGGGTTCCAACATACTCGGTAGATGCGACGCACGAGCCTGACGGCGAGGATTGCAGCGAGTAAAAAACTCAAGCCGGCAATAATCCTGGGTATTTCCAAACCCAGAATATTTTGGGAGGACAGTAACACCTCGTAGAATGCCATGATTCCTTACAGTGCTTTAGTCGAGAGTGTTATGTGATGAGATGAAGATCGGAGCATAACCAGGGCGTTGGACGCCGGAGGTAGGCTCTTATATGGCTTCCAAACAGAAGCCAGCGAGACTGTCATTTTTGAGGCGCAATAGCTTAGCTGGATTTTAAGCTATGCCCTCAAAGAGAAATTTTGCGGATACCGAGAGGAGGAAAATCCCAGATAGAAAGCAGCCAGTGAGGATGAAGACCCGTTGTATATCGGCCCCGCCACCACTGTTCCGACACGTCTCGTTTTTTGAATAATGCTTCACCATTGAGACAGACCCTAGACCCCGGACTCTCTGTGAAGGCACTGTCATAGGTAAGGATCTACCCCACACTATAGTGTGGGTCCGCTAGACTCTACCGGCAAGAGCTCAGCGGGGAACTCTGGAGGCGGGACGGGATACGACCTCAGATATATGAAAATATGCAGTGAAGCAAGGTATGGTAAGGTGATCCAATGTATGTAACCTAATAAAACATGATATAAATCCGCGTTTTGACCAATTTGTGCGGAATGCTGACTAATTGTAAATTCACTTTTTGTACGACATGCCGTTGTCACTTGATTCACCTGTTTTCACCCAGTATTGCATGCCGTATTTCTGACAATATATAACGTTGGGGTATAACGTTGGGGGATGAGGGGAATCCCAGTTCCAATGAGGGACAAACTTCCAAGGTTGTACCTATAGCGGCCCCACATCGCTCTTGTGTATGTCTTCTTTCTCATATACACTATTTGACCAACTCCCTAGGAGACAGGCTTGCCTACCTTGCCCTGTATATCGCACCAAGTTTCGCGTTTTTGCGAGGGCTATTCACATACGCAAGGGTAGGGTGGATCCTCTGCCATATTCAATTACTACTAGGAGCCGCCGTACGTGTGTTCCTATCTATTGATTGATAAAGACCAGTTCCGCTTGTGCCCAAATTATCTTTTGAACGGATGTGGTAGTTATCTTGGTTAATACCTGTGCTCTTTTACGTCGATCCAAACCGCCAAAAGATGTCCAATAGTCTTCGTGTGGCGGTTCTCGGCCCCAAAGGCCAATGTGGACAATGTGTCGTCGATGAGTTATTATCCAGAGGACATCATGTCGTGGGAATATCCCGCTCGCCTCCCAAAGTCTGGCCGAAAGCGACACCAGAACAGTTCAGCTCGATTGCATGTGACTTCAGTGATATCAAGAGTCTCAGCAGCATTCTTTCTGACGGCGGCTTTAATGCGGTAATCTCTGCATTCGGGCCCCCCCTGACTGATATGAAAGATGTCTACCGGCTTGGAGTGGAAGGTCATGGTAATATCAAAATGGCTGTGATCAGATCGACTTATCGCGGTCCATTCATTATCATTGGTGAGCATGCTCAATCTCACCAAATGTGCTTCGGGGGAGGGGAGGTGTGAAAGTGATATTGACTGCAACTGATAACCAGGTGGCGCGGGCTCCCTGTATTACAAGAATGGGGTGCAGCTCTGCGATGATAAGGATTTTGCATTCCAACATTGGTGCGCGCGTCATGAGCATCGCATTACTCGAATGGTCAACGATGCTAATCATTCTAGGTATCCCTGGCCTGACGCCCATCTGGATTACATGTCCGCTCGGATGATTGACCGTAACCAGCGGGGGCTGGGAATCTTCATCAAACTTTTCAAGTGGGCGAGAAACAATCGCGAGCAACCAAACTGTAAGTCTCATCACCGAATCACCCAATCTGGGGAGTATGGCGGATAACGAATGCGTTCCAATCAGGGTTCCCTTGGCTGCTCAGACCGTTTGCAAATGTTATCATGCACAGTGCGAAGAAAACCTTGACCGATCCGGTCATGATTGGGCTGATCTATTGCTCTCGAGCGGCACTCAACATGTGGGAAGGCGTTCGCGATATTAAATGGAGCTTTCTCTCGCCACCCTGGCAACTGCGCGACAAGGGTATGGCCGGTGGTTAGACACTTGAAGATGATATTCAGGCTGACGCAGCTCTTGCGATAGGAATCCGAACCGGGAAGTACGAAGTGTATGTGGACAACTACGCCGGCTCTGCTGAGCCCGCCATTCACAATGGTATCTATAATGAGGACCTAGCTGTTGCCATAGTGGATGAAGTTGAGAATAACCAGTTACATTATAAACATTGGACTTGTACGGGACCAATCGGATTGAAGGCATGGTAGAATAACTCACTGCACTCGTTCGAGGAGTTGAGTCTGGCGGGCAGGGTCCGATGTTTCCTTTGAAATCAATATGGTTCTGGCTGAATTCATCTGCGGTTTATTCAACGGGCTTCACAATTGTTTCATTGTCTGTTTTTGTAAACCATTCTACTTCTCTCTTGGTCCCTCATAAAACTTCTTAATATATAGTTACGTGCCAAGAAGAAGGTCAAGGGAGGAAGAATACCTTGTGCATTCAAACAAAGATAACTAATCTAGAGAAGGGGAGGGGAAAGAAGAAAAACCTATCTGACAGCGGATGCTTCTGATATAGTTATGCCCCTAATAAGTAAGTAAGCGGATTCCATCATCTTTGATCACATTCTCACCTTTGCCAAATCCAACGTCCAGAGCTGCCTCAATCGTCACAATATATGAAGATAGTTCATGTATATACACGGCACTCTACGACAGTGGATTTTTAACCTACTTGCCCTTCTCAGACAGCTCTAGATTATACTGCCTATATTAAAGCAAACCCCTTTTATGTTAAACACACATAATTTATTTTTCCAGTTAAGAATTGTAAATGAGCTTTAATTTCTCTTTCTTGTGGGATAGTGCTATGTTAGTGGCCAGTACGCACTAACGTAGTTGCGGAAACAGAGGCCAACTGGAATAACATCATAAGGCATCGAAGCTGATTCAAATGTTGATATACAGAGAATATTGTATTCTGACTTGTTCATTTGCTAGCATAAAAAGCTGCCTCAAGCGTTGTAACTGCCCCTCCGCACACAAGTGTCCCCAATTTCCAGCTTTCACTCATAGCAAATATATTGCGGATTCACCATTCTCATAAATCTCATTAAACGTAGCCTAGTCGAACAATTCATACAAGCCAACTGGCATCAACGCCGCACAATTCACCAGCTTCTGCTCCAGATCAAAAGCGAGAGCAGCATGTCCTGTTCGTCCGGGGCACACCCAGTGGACCAGGAACAGGTTCGGGCGGAGCTCCCGTTGCTGATAGGGGACTGCAATGATTGTGGTGCCATCTAGAAGCTCAGGGACTGTAAAGTACACGAGCTTTTGGCTAAAGCTGATGCGATATTGTGGACCGGTAGGGTATTGGTATTCAAAGGTGCGTCCATCCATGCCAGTGGTTTGCGGGCCTCCTACCTTGTCTGGGAGATGTTCTGGCTGCACTGAAAGTTAACAAAAATTCAAGGGCCAACTATGGACCGGGGAGGAAACTAGATTTAGTATTCTTACGTCGGGGATATTGACCGCTATGTTGTTGGTTGGAGAAGCCATCATCAATGAAGGACTCGGAAATGACTATCCCTTTCTTTCTTTCTCTTTGGCAAGAGTCGGCTGAATAGTCCCCTCGAGGCTACCCTAGGACTCATTAAATAGCATTAGACCGAGTCGGGTCCAGGGAGGTGCTCCCGTCACCCTAATCTTCGTGAGCACATAGAGGGAAACAGAGTGAAAAGCGGGGCAAAATCTACTTTCCTCCGTTTGAAAATGAATTGCATAACTTGTTGGTAGTCGGTCGTCCGCCTTGTCTCCAAAATGCGGGGCCGACACAAGTTATGGACTGCACTTCGCGAGATTCGATCTACCATGCTTGCTTATTGGCCTGCTTTGTTTCAACTGCGTGGAACATGATTCTACGACGTCAGATGGAAGCTTCCAAGTCTGTCCAGGTATCCCAGGTTCCGAAATATCTCCGACAGAGACGGGAACGAAATTATGATCTCATTGTCTCACGTTCAACACTCCCATTTTTTTCCCTTTGGCTATCGAAGAGTTCCGGATTTATTTGCATCATGTCTAAGTCCAGTGAAAATATCCAGGAGCTGGAGAAAGCCAAATATTTAGGCAACTTTATCAAAGGTATCGAATTTCGAAATTGGGAATACAGAATGAAATTCCGTATAAGTATTTTAACTAAAGGTACATATCAGCTCACACAAACGGGAAAATCCGGTATGTATAGGTGCATTTGTAGGAGAGATGGGTTGCCTAGTATCAAGTCCCCGATTTCGAGCCTACAAATTTGCAGAAGAGCAACCCGAAATAGATCCTATACACTGAAGTTTTCCAGAAAATGGAAGGATCAATCTCGAATGCCAAACGAGTATACTTTTACCGGTGCTCAGATACAAAGTACTTCCTCAGGGCTCTCCAGGCACTATATATTATATGTGTAACCCAAATAAATCGCGCAAATGTATCTATCGATCTTATGCATGGTACCAGCAGCATAGTACGTTGTCTATCTGACGGAGCCAGCAAATAATATCTCCCTCCCGGCATTCATCAATGCCTGTGGTTAGCCTGCAAATATCTGCAACTTTTGGTCAACGCTACCTGTAGCAATAACATACCGGATCTGCATCGCAGACGGGCTTTCTCCACTAGCCTTAGAGTCTTCTGTCAAGCTTACAGGAGCACTGGCAGTGGAAGGGCCTTTCTGAATTCCTGGAGCCCACCTCAAACAGGTAATGAAACTCCTATGAGCGTCGCTGATGACTTTCACACATTTTCCTCCTTGGGTTAAGTCCCAACAACGTAATGTATTGTCATCAGCAACAGAAAGCAGATATCGGCCTCCAGGGTGGAAAACAATTGCCCGGACCCAATTATCATACCCAACCAATGTCACTAGGCATGTGCCACGGGCATCCCAGAGTTTAATAGTCTTATCACGCGATCAAGTTGCAAAGAATTCTGCTGTGTTCCCCGTGGGTAAGACTTTCTTTAAGCCGGCTAATTGAGCGGAGTAGCGATATGAAGTCGACGGAGCAATGGCGCAGCACTCATTGAAGTTTTCATGGCCGCTTACTGTCAATTTGTTTTCCAGTTTTGCCGAAATATCCCATAAGCGAACAGTCATATCGTCCCCAGTGGAAAGGAGGAACCTTCCGTCAGGAGATGGATAAACATCTCGCACCCAGCCAGTGTGGCCTTGTATCGTCTTCACACAATACCCGTTAGTTACATCCCATAACCTTATATCCATATCTTTACTTGCGCTAGCAAGTAAGCTCCCATTTGGTATAAAACGGACGGCGCTGACAATATGTTCATGTCCTTGTAAAGTCCGAATATTGTTATTTGAGAGGAGGGAAAGCCTTTCAATTACTGTATCAGGTTCTTGATAATCCTGAAACAGGTTGTTTAGACAACTAGTTAACATTGGATGAAATGTCGGGGGTCGTCATGAGAGGCGGTAAATCAGGTAGTCAATGCTCAACCAATTAAATGCCCCCTATTCGATGGGCTGTTGTAACCCGCCATCTGTGATAGATAACATAACTGTGGTACGCTCGAAATGCAAGATTTGGTTTCAATCAGAACTATCGAATACTATGTTCCATCACAAGACAATACACAAAGCCAGAATTAGCTGGACCGATTGAGAGCTTAGCCATAACTGCTGCGAGAATGACATGTGATGCTCGTTGGAGAACATGTCTGTTGGGGATTCCCCCGTAAATTGTCCCGGACCAGATTTCCCATTTTTCATTTCCAAGTCCGTTACACAAAGCTTGCTCGTAACAGTACCTTGATTTCCTATGGCTTATGCCGAAGTGTATGAGAAGGTGGTCGAGATCGGTAACGCACATAAGAGTACAGGTTGTCGTGCATTGAGGACATGATGTATCTAGATTTTGTGAGCTCGGTGACCCTGGATGGCTGTCCAAGTAGTCACCTTCGTCCGCGAAGATTTGGCAATCAATTGTTATAAGCGGTTCTAGGGGAAATAATGTTAGTCGCACTATATATATATCGGAGCCTGGAATATCTGAGCGTAATGCTCAGATATAATGGTCTAGTCCAGGGGCATGTTAGAAGAAATAAATGGCTTTGTACAACATATACATATCAATATGCTAAATTCCGCATGTTCTTTGTCTGTGAGAATTGTACGGAGTCTTCAAGAACTATGGATTCGTATACTTCAGCAAGAACATTCAGAATCTCCCCGAATTTATCCGTCCCTCCCATTCTCAATGGACACAAAGCTAAATTATCGATGATAGTTGATCCAGTAGCAGCAACGCCGACAATACACACAATGGTAAGCTGTATATCTTAGGTTGATGGGTATAGTCAATCGCGATCACCCAGGGTTCAGCTTCAACATAACAGCGTAGAGTGATTTCTATATATCCTTGCCTATAATATAGGTCGTGTAGTTTAATGCTTCTGGCTAGAGGTTCCCGGGTGTATCTGCTGCAGTGCACATTGTTGTAGCGGTTTGAGCAAGGTGGTGATCGGTGGAATCTGACATGCTCATGTTCATTTTTTTGTATACAAAATAAGGCAGTCATGTGGTCACACTGTCGATTTCGTATTTGAGGATCCACTCGCCGTTTTTTCGAAGGTCCATTAGCAACTTCTAGATGGTGTACGACCAGCAAGAAATTCAGCACTTCCTCGGAAATTGGGGCCCATCCACGAAGACTCCTTTGCCCTTCATTATCCCCACACCGAATGCGATTAATTTTGCTTTGGTATTTGTATCGATGTATGTGTAGTGCAGCGCAAATGAAGGTTTGCTCGACGCCATTTCAAACGACGGCGAGCATATGATCTGATTGGTGGTGAGTTTAAACTTCCATTCTTATCAAAATCCAGGGCAGCCAATCTGCCAGGTGTTTATAGACATGGCGATGTAACTTGACTTGTAGGTTCGTCGACTTCCAATGTGGATCCTTGGTCTATCTTTGTCGATTCTCACAATTCCACCCAACCCCCCTCACAAGTTATATAACCTCCGTTCATCTCATGAGTTCGGCCTCTTGAGGGGTAGCGCTCGAGAATGAATACACCCCTGTGGCGTGGCGAGGCGCTGTATTCATATTCATAAAATGTGCCGTAGAGGACCTGAGCTCGCCAGCACAGCGTTACATACTGTGCTACCGTAATTTAGCGCTTCAGTCCCGTGTTACATCAATAGGAGCATCGTCGGAAATATCAAGCCCTGCACAGTCCAAGAGGGCTGGAGGGTGGCTGTGTTGCATCTGCAGGTGGGATATTATAAGGCCACAATGAAGGTGACTTTATGCGTGAAAAAAAAGAGAACAGGCAATGGAGATTGGGCGTAAAAGAGGCTGTACTACCTGACTGTTGTTGCAATCAACAGCAACCAGATCTCGTCCATAGCCTTTCTTTCTTTGACCGTGGGGATATTGATAAAACTCCGTATGATGCTTTCAGCGGCTTTTAATTGCAGCTTTTCCATCTTTCCCCTTCGGAGGCTTCCATTTTCTCCCCAGGTATACAGTAGAGTAGCCTCGCACGCTGCGGGATGTGTGGTATCCGCGGTTGCGCTGGCGGATTTTTCATGGCAAAGTCATGTCAGATTTTAGTTGACGTAAATCGTAGTGCCGTGCGTCGATGTTGTTTCCACGTTGATCACATGCCCCTATATGATGGTATAAATAATAATCTATAGCGGAATTGAACAAAATGTAGGTGAAGTCGATCAAAGCCATCAAAATGAAACAGGCAGCAGAGATATATACTAGTATGCGTTGGCAGTATTTGCAGGTAGCTACTAGCAGGCATGGATCTGCGTTATATATTGACCCTGTATTTCCTAAAAGAAAACAGATATCTGTCCTAGAACACAGCCCGGGCATGCTCTCAGTGTAAAGATTGGTTGCTGTCAACCTAGCAAGACCGACGCGAAATCATCAAGAGAGGTTAAAAGTGAAAGGGGGCGAAGAGGAGGTTTTGAAATAGAGTTGGAAGTACAAAAAAGGTCAAACAAACAAGCTGTGGAAACCTTAGGCCTCCATAGATCCCTAGGGCACCTTTATGTGATAGGACCTGCGCAAGTAGAGATATCATAGGTCGCTCTCCGTTGATTCATTTATTTTCAGAAAGCGCAAAGTAGATCTCTAATCCCCGATATATTCAGTACGACGCCTATATTAAAAAGAAAGATCTTTCAATCAGTCCTAAACGCCTTTTGGAGCGCATCACACATCAAAGTGATACACCTCTTGCCCTCAGACAATGCCCCATCCATCGCCAAAAATGGATGCGGCATGCCTTTCATCACTTGCAGATCGACAGGCACACCAGCCTTCTGCAACTTCTCCGCATACTGCTCACCCTCCGTACGCAGCACATCCAACTCGCCAACCATGACCAACGCAGGCGGCAATCGAGAGTAATCGCCCTGCCAGAATAGCGGGCTTGACTCTGGGTTGGTGCGGTCTGCTTCGTTGGGGACATAATGATCTCGGTACCAGTACATCTTAAGTGCGGGAAGTGCGGGGGTCCGTTCGTACCGACGATATGACTCGTTGTTCTCTACTGTGGCAGTGTTATCTGTCACGGGGACAGAGAGGAGCTGGGCTTTGAAGTGAACAGGCGGTGACAGAGTCAGCGCCTTATGCGTCATAATCGCAGCAAGGTTTCCGCCGGCGGAGGAGCCACCAGTTGCGATTTTGGATACATCCACCGAGAGAGCGGCGGGGCCGTCGGCAAGCAGCCAGAGAAGAGCTTCCCAGCAGTCATGGACTGCGGCAGGCCAGCGATTTTCAGGTGCAAGACTAGAAGGAAATATTGAGAAATTAGGTTGATACTTCTCAATGTTATCTATGCATGGCGTGATTAGTTGGTGAACTTTGACTTACCGGTAATCAACTGTGATCACAACACAATTACCTCTTACACAGAGATTCGAACACACCACGTTCTCGGTGTCAATATTACCCAGCACCCAGCCACCGCCATGGAAATACAACATAACTGGCCATCCACCAGGAGGTGCCTGGCCCTTGGGGGTAAAGCAGCGGATAGGCACTGGTGGGCCCTCGGTCCCTCGTCGCTGAACAGTAATGTCTTCAGTTTTGCCCACCTCTAGCATAGGACCTGCACCAGGAATCAAGACGCCACTTGTCCGTGACGCTTCCACTGGCCGGAGGTGCACCTGTTGGTTATTGATGACATGTTCGTTATAAAATGCGACATACTCCGAGTCCAATAGGTCTTTAACGGACTCGTGAAGGGGATACGGTGGTTCAGTAATGCCAGCAGTCATTTTGAAGTTATAGAACGAGAAGAAGAATAGGAAAGTAAGCTTTCAGGGTCTCAGGATCAAATAGCCAGGGCTTGGACAATCCACCCCCACGCAGAGGGTGGGATTGGGGTAACAATGCGGGGAGAACACCGATAAGTTGATAAGCCCAGTTGTTTTGGGGAACCTCGGAACTTCCTGACACTCGGGAGGTCCCCTTCCTCTCCAGTATTAACTCCTAGCTCCTATCCATCCCAATACCCACTGAATATCCACACCCCTCGGAAAGCCCCTCAACAATTTCATGTTTCTCGACTCTATGTTATCGCCTATGGGACCATTTGTTACGTATTAATCTCAGTAACATGGAACCCAGAAGTAGCTCCGGATAATGCCCTTCACTCGATAAAGAGTGCCTCCCCCGCGGAGGCGGGGTCAACTTCCTGCTTCTTTTTTTACACCTCAATTGAATTACCCTTAGCTCATCCACCTTTAATAATCCCTCGCAATGTCCTCCAAGATCGCAATCGTTACCGACAAGGCCCCCAAGCCCCTCCCCGGCGTCTACTCCCAGGCCATTGTCGCCAATGGTGTCGTCTACTGCTCCGGCTCTGTTGCATTGGACCCTGTCACTCGCACTTTGATCGACGGTGATATCAAGGCCCACACTGTAAGAAACCAACAAATCCCAATCATTATTGACCTAATTCAACCTACTAACACCCCCACCCTCCAATAGCACCAATGCATCAAGAACCTGTCCCATATCCTCGAGGAAGCCGGCACCGACATTACCAAGGTCGTCAAGGTCAATGTGTTCCTATCCAACATGGATGATTTCGCCGAGATGAACTCCGTCTACGTGCAGTACTGGGGTGATGTGAAGCCCTGCCGGACGTGAGTTCTTACCCCACTCTTTTATTTCTTATCGTTGGGGTCACTTGGGGTCACATTTCCCCCTCCTTTTTGTTGCACTGTGGAGTGTGATCCTTGCGTCTGCGCGCCCATCAGTGTGACTCTACATATGTGATTCGATTTGTTGCTAACTTGTATACTCTGCAGGTGTGTTGCGGTCAAGACCCTCCCTCTCAACACTGATGTCGAGATTGAGTGCATTGCTGTGCTATAAATTGCCTTATGTTTCCATTAAAATATATATAGACAAAATTCAACAATAATGATATGACTACTACTGAAACCCCACTTTACAGTAACGTGGAAGACTTACCATCTATTGTAACCAAAAGCTCCACGAGGGTTGAACATTGTTAACTGGTACCTAACATATCTTGCCGATATATGCCTACGTTCTAGTCAAGCAAGGCAATACACGGTTCATATCAACTGAGTAGCATCACGGAATGAATTATAGTGATAGGTGGGTCCACAGACGCAGAATAGTGGTGTTATAGAGCAGTTGGCGCTGAAGGGGTGGACGTACAAACTTGCGGGTGGAAGGGCACCCGTTTCTGACCTCAAAAGCGATCATTTTCGGTTTTGATTCCACAGGCACTCGTATTCTTATTGTAATTAAAGATAGTACATCACCCACTAAATTTACTAGAATATGACCTAAACGACATAAACTCAAGTCATTGACAATAGGCTAGATGGTTGTGAATCGGGTTTGCTCTCCCCCTCCCATGGATAACCCTAGACTTGCTGAGTATTTTTGATGACAAAATATCTGTGAAGAAAAGAACTCGGAAATATCCTCCTTTTGGAGACCTTGCCATTTGTGTACAAAACAGCCATTGCCCCTTAAAATCACGGACAATCTGAACAGTTCATAGTCAGATTAGAGGCGCATTCCACAACGCCAAATCATCAGAGACACTTCATTCAGCTGCCTGTCAAATGCGTCAGAATGCTTGTGAATCTAGGCTGTCATCCAGGATCATGGCTCCTTTCTCATCCTTACTGACAAGGTCAACCCCTCAGATCACGTGTTGTGTACAGATGTTGTGTACAGAATTGGTTGCAACTCTACGAAGCGATAAGCTACTGGCACAAAATTCAGAAAAACAAATTAGGCATTGAGAAATTTATAAGGCTGATTGTAGTATTCAAAGATTTGGTTCCGATTGTTGTGGTCGGAGATGTTTGTTGACCACGTCATCGAGGGATCTAGGGTACGATCTCCTCTATCCTCCTACCTTCACCTTCAAGGACAGCCTTTGATGCACGGAGAAATAATCATACTAGATTCTTAGAAGATCTAACGTGCTTCAAATCTTCCATTCCCAGGGACTGAAACGAACTGACGTCTATACTGACTAGTTTACAGGGATAAGGCCATCAGCAGCGAAACCCTCAACACACCCCTGGCACTAGCGAGTCCTCAGCATTCCAAGTTAGCTAAGATGGAGAGGACTCCGCACTCTCCAGAGAGGGCCATCCCCAAGACCTTGGATTCTTTTGACGCACGCCCCTCGGCTGCTACATTCCTCCCCTCCACGCTATATTCGCGTCGACGCGCTCCAGGGCGAACAACCCTCCATTAAATTCCTCTTTAGTCCATCAACGCTCCTATTAGTGCCACCCTTATGTATGTTCTTCATTGCGCTCAATTGATGAACTTCGACTGCGACTACACCTGGGTTCTATTTGGACCCGGCGCATTCAATACGCCTGTCCTTTACCAACACCACACTCGCATTCCTCGCTACCCGGTTTCCGAGCCCAGGTAGACTGAAGAGGACAGCAAACAGAGTCGTTCATCTTTTGGTACTTAGCCTATCGCAATCATGGAGCCTGTACTTTCAGCTACACCACGGAAGGAGGGGACATGGACAAAGCTTGTGATATTTGTTGCGCTATACATGCTACTTCTCGAGTCTATATTGGAATGGGTGCTCGTGCTCTACCTCTACGGTAATGGCCAAGTTGACTCAAAGATGACTCTGAGTGTTGTACTTGCACTTGTCGCAGTATGTTTGACTTGAACCTTTGGTTGTTATACCATTCATTTCGCTAACTATTATTTAGTCTTTTTTCTCGGTGCCACTTGTCAGCCTCCAAAGCCTGGTCGCTTGGCAATACAACAACATTGGTGGATTTGGAACCCAGAAGACCATTCTGCATAATGTATGCACATACGTTCTACGTTTGGATCTTATGCTTTGGCTAGCTACAAGTGTAGCCGGTCTAGTGGTCGCTGCACAACAGGTGTACTGTCTTCCGGAAGGGACTGATGCAAGTTTCTGGAGAGTTGGTATTAGCTGTGCTTTCCACCGAGCATCTGTGATCGTGTCGGTGGTTTCAATGTATGCTGCATTTTCGTTCCATCTCTTCTTTGCTCCAGCTGACAATCACCCTACAGGGTCACCGTATGCACTATGTACTGCGCAAGGGAGCTTTGCGATCGACCATATGACGTATCGCTTTTTGGTATCTATAAGCGCCCACAGATTAACAGAGATGGCAGTATCGTCTCTGGCAATAGCTGGGATAGCGATGAAACCCTAAAAACCGAGATTCTCTATCTTTGCCGCCAGCATGATGGAAACGGAACTGGGGAGTTCTGGTCTGTAGACCCAATCGCCAACAGAGTGAACTGCCATCCCACTATCCGACATCCTGCCCCCATTCGTCTGCGGCCTCAACTTCGAGTCAACACTGATCCCGGATCGACATATGGAGAGATTGTGTCTGGAACGACGATCTCGCCGGACTCTCCACACCGTATCTCGCCTGGATCACAAAGCCTGGCTAGCGATTATTATCCCATCTCACGCACATCTACCATCATGACTTCACAGACTGCGGTGAATGAGTTACGCGCTCTATTCTCCGATGGGACTGCTCCAAAAGTCCCGCAGATTCCTCAGGAATACACCAGCCATACAAGATCAAAGTCATCGCTCTCTTCTCTACGACGTCTTCTTCCAAAGTCCTTGCCACTTTCACTTCCATTATCAGCGGATCCTCAAATACAGGCTCTTACAGACCCCAACGCCGCATCAGACATTGAAAAGCAGGTCGTGACACCGAACAGCATGCCTAAGGGAATCCCTGAATCCACAACCTATCAACTCGTCCCAAACGGCAACACCCCAAACGCCTCTTCAGCATCCCTCCCCCAAAGCCCCGTCAATCCCCAACCAAACCCCAAACCAGCACGCCCAGAAGTCCACCACACCCGAACAATGACAATGAACTCCGCCGATGCCCCAGAAGTAGTCCCACCAGCCCCATCCTCCCCACAAAAATTCCGCCGCTCCCAAACAGCCTACGACACGCCCTCAGCTCGCTCAATCAACCATCCACACCACCCAAACTTCATCTCACGCCCCCGTTCCCAGCAACGACAACGAGCATACTGCCAGTCCCGCCGACAAGCCCCAAGCCCACAGATGCACCCAGACTCAATGCGCAAGAATATGTTACCCCAACAGAACAATGACACACAATACCCCATCCGCAGCTCCTCCTACCACTTCGACCCAAACTACCGACCACGTCACTCGCAGAGCCAGTACAACCTCCACCCAGGCAGCCAGTATGGATCCCAATCATCTCGCTGGGCAAACCAGCGTCGCTATAATTCATCCCGTTCCATGCACGCCCCCATCCCCCGCCGCAATGACGCTGAAGTAATCTACCCCAGCGCGCGTCGTTCTCGAAGCAGTACCCATGCCTCCGCTAGTGGCCCGCTCAGCTGTATCTTGGAGACGACGTCTGACCCGCATGTGATGGATGGTCCGAGACCTGTCTCAGTTGCTTGTTTGGAGTTGCCATCCAATTGTATTGATCAGTCAAGATATCGGAGTGCGAATCGGTCGAGTTTGAGCTTTTATTGAGAGGGTGTTTTGGTGGGGAGTTTGGGATGAAGCAAGAAAATAAGGGAAGGAGATATTAATAGTTCGTTGTCCGCTGGTCGGGCATTCTTTTGGTGATATTTGGTTAATTTTGTAATGTTATATGATTTGTATCAGGGTTGGATAGTGTATGTACACAGGTGTACCGAGGCGATTTGGTTTTGTAGCAGCTAGCTTTGGAGCCACTTGATATATCAAATTAAATTCGTTCTACAATAGAAACACAAGGCGTTGAAAAATAATTAGACATGGGGAGAAAGTAAAAAGATCAGTTCAGAAATTCATTTGGTAGCACTTGAAAGAAACCAAGATGCAATATTTGCCTCAAGGCGAGGACAAAGTAACCTCGCGAGGACATGCAAGTCCAGATCCCAATTTCCATCCCAGAGTACACCAGGTCGCTCAAAGACGAATCAAAAGAAACACAATGCAATCCACAACTCGATATGGTACATCGACCCCAGAGAAACAAAAGGTCAAACAAATCAACCCGTCTAAGCCCTAGGCTCCGTGCTCTTAGACTTCGGCTTCTGAGCATACTTGTAGCGATAAGCCTGTCCACTCTTGACATCCACATCACGGTCTCGATCACGACGACGGTTCTCCTTGCCCTCAGCCAAAGGTCCTGGCCCCCGACCAAGCTCCTTCTCGCCCCAACTCATCATCAAAGCCTTGGCCATGCGATCACGTTCCTTAAGGAGGAGGTCGATACGTCGCTCCCACTCGCGCTCGCGCTTGTCTACCGACAAAGCGATGCGCTGGTCGACCTCGGCGGCGGTTTCGTCCTTTGCGGCGATGAGGGATTCCAGGCGTCTGAGTTCTGTTTTGAAACTCTTGCGTAGGTAGTTTTCGGAGGTGGCGGATGAGGTGCGGAGGGTTTCAAGCTCCGAGCGTATATTTGATTCACGTTGCTCGGCGGCTGTGAGGAGATTGCGGATTTTGCGCATTGACTCGGCGTGCGAGGCGCGCAGCGTTGAGACTGCTGTTGAGTGTGCAGTGTTCAGGCTGCGGAGTTGGCTTTGATGGTTTGCCTCCAGGGTTGCTGTGTCCGGCCCTCTTGGCTCCGAGTTAAGAGCTCCGCGCGCTGTTGGGGGCGAAAGAGGTGGGCTAAGAGATTCAGCGATCTTGTCTTCTTGCAAGCGGGCGATGGTCTCGAGGGACTCGGCTTGCTCTTCTTGTGATTGCATCAGGTCGTTCTTGGACTTGTCTAGGGCTGTAGTAAGCTCGTTCACCCGATTGGAGAGTCGCGAATTCTCTGTTTCGATGGTTTTGATAAGGGTCTGGGCTTCAGTCGCCTGATCACGTAGACGTGCTGCTTCGGTATTTGCGGCTTTGTGTGCGGCGGATAACTCCTGGAGTTCTTGCTGAAGGCTTGTAATGCTTGGCATGTCTGGTTGTTGCAGTTGATGCACACCTTGGGCGTCTACAAATTTCTCCTTCAATGGTGAGCGGAGTGGGGATGCGGGATCCCCTGGGCCCAAATCTTTGATCAAATCGAGAATCTCGCTGTAGGTGCTATGCCCACCGATAGGTAGATCAGCCGCAGCAGCTTTCAAGGCGCTCTCCTGGGCTTCCATATGGGATTGAACACGGGTGAGGTTTGCTTCAAGTGTGCTGTTCTTCTCTTCCAGAGGACGACTTTTAGTTTCCAGATCGATAAAGCGTTCCTCGAGGACCTGGTAGTCATTGTGCGCACGCTCTAGTTCCGCCTCAAGCTTCTCGTTCTCCAGCCCGTAGTCATCGATCTGCCCTTGGAGCTGATCAATCTCCGAGTTTTTCTCTTGTATGTGGGCATCCTTGACCCGTGTGACTTCCTTAAGCTTGGTAAATGTTTCATCCAGAGTTTCATCACGCTTTCGCACCTGTTCTTGGGACAGGCTGAGTTGCTGGCGCAGGTGAGCAATCGTCTCCAATCGCTCTTTGTCCAAAGGGGTTTGGGCATCTCTGTCTTGAAGCTGCTGTTGCATCTCACGAATTTGGTTCAAAAGAGGTCCGAGGTCCGTTGTATTCATGCTCGACTGGCGTAATAGATTTTCATGCTCTTCATTTTTCTTTTGCAGCGACTGGACTTTCTCGCGCAGCATTGTCTCGTCGCTATCTTTGGCATGTATCTCATCTAGGAGAGCATTCTTCCGCTGTAATTCGGTCTGGAGATGACGGATCTGTTCACCAGCAGAAACAGCCTCGAGCACACGATTGCGGTTTTTCTGTAATTGGTCATCGCGTTCCTTCAATGATTGCTGTAGTTGTGCGATCTGCTTTTGAAGATCCTCATTCTGCTCCTTTGATGCACGACTGGACGCATCCGACAATTTTCGGGCAGAAGGGGATGCAGAATCCTGGGCTTCATCATCATCAGGGTACTCCTCAATACCTTCCAGGTGGGTCGAATCTTTGCGCGGAGCACTTGTCCGGTGCAATAGGTGTGAAGGGGTTGACATGTCCACTGGCGGTCCAAATTCACTGTATTCACCCGAGTCGGCTTCTTCTTCGATCACTGGTTGCTTCGACTTCCGGGAAGATCGTCGTACTGATCCGTAGTCTACTTCAGCTTCATCTTCATTGTTCGCTTCATCTTCCAGATCGCCCATCAGGTATTTTTCCATATTCGCAGTAAAGTCCTCCGGGCCCCCAACATCAGATAATTTATCTACATCTTGATGGAAAGGGGGCAGAGTTTCCTCGTGCCCATCTAGTGCAAAATTGCCGCTCGGGAAATTGCTAAAATCCAAGGTATAATCGGCAAGACGCGCATCGAGATCTGACCCTGTTGGGCTTCCAGGAGAGGGAGGTCGAGAAGCCTGTTGTATTTCATTGTCGGAATGGTATTCATCGTCACTAGCGTGGTCGCGACTTTGGTTGCTACGTTGCGCTGCGACACGCTCGGTTGCAGGAGTCTGGGCAGTTGCAGGGGTTTGGGCGGTTGTCGGAGATCCCAACGGGCTAGAAGGGTGTTGTGGAGGAGAGGATGGCATAAAGAGAGGGGTCACCAATGTTGACTGCCCGATGGTGTCATGTGAGGTGGGAAATGGGGAGGTATAGCCTGTGTTGGCCATGGTTGCGCACGCGTGCGGCTGCGCAAAGGTGAGGGCACGATAAGGCTAAAACCGCCAAAGCAGAGGTCAAATTCAATCCCTATGGTTGCACTCAAGAGCTACCAAATGAAAAAAATATCAACCGAGTAAATAGAGAAATAACAATAACCAAATTGCGGGGGAGACAAGAAAGATTGAAGAATCTCGCGACGGGTTGTATTTTGTCGCCTGAGGCATTAATGTTTATCCACTGCCTCTTTTGGTCTAGCGGCATTTGTGTCTGATACATATGCTTCTTGATTCGTACTTCTTACTTTGCTCATTCTCTCTTATATCACATTTATTTGCTATTTGCATGAAATTGATTTTGGAATTAAAAATTTGATCGCAAATCAAGCCGTTGTCTTCCATTCTTCAAATCCAGGTGGAACCACCGAGGGCTCATGCGACCGACCGCGTTTTTCGGCTTCTAACTCAGTTTCCCCGTTGCCTGGTGCCTTTGCCTTTGACTTTCTTCGTGAACTAGCGCGACCACCTTTCGCGGCGATAGCCTGCTATTTACTCACATTCATACCATCAATGACAAGGCCTGTTACTAGCTGGTTTTGCGGCACTCTCACCTGTTTCTCTGGGTCCATATCATGGAACCCACCCACGCCAGTGGCTTTCCCACCCTTTTTCCCACCCTTATGGCCTATTTCTGAAAGCTCCTCGCGTGGGCGATTTGCAAAATTCCCAGGGTTGGGGTGTGGACGATTAGGTGGTGGTACTGTAGCGACACTACAGCGATGCCACAATCCAACGTTCACAGACTTTGCGGCTGGAAGCAGTCCAAGAAACGGACGTGACAGGATCCGAGTACCTCTGATCAAAGACATCATGCTATAGTGTGCCAAAGTTGATATCAAAAGTATATGCTGCTCCGCAAGAAGGTATTGGTACCCCACAAGACTGCTTGATGGGAGTTGGCCGCAACTTATGTAGTCTCCAGAAATGGCTATTTTGCCTCCAACAACTCATCGGAGGCGATGGTGGCTTGTCTCTATATGACATTTCTTTCGAAATTTGCCGGTCCGCTATCTGGAAGAAATCCACTTTAAGATGCAATCCGTTCCGGGTTGCTTATTTCAATTTGCTGGAGCACTAATCCGATATTCAAATTTGATGTCATCTTCAGCTCTTCCCCAACGAGCCGAATCCAACGCCATGGATATAGGAACTAGCATCCATGGTTCTAGTATTGAGGCGGTGATCCAGGCCCGTGTGAGATGAGGATGAAACGAAGATGCCCTTGGAAGTTTCCAATTCATACATAGTCCTGTTGATCTCCAAAACAATAACCATAGTTCCTTGTAGGATGTGGTAGCCTTGCCCAAAAATGGATCTCCCATTCGGCTTAGTCAGTGAGTATTTGGGTTTATCGTGTGCAGGTGTTTAGTCCGATCTACTACTTTGTGTTGCAGTAATATTCACCGGCTGATTCAATTTTTGTTTTGGAAATTCGTCATTGCATAACTCTGGAGCTTCATTTGGTTCTCTGCGGTCATTTTCTCTCTAGCGCAAGAAGCCTGAAGGATCTCTCAACCCCACAGCTGCCAACCGCCAAAACATAAGCATCATCCAGCTCTCACAAAGCAAAGAACATGGAATAAAGTTGCTACAAATTACGTACATCTGGATCTTCAATATTCTGTCTCTTCAAAATGCCGCCTATCCGAGGTGGACTCGGTGAGCGCCCGCGAGTGATCTTGTACCACCAAACGCTCATCCCAGGCGGGGGCCAGTATGTCTCCATGCTCCCACTCCTCGAAAACAACACCGGGATAACCCATGTTATTATCGGCGCTTTTCACCTAAACGCCGAACCAGAAGACATTACTCTCAACAATGACCCGCCAGGCAACGCAATGTTTGACCCTCTATGGGCCGAAATGCCCCTCGTTCAGCGGCAGGGAGTGAAAGTGATGGGCATGCTAGGCGGGGCCGCTCCAGGCTCCTTCACGCGACTTGACGGGAGCCAAGTAGAATTCGAGCGGTTTTATTCTCCTCTTTTGGCTATTATTCGCCGCCATGGACTTGATGGGCTGGATCTCGATGTAGAAGAGCCCATGTCTTTGCAAGGCATCATTCGACTCATCGACCGTCTCAAGGCAGACCTTGGCGACGCATTTATCATTACTCTGGCTCCTGTGGCAGCTGCACTACTTGGCATTGGAAACTTATCAGGGTTTGACTACCGTGAACTCGAGCAGGCTCGAGCTTCCAAGATCAGCTGGTACAATGCCCAGTTTTACAATGGCTGGGGTCCTGCGGAGGATCCACGAATGTATGCTGGTATGGTCGCCCAAGGATGGTCTCCACGACGAATTGTGTATGGTCTGTTGACAAACCCGGGTAATGGATCCCAGGGTTTTGTGTCCCAGGAGAAGATTGGACCTGTTTTGGCAATGTTGGTTGAGCAGTTTCCAAATTTTGGCGGCGTTATGGGCTGGGAGTATTTCAATGCTCTGCCTGGGGGCACAGAGAAACCTTGGCAATGGGCTGCTCAAATGACATTAAGCATGGGCATGAAAGATGTTGTTGCGGCAGCTCGCCAGATATTGTCGGCAGGGCCGATGGCGAGTAGTCTCAATAATTTGTTTCAAGATATGCTAAATCAGGGACGTCAATGAAGCAACTGAATATCTAGCATTTGATGCAAACCGTAGCTATATGCTTAAAGTCAACTGTTCAGTTTCAAGTGTGTTGGCCTGCATAAATTCCAAATTCACCATGTGAGAGGTTTACTACAACCCCAGTTTTCAGTACCTAAATTCTACTGTCAATGGTGGTTAAAGTAGGTAAATCCTATTTATAGTCAGGCAATAGACATAATTTATATAATTTATATCAATTTACGGACCAATTGGTTTTCAATAACCAATACATATATACGCACGATCAACATTGGAGCTCTTGGCCCTAGTAGGTACCTACGTCATCCTATCATGAATCACCACTAGTAAACACAAAGATCATCCTCCACTTTCCACCTCCATCGTTTTTTTTTTAGCGTGCGTTGATTTTCACTCTCTACAATTGGTCAAACTTCCTTGCATAATGGTCTCCGTGCGACGTATTGCTGTAGCCACGAGCTCGGCGACCATCCGACTGACGAGTTTAACGTTTCTGCGATGGGTATAAAGCCCCCATAGACAGTCAAGCTCGCCTTTCAGAAAACTCATATATTTACAGATCCCTGGTCATCACTTTGTGCCTCTCGTGGTTACCTCCCTAGTAGTGTATCTGTCGTCAATATCATCCTTGCTCAAGGATACCACCCAGTCTCACCAAAGTCAGGCGGCTAAAGCCCGAAGCTCGAACAGTCAGGTTCCACTTCCAAATTATCACAGTATGATATTCTAACTACGTGGCTTACAGGGTATAAGCCAGTGTCTAGCCGTGGAAAATCTGGGGATTCCGTGCTTAAAACACTGTTGACAGGGCTGCCCTCGGCAAAGTGGCCCCTGTGGACCAGGATCACAATCTTGATCAATGTCGTCCTGGCACTGCTAACGCTTGACTTCTTGACCCGTGGTATTCTATTTTATCCAACCACAGATGTTGCCTTCTCGCGCGTCGGATATGTTTCCCCGACCAGTGCCAACTTGGTCTTTCGGGAGCCAGACCCAGCTCACCTACCAGTGACGGTCATGTTCCAGGAGACCTCTCCACTGAGCCAGGACTGGTACGAAGAGGGCATTGTTTACAAGTTGGATAACTCGACCGACTTCACCACGACTGTGACCCTAACCGACCTGAAGCCCGCAACGCGATATCGCTATTCGCTGTCTAACAACCAGTCTGGCACATTTGTCACAGCGCCAGAACCCGAAACCCCACAAGCAAGCCGACTATCTTTTGTAACATCAAGTTGTCTGAAGCCAAACTTCCCTTACAATATCTTATCACACCCACTACGGATCCCAGGCCTCGAGCAAATGACCGACGCCCTCGCCAAACTACCTAAGCTACTTCGCCCAGCATTCATGCTCTTCCTAGGCGACTTCATCTACATAGATGTCCCCTGGCGCTTCGGCTCAACAATGTCGCATTACCGCAGCGAGTACAGGCGTATCTACTCATCCCCCTCATGGACACACGGATCAGAAGGGAACCGCGCCATTGACCTCCCCTGGCTACATACTCTGGATGACCACGAGATTGAAAACGACTGGTCACAGGGTAACAAAACTTCCCCGTACCCGGCAGCCGCAGACCCTTTCATCCACTATCATGTGCGAGGAAACCCACCCATCCCTGCGGAACCCTTCGCTCATCCAGACAATGTAACCTACTTCGCCTTCACGCATGGCCCAGCTTCGTTCTTCATGCTGGACACGCGCACCTACCGCACTGAGCCCTCGCAAAAGAACTCAACAATCCTCGGTCGTGCCCAGCTCCAATCCCTCCTAGAGTACATCTCAACCCCAGAGCCAGCCGGCACACACTGGAAAATCATATCCTCCAGCGTGCCCTTCACGAAGAACTGGCACGTCGGCACGACAGATACCTGGGGCGGATTCCTGGACGAGCGCCGCGTCGTATTCGAAGCAATGTGGCGCGCAGAACGCGAGCTAGGAATCCGAATCGTCATGCTCAGCGGTGATAGACACGAATTCGGTGCCACGAGATTCCCAGACCCGGAACTTAACCTGGGTCGCGGTCAGCTTTTGCCAAATACGGCTGGGCTGGGCCTCCATGAGTTCAGCGTTGGCCCGTTGAGCATGTTTTACCTCCCCATCCGTACATATTACCAGACAGACCCTGAGGATGTTATGGTGAAGTATGCGCCGAATGGGAACAGTAAGTTCGGGCTTATTGATATTGCGGATGAGGTTGAAGAAGTTAGTTCGGCGGCTGCTGCTGCGCCTGTTCGGGCTCGCAGCTCGGTTCTGACTTATTCGTTGTATGTGGATGGGGAGGTTGTTTGGAAGTATCGTCTCAGTGTTCCATTGGACCGCGATGAGAGTGTCCATATCCCGTCTCTGCCGCCAGGTCGTGTGCTTGAAGATGAGATTCCGGACCTTAGTTGGAGTGTGGTGCTTGGGACTGTTGTTGGAAGGGTGCCAGAGTTGACGAAGTCGATTGCGGGGACGGTTAATAACCTCTACTTTCAACTTGCGGATCGACTGGAGAAGGTTGAGAGACTTGCTTAGCTGATTAGATCGTGTCTCGGAGGGATCACCTCGCCTGATCATTCGAATATGTCGGGGCAGGTTGGATGATCGTATGTATTAGTTAGATCTTTCCAAGCAGATACGCCGTCTTCAGGTGTGATCTCACGGATAATACAGCAATGAGATTATTGCACAAGCTAAGACTTTTCAATTTCTATAAGCAATCATCAAATGAATTAAATGCGCAGCGATCCCAACGAGATCGGGCTGTGATTTTTATCTCGTTATGTAGCTATGTGGTGGGGAAGGGGGAAATTTTATACACGGTTGCACTGCAGGAACTGCTAAACCAAAAATATGACGCCTATCGCCTTTGCCCCCTGGATCCATTCACTGGGGTATAAGATGTAGATAAAGAGGGAGAGAAAGGGGAGAGTGGAGACTGAAGAATGACGCACGCGATGGGAGAAATGCTTCTTGACGTTGCCAATCTGGGAGATTCAAGATATCCAACATCTCGACCAGCAAAGCCGCAGGAATGGAATGAGAAATGAAAGAAATTCGCATGGGAGACACGATCTGAGGGATGTCTCTTCACGAATGATTAATTGGGTCAATTGAGTGGCGTTTTGATGGCCCCCAAAAGGAAGACGAATACGAAAGCCTCCTAGCTCGACAGCGTCGATTAGAAGCGTCCACCGCTGGTAACCTCATCTCCACCACCAGCAGCCATTCCGCCCAACAGATTAGCTCCCCAGATGCCGGCGATACCCCACATGCCAATACGCCAGCCGCGGTACAGGCCATGAATACCCTGGCCTTGTCGCCGCTTCTGAAGCTCTTGCTGTGAGGTACGCTGGCCGAGAAGCTGCTTGGCCCGCTCTGTGTCGGATGGTGTCGAGCTGACACCCTCCTCATAAACAACATGCCACATTGTGCCAATGATACCGCGGTATGTGCGCGGGGTAGGCACAATTGTTTCCACATCAGATGCATCAATAGATGCCGCACTGATGCTACCGCCTGAGGACTTCTGGCGCAGACTCAAAGATGTGTATGTGGCGATCTGGGCGCGGCGGAGCACGGTCTCAAGTGGGAATCGCACGGCGAGTTCAAGTCCCGAGGCAAGGAAGGCACAGAGGTTCCATGCGTTGGGATTTAGAAGAGGGTCAATGGATAGGTATGATTTGAGGAAGAGTGGTGTCGAGGTCATAATGAGATTGGGGAGACTTGAGTGAAGTATGGTAATCGGGACGAGGTGCGACGGGATCGTGCAGTTGGGTGTGGGGAGCTGGCGGATAGCTCGGACGAGGGACCCGGGCCCATGGGTTGCGGGTGTGAGCATCAGGAATGTACGAGCGGTGTCGATAGGAGCTAGGATCAGAGCAGAGAGTGAGGATGAAATGAATGACAGGACCAGCGTTGCCAGAGGGGATGATGCCGTCAAAATGTCCGCTGTCATCGACGTGGAGATGTCTTCTTCTGGCAAGCCGACGATTGCCGACAGGAGACTGCGAATGAAAGTGTTCAAGGTCGGCAGGAGAAGTGAGTGAATGAATGTAGCGTTAGAGGACTTCCAGAGGGAGGTTGGCCCACTCGAGGACCAGAGCTGGGATAGAACCTCGGTCAAAGAGTTCGAGTTCTTGATAGTCAAGGCATGTTTGGGCTTTGCAGCGGATTCTGGTCGGATATAGCCACTACGGTCAGTGATGTGGTGGCGTGATTTGCGAGATCGAGGTGTACTCGGCGACGGCGTTGGAGGGGCCGCCGAGGTGAAGTAACTGGTTTCATCATCGGATGATTCCGAGTCCTATACGCAACTTCGTTAGTGATTCATCTTGGAATTCAACATAGCCCTATATCAGCTATACAGAACAGCTTTCTTACCGAATCATAAGAGCTTCCTTCAGCACCCGGTGTAGAGTTCCGATTCGACTGCTCGTCTGTGGCGTCTGGTACGACATACACCTGCAAGATGGTTTTGGCAACATCGAACGGCTGTGCGGTAAGAACCTTGGTGTAGCGCACAAGCGCCCGGTTCAAGGCATCGCGGACCCAGTCAGATACAGAGGGCGAAGCTTCCAGATAATCGGTATAGTCCAAGTCCGGGATGAGATCACGCGCTGTGCTGCCGAATACCTGGGCCGATGATGGCGACGCCACCTCGGGGGGCGCATTCGAAGCCGGCGATAAGCCAGATGGGGGGATATAGTAAGGTCGCAAAGGATTGATCCCTTCACGAGACGACATAATGCGGATGTTGGTCGGACTTAAAGATGGTTCGGGGAAAGAAGAACGGGAGGAGTGGAATGTCCGAACGCCCAAGCTTTGTCAGTCATTTTTTTTCCTCCGCGGCCATTGGACGGACATTGCTCACTCTTTCTATCTTCCCCGGGATCCTCTTTTTTTCCTCCCTGTTGACTTTCAAATTCCCCTCTTAATTTATTAATTCCATTTTCTGCAAACATGGTTTTCTGGCGCGAAGTTGGTCAGCAATTGCGCCTTGTACCCAAGGCCGGGGATATCTGTTTGACTCAATCGCGGAGATACCTAAGTTATTCACGGTCATGGAAGAACACCGGAATCACAACACACCCTCGGTCGAATATCAATGCACAGAAAAACCTTCAAGCACCTTGGCAAGGATATAATACAGCCCGCCGTGCTTTCTCGGTGACTGCACAAGCTGCGCATGGTCATATCACGCCGCCAAAGGCCGGAGAAGAGTACGCCCACCAGATCGCAGATTGCCCTCTTCTTGCACTTTTACACTATCTACGCTGCATACTGACTGGCTCTGTAGGATCAACTTGACTTTCATTGACAAGGATGGCACAAAGGTAGAGCTCCAGGTCGCCGAGGGCGACAACCTACTCGACATCGCACAGGCAAACGATCTTGAAATGGAAGGTAAGTTGACCCGATATAAAGCAATATTTAGCCCCAAATATCTGACATTACTCTGGTGATAGGAGCATGCGGAGGATCCTGTGCTTGCTCGACGTGCCATGTGATTGTGGATGACCCGGATACCTTTGATAAAATGGAAGAACCATCGGACGACGAGAACGACATGTTGGATCTGGCTTTCGGGCTTACCGAGACCTCTCGGCTGGGCTGCCAGGTCATCATGACCAAGGATCTTGACGGAATGGTTGTGCGATTGCCTTCCATGACACGTAATCTCCAGGCAAGCGACTTCGAGTCGAAATAAAGACACCAACCAGCAGAGACCCCGGGAGGGACTGTTAGGATCTTGAATACCCCCACATCTCATTTGAATCGAGATGGCTGAATACAGCGTGGGTTTACGGTTCTATTTGACCAATAGGACTTTGTATTGTAATATTCATCTGATGCATCTAGTATATCTGCACGGTATAACAAAATGAAAATCTCCTGTACTATTTTAATCAAAGACTCTCCACATAAGCAATTTTATTACAATGTAGAAAAGAATACATGTATATAACAAAAAAAAAGTCTCCCAACGCCAGAAAACATGCCATGGGTAATCGTAGATCCAGCTCATGCCTCTTCGATATTCAAAGGCTTTCCCTTCTTTCCATTGATCAATTCAAGGAATCCCTGCTTGCTGACCTCGTTGGCAGCCTTCTCCCGCTCTCCCATACCAATTGTGCCCTTCTTGCGCTCATCCTTGGCCGCCTCCTCTCCTCGGACTTGAGCTGCACGCACAGCATTGAACAGCTTCACAACACCACGCTGCGCCATCTTGCGCACGCGCTTCTCCTCCTCAGCGACGGGGCCAGCAATTCCTCGCTTGATACCCATCACATCACGGATACGACCACGATCCAGTTCCTCCTTCTTCTCAGCGCGCATCTTAGCCCGTGCGGCATTGTCGAGCTTCTCCTCTGCAGCCTCGGTGACCAACTTCGCGGCATACGAGCTTCGTGAGAGAACGGGATCAGCCCGTGCAGAGGTAGGAAGTTTTGTGGACAGAATTTTGGAGATAGAGGTTGAGAATGCGGTAGGGTCGTTGCGCTTGGGGACGGCTCGGCCGCGATTGGCGCCTGTGGGTTTGCCCGCCGGGGACGAGTCGGAAAGATCATCTTCGTCCGATTCGTCAGATCCAGAGGCGTCGCTTTCATCGTCGTCGTTCTCGAGATCTGCATCATCTAGCTCGATCTCCTCGCCAACATCAGAGTCTGCGTCGTCCACCTCAATCTCTTCGCCGGCATTGGAGTCTGAGTCGCTAGCGTCTGATTTTTTCGATTCCGGTTCGGGTGCTTCTTTTTGTGTCTTTGCCTTCTTCATGCGGAGGTCGAGAGCCGAAGGCTTGGCAACCTTGACTCCTCCTTCTTCGGCGTCTGAGTCTTCAAGACTGACGGGGTTGAAACTTTCATCTTCTTCTTCGTCCTCGGAGCTGCTGTGATAGAAGCGCTGCTTAACAAACTTCTTCTTGCGGCCGGTGTGACCCTTCAGGCCATCAAGGACCTTGCGCTTCTTGGAAAAAGTAGGAGGCATTGTCACAAAAAAATAATGTAATAAATGCAAGTAAAGAAGAAAGTCAAGACACTGATCCAAAAGTCCCCGTATCACAACTTTTTTTTGGGGCGGTGAGAAACCATCAGCTCTCCGATTGGCTCCTCCACATCGCCTCTCTGGTCTTCTGATGCGCTCCATCTTCACCCCTCCTCCATCGCGGAATCATAGACATCTCCAGTCTTATTCTGAATTCTTTTTCTAATTGTTTTCATCTACGCACATAATTCACCATGGTTCTTCAAGACCTTGGGCGGCGAATCAACTCCGCCGTCAATGACCTGACGAGGTCCAATAATCTCGATGAGAAGGTATGCCATGTGTTGTCCAACGTGGCCCACAAGCCATTCCGCTAATACAGTAATAGGCCTTCGATGAGATGCTCAAGGAAATTTGTGCCGCTCTTCTCTCTGCCGATGTCAACGTCCGTCTCGTAAAAACGCTACGCAAATCGATTAAGGCCAGCGTGGACTTCGCCTCAATCCCAGCCGCAGTGAACAAGAAGCGACTTATCCAGAAGACCGTGTTCGACGAGCTCGTAAAATTGGTGGACCCGCATGCAGATGCCTTCCGCCCAAAGAAGGGTCGCTCCAATGTCATCATGTTCGTCGGTTTGCAGGGTGCGGGTAAGACAACAACGTGTACGAAGCTGGCTCGGCACTATCAGACACGAGGATTCAAGACAGCGCTGGTCTGCGCGGATACTTTCCGTGCTGGTGCTTTTGATCAGCTGAAGCAGAACGCTACCAAGGCCAAGATCCCATACTATGGTAGTCTGACGCAGACGGATCCCGCTGTCGTAGCTGCAGAGGGTGTGGCCAAGTTTAAGAAGGAGCGTTTCGATATCATCATTGTCGATACCAGTGGTCGTCACCGACAGGAGGAGGAGCTCTTCACGGAAATGACACAAATTCAAGAAGCTGTGACCCCAGACCAGACCATTCTTGTGCTCGACAGCACAATTGGTCAAGCTGCCGAGGCTCAATCCTCGGCCTTCAAGGCAACTGCAGACTTTGGAGCTATTATTATTACCAAGACCGACGGCCATGCTGCCGGTGGTGGTGCTATTTCTGCTGTCGCTGCTACACACACTCCCATCATCTTCCTTGGTACTGGTGAGCACATGATGGATTTGGAGCGATTTGAGCCCCGCGCATTCGTTCAGAAGCTACTGGGCATGGGCGACGTCGCCGGACTTGTCGAGCACGTCCAGGCCATGACCAAGGATTCTGCAGGTGCCAAGGAAACATACAAGCACATTGCGGAGGGTATCTACACTCTACGCGATTTCCGGGAGAACATCACATCGATTATGAAGATGGGCCCACTATCTAAGTTATCCGGCATGATCCCCGGTCTGTCTAACATGACCCAGGGTCTGGATGACGAGGACGGCTCACTGAAGCTGCGCCGCATGGTCTACATCTTTGACAGTATGACCGTAGCCGAGCTGGATGGCGATGGCAAGAATTTTGTCGAGCAGCCTAGCCGCATGGTCCGCATCGCGCATGGCAGTGGAACTACCGTCCGTGAGGTCGAGGATTTGCTCTCCCAGCACCGCATGATGGCCGGCATGGCCAAGCGCGTTGGCGGCCAGAAGAAGCAGATGCAGCAGGCTCAGAACATGATGAAGGGTGGAAACAAGAATCAGCAGATGGCTGCCATGCAGAAGCGCATGGCCTCCATGGGTGGTGCTGGCGGCGGCGGTATGCCCGGTATGCCTGACATGGCCAAGATGATGCAGATGATGGGAGGTGGTGGTGGCGGCATGCCTGATATGCAGAGTCTAATGAGCCAAATGGGTGGGTTGATGGGTGGAATGGGAGGCGGCGGTGGTGGACGTGGAAGAGGACGTTAAGCTCGGTCTTTGGTGGTCTTATTGCGTCCCTTCTTTTTGTTTTCCTCCTTTCCATATTCAAATCGCTGGCTCATCAACTTAGCATCTGGGCTGGTGTTTGGCGTTTTCTTGCTCTTCACATTATGTGCAAAACCTGTACACGAGAACAAATTTGGTAATGAGCCTATCACATATACCATCCTGAAAAAGGAATCATATCCCCTTCTTGTTCTACTCTCAAATTACTTTTTTGAAAAAGGCAAATTGCAGTGTGGTACTATCGTTTCAGTCATAAGCAAACCACATTGTACACATAACCCCTAAAGAGAAACGCCGCTAAAATCCATCCGTCTAAGGAAAAAAGAGAATTGAGATCGAAAAAAGGGACCACCAGATCGACCACTGACCATGTTCATAGCGGCCAGCAGACCCTGCAACAGGCGAGTCCAGTGAGATCAAATGAAAATAAAAATGTCATGCTTTTGGGTCGGGAGATGGAAAATAAATCGAGCCATATAAATATACAAGAAGCCCGGATGATTTCCCAATGGGAGGCAAGTCGAGAGAGACAGGAAGGATATGAAACAAGTCCGTATGACAGTACATGGACCGCCAGGGAGAGGAGGGGGAGTATGGGTATCAAAATTGTCCTTGTGGGGGAGGACCCGAAAAAACGCAAACAAAGAGGTAAGGGAGCCTGGACGCATGAGAATTGTTTATTTTTCAGCGAAACGGCGGTCGAAGTATCGCAGCACACCCATGACACTTGCAGCCTCGACTTCCATGGCAGCACGGGTCTCTGGGATAGCGAGGTCGCGGGGGTTGGGGAGGGTGTGGAGCTTTGGCAGCCAGGTTGAGATCTCGTCACTGGCACGGGAGAAATTCGGGTGGCGGGATAGGGTGGTGAAGGCATCGGCACAGCTGAGCGTTAGCTCGGAGGGCGGAGCGGGCTTGGGTGCGGGAGGTTGCGAAGGCATGGTGGCGTTGCTACGCGAGTTGGACGAGGTGGCGGGGGCATCTCTTGACATACAGCATCCGCCATCCTTTCCTGCACCTCCGCAGCAGCCTCCTCCCGATGGAGTTCCGCTCGCTGACCGGGAGGCTGCCAACGTCTTGCAAAAAAGAGTGCTTCGAGGGTCGGCAACACACTGGGCGCAAGTGCCTGGCCCATTGGCACAGGGGTTGGTCGCTTGGCTGATGGGTGGGAGAGTCACTTCTGAGCGGACGTCTCCCTCAGAAGGGGGTGGTGTGAACTGGGAGATGGATTGGATTGGTGCGAGACGGTTGGTCTCGAATGCGTTGGCATTGCGTACACGCTGCTGCTCCTGTGCGGCCATCTCAGCGCAGATACAGGGAGTGCCATCCTGGCAAAACCCGCAGGGATCAACGGGGGGCGAGGAAATTTCGTGGTCGTGGGACTGGGTTGGAGCGCTGGAGAATTGAGCGGTGAAGTCGATTTCCATCTCTTCCGGATCGGGCTTGATGTGGGGATCCCTATGATCGCGGTCCGGACTGCCCACGCCATGGGGTGCGTGTCTAGCACGAGATGACTCATGGGTATCAATTTGCATGCCGAATGCATCTTCAATGCACTGGCAGTGGGAGTTGGAGCAGTTGTTGCAGCCAAGGGGTACATTCATCTGTCCATCCTCCTTGTTACGTTCGGTACTAGTAGGTTGAATACCCTCCATTCGGGAGCTTCTGGTCTTGCGAGGCGGCAAGGGCACAGAGTCAGGAATGGGTGTGACCTTGCTGACATTAGGGCCAGCAAGAGATGACCGGAATTCCTTGACAATGGCTTCCTTTGCGCTGCGCTCAATCGATACTTCCTTCTCCAAAGCGTGGCATCGGTCGCGCCACCAACCCATCTCCTCGCGGCACTGGTCAACCTCACCGGAGAGGTTGCCAATCTGTTGTTGGAGCGAGGAGAGCTGAACCTCATGGCTATCTTCCATTTCCTTCATTTGCTCTTCCAGTTCGCTAACTCGGGCGGCGCGACGCTCACGGAACGCTCGTTGAGCTGCCCGGTTCTGCGCTTTGCGTTTGGTTGGCGGTGTATCCGTAGCTGGCTTGCGACCAGGCTTGGGGCGTGGTGGGATAACCCATTCTTTCGAGGTGATGGAACCGGGTGTACCCGGTCCTGGAGATGGGGCTACAGAAGGTCTAGCGGCCAGCATGGGTGCTGGTGCCAGGGCCAGTGCAGGAACTCCAGCAGGTGCCATAGACACACCACTGGCCATTTTGACACCCAATTGATGTTCAAATACTGTGTTGAAGTCAGTTGGGAACAACTAGTCGGGCGTGGACGGAGCAAACGCACGAGCCGTTTCTCGGTCGGAAGAGCGGAAGTGTGCTCATATGAGCCGATAAGCGAGAAAGACTAGTTGGAGATGAAGAAAGAACGAGCTTTCTTTTTTTTCCAACTTTGTTCTATGGGGAATAACCAGACGAAAAATAGACAAAATGAGCATAGAAAGGTTAGAGAGAAGAGAGAATTGGAATGCGAAGTGAGGGAGGGGGGAAAGCCGGGAAAAAGTGATGATCAGATTAGATTATGTGCTCACATGATTCCGGTTTCGGACGTTGTCCTTGGCCATTATACTTTTGCCTGGAAATGTTCTCTGTTCTTCTTTTTCTTTTGGTAATTTACCATTGGTTCATTTACTATTTTGCTAGCCCTAATCCCCGACCTGAGGATCCTCTTTGAAATTTTTATCTGATCCGAATCTGAGTGGAGATTGTTCCGAGAAAGCGTAGGTGGACTGACGCAACATTCTTTGATCCAGTGATATATTCTCTAATTTTCTCTGGCTACCTGCGTTTATTGTTTCTTAGACAGCTCGATTCAAGAAGATCCCTTGGATTCACACACAGAAAGCTCTACAATAGCGAATAAATACAACCTAATTCCCAATTCCCAATTGCATTGGCAAACTTCCTATGCAGCTATCCGTTTACCCGGCTGATCGTCGATGACTCAACAACAGGCGACACGGATCAAAACTCTCCAGTGAAAGTCAAATTTGCTCGAGTGGAGTGTCTAATCCATTGACCATGGGTGGGCAAGACTGGGCAAGACTCGTCCTATGTTGTACTTCCGGTCAACAGCCATTACCTAGCAATACCGACAATTAGCCAATGACAGAATGTCAATGCGCAAAAGAACTTTCCCAGCAGTCATTCACCAGCGGTGAGAGTATGGATCGGCATCCGAATTGCCTTCCACATAGCCGTTCTCGGTCTCTATGATCTTATCTGATTGCACTAATGTTGCTCGTCCTTGGGCTGACCGACTGCAATCCAAAGGTTGAACTGGAGACCGGCAATCATTTCTCTATTTCATTATGTTTTTCCTGTCTGGGTGATTGGCTTTCTTTGGAGATTACCTAGTTGGTGGTCCCCACGCAGATTCTTATCAATCAGTGATGCTTGTCCAACCTCATCCCGAGCGAAAGCCGAACAGCGGAATTTTGGCATATGCAACCCACCAAATGTTAGTTAGTCACAGTCGAAGCTGTTTCTGACGTGCTTATGCAGGGATAGACAGCGAAAAAGTGGAATGCGTGAAAAGAAGTCGCCGCTATTGGACATACTCGTTTCCATAGCGTTGAGAGGTCCATTTTCGGCGATCCGAAAAAGCGATCCACTATTGCTCGGTTATATCCCAAAATCTCCCAAGGTTCTCATGATTATGATGAAAAGGGTAGTATAAGCCGAGATCACGAAGTTCTCAATTTTCACCACAATTGAAATTCTAGCAAAACATAGCGAACCACCAAGTTGCTCTTGATCTGCTGGAATTAAATTGAAATATAGAACGTAGACTAACTATTTCCACAAAATACCTTTACTTTCTAACCCCATCGGGAGTCAATATGAAATATTGAACAAAAATAATTCAACTTGGCCCCTTGGCACTGAACACTCAGGCCAGATCTACCTCACAACTCCGTTAATGGAGGAGCTCCGTCTGCTGGAGGAGCAGAGTGCTTAGTCTGCACAAAGACCTTCTGCATTCCCATCTCTCGCTTATTGAAAATCGCATACAATTTCTCCATGTCTTCTAAACGTACCCGGTGGGTTACCATCTCGAGAGGATTGATATCATTCGTCTGAATGAGATGCATGAGGTGCTTCCAATATTTGTGGACAGGAGCCTGCCCATTACCCATAAGATGAACACCTGTCTGCATCAGAGCCCCAATGTTAAAGTGATTGGTCTGGGAATTATTGTCAGATACTGCGCTCTTTTTAAAAAGCGGCAGGTAAAACTCACAAATCCGGCATAGATACCCGTCACTCCAACATGACCAAACGGACGGACAGCAGTAATCATCTCATTCAACAACTCTGAAGTATCTGTCTCCATTCCAAGCAATTGCTCGAAGTAATGTGCCCATCCTTTGGCGTATTCACCCGCTGCACATTCCAAAGCAACATCAGGTCCGCCCTCGACCATCTTTTGCAGCTGTGATGTCACCGATTCGCTTTTGGGCAAATTAGTGAAGTTGATCGTCTCGACCATTGGCACCTTAGTCTTCACAAAGTCCAATCGCCATGCACCGTCACCTCCATCGATAAGGATGACTCGACTAGCTCCATGGAAGAAGCTGAACCGTGCACACATCTGCCCAATCGGTCCGGCTCCCCAGATTGCAACAACATCCCCTTTCTTCACACCGGTGTCGACCACACAATGCCATGACGTTGCTATAACATCCGAGACATAAAGTGCCTTCTCATCTGGTACTTCCGCTGGAATAGCAAGCAGATTGACGTCGCCGTATGGAACTCGAATGTACTCGGCCTGGCCACCTGCAAACCCACCCGTGAAATGGGAATATCCAAATATGCCTGGTTAACATTTAGTATGAATATTGGGGTTCTCAGGGCCAGGTAAAATGCATATCGTGCGACTCTGCTCGACTTACCTGCAGTTCGCTTCCCATACAAGGCATTGGTCAGAGTGTTCTCATTGGTTCTGTCACATTGAGAATAGTACTCTCTCCGACAATTCCTGCAATCCCCACAAGCAATCGGAAAAGAAACAACAACTCGTTCTCCGATTTTGACCTTTTTTGACTCGGGCCCTATACTGTCCACAACTCCACAGCATTCATGGCCTAGCACATCTCCCTTCTCCAACTGAGGAATAACACCTTATCCGGCACAGTTGTGTCAGCCTGTTCGCTTGCTCGAATAGTCGTGGGATTATCTTCATACCGTGATATAGGTGCAGATCACTACCGCAAATAGTGCTTCCTGTCACTCTAACAATAACATCTCCAGGGTCAATCACCCGTGGTTTCGGCATTTCCACTAATCATGGTGGTCAGCAATGCATAGAAGGCTTAAAATAGGAATTGCCTCTCTCACTTACCAACTTTGACTTGGTTCTTCCCTTGCCAGGTAGTAGCCTGGATCATTTCCCCGGTCTCCACTCCATGTTCATTGTCATAGCTGGACACGTCAGTGGTGATTGTCGAATTATCACCGTGGCCGAGAATCTTTTCTACCAGGTTTGCTGCCTGGGACATCGCCATTTTCAATCTAATTAAAGATATGTATGATTTGGAGATAGCGAATTTATGGATTGAATAGTATGAGGAGGTTCCAGCACAGCTTTGTACTAATCCAGTAGCTCCGTATTCATTCTTGCAATGTTCAAATGCTGAAACTCCAGGTTTTGGGGGCTTCCTGTCAACTGACATCATCATGATGCCGGGAGAGCGTCAAGCAGAGGTACCCCCTATTTTAACGAATCTATCATAAATTCTGCTATATAATGAGTATCATATTCGGGGCAGACCAAATCGAGCCCGCTGGCTATAATGTCCAGGCCCCACGTTGTAGGTGCTTTCCGTGATTTTAGCCTTCGCCTTAGGGTATAAAAGCTATACTATATTATTTACATTCATTCACGAGACATATTACGCACAATTCTTTCGACATCATTTTCTCATTAATTTCTCGTATCATATAGACACGTGGGAGTTGACCAAAGCGCAATAATCTTGTGAATATATATCGGGGTTTAGTTGCACAGAAATAGTCGTTTTAAGATTACTTAATCTCGATATTGCTCGACCTTGGAAGTAATATGTCCAAATAGCAGGGGAATGTCATCAGTTCATTTTAAATACTACTACGGAGTACTCAAATGTTAGAGCAGATTTACTAAACAGATCTGGCAGCAAATGGCGTCATAGGGCTTAGTTTCGTTGTATGCGATTCGTAGGTCCGAACTAAGCATTTACCAAGCCAAATACTTCGTATATTCACGCGACATACTAATCGAACCAGTGCGCCTACGTGTAGATACAATTTGACCTATAAGAAAAGAACATGTAGTTGTCACACGTCAATAAACACGAGTGGACAACTGAACCTCTTATCATTACCACCGGACTCGGCGATAAGCAAGGGGTAGTCAGGGTCAGGTACCAGACCAGCCCCCCCCGTCGGGACTCCGCCTTTTCCCCTCACGAGTCATTCTCTCCTCCAACTCTCCCTCTTCCCCTGTAATCCAACACTCCAACCACTTACAACATGACCAGAAAATACAACTCAGACCAAGGCCTTGATATGCCTTGGGCTTCACAAATGTCCGCCCAGCTACCCAATCCGTTCATGCCTGTACCTGCTGCAATGCCACGCCGAGCTCAGGAATCAATCAACGATGAGCCCGTCCACCCCGAGGATTACTCCGAGCCATACTGTGACTTCATGACATCCAACCCCACGATTTTCCACGCCGTCAACTCCTTCTCCGAGCAGCTCGAAGATCATGGCTACAAGTACCTCTCCGAACGATCGGCGTGGACTTCAGAGCTGAAACGAGGCGGCAAATTCTACACTTCCCGCAACGGAAGTTCTTTGATCGCTTTCAACATTGGCTCCAAATACGAGAGCGGCAACGGTGTGGCTATCGTTGCTGGCCACGTGGATGCTTTGACTGCCAAGCTGAAGCCCGTGTCTAAGCTACCAACCAAAGCAGGCTTCCAGCAGCTCGGCGTTGCCCCGTATGCCGGTGGTCTCGGCGCTACTTGGTGGGATCGTGATCTTGGTATCGGTGGTCGCGTGCTCGTTCGCGACCCGGAAACTGGCAAGGTAGAGACTAAGCTGGTCAAACTTGACTGGCCTATTGCTCGTGTGCCTACCCTCGCCCCCCATTTCGGCTCTCCTGCCAATGGCCCGTTCAACCAGGAAACTCAAATGGTGCCTGTCATCGGAATTGATAACTCTGATTTGTTTGAACAAGCCAAGATCGAGTCTAACGACGTCAACTTTAACACATTCACCTCCACCCAGCCTGAGAAGCTTGTAAAGATCATATCTAAGGAACTTGGCATTACAGACTACAGCACCATTGTCAACTGGGAATTGGAACTCTTTGATACTCAGCCCGCTCAGCTAGGAGGTCTGGAGAAGGACATGATCTTCGCCGGTCGCATTGACGACAAGCTCTGCTGTTATGCTGCACAGGAAGCGCTCATTGCTTCCTCGGACAGCACATCGACCGGAACTGTGAAGATGGTTGGTATGTTTGATGATGAAGAGATTGGCAGTTTGCTCCGCCAAGGTGCTCGGTCGAACTTTATGAGCAGTGTCATCGAGCGGATTACCGAGGCCTTCGCAAAAGGCAACTATGGCCCCAGCCTCCTCTCCCAGACAGTGGCCAACAGCTTCTTGGTGTCGTCAGATGTCATCCACGCAGTGAACCCCAACTTCCTTAATGTCTATCTGGAGAACCACGCGCCCCGTCTTAACGTTGGTGTGACAGTGTCTGCCGACTCAAACGGACACATGACTACCGACAGCGTCAGTGAGGCCCTCATTAGGCGAGTTGCCGAGCGCTGTGGGTCAACTCTGCAGGTCTTCCAGATTCGCAACGACTCTCGCAGCGGTGGCACTATTGGGCCCATGACCAGTGCCCAGATCGGTATGCGAGCTATTGACTGCGGTATCCCGCAGCTGAGCATGCACAGTATCCGGGCGACTACTGGCAGTTTGGACCCCGGCCTGGGAGTCAAGTTGTTCAAGGGATTCTTCGATTACTACGAAGAAATCGACAAGGAGTTTGCCGACTTTTAGATTGATAATTTCGCGTTTTGCTCGAGATAATATAAAATCTTCTCTCCTTTGTGCATGCCTGCTATAGGCAGGTTGTCTAGTTATTCTATCCCTAGGGCGTGCATTGGTTTCATTCTGTGACTATTGCTCTTCCAACTCTCGGTATTAACTTATTTGTTTGATTCAATTGCTGTACCTTGACTATCTATCTATATATCCAAGAATTCCCAACCTTACATTCCATATTAATATTTTTTAAATGACGTAAGGAAAAAAAGAACAAAGAGTGTGTACCCCACAGGGTAAGCATGGCCCGACAACCGCCAGGCCCAAAGAGGGTGTTGTAACTCGAACGAGAAACGAAAAGCAAATCTGACGGGTATATCACATTATACTCCAAGCCACCAGCGTGACTGCATGAGCTATCCAAAAACCAAAACCAAATGCGTGTTTATACAACACCAGACTCTTAAAACGGCACCGATGTATCTGAAGATACAGGACGAGGATGCATCAGCGTATTAGGATGAGACTCGGTAATCAACTCAACCTGAGCCAATTTTCTCTCTTCATCTCTGGTCCAGCGCTTAATACTAGACCGGAACCCGGTACCGGGAACAAGAGCGAGTACGCGCTCTGGGTCGCCGGCGCCGTACTCGTGTTCTTCGCCAGGTGGGCCGAGGGTTGATACATCGCCATTCCAGTCGGAGTTACGGTAGGTTGTGTCGCCACGAGTAGGACGGCTGGTATCGAAAGTCGATATCATTCCTGGGAAGATGCGAGCGACGAGGGGTTTTAGGGTTGGTAGACAGGCGCAGATTATGCCCGTGTTGCATTCGATGGCGGACCAGGAGGCGGCGCCGACGTTGTCGACTGGTTTGAGTTAGTTTTGTTTTGGGGTCTGATAGGGCTGAGGGATATGGTACGTACATGTGGGATCTAATGAATCGGCGATCTTTTTTAAGCTGACTAGACGGACGATACTAGTAATGCAGACACTATTTGGTGCCATGTTAGTTCTGGGACGAGTTGATGTCTAAAATAGGATAACTCACAAGCCACCCAGACCGAACACGAACATTAAAGCGATCTTCTGCCTTCGGGGCAAGTCGACTGCCAGTAAAGCCGGGATGGGAATGACCAGGATAGCAATATCGGTCGAGATATGCATACTAGCATTTGAGAACCAAAGTTTGGTCTTGTCCAGACAGAAACCCTCGATTGAATCGTCCCAAAATTTGGCGACGGGAATGCAGTTGAGGAATGCACTGATCACTGCCCAAGTGCCATAGATGGCGAGGATAGTGATCATGGTCCAGCATATGACCCGCATGCGGTGTGTTGGGAAGACTCGCCAATATTGCATCAGAATTGAAGCTTTGGCGCAGAGTACGGCGGCGTTATAGAAGGGAATCGTGAGCCAGAAGGCCTGACCGGATTGTTAGATGTGGTTGATAGGTGATGACCCGACTTAGGGCAAGCTCACCTTCATCTGTCGTTCGAGAATGTGTGGTGGAATATCTTTGAAATGCATCCCAATGCCACTAACGGCTTCGACAATGTCAAGGCCCATGAAGACATATGAATTCAGCTATGTATTTTTATTAGTATATGATAGTCTTCAACATCAATCGCCCAGCATACCAGTGCCGCCACAACCATCCAGTCATTTGCTTCCACTCGTCTCATAAGCTTTATACGGGTATACATCCTCATCGCCACGAAGCAAGTTGCCAAGGATGTGAACACAACGCTTATAACCAAAGCTTCCTCGCCACGGGGGGACATGAATATGCCGCCATTATCTCGTCTAGATATTGCATTTCGGGGGTGCAACGAATTCATCGTCAAGCGATTTGGTGGCTTTGGAAAAAACGAAGGGATGGCTGCTTCCCAAAGAGAAAATTGCCCAGGGGATAGTTAAACAATCAGATCAACACACGGTATAGATCTGATTTACAAGTTATATGGCACAAAGGAATGAGAAGAGCACAATCTCTTGAACCACTAAGAAGGGAAAGATTGGAGAGGATATCACTGTATTATAATCCCAAACGCATAAACCTGATGCGCAGTGTCGCCATAAACCATGCAGCCCCAGAAACCAAACGGCCGAGGAGAGAATCCACTATCCCTTTTTGAGTGACATACAGTACCAATTCCCCCAAAAGTAAGCCATTTGATCTCTCCTCACTTCTCGGATGAGCGGGCCAATGCGTTTGACGCGAGAAAGCATCCCAGTCTGGGAGGCGTGTTTGCAGAAGCGTGCACCGCAAGGGGTGGCATACAGCGAATCGGCTCCTGAGTTGGCCCCGATGGACTCGATACCGGCCATAGGTGTACTCTGTACTAACAACTCTATATGAAGTTTCTTTGTTGTTGTTTTCGTACGTTGCCTTCTTTCCTTTTTTTTGGTTTCTTGAACTTGATGGCTGTGGCTGCAAAATGTACGTGGGAACAAATTACGTCTTGCGGAGTTTTGATATATTAATTTTGCACACCTTATTTTTGAGACCCCAGTACCATTTACCCCTTCCGTCTTACTGGGTCTCAATGATTCAATCATTCCAATCTATTCCTGTCGATCGCATGAGGGGTGACCCACCCGCCTTTCCGACCATATGGGGATTGCCCTACGTATGCGAGTAGGCTATTCTGGCTTCATTTCGTCAATTGACGCACAGTAAACTATATTTCCACGGACTATCATTCAGCTCCAAGTTACTGGAATGCTATATACTTACTCGAAAAGATTCTAAATCGTTTTGAATATGCCATGGTGCAAGAGTTGCATACGGTATGAACTTGCAAACAGGTCGGAGATTCATCTCATATGATATCCGATCATCTCCGACAGTGATACGGAAAACCAGTTACTGCAACTAATAATGTGAGTGGAGCTTGATACTATGCTATCATGGAGTCAGCAGCCCTATGTATCAATATCTCTATCGAATCTCCTACTACAGAGTACAGTTGATCCACATTTTGGAAGCTGCTGGGCTGTATGGGCCTAGGAGCTTCAAGGTGTCAAATGTTTTGATTATTGGCTTCTATATTGTGCCCATGCACCTCACTCTAAGCCAAATCTCATATCCCTTCCTACCAAATAGTCCCGATGGGGCAAGACCGCCAGGCAATGAAAGCGCTATGCAAACGGTCATGACAGAGATAGACGATAGAAACCTGAAAACCCAAGTTGTCTATACATGAGTTGATCGACTTTTTTCGACCTACATCCCTCTCGTTTGCCCCTCATCTTGTTACCTCGGAGATTAGAGAAATGGTTAGAATAAGGTTGAGTCTTGTCTTAACCGTTGACTGAGAAACGGGCAGCATATTGTAGACGCTATCTCATTTTGCCTATTAGGGCTATATTAAGCTCACCTACTCCGTACCTTGATGTGCAAGGGGCATTCTACTTATTGCCACTAAAATACCCCGTATGCGACAACCAAAAAAAAAAGGAATGTCCAATCAAATAACTATTGAATGGAAATGATCAAGAGATTAAATCTCCTATTTGTTGGAATATCAGCCACATACTATTTGATAATGGAAGAGGCCTTGCAAGGGATAACGGTGTTCCGTTGCCAGATCCGCTCCCGAAAAGCTTCGTTCGCTTTCCCAAATATGAGAATCTATTCAATTTGTTGAATCTGCTAATTAGTGAGGTTTTTTTTCCATATTTCTCAAAATACCGTGGGACTCTATGATTTTGTCGCATCATCTAGTCGCGTCTCACAACATGCAAAATCAACTCGTGGCGATGCTTCGAATTTTTATAAAGATGCGACAAAAGCAATGAAAAGGTTGCGGTCGTTGGGGTTTAAAATAATAATGTGCGGCCAAAAAAGACCCCGGTCAAGGTAGCGTTGGCTGGTCTGTACTGCGTAGTTGACCTGTCACACACTACCACTAGGGTGATTTGTTTGGACACACACATATTAATAGTTGATCTTCTATCCTCACAGGATGAAAGAAAAATGGGGTTGCATTCCTAGCTGCCACATTTTGAACCCTGTAGTGTGGAACAATTATGTACTCCGTACGTAGTACCTCCTGTCAATATGCAGGGTGCTAGGTTCTATGCGTTGTATGCAGCCTACCTTGCTTGCCGAGTTGTCATGGCAGCTTGAAACCAGAATCTTCTAATAATCTACAATATAGAATCCGGTTTCTGTTAAGATTACATTGTTTCCCTGTTCATGTAGGACCCTACTTTCACTGCGTCCAGTTTAGAGACTGAAAACCTACGTAGTACACTTGACGCCTAAGCCTTTATTGATCCTCTAGTGCGGAGCTAAGAAGAGCTAATAAAACGGCTCCTCTGTCGCAATTTTGGGCAATTTAGTATGCCAAGACGGTTCTATACCTTCCCCAGTCGACGATGTCATGGGTTAGGGTGTATCTCCTTCCAAACTCGTTACCCCTTTATCTCTGATGAACCATCTTACTGCAGCTAGCCGGATTCAAATTAGGATCGAGACAACTTGGTTAGAGTACATTCCACGTGTACTGACCGCTGTCTCTCGTGGCCTTGTCGCTAGCACAGAGTCAACAAACCTCCCATGAGAGATATTGCACATCCATGAACTATGCCCAGAACAGCTTGTCATAAATCCCTCAGAAATATGTCTAGACAACTTCCTACATATCAGAGCCTGAAAACAAACCCCTATGAACTTGCTGTAGGCTGTGCAAGCTACTTAGACTCAGAGGTCAGCTCCGTATTCTAAATCAACCCACTGCTAGTTAAAACGCGAGAGTGAATCATGGTTCCTTACAGTTTGCGGCAGCTCTCTTTGCCATTGTCTTTTTTTCAATTTCTTTCTTTTCATAAGGACCTCTGGGGTTTTCGTTGAGTCTGCAGATTGAAACATGCAATGTACGTTCCCCCTATTCTCGGGGGGATCATCTCCACAGAGACAGGAGAACAACAATCTTGGAACTTATTTTAGTTTCACGCATTTTGCATACATACAATCATTCGCATAGGCTCTCTATTGTAAGTACATCTTCTACGAAACAAATTCTATATGAGAAACGATTCAATTTATTTGGCCTTCAACCCCTTTTTTAGGATTACTATTTAAGGAGATTCTCTACCCAGCCCGGGGGGCATGGGCAACCTGTTGGCCTAATTTCCAACATGCACTGGTGTCTCAACATATGGGTAACAGGGTGTCTGCCCGAAGGAAGGAAGGAATCTTGCTTCTGTTGAGACCTAGAAAAATATGTTCCTAAAGATTAGCCTTCGCTATGATGATAAAATCCTTTGGCTCAATCATAATTATTTGGACGTACCTGGGTATAGTGTGGTGGAATATATATATATATATCGACAACACCGGCGTCATGATCTCTATTTTGACCGAATTATCTTCAATTTAGTCTATAGTGTTCAATACATGAATGTGAGTAACAAACAAGAAGAAAACAAATGTACAATCAAAACTTTTTGATGTCCAATTGCATGTGCAAAGACGAAAGTGGTGGAAATGCAGTAGATTTGGATAGGTGATAAGATAGACCGATAAGGACGCACAGGCCACTGCTCACAGAGAAATTTCATTTCCACAACTTAGCCAATTCTTTCAAGTCGCCAACGGTCTTGTCTTTTCTCATTGTCGATCAGTGGGAATAGTCCTAATATACAGGACAAAATGGCAGAGAATACTGCCGCATCCTCCAAGGCCGTCCACACAATCGTGCTGGATGCTGGCCCGATTCTCAAGAATACCCCGCCGCTTTCAACCCTCCTTGCCCAGTGTGAGGAAATTATCACCACCCCGTCCGTGGTTGCCGAGATCCGCGATCCCGATGCACGCGCACGTGTCGAAACCCTCTACCTGCCTTTCCTGAAGCAGCGATCCCCCACACCAAAGAGCTTCAATATTATCAGCGAATTTGCTCGCAAGACCGGTGACCGTTCTGTCCTGAGTAAAACCGATATTGAGGTCCTTGCCCTTGCGTACGAGATTGAGTGCGAGAAGAACGACGGTGATTGGCGTTTAAGAAGCGTCCCCGGACAGAAGAGAATCAATGGAAAGCCGCCTGTGAAGGAGGAGTCCGAGGAGGCCAAGCCCGAGGAGACCAAGCCCGAGGAGACCAAGCCCGAGGAGACCAAGCCCGAGGATGCGGAGGTGGAAGCCATTACGGAGGGCGTGAAGGAGACCACAGTCGCAGAAGCCCAGGAAGAGGCTCTAAAGGAAGAAGAAACTGTTGCAGAGAACGACGCCGACAAAATAGCAGAGATTGCTGTTGAGGTTGCTGAAGAAGACCAGGACGAAGATCAGGATGTAGAGGATGATGCTGGTGATTCTGACGGCGGAGATTGGATCACACCCTCTAACTATAAAAAGCGCCTTGCTGAGGATGAATCCGGGACAGCGCTTCTTACTGCTGCGCCCAAGACAATGCAGGTTGCAACCATGACCACTGATTTCGCGGTAAGTACACCCTACACAACGTCTGCTTATCAACCAATTGCTCATTCTGTATAGTGTCAAAACGTTCTCCTCCAAATGAACCTCAATCTTCTGTCTACCACCACTCTCCAAAAGATCCAGCATCTTAGAACTTTCATCAAGCGCTGCCACGCTTGCTTCTTGACCACAAAGGAGATGAACAAGCAGTTCTGCCCTCGCTGTGGCAAGGATACCCTCACTCGTGTCTCATGCACGACCACTGCTAATGGTGCGTTCACAATGCACCTGAAGAAGAACATGCAGTGGAACAAGCGCGGCAATGTATACAGCGTTCCCAAGCCAATCGCAGGCAGCGCGAACGGCAAGTGGAAGGGCGGCGGTGGTCAGCGAGGATGGGGTACCGAGCTCGTTCTTGCTGAGGATCAGAAGGAGTATATCCGCGCCAACGAAGAAGAAGAGCGGCGGCAGCGTCGCGAGCATGATCTCATGGACCAAGATTACCTGCCTGGTATCTTGACCGGCGAGCGCAACAGGGCTGGCGGTCGTACCAAGGTCGGTGCTGGCCGCAATGTCAACTCGAAGAAGCGCTCCTAAATGTGCTGCGTGGATGACTTTGCATCTTGATTACATGGGATGGAGTTTTGGGCATGGAAAGAAAAAGTTCACTTGGTCAATGCCGCTTTCATGGTGGTTGTCGGCCTTTTTATGAGGAATGACCATGTCTTGTCTTGTGATTTACGGTTGAACATAGAATATAGCCAATCCATAGGGCTCTTTATGAACATTTTAACAAAGTCCTTGTTGATTCCTAGAGGTATCGTATTCTCTAGAATGTCTAGATGAAGCCCCGAATAGATTATCCAAGGATAGCAAAACAAGTATGGACATCTCGGCCATCCGTTGGCCGCAAGAAAAACACCATTCGCCAAAACATGGGCTATGCCACCCGGTAATTCATTTTTCCCAGTGCCGATCCATTTAAGCCTTAACAGGGGTCTCTGAACGATAAATGTCAGTTGCTGGTACTTTTTGGAGTGTAGAGTTCTGGGTGGAGATATTCGACGTACCGGTCTGCTGGGTGAGCAGAAGGTTGTAACGCTTCTTCAGGGTGACACGGTGACTGGGAAAGAGGTCAGTTTCTAATGGTTCCATTGTGCGCTGCGTAAAAAGGATATTGTTGCTTACCGAGAGTACTTGTCATCGGGGGAGAAGCGAGCGGGGTGGGCAGACTTGGTGACCTCGCCGTTCATGACCTATAATTGCCAAAAATTAGTATCATTGGCCAAAGTTGAAAGTGTGATCCGAGGAGCCGCATGTTTGCTGAAAAGCAGCAGTCTCCCTGGCGCAAAGATTTCCTTACCTTCTTCAAGGTGTAGACACGCTTGCCTTCGGCGTCGAGAGTGTACTGTTTGTGAAAAATTAACGACTGATCTCCGAACGGAACTGAAGATTCGCTTGTTTTAACGTCGCAATGAAACATACCATAAGATGCATTCTGCAGATAGCAACGTTAGCACATGAGCAATGAAGACCACTTAGGACACGAATTGGAAACTTACTTGGCGGTATTGATAAATTGTCCTGTGTTAGTACATGCGTCGGCGATAAGTGGAGGAATTTTTTTCTCGACGATGAAGAGCTCGGACCACCTTGCTTAGTCACGAAGTGCTTTTTAAATGGAGCTTTCGACCGCAAAATTTCCTTTTTCTCTCGCACTTGAGCAGAGAAGGGAAAATAATATCTCTCAAATGACTTTGAGCTCTGTTAATGTGCAGAGCCATGGTGAATTAACTAATTGAGACTTAATTCAGGTTGTTCATACACACAGAGACTTCTAGGTAAGATCATCCTCAGCTCTTCTACACTATCCCCTTCAGCCCACCCATCCACCACCTTCGGTGATGACACCAATTTATTTAGCTCAGGCAGGCGACACTTTGATTTCTAGTTGCCTGTCGATGATCCGCTGAATTGACTACAACGGTATCTGAGAAGATATTACCATGACGAATGACTCACTCGCATGTTTGAACACAGTTCGCTAACCTCGGCTTTTGTGTTTAGGACTTTGAATATTTTTGTTCTATCCAGTAGGGGTTTCAGGATGGCCACTCCAGTAACCAGCGTGGACAAGTCTGTGGCAGACAAGTCAGGGCCTGCATCTGATGCACGCCCGCCTCGTGCTCCTCGACCTCCTAAGCCAAACTTCAGACAGATTCACCAGTTTCCTCTTCCGGTCAATGTACATCACGTTCCTCCTGTAATTCCTCATAACCCTCTTTCTCTTATAAGCGTCGCTCTCTCGTACCTTACCTTCCTGATCTCCCCGCCCCGTCAAGAAGTCTACTCGGCCTATTTTGACAAAGCCACCTCATCGATCCATGTTACGGACGAGAGATCCATTAAGGCCTTATGGCAGATGGGATTCTTCGGCAAGGGTAGTTTAAGTCGAAGTGAACCCAGCTGGCTGGCACGAGAGAAAAAACGAAGAGGGTTACATGATGGCAAGACCAGCGAGGAGATTACACGACTGCGACGGACTGAACGTCGTGAACTGAAGTTAGAGCGTGCACGGATGGAGAAGCTAGCCATTGAGGAAACACTCAAAGCCGAGGCGGCTGCTAGGAAATCTGGTCCTTCTGAGCCTATTGAACAAGATGCTCAGTCAACAACTACAGACGATACGACTAATGCCACAGCGACTACAACGGAGAAGTTCTCCTTGAAGAAGGCAAGAGAAGCTCGGGCACTAGAGGCACGACAGGCACGGGAATTGGCTGCAAAAAATGCGGATGCGGCTCTCGCCGAACAAAACCAAGCTGGTACCTCCTCTAACGGCAAATCTGTGCGCTTCTCACCAGTCGTGCAAAAGAAAGAATTCGTATCCACCTCGCCCTCGTCACTACAATTGCCTGATTCCGTCGTCGACAGCCTCGATTCAGATGATTTCCCAAACGAGGAGCATCTTCAACTCTCCAACGAAGAGGCATTCTTCCTTGCATATTCGCTTGGAGCATTGCAAATCTACGATGCACCCTTGAAATCAGGGGAAGTCATATCAACCTCGCCCATCACCACCTCCGCCCTCCTCCAACAGTTCTGCCACCACTCCTTCCAACCCGCCCGCGACAGCGCTGCATCCCTCCAACCAGATGATCCTTTCATGATCTCCTACACCGTATACCACCACTTCCGCTCCCTCGGGTGGGTTATCCGCTCCGGTGTCAAATTCGGTACTGATTACCTGCTCTACAACCGCGGACCGGTTTTCTCCCACGCCGAATTCGCAGTCGCCGTCATTCCTTCCTACACCCACCCTTATTGGTCCGAGACAGAAGAACGGAGGAACTACACAGCAGAGAAACAGGCAAGGAGCTGGTGGTGGATGCACTGTGTCAGTCGTGTGCAGGCCCAGGTGCTGAAGAGCTTGGTCGTCTGTTATGTTGACGTGCCTCCACCAGCCGCTTCAGTTGATGATATTGGGGCGCTGTTTAGCCAATACAAGGTGCGGGAGTTCCTCATCAAGAGATGGATTCCAAACCGCACTCGTGATTGATTGTCTTGGTTTCTTCTTGGATCCCCTCAAGGCGGGGAATGTTAAGGGCTTCTGATACCCTCTCTGTAATTATGTTGCATTGTCTTGCATAACTGTATGTGTGTATTATCATTGAATGATGACCCATGAAATTCATGTCTGATTTCCCAGCCTCTGTACAAGCCAATTAGAAACCTGGTTTATAGATGTGTAAATGATCAAATGTCTAAGATGCGATAATCATGGCGATGTTGAGGGCTGACTCTAATGGCGCTAGGCCATAAAAGGTAATATTACTCTACATCACGTGACACGCGCCTTTCGCGTTCTGACGCCTCCATTTGCATTTATGTTAAGGAAAGGCATTTGGAGTATTGGGCTGCATTAAAACAAATTTAATAACACTACGGTTGCTAAAAAGACGTGCTAGACTATTAGCGACTTTATGTCGTCCCAGCATGGAAACCCAGGACGATAGTATCGATCTTGCAAAGTTGCAACGCGACGCGTTGGGGCTAGTATGTAACGACCCTGCAGCGTGCCTCGCCCTCATTGGACTAACTCTGAAATCACCAGAAGCACGATCTGTCTCAGCCGTACCTTTCGAGGGGTGAAAAAACTGGTAACGAGCCGAATAACACTCTTTGTTACACATCCCACAAAGTCAACGGCGCTTCCAATGGTGACGGAGTGTGCACCGGCCAAAATCTACCTCCGAAAACACCATCGAACCCCGCGAGCCTTGTGCACCAACACCATTCCCCTCCGTCTCAACCTCGGCAGCATGAGTCACGACCAATAATGTCCAATAATAGTGTTAATGAACTGGGTGTTGTAAGGGGATCGCAATCCGGCAACATGAGCTCCGCAGAGGCTGGCCCTGGGGATACCCAGGTCGTCTCGCAATCAGTGTATGACAGCATTATCAGACAAAACGAGGAATCCATGGAGCAGGATTATTCACAAACAGGGGCCGATGGTGCGACATTGAGAACATTGCATGAGGGTGACAGCGGCCATATCGACCTCATTTCCGAATTGGACGCCGCGCACCACGGAGCGAACCTCTCCCAAGATGACGATGAGAGCACTTTCGATCCGAATGAGTCTTCTCCAATGGCTTATGCACCCAATCTCTTCCCCGAATCGCAACGGTTCCTAGCAGAAACACCCGGAACGGCAGTGAAAAAGAATGAGGTGAATGGTGGGATAGTAGAGACTCCAAGCGTCTCACGGAATCCTCTGGCTAGTGGCATCGAGTCAAGTGGTGGTATTCTTGGTCTGAGCCAGGTCTTCGGAGCTACCCAGGTCCCGTCCTCTCCTATTGTCCACGGTCTGCAGACGGAGCTTGTATCAGATCGTCCGTCGCCTAATATTCCGATTCAACCCGCTCGTGTTGTCAATGGTATCTCGTCGCCGTTAATGGGCTTGCCGGTTCAGTTTATGAGAGAATCATCCGAACCGAACATGAACTATATATCGATGAAGGAATCACAGACAAAGCGCGACAGGACTTTGGGGGAGAGGTTGACTCGCTCGGCCGACAATATTCAATCGGATCAGAGCGACAAGGAATTCTATAAGGAGTCCAGCTTTATAGAACGTGCACGACGACAGCGAGAAATCGACGAGGAAGCTGCGGCTCAGTTCGCTGGGCTGAGTGCTCCTGCCAGATCTACATCTAATCTCTCCGCCAGAGCACAGACTTCTCCCGAGCAGCTAGAGCAGCCTCGCGAAGATGAGGAAATGATAGAAGCTGTTGCCAGTGAGGAAGAAACCGAACAGGAAGAAGAAGATATGCAGGTGCCCCGATCACAAGAGCTCCCCCAATCTTCAGCCGAAGAAGACAAAGAGAATTACGACGGACCTCCTATAGATGCTGCTGCTGCCGCTGCCGCCGCTAATGCCCACGATCGGCTCTCTCATGTGCTTGGCTTTAAACCAATTCCCTCGCCATCTCGTGTGCGAGTTCATGATGAACTAGAGGGTGGGGTAGCTCATCGAGGCTCTTTCGGCTCCCACAATGGCGGTCAGCTGAATGGTGTCTTGCGTTCTTCCCAGGTGATGGTAAAAGACTCTCAGCCATCACCTCAATCCTCACAGAAACGTGTCGAAGCCGACAATACTAGGAATGTCATTCACATGTCGCCTTCGCGTTCTCGTGTGAATTCTCCCGCACGAGACCGTCTTCAGTCCTCTCCCTGCTCACGACCACAACCAAGACATTCGAACAGCAATACCCAGAGAAATGGCTCCCTGTCAAATGAACATGCTATTCAGCCTGTCCAGAGTGAATCATTTAACGAGAATATACCAACATGCTCTAGCAATCCCTCAGAGCAGCAACATGTAAACTCATCGCATTCCAGAGTGGAACCGGGAACTGCGGGCAACTCATCATCGATGCCATCCCGTGTGGCAGAGACACCTATGAATCAACGTCTTAAGCATATTGGGGATATGGCTCGATTGACGAGTATCCCAGAAACAAGTCCCAATCACTCCCAATGCAATTCGGAGGCTGAGTCCAATGGCGATGGACTGAACAACGAAGACGACGATCTTCCACCCATGTTCAGTGAAGTCCCAAGCATTCGAAAGAATCATATTCGCCCCGCTGGGCCAAGGGCACTCTCTTCGCCTCTCAAAAAGTTGTTGTCCAGCCCGGGCGGAAGCCAACGCAGGGCTTTGACTGAAATTGCGGCAGATCTTTCGCCGCAAGTTGGGGCAGGGGGATTTGATCTGGGAATTGGTGTCTTTACCACCGAAGATCAAGAGTTCAGAGCCTTGATTGATGGATCGCCGACTCGACCGAAGAAGAAGCGGCGCGGCAATAATGGCTCGAGTTACATTGCCTCCGACCCTATCATACCTTTCACCCCTCGCGCACAGCCCCCGAAATCCGTTGCGCCCATTCGAGCAACACAAGAACGGCCGGCTCCCATTCCCGTAGATTCGGATGACGTGCCTTTGGTTCAAGTCCCCGAGACAGCTGTGCGAAGGCAATCAAAGCCCCCGCGGCGAGCTCCTGAAAATGTTTGGGAGATTGAGGGATCGCCGGAACAGCCCTTCCGCCGGAGATCCAAAATTGGCAAGACAGCTACTTCGTTGTCCATGCAAGAGAAACATGTTCCAGAAAGGAAATCCGGACTTACTGCAAGATCGGCACCCCGACCAAAGGTTGTCGTTCATAATCAACCGCTGCCCCCATCGTCGGAACTCACTGAGGTTTCATCCACAGTTGCCTCGGATGATATCATTGGGTCAGAGGCGTACAGTGTCGATGACTCTCCTACCACACCTCGACAATCTCACACTTTGTCAGAAAACACTCTAGTTGCTCCAAGTCAGGTCCTTGCTGTCTGGATGGGCCAGAAACGGGCATACTACCCAGCGACATGCTTTGGAACACCATTGGGTGTATCACAGACTAAATACTCCGTGAAATTTGAAGACAGTCTCCCTATCGAGGTGCCGAAGGGTGCCGTTAAGAGATTTGAGCTTCGTGTCGGAGACGCTGTTAAAATTGAGATGGATAATGTTCCCAAAGTCACTCATGTTGTCCGCGGCCTCGGTGACAAGCTTACTAGAGCAGAGCTGACTAAAGCCGCCGACGATGGCCTTTATCCTATAACCGACATTTACGGTCATACCACTGTCATAGTCGGCCCCAAGCAACGCAAAAGTCTGCCAAACGGAGGAATGGGCACTAGCGAGAATACGATTAAAGTGCCTATTGCTCGTGTCTATCTTGATACTATCTTGTGGAATCAACTGAAAGATCGGGCGTTCACATATCGCCCGCCACCTGCTCAACAAGAGAGCATGGTCCATACGCCATCCGAAAGGTCATCCGCGCCTGCTTCCCCCAGTTCTCGCTTGTCTCGCAGCATTCACCAAGACAGTGGGATCTTCGCCGGGATGGCATTTGCCGTCTCTTACAAGGAGGATGAAGTATCTAAAAACCGCGTGACCAGGTTGATCATCGATAATGGCGGCACTGTATTACATGATGGATTTACTGAATTGTTCGAGGCTTCGTCAATTGTTCCTGTTGATACCCCCGCCAAAGGTGGAGCCAAGGAGGCAGACCTCAATAACAAGGGTCTCCGTCTTACAGCTCTTGCTGATGACGTTGGCTTTGCCTGTTTAATTGCCGATACCCACTCTCGGCGAGAAAAATACATGCAAGCGCTGGCATTGAACCTCCCATGTCTGGCCGGGCGGTGGGTAGAGGACTGTATCGCCCAAGGTCGCGTCCTCGACTGGGATATCTACCTCCTCCCAGCTGGCGACTCGATGTATCTCAACGGAGCGACAAAATCCAGATTTATGGCCCCCAACCCTCCGTCCACAGCCCGCCTCGCCAAAACAATCTCCGCACGGACAAAGCTGCTTGCAGGGCAATCGGTACTTCTTGTTATGGGCCGTGGAAAAGCAGAGGAAAAGAGGAAGGCCTATATCTTCCTGACTTACGCCCTAGGGGCTTCCCGGGTTGAGCGTGTCCCTGATATCGGCACGGCCAGGGCATTGATAGACTCACAGTCTGACGCCGGTCTGCCGGCTAACTGGGACTGGATATATGTTGACGATGCAGATCAAGCTGCTGCAAAATCGATGTTAACGCCCAAACCGAAAACGCAGAGAATCCATTTGTTCCATGGGAAGAAGCGTAAGAATTCGGTCTCATCATCCACTCCTACGCCCCCTAATGAGATGCATTGTACTGCAAGAGTAGTCGGTAATGAGTTTGTTTGTCAGAGTTTGATTTTGGGTCGATTGTTTGAGGAGTGATTTCTTGTGCTAGTTCTTGATACCAATGTTATTTATCATATTTATTCTTTAATGGATCTGTTCAGAGACTAACTACTTGCCCACATGGATGAAATTTGGGGTATTGTGCCTCTAAGAAGGAATCTTGAATCTGAAGCTACGTATATTCATCCCCATCTCCAAATGTGATGCTAATGCATGGATATCAGACCTCATGCAGAACAATGGAAATTGGAACCAAACAGACTAATTGCTAGATAATTCTTTGTCCGCCCTTTCACCTATAATAATCTAGCATATGTAATTGTTTTAGCATGAAGAGTCAATAGATTTCCCTTCTTTTCTTCATATATCGCCACCCGGTCAGTCAGTGATGCAGAGGTGACTGACAGCGAAAAGAAATGCCCAACGACTCAGAAAGTCAGACCTCATACAACGATCCCGATACTCTGATGCGACTTCGTGAGCTTCGGGGCGCGCTGAGGCACAGCAGAGAATGATTGTGAAAGCACTGAAACTTCGAACATCATGTCTTCTATCAACACGGGATCCGCGCCTCCTGTTCAAGCCCTAGCAAGACATTTTCAAGAAATCTCAGAAGAGCTTATTGTGCTAGCTTGCTAACTACTATACATCTCAATTGGATAGATGAAATTAACCATCCTACAAAGGTCTTCAGATGACCAAACTATTTGCTATTCATTTTTATGAGCTTCACGGGCTCTAAGCCCACTGACAACATTTGCTATTTATTGAGTGACTTGACTATCTCCTGTTTATACAACATCAAACGAGTAAAAAGATCACCAATCCAACTCTCATTTTTTCCTTACTCTGCCCTTCAACTATTTAAACCTGGCTCTCAGCCAAACAATCCTTCTTCCTATAACTAGCGCACAGCCTCCACCCACTCACATTCCTCTGACTTACGTTTCACTTTTGGTACGCAATCCATAATTTCAAACCCAGCAATCATGGGCAAAAGAAAAGCTGACCCAGACATAATGAGAAAGTTGCAGCTTAAGCAAGCTATGAAGATACTGGTGAACACAGATCTGGCCTGCGCTCTGAGAGACCATGCCGTTCACCAGTGAGCCATGGCACGTCTCACCGATGACACCCGCAATAAGATTCAACATGAAGTCTTAGCCTTGTCCAAAGCTGGCCTAAAGCGTAAACGCCCTATACTGCGCAAATTGAAATGAATTTATACCTGCCGTTGCTTGCCATATATGGCAAATGGTGTTGTGCTTTAGCTGAGCTTTAGCAGGCCAACCTCCAACGATGTTTAATTGCATTTGGATCAAGGAGAATGAAGGGATGAATTTTTCTTGGAGCATCATCAAGCTTGGACATTGTCTGTGCCAGGGATGCACGGCAAATTATCCAGATACTTGAATAGTTGTTCATATTTCAAGGAGCCCCCGCTTATGGTACTCTTTCTTCATGAGCTCCGTAGTCCTTGTGCTTTGAACAAAGAAATTTTTTTGATATTTTTACAAGACTTACCTGAGTTTGGTGAACTCATCCACACACTATCTAGGAGTAGATCAGTTAGCGCTAGCACCTTATTTACATAAGAACCCTGTCTACGTTAGAAATCTAAAGCTAACTTCTAGTAAGAAACGAGGAGCCGCGGAGACCGTTATAGCTCTAATAGCGAGGGTATAGCAAAAACGAGGAATAAAAACAGTCAGAATTACTAAGGGATGCATGCACTTTTCTGTGAGTCTTAGTCCCTCAGTTCTTAGAAGGTAAAACTCCCTGTATCCGGCTGTGTATCCTCCATTGACCATTCCCGATACAATCAATACATGGATATTGCTTTACTGAGAAAGTAAACTATGATCGAGGCTTCGAAGTGGAATATTGAATAACTATATCATCTTGCATCCTTAATGAGAATCCCAACGTATATCTCAGCTGAAAGCCGCTAACTTCGGTATCACAACTTGAACCCTGATCGAACAATCACGACGTCCCCGTTCCTAGGACATAGAAGTGTCCCAAATTGATCCAGCATGACGAGACTCAAGGCATCTGGAGATAACCAGTCCTTTGGCAAGAAGAAATGTCTTCGACAAGCTCTTTCATCTCCCTCTATATCCCATGTACATAACCAGTACTGATGATCGAGAAAGACCAGGCGCCCTTGGAAGATCCCGACCAGTCGATTCACAGTTTCAGACAATTCGAACAAGATTCTCCTTCGTAGTCCGAGTGAAGTAGATCCTTCGCGGAGATCAACCATTTCTAATCTGCGAGACGCTGTCTGAGAGCTTCCCTCGCTGACGAAACCACGACTAGGGATGTACTCCAGAATGATGTAGCGGTCTTTACTTTGAAAGACCCGCCCAAGTGTCTCTGAAGAAAATGATCGAGATACCTTCAAATCATTCAGATCCAGATCATCCTGCTGATCTATAAATGAGTCATCACCAACTGAATCTGTGTCTGCAGTAGTCTCTGCTGGCTCAAGATGTATTGCAAGGTCTGACTTGTCAAGTGGCTGTTTGATAACGTCAAGGGTGCTCCAGCTGCATATGGATTGCCTCGTACCCTGGATGCAGATCAGCAGAGCCGGATTTTGTGGGTGTTGCATCCATCTCGTGTAGTCTGCATCACGGTGCTCCACCTGGAAGAGCTTTTGCTTTGTTTTGGTACTCCAGACCCGGAATATGTTTCCGCTGGATATAAGGAGGTATTCTTCCGAGTGACTGAACAGTAACTGTGTCACCGTGGATCCGAATCTTTGATCGAACAATGGATACACAGCCCATTTCTTCGGTGCTCGCGGTGTTGGTTTTTCGAGCCTTTTGGCTATGACCCGACCACAATCATCGACAGAAGCAATGTACTTTAATGACGAAGACCAGGCAATTTCGATAACGGAAACACTGGTAGAGTGCCCATATAGTTTTCGAAGCCTCTGCGCTGTTTCGAGCTCGAAAATAACCACGCTTCCATCTTCCTTTCCTGTGCAGTAGTATTTAGCACGCTCCCCACACCCCAGAGCTGTGACCTGGACTCGGGTGTTGTTGTCGGGTAAAATAACAGGGTCGGAATACAAGGTATCGTGTGTACTCTGATCTTCCCGACTCGCATCATCAGAGCGTATCAGTACATCAGGCTCCCAGACATTACACAATGTTCCCCGGATGTCGTAGAATCTCTGAGCATCAGGAGCCCAGGCAAGGTCCCTCACGAAGTCGTCATACTTCACTTGATAGATTAGGCGAAACTGCCCAGTCGACCAGACACTCAATGTGCCATTATTATCACTAGTCAAGAGAAGATTACCGTCATTGCTTACCGCCATCTCCCGAGCTGCAATGTGTGAATGCTGTGTCTGAGTATCATCGTCAATATTCCAGTTAACCAGCGTTGCATCATGGTACAAGATCAGGACATTTGATGACTCTGGCTGCCAAAGCACCACTTCAGGTGAAATCCAGGCATCTTCGTCCTTCTTCCAGATATCCTCGCTTCGGATACAGCGCTGTGGGGGCTGTCGATAGCGACTGATCCTCCATACAAACACAGGCCGACCGCTCTGAGCAATAGCAATTCTTCTGCCATCTTGGCTGAACACCATAAGTCGTGGACAACTATATTCCGCTTCGGACGAATCATCATGGGCATAAAAGCACCACTCCTCTTTCTCTGTTCGCAGCTCGATGCACCGTATTGTAAAATCATCATAGGCGACTCGCAGTTTTGTGTCATTGGATGTGAACTCGAAAGCCATCAACCGACCTTGGCTGGATTTGGCGATGCGATGAACCTCTTGTCCCGTGGTGATATCCCAAACCCGGATAGTGCGAATGCCTGCTGATGCGACGAGACTTTTGATCTTGCTGGCTTTGATACTAGTCACCCACTCTCCATGATGTAGGCGCCGAGCCTCTCCGCAGGTCTCTGCATCCCAGACCACGAGGGTGCCGCTGCTGCCAATCAAGGTGATGAAGTAATTATCTTTACAGATGATCTTGGAAGCAGTTTCGTCTCCACCCATAGTAAGTCGCGCAAGACAGTCATTCCAGTTCTCTAATGAGACCCCGAGAATAGAAATGGTGCTCACAGTAGTGTGCTTGAATGTTTGGCTCATGATCGACTTTGTCGGACAGAAAGGAATGACATGTTTATAGATTGAAGACGGGCTTTCGTCTAGATAGGCCCCAAATCTGCCCACTAAACGAATGAAATCTATGGCCCATTGGTGTAGATCTAGATCACGCGAGGCTCTGAAGTGGAAGCTTGTTGGAGATGATTCATTTCGGTAACGTGCTACCTTCTTCGCATAGGCCTTGAGATACTGCGCGGACTGCGTTATAAGCTGGAGCTTGCCGGCCACAGCGGCGGCATTGATCCAGATCAACGAAAATCGTTCCAGGAAATCGCAGATAATGGATAGCAGGTCGTCCGAGTCTACTGGAGCACAACTGACATGGTAAGCCCAGTAGGAGACCGCATACAGCATGAAGGGTTCCTTGCGAAAAAATTCATCCCGCTGCAGACTTCTGGAGTTTGAGTGGTTTGGTTGGCACGCGGTAGCAAGTTTGGCCCTCCATTTGTTATCAGACATAAAGTTCATGCAGGTGATGGCGATGTGTTTGTGTCCTAGCCGACTGTCGATTTTGACTGGAGCATGTCGGTCCTTGTCGAGAAGAAATTCCCGTGCTGTTTGATGGATCAAGCTTAATTTTGATATTTTAATGATGACAAAGTTCCCGCAGATCTGATTAATGGTAGTCTTGAGATCCAAGAAGGCACCAAATTCCGGATTCAACGCAACCGACAGCTCCTCGATGTCAAGAGGACGGAAAGAGCAAGAGGCCCATGTCAGAATCTCCGTGGCCATTCTTCTGAGCCGAGAGGGTTGTTCGGCGATGACATCTGCCATTTTTTCATACATGAACTCCATGCCTTCTGGTATACCTGTCAGAGCGTTCTCGATGTCGGCTTTGGTGTGCCAATTATCCTTAAGCCTAGTCAGAACAAGCTCTACCCAGAGAAAGCTCCCAGAAGACTTGGATAGAACGTTTTTAATGACAGTTTCTTGCTCTCGATTGGCTGGCAACGCCTGGCGGACAGTTGTCTCCACGAATAGCTTGATATCATCTGCTGTATCTGACGGTTGCATCTCTTCGCGGTAGATTGGACAGTCTATAACATTTAAAGCGGCCGAGAAGTCTTTGGTAAGTCGGCTTATAAGAAGAACTTTAATCGGTGTCACCGTATCGATTTTAGTGATTAGCGATATTAGTGCTGGGGAGGTTTCAGCTTCGTCAAGTCCATCCAGTACCCAGAAGAGCGGTTCTTCTAACTTGATTCTAAACAAAAGCCCCTCAAATACCTTGTTCCAGATCAAGTTGTATTTCTGCGATGCAAAACAGATCCCAGTCTTTTTATGTAGATCTATCAGCATACTGTGGAAGATCTGAGATTTACTGGCAATCTGAAATGCAAGTGAACGAAGGAAGAATGCGATGGTGCGAGTATCATGCTGGTCCACTTGAAAAAAGTGGTAATGACATGTTCCGGGCACGTCTTCCCGGCTAAGATAGTCAATGAGAAAGCTGGATAGAATCGTTTTCCCGGTGGCCGGCAGGCCCGTTAGCCAGAAAATGGACAACCCGCTGTCACTTCCACTAAGCCAGTCCCGGAATTCTTTCTTCTGGAGTATCCAGCGACATGTTCCAGGATAGATTCGTTCGCGGAAGTTTTCAAGCTCATTACCAGTGTATTTAATACCAGTGATATGTTCAAGAGTGGCCAGAGGTGGCGTGTTTGTTGGCTTTGGTGATTCTCGTCCAGAAAATTCTGTGTAAAAATGTTTAGATTTTTCAATTCTATACGTGGAAAGCAGAGTTTGGAGATCATACGTAGCTCCTTGATGTTATGTACCCACCTCCTAAGCACATTCCTGACATCACCATAGTTTCGGTCATCAGGGTTAGGGAACTTCGCCAACCCGTGATGGTCCGCAAGCAACGGTGCTGATATCTCTGAAGGATATCCAAGAACTGCAGATTCCTTTTCAACAACCTGAAAGATCAGAGTATATGATCAGCGTAGAATATGATTATCTCTTTCAGTAAAAGCATACCATTGCCTTCACTCCTGGACCTAGTGTCGTTTTTAATGTTTCATGGAAAGAAACCAATTCCAAGTCACCGCACATATTTCGGAATTGCTCGTTGATGTCTGCCAATGAAGTTGATCCTCTTTCCAGCTCACTCACATATATCTTGGTTGAAGTAATCGGTATAGTCCGAAGGACGTTGTTGAGAATATGGGCCAAATTAGACCCTCGATGTGGCGTTCCAAGGAAGACAATTCCATATGTTTGGGATATCATATCGGAATACTGGTCGTCTGTTTTTCCAATGATATATGCCTATATATCGCGTCGTCAGTCTGAAACTGTCTATGTATTCCAATGAGTGTTTCGCACCTTTTTGACGACAAGCCCTCCTAAGGAATGAACCACAAATATCATCGGACGCTGGGAGAAATTAACACTGAGCCAAAGATCCTTCCTTTCTTCTTTTTGGATCTTGATACTTGGACAGATATCATACCTCACCTAGCAACTTGTTATCTTCGCTTCTAGGATCATGATACATCTTTATTTGGAACAGTAAGTCCTTGGCGAAGTCAAGTATGCTCAGTATAGGTGATTTTTGAGTCAAGGACGCGTTGTATCCAAACGTGAAGATTCTGGTATTGGATAATCCAACCTCTGAACCTAGCCATGGGGGCCAAAACTTTTCAATGTTTCGATTGTGTGACCATGTCTTTAGAGAAGATCCACCAAGCCCATGGACGAAGATCAAGTCCGCATATGGTCTTTCAGATTCATAGATAAGCTTCAGCCCGAGTGGGTCCGCCGAGGGCGACGTCCTGTTACTGTCTCTGCGGGAAAATTGAGACCTTATTGACAGTAATGAGTACCTACGAGCAGTTGAGGATTCTGGCAGTGATCCTAATTCTGGAGGGATATCCGAAGAGCCCACTTCAGACAAAGGTTCAATCCTTGAAAAACGGATAGGTTCTGAAGCCCTTCGAGGCTCCCCTGGATGACCTTCATCTTTGATAGAAATATCGGAGTTCGACACTGATAAATCAGACGGGTCGGTATCCTGGCCTTGGTGCGATCGGCTGAGCGCAAGTTTCTTGAACTGAAACGCTCTTTTGTTACAAAGATATTTCGCCAATTATGGCTCCTGGACAATTTATTCCCAGAGTCAAGACTCACCATGATGTTTCTAAACTAGAAGCAGACGGGATATATTTGAACCAGTGTCTAGGGCAAAGAGGGGAATGTCGGACCCCACGGGCACCAGAGTGGCAGCACGTGTTTTTTTCGGGACTTTTAAGGCCCAAAATTGGAAAACGCACTATGTTACTCGTCACATCAAGTTCCACATTTACAGAGGTAGGTACTATTGCAAATTATTTTTCACTTTGCCTGTTTACCACCGCAGGTAAAAATTCCATGGGGGCATGAGTCAAAACCAGGTTACTGAAACTCTCTCAGCCCGTCATTCTGGATAATCACCTCAGCACTGCCATGAATCCCGAGGTACTTCCCAGCACCTCATTAAACCCCGGGTCGGGAACTCTCACGGCCCGCCCAATAAGCACGTCGGGTGTTACCCGCCGCAACTTTCATGAGCCAATGGTAGGAGTTAGCACCTGCAGGCGGCGTGATAGTATCACAACTGTCAGACTGATGGCCCCCCTAGGCCTTGAACAGGAACCTTGGTTTTTGTTATAATCTATCTACTTTGTAGTGGTAAAATGGCTGTATTATTTCCCACAACAACCACTTGACTCAACCCATCTGTCCGCTTGCGATGTTGTGAATCCGAGCGGGCCTCTTGTTTCCCATGCCAGTTGGCTCTTCCCCTGGCCGCATGATATTACCACGGCTAGTAATGCCCCGTGTAAAACAGCTAGAAAAATCAAGGCCTGGATAAATCCTACACCTGGATATCTTACCCGAACGTGGGAAACTTCCCTCATTATCTTGAGCCCCGCTCACATTGCCTTAAAGCAACCTGTTGAATATTCAGGTTTATGCTATTAAGAACCGGAATCGTCATTAACAACTAAGAAAATGTCAACTGATCATCCACATGTTAATCGTCAAAACGATGTCACGCCAGAGGAGGCCATCAAACCCCCTAGTACCTTTGGGAACTTCCCTTTGGATGAAGCGGTGTTAGAGAGTAGGGCAAAACAGCGTTCTGGAGACTCATTAGCGATCAAAAAGGCACTGACAACAGATAACTAGAACTCCCGATTCCCGGCACGAGAGTCATCTCCTCTCTGGTCTATGGCATGTCATTGTGGGGTCGCTGCTCCAAGATCCTCGCCGAACTACCCAATGGCACAACAGCGAAATACTTCCTCAAGGTCTGATAATGCTCATGTCCTTCTCGGAAAAGAAAATTTCTGACCGTGTTTGGAAGGACTCAGGTCGCGACGGGCCTTAATGCTCCCATAATGTGCGAGGGCGAGTTTGAGTCCTTGAATGCTATCAACAACACCTTACCGTCAATGGCACCCAAGCCCTTGGCCTGGGGTAAGTATAAAAATGAAGAATCATACTTTATGCTTGCTGAGTTCCGTGAGGTGGGCGAGCAACCGCCCGACCCTGTCAAGTTCACCTCGCGGCTAGCGGAGTTGCACAAGAAATCCGTCTCGCCTACTGGCCGCTTCGGATTCCACACGACTACTTGTCATGGAACTGTTACGCAGGTCACGGATGTGTGGGAAGAGTCTTGGGCGACCCTATACCGAAAACAGCTGGCTCACATGCTCGCCATAGATCTGGGAGAAAACGGTCCCTGGGCTGAATTTGAGCAGTTGTCCGATTTGACGCTCAACAAGGTCATTCCGCGGCTCTTAAACCCCTTGCAGAGTGAGGGCCGTAGTATCAAGCCGTGTCTTCTCCACGGGGACTGCTGGGATATGAATACAGCGACCGACATGGAGACTGGGGAGCCATTTGTGTTTGATGCTGGGTCATTTTATGGCCACAATGAGTACGACGTCGGGGATTGGAGAGCTCCGCGGCATCGCCTGAGTAGCAAGGTATACGTACATAGCTACAAGCGCCATTTCACCGTCTCGGAACCAGGTATGTTGACCACCTTCCCCCTCGGATAACCCGGGCTAGTGGTTGTCATAATTTGAGCTGATGTGGCCTGTAAAGTGGATGATTGGGATGGCAGAAATCTTCTCTATTCTCTTCGTTTTAATATTGGAACAGCCATTCTGATCCCTGGATGCAATCAACGGGAGGTGTATGTTTTACTATAATCAGGTCTTTTCTTGTATTAAGAAAGCTAATTATCTTATGTATGTATAGGGTGTACGAGGATATGAAGGAGCTTTGCAGTAAGTACTGTCCAGATGATTACGGCAAGCTTGCGCAAAGCGCGAATCAGCCTGCATCAGAAAATGTAGGGAGGGAAGAGGAATGAATAATGAGAATAGAACTACGGAGTAGAAGGTGGACGAACGATCTACCACACTTATCTTATGGAATATAGACGCCGAGCTTTGCCGGAAATTGACAGATCTCAGCGAGAATTTCTTCTCCAGGGGCACGTATTACTGGCGTTCAAGTACCTTCCTGAGTAATGGCGAGGAATATTCAAGCAGATTAAGTGCTACCACCAATAACCGGGTACAGCTGCATACTCGGAATTCCCTTACGGCTCCTCCACCACTTCTTTGAAATTGCCAAATCCCAAATAATCCTTCGTTTCCAGGTTTCTAACTCCCAATTCTCTGCTCCCGCATCGAATTATCGATAGTGCTGAAATCATCCTCAGAACTTTCAAATAGAACATTGAAATTCTCCACGATACATTTTGAGGATAACAGAGATGCCATGGCAAATGGTATGATGGCGGATCAACTGTGCTGAAGTCTTGTCGTATTGTTGAGATATTCCAAGGATCTTATATGGGATGTCAGCTCTAAGATACTATTATTTCTGACAAATTAGGATAAAGGACATACCATTGTGCCTAGGACCCTGCCGCCCAATGAGCACAAGAATAGGAGCTCCCTTCAGCGGGCAGTGTGCCGTAAATGTGAATCTTCTTCGCCTGACAGTACCCAACGGGACCCTTTTGAGGGAAATGCGGGCCCATGTGACATCGTACGCTCGATAAAAGGGAATGTGAATGACAGGCTTGGGGTCAAGTCAGCACGTGTCTAGAATGATAGTAATGAATAAAAGAAAGAATTGGCTTTGAGATTCCCATCTGAGCCTCGCTGGCTACCATAGCCCTCGGTTATTGTATAGGCATAAAGGAAATGCATAAGGTACTTCCTCAAAACTAACTTGAGTCTATCTTCCCTGATATAGACTATCTCTTCTAGTTCACTACCACTCCTATAAATCCTCCAGCAGAATAACCTTGCGATTCAACTGTTAGAGAGGTACGTGGTACGTTCAACATATCAGGGAAGGGCTTATCCCACGGGCGTATAGAGTAAAGATGGCGAGCTGTTTTGATGGATTCTAAGGTTAAACGATTAGTTGGGAGACATTTTATCAGTAGTTTAGGGTGGAGAGTGAAGACATTTCGAATGTGCAGATTTAACCAGGCCTGAAATGGAAGATATTCCAACTGATCTTGCACTACGCACTCTCTTCTCATCTTCACCCTACCTCGTCGTTGATTTTTTTCATCTCCTATTTCCTTGCTAGACATCACTTGACTCTCATATCATCTTCACATTTGACATTCCTCTCCTCACTTGTCTCCCACCAAGCCAGTGGGCGTATTTTTACACACGTGCTTCACCCTTGACCTCTCCAGTCATGTCTCTCAACGTATCCACCAGGCTCCCACTCATCGGAGTGCTTGATTTGATTCCGAAGCTAGAACTGAAAGGCGGCTTCCTTGAGTGGTCTCGATGCCTCAAGCAGGCCCTTGACACACAGGACACGAATTACTGGTCGATTCTCATTGATGGACCGATAATCTGCCCAACTGACAAAGAAGCCGCCAGTCACTCCATTTTGCTTGATCTTCTTACAATTATCCGTCCCAGAATCGACCTAAAGCTGCACTCACTCCTCGCGTCTGTTGACACCCCTCGGATTGCCTTCAAAATTTTGAAGGACTACTTCACCGACACCGAGCTTCATCGCGATCATCCCAGGTACATTCAGTGGATTGACTGTGTGTACACACCGCCGATGCATCCGTTGTATCTTATCATCGATTGGTATTTCGTCTTGAAACAACTGGTCGAGCTTCCTGGAATCGCCCCATTCTCATTCAACATCGAACTCCACCAGTTCTTTGTTGCTGTCAGTGCTAGTGGCAGCCCGGCAGTGGAATGGACTAAAAGTTTTGAAATTGACCCCACTTGGCCGGGGAATGAGATGCTTAAAAAGGTTCTCCTTGACTTCCTTCGCTTGGAAATGAGGCGCTTGCATACTGCTGTCTAATATAGACGCATCACCGCCAATACTGAGCTCAGCGAGGAGAAGAATCCCTCGACTGAATACCAATTCAATGTCAAGCGTACGAAGCATCCTAGCTGTTTTTTCTCCTCCTCAGACCGTGAATTTTGACTTTCCTGCAGAACAGAATGGCCACGCAAACAATGAAGGAATAACCAGGCAGACAGACCCCAGAGAAGAGATTGTGGAGTGGCATGGCTGAGCAATGGAGGAAGGAAGAATATTGGGACTATGTGCCGATCAACGGGATAAGACACTTTCATGAGTTCCGCAACCTGTGTGCGCTCAAGCTTACTGGCATGATGTACTCACACTAGCCCATCGCCTGGCAGACTATGTGGATAAGTTCCCAACTATTCACATTGGAGCCAGAAACGGCAGTTGGTCTGGAGATCAAGAGGCCTCTTGGTGGGTGGATGGAAGCTTAACAAGAAGGAATGGTCTATGCCCGATAATAGTTAGTCATCTCATTTTCGATGTCTATCTATTGTCAATGGAAGCCAATGCAACAGTATTCTAAAAAGGATCTGAGTGCTCAGCGAGTCATATTTGGAGAAGCCTATATTCTATCAGATAGTCGCTCAATAGGGGGGATAGGCCCCAGGGTACCTGACTCACGAGAGGTATCGTGCGTGTCTCAAGCTGCTGGTTCTTTGCCTTTAGGTACCGATTGTGTGCTCGTATCCACAGCCGAAGCTTGTTCAGCAGTAGATATGGGCTCTTGCACGTTTGAGGTATGTGCATCGCGGGTAGTGGTGCTGAATAATTCAGTATCTCTAGTTGCTTCCTCGGTGCCTTGCATAATAGTTGGCTTAGTTTCGGAAGTAGGCGCTATCTCTTGGGCATCTCGCTCATGGGATACAGTGTGGGAATCTCTGGCGAGTGACCCCGTAGTTCCAGGCGTATGCTCTGCGCTTGGCCCGGCAACTGCTAACTGATCAGCGGCAGGCGCCGAAATTCCCTGTGATTGCCCATCAGGGATGTGTGCAGAAGCACTGCGGTGTTGGTCGTGCAAGTTCTCAGGGCCTTCCGAGGTTGGTTCCGCAGTTCCTTCCATACGGAAAAAGTCCCCATTCAAAACATCGATCAGGACTTCTGCTTCAGGCGGTGGTGGAACCGAGCCGCTCAGCAGCTCGCTTGCTCGAATTTTCCGCCCATATAGCTTTTTGTTTGCATCCGCACGCTCTGCAAGAACACCACCTTCAACAGTAAGACCGCCGTACAATCCACGGGTCTTGGAGTAGGCGAATACTCCAGTCGCACCCTTGGTTCCCACAACTCCCCCAGCCTCGGCACTCCGACCAATGGGTCCGACAGCCATGGATATATTTCCACCAAGAGTCAAGTTTCCCGACTGCATGAATGTTTTCACTGCTGCATCGGTAGTGAGGACGAACACGAAATCCGTCAATTCTGCGCCAAATTGACCACCAGCGCCCAAGCCACCCATTGCCATGGCTGACGGGGCGGACCAGCTGCCATCCGGGAGGCGGGCAACAATCAGGCCCGAGCCAAAGCGGATAGAGCCCAGGAATCCAACTCTCAGGGCTGTGAATACGGCGATTCCCTGACATAGAGTAAGTTACAACCGCTTGGTCGCTTCATGGTAGAATTCTTTTCTCTGACCTTGGCTCCCACAAAAATCTTACGTGGGATTTCTCCATCGATCTTGAGTTTCGGGTTGATGAATGATTCGAGAATCGCAGCGACCTTTTTGCACTCGCCTGTGCAACATGGTCAGCTCGGAGTCAACCATGTTGAATATCACGGGGGATAATACTAGCTAGCGAGGCAGGCAGCGGGTTGTGCAACCGGTTTCCCATGAGAGATATATTTTCTCCCGCCTTGTAATACTCTTTATGTCAAGACGTCTACGTCTAGCAGAGTTAAGTCTGGCCTCCAATATTCAGCGCACACTTGACAAGCGCGAAGGGGGAAAATGATATCAGTCGACTCCCAGGATTCTACGCCAATTTAAGTGATACAAAGTCGTATAATCAGGGGTTGGGGCCATTAGACTTAGGTTGCGCACGGACGTTTCGTATACTTTGCGATTGGAACAGAAATGGGCATTAAGGTTCGTCAGATTGTTAAGTGATCCTATACACCTGTCATTTTCGTGTTCAAAACTCCCCTGTATCATAATTTCGGTTATTTTGCGCTTGATTTTGAAGAACGAGGCTGCTACTTAGGGCCTCATATGAAGGAAGGTGCGAGATGTATTACTTGGCCGATCAGCGATTCCTAAAGTATAGTCTTTGTTTCAGAATGATCCATCTGCTTGAAATTGAGGAAATAAAGTTTGTTTGGAGCATCCCGAGGTCCATGGGTAGGGCTGGCGGGCCGCTGTATGCTTATTTCCAAGGTTTTCAGCTGAATTCCAGGGTTACACACCCCGGGGTTGAGCCGTAAACTGGGCCAGGTAATTCAATATACTGATGCCTGAACACACTGCATATCTCAACACTGGAAAATATTCGGCGAAGAGCCTACTTTAGTACAACAGTTGTAATGTTTGACTGCGAGTTATCTAATTGTAAATACACTTTTGCATGGTATGCCAGGTGGTCACATACTAACATTCTCGGGTTTCCTTGTTTTCATTCAGTAATACATGCTATATTTCCGACACATATCGACTCTGTTTCGCCGTAACACATCTTACCTCAAATCCCCAGCGGTTGCACCAGTATTCCAGATGCTTTTCCAGGCCATATTAGTACTCCTCGCACTCCGGGCTAGTAGTGTGGTATCTGTCCCTTTGAAGCGACAAGCAACCCCCCTCACCGACCAAACGTTCGATTATGTGGTCGTTGGTGGCGGTACCGCTGGAAGCGTGATCGCAACGCGACTAGCAGAGCATGGCTTTGACGTTGCCTTGGTCGAAGCCGGGGGGTACTACGAGCTTCAGTCCGTGGCAGAGTTTCCTGCAGCTGATGGGTTGACGGCGGGATCAGAGCCTACTTCTAGCTCACCGATAGATTGGGGATTTGTGACAAGAGATCAACCGGGTGCCAATAATCGGGCGATTCATTTCGCGCGAGGAAAATGTCTTGGGGGATCGTATGTATCTCTTTCCAAATCTGGCATATCAGATCAAAACTGATTTCTCTGCAGCTCAGCGTTGAATTTTATGGTCTATCAACGGTAAAGGTATATGGAAACAGAATGCTTGCGGCTTTACTGACCGGGATTGTGCAGTCCGACACGCGAGTCTATGGAACTATGGGCAACTGTAGTCAACGACAGCAGTTACAGATTCGATGAAGTGCTTCCATTCTACAAAAAGAGCGTCGATTTCACGCCTCCAAACATGGAATATAGAGCTCCAAATGCCTCCGCGGACTATGATGCCAATGCCTACGACTCAGATGGTGGCCCATTGCAGGTGTCGTATACTAACTACGCCCAGCCTTTTTCCTCATGGATGAGCCTCGGCATGGAATCTATCGGCATTCCTGAAGTACAGGAATTTAACCTGGGTAATATAATGGGAGCCCAGTATTGCACATCCACAATTGACCCAGCCTCTGAGCTGCGAAGTAGCTCTGAGAATTCTTTCCTATCCAAGATCAGACCCGATTCATTAACGACATATACGAATACCCTTGCCAAGAAAGTGATATTTGATGGAAATAACAAAGCAACAGGAGTGCAAGTGAAAGACTGGCTGGGCAATAACACCATCACGCTTTCGGCATCGGAAGAGGTTATCATCTCCGCTGGTGCCTTTCAATCCCCCCAGCTCCTTATGCTGTCTGGCATTGGACCCCCCGACCAACTCAAGAAGCATGGAATCGATATTATAGCCAATCGATCGGGGGTCGGTCAGAACATGTGGGATCACCCATTCTTTGCTCCTTCGTACCGAGTGCGCGTAACGACACTCACTGAATTTGCTACTAACGCAACATTCGCGGCTGACCAAATCAACGAAGGATTAGTCCACAAAAGTGGGTTCTTGACAAGTCCAGTCGCGGATTTTCTGGCTTGGGAGAAGATTCCTCGGTTTTTGCGCTCAGCGTTCTCTCGGAGCACGCGGAGTAAATTGGCCTTCTTTCCATCCGACTGGCCAGAAGCAGAAGTAAGAAGAAAATATTCTCTCAGACAAGGGGAAAAGCTGCTAACATGCAGATTTATAGTACATGTCTGGCGCGGGGTATATTGGCAACATGTCAAATCTCCTCCCAAGTCAGCCAAAAGATGGATACCAGTATGCTTCAATGCTCGGTGTTTTGATAACACCCATATCCCGAGGAAATGTCACTTTGCAGTCTGGAGATGCTTCAGATCTGCCAGTGATAAATCCCAATTGGCTTGATGATAAGGCTGATCAAGAAGTTGCTGTTGCCATATTCAAGCGAATACGCCAGGCCTTCCAGAGTAAAGCTATGGAGCCCATAGTCATCGGCGAGGAGTACAAACCCGGGCCGCAGGTCCAGTCTGATGACCAGATCCTCGAGTTTATCAAGGATAATCTGATGACCATATGGCATCCGGGTTGTACTTGCAAGATGGGAACTTCTGATGATGATATGGCTGTTGTCGACTCCCAGGCCCGGGTTTTTGGAGTTGATGGACTGCGCGTAGTTGATGCTAGTGCATTTCCTTTCCTTCCTCCTGGTCATCCCCAGTCGACGGTTTGTAGGTTTCCCTCGGTTGTTGCTCTGGTTTACCAAGTGCTTACCTTACTGCGTTACAGATATGCTTGCCGAGAAGATCGCGGCGGATATTATCGAGGATTCCGAAGTGCCTTCATTGGATTGAAAGGCGAGCACGGAGAAAGATCCAATGCCTGAAGATATTTCGTTCTAAATTGACATCTAGATAATTAATAGTCTTATTGTTCTGTTTTGCTAGGATGTGCTAAGACTAACCATGGCATTGGTAGTTAGGGATGGCGTGAAATATGGACTTGAACATGGAAATTGCATGCCAGTGTATCTCTAAAAGAAAAGAAAAATGGAATAATACACGTTGGAAGGTTGATGGGTAAATGCTCTTTCTATAATACAGTGAACACCAGATACAAATCCTCATATCGCTACAGAAACCCAGAAGTTATTGGAACAAGACATCATGCGCATGGTAACTGCCCTCATTTCTTGGCCGTCTTCTTCTTGCCTTTCAAACTCTTCAGTTGAGCAGCCCGCTCGGCTCTCTGCTGACGCTTCCTCCATGCCAACCAACGGTTACCACGGTCATGGGGCATAGCAGTGATACCAGCCTTCTCAGCAGCCCGACCAATCTCCCAATTAGCCTCACGGTACATGTAACCGGGGCGCAGCTGCAGGCCAGACTCAGCCTCGACAGCCTCGATATCCGTCACACGGACACCGCTCTCATCAACAGAAGCAACGAGATCAGACTGAGCCTCGACACGTTCCGCCATCGGCACAGGAGCCATATTCAGCTTGCGTCGGCTGGGCGCATTGCGCGGGTGTGGGAGCTGCTCATCCTTGTCGAAAACAACTCCGATATACCGGCGCTTCGGGTGCTTCAGCGGGTCGAGGTAGTAGCGGACGTAGCCGGACTGTGTTGCGTAGATTGTGTGGTCCCGTCCCATTCCACAGTTCTCACCGGGGAACCATAGCGAGCCTCGCTGCCGGAAAATGATGCATCCCGTTACCACGTACTCGCCGCCCGAGCGCTTCGCTCCGAGACGCTTACCGGCCGGATCACGCGAATGTTGATTGGCCGTTCCTTGCGAGGCGTGTGAGGCGTGACGCACTTGTGTGAATGGGAGGAGTGCGCGGGAGAGAGAGGGTGTTGGGGTGGTTTTCGGGAATGTGGATGTTGCGGAGAGAGTGCGCAGGAGGGATTGCGATTGCGTGGGTGCTGACCGGATTGCCGGGGTGAAGGCTCGCTCCAGTGCCCGTAGGGGCGTTAGCACTCGCGGCTTAAACATGGTGCGTTGTAATTGGATTGTTTGGAGGTGTAGATCATGAAGCTCCAAGGGGAAGTTTTTCGTTCGGAGATCGGGCTTGGCGTCACGTGCGTATCCGTAAACTGGCTTTATCTATACACACCACTTGAACTTGTTCTACTTTCTATACAAATACCCGATCATTCTGAAATTACTGTCGGTGTAATTATTTAAACCATGCTGCAGAGCTGGCGTCAAGCCCTCTGGGCTCTTCTCCTTCTCGTGTCTGTCGCCCAGGCCCAATTCAACTTCTTTGACCAGATGTTCGGAGGCGGCGAGCAGCAACAACGTCAACAGCAGCGGTCGCAGAACGCTCCCAGTGACAGTGATCGGTACCAGCAAATGTGGAATGGGGGTAAGTTTCAAAAGATTTCATTACTGACAATATCCTGTCGCAAGTTCGCATTGCTCTCGAGACCACATAACTGACTACGTGATCTCTCCTTGCAGCACAATGCGACAACTATCTATGCCCTGGAACTCTTGCTTGTGTACACTTCCCACACCACTGCCCATGCCCTCACCCGGATGTTGAGCAGAAGGTCGAACTTGGAGAAGGAAGTGCCATCTGTGTGTCGAAGGGAGGGTTCAAGGCAGGCGAAGCTGCACGGAAAATCGAGTTGGCTCGCAAGGGTCTTTTGTGAAGACTTTGTGTCTATGATCTTTGTTTTATCATATACGCACTGCATGCGGCTGTTGATGGATTGCGCGATCAAGTTATGGAGCTTGGTACCGCTGGTCGGATTAATCCGATAGGTCTATTTATTACACATGAAAATCTTGTTTGGACATGCCAGATATGCTCAAAAATTAGAATGTTTATCTTGTATATGGAAACATACCCACTATATGTCCATATCAAATCTAGGAATTTCACATTGGAGATGCTAACGCGGTCTACTATATGTATATCGGTACAAAATGACTCGAAGTGCGATTTCTGAGCTTGGAAAAGCCACCATCAGTAATATTCATGATTAATCTAGCATTGAATAGAAGATTACATTCAAAATAAGCTGAATATCAGAATTAAGGACGATATAGTTCAAGTAAGAGTAAACGATCTACAAAGCTATTGTCATTGCTATCTCCGATTATCTCCGCAGTGACCTTCCGTCATCACTCCGGTGCCCACCTAGACAGAGTATTCAGATTACTTACCAACTTCGCGTCCCATCAACCCTCTGACTCAATCCTTGTGTCTAGATTAATTTGTCCCTCTCGAGTACCATGTGGGGTTTAAGGCTCCAACCCCTGCAAAAACAGTGCACAATAGCTCAAACTCGAGCACTCTCGAGCTTCAGAAGTCATGGATCTGGATCTCTGCGTGGTCCTCGCAATAGCATAAGAAGACCAAACCTCATCCATAATTCAAGGAAAGCTGAACCATTGCAGCAATCTGAGTCTGCTGCACATGAGTCCCAAGATGGCATGAACCCCAATTACGATCCTTCGCAAAACACTCTACTTTCTCCCGTTTACCTTCCTGAAGACCCCAGAGGTGTGCTTAAAGAAAACCACCCAGCAATTTCAATACTGGCGAACTCGGGAATAGTCGTCCAACGAGAACTAGAGATGATGAATATTTTGATGTGAGTGTCGGTGTCCATTTGAGAGAAGCATGTGTATTGACTGCTTCAGTGGGTTTGAACAAGCGAATAAATATGCCATTATGGATGCGCTGGGAAACCACATTGGATATATGGCAGAAAAGGATACAGGATTGGTGAATACAATGGCACGACAATGGCTTCACACCCATCGAAGTTTCGTGACGCATGTATTCGACCGACGAGAAAATGAAGTTCTTCGAGTATGTCCAGGGAATGACTATCTTGTGGTCTCGTTTTTTCTTGGCTAACCATTGTAGTTCAACCGGCCGTTCTCATGGATCAACTCCCGGATTCACGTATATGATCCTCTTGATAAAACGCCAAATGCTAACTCGGAATCTACGTCTGTTCAAAATACAACACCCGGTTCTCTCATTGAACCTGGCACCAGATCCAGTGCAAGAATATCACCACTTGGTCTCGGTCAAATGCGAGTTATCGGCGAAGCCCAACAGCAGTGGGCACCTTTGCGGCGAAAGTACAATCTCTTCACTTATCACCAGTCCCCAAATCTAGAAACAGACATGGGAACCCATGATATCTCGCTATCAAACTCTGGTTTATCACGAGCACAGCAGACGGAGCTGATGCAGAGATCCAACCAAGACCAGGGTCAATTCAACCAATTTGCCTATGTTGATGAACCCTTTCTATCATGGGATTTCTCCCTGAAATCAGCAGAGAATCAGTTAATTGGATCCGTTAATCGTAACTTCTCAGGCTTTGCTCGTGAAATCTTCACAGACACCGGTGTCTATGCAATGCGAATGGATTCCGCAGCTCTCGGCACCGAGACATCACCCAGCAACAAAAGTTTAGGAATGACCCTCGACCAACGCGCTGTTATGCTAGCTACAGCTGTAAGCATTGATTTCGATTATTTCAGCCGGCAACACGGCCATGGTGTATTTGGCTTTGCGTCGCCAGGCTTCATGGGTGGCCACGCTCCCGCTGGGGGTGCAACTGCAGGAGGCGCTGCCGCCGGTGAAGCCGGGGCCGTCGGTGGAGTCGCTGCAGGAACTCTTGAACGGGCTGGAACCGTCGGTGGTATGCCGAGTGGCATGGTTGGAGGCGCTACCACCGCAGGTGCAATGGCTGGGTATGAAGCAATGCACAGGGGCAACACGACCGATCCAAATGCCTCAGCATCGGAGCCGCTGGACCCGGCTGACCCGGGCTCACAAGAATTCCAAGATAAACCTCAAGACTCTTGGGGTGAAGATGGTTCTTGGGGTGGAGATGGTTTTTGGGGTGACGGAGGAGATGACGGAGGTGACGGGGGTGACTTCTTTTGATTGGTGATTGGTGATGAGGCTCAGTTTCTGTACTATAACATTCACGATATAGATGTAATATTTGCTCTTAAACCAAAAAATCTCACCGCTTACATCCGCATTTTTCCAGTCACACTTTTCTATCTCTTCTATCCTAAATCCAGGTTCCTGACGGTCTTGCCACTCTTTGTCCACCGCCCCGGAATTATTCCATCCCCACCCTTAATCCTACCCAGTCCCCGCAGACAACCTTGCCACCTAATTATTTCCTGAATTCGCATTTTGCATTTGAATCAATTAGACAGCAAAAATGGCGTCCTCCGTCGCCCAGAAGCGCCTTTTCCACGAATACAAGAACCTCTCCACCAACCCACCCGAGGGTATCACCGCTGGACCCGTATCCGAGGACGACATGTTCTACTGGGAAGCCCTGATCCAGGGCCCCGAGGAAACACCCTTCGAGGGCGGCGTTTTTGCAGCGGAGCTGAAGTTTCCAAGAGACTATCCACTCAGCCCGCCGACGATGAAGTTTATCGGAGGTGGCGTGTGGCACCCGAACGGTACGTGACCGAAGCAACTCAGGAGCGACTTGCGCCTGGCTACTGGCTCGCATTGCATAATGCACAATGGTAAACATCTTACTGATGAATTTGATTTACAGTCTACCCCAACGGAACCGTCTGCATCTCCATCCTTCATCCCCCTGGTGACGACCCCAACCACTACGAACATGCCTCGGAGCGCTGGTCGCCCATCCAGAGCGTCGAGAAAATCCTCATCTCTGTTATGAGTATGCTCGCTGAGCCGAATGACGAGAGTCCGGCCAATGTCGAGGCTGCTAAAATGTGGCGCGAGCGGAGAGCCGAGTACGAGCAGAAGGTTAGGGATGAGGTGAAGAAGGGTCTGGGTCTGTGAGCTGGCTTGGCTCGTGAATGAATGCCGAGGTTCTCTCGCTACTGCATTAGTGGATGCTTGTCAATATGGTCTGCTTGTGCTGCGCGAGAGTCAAGATTTGATGACTGGCGTTCAAGGGTTTCTTTATTTTTGCATGGTTTGGAGATGCGATCGCTTTTCGGTCTGTACAGTGCATTCTTATCCTCGCATTATTATACCGGATGAAGCATATGCAGTTCTTTCGATACAAATTTTTCTTCTCTTCTAGAGACTTGCTAAATTTTACATCTACTTTAGTATTCTTATGTCTTGTTCTCCTACTAATGTATTGGAGATCTATGACAACTACCATGGTATATCGTTCCTGCCTTTATTTTATGTAGATATACCATACATATATATCTTCCTGGATATACAGATCGTATATCATCTTACTCTTGTCGAAACATTCTGCGAGTAATCCATCCCTCCAAACCTCCTTGGCACCCATACAATATCTCAATCTCCGCCTTCAGATTCAAAAGCAGCATCCGCTGTAATTCAGCACGCCACTCCGGCTCCGGTCCATCGCTTGCCCAGACAGGACTGTTCCGCAGCATAGCCATAATCTTCTTGCGGTCTCGCGTAGTCAGCGAGAGAAGAGCCGTGTCACCAAGTACCTCCGGAACTGCCATGATATCCGTCACTCGAAGACCCAGCCACTGCAGCCTCGGTATACTGAGACGAGCATTTTGGTGCAAGTGGGCCGTAGAGCCGTACTTGTACGTTGACATGATGGCCATGCCATGGGGATCCCCATCGGTGAGGGCATAGAAACGGGGCGGACGTCTGCTCTGGTTGGATATGGAGTCTGACATTGCGCGGAGGAACGCTCGCGTCATGAAATCGGGGTATCCTTTGCCCTGTGCGAGTAGCATTGAGTTCAGTTGCTTGTTTTGGAACAGAGTATGCTAAAGCAGAGACGCAGCTTACTGTGACCATAATTCCTTGTCCAGCTAGTGCCCTGGTGTGGTAACTTATTCGCGCGAGCCGGTGGAAGACTGCCTGTGGACAGAGCGCTCAGCGTACTGATGCTGCATGTGTGGTCTCTCCATGCTTCATACCTCTTTCTCGATGACCAGCACCCATCGGACCCGTGAAATGTCAATGTCGTCTCCGTCCTCTATACGAGGAATCAAATTGTCCTCGGTGTCGGACTGCGCATCGATCAAAATATGGGAGCCCCGAGTCAACCGAAAGTCTCCCGTCACTAGTCCTTTTGCTGCCGCTTCCTAGTACGTAGGGCACAATATCAGCAGCCTAGCCTCGCGATGCTATGATACCAGGGATTCGGCAGGACAAACCACATTCAATGCCGTTCTGTTCACTCCGATGGTGTACGCCAAGTCATCGACAATGCGGTCCACAACGCTCTGCACGCGGAAGAATTCCGGGTCGATATAGTATATATCTCTGATAGTAGTACGGCTGTGTTCAGGATACCTTCCAGATTGGATCTTGGATATTGCAAGCTCACCTCTTAGAGATTAACTGGCCAGTTCGAATAGCCTGGTCTAATATAGCTAGGATTCGAAGTATGACGGCTATCAGAACATAGCGAGTCAGTCAGTTCGTCATCCCGGAAGGGTGCCCAGCTAGTGTTCGGACTATGGCAGGAGAAAAGATCTTACTAAATTTCCAGGCCTCGTGTGCCGTCTTTCCTGGCCAAGAGTATTTCCTGTATGTCTCCGCTCTCGGAGTTGCTTCCAAAGCTCCGCTGATGGGATTGATGATACAAGCCATTGGGCTGGTTCTGCGCTTGAGAGTGATGGAGATGTTGGCGTCTGCCGGGGGCTGTGAGAGTCCGTGGATGAGGGCTGCGAGAGTGTTGTCGATGAATTCTTGGACTGAGGGATCTCGACCATCGTCTATCTCCAAAGGATGGATAGCTGATGGCTCAGCCATTGCCATTGGGGTGGATTTGAGCAAGGCGAGGTGGTGCTCGGGGTTGAAGGACAAGCAAGTAGATGCAACACCATATCTACCCGTAGACGACCACAATGAACACAGATTACATGTCGCTTTCTGATAGCACTTGGGAATAAATCTAGCACTCAAATAACAGCCCTCAAATAGTAATATTATAAATAGTACTTTGGATCAATGCTAGTATGTTTCGATGATCTATGGAGGTCAAAGATTACTTAGTATAGAAACTTCCCTTCACATCCCTCTCTTCGTTATATCTCGAATTGCTTGCTATGAGAATCTATTTATGAATTGAGGTTTCTCTTCTGGTTTAATTGAATACATATTTTTTCTTTGAGGGTTGAAGTTCTGGTGTATAGAGGAAATGCTAGACCACACCACTACGTCCACCACTCCACCGCCCTGGACCCCTGTGTCTTGATCAAAACCCCCTTGACATCCTCTTCCTCCTCTCTCGTTTTTGTTCTTTCAAAATCAATTTGTCTGCCTTCAAATCACATGGAAACATTCTTCATTCTACACCGCACTCGTGATACTGATGACTAAGCTTCCCCGGTGGTTCCACCTGTGAACATCTATCTGGGCTGTTTATCGTCTTTACTGGTTGACGAAAAAGATCCAATTCCTCATAACATGTCTTCTACTCCTCATATTGGGCCATGGAGAACCCCAGCTGAGGGTCATCTTACTCCAGATGCCAATGGAGATCTTAAAACTGATTACTCGCGCTGGCGATTGGTTGACGAAGAAGGCCGTCAAACATGGCGGTATCTCGAATCCGATGAGGAAAATCAAGAGTGGCCGCAGTCAATAGCTGATAAATATCACTTGGGATTGCCAACGGTATCCAATCCTGACTCAATTGGCAAAAAATCTAAAAATTTCATCCAATTCTAACGATGTATTATAGGGTCTTCCAGAGCTACCAGAGGCCAAGACGCCGCTGGAAGCCGCTGAGAATGGGCTTTCATTCTTCTCACATCTGCAACTAGAGCCTGGAAATTGGGCCTGCGAGTACGGTGGCCCCATGTTCTTGCTGCCGGGTATCTTGATCACTTACTATGTGACCAATACCCCTATTCCCCCTGAGTATGCAACAGAGATCAAGCGCTATCTGTTTGCCCGTCAACACCCAGAGGACGGTGGATGGGGTCTGCACATTGAAGGCCACAGCTCCGTCTTCGGTACTTGCATGAACTATGTGGCACTGCGCTTGATCGGTGTCAGTGAAGAGGATCCGCGTATGATCAAAGCCCGGGGCCTTCTGCATAAGTTTGGAGGTGCCACCAACAATCCTCACTGGGGTAAATTTTGGCTCAGCATTCTGGGCGTGATGGAATGGGAGGGTGTTAATCCAGTTCCTCCTGAGATTTGGTTGGTCCACGCATTGCAACAGGTACACCTTTCTTTTATTAACTGAGTATATAGGCTTCTTCCCGACTGGGTTCCCTTTGCTCCTTGGCGGTGGTGGATTCATATGCGACAGGTGTTCCTCCCAATGTCTTGGCTGTGGTCTAAGCAATGGTCTCACCCTCTAGATGACCTGACAAAACAGCTGCGTGAAGAGCTATACACCCAGCCCTACAGCTCTGTCAATTTTGCTGCGCATCGCAATTCGATCCACGAGGCAGATAATTATTACCCCAAGACGTGGCTGTTGAATGCAGCCAATGAACTGCTAGTTCGCTTCTGGAACCCTTACCTCCGACTCCCAAGTCTTGTAAAACGAGCTGAGGATTGGACCTGGGAATTGATTCGAATGGAAGACGAAAACACCAAATATGCGGGGCTGGGACCCGTCAACAATCCAATGAATATGGTGGCTTGCTTTATCCACGACGGCCCTGACAGTCACTCTGTCCGCCAACATAGGGAGCGATTGAATGACTATATGTGGGTAAAGGGCGAGGGTATGCTCGCAAATGGCACCAACGGTGTGCAGGTTTGGGACACGGCATTCATCACCCAGGCCATCGTTGTCGCTGGTTTCGCCGACGAGCCCAAATGGCGGCCGATGTTGACAAAAGCTCTCGAGTTCCTCGAGGACCATCAATTACGAGAGAATGTACCAGATCAAGAAAAATGCTACCGCCAACACCGTAAGGGCGCTTGGCCATTCAGCACCAAGGACCAAGGCTACACAGTCAGCGATTGTACTGCCGAGGGTCTCCGGTCAACACTTCAGCTGCAGGAGATGCACGGCTTCCCTAAGCTAATCTCCGAACAACGTTTGAAGGACGCTGTCGACTGTCTTTTACTCATGCAAAACCCAACCGGCGGCTTCTCTGAGTACGAAATTACTCGCGCCTCACCCAAGGTCGAGTGGCTCAATGCCGCAGAGGTCTTCGGTGGAATCATGATCAGCTACGACCACCCCGAATGCACCACGGCATCTGTTACGGCTCTGTCACTCTTCAGCCAATTCTACCCCAAATATCGCGCCGACGAAATCCGCATCGCGAAGCAGAAGGCTGTCGGCCACATCAAGCACGTACAGCGCGCCGACGGTAGCTGGTACGGCTCTTGGGGCATCTGCTTCACCTACGCAGCGTTGTTTGCACTTGAAAGTCTGGCCAGCGTTGGTGAGACATATGAAACGAGCGCCGACTCTCGCCGTGGCTGTGACTTCCTGATCGAGAAGCAGCAGGCCGATGGTGGCTGGGGCGAGTCATATCTTAGTAGTGCAACCCATCAGTATGTTCAGCACGAAAAGTCTCAGGTGTGCCAGACTGCCTGGTCTCTCCTTGGGCTTATGGAAGCGGGCTACCCGCACAAGGAACCGTTGGAGAGAGGCATTAAGCTGTTGATGTCTCGCCAGCAGCGCAATGGCGAGTGGTTGCAGGAGGCGATCGAGGGTGTATTCAACCAGTCTTGGTAAGTGTGAATTGTTTTGATCTTGTTTTGATTTTTTTTACTGACTCTTTCTAGCATGATCTCGTATCCCAACTACAAGTTCTACTGGCCTATCCGTGCCTTGGGCTTGTATAGTAAGAAGTTCGGAAATGCACAGCTTGTGTAAAGTATCTCAAGGAAATATCATTCCACACTTATATGTACTTAATCAATAATAAAATGGTCCATTCGGCGGGGAGTTGAATTGATACTGGCATCGATGCCTGACGTAATTCGTTTGTATCTAATCTTTATATAGACTTAATTGATAACACAATAGCCTAGGTATTCAGTAGGGATTTGAATTAATGCAGAGATCGATGCCTAATGTAGTGTCTTTGTATATAATCTGATCTCTTTCTCTATTGCTGCTTCCCATTTCCCCTCTTCTCCCCCACAGAAATAACAAACGCACGTGACCCAACATGAATGATCCACAGGAGCTTGGGCCAATGCGGCTCATTGATCTCTTTACGCAAGGTTGCGCGCACTGTCATTCACTTCAATCACATTTTTTCGAACCTGATCCCGAAACCGCCGCCATGAATGCTGCAGCTGATGGTGACCGGGCTTCTGCCGAATCCAACTACCCTCTCGCCATTGAACACTACACCCACGCTTTGACCGAGCTACCCCGCGCTCCGAAATACTACATTTCACGATCAACTGCCTATTCGCGTCTCAAGCCCGCAGATGGCGGGCCCAACTACCATGCCGCACTCAAAGATGCCGAAATCGCGCTCAAACTCGCCAACGAGCGTGGAAACCGCGAGATGATCCTCTCCGCTCAGATGCGCCGTGCCGTGTCGCTGTACCAGCTCGAGCGGTTCGGAGACGCAGAATTTGTGTTTGAGCTCATCGCGAGTAAAACTAAGAGCGATAGAGTGCCAGAGAACAAATCGGAACAGGTGCAGGCTGCTATGGGAGGACCCGGATCCGGATGGGGAGGCCCCAGAAACAATTACAGCGCCCAAATGCCGATCTGGACCGCCAAACTTCAACGCAAGCTGGCAGAGTTGCCTAAGGATGACCCGAAGCGTGCTGTCTCCATTGCTGAACTCCCATCTAATACCTCCGTTCCGACTACAGGTGAGCTGAAGGCTCAGTGGAAGGCCCTCAAGGCTGGAAAAAAAGTGGAAGTCGCTGGAGCCTCGCAGCAGCCTGAGCCTCAGCCCCCAGTAGGATCAACCCTATCTCCAGCGGAAGCCTTCTTGGCTGCTCAACTTCAGAACCCAAATACCAGTGCTATGGCTACCTTTGTTGCCCCAGACAAGATTCGCCATGAGTGGTATCAGTCGCAGGACTCCGTAGTTGTGACTCTTTATGTCAAGGCAGTCCCAGAGAACAAGGTCACAGTCGAATTGAAGGAAGGTTTGGTAAGTATTCTTCTATTCCGCTTTCTCGGGCCAGAACTAACTCTGCAAAAGGTCTCGTTGCAATTCCCTCTCCCATCTAGCGCCGAATACGACTTCACCCTAGACCCGCTCTATGCTGCTATCGATCCCGCTGAGTCCAAGGTCTCGGTTAAGAGCACCAAGATTGAGCTCACTCTACGAAAGAAGACACCCGGCCAGAAATGGAGTGCCCTCGAAGGCTCAGCCACCAATACCACTCAGATCACCGACCGTCCAGCCGCGCAACAGGCCCCAGCCATCCCGGGCCCTTCGTACCCCACCTCCTCACGCCACGGCACCAAGGATTGGGACAAGCTTGCATCATCGCTCACCCAGAAGAAACCAAATGAGAAGGGTGAGGATGATGGAAACGTCTCTGATGGCGAGGTATCCGATGGCGAAGGTGGTGATGCTGTCGACGGGTTCTTCAAGAAGCTGTATGCCAACGCTGACCCAGAGACCCGTCGAGCTATGATCAAAAGCTATACGGAGAGTCAGGGCACATCCCTGAGCACGAACTGGTCTGAGGTTTCGAAGGGGAAGGTGGAGGCTCACCCTGAATGATTTTTCACTTGCTGTTTTTGATCTTCTCATTGCTAAGCCGCATGTAGCGAGGAGTTTCTCAGGTATCACAACTTTAGTTGTGAAATAAATCTCAATTTACTGACCTTTCAAGAATTTCTTATCAGTTTTAGTTCTGAAAAAACAAGTAATTCAGTTCGTTTGCAGACTAACTTTGTGTCTTGAGTTGATATCTGGATGATTCTCTCCACTGTGCGATTGAATTGAAGCATAAATACATGCTTTTATCCTCGAGAAAGGCATCTGGAAAGTTGGGCTGGAATTAAGCAAAGAGTCAAGCCCAACTCAGTAGTAAACTAACAGATATAGATTCTACAGACTGGGTAATATCCTTTACCAATTGAAAATATGTCCATTCCATTAGATCTACTCAAGCAAGAGCATTAACTAGACTAGATCGAGCACCAAATTTCTCCGCGAGTGCACGCGGAGTCTGGTTTCTCAGCATATCCGACGACTGCAAGGTCGCCTCAAACCGCTTCAAGATCCAATTCGGCAACTCAACAGCAACCAGAGAATCCAAGCCCAGAGCCAGTATTTCATCAACGGTCCCCACATCCACCGAAAGAAACTGGGAGATTTTCCTTGTTATCGCACGCAAGATGAACTCGGCTACAGCATCCTCGTTACCGGCGGCGATGACTTGCTCAAACGATTGCTCTTCCTCATAGTCACCATCATCGAGTTTACCCCCATTGATGCCGCCCCGAGCCTCACGGAACAATGCGGAGTGAATAGGGCCATTGGGTGCGGTTGCACTCGCCAGGGACTCGGCGTCGAAGCTGTGACGGCCTGGGAGATGCAGGCCCCGTTGGGTTCAACTGCAGCGCCGAGGATGTAATCGAGGAAACGGGTCGGATGATCCGATCGGATGAGCTCAAGACCGACACGTCGAAGCTCATCCTGAATCTGAGTATCATCATTGTTGGCGGGCAAAGTGTCTTCAGGCCAGTCGAGGTTCACGGTCATGAAATGTGTTCCTGGGGATGGATGTGGCTGTTCCTGATGCGCCAGAGAATCCTGCCATTCATCGACACCAGTGCAGTTCGCATCAATGCTATTTACAAGTAGATAATTGGCCGATAATAGCGAAAGGAAGAAAGCTAAGCTTATTGCCGTGCAAGCTCCATGGATAAGTACGGTAACCCGTCTTGGGAGGATACGGCCCACTTCACGGATAGCGTAAGAAGCTGCCATGGTCTCCAGAAGCATTGCAGCTGCCTTGGGGGCTGATACATTTATAGGTAGCTGGCCGGCAAGTGTGGCCGATATGCGTAGTCGAGTAGCACCCACTACCGAGCAGAGCAATTACATGATCACCTAGCGCTAGGGAAGTGACATTGGAACCAACGATAGCGACGAAAGCTGCATACGAGCCCATTTTTGCGGAAGAATCATGCTCCATGATGGCAAGATTGTTGGCCTGGATTTCAACCAAATCTGCAGGCAGAGGTGTCGCGAAGGTTTCATGGTCCTCAACAAATAGCTCGGCACCGTCCGGAGAAAGCACCAGGGGTCTTTCACTGTTCACAATCTGTGCAGCTCCAGTATGGGCACCAGTATTGTCGGAATTGGCGATGGCACAGTTGAGAGACACGAGGCGTAAAACCAAGATAGGTGGGCCAAGGAACTGGTTTGGTTGGAATTGTGATCCTATCCAAGGGGAGGCCCGGTTGCGGCTTTGAAAATCCGGCCAATGGAGGAACTACCTCGCAGTCCAAAATGACAGCTGCCTTGAGCGAGCTTGACAGACCAGCTGCACTCCCACCGTGGCTCATCGAGCCCTTGGTGGAGCCGATGGAAAGAGGAACTGGGCGGCCCTGGGAGCTACCAAAAGCTTCTGCGATGGCATTTAGCGCATCATGATCGCCTGCTTTGGTGCCGATGCCATGCGCCTCAATATACGCAACTTCCTTCGGCAGCAACCCAGCACGGTTGTATGTCATCCGGGCCAGCTTGATTTGATCCTGACCGATGGCACTGTTGCGGATGATGGTACGAACTGGGTTTCCATCTCGGACTGCGTCATCCAGTCGTTTTAGAACCAGGGCAACTGCGGCCTCGCCGCGACCATAGACATCACCGTGCTCATCGAAGGGATAACTCTGCCTGGTGCTGGTAAGAAGGTGCAGGTTCCAATGTCAGCGAGGTCCCATGTAGGCGCAAGAACTGCGAGATGCAATTGGAAGCTTTAACGCCACTTGTATGAGCGGCTGGAAGTTCTACCATGTCTTTGGTCAAGTGACGATCATATTCAATTGGATAAATTTCGTTGAATTTTGCCGCTGAACTAAAGCTGATGGGTCGGGGGCTATAAGTCTATACAAAGTCTTTATCGGCCTAGTTAGCCGCTAGGCCTAAGGTAGAAGCCCACTGCGGGTTAATGGGCCCCAAACAGTACAAATATACCGAGAATTCAGGAGTTGAACCCCCTTGTAGGGGTTTTAAAATTACCCTTCGTTTGACCCCGTTTCTAAGGGTTATCCTAAAGGTAATATTTTATTAGTTTAAACGATTTAGGATCAATCACTAGTTGTCTCTCTATATCACGTTTAAAAATATAAAAAAGCGCGGTATTTGGATGATTTATAAATTACAGAAGTTCACTTAGAAAGTAGTAGTACTCCTAATACAAACCCAAGATATATATCTTACCAAAACATTAAGATTAATGGTATCTCGACTTCTACCAGTTAGATTTTATTCAAAATTAAACTATCACTTATGTAGCTACTATAATTTTAAATTCCAAGTTTGAATTTTATATATCTAGTGGAAGGTCGTAATACAGCGATTACAGAGGCCGCCTAGGATGGACTTTAATGGGGGCCCCATGGGCCCCCACTGATGGGCTGTGGGTTGGGTCGGGTTTCGTAGGGCCGTAGGGCCCATTTATGGGCTTTGCGGAAGTCTAGGGCCCTGAGCCCATCCGCTAAAAGCGTGATTCGTAGAATTTAGGTGTTTCAAGTAGCCGCTATGCTAAAACCACTACTAGTTATAGGTAGAAATTACGTATATGTATATGTCGCTCTAACCGCTGATATGTTTTATGTGGCGGAATCGATTGGATAAATTGCGTTGAATTTTTGCCGCTAAGCTAGGGCTGACGGTTCGGGGGTCCTAAGTCTATTGAAGGCCTTCATTGGCCTGCTTAACCGCTAATCCTAAGCCAATCGGCATTCCCACAAAGTCCTGTGAATCCCAGGAATGTTGATACCTTCGACAACAGAGCCAAAAATACAAAGGGAAGGAGGCACATTGACAGTAAAAGAAGTCTCGAAGCATAGATATCCACCTTCAATCATAGTCAGCGGTCAAATGGCGGAAATGTCTAACTATCCAACTCCAAACCCGCCAATACAGCCGGTTATTTTGTCCATGGAAGTGGACGATGACGATTCTTTTGAAAGTGAATACCGACTGCGAATCGAAAACCAAGTCAAATATCTCATCATATCACCCAAAACCTTCGATAGGGATACGCTTTCATTCCCTATTCAGTCCCTACCGAATCTTCCTTACAACGAGGAATGGACAGTGGCCCATATATCGCGAGACGAAACTAGCGGCGAGATGAAAACTTCTCTCTCGAACCGAACACTAGCTGGCGTCAGATGTCAATGGCACCAAGCTCAAGTTAATTGCCTAGAGTTAGAGAAGACTAAACAGCTCACGGCAATGGCCTTCGAAGCAGTGTTACATTCGCTTCTTCCAATCACCCTCCTATCACCAGCAAGTGTAATCGCCAAAATAGCCCGTTTCGAATGGGAGATCCCCCGTATCGAACAGGAAACAAGAGCATATCAGTTGCTTGAGGGTTCCGGACTGACACCGCGCTTCCTCGGCCATATCCACGAGAATGGACGCATTATGGGGCTTCTCTTAGAGAAAATAGAGGGACGCCCTGCTTCCTTCCAGGACCTGAGCATCTGCGAAACAGCTGTGAAGAAACTCCACGAATTAGGACTTGTACATGGGGATGTGAATCGATACAAATTCCTCGTCACGGACGACGGGATAAAATTGCTCGACTTTGAATCCTTTCTAGAGAATGCTAGTCCTGAGTCAATGCACAAGGAATTGGAAAATTTACGTACCGAATTGGCTGAGGACTCAGGACGCGGTGGAGGCTTCATTTTCCATGACGATGGAAGATGAAGTCCAAATCATGAAGACCAACGTCTGAAGAAAAAGGGATGCTGGTAGCAACCAAACAGTTTACAAGCTGTCTTTCCATGTCAGATATCTTGAAACAGAGTTAATAAAGCAACTAGATAAAGTCAGTCATTTCAAACAGGAAGAAAAAGGCCATCAGCTTGACAAAGGGCTACTCTTTGTAGCTTAGAAACGAGCATTAGGTTGCAACTTTCTAGTTCAAGACTTGAGAGCAGATTGTTATTCATGTACTGAACTGAGTCTTATGACATTCTATGAACAATGTGGAGCTCTGTATCAGAATAACTCAAACCTACAGCCCTATTTTCTCCGTGATCTGGAAGATCTCTTGCAGCGCCCCGCGGCGCTCTTTCACCTCATAACCGTAATCTCGCAGGTTTGTCTGTATTCCGGTCTCACAATTCTCTGCAAGAATGACAGCACCTGGGAGCAAGCTGGGTAGACAAGTGCCGGACTATGTCAAGGTTAACCAGCAATTCATATCACGATAATGCTGCAAGTAAAAGCTTGTTAGCACTGATGAGGTCTATGGTGATGTAGTGGAATCGGCTTGTGACGAATCTAAGCAGTTCGTGGCCACCAACCCCTATTCAGCCTCCAAGTCTGCTGCTGAGATGTATGTCTAGGCTTATGCGAAGTCTTTCGATATCCCAGTCCTCGTTGTTGGGAGCAACAACGTATATGGGCCTGCTCAATATCCCGAGAGTAAGAATGCGCGATATCTCAAGCCTTATTTTTGGTAATACATATGCTGACAAACGATGGAATTAGAAATCGTGCCCCCCTCTTATGCAGAAAAAGCCGCTAACAATCCAGGGCACCGGATTGAATATTCGCCGCTACCTATACGGAGCGGATGCAGCCGACGGCTTTGACACCTTGCTGCACAAAGGTGTAATTGGTGAAGCATACAACATCCAATCTTGCCACGGCATCACCAACCAACCTTGAGGTTGCCGTTCGGACAATTGAGCTGTTTGGCCACAGTCCACGGACTTCACCCGTTCTCTGACTTGGATTCCCGACCGCCCCTTCAACGGCACCGACTACTGGTTGGATGGCCCCAAGCTAGCTGCATTGGGATGGCGCCAGCGTGTTTCTTTCTCGGAGGGACTTGAGGCCTCGCTCAACTGGTACCGCGAGAATTTAGATTCTTGGTGGCCCGAAGTCTCGGAGACTATCAATGGTGCGTCGACTGCGACCAATGAGAGCCATCTCCGTGGCCCACCAGCCTAAGTCTAGCCAAGTCGAGGATATCTATGATGCTGATGCGATAGAGGGAGGATTCATCTGGCTCGAGCACACCTGTGATGGTGCAGGTGTTTGCATATTAATTATGCAGATCCCATAGGCTTTGACAATGGTGGGATGACAGCTTGGAATACGGGATATATGGTTTGAATTTCAATGTTTGCAATTTGAGTTTATGCTTTTATGATCGGCCTAGATATACTTTAAATGCTATTTTGTTCTATTTTGTTCTCTATCTTGAGAAACAATCTCCAACTATATCTGTCGTTAGGTCGATCCCATTTTGTAGTATACCTAGGTTTTAACGAATGGTATAATCAGTGTGCTACGTATTTTATAATTTGATTTTTTTTGAAATGGAAATAGAGAGAATAGGTACTTCGCTTATTCGATTTTTATATGAGATATTGGCTTATAAAACACGGAAATTTAAGAAAAGAAAGTGACCTGAACAATCTATCCGGGACCATCTCTTGCTTATTCAAGTTACTATATTGCTCCTAGTCCGTAAATAGTCACCTTCTTACCACTATTCAAGCTTTTTATTTTTATTTTCTTTTACATGCGATTTTGTCGAATGAGAGTGGTCAAATTTGCAAAATGAATGGCGTGACTGAGATAGAGAGATATCCATTGCAGCAGACCTCCGGGTTCCTATTCTAGACGTACCATCGCCAGGCACTGGCATTCATATTCATTCTCACCAGTTTTAGAAAATTCTTAGTGAAAACGAAATCTCTGCATTGGTCGCACACACTCCGTAGATGGGCCGCTAAAGATATCCTGACTCTGTTTCAGTGGACCTGACTCCGGAACCCTTAGCGCCAGACATCTAGACCAATAATAATGCAATCGGAAATCAATTCGCCCTAGTTGTTTTTCGTCTACATTAACAAAGGTGGCAAATCTCGAAGGGAGTGATTTGGTAGAAGCTAGGATTTTCCCAAAGATAGGAAACATCTAGCAAAGAAGGCGTTGAGCCCTTTGTTCAAAGTATGTGGAACTATATTCTAATTCATATGATCTTCGCAACTTCATACCCCTGGGCTTTTTACTTTGCACATTCTTCCCGGAGTCAATCGCCACCTTAAGCCACCCTAAGTCTCCGTGCGTATGCACGGCTCCGGCTAAACCTCCACTGATGTGAACTAGCTCTGTGGATCCCGTCCTATATCAACCAATGAGTGAAACAAATGAGAGGACTATCGTGAACCCCTGTCATCGGCTCGTTATTTGGCCGCCTCTGGGCCTTAATTGTTTTATGTGTCCGATGACCGAGTTAGCCCGATACGAAAAAAAATGTGTCCGATCACGCTAACCCAACATCCTGATCAATCAATACAACTTGACCACAGTCACAGTCTACAACCTTGTCATGGCGGGAGGGTTCAAGTATAACTATCCCCTTCCTCCTGGGGTAGGAACCATTTGTTTATCCAGCTCCATCAGTTCAATCCCTGATATCAATCAAGAGATCAAACCAAGGAAGTTTTATTGAAGTTTTGATCATCAACAATGGAGTCCTACTTCCAGAACCGACGTATCCGCCGAGCAACAGAGGAAGACTTGGCCAATATTCAATCCAAATCTGTCCGAACCAGTATCTCAGGGTCAGACCCGGAGGCAGGACTAGCAGAGAAGCCAGCCGTTTTCGCAGATACTACCCTTATACCTGGTGTGACTGTTTCTCGGCCAGATGGAGACAATGGCGAGGTAGTCTTCCTGGTTGGGTGGAGGGAAAACGACCCAAACAACCCACTGAATTGGTCGCTGCTTCGAAAGTGGGTGGTCATGTTAGCCTGCTGTCTGATTGCTATGTCAATGACAATCCCCTCTTCGGTGGAGGGTGCCACTCAAGACGCCTTCGATGCCCGCTTTGGTGTAAACGCCATGGCTGGATCGATGACTACCGGTAAGCCTATGTTTTCCCTCTTGTTTGAATGTGTCCCATATTAATCATTCTTGATAGGTATCTTCCTTATTGGAATCGCAGTAGGCTCTCTGTTCTCAGGTCCGTTCTCTGAGACATTTGGCCGCAACATCGTCTACTTCAGTGCCATGATCATCACAATGATCTTCATCATGGCTAAGGCGCTGGTACCAAACTATGGCGCCGCTCTCGCCTTCCGATTCATTTGTGCTCTCTTCGCAGCCACCCCGATGACCGTATCCGGTGGTACCGTCGGTGATATCTGGGAGCCAATGCAAATTCCCTTTGGTCTGCCCTTGCTCACTATCGCCGCCTACGCTGGTCCTATCCTGGGTCCCGTGATCGGTGCCTATACGCCCGAAATTGGCTACGAGTGGGGCGACTGGCTCTCGATGATCATTGTCGGTGTCGCCTTGGTAGTGGTTCTGATTGCACAGCCCGAGACATTCAGCCCTGTTCTGTTAGAATGGCGCGCGAAACACCTGCGCGAGCTAACTGGCGACAATCGATACCGCGCCGCCCATGCCGCAGATGCCAACTCTCTGGGTCCACGACTGCTCACCAATGTTTCCCGGCCATTTATAATGATCTGGACCGAGCCTATCATTCTGATCTTCAGTTTCTACCTTGTCCTGCTCTACTTTGTGATGTTCACCTTCCTTAACGGCTATCCCTTCATCTTCGCCAATGTGTACGGCATCAGCACGGGCATGACCTTTGTCATCTTCTCCGCAATGATTCCCGGTGTCATGGTCGCATTGGCTATGATTCCTGTTCTATATGGCCTAACAAAGAAGGTCGCGAGACAAGCCGAGGCAGAGGGCAAGGCTTTGCAACCAGAGGTATCGCTCTACTGGGCGATGGCGGGCGCATCTATCTTGATGCCAATTTCCCTCTTTTGGATGGCTTGGACCTGCTACGTAAGTTCTCTTAATACCCCATTCCCCCACCACTTTCCACTAACATCATCTCCCAGGCCAACATTAGCATCTGGTCGCCGATTGTGGCCTCCGGTTTCTTCGGCTACGCGCTTGTTTGCATTTTCACTACAACCTACATGTACATAATCTTTGTCTACCTGCAGTATGCAGCGTCGGCTCTGGGATTCATGTCCTTCGCCCGTTACCTCGTCGCTGGTGCCCTCAGCCCTGTGTCGGTGAAGATGTACGAGAACATCGGCCCCCATTGGTCTGTTACCATTGTTGCCATTCTTGCAACCATCATGGCACCCGTTCCTTTTGTGTTATACAAGTATGGCCACAAGGTTCGGGCCATGAGCAAGAACGCTGTCAACAAGGCATAGATACCCGGGTTATTAGTTTCGAGTATCATATTTACTCAGTAGACTCTAAAAAAGATGGAGTGTGGTTGAAGTGGCTGGTTTCGAGTTGTTTGAGATTATATAGATTTTATACTTTGCATTTACTCTTGAATTTGAATATAATAATCATTTAATGGACATGAGATCATATACGTCTTGATGTGTTTATCCAAAATGAATGGTTTCCTCTACCTCTTTTCGGCTTGCTTCATGTTCCTTCGTAATGGCATATCTCTTGACTATAACGACCTTGGATTGGAGATATCCAAGATTTCCCTTATTTAGGGTTGCCGGATCCCGAAGTTGATGGAAAACCTTGGGGAGGTTACATCCACGACCCACTTCGCCACTGCCGCACGGGAGGCTGAATTCTGCTTAGGTGTGCACGGGCCGGAGTAGATATATCTGGTATAGGGGTCCTTTACTGTGGAATAATTTGATAATTAACGATGGGTAATTGGTCAAGTGAAATCTCGATCCATAGGCTTTCAGTCGCCACAGCTCATCTACACGGTACACCGCAACTTGACATACTGGTTTAGTAGAACATTGAATGCCGGACCAAGAGTCGGGGGTTCGGCAAACATATATAGAACTATCGTCTGCGGAATAAAATCAAAATCAAGTCTACTCCAGGGTTATCAAATATGTACATAGATAGAACAGATCAACAGAAGATCAATGGATTCTGCGGGAGCGAACCCAACGGACCGAGAAGAAGACCCGTTATAAAAGTCTCACGGAATTTCCCTAGATTTTGTACAGGGAAGCCAATCCTTCGGCGCCTGGTGTGGCGAAAGATATTGGGCGGAGACGAGAGTTAGCAGTAGTGTCAGATATCACGATCCAATCAAGGGAGATTAGACAATCTGTACTAATTTTCTAGTCATATATATAGATTGAATGGGCTCTCATCCTAGGGCTAGGAAAAAGTGATAGAACCACCAGAATTTGCCATGCATACTACAGATATCTCAAGTAATGCATCCACACCACAATCCCTACAGAAACCCCTAAAGAAAGGCAACTGGTCGCCAACAGAGGATGAGCGGCTCCGAGAGGGGGTGGCCAAGCACGGCACTCGCTGGGTACTCGTTGCAGGAGAAGTTGGTACTCGGACCGGAGACCAATGTGCAAAGCGATGGAAGGAGAATCTCAACCCGGAGCTAGATCATAGTCCATGGACGCTAAAAGAGGTAAAAACTCTAGTACTCTCAATCCAGGCCAAAAAAAAGTATTAGGGAGGCTGATCCTCACATAGGAAAATCATCTGCTGGCACTGGTAGAACAGTACGGTCGCAATTGGAAATTCCTCCCCGATTTTTTCCTCGAAGCACGCGCGCCCTTGGCGCTCAAAAATCGGTACGCTTTGTTGATGAGGCGGCTCAAACGACAGGGGTCGGGATCCGAAGCCACAAACAGCAACCCTGAAATCCCCGTCCCTGTACAAACGCTGGTTTTACCAATAAATAGCACTTGTGCCTCACCCACGATCCACGACATAGTGGACTCTGCAAGCGCGTTGATGGATGATGGAAATATTAGCGATTTTGTCATTAGCACATCGCCGATCATCTCCTCTCATTCGTCAACGATTTCTTTCAAAAACGGAATTAGCTCCTCGGTGGAAACAATCACGGCAGATTTCCCAGCAGATAATCTGGGACCCGCACAAGCAACGTGAAAAAGCACTGCTATTTCTTGGGACGGCGATAATGTCGACTGGCAGCAGTTAATTCTGGATAGCATGATGGACATAGATGGAGGGGTATGCGATCAGACCATTACCAATCCATTGGAGGGAAATGATGCATCCAAAATTGCTGTTGTCGCAATTGATGGCCCACGTCCCTCGTATTACAGTGACTCGAGCGAAAGCAGCACTGCATTAAGGAGTCAAGAAGACTCCAGATCCTCCGATAGCGACAGCAGTATGACTTCTGGATCCAAGGTCAAGTTCTCCATCACATGCCAGCGAGGCAGACTCAAGTCGGTTGTGAAGCGCATGGCTGAAGCAGCCATGACGGAAAGTGCAGACTTAGCGACGGAGAAAGTTCAAGTTACGTTGACCTTGCAGTTGAAAGGTTGAGACTAGTTAAGTTTTTTTTTTGTTGTTGAAATTTTGAACGGTCTTGTGATGAATGTCATGTCATATTAATAGATTGAATCTTGCGTGTGCGTTATATGTTTGAATATCGATGAAAGAGACTGATACTACTTGGGACCCGCTTGCTCCCCAAACGGGATTTCAGCTCAGTTCCATTGCAGCTAGTGCCTGGTCCCTCCTCATCTCAGAAAAATTCAGCTATTGGAAGCAGTTACGGGAGAAAGATAAGCATCCAATCCCGATGTCCTGCCGAAGTTGTCCAAATGGAAATTCGACAAGGGCAAAGCACCAGTGAGAACTAGTGCGCAGGCTCCAGAAGCAAGCCCCGTACCAGAGAAAGAAGTATTCCGCTCGGGATCCCTGGATCTTGAACTAGTTTTTTTGGATGAAGAGGATGAAATCTCGGGCCAAGAATATCGTTCAATACCAGGAGACGACGACCACCCTTGACCAGAATGAGCCAGACAGACCGGTTGCGAATTACATCCAGGAAATCACTGCTGATGGACGGCCAACCCGTTATAATTGATAGAAGAATGATGGGGACCTCACAGTAACTCTTCAAGGAGGATTCAAATCTAAATGCTGGTGAATTCCAGGTCTTACTACAGGTCCAGCCCTCAAACATAACTATGAGCTTTTCAATGTCTTCTTCCTCCTGTAAATAATTATTTCCTCTAACACGTAGTCTGGACATACATGGATACTATAACTTCTAGTTTGCATTTAGATCGAGTATTAGTTTCGAATTTCAAATCCCACTTTTGGTACAGAACCTTAGAATGATACAAAATGGCAGAATACTAGTAAAGTCATCCTGCTATGATCATACTTGTGATCCACACGATCAATACCCGGAAAAAGACCGGATACGAGCTTGGCTGAGACATAATGTTAAATAAATTAGACCTACACCAATATGTTTACTGCGAATATTCCACAAATGGTCTCGCATCCCAACGAACCCTCCTCAAATGTCTCTTCGGGTCCCGCACCTCGTTCCTAGCATGGAGCCACTGACGGTTCCCAACCAAGACAATGGACCCACTCGGCAACACTTGCAGCGAAAGTGAGATCGTCTGCGATCTGGCCTCAGAGCTCCGCAACACATCTTTCAACTCCTCGAGCGCTTCGCCACCGCTAGTCGTCAACGGGGTAATGATATCTTCACGGAAACGCAACTCATCACCGCCATTATTCAAAATGCTGCCAACAATATATCGCTGGCCGTGTCTCTTGACAAATTCAGGTGGAACCGTAATACGGTATTCAGCTCTAGACAAATATTTTCGCGCCGTGGGGGAGAGTAGCGGCAGGAGACGGGATAGCTGCATTACGGAGAGTGTACCGCCCCCGCAGGTGTCGGCATGAAGGACTTGGAGCGCGAAGAAGTTGGGTGGACATTCTTCGTAGCTGCAGTCTGTGTGCCAGGGGAAGGATTCGGATGTTTCAGACCGTGCTGGGGGAGGGTCAGGTGGAAAAGATGAAGGAGTCGAGTTCAAGGATGATTTTGCTATTGTTGCAGTAGGCTGTGGTCGTACATCCCAGAGCCAGCCCCGTGTTGAGCTATGGGTAATGGGTAAGCCATGGTTGTGGCTCTTGTTCAGGGATGAGATCAGTTGAGTGAGATACGTGCTTGATTCGTCGTGGAATTTCAAGTTTATCTTGAGTAGCCCGTGGCTCTAGAGTATCTCATGGACCTGACGGATATCTTTGGCGTTGTGAGAGCTTTCCAGTTCATTTGCGTCAAGTTGTTGAATTTGGGTTGAGAAGCCTATTGATAGGTGTCAGAATAGTCAGATTGGCTATGAAAAGTAGGGTGAGACCTTTAGTTTGCATGCGGGATGCTACCGGACGATACCATAACGATGTCTTGGGAAAACAAAGAAAGGATCCATATGTGAGTCGTGGCATTTGTCCTGTTGAAGCTGCTAAAACGTACAAAATAAGATATCAACTAGGGTTTCTTGTCGGACTTAGAAAGACATTGATTGAATGACAGTTTCACTGGATCTAATAGCGCCTAGTATTTAAAAGTTTCTGTCTTGCAATATTCTATGGAAAGGTGTTATGATCTACCAAATCATCCCTCCCTTCGCTATAAAAACACGTATACATAAAAATAAAGAGTCATCGTGCTATCAATCAGTGTGGGTCACTAAGTTTGCGCTAACGAGAACAAAGAGAAGAATAGAAAAAGTGCATTTCAGATTTCATACGGTCTACGACATGGTATTGATATGGAGATCGTGTCGGGTCCTCAGTGGTACAAATAACTCAACATTCAATCCACACTCTCACGATACTCTTCCCACGACAATTTTCCCCTTTACATGATCAAATCTCATTTCCACCATGGCTGCATACTACTTCCTTCGAGATATTCTTTCAGTAGCTTCAAAGCATCCATTCTATAAATGGGATATCGAATATCCACCCAATGCGGAAGAAATAGCTCAGCTTCTCGAACAAACCACGACAACTCCAGATCTTCGCACTTTCCCTCTTACACACAAACAAGACCTGTACGGCAAACATCCCATTTCTATGACTCATAATCCAAGATAGCTATGATAATTAACCTCATTCTGTTCTGGGCCATAGCTATACGATAATCCAACGCCTCTCCGCCGATGACTCACCCCAAAATGACTTCCGACGAAGCGCGTACAGCAGTATCACAGGTGGAGGATCGGGTGGTGTGCCAATGCTCTTCCTGACTGACTCAACCGAGAATCGCAAACACCGATATACAGCTGGACAATTTCTAAAGACATGCGGGCTAGTGAAGCCCCGTGACTGGATCTTGACCGTGCACGTCTCAGGCGGCTTTTATCGGTCACTCGATCTTTTGTCGGAGATGTTCGAAAACGCAGGTGGAAGTGTTCTCACAGCGGGACACACGATGGCTGTTGCGGATGTCGTGGATGCGCTGATCAAATACCGAGTCAACGTCCTCAGTGGTGGAAGTAGCCCAATATTGCAGATTCTGAACTATATTGCTTCATCTACACCAGAGAAGCAAAAGGCACTGAAGATAGACAAGATTATCTATACCTCAGAAACCTTGGGTCGCCCACAGCGAGATTTCATTCGCTCTGTCCTCGGTCCGGTCAGCATCTGTTCAGTGCTCGGCAGTTGCGAGGCTGGACCTTGGGCAGTTGCAAATCTAGCCCTTACGGGTGAACCGGAGGACGAGGCTGTTGAATTCATCTATGATTCCCGTACTATGATCATCGAGATCCTTCCTCTGGAGGCTACAGAGATTCCAAGAGAGAATATGCAAGATTTGCCAGAGCTCCCAGAAGGGAGTGTGGGTATGATCGTGCAGACTTCCTTGCAGCGACTCAGAAATCCGCTCGTACGCTACATCACCGGTGATGTGGGATCACTGCATCCATTGCCTGCTGCAGCCCAGGCCGTTCTTCCCCCGGATGAAGTCCAGCACTTGCGAATGATTCGGGCGCGGGGACGCGATAAGCGGTTCAGTTTCAAGTGGGTGGGGAGGTATTTTGAATTTCATACCATAAGAGAGATTATGCGTACACCTGAATGGGGAGTATTGCAGTGGCAGCTCATATTGGACGTGGAAGAGCCGTCGCCGGCGGTGATATTGGAGGTTCGTGTGTTGCTTTCTACTGCGGAGACGGCTGGTCAGATCTCTCAAGATGAGCTGATCGAAAAGCTGAAGATCTTCTTTGCCGCTACGGGAAATAGTGAACACTTGTTCAAAGTTACATTCGTAGGGGATGATCAAGGGTTTGTGCTGAGCACCACGGGCAATAAAGTAATGAGCTTTGTGGACAGGAGCCTTCCAACCTAAGGTGCTAGCTACTATTTTGAGTTAAATATGTACAAGATCTGTTTAGGAGTGCAGTGTATATGTACATATAGTGGAGAATACATATGCGGCCCTACGATGTATCATGACAAAACTACACTTTCAATTCCCAATACATCAATCAGTCTCCATAAGTGGAGATTTTTACTTATGGTAGTTAAGATGATTATTCTAGTCTTTACATGATTGTCAAAATTCCCTCCCTCTGCCACCCACTAAAGCGAGCAAGCTAACTATGCATTTGAATTATGCATGGTTTCTAATTTCCCACCGCAAATCTCTACATTGGACTCATACAACAGAAACCATCCACGCACCCTCGTGGCTGATAGCACATACTCTACCCGGTCCACTTCGCCAACATCCAACCCCTATATATTTTCCATGAATAGACATGTACGTCCCCACTAGACGGTTGCGTTGTACGCCTTCCTCTTCCTTCAACAAGACCTCATATAGCGGTTGCTGCACCTGACGTTGTACCACATAGGTCGTTCCATTCGGTACCAGCACTGCACTTTCAAGTGCTTTGAGCTTTTCATTCCATTCACCAGTTGATACCTCATCTCCAAAGATGATCCCTTCACCCTTACCGCCTCGTACAGGCTTGAGGATATAATTGTCTTTAAATGACGGTGACTCCTGACACTGACGTACAAAAGCCTTGAGTTCCGGTGACCCAGGAAGAATTGTATGTACAATACCACGGCGCAGAACCTCGACTTGACGCTCAGTAAGGACTTGATGCCTGTGAACCAACGAATCCAGTTCTTGGTGAACGATTCCGAGTAATCTCTTGTCATGCACTAGGAAAACGGATCTGAGATCGTTGAAGCAGCGTGAGGACAGATGTTGAAGCATTTCGGGCGAGAGCGCTTGAAGCTCCTGCTGATGAAGTTCGAGTCCTACTTGGTAGATTTCTTCCAGGACTTCTCCTGTTGCGTGATCAGTCAAGGTTGATGATTTGGGATGCATCGTGTTTGCTGATAATGCTTGGTCGATATCAATCACGCAGCAGAGCTTGTATCCTGTTTTGGAGTCTGGAGTCGACACCAGCCGAAGATCCTGAGGTGAAATGAGTTTAGGTACAACTCCTATTCGCCGCTCCGCACATTCGAGGAACATGAGGATATCGTGGCCTCCCTCTCTACCTTTGAGAAGATGTAAAGGAAGGTCGGGGTCAAACAATGTGAACAAACCATCTATAATCTATATCTGCTGTTAGGACATACTTAATCAAGTCGAGACACTCTAGTAGAAAGGTGATTGCTCACTTCGTCGCGCTCTGCTGCCCCCTTGAATCCTTTCCGTTCAGCTCCCAGATATAGTAGACCTTGCTGGCCGTACGCGGTAATCAAGAATCCATTGAAAGCAAATCGTGCATTGATTTCGCAAATACGAAACTGCTCTTTCGATGATTCAGGTCCATCAGTCGTGGGTACTTCTTCAATCAGAAAATCCGGTCTCCAAGAGCCTTGATGTTGATCAAATGGACGAGAGGCCGTATCACCACCGTCAATCCACTGTATATGGTGAGCTTTACACTCTATACTTCTCTCACTGTCCCTGGGACCTTTGCCCTCGTTAATTACTTACCCGTAAAAGGAGTTCCTCATGCGCCTCCAAAGGCATTCTCTTCGAAAACCCTGCCTCTTCATCTTTCCACCATCTTTCAATAATATTATCAATGGCAAGCACCAGTGCTTCATGAAGTTCCCTCAACTCGTCCGTATGTTGCACATTCATTCGCATCGGATGCGGACAGCTCTGGAGATGAGCATCATGTGGCCAGCCTAGTCGAGGACAAGGCGCTTCGAGACTCTTGATGTTCACTTCTCGCTCTTGTTGTCGGGTGGCTTTATCCGCTTGTGCTGGAAATACAATATTGTCGTTTTCTGGATTGTTTGAACTCAGTGCAAGAGATATTTGACAAATTCTGTTCTTGACGGTCATTTTGCATTGTGACACGTTTTACTATGCAACAAAGCCAGAGTAAATAGTGCTAGAAGCCTCATAATTCCGGGAAAAAAAGCCAAGGAAGTTCAGTCATATATATACTAGTAGCATCCTATTACATACCACCACGTATATAATATGTGGTAAATGAGAGTGGCGGCTGATATCCACTTCTTAGGTCTGTTCTGTACGGAGTACGGAGAGCCACATGCCCTCTCCGAAAAGTTTGCATGAGCTAGTAGTAGCGCCATCTTGCAGATCTTCCAAGGTTATAGATTGGCTCTGCCATAGCATTATGTCACACAATCAGAGCTCTACCTAGCCGTTGACTAGAAATGAGGCCTTCATGCTTGTACTCTGTGCAAACGATGTTGACAAAGGAGATGGAAAAAGCAGGATAGAACTCTATTTCCCGTTGGTGTAATCAATATGGTATTGTTTCATACTATTACCATTATTTACCATTGTGGAATAGCACCATTGTTAGACACAGGTACTGGTAATACCATAAAGCTAGGCCAGAAAAGGCAAGTAACAGAAGTATCATTTCAAACATTGGTCTCCGTATATACATGTGCAATATAAATCACATCTAATTTTTGAGTATCTATTCTTCATCCTCGTCATTCTTTCCATCACGGTATAGGAAGAATTGCGTGAAAATCGCCATATCCAGCAGCAGCGTGCCAGCACTACCGACCAGCCACGACAAATTCACCAATACATACCGGCCATACAACGCAGCCGCCTCACCAGGACGACAATGCGCACGGTGACGGTGTCCCATGATCTCCTCGGCAGACCCACCATGGCAAACAGGCGAGTATGCCAGAATCGAGAGCACATAAGTCAAGTTCCCGATGCAAGCAAAGAGGAAGAACAGCAGGGAAACACCATCCGTTGATTTGCGGCGGTAGTTCAAGAGAAGCTGGGGCAGGCGTGAGCCAAGATACAAAGCTGCACAGAAATAACCAAATACTTGACCCAGAACATCCATAGCAAGAGGTTCCGGGTCTGGCGATGGTGACTTTGCTGCCGGGCTGACGAACCAGCCTAGCACACCTGCAGCACAGACTAGAGCGACGGCGGTGAGGTTGAAAAGGACAGATTGAAGGGCAGAGATCCGGCGACGGCGAGCGCGTTGAGCACGGCGCCGCGCAGAATCGGTCGTGGGTTCGATAAAGGGCGTTGCGGGTGAGAGATGAGTGCCATCTACCGATGAGTGGAAGATATCATGGTAAGAGGTTGTCGATTGCCGTCTCCCGGCAGAGAGTGGACGTGTGCGGTCTTGGGGTAGCTGTCCAGTTACGTTCATAACTGGGTCTTGGGTTCGGCTCTTGCCTTTGGACTTCGGGATGAGGGATGATGTCTCTGTTGGCTCCGGTTCATGTTCGGCGCTATCCCGCTCCACATCGGAAGGACCGTTGGCTGCAAAAAGGTCCGGTGTAGACGAAGGGGATAGCTCCTCTTTGAGGTTGAATCCCCGGTAGTAAAAGCACTGTCCCAGCAGAACAATATCCGCTAAAGTGTAGTACACTGCAAGGATGATCATTGTAGGGAGCACGCCTTGGAGTACGGCACCTAGGATGTTGAACACATCACCAGCCAACCAGATGATGAGGAAGATGAGAGAGAGGCCATCTGCAGAGCCACGTCGGAAGTTCTCGATGATTTGAGGGGAGAAAACGACAACCCAGCAGGCAATAGAAATGGATCTAGATTGGTCAGTATTGGACTAAGAAAAAGAAAACATGCAGAGACTGCCAAGCTAAGTAGATCTAGATCTACACGTGCATGCATTAAATGAACAAGACAGCTAACAGAAAACCACTAAAGGAAAAAAAAAAGAAGTCCAGCTTGCTGAACTTACCCGCAAATGCCGCTCAGGGCCTCAATGTTAAAATTAGCCGCCTGCGAGGGAAACATCTTGCAGGCGAACTGTGCGATTTCAAGTATTCCCAATGGGTTTCAGGAAGCAAAACAATGTAAAATAGGATTTGAATATGAAAAAATGTAGTTGCTGGAAGATCCAGCTCTGTGCAAGTCCAAATAAATGCAATTGGAGGTGCGCGAAGAGAATTGGAGAAATCCACAGATGAATGACGGATGACGTCTGGTCACGTGCACTAGAACTATATATGGCATTTCAGGTCCGGATTTCTTTCATTTTCTTATATTTTCTTATATTTACCGCAATTTATTAAGCTATAACTCAAATAAAATGTAGTTGACTTGGTTAGGGACTAGCAAATTCAAAGGTATGACCCTAGAAGCCGCTCCAACTCATCCTGGGCATCACAGAAGATATTTATAGCCTTGATCTCTGTTAGCGACGCTTTAAAGCCGAGCAATATATCCACTTACGTCTGTCAACTTGATCTGACTAGCACCACCCTGATCCCGCGCAAATGTGATCTTGTATCTTCCAGGATCGTTCATGAAAGAGACATCCCGCGCGGGGATTGGAAGTGTCGGCGCAACATCAAATAGCGACTTGACATTTTCTGCATAAGGCTGGGTCAATTGTGTCAACAAACCTGGTGAAATAGTGATGTGATCCGCTCCAGCGAGGGCAAACATATCCTCGACAGAAGCCAAGCTAGCGGGGAGGACTTTTATGCGCGAATTGATGGAATTATAGTATTTCTGAATGGCTACGCAAAGCGGGAGCAATTTCGCATTGTCCACGTAACTAAAGTAGGAGAGGTGTTAGTCGGGACTTGAAAGAAGAGGAAGGTTTGATACTAACCCCGCTTCGAAATGCACCTTCAGTTCATTCGCATATGGCGCGATATAAGTACAGCCGACCTCAGCAGCAAGTACAGCTTGAGTCATGCTAAACAGAGTGGTTGCTAAAGTATGCACACCAGCCAACTCAAGGGTGCGGCAGGCCATCATTCCTTCCCATGTACTCGGAATCTTGATACAAATTCGATTGGCATTGAAGCCGGGCTGGAGATTCTGGAACAATTGCACGATTCCTATAAGCGATAGGATTATCACCGGGTCTCATTAAACAGGGACAATATCAATACAAAGGGTCAAACGTACGGAGTGCATTGACCACAATCTTCTCAGTCGAGTACGAAGAGTAAGGATTAACCTGTACATGGACACGTCCACCGATATGTTTTGCCATTTCTAGGGTCAACGTAACCATCTATTAATCGATATCAGTCGACCTTCTTCACCAAACCTATGCTATAATTGAAGCAGCAACTCACCGCAATCTCAACAGCCAATTCATTCTCATCTATGGAGTGCCTCAGATGCAATATCGACGCCTCTGCGCGCGACGCCGTAAGGACATCAAACCGCTCTGGCTTAGAAAGCTCGGCGAGTGCAATAGCCTATACGGTTAATTTCATAGCCTAATTACGTTGCATCTTCAAGGCCTTACTTGATTGGAAGTACAGTCTTGAAAAGGGCCGAAGGTTTTGGCAACTAGAACATAGTCAGTTATCTGACAATGGTAATAATCGACTATGTAGAAGGACCAGTCACCTTCGTCGTCCATCGTATCACAGTCGACCAACGTGCGCGAACGCATATAGTCGAGACCTGTGTGTACTGCCATTTTAGTGTGGAGTGGTAAATCTGAGATGGTTGCTCTTGCGAATGAGCAAAGCTGACAGAAAAAGAGAAATAAAAAAAGGAATTGAATCACGCTTTCCGCAACCCCGTACGTGTTTAATGGGGGGTTTTCCGGGACACCATACTCTGCAGGTGGTACGGATTTGTTGGCCCGAGTGATTTGATAGTGGGCCATATTTATGGTACTCTCCAGGACTGTATCTAGCACTGCATGTGTATTGCAGCGCAACACGGGGGAAATGTACTATAAAGTATGACGGAAGTATGAGGGCTAGGTCAAAGCATCAACGGGTTCGGATTACAGTATGTCATAACAATTAGAACTATTCAGCAAGAAGTAAATTGTACTTAAGTGTCCCAATCAGGCAATATTCATATTGTATAGGATAAGAAGGATAGGATATATGCCGAGAGAAACGCCTCGCGATGCAAAGTGGAAACCCACCCCAAACAACCGATACCTATTAAACTAGATATTCAAAAATCAAATGCTCTCTTTTGTTTTGTTGGCTTCTATTTGGCCTGAGTAGCCAACCACGCCTCATGTGCCTTCTTCTGACGCTCCCACTCTTTACGGAGCTTCTTCGCCCTGCTCTTTGTGATTTCCTCGCCAGCAGTGTCACGGGTAGGCATGCCTTCTTCATCCCAGGCGCTGTACTCGTTGGTGCGGAACATCTCTAGATGGCTCAGCTTGCCCTTCTCGGCCTTCTTGAGAGCTTCCTGCTCCTTCTTCAGCTTCTCAGCCTGCTTTTGGAGAGCCTTGGCTTCCTTCTCTTCCCGTGCCTTGAGCATCTCTTGGGTCACAGGTCGGACTAGGGCAGGCTGGTTTTCACGATCTTCGAGGGCGATACCGACATCAAAGAGGTCGATATCTCGAACGCGGTCGCACAGAGACAGGATATCCTTGCCAATAGAATCAGAGGATCCCAAAGACTCCACCTTGGCACGGAAGTTGGAGAAAAGCTCCGCATATGGCTTGGCAGATTCGGAGGTTTCTTTGGGTGCCGATGCTTGGGCAACTGCCGCCTCGACATCCTTGGCAGAGATTCCATGCTTGGACCGCGCGGCTTCACGGAGCGTGTCACGCAGGGCCGACAGAGGATACAGGTAGGGCTTGGCCTCATCGGGGATATCAATACCAGACCAGCCGATTTCAGTGCTGTCAGCCGAGGCGGTGCCGTTAAGACCGAAAATGTTCACCATGGAGGTGACCCATTGGGCTGCAGCATGGACATCCTCAGAAGGCACAGTGGCCTTGTCAGCAATGTTGAACTTAGAGATAAGTTCTGAAATCGACGCCATGACAGCGGGGGTGTTGAAAGAATCACAGAGCTGGTCGTTGACTGCCTTCGTAGTCGCCTCCAGGTCAGCAGCAAAGGTGGTGTCGGTGCCTGACGACTGGAGAGCAGCAGGATCCTTCACCTTAAGGAAAAAGTTGTTCACCTTCTCCTCCCATGAGCTACCAGTGTTCACAAGATCTTCTGTGATCTCAACACCGTCCTTCCAGCCACCCAGAAGGAAAACAATGCGCAGACTTCTCGGCGACCAGTCCTTGCGATCAAGCGCTTCTCTGATGGTAGTGAAGTTCTTCAACGACTTAGACATCTTGGATCCTTGGATGGACAGATGGCCCATGTGCAGGAAGTAGTTAACCCATTGCTCATGGTCGTGGTCACCGTGCCAGTATGCCTCACTCTGGGCCAGCTCATTGTCGTGGTGCGGGAAGGCAAGATCAATACCACCAGAGTGAATATCCATCTGGTTGCCCAGCCGAGCTGATGCCATAGCTGAGCATTCAATGTGCCAACCAGGGCGACCCTTGCCCCAGGTGCTGGACCAGCTCGGCTCGCCTGGCTTGGACGACTTCCAGAGAGCGAAATCAGAAGGACCGCGCTTTTCTGTGGTTTTACTAGCCAAAGAGCCTTCGCCCTCTGCGGCCAATTTGTTGTCTGAGCGACTCCAAGGCTCAAGTCGAGCGTAGGGGTGGCCCGCAGCTTCGAAGGCATTGATATCAAAGTACACGGATCCATCCTTTGTAGCATATCCGAAATTATTCTTAACAATGCGATCCACAAAGGCCGCAATCTCATCACCATATTCCGTCACGCGAGTCAACTCGGTGGGGTCAAGAACGTTCAGGTCCCGCATATCCTTAGTGAAGCGTTCCTCGTATCTCTTGGTCAACTTGGTGAAGATACTGTGATCGTTCGCATCAACCAATGCACCCTTCAGGGCATCAAGATAAGGCAAAATGAGATCCTGCGCGTTCGTATAGAACGACTCAGCGAAGAGAGCGTCGGCACTCGAGCCATCGCGGGTTTCCGCCTGCGCGATGACTTTTGCGGCCGACGCAGCCGTCTTGATGTGCATCTTAACCTTGGCCTCATCATCACCTGCCTTCTCGTTTCCTGGCAAAGCGCCACCGTTCAAGATAGTCGCATAGGTTTTTTCAACCTCATTCTGGTACTTCGATGGAGGAAGTTCTGAGTCAAGCAAGGGAAGGTTCTTCTTTAAATAGGCGACGAAAGCGTTTTTGACAGTATCCAGGACCTCCGGGGTAATCGTAGGGTTGACACCGACGAATTCGTTAAACAAATGTTGTTGTCTGGCGCGGAGAATGATCTATAGGATTCGTGAGTCACTGCGCTTGAGGCTGTATCCCTATACACAGCGCCAAGTCATACCTTGTCATCCACGTCTGTAATGTTCATAACAAATTTAACATCAAACTTGAAGTAGTCGCGCATAATTCGCCGAATAATATCAGTGCTAACATAGTTTCGGGCATGTCCAAGATGCGCATCGTCGTAAACAGTCGGTCCGCACGCGTACCACACAACTTTCTTTCCCGCGGGGTCGATCGGGACGAAGGGGGTCTTGGACTTCGTCAACGAGTTCCACACCTTCAATGGAGGCAGTTGCGCGTCCGGGCTAGAGGCCGGTTGCCGCCATGGCGGCTGCTGGCGAGAAGACATGGACCTGAAAGATGTGACCGACAATAAAAACCGCTGTTTGGACGGTGAAAAGAAAGAAAAGGGAAGAAGGGAAGGTCGGGGGGAGAGCATAAAGAGGGAAGCAAAGGCAATGGAGGGGGAGGGGCTCTTGTCAGGACCAGATCGACTCATCCATCAACCGCGGACTCGCTGTGATTGGCGGTAACTGGGGATGGAAGGACCGAGCCCTGAGCCCTAATTCGTGGCCCGATCAGGCAATTAGCATGGTAGCCTTTTTTTTTTTGCGGAGAGGCAACGAGTTCTAGCCTCAAGTTAGGGATTGTCCATACCAATTACCCTCACTTATATCGCTCGCCATGCCGTCCCCATTCTTCACCCGGAACGCCTCGGCGGAGAAAGATAGCCTCGCCCTCTTGCAACTCCGCCGCGACCAGATCATTCCGACGATCCTCCGCGACCATGACGACGAGAACCAAGGATATTGGGAAGGAAAGGTCACCAACACTCGCTTCGGTTCGTTCCCACACAGTACTTTGATCGGGAAACCCTGGGGCTCGCAGGTCGTCGCTTCAAAAGTCGACACAGGCTCGCGCGGTCGCAACAATCCCGCCAAGCGCAAGGCCGAGGAGCTCGATGCGGAGGGAACCGGCGCAGAGGAGGATAAGAAGCCATCATTAAGAACCCCCGTCTCAGCGGAAAGTGGATTCCTACACGTCCTCGCCCCGACCCCCGAAGCCTGGACCATATCTCTCCCCCACCGCACGCAGGTCGTCTACACCCCAGACTACAGCTACATCCTCCACCGACTTCGCGCACGACCAGGCTGCACAGTGATCGAAGCCGGAGCCGGCAGCGGCTCATTCACGCACGCCTCAGCGCGCGCCGTTTTCAACGGGTATCCCGGGACCGAAGAAGCGACCAAAAAGCGACGGCTGGGGAAGGTGTGCAGTTTCGAGTTTCACGAGCTACGCGCAGCCAAAGTGCAGCAGGAACTCAGAGACCACGGTCTCGACGGGATAGTGGAGGCTACGCATCGCGACGTCTACGAGGACGGATTTCTATTAGGCGATCCCAAGACCGGCAAATCGCCGAAAGCCAACGCCATCTTCCTGGATCTACCCGCTCCCTGGCTCGCACTGAAACATCTCGTGCGCAACCCACCCCCGGGACAAGAATCAGCTCTCGACCCTGAATCCCCCGCATATCTGTGCACATTCTCTCCGTGTCTCGAGCAGGCAGAGCGAACAATCCGCACAATGCGCAGGCTATCATGGCTCAATATTTCAATGGTGGAAGTCGCCCAGCGACGACTGGATGTCAAGCGTGAGCGTATCGGGTTAGATACCGAGGGCGTGCGCGGAGCCACACTGTTCCCTAAGACAGTTGAGGAGGCAGTTGCAAAGCTGCGCAGTGATGAAATACGCGCCAAGCTTATCCGCGACAACCGAGCAACCAAAGACCAGCCAGATTATCAGCCGATTGTAAAGGAGACGCCGTTCTATAAAGAGAAGACGGATGTCCCCTTATATTCTCAGGGTCGCTTGATGCACCGGTCAGAGCCGGACCTTAGAACTCATACCTCGTACCTTGTCTTTGCAATCCTGCCTCGGGCTTGGTCGGAAGAAGAGGAGCAAAAGTGCCGTGAGCAATGGCCGTCGGCTAAGGTAGCTAAGCCTGATAATGAGCCGAAGACTAGCAAGAAGCAAATGAAGAGAGAGGCTGCGGCGGAACGGGCTAGGCTTCGTGAGGAACAGAAATTGCAAGAAAAGCCAGAGTCAGAATCGGGTGAAAAGGCCGAGGAAGAAAAGGTCGAGGAGAGCAATAAAGCTGATGAAGAAATGGCTCAAGAAGAGGGCGCCGAGGCATGAGGATGAATAGATACCAGTGATTTGTTTCGTTAGCATAAAATTTCCATAGCTAGATTGGGGGCATTGTTGTCTTTGAAGACATTCTAGACATTCTACATCACACACATATGATTTACTCAAAGACTCATCTTCATTACTCACATTGTGCGCAATCACGGAGCCAAGCTGGTAGTCATCAGCCCAGTATTTAGAAATATTTGAACAGGCAGAACGGCGATGAGTGAGTACTACAGGGGATCAAAAACATCAAGGCAACCGCTCAAATGGGAATTCTCCATGTATAGGACAAAGATGATATCAAAGTCGCCTTCTGGAAATGGAATCATGAGATGCAACAAATAACGACGAGTAGATGGTATCAACAGGGAAATACGAATTCTCAGAGATTATTTTCAGCTCTGAACTTATCCCACGCTTCATTCAGGGTTCCAAACACAGACCCAGCAATCATACGCTGCTCAGTGGTGGCAGTGGTGGAGATCTGATAGACAAAGTTAGTTAACAATCCGACAAAATGCAGCCAACGCCACTTAAGAGAGTAGTAAACATACCTTATCAGGGTGCACCTTCGAAATGCCCTTCATATACTGAATTTTAACCTTATTCGGCAAAATCAGCTCGGACAATCCAATCTTCTTCCACCCAGCCTCGGGCCACAGCACAGAATCCAAGCTACCGAGCAGTGCACGCAAATTGTCTTGCTTGCCATTCCTCCAAGCAGCAATTCTAGCGTCAACGCTATCAGCAAGAGCAAACTTCTCTTCGTCGGCACGCTCAGCCGCCTCGTTAGCTTTCCGCAGACGACTAACTGCTTCAAAGTCTGTCCCTGATGCAGACGTGGCCGTGAGACCGGACGAAGCAGAAGGCTTCTTAGGCGGAGGCGAAGGCCTTTTTCTGGCAGGGGCTGCGGCAGGCTTGGATTGAGGCTTGCTGATACCGGCTGCTTTCTCGCAACGGTTCCGGCCTTGGATGCTCGTGCTGCCACCATGACCAGACTCCACAGCCAGCTTCCACGTCTGCGCGGCCTCGCCCCAGCGCTCGAGCTGCTCTAGGGCTTCGGCTTTGCGTATTAAAGCCTTGCCGAAGAAGTCCTTCATGGGCTTGGGTGGTTCGCCGGTGCCGAGATCGATTACCTCTGATTCGCCCTTGGACGGGCCAATGAATGTGAGGATGATATCGGCGTCGTCGATGGCGGACTTCGGTTCGCCGATCTTCAGGGCTGTCATGGCACGGTTGCTGCGGATGATAATGGTGATAGGGTGCTTGTCAGGGAGCATGCTGAGAGCCGTAGAGAAGCTCTGGTGGGCTTCTGCGTAGTCGCCTCTCTTGTACGACTCTGCAGCCTTTCCGCGGTGTCGGTGTGTCGATTGAAGCGCCTCTTGAGATACAGGTGGAATAGACCGTGTTGGGGCTTTGGGCCGCACGGGGATGGAAGCTGAGCGTGCCGGAGGGGTGGCAGTCTGGGCTGGGGTAGGGGGCTTTGGACGACTAGCTGACGGAGCGGGAGAATCAAAGAGGTCGACGGCAGGCTCAGAAGGCGGCGGTGGCGCCTGGGGTCGCTTGCGTCTCGCAGGACTAACATATGCTTGCGCCGGCTGCTCTTCGGCGGCAAAGCGTGAAAGCCGAAGTTTAGCATCTGGAGGGCTTGGTCGGGATGGACGCTGGAGGAAGTTGGCTTGCTGCCTTGGCGAGACATCACCAGGGGGCTGTTGATTACGAGGAGGCTGGCTTCTCGGGTCGGGGTGGTGGCTTTCACGAGGACGCGGAGGTTTCTGAGGCCGACCAGCTCCAGACTCAAGAAGAAGAGCCTCATTAGTGAAGTCCTGTTGTTCTCTTTGAGCTTGAGTAAACTGGTCACGACCTGGACGCTGCGGCTGCAGAGGAGGTTCGTCTTGTGGGGATGCATCTCTCATCCAACGTGGCTGGCTAGGGTCATGTTCGACACTAAATTCGTTTACAGCTTGTTGGAATCTCTTGCTACCAGTCTTCCAAAGTGAGCCGGCTGATTTCAGCAGGTTATTGCCAAATTGAGATGCCAACTGTGCAGGGTCTTTGTCCGCTGATGCTGGACTCCGTCTATCCTGACGTGATCTCGATTCTGACATTTCTTCTCTCATCCAAGAAGGCCTGTCGCGATTACGACTATCGCTCCTTTCAGCGCGATCAGCAGAACGAGTGGCACTGGGATGCCCTTCAGTCTTCTGTCGAGATTCCGCATGGGCTTGGGTAAGAAGCCAACCAACAGCGGCCTGTACGTCAGTCCCGGAGTCTGTGGTATTCAAAGCCCGGCGAGATTTATCCGCGGGGAATCCCATGTCCACCAGCTCCGCAATAGCCCGATCGACATCGTTAGAAGGCTTAGGAGATGCATCTTGGTCTCGTCCTCGGTCTGAGGGTGTGGCAGATGTGCGAGGCGGTTCCTGGTGGGGGATATCTGATACCGGCTTCCCGAGCAACCCAAGGAAATCATCATCGTCGCCTTGTTGAGGCTGAGAAGCGGGGATAGGCGTGGATTTCTGCTTCAATTGATTGAGGCCGAATGGGTCATCGTCATCAAAGGCATCCAAACCTCCCGTGTTGTCCTCCATGGTAATTCCGCCATTGGAAGGTGAGCGACCGTTCAGGCCGACGCGGGGCGACGATCTTGCGGATTCGGGGATCGGGAAATTGGTCGACGCGTCAACCGGCGCGGCAGCATCGAAGGCGGCCAGGATATCATCATCGTCCGCGGGTGTTGATGTGGACCGAGAAGCAGGTACAGATGCGGGGCTCCGGGTACGTCCTTCAAAGTTGTCCCAGAATTGGTTGTTCTGGCCTCCTTCGAATCGACTACGATTTTCGGCTTCCTTCCTAGCCTTTTCCTCCTGCAAGCGTTTCTGCTGTTCTAAGAGAGTGAGGTTCTTGTTTCCGGCGGAAGAATTGAATGAAACCAGATTCGCAAAGCTATCTCCGGTAGAGGTGGCGGGCTTTGATGGCGAGCTTGAGCGGTTCGAGGTCGCAGATAACGGGGTAGACCTGCCGGAGCCGCCATTTGATGGCATGGTTGGGTACAAGTAACCAGAGCTCATTGGCGGCGGTTTGCTTGGGTTTTTGGAGTCGGAGGACCAACTCAAGCCGTTTAAGTCCTCCATGGTGAGTGAGCTTGTCGTAAAGGAAAGTGACGTCTGATGGGTTCGAATGAGGATTAGGTCCCAGAAGAGGGATGGAGGTTTTCCATGATCTCACCAGCTCACAATATGAAAGAAGCTCAAGTTAATTTCAACCGTTTGCTATGCTATCAAGCAGATGCAGAACACTTGCCCCCTGCATGTGGGGGATCCAGACCGCACTGAGGCTAGCACGTGATTCTACGTTTTCATCTATCGCATTCTGGAATAGCTTCATATCCTTGAAATATCAATTCACTATCTGACTATTCAATTTCTTGAGATTCAGTTTGGAAGGATCTAGAAATCAGTTACTTCTTAACATGGACTATGCTCAGTCCAAAATGTATGCAATGACGTCAATGTGAGAGAAATCACAGTCCAGAGAGCTTTAACTGCTTCTCATACTGTATTCTATTTCTCAACAACAATGGTTCTCGATGATCACTGAGATATCTTTCAAATTCCAAATTGCCTAGGAAGTATTCACAGATATCACCATAGTTTGTTCGTATGTAGCTTTTCAAAGTATAAAATGAATGATGTTCTTCCAATTGCCCAAGCAAAATTGTGAATAGCGATGGGAAGGAGCGCCCTGAGACAGGGGTGTAGGAATCTTGAGAGGGGAAAAGACAAGGATAAGAAGGAATATAGAAGCTGCCTATGTTGTAGGTAAAAGGGAATCAAAGAATGCGGCTGCTTCAGCTAATCCCCACAACCATAGCAAATCCAATGGCTAAGTAGAAAACAAACAACTTAACAATAATACACCTACAACAGATGAGGCATATATATCACGCTTAAATGCCAATAGAATTATGCAGACCATTATACTCCTTACGGGCACTGAGAAAAGCCACATAATCGTACACCGTGGAGACATAAATCTGCGGTTTATCCGCAATCACGAGAACGTGCCTCCACTGGTAGACCTATCTCTGTAAAAAGGCGACTGTATCAAAGAAAGCAAGCTGAATTCAGCACTTAGTGTTTCCACATTGTAAGCTTTTACTTTCTCAATCCTTTGTATAATTACACAGGTCCATCACTAGGTTTCAAAAACATGCCACAGCCACTCAATTAACCATACCCCGTATACAGTATGTAGTACGGAGTACACCGTACAAGCGCCGTACGAACTAGCGGCTAAACGCCAAAGTCTTCTTTCAATAGCCGATAGAGATCATCGGTTCCTGGCCCTAGTGGACAGGGAGTTGGCCTATGAGATCCAACCATATATGTACTCGTACTCCTTACATACACGGTAACAACGCCTACTGAAGCTAGACTACGTACGATTCAATCATAATGGAACAAGGATGCGGAGGTCATCCAGACTATTGTTATTGTATTCCGTGCGGAGTAGACGGGGCAATATGGTCTCTCTTTCTACTTTTGGCTAGTGCATCATGTCCCAATTGGGGATGCAGATCGGAAGGGCAATGCCTCGGTACCAGATATAGGCTAGAACATTATAGGCTAGGACTATCTTGTCTTTCCTAAAGCACCGAAAATGGATACAATAGTATGTATTCAAATGTTTACTCCGTAGGGTTAGACCGGCTATATACATTACAGTCCATATGTATGGAGTATGTTCTCCCAAGGTACGCCGTAGCGCCTTTGGAAGCCCAAAAAGGGGGAATTCCACCCGCTAGAATAATGTTAAATTTAAAGTTTGGTGAAATTTTTATGCTTTAGCGCGCAGGCTAATGAAGTTTGGCAGGTCGAAGATTACCCGATACAGTCCGTCTATACGAGCAAGATGAAGCAGTGGGGCTACTATAGCGGTAGTCTTTAGGCACGTATCGTTTGGATATGGAGTAGCAGTACAGAGCTATGTACCTACTATGTAGAGTAGATGATACTCGCGTATACTGTTACATGCACATAATCTACAACTATATAATTCTCTGACCTTGGTATGTATTAAGATATCAAGTTTGATTGAAAGGTACATGTAAAATGGCAGATGCGGCGGCTCGACCCGGTTAGCTTGTGCATTGAACCGAACATCAAGGTGAGTCTTAGGGTCTGCTTCCTTTCGGTCCCCGTCCCATAGGGGTCGACCGTTTCGGAGTCATTGGCCGCGCTGCTTTTAGTGCTCTGCTTTGATTTTCTGCAAGGATGCCTGAGTTGCTTGTCCATGAACAGCTGGTAGTCGTTTTTGGCATCCTGAGTACAGGCCATATCTGTTCCCTCGTCATTCTTTCCTTTGTCTTCCTTGAGATCCAGGCTCTGTTGGAGCTTGCTTGCGTTTGGATGGCATGTTGATGCTATTGGGCTCGCTGGGAGTGGGGAATTGTAGAAGGGAAAATAGAATTAGATGAAAAGACTGACGAATGGAGTATTTATGAAGTAGGGGTATGATATAAGTGAAAATAAAGCAAGAGGCAAAGTAGGAACCAAACTATGAGTTCTTTTTGTGTAGAGTAGGTACAGAATTTGCGCTTTAGCTGGCGTTGTAATCTCCCAATTGTCTCTCTTGTCTCTCATAAGTGCAACGTACTAGTGATTGTTGAGCCGAAGCGGTTTTGACTTTGATGGTGTACATGTAGAGATAGAATTCCCCAAGCTGAGAACCCACAACCTAGCTCCGCGCAATGAACCTGGTCATCCTAGTCGAACCGGACAAAACTCGACATCCTTATGGGTGCATGTAACCGCGTGGTGACAGTTGATGAGATAGAAACTCCACAGCGCCCCCACACACATGTCCCTTCTCTGTAGGCGGACCCCATAATAAAGTCCCCCGCGTAGTACTTCATTGGTATTGCCTCATACTCGACAAAAAGGGGTGCTTCAACCCGGCTACGAAGGGTCTGTGCCATTACAGACCACAATCCCACCTCGAATTCGAAAGGACTCAATCGTATAGTCTAACCAATCTGCAGTATAGTATCTGCGACCAAAGTTATTATCGAAATTTCACCGTTTTTCGGGATAAAGAAAGCGAATGTTGATCATAATGCAACGAAACTTCATTGCAAAGTGCCGAAGGAATTCGGACTCAAGTGGAGCTACAACGAGCTTTTTAATATTCTCGTCCTATCGATCCAACTTGGCATCGAACTGTAGGTTGGTATGTATGTTTGGAGGTGGAATGTGCCCTCAATTCGACAACCACTGTGAGGGGCGCGGAGGATGGGCGAATCGCCGCGATCACCTTGTTCCCAAAGGAATGACCTCTATATCATCCTGGGTGACATGTGGAACTCTTTGATGGGTTCGACGAAATCGTCGAGCCCTGGTAGTCATGTGAGACTGCAGAGAGGCCCGACCATTCGTTCTGGTCCTATTTTCATGTATGAGATTAGCTGCTGGGTTCCGTAGACAAGAAAAAGAAAGGAAAAGCATACGTTGATCATTATCGTCCCACCATTCTTGGATATCCGCTAGGATCTCGTCTAAAGGGTATCATTCCTGGGATGTTCATATTGGACGGGACCCGTGCCTCGCGAGATTGTGATGATTGGGTAACCATCTCTCATCTGGAACGGCATCATCCTTGTCGTAATCAGGGGCAGGGAGTGGTGTTGTTAAAGAGGGAAGAGGGGTGAGTGGTTTGGATTCTGGCTCGAAAGGTGGCAATTGAGGGACGTCATAGCGATTCCTAAATAGGGAACTCCGTATATATAGAATTTATTTGCCGGCAAGAGCGATCGATAGCATCCATTTAAAGTACCAGATACTTCTCATCTTAGATTATTATCAAAATCAGTCACGTAGTAACCAAATGAGCAAATTAGTAGCTTATTACTACCTCAAAAAGAGCCTTAAGAATACAGCTAGCAAGGATATTAGAGATGGCGACAAAGCCAATCAAGTGGCCACGCCTATACTCTACAACTCGGAGCACTTTGTATCCGATCGATAATCTAGACCCTCCAACAGTCAGATTGCACCTAATATTATAAATTGTATCAATATTCATTATTATACTCATTTCTTGGGCAAAACGCGCATCGTCCCAAAAATGAGTTTCCACTATTGGTATACTATCTCTCCATTAGAGGATATAAGGAATCCGGGGGTGGTATTACATATACACAGGTCTACAATGCCATTGTTAATGCTAGTATACAATGTACAACATACTCCGTACCCTGTACTCTGTACTTAACAATCTAACCGTCTCGTTGTCCAGAAGTGCGGAAAAATGGAAAGTCGGAACTCCGCTTTTTTACAACAGCGGAACCCGTCGGGAAGACGAGCCGCGCGGTAGCGAATTGAAATGCAATCGGTGGAGTGTTTACCCCTGACCATCAGGGCTCAGGCAATTATATGGGCCACTTCGCACAATGGCTATATGGCTATTATTGTATCTTTTTATCCATATTCCATATATCCATAGATTTACAACTTATGATACTTTTTCAACATATAATTCTCAAGGGAAAAAAAAGAGAGAAAGTAAAGAAGAAAGAAAAGGAAAAAACAGAGTTAACTTGAAACGACCCAACAGTGTGGCCAGGCCCGTGCTTCCCGCGTTAGCTGGATCCTTGGGTGCATTGTATAAATGGGGGAGTTTCTTAAACGGTCCGGAGATGAGCCTTTGTAAGAGAGGATCAAGGATCATAGATGTAATGTATGATCCTTCATATGAGGTCCCTGCACAGTGCACTGTTCGACATGTACTATGCACCCTCCATGCACACTCCATACATATAATCTATGTATTTTCATGACAAATAAGGATCCGACCTCGGGAAGTCTGGAATTACTGTACCACATTCAGACACATTATTTCCCCAAAGGAGGGGGCAGAATGTAATGTGAAACCATGGAGAGACTGGGCTTGAGAGGGGGTGTAGCTTAGGTAGCATTGTAAGGGCTCATAATATAGTATACAACGTACAGAGTACATATGAGAAGCGAGACCTTCCTCTTCCAGCCGATAGGCAGATGAAAACGGCCATTGAAAACACCTCCAGGTCAATTCTCCGGTTCTCGGTTGTGGTACGGAGTACCATACGTTCATGCAAGGCGCAACTTGGGGGCATCTGGGTGATTTTGCCGCAGAATTACTCCCCTGAGACACTATTACTATTAATTACTAGTCCCCATCTTAAATAGTTGAAGAAAAGGATATCTCTTTCAAACTCAAATAGGCTTTAGATATTCACTTAATGCGTGATAGCTGGCCATTCACATAAGTACAATGAAGTAACCGAAGTGGAGAGCCCTGGAGATTCCGCACAGGGCAATGCCTTTTTTCTTTTTTCTGAACGGTACGCTAGCCCGTGCATTTACGGCTATATTTCCAAGGTTCGTTTTCGCTTTAAGCCTATTATATCCCCTAATAAGGCATGGCCTGATCGATATAGCTAATCTATCTACACGTACTAGAACCAAAAAGAATTTACTTGACTTTACTTTGTTCACATATATTTACCTAGTATTTAACCATTCTGAAACATGATTCGCTTATTTCTCAAGTGGAATGATAGTCCCCCTGTTGCTTTCCGACTGGTCAATGTCTCCGGGACTATCCCCATACCTATTACGGCAATCGGTATCCCTAATTTATTGGAAGTAGACTCTGTACTGTGCACGGTACAGACATAATTCTCATTATCCCGTATTGAGTATATATATATACTAGTATGGAGTACATGCTAGTCATAATCTAGATATAAGACATCTAAGGTAGTAAATCACCTTGAACTAACTTCCAAGGTTGGCGTTCCCGGTACCCCCATTCTAAGCCTACTTAGCCTACGGAGTCCTAATTCAACTAAATTCTACTAAAGTACGAGTTGTGGATTGTACCTTTCCCGAACTCTTCGATCCAGACTCCAGACTTCGACTTTGCCCCCTAAAAAAAATGGCCATTTCAAATTATTAATGCTCGGACATCTAGCCCGTAAACATGGCTTAAAGAGGTCCAGTCAATGCTCCATAATTAAAAAAAATAATACATATTATATATTACTTATTTTTACTTAGTTTTTTTTTCACCCTTCGAGCCTTTGTTATGTTAAAAAAAAAAATTAAAGAAAAACATCACATCCAGATGTCACTTCCCCTCCTTGTAAACTCCTTATCTCAAAGTACTTTCTTCTCTTCACCCCTCCTTTCAATTTCTCTTTCAAACTTGAAGTCGCAAGGTCTGGGGTGAAACTCCCAATACTCCACAATGGGGCTATTCAAGCGCAAAGATTCAAAGAACTCAATTCAAATCGAGGAAAACGACTCCTTCGTAACGGTCAACAGCGCTCGCACATCAAATACATCCCTGAGATCTCCAGGATATAAGGGAAGTGGCCCACCAGCCTCAATTCCAGAACTCCCTATCGCCAGACCACCAGACCCAGCACTAGACCCAGCCGCATACCTACGAAGCATCCATGCCGTGCGCGAACGCTCCAACATCGTCCTAGAAAAGGCGAAAAGAAATCAACTCAACCATTTCGATGTCGACATGACCAAATTCGAAGCTACAGCATCCTACGTCGTCTCAATTATCAAGGTAAAAAAAAAAAAAACCAGCCTAGCTTTTATCATGTGATCGTTGCGCTGACATGTGCTTCTTGGCCCCAAAACAGCGAGATTATGCGCCAGATTATGAGAATATCCCGCCGCATGGTCGCTGGCAGCATTTCGACGTCGGTGGCAGACCGCGTATCAACCAGCTTCTCCAGTCCTGGCCCAGTCGCATTGATGCGCAGGAGCGAACACGCCGTTTGATTGATTTGTTTGTCGTATCTGTTCTGCTTGATGCGGGCGCGGGCAATAAGTGGTCGTATCGCTCGAAGGAGTCTGGCAAGGTCTTTGCGCGCAGTGAGGGCTTGGCGGTGGCGAGTCTGGAGATGTTCAAGTCTGGCCTTTTCAGTAGTGATCCTACGGAGCCGTGTCAGGTGGATGGCGCGGGACTGAAAAAGGTTACGGCCGAGGTGCTTGCTAAGGGCATGCAACATTCTGACCAAAATCCATTGGCGGGGATTGAAGGCCGCACCGGGTTGTTGGTACGGCTTTCTGATGCACTTAATAATCAAGACTTCTTCGGTGTGGATGCTAGGCCTGGAAATATGCTAGGTGAGATAATCTGGCTTGTTTTTTCTTTTTTTGTGATTGATCAGCTGCTCATTTTTATTTTCAGATTATCTGCTCGGCCATCCATCAACCCTTGCTTCTTCAGTACCTATTGTTCCGATTACCACTTTGTGGTCCGTGCTCATGGATGGCTTCTCTCCCATCTGGCCCCCGTCACGAACACAGATTGACGGAGTATCCATTGGAGATGCGTGGAAGTGCTCGAGTCTCCCCAGGTCTCCACCTGCACAGCAGTGGGAGAATATCGTTCCATTCCACAAGCTGACACAATGGCTATGCTACTCGATCATGGTTCCAATGTCGAAACTGATGCTGATCCACTTCGCCGGGAGCGACCTTCTAACAGGCCTTCCCGAATATCGAAACGGAGGTCTTCTTATCGACATGGGACTCTTGACTCTGAAACCGGAAGATATGCAGCGTGGAATCGATGCATATAAAGAGAATGCTCAGATCAAGGGTCAGCCCAGTGTGGAAGTTGCGCCGCTGTTCTGCGCTGAAGACGATGTAATTGTCGAATGGCGAGCTGCTACTGTCGGATTTCTGGATGATCTCTTAGAGGAGGTTAATTCTCAGCTGGGGCTTAAGAACTCCGAAGAGCAGCTATCACTAGCGCAAATGCTAGAGGCTGGCACTTGGAAGGTAAGCACGCAATGATTCTTTTTGGCTGAGTCAATTCTAACAATCTATAGGGTGGTCGCGAGATTGCGGAAGTTTCGAGACCAAACACCAAGGAACCACCTATCATGATACGATCCGACGGCACTGTCTTCTAATACCCTATTTTCCCATTTTAATTGATGCTTGGATATCTGGATACCTTCGTCATTTGGTTTTGCTATTTGGGACGAGCTTTTTGATGAAATGAACTCTTCATGACCGAATACCTTCATACCTATGTCTCATGTTTGGCTTTTTCTTTTTTTTTCTTCTACCTTTTCTTCTCTTTCATTTTGCCATTTTGCCATTTTGCCATTTTTGTTCTTTTTTCTCTTTTTTCTCTTGTTCCCTCTGCATTGGAGGCTATCTGATTTCCCACTGGTTCTGGGCGGCGACTTTTTTTCATATTGCATCTTACCTTTCATTTTTCAAAATTTTCCATGTTTTTTTTTCTTATTTTTTTCTCTGTCTATTCTATTATGTTTCACTCTCATGTCAATAAAAGTCATACCATAGAAGGAAGATCTATGATTTTCGGGAGACCCATGGGATGTCGTCATCCCGTAACCTCGGCCCCTTTCTCAAAATAAAACAAAACTCCACAAACAAGTGCCAGGGCCAGTTCCAAGTGCACAGCTGTGAAGGTCTTGTTCTCTGCAGTAACTTAAAGAAAAAATACATATAAACAGATTACTAGCTTCATCCTTTCCCTATCTCCTCCGCCCTATCTCTAACGACTTGATTTCAAGATCACGTGCCTCGGGGTAACAATATTCCGTCTCCGCATTAGAAGGCTGAAGCTCATGGATCAACTTTCCTTCCCATCTCATGCTCTTTCGCCCTCAATCCCATTGTTAAGGCAAAAGATGCTAATATTGGACTCCTGATTGAAAAAGCAATACCACTGCATCTGAGCGACCCTGTGAAGGCACTGAGTTGCTCTCCAGATCGACCCGAGTTGTCCCCGCAAGAGCGGGGCATTGAGCTCAACAGCAGCCCCAAGTAACATCCGACATGATGGATGCTCGGAAGAAGAAGAGAAAGGTCCTATTGATGGGCAAGAGTGGATCTGGGAAGTCATCCATGCGCTCAATCATCTTCAGCAACTACGTCGCCAAAGACGTCCGACGCCTCGGTGCTACAATTGACGTAGAGCACAGCCACGTCAAGTTCATGGGCAACCTCACACTAAACCTATGGGATTGCGGCGGGTGAGTAAAGCCATACTCTCAACTCCCGATCCGGGAATCCCCAATCCACTAACATCAAGTCCCTCCCATCCACAGCCAAGACGCCTTCATGGAAACCTATCTCGCTTCGCAGCGCGGCAACATCTTCTCCGACGTCGCAGTCCTAATCTACGTCTTCGACATCGAGTCCCGAGAAGTCGAACGCGACCTAGACACGTACCACGCGATCATCGAAGCGCTGCGCGAATTCAGCCCAAACGCCTACGTCTTCTGTCTCGTGCACAAAATGGACCTCATCCAAGCCGAGCACCGCCAACGCATCTACGACGAGCGCTCCGCCGTAATCCGCAGTCGATCGAGCGACTTCACCGTCGACACCTTCGCAAGCAGTATCTGGGACCAATCGCTGTACAAAGCCTGGGCCGGAATCGTCCACAAGCTCATCCCGAACTTAATCGTCATTGAGCGCTTCCTGTCTGCCTTCGCGAAGAAAATAAACGCTGAAGAAGTCATTCTCTTCGAACGGTCCACTTTCCTCACGGTTACTTCCGTGACGTCCGAGGTCGGAGAGCTAAATCCCATCTATGATCGCCATGAGCGCTTGTCAAATATCATGAAGGCGTTTAAGCATTGCGCTGCTCGGAATACACTCACTACGCCCGCTTCGGCCGGCTTCGTCGTCATGCACACTAAAACTCCACAGTTCAATATCTTCCTCGGCAGATTCACCGATAACACTTACATCTTCCTCGTCGTGCCTCCCGGCGAGGCTTCGTACAACTGCGCCGTGCTCAATACGATGCTTGCCCGTGAGGGATTCTCGAAAGCGGCTGCCGGCAGCGGCGGCGGTGATGGGTTCCCTCTTCCTCCGCCTGAGACGGAGGAGCATGCAAATGGGACGATTGGGAATCCCGCGTAAAATCGGTGGTTGATGTGTCATTAGGATCTGGCTTTGTATAGCTAGGGGATGTTGTTCCCTTTTTCTTCCCGTTGTTTTTTTTTTTGTTTCTTGTGATTTCAGAGATTTATGACAAAATACAGCAGGGCGCTGAATGATGGCGTTGTGGAGATTAATGTACTTTCTTTTGTTTTTGATTTCTTCTTTTTTCAACCTTTGAGAATTGAGATACCCTGTGGGATTTCTTTGTATCTTTTTTTTGTTTTCTGAAAAATATTATGGAAAAGTTGACTATTTAGGTATTCTACAAGCTATTCAGGAAGCTCTCGGGTTATATATAAAATCTATGTTTCTTCGAGGATTATATGGCAGTCTCAATATCCATCTTAGGGACAATCTATGGGTATATACATAAAGTCCATTGGTGATCGTATTCAACATTCTCTAATACCTATTCACTTCATCTCAATCTCCCCGTCGTATACCGTATAGACAGCTGGGTTTCTACAATAACCAACAAGACCTGGGAAGATAAATTTACTTGGAAATACAATACTACAGTAACATAAGATCCCATCTGAACCATTATATTTCCTCGCATCCGATGCAAAAAGCAACCAAAGGCAAGAGAGTAAGAACATGGGAGGGGTTTAATTATCTATCGGACCGGCCGGCCTCAACGGAGAAGGGCATGAAAAAGTGGTTGGAGCAAAAGAATAACGAGGAAAAGTGGATGGGAGGAGGGCTGTACAAAATCAATCATGGGCAGAGAGCTCGAATATTTTTTTTTTCATTGGATTTCTGGCATGCGCATGGCAATGTCGCCCGACTGTGTGATGTATCGCACCCACGGAAGAGAGGGGTATTGAAGCTGTGGGTGGTTGTTAGCGATGATATTCAGAGAAAAGGCCGACGGAAGGATTCGCTGGTGGGGGAGAAAGTCTTACCTTCGGTTCGGTGATCTTGAGATACCGCACTTGGATACCACTGGTCGTGAAATAGGGGATCTCGAACTTGACGTTGATGGGACGCTTCGATTTGCCTACGCCTCCGGCTCCGCCCATGCTGCCTCCGAATCCACCGGTCATGCCGCCGCCGCGCTCGTCGTCGCCCTTGACGGATGGTAGACCCAGCTCTGCGCGCATGAGGAATTCCTTGCCACCGCCGAACTGCTTGATCTTCCAGATGATAGCGGACTTCTCGGGGGCGTAGTGCACTGTTCCGATATTTGTGCGGAAGCGCGGGGAGTCTGCGTCTTCGGGGACGGGGACGAGAATCTCGACGTTGTTGGCGGTGCTGCGGCGTTTGAATTGGGCTTTGGCCTGTTGTGGAATCGAGATTAGGGACTGGTATTTGTTATACCGGACGGGCGGGATATTACCTTGAGCATATATTCAATTCGGGATCCCGAGTGCGATTCAACTACACACTCCACCCAGATCAACGGCTTCACTTGTGTGTTTAGTCGGTAGCTCATGAGCTCGAATTCACCATCTGGAGGAATGAAGCTGATTGTGCGGTCGTTTTCGAACCGCGAGAGTCGGACACACTGGTGGAACTTCACGTCTTCCATCTCGACTGACTTGCCTCGTGTAGCACGACCCGTAGTCTCGAACATGGCTTTGTCGTTCAAGCCCAATCGCAACTCTGGCATGCCACTCAGGTAGCACTTCATCTTGACAGCACCCAGAATCTCGGATCGCAGGACGTTTCCATTTGCCGAGACGAGAAGATTGAGGGACTCGACCACGTCGAGGAAGACTTCGTTTTTGCGGTAGCGTATCCCCTCGCTACGCCAGGAGACGGCATTTGTGACGGCGATGGGTGGTCGTGCTTGGACATCCAGCTTGTGTGACTCTTGGGTGATATATCTGGTCATAGCGCAGATCCGTCAGTTATCCTGTTTCACCACCCTGCGGTACCAGTAAAACACAGCTGCTCACTCTTGTAGAATCTTGCTCTCGGTTGTCTGCGGATATCCAAAATCCATCATCTCATCCAGCAATTCATAAATGACGACAAAGTTATCCCGGATACTCTCCTCCTCCAGTACCTTGAAATATTCAGTGAAGACCTCCACCAGCTTGTGGAGGAAGAGTAGGATTTCGGTGGCATTTGTGTTTCGTTTGGTCAATGCGAGAATATAGAGGTTGCTGTGGCGGATATAAAGGTACTAGACAGAAAAACCCGTGTGTTAGTAGGTGGGAGCGCACAAAAGGAGACACTCAGGAGTGTGTGGGGTCTAGGCCGAATGCCTAGACTCGGCGGGACGCACGTTGATTCCCTCGTGAGAGAAGCAGGGAGGCACTGCTGAGCTCTCTTCTTCGGCGTCACTGAGGAGGATAGGGAATTTCTCGACTGCGGACATAGGAATATCTCCGCGATAATTGCGGGCCAGTAGGGTCTATAGATGGTCAGCGGGGGTGCTTATCGATGCATTGGCGATTTCCCCAGCAGGAAATCCCATTGCCATGCATTTCACAATATCCAATAACCTACCTTGCCCTTGAGGTCGAGGAAGAAGAGTGCCGACGCCATGACGTGTCAATGGGGGTAAATAGGTGACGGGAAAGTTGGTGATGATCTGGTCTCTTGAGGTGGGAGGTGAAAACAAAAAATAACAAAGTCACCTTATGCGACTACTGCATCATTGTCAATAGAGCAGTTAGAACAAATAAAACAGCAGCTGATGAGTTGAGAAATGAAAGGAGCAGATCAGCGGATGATTGTTGGCGATATGCCCGCATGTCCCAAGGCCGGAGATAGACGCCAACCTAAAAATGGACTAGCGTCTAAAATTCACACATAAAAGCTCGTCGCCCGCTTCTGAGTTTCTTCTTTCTTCAACGCTCCCAATAGACAGTTCAAGGCAGTACAAAGTCCTTGTGATTTTCTACAGGTACTCCGGCATTCTGTCAGAGTTCTGTAGTGTATTGATAACTACCTTGCGATACAGAGGCGCGGAGACTACGATCTTTTGAAGGTTCCATAAGAGCTGGCCGAGTACTTTCTCTGTTACTCGGGCGGCGTCAGAGGAACCGTACATTTCTATAACTTCAATCTGAAAATATTTTATACCAACATTTGCTTCTGTTTCTTCTAGTAACCGTACTTGGCTCAATTAAGTCTTCTAAACTTGCACGTGGAACTCTCGTAGTATTTTGCAGTATACAAAGTAGTGTGAGAAATGAATTGATATAAAAAAACAAGTCTGTTTAAAAGTACATGTACAATCGTAGAGGTTCCCCGATTGAGGAGTACTCTCCCCAGTCAACCTACCACAAATGGAAATATCTAACAATATAACGCCCTGAAAATGCTCCAAAGGAGACCAATGCCTCAAGCCTCGAATCCCTAAGAGACTGACTTGAGTCCAAGGGGTTCAAGTATCCGCTCGCGAGCCACCTTGGTGGCAACGACACCTCCCTTCTCTAATGAAACAGCGCCGACGATAGCGTACATAGTATGCGCGAGAACGAGCTCAACACCGGAGGCACGGAGATCGTTGGGCTACAGTAAAGACATTCGTTAGTTGGTGATCATAATAACACAGAAGGCTAGAATCAAGACATACCATTCTAGGGCTCCATCGGAGAACCTTCTGCAACTCGTACTTGTTTGCAAGATCAGCAAGCTTCGAGCGCTCAGTGAGGATCTTCTTGGTCTCAGCAGAGAGGTTGTTCAGCCCATCCAGAGCCGGGTGCGTGAATAGCACGCGACCAAACTCGTCCTTTTTCTCTACTGGCGCGGCGCCTGCGTATGGAGCATCTTGCGCCAAAGCCAGCGAAGCTTGCAGCTGCACAATGCGTTTTCCCAAGAAGGCGAGTCGATCGTTGAAGCCGCGGCGCCCTTGATCGAAACTCTTATGTGTCACTGCCAACCACTTGGTCTCATCGGAGAGCATTTGGTCGCCGCCATTGCCGAACAAGCGGATGTAGAACCGGTCGAGCAGTTGCGGGTCTGCGTTGACGTGGAAAGTAGGGCGCTTGGAGTCAAGGTGCAGACTGAACGGGGCCTTGGCCGCCGGGGGAGTGTAGGACCATCGGGGCTTTTCTTGTTGACTGGTCTCCTCCGGAGTAGAGGTCGCGAAGGTGCGGGATGGGATGACTCCCGCAATTGGGCGAGCGACAAATTTAGATGTAGCGCAGGCGGTTCTGACCGCTCGAGAAGAAAGATTCAAAGCCATGGCGTCGGTGGTCTGCTAGTCAACTCGGGGTCGATCGAACGGAAAGCAAAGAATTCGGCCTGGGCGGTGTAATACTGCCGACCTTTGCCTGCCAATACACAACACTCGCGAGATCTATGTTAACTGTTGTCTACACCTTGATGTAGGTTTCATGATTGTAATTCTCTCGCAAATTTTCGTTGGGGCTCAGATCTCTTCGATTGTCATCTTGGCGGCTCGACATGCAGTCAAACAACCTTGGAAGCCCGGGGCAAGCGGAACCTTCACCGCTGCTGCCAGGTATCTTTTGCTCGAACGATTGACTTGTAATGCATCGGATCCGAAGCAATGCTGATCGGCCGTGAGATCCTACTACAGATCAGCAGCTCAGATGATTGGAGGCGAACCACACACAAACTTCCGATTTTGCCATGCCTCGATGCATGTACGATCAAAGCGGCAGATGACTCACATTAATCAAGATTTCCTGCGATGTGGATTCTATTTCAGCGGTCAGGCTATGATATCTATGAGATATCCTTCGATCTACACTATACCGCTGTTTGCAGTCCCGATCCAGCACATATAGGCTTCCGCTCAAGTTGGGTAGGATCAGTTATGATACACGATATGCATTTGCCTCATTTGCGGGTTGCTAGCGAGCAGCTTTGACTCATGCTTTCTGCATGCTCCCATCAACAACACTCGGGGCTCGACTGGGTGTAAGTGGACTCGCAGATCCCCCCACCACATTGTCCAGCAACATCCTTGTCTGGAATATATCGCCATTACATGAACCAACAGGAAATTTGTGCTCTCTTAACTTCTAGGCCATAGGTCCAAGAGTCCTGCCAAGTAACACCATCTGGTTATATGACTGGCTAATGGGATATGCGAGCAGCGGCACAACTGACCCTGAGCGCGGCCGAACTATCAGGGACATAGGTCTCTAGCTGCTGCAGAGAAACGGTGGAAATTCGAAAGGAAGAGAACAGACCCGCAAAGAAGTGTTTTAGGCGCGACTTAGACCTATTCAAGAGAAGCTTCGGTAACCTTCTCGGAACACAGTCGTTCCGCAAAACATGCCGGGTATGTAAATGCAGAGGCCATAGCTCAAGCTATCGGGAGCACGAGACAGTGGTATTGAGACTGGTTGGTTGCGGAAATTCGCATAGCTGGAAAGCTCGGCTGAGGCACAAGTGGTTGGCTCGAATTACCCATGCCTCTCTAGATTGCAGAATAATGACTCTGCTGTATCAACGTACCCCGACCTCGCCCCCTGGATTAGGCAAGAGACTGTCTTGTGCCGGGGAGGGGACAAAATATGATCCACGTGTATTGGTATTCGGTCTTATTTAGCTGTACTCCATAGGTAGGTTTCCTTTTTCTCATGTTGCCTCTTATGGTCATTGGAAGGTTCTACGGCTTGCATGCACATTCTTCTCCCGACTAAATAGGTGGAACCCACAATGGCCATTGTGGGGGCTCTAGATAAAAGGACCGGGATATGTTAAAACGACAGAGGCTCTTTGATCATCTTCGAAGTATTGTAAGGTTGGGCGACACAAGAACACAAACTAGTTAATGTTTGACAGCCTCGAATTCATATACTTTTGAAAACAACAGACGGCTGTTCAACCCAAACACTATTCAGTAAATAACATCGGATAGTTAGCCAACGGCAAATTATCTAGAACAAATCTGGTGAAACAGAATTTCCCAAGAGTCTGCGAGGTGCCGAAAACTCAGACCGCTGGTGAAACTCCGTCTGCAGCCTTCTTCGCGGGCAGCGGTCCGGGGGGAAAGTATCTATACCCGTCCATTTAGGAAATTATACCATTTGCTTTTTAGGAAAAGATGATATGTCTCTTTAAGTGGATCTACTTCTAATTTCTGATCTACGCTTGCTTCTGGAATAGAAAAAGAAAACAATGAAAAGAAAAAGAAACAAAAAAAAAGCAATACTCACAACAGCGGGTGTGACTTCTGTGGGTACTGTCTAACGGTTTATACATCAAGTCTTCAAGCGGGCCCTTGCAGACTCTACCGAGATATCGATCTTCACGGATAGAAGCAATCCCCAAGGCTCACGGATAGCAACGGGAATATGGCCATCGCCAAATGACTTCTTGTCTTGATCCTTGATTGGAATGTTCGACAGGATAGCGGTGTACGACTTGCGTGGATGCTGCCAGGTAAACTTGACTTCTCGAATCACTTAAATAGACGCGATTGACCTGTCCAGATTTCTGGTCTTCATCTTTAAAAACACCAAAAAAACTTTGTCTGGTCCTTTGCCTGTCTTTCGTTGAATATCTATACTTCCTTTCTCTATCAGCCCCAACTCGTGTGCTCCATTCTACTATAACCACTTTCGTTTCGTGGCTTTCAGATATTCAAATGGCTTGCAACGCTACTTTTGCCCATGGCTTCCAGGCCACCCCTTTATCGCCGGCCCAGACATGCTACACCATCGCGGGATGCATACCGGCTTGTGATCACTCTGTGCAAGACCCTCCCTCGCCACGACCTTTCCCACCCAACCCTCCTCCTAGTCCTGCTTAGATGGCAGTTGATTGGTTTTTCTTTATTTGGCGTTGAGGCGACACGGGGCAATAGGTGAGTATTGTGTTATGCCATGACAAATACCTAGATCCACTGGATATATATTAAGTCACGGAATGATATGAGTAACTACTAATTTACTTTTCAGATCATACTGGAAGGCATTTCAACCACGGTCATTACGAGGGGATGTGCATTGATGGGCGACTAGGATATCATAATGCGATGTGTATGGTTGTCAATGCAATATCAGTTGCAGGTGGGAAAAGGGCCGAGTCATGAGAGGAACATTGAACTTTAAGGAGACAAACTGAAGGCACAATGTGTAAGAGTGGATATGGATTTTGAGTAACCGGTTTGTATACCTGAGGTGCTTTTGTCATTTGCATATCCCGGAAGCGGGCAAGATAGCTTAATGGAACTATACCAAGTGAGGCCGACTGAATTTGCACATTGATACATAGATGTCAACAAACATCCGGAGATAGCCCAAGAAGATCTAAATGAAAACAGGGCGAGCATCCAGTTTCGAAATTCAAAATTGCCATAATTTTAGATTCAAATCGTGCAAGTAATCAATCTAGCCCAATACGAACCCAATTTCTGATAGAGAAAAATAAATCAATTGAACAGAAGAAAAGAATCAGCGCCTTTTGAGCTTGCGCCAATTGACCAGATTCGCGTATATTTGAGAGAAGTCACTTTAGTAACACATAAGGAAATTCGGAGGTATGAGGTATGGAAACAGTTAAATCAAAGCAAGACCAAGAGCACTGGCAACGCTGAGGCCAATCACAGCCCAACCAGTCTTGATAATCACAGGGTTTGTGAGGCCACGGCCAAGATCCCACATCAAGTGGCGGAGACCGTTCATGCAGTGGTAGGTGAAGGGAAGGGCGAGGGTGGTCTTGAGCAGGACCTTGCCCACAAGAGGGAGAGCTCCCATGGCAGCGACCATGGATGCTGATTCGAGGTGCCAACCGAGAACGGGAGAGGCGAGGTAGGCAGTAGCCCAGAGGTACAGGGTGCCGGAGAGAGCGACACCGGTGATACGGTGCAGGGAACTGCCGATCCAGCCGATCTGGGGCTTGTAGATGGAAAGGTGAGGAGCGATAGGGCGAGCAAGACGCTGCTTGATGAGGATCTGGGCGGGGTCCTCGGTTTTTGTGGAGGAAGTCACTTGTCTGTACACCATGATTCTATGGTTAATATGGACTTCTCGCGAATGTGGATGACGTAGGTTTTCGCGAGGGACGCTTGATTCGAGGGTAGGCGAAACAATTGGAACTTGTCGTTTCAACACTGGATAACTGACCTCGTCTGAAGGTTCTTGCCGAGGGCAACAGCGACAGGGGAAGCACCCATCATGGACCGCATAGCGAACGGCTGCTGGACGGCAACTGTCCGGGAATAAGTTAGATCGCAAATTCGGACAAGCTAGGCATCGAGGGTATACATACGCCGCCGCATCGACTGCTGGACAACCTTCTGAGAGAACATTGTGATTGCAGAGTTGAGATTGTTCTGTTTGATCAGGATAAGAAATCCCAAGTGGCTCGCGAGCGATCGGAATCACGGACGACCTCGGGTACGGGAGGCCTTAGTCACGGGATTGGCACCCGGTAGTCGGCGTCCGCCAATCATATCGGATCTATTACTAGACGGAGTATTGTTCTTCCCGACACGCTAAGATTATCACGTGACAACTCGCCTGTGTTTTTCCCACTTTCTTCCCGTCCGCAGCTCTCTTTTCTTTCTCTTCTCCAAGAGTCTCCGCTCACGTCGTCTACCAGCCTTGGCTGGGATGATGTCGTCGTGTTTAGCTTTCCCTCACTGACTGCGGCTTTCTGTCGTGGACGCCGAGGGATCTCGAGGCTCTTAGAAGAGAGTCCCGTCGTTAATCGCCCGTTCCACTCTACCAATGAGGGGGAGGGGTTTCATATTCAGGGATACATGCTACGTGTATCACATCTCTTTGATGTTTTTAGATTTGCCGGGTTCTTCGGACACAGTACAGTGTATCAAAAGGTCACTGCAACTGTTGAAAATCCTGCATTGGCCATGGAGAAACATCCAGCTGAGGCATTGATGTTTGCACAGTTGGGGTGTTCACTTGAGAGTCATGCATTTAGTTACTACAAAACAAATAATCTAACCCCATGATCTCTGTTCTTACATTCCTCCACCTATAAAATAGTACTGTCAGCTGTAAATTCGCCGATGGACATCTGACCTATATGAAGTCATTTGTCCCTGTCACATGCCAGGCGTCAACCTCTTAGACCTGCCCGCCATAGGTTTGATAGTTAGTCCTCAGTCAGCAATAGTTTGATTATTCACCAGCATACTAAAGGGCTCCAGGGCTCCAGGGCTCCAGGGCTCCAGGGCTTCAGGGCTTCAGGGCTTCAGGGCTTCTAGTGATCTAAGGTCGACCCCTTTGCCTAGGTGCTCAGTAATCTAGAAATTGTGCCCGCAGCTGTGGGACCTCGGCTCCTCGGAGCATTCCCCACAGTAGTTGACCCCGGCTATCACAGGTTTATATCTGGTCTTTTATTTCACCTAAAGACTTAATTATCTCCTTGACTGATACTCCGAGAACCGAACAAAGAAACAATCATATTTCATGTTAGTATATCTGGTGCCTGTTCAGGTTGCATGTTGTTTTGTTGAACCTTGGAACTAACTGACTCCGCAATCAGATTAGATACTCCGACTTCACAAGATGCCTTTCGACACAGCTTTAACGCGCAAGCTCGGTATTCGAGGTATGCTACGAATTCGCTATTTCGCAAATATTTCTAGCTGCTGATCATAGATATAGTGCCTGTCGTGCAGGGTGGTATGCAATGGGTTGGATACGCGGAGCTGGCCTCGGCTGTTAGCAACGCAGGTGGACTTGGAATTGTATGTATTACGCTCTTTAATGAAAGCCCTGATTGCATACAGTATCTAACACTATAATCTAGCTCACAGCCCTCACCCAACCAACCCCCGAAGACCTCCGCAAAGAAATCCGCAGATGTCGCACCATGACCAAATACCCATTCGGAGTGAATATTACCCTCCTCCCTGCTATGGTTCCCCCCGACTACGCTGCCTACGCCCAAGTCGTCATCGATGAAGGAGTCAAGATCGTCGAGACCGCCGGTAACAACCCAGGCCCTGTCATCAGCCAGCTGAAGAAGGCCGGCACTATCATCCTACACAAGTGCACAACAATCCGCCATGCCAAGTCCGCCGTCAAGCTCGGCGTGGACTTCCTTTCCATCGACGGTTTCGAGTGCGCCGGCCACGTTGGCGAGCACGATATCACCAACCTCATCCTTTTGAGCCGTGCGCGCCAGGAACTCGGCGTGCCGTTCCTCGCCTCGGGTGGATTCGCCGATGGTCAGGGCCTCGCTGCTGCCCTGGCGCTCGGTGCTGAGGGTATCAACATGGGCACTCGCTTCATGAGCACCGTTGAAGCCCCGATTCACCACAAGGTTAAAGAGGCTATCGTCGCAGCTGACGAGAACGATACTGAGCTTGTGCTGCGCCGGTGGAAGAATACTACCCGTCTATTTGCTAATAAAGTGGCCAAAGATGCAGTGAAGGTTGAGAAGGAGAGTAAGACTGGCGAGTTCAGCGAGGTTGGGCCTTATGTTAGCGGCAAGCGCGGTCGTGAGGTCTTCATCAATGGTGACGTTGATTTCGGCGTAAGTTGCTTCCAAAATTATGCATGCCTCGTGTGTATTTGCTGACTATTCATCGTATAGGTGTGGACTGCCGGCCAGGTTATCGGTTTGATTCACGACATCCCAACTTGCGAGGTTCTGCTTACTCGGATTGAGAAGGAGGCCTTGGAAGCAATGCGCCGCACCAAGTCTTTGTATATTGATGCTCCCTCCAGCAAGCTTTGAAGTGTTTTATGTTACAAATGGAGTTTAGCTTATGTTTAGCTTCTTATTGTTTGGAAAGATTAAATAGAACAATGTAGTTCAGAGTTTTGTTTGTTTTTTATTGACCTGGCTTTTTCCCCCCTACCTTCACACTGATCAAGAGCGACCTCATTTCTGCTAAAATAAGAGCTGCACGCACAAAGGTGGCTGGGCAACCGTCAATAATAAGCATTCCTGAGCGAGGGTCCGTGATAGTCTATCAAGGATCTGCAAGCACGCAGATCCTCGAATACTCGGGCATTCCTGCATATCCAACTCCAACCTCCAACCTCCAACAATAATGATCCCCACGTCATCACGGAGACTTTTCTTTAAGCTTACCTACTGGAAGTGATAAAGAAAGAAAGAGATTTACTCGAAACCGCGAGTCCTCTCATACGAGGTTAAAAAGAGAGTGGAGACATCCTTGCATGCAGTCGATTCTGTGCAGAATTCTTGAACAAGCTCCGTTTCCGGTCCAGATGATTGGCTCTGTTTCAGTCGTAGCTTCGTTTTCGCGATTGTGCTTCCTGCATCGTGCGTGGCCTTTGTGTGTATGATATCATTCACCATGGTTTGTCTCCGGGCAACCCTTGCTCCCAACTTAAACTGTGATGGTTGGTATGCTTTCAGTATGAATTTCACTATCCAGATGGTGAAGGCTAGAAGATCTCGAGGTAAACGTAGCTGTGATCGAGGTTAAAATATACAATCCAACTGCTCGAGATAATAGATCAAGTCCCATTGCGTCGTACAGCAGGTCCCATACAAACCAGCATTACCCCATGAAGATCTAGATAGCGACATACCTCGTCCAACTTATTTCCAGCCCAGAATTGAACGCGGCCAAATTTAGTTTCTATCTCTCCCCTCCTCCACCGGAATCAGTTGCTCGATTCATGCCATTATTCTACCGGCTATTCCCAATTCCCATCAACATCAAACCAAAAAATTACAACACCACATCCAATTCCCATACATACCCACTATCATAAGAGCAAATCTTCACTGAGTCCAACCCAACAAGCAAAATCCAAAATGGGCTTCATATCCACCTTGGCACGCTGCGTGCGAATTAAACGCCTCTCCAAAAGGCTCTCAACAACAAGCACCAAACGCCACGACGAAGACTCGAACGATCTGATCAAAACAAACTCAGAAACAGCCTCGCTGGCACGCGCAAGTATGGACTCAACCTCAACAATGGTCCACCACACCTTGCACGAGCCAGTTCTGCCTTCTGAGTCACCAGCAAACCGTATGGAGATCAGACCAGATACTGGAAATGTGCGGACATTGTTCGATGAAGATGCAACCTCTACCTCGCATTCATCGGAGCGCACAGTGGGCAGACCCGCGTACCCGATTTTGAAATTGGATTGTCGGTCGCCGGTCGAGGCACCGAGGAGGGTGGTACAGGGGCCTTTGGATATGGGGGATGAGGTGAAGGGGGGTGGGACGACGGCCCAGAGGGGCTTTTTACCTCAGAAATGTGAGAAGAAGGATAGGGAGTCTGTGACGGCTATGTTGAAGAGGCACTGTGGGTTGAATATCCCGCGCTCGTCGGTTTCGATTAAGACCTCGTCGCGTAGTCTGACTTCGCCAAAGTGGTTGGATTCTACTGGGATTACTGAGGAGGAGAGGTTGGTGGATAAGCAGGATGAGAAGTGGGTGGAGGCGGGTTTGCAGGGTGCTGAGAAAAGGAGGGATAGTGCATGGGGCAGTATTGGGTTTGGAAGAATGCGGTAGAAGTTTGTTAATTGGAGTGAATCTTAGTTTATGAGTACATAGTTAGCATGTTAATTTGAATGAAGTCAAAATTGGACTTTTATGTTTCGTGATATGGAGACATTGAGAAATTACTCCAGAGCTGTTGGAAGTTGGAATGAGAAGTAAGGGGTCTACAAGGACTCCGGAATTGCCCTCAATTGCGGGTGACTCAGTCAAAGTCTAGAGGGGTATTTGTTGCAAGGGGTATTGAACTATGATTTGAAGTGCCGAGCATCGATGTGAATGAGCAGGATGGGATTTCATTCCATATTCTGCATTTAAACGAAGTGCGCACAACGCAGATGAATTAAATTTATTATGTGCGAGGAAACCCTAACCCGAGACAGCAGCTGGGCGGTTCCGATGCGCAGAGAAACGAGCAAGCAAAGCACCAAAGTGATAAGCAGGAACGAAAACAATCTTCTTTCTCCGAGGGTGCCACACGACACAAGTTAATGATACACGAGATGCGAAATAAACAGGACATCTAACTAATCTAACAGCCAAAAGCCTGATTCTCGTCCCCGAAATCTATAACAGCCCACGCTGCCGGTAATGTCGAGCTCTGTACCAATGTCCAAAGAGCCGGCATATTGGCCCGTGCCTCTTGCGATATGCGCTTAGATGATGGAGCCAAGGGCAATGCAGGGGAGGCCGACACCGACGAGGTCGGAGTTCTGTAATAAATGTTAACTCAAGTTGATAGACTGTGATACTTGGAATACTCACGGCGCTGGAAGGAGAGTTCTGGCAACAGGCAATGTTCTGCTTGCACTTCTGGTTGATGAGATCCTGGATGGGGATACCAATGAGGATAGGGATGGCAAGATCCAGCTTGGAGCACTGGTCGAAGAGACCAAGGCCAGAGGCACCGGATCCGGAACCGATCAGGTTGCTGAGGGTACCGCCGAGGATACCGGAGTTGATATCGGTGGTGTCACCGGCATAGACGGCCTTGTTGCAGCAAGACAGCTGGGCCTGGTCACCACACTTGGCCTGAGCCTGCTTGACAGTCATGTTGTCAGGGACAGGGAAGCGAACGTCGGTGTTGCCCTTGTTGGCAATACCGTTGGCAGTACCGGTCCCACCGACAGCGGCGGCAGGGGGAAGAGCGTAGGCAGTGGCAGCGAGGCCGAGAACGATAGCGGAGAGAGAGAACTGCATTGTGACGGTGGGTTTGGATTTGAACGAGAGAAGACTCGGAGAGTTGAGAAGATTGAAGAATAGAAGGAAAGCTTGAAAGAGAGTGTTTGATGCGGATGAGGAAAAAATAAAACGAAGGCGATGAATGAGCACACCTTTATAGATTTGGATGGCGGTCTGTGAGTCGCCCTGACTCCATACTTAGAGGCCAGACTGTTTTGCTTCCCAGCAAGATCATTTCCCGTATGTACCTGGAATGTAACTGGGAAGGGAGGGGAGAGGAAGATCACTCCACTCTGTAGTCCCTGCAGACCAACGGGGGTGCTCCTGCGGAGGATTCTGGTATGGATCTACTTCCGGCTTCTCGCTTCACGCGACTAGTGACAGCCCTGGCATTCCCTCGCCCTCGCTCGCCTGCTCGGTCTAGGCTCGTCGAATGCCTACAATTTGTCTGACCTGGTGGACGAAAACGGGTACCGCAGATAAAGCATGCTACCTTGGTTTCCCACTGTAGAGCAACATTCATACCCCCAAAACCCTTCATAATCAAAGTAAGCTTAAGTTATCCGAGTGGGTCTAAAGGCGTACCTGGAGATCTTCAATTTCCCAGCGCAGGGGATTTCTCCCTACAGTTTGACTTTGGCTCTTCACCTCGGGAGCTAAGGCATGTCACGCATGCATAGCTCATGGCAGGTGCGTAAGTCCGCTAAGAGGCCGCTAGGATTCTTTCTCTAAGTGGTCAAGTTCCTCTGCGTGAGGGTCATCTGCAAGGGCGCTTACTGTAGCTCGGGTATCGGGTACAAAGCTACGTAGGGAGAGTTAAGACACTCCCTTCATTGTTTAATTTCTTTGAATCTGCGAGGAATCAGGCACGGTTGTAATAATCATAAGCTATCCCCAGGAAGTCTCCGATTGGTGGCTTCGCTTTCCAAGAATAATGGCGCGGATTACAGTAGCTAAGCTTTCGCTCTAGCGGCTCCCCAGTACCCAGAATCAATCCCGTTTGCAGGGTTTTCGGTCTATGCATAGTCCGCATTATTAGTGTGCCTTGATTTTCAATATAGTCAGTCTCATATTGCATTTTTGGTTCAAGCTTTCGATTACTCTGAGAATGGCCGAGATCTCGCTAAATCAATTCAATGTTTATCACAATTTGCTAGCTATTTCCTCGATCAAATTTTCTTTAGAATGCCGCTTTGTTTAGATACGGTAGTCTTATTTTAGGGTTGGCTCTAACTTTGCCTCTACATGGTCACACTTAATAGGACGGTATGGAGAATGTGATAGAAAATGACCAAGGTTTATGATATAGTACGTCATTTTAGTAGAGTATCTACCTAGCTATTAGTCCTTGGCATAACAGTTGTTACTTGAGGATAATTCCCCAAAAGTATGTAGTCAGCGTTAATTGTTGATGGTAAACCGGCTGTTCCAGTAGCCTTCACGCAATAAATACACTGAAATCCGATATTTATCTATTGAAAGATTATCCTTAAATCTATAGGAGGTATTTGATTTAGATATTGTTTCAATTTTACTTGCTAAAAAGTATGGGAATTAATTATTTGAACGTAGAACTTCGAGATATATATTTTAGAACAGTATGGATATCTGATCGAGTACTATAGTAATCTAGGCACAAGTATATATCTACAACCTACGCATTTCATTTAACAAATGCAGCAATAAAGATAGTATTCCTTGATTATTCAACGGCTTTCATCATACCATTTAGAGATTTTTTTATACTCAGTGTATACCGCCCCTACACCTGGTCGTCTGGTGCCAACTGACCGGTCAAACTATTTATCTCAGTCACCCATTTCTTAATAATTTTAGCCGTGAGAACAGGATCAATGGATATTTTGCCTAAATATCGGTTCCGAACCTTGATCAATATGAGCGATTATAGCCTCTAAATCTTGAACTTTGTAAAAACGCGCCTTTGAATGGGGCCCTGGGGTATAGCCGGCCCGGGCGCTTGGGGCCATCTGATTGGCCCAGTCATGCCAAGCACAGACCGGGTACAACAACCATAACATAACTACTCTCTTTGCGCCGCTACCCCCGGAAGTTCTCTCAGATGATCCCACGCGGCAGTTTGGATAGACCAGGACAGTAGTTAGAATCGGGGATGATGTATTTCATAATCCGGACTTGAATTCCTTGGACAACTTAATAGGAGGCACCGGAGAAGGTAGACAAGGCGGCAAAGAATGGGCTGCGGCATGAGCAAACGCATCATTCGTGCTGTCTTCATGTAGACATTTTGGAGTCTGCAGATATTTTCCTTCTGCCGTGCTCGTTCATATGACTTGGGGCTCAGACACCCTAGTACCCTAGGGTCAAACAATTTTAGTTGATGACTAATTTTCAGGTAGGTAAGGAGGTCAATTAAACACATCCATCTAATCATGAAAATATATGGCTACGTGATTCAAGCTATAAAAGATCCCCGCGGACAAAAATCAAAGAATTTAATCTGCAGACGCAATCTCTAAGAACACCTCTAACCCCGAAACGAGCCCATTCCACAACGTCTTGGAAGCCATGGGGGCATTGCTCTTTTGCTGGACACCGGAAGCCAACAAGAGATCATTCAGCTGGGGAAGTAAGGCATTCATCGCCTGAGCTTCCATTTTGCGTTGAATTTCCCTGCTGAGTCCACCTTGTTCAACGTACCACGCAGAATGTTCCTTCAGAACTCCGCTCTCGTAAAGATTCAGCAAGCTCAGGTCGAGCAATAGGGCCGCTAGGATCCTTTGATGACGGCATTTGATACCGACCGATCAATAGCTCAGATGCGAGCCCTATGTTTTACTGTTAGCTTTTCTCTCTCGCATACGTACGGATGGCAAGAACTCGGATATCGCCTTCTGCAGTCGATGCACCGCGAGTTTCTAGCTAGAAGGCAGAATTGGTAAAATATAGGAAGAGAAAGTCATATTGAGATAGAACCTCAAGCTAAAGGAGCTGACTCTGCTCGTAATGCCCAAGAAGCCACCCACACCGTTGATTTATAGCATTGAGGCTTATAAGTGTATTAGATCCGCTGAGTGCTATTTGGACTAAAATAAGAGATTGAAAGGACCTAGATGGTGACATTAACCAATCAAGTATCGAGGTGGCTTCTTATCCCGTTTGATTTTGCTGGCAGTTTGCCTGTAACTGTGCTGCATCCGGACCTGACGTGTTTCCAGCTGCACAAGTGTGTGATGCACATCCGCCACATGGTTACTAGTTTTGTATTGTATAGTCTATTCAATGCCTTTTTTTATCGGCCTTCTGAATTTTGTTGACTAGAAAACTAGTACAACTTTCCCACTTCGATCCACTACGATCTTTGGATCGGATGAATATGTATGCATGTACAGATCTTATCCAAATCGAAAACCACATACACGTAGCGCAGGTAGATATACTAGAAGGTACGGATATGCCCACGATCGGGCGATATAGAGAACTCGAATGACCTGGTTCATATCCAACAATGACTTTTCGTTATATACAGCGAATGTGACAATGAGATATTGCTACTTAAACAATGAGAGCTGAGAACATGCTGGGGACTAGACTTCGATTTTCAATAAGGCTAGCTGAACCTGGGCTGAATCCTAGCCTACCCAATTTAGGAATAAATATACTTAGCAGTATTGGGCACATTTTTTTATGTTTTCAATCTACTCCGTAGTGTACAAGGTTCGTAGATAATTGAGACCTATATAAATCGGCTTGCTAGTACTGTGGAGTTGCCGGCTTACAATAATATTGAACCTTTTCCCTGTGTTCTGAGTGGACGAACGCTTGTAGGTATTACAAGACTGCGGTACGATCTATATCACTCATATAAATTGCTTGTGATCATAGACTCTTAACAAACATCATTGCTGGCCCTTTCTATGCACTTTCTTTCGATTCAAATGTTACGTGAAAAATCTTCAGGAATAAAAATTGTAGTATATAATTATTCTCACAAAGTAAGTTTAACCGGATCGAACCTGAGTCTGCATTGCCTTGAATTCGACACATGCAATGGAACAAACAATGATCGAGCGTAAGGAACCGAAGTTCGTTTTCTCAAAAATCGAACAAGGAGAAAATTAGAAGAGAAGCGCCAAAAGAACCATACCGAAAGCCCAGAAGCTAGACAAACGGAGTTTCGATCCAACATTACCAAATGCGACAGATTCGCTTGGATGGAGTAGTGTGGGCTTGGACACAGGGGGCTTGGGGATCGGTGTGATGAGGGAGGTGATGGAGGTCTTGCAGCTAGTTGTCATGCTCGAGGAGGACTTGTGGGCAGGGTGGGTAATCTGAGGAGGACTGGTAGCAGTAACAACGACCAGATTCACAGAGGTCGTAGAGGAACAAGTGACCGTGCTGAATTCAACCAGGGGAACGGTCGCCGTGTGGGACGCCCAGCTAATGGTGGTGCAAGGAGTCCAGGAGACAGCTGTAGGCACACCGACAGTCCCTGTTGCTCCAGTGATTTGAGGAACGGCAACGGTGCCGGTAACATGAGGATCATTGACGGTACCAGGCAGGTGAGGAACAGGAACGTGGGGAACAGGAGTAGTGTCAGGAACGTGAGGAACGCCAATGGTACCCGGGGCATGGGGAACGTCAATGGTACCAGGAACGTGAGGACTATCGATTGTACCAGGAGCGTGGGGAATCAAAGTGCTGCCGGGAACGGGAGGAACCGCAACGGTGCTAGGAGCGTGGATTGAAGAAGTGGAAATGCAGGTTGAAGCGATGTCCACGATAGCAGGGTTCTCCGGTACGAAGGGAGCGCAAATGCCAGCGAAGTAAGCAAGGGCGGAATCCTCCTCGGTCTTAGAGCCGCTCCAGGCCCGAATGCACGAGCTAACCTTGTCCGTAAATTCACTGGACGGGCAGAAGCAGGCGACATCGCTGTTGGAGTCACACTTGGGAATGGAAAGCCAGGTGTTGAGGCACTTGGGCACGACGTTAGGGCAGGGCGCAGTGACGAGAGGCGGGCTGGGCGCGGTCGCGGTCGTGGCGCTGATGGGGGTAGGAACTGCGGGATGCGTGTGCACAACATGAGGAACCGTTGGGCTGGTTTCAATCGCAACGGTTTCGGCGGGCTTGGACGGGCAGACTGTGGTGGACAAAGGATATGTGGAGGTAACCAATACAGTCGAGTGGCCAGGGCAGTCAGTGACGGTAGGTGCGCATCTGGTGATGGTAAACTCCTGGGTAGTCCAGACTGTGGAAGTCGTCATCTCCCATGAGGAGTGGTCGATTGTGGAGACATCCACAGCAACAGACGAGTGCACAGGAGTATGGATGTCAACCCAGCTTGGGGTAGGCGCAGGGTCAGAGTGATGATGGTGAGGGGTCTCCCAGTGGTTGATAGTAGAAGCCTCCAGTGTAGTAGAGGGCCAGTGCACAGGGGTCACAGAATCAGTCCAGCTTGGGGTAGGTTCTGGATCAAAGTGATCGATGGTGGAAGCTTCCCACGTGGTAGAGGGCCAATGAGCAGGAGGCAGAGTATCAATCCAGGTTGGGGTAGGCTCCGGCTCAAGGTAGCCGATGGTGGAAGCCTCAAGTGTAGTAGAGGGCCAATGCACATGAGGCACCTCGACGGTCGGAGTTTCAACTACAGGGTTGCCTGGCGTCTTGGTTCCAGTGGAGCAGTCAAAGTCGATGGAGTGGATCTCGATATCACAATCACCGAATTTGCTCTCTTCGGGAAGCGTGAACTCGACAGAGACAGCACCGCCGCACTGGTCGTTGCCGATATCAGTTCCCTTGTACGAGCTCGAAGCGACATGACGGCAAGAAGAGCCATCGGGCATCTCGTAGATGATGAAAACGTCAGTGCTCCGGGAAGTTGCCAAGTGGAAATTGCGGATCGAGAATGGCGCATCGTCGGCGGAAATCTTGATCTTCCAGTTATCATCACGAGAAAGTCTTCCACCAAGACAAGTGCCCTTCAAGAAGTTAGAATCAAGAGCCTTTTAATGTGACATGATGGCTTACTCCGTAGCTGGATCCGTGGCAGCCATTCTTAGGCTCGAGCCCAACGAAGTGGAAGCCTTCGAAGCTCCAATTGTCACCATTGCCCAGTTCAGACAAGTCAAAACCTTTTGCCTGAGCATCAGAGCACTGATTGTTGGTGTTGTCGGGACTAGTGTAGCAGATATCGGTACCCCACCACTAACATCCACGAGTTAGATCTGTGGTCCCAATTGTACAAAATGAAGTACTCACAAGGCCCGACGGATGAGCTAGTGCAGCCCCAAAAAGCGAAAGAAGAGTTATGCTTCTCATGATAGGCAAAACTGTATTAGTTAATGTTGCAATTAAATATGAAAATTAAAGGAGTGAATGACGCTTTAATTGAGCGTGGGTCTAAAAGGAACAAAAACAATGAAAATGAACGGCGGTTGGCGAAATTTGTCGACTGGATGTTGGATGGCGAGCATCAAACCCGGCCAGGACATGGCCCTTTATAACATGAAATGAGATGTTCGGAATAACTATCCCCTAGTCTCCTAGTCAAGCTTTAGTATCAACAAACAAAATGGAATGCAGGCACTCCGATTCAGGAATCCACGATCAATCCAATCGTGAAAGGTCAAGCTCATCACAAAACAGCTGATTGTTTGGGAATCAGCGTGTTTACATCGCTGTAGCTCAAGTGATTGACGCAGGGGGGGACATTCCAGCATAAACGAACCCGAGGGCCAATTAAAAGGGTTGATAACTAGACCCGAGCTACAGATCTTGCTCAAAATCACCCGGCGAGTTCCAAGGGTTGTAAAATTAAGCAAGGAGTAGTGGTTTGAGAAAATAAAATTCAGGAACAATTTCATAGTATCCCACAGTATATCGCCCGAGAGAGATTTCTAACTATGAAGCGAGCTAGGTGCCACGACGAATGTCTTTATTATAATGTAGTCCCATCTATACTCAGGATATCCAAAGTATTGTAGGGGTTCAGCTCAGCAATTCGGGTTTCAGCTGGAAATCTCCAACTTTTTTTCATAGTTCCTATGAAAGTTATCCCGGATTGAAACTGTGGATTTAAGGATCAAATCCTGTAGATGTCGTTTTGCTTGTAGTATCTGCAATTCATGAGGCATCAACAAGTGGAAGAGATCTAGAATCCTAAAGATCCAACTACATTCCTAATCTCGCATTCCACTAAAAGATTGCCTAATTGGTAATCGTCGTCTTCATTTCTCTTGTTAATCGCACGAGATCAAATGGACTACGGCTGAAGGCCCGCATGGAAGCTCGTGTTGACCATGAACATTCCTCTAGGAAGATTCTCAGGGAATATACGGGAGATATCGCACCACAGATAGCGAGGTATATCCATGCTCTTGAGATCCTGTCTAAGTGCATAAATAGAGCCCCATCTCGCAGTTTGTACTGCACATATATATCTCCAGTACAAATCAGAGCTAACGCTCAACATATAGAGATTGTTTGAGTACCCACAATAGGATGATGATTGCAAACAGGCCAACAGCATGTACAAGCAAGATAGATCCTTTCGTAACGGGAGTATTCCTCTTTGAAAGCATGTTAAGTAAGACCCAGAATGTCGACATAGCAATGATATGTTACTTACTAGCTTGGTGCTATGCAGCCTATGCCAGCCTAGAAGTCATAGGGCACACAGCTAAACTCACAGATAAACTGTAGCGGGCATCGCAATGACCTGAGGTTAAACTTACAACTGAAAGATATTCAAGATTCAATACACAGCGGTCCTGGAAGATACAGCCCTTCATGGCTGTAAACAGTACTCAGTGACACCGCACCACGAGTGAAGTGTGTGCTTCAGGTATACTTGTACGCTAATCCGAATTAGGATTAGCGTGAAGATACTGCCTCTTGAGTAGGCGGTGACGCCAAAATGCCCCGCACGGACCCTCAGTTTCGACCGAGTAGATTGCGCATGCTCCGTTTCTCTTTTATCAATTGTTCACTCTCCTCATAATTCTTTGTTGCCCAGCATGTCTGAATCACCCGAAGCACCGGCATCTGCTCCACAGGAGCATGTGAGTGGCTCACCCAGCCATGCTTCCTCAAACATCGAGACAGAAGCCAACAATGACATTGACACCGAGAACGACCAGGCGAAAAAGAATGAACGACACCAAACAACCGAAGAATCAGAGACCGGCGCGTCCAATTCGCGAATTGGAGAGTCTGAACATGCCGAACTGACATCCGCGCCAGCACTCCCCGATGAAGTCCCACCACCACTTCCTGCCGAGGCTCCACCCGCAGTCGAGGACGATGGATGGGAACCTGCATGGGATGTCACCTCTCAGGCATATTACTTTTACAATCGCTTCACTGGAGTCTCCCAGTGGGAAAACCCTCGTGTACCACAGGCCACAGTGGTCCCAGCAGCACCAGGCACAGAAAAGAGCAACCAATTTGTAGCTCCTAAGAAGGAACCAATTATTGGTGGCTACAATCCTGCCATCCACGGCGATTATGATCCCACCGCCCCATATGCGCAATACCACGAACAGCCAGCACAGCCCACGAGCGCAGCAGCTTTCGACCCCAACGCAGCATATGCAGCTACCGGCACATTCAATCGCTTCACTGGACGATGGCAAGCCGAATCAATCAATCCGGAAAACCATAATGATGAGAACAAGTCTCGACGACAGATGAACGCTTTCTTCGACGTCGACGCTGCCGCAAACAGTCATGACGGTCGCAGCTTGCGCGCGGAACGCAGCGCCAAAAAGTTGACACCGCAAGAGCTGAAGCAGTACAAAGAGAAGCGTCGTGCAAAGAAGGAAGAAAAGAGGCGAGCTTGGCTCAGAGATTAGGCGCGTGGTCAACTGTTTGTTTGAGTTTGGGGAGGGCGGGAGGGTTGTTTGATGTATTCTCTCGTTGCCACTGTCGCATTGCAATTTCGGAGCTTATGATACCATCCCACCGGATGTGGGAATCGGCGTTTGAGCATGTTGGATTTGTTTTTCTCTCGGCGTTCTGCCTTGCATGTGGATAGAGGCTGTCAGACAGGAAGTCTGTCGTCTCTATCCATAGCTAAGTAAAGTTATTTGTACAATTTACCATGTATTATCATACGCACCGCCTCAGAACGAGACACTTTCCCGTAATTTAAATACGTATCATACGCGCGTAGTCATTGACATCCAAGGTCCACTTGTTCATTCGACGACATCTACTGATTGTTGTACCGTTGACTGATAGCCCACTATCAGTCACATGACCCGCGATATCAAATTATTTTTTGCGGCCATCACTTCATTTGTTGCAGGAATACTCCACGCTAGAAAGCAAAGAACTGAAAGCAAAGGTAAGATTGAATGTACCCCCTGTTAATTGACTTCTAATGCGTGGAAAAACACCTCAAACACCCATTCCCATCTTGTGGCTGTTGTCCTTGACATCGAAATGCTTATCGACATAAATTGCAAGCATGGATATATCACGGAGGGAGTCATAATATTGTACTATGCAAAACTCTCAATTTCCCCAGAGTCCTTTACGATTTTATGAACCTCGCACCCTTTGTTTTTTTATCACTTGTCTTGCCTCTAATCATGAAACCTGACCTATTACTGACACCCCACTCCAGCTACATCAAATAAAGTGGGATATCAAAAACAACCCCACCAAAAAGAAAGAAGGAAAGAAATAATACCAAAATCTCATCACACATCACACATCATGTCTGCCTCCACTACATCACAGGCAAAGCCTTCAGTGCCAATCGCACTTTCCGCCGAGGCAGTTGATGATTTGATCTATGACGCCCGAGCAGGTGACCTCGAGGCCCTAAACGAGGACATTGCCAACCTCGCCAGCCAACACAGCTGCAACGAGTCTCAGATCGTGGCATCTGCCATTGACATGGCTGACGAGAGTGAGGGCGGCTCGGGATCCTGCATTCTGCACTTCCCCGCTGCGAATGGAAACACTGGTATGTCAACTGAGTGACCTGACTTAAGTTTTTTTTGAGGTTTTCTTTCACATGTCATCTCAAATATTCTATGTTTTTGTTTTGGTTTGCTTCTTGTACATGTATTTGCTAACACTGCTTAGAAATCCTCACAACTCTGCTCCAGAAGCTGTCATCCGCAGAACCTGCCCAGCGCGCTGCGCTCGTTAACCACCGCAACAACTCTGGCAACACGCCTCTGCACTGGGCTGCGCTTAACACGCACTTGGGATGTGTCAAGGCACTTGTCGAAGCTGGCGCTGATCTTGATGTTAAGAACGATGCTGGTCACGACGCTGTGTTCCTCGCTGAGCGCACGGCGTGGGCTGCTGTTGAAGGTGATGAGCAAGCTGAGGCTGAGGGCGATGATGCTCAGACTCAGGAGATCGAGATGACTATTGGTGAGAATGAGGGGGAGGCTGGCGAGGATGCTGGTGAGATGTCTGCGGGCAGACAGGTTGTTGAGTGGCTCCTGAATTCGGATGTTGCTGCTAGTTTGGAGAAGGGGGCTACTGAGGGCGAGGCTAGTGGATCTGCTTGATTTATATCAATAAGATCAGGATGATATTGCCTTTTTTGGGAAAATTTGGAATGATTGAAGAAAAGTTTAAGATTTCACGCATAAAATCGGAGATATGGGTACTTTCTATTCTTGCATATGTTGTTTGTTAGTGTCTATATTAATGCATTTTGATTTTTTTCTATCATAACACCATATTGACTAGGCAGGGCCGGAAATTCTGTTGTAATATACATAACGTTCATATGTTCTCATCTATACATCAATTCAATCACTGCGGACCTTTCCCGTTACCGTTGTGGTAGAAGACAAAACATCCGCAGGTAGAGTAGGGGGATCGATCTCCCGAACTTTTGCATCGAAGCCGACCTTAAAGCGCCGGTCTCGCCAGACGACTGTCACGCCGCCATACACCGCCATGGTCCAGATGGGCAGGGCCAGCAGTTCGCGGCCGAGCCAAGCGCCAAACCATTGCATGAACGGGCGACGAGTAGTTTGGGATGATCGACAGCGTTGAGGCTGAGCGAAAGCTGGAGTATCCTCATCCAACTCGATGCATTTTGCTGAATGCAGCTTAATATACAATGTCCAATCGGTTAGGATCCAGAATATAATGCCAAGTGCGAACAGCACAAAAAATGCACTCCACGTTCCAAGATGGCTAGCAAGCTGCACACCGTTCCGCTCAAGATACGGTACCAAGGCAGTGGTGACGCCCCATGCGCCATAGAATGTACAAAGGAATGACTCAGTGCCTGGTTCGACAAGCGTAGCGAGCAGCACAGTAAATTTCCGGACTCGCAGCCACCGCACACGACGGGCGATGTATGCTGGCACGCTCATGTTGGCAACAGGCTGAATAGCCATGTCACCGAAAACCATGGCATGCTTTCCCCAACGCTCGCGGAGCTCTTTCTCTTCCCGCACCTGCTTCTTCCACAGCAGATCACCGATCAGATGGTCCTCGCAGATGTTGTCGGAGAAGAAATCGATGCCGGGATGGCGATCCCGGGAACCTGAAACCGAGGGATCGGTGAGATAGTTGAGATGGGAGCGGCGGAACATGTTGGATTTTCCCACGATGCACGGCGCAACGAGAACCGTGTTAATCGCGGTGTACATCTTCGCGTGTGCGGAGGACAGGAATAGCTCTTCCAAGCGACCGCCTCCAGTCCCAATCATGGCTGCAGCTCCATCCTCCGGACGGACGGACGGCATCGCTGCGGCTGCTGCATCGGCATCCGTAGATTGCGGGTTGGCATCCACGAGCGCCTGTCGCTCTTTGCGCAGGCTTTTCTCTCCGGTCACATCTACGGCCACGGGTAGATGGTGCACGAACTTGTACTTCTTGCTCGACGATGGTCCAGTCCCGCACAGCCTATCCACCATCCGAGCACAGACTCCCTTACCGACCCAGACATTGCAATCAATGATCCAGACGATATCTCCTTTCGCTTCGCGGTATGCGCGGCTCATATTCCGGATTTTGGGGTTTGGTCCGAGCGTGTATTTATTGATGCCGTCTTGCTGCAAAAGCGGATCTTCATCTTCGACAAAAATCCGTGCGTCGACTTGTGGAAAGTCGGCGATTAGTTTGCAGAGGGTAGGGTAGGCTGGGTCATCGCGCGTCGCTACGCACAGACAAATGCTGAACTTGTCACGCGAATACTCCTGTCGAAAGGTGGCAGCAAGACAGTCATAGAGGTGCGGCTCAAGACCCTTGACGGGCCGGATGACGGTGACGTGCGGCACATCAGAGGCATTCGTTAGGTGAGACCGGTACGGCTGGCTGAGGAAATATTTCCATCTGAGCAGAATTAATTGCGTCAGTTATATGGTCTTTCGAAATAGCAGATCGAATCATACATCTGAAAATACCCCAGCCCGCAAACTGCCAGTATGAACGCATACCAGATCAATGCAATCCAACCGATCGCGACGGACACGTAAAGCGCGCCATCATCAGACCTGAGAAGGAGGAACGAAAAGGTAGGCTTTAGCATGGAACAAGGAAAAGCGACATAAACGCAAATACAGAGAAGGACATTCTGGAGGAGAAGCATTTGGATGCGAGTGGATCGCATTTGTGGCAGTCCGCCGCGACGGCACATATATGCATTGACCAACCAGAGGGCATTCTTTTGCACAAGTACCTTAAATACGAAAATAAACAGTTGCCTATTCACAAAATAGCTGCCTGCTCGGAAGCTCCGGATGCATACTACTGTTGTTCTCTAGGCGAAATTATGTATCTTTTATTTTCGAATAGGAGTATGAAAAAAAGAAAAAAAAAGAAATTGGATCAATAGTTCCCCCAAACTCCATGACCTATCCCATAATACCAAAATCAAATGCAAATTTCCATTAATCATGTTTTCTTCTTCTTCCGGACCAAGCTAGCGTTGAGCACATTGACACCAGCTGACTCGGACGGAGCTGGTTGTGTATCTCCTGATTCATTCGATGTTTGGATTCCATTCACAACGGGTATGTTGTCCTCACCCAATGACTTCTTTCGCTTTCGGATCAATCCGAGATCTAGAATATTGTTCGTATTGGAATTGGCAGGTTCGGAGGCAGTGCTACTAGCGGTATTGCTGCCGATAACCTTCTTGCCCCATGTAAGCTCGTCCCCAAGGGAACAAACTAGGTCAACGTAGATTTTGGTACTGGCAACGACTTGTTTCTCGTCATAGAAATGATCTAGAACCGAATCCATCATCGTCTTGTAGTCTGCTTCGCTGAGAACGACCTGTCCACGTCCGGCCTCTGGCCAGTCGAAAGGGGTGGCAGTGGTAGATCCACCATCCCGATGAAGTTTGGGTGAGATATCAGCGGTTGTCAAATTTGTTGTTGCCTTGGTTAAAGTGGAGTTTTCTTCGGACTGGCCAGAGCCATTCTGCACTTCCTCCTCGTTTGGAATAGCCCCAAAAATCGCTGTTTCATTGCTGTTGTCAGAGGAACCGCGTGTTTGGCTTTCCATGGACGTCGAGTTCATCAAACCAGGGGGATTGATGACCAACCACAGAAAGCCGACCAACCGGCCAGCAGAGCATTCTTGACGGAAAGACATCATCTCCCAGAATTGGTCCAAGGACCGGACGCTGCGCCACTGTCCGGCATTAGGGTCAGCGGGCCGACCTTCGCTCTCCTGGGGAAGTTCACCATCCAGGTCGATGAGGAAACGAGTCTTGGGATCATCGGGGAAACGAGGCACCAAGCAGCGGGGAGGAGCCGAGGGGTCGTGGTACAATTGCTTTAGTGGGTAGCTGTTGAGCCATCGCGGGCGATCCTTCGCATCGGTCTTGGCGGTAACCGGGAAGAAATTGCGTGTCTCAAAGCGATCACAGCTTGGAACGATCAAGTATGCGGTGGCAGAGGCCTTGGCAGCTTCGACCGTTTGATCCAGCGCTTTCGTTTCTTGAAGAGCAGATTCCGGCTCGTGCTCGCGTAAAATTGGATCTAGAACACGACACCACCACTTGATTAGGCCTCGATCGTCTAGAACGTGTTTTTCGGCGTTCTCAATGCTGCCGGGGAACAGATATTGATTCTGGGCGCGAGCGAATAGCGAGATGACTAGACGTACACCGGGCCGTTGGCGGGTTCGAGCCAGAAATGAGAGAAATGTGTTGGAGACAAGTCTCAGGACAGACACTTTGCGTGGCAATTTCAGGAGATGTAGGAAACCGGTCGAGTCGGCCTTGGAGACGAAGATGGTGGTCAAGTGGGCCGTATTGTAGACCATCACTTCCATTCCGAAGATAATTGTTTCACCGTCATCATTGGAGTCAATTGATACCGAGAGAAAATGATTTTCGCAGAAGGTCGGCTCGGAGAGCTGGCCCGGCGCAGCTGCAAAGAGAGCTTCGCACGGAGTGGGTGTTGAGGAGACATGGCGAACGGTGATCTCAACTCCGGTGGGGAGCACCTTGGCCAAGAGATCTCCCAGATCTGCCGCCATTCTTGTCCATCCAATGAGAGTCGTGGAAAAGGTGAAGAGAGGAGCTGGAGACCGCGGAGCTCAATTTCGCGCCCTTGAAAATCACGTGCCAGGAACATGTATGAACTGCCGCTTTAGGAAGATCGATATGTAGACATTTAATTAGAGATTTTTGATCGGGTTCAATTATGTAGGTGGTAATGGGGCAATGAAGGTTTCAGAAATGGGATTGAGACCAGGTACTTATGTAGACTACCTGAGTGATACAGCCGACTATGAAAGAACATGGGGAACGCATGATGCTTTGTGCCTACAAACATGTTACCTCGATACTAATATGAGCTAATCTTTGATATTTGGAAGTAACGGATCTCTGTTCTATCACGAGTTCTTCCACTTTCACCAGTCTTTTCCCACACTTACTCTCTCAAACGCGAGTTAAACCCTCTGCTCGTGGACACAAACAAAACCAAAAAATACCATCAAAGGCAAGCGAGACTAATCAGATCAATATTTTATCGAGTAGACAAATTATATAAAGATTTTATCGAGTATGAGAAACACAGCTCATACAATAATACTAACCTCAAGTGTAACAGAGCCGCAACCTAATCACGCCAAGAATACCCATCAAGATGTCTTACAGACCCTACGGACACCTCAATGGTAACTATAATTGTGTTACCTCACTATACTTGGAAAGACCACTGATAATGCACCCCAGTGCTCGACACCAGCACACAGGAAACCTGCATCCAGTTGCAGATCCGTTATGCTTGTGGTCACTCGACAGGCGGCGAGTTCATCAAATGTCCACGACACATGGAAAAAGAGGATGAACGCTGCCCTGGCCGTCAAATCCAACACATTGATGCCAAGAATTCGTCACACAAGTGCCGCTTATGCCTGCGAAGCGAGTGAGAAATCATATTGTATCCATTCGGTACGGGTTGACTAAGGGCTTTATGTTGGAAGTCTCGGGAAGGGCGAAAACGAAGAGTTTTAAGGCGCATATGAATATCACATTGACGGACGAGCTGGTACTTTTTATCTCTGAATCAAGGAAAATCCTGGAAGAATCTGACCAGGACTATTAACCTAAATCCCAGCGAAAAGCCACATGAGGGGCTTAAATGTGATCGAGTGTATAAGTGATTGTACAACCTTGATGCCATTTCCAGGGCCTGGCGTTACTCAGAAGTAGGAAGCCACAGCATCTAGGTCATCGGCATTGAGCAGAAATACCCCTTCCCTCAACAGAGTCCTCCAGACCAGGTTTCGTGCACGAATGGGGAAATACGGCGTGTTCCAATATCTAGCACCAATTCCGCGCTCATTGGCGGTGGCAATTTGGTCTCGGAGAGCTTTGAGTTGGTCGTCCGAGAGAATTGGGTCCGTATCGACAGTTATCTTGCCAACAGCTTCCTGGAAATTGGTTGAAGCAACAGGCGAGATAACACCAGTTACATCGGCGTATTTGGGATCATTGAGATCCGCGAGAGGCGCATCGAAAAAGTAATCTCGGTCTTTGATGGGTGCAACCATGTCGAATGGTGTTTCTCCCGTGCCAATGACAGTGACGGGTCCATTGGTAACGGTCTTGCCATCCTTCACAGTGGTAAGGTAGCCCTTCTCTCGTAGAGGTTCTAAAGCAGCAATCACAGCCTTGAATGTCTCGGGGCCGGAGGTCTTCACATCAATGAAGAAGTAAAGCGTCTGGTTGGGAACAGTATCCCACACGCCACTGTTTCAACAAAACATTAGTAGTGAGACCATATTGGGCCCTGGCTTGATACTCACTTTTTAGTAGGCGATGATATAAATGGACTCTCGGGGTTCTGGCGCTCTAGGACGTCTAGAATTGGATTGATATACAAGGATTCAAGAGTTCGCGATTTCGTTAGGGAGGATTCATCATGGCCAACCTTGTTTAGTCAGTATGCCACCCAGGATAACAAACAAGATACCATAGATTAACCAAACTCACATAGAGAGTGCCATTGTATAGCCAGACATCAGCTTCGGTAGATGCGCAGCCATGTGAGAGACCTGTGTGTGGTAACGTCAGAGGTAATCAGGCATTAGACAATAGAACTCGGGCATACCGGTATAGAAAGGCTCATCTCGCCAATAGTCACTTTGGTACAGTTAGTATATGGTCAATTGGGAGTAAGCACCATGAGGAATATACTTACTTATGAGAATGAACAGGAATCTAGACATTCGTGGCTCCCAGGGTTAACAACATTGTCCGAATGGCGGAAAGCTCCACAGAGAGTTTATCAATGCATGATAACACAGGTATACTCACAGGTATGAGACCTCTTGTCAGATCAGTGGGATACCCATAGTCTGAGCTGCCGTGGGTGTTTCCTAAGATGCTCTGTAGGCTAGAGGTGATCTCTCCAGCGGCTAGATCCGGACCGAGGAGAGCCACAACAACGCCAGAGAGGAATAACATGTATGCAGAGAGCATTAGCTCACAAAACTACCAGCCAATTGATTGATCTCTTTCACGTATCGAGCTGAAGATGAAAAAGAATGTGGAATTGTGAATTGACTGAATCGAAGAGGCAAATTGTGATGACGATCGGAACTCGAACTCACGTGTTTCCTCGAAGGTCTCCATAGCTAACGTTGGGATGGAGTATTTTATGAGTTGAATATACAGAAAATTGGAGTTCCTCATTTAACCATTTTTATGTATCATATGGTCGATTTCTTAAATATTAGAATAAATACTAACAAGGGCACTCAAGGCGGGGTCAATTAGGGACTGATCGTACTTGTTGATCATTGGGAAAACTACAAGCAAGAGAAAATAGAAATGTATGAATGGTATTTGGCATGAATGCCAGAAGGTGCTAAAAAAACATGAAAATCGCAAGACTGAGACTGTCAGCCAGCGAGCTCAAGGACGTATAATAGCAAGATTGTCAAAGAAGAGGTCAGGTTGTAAAATGAAAACTATGTACGTCACAGAAATATGACCTTAAACCTCCCGCACACTCGGCGAAGAGACAGGTCCGGAGTCTTGTGAGTTCCGACCCCGAAGGCTGAGGTTTCCGATGCGTTGGACCAGGTTGCTGCCCACAGCATCAACTGCACCCTTGGGCGCAAGGAAAGTCGGACCTTGAGCGGCAGCTTCTTGAACTCTGAAGAGTTTAATGGATGTGCCATTCCAGACACCAACTGTCCCTGGAGTTGCACCAGAAGCGGAACCGACTACCATCTCGCTGGAGAAGATGAAGCCCCACAACAGCGATTCGTACCAACCCATGGAAAGTGCGGACCACTCGAACGATTGCATGCGAACGGGGGTGGGCTCAGAGATTATACTTGCAACCTCGGGCTCTTCGGCAAATGATGGGAGGTTGTGGATTAGTGTACGGGCCTCCGGGCTAGCTGCGCTCGCAAGCGCTGCATCAGGTATATGAGGTGCAATGGCTGAGATTATGGTGAGGACCGTATGCAAAGGAAGTTCAGGCAACCAGGACTCGAGCTGGGAGATATCGTTAGCAACGGAAAATCTAGTAGAAAGGTAGTTTGGTCTGCATAAACTTACCCATGGGACGGTTGGTGTGAAACCACTAGCAGAGGGAGTGAATAAAGCAGACATGCTTGTCTGACTAGTCATGCTGTTCTGTCGGGAGAAAGTAGGATGTCCAGCAGGTTTCTTTCCCCGCGCCTTTTCAGACATTGCCCGAACCTGCTGCACTCCGTTCTCATCCATGTTGGATGTCGTGGAGGGCCTCCGTGATGTTTGAGCCGAGAATGATGATTGAGATGGAGTCTGTGCTCCCTCTTCCTCATGTTCATCGTCGGAGTCGTCATCGCCAATGGCAAATGGACTGTTCTCTTCGGGGATTCTAGTCAACGGTGACCGGGCACCCGAGGGAGTGTGTAGATCATCCTCTGACTGTGAAAGTGTAGGGCTGACGGCGACATCCGAAGAACTGCTGGCTTTCCTCTTCTCATTCTGCCGCTCGATCTCTTGCTGGCCACTCTCGAGAGTGAAAGCCCGCACAGCTTCAAACCGCTGCTTGTATTTCAGTATCGAGTATACGAGGTATGGGTTGTCTAGATAAAGTCAGAAACGGTTTGGCCTGAAGAGAAGATCTGGGTAGAAGATTTACCGGTGAATTTGTGCTCGAGGATAATGTTGATGAAGTCAAGCAACGATGCAAGAAGAGTATGGTTGGTTTCGTTGGCCAACAGGAAGCTGGGTGCAGACATGGAAGAGAAAAGTTGAATGATCTTCGAGCAGGCGCTCGGAGAAATGTGTTCGATATAGGGAGCAATGTTGTTGAGGATGATAAAAAGTGCAGGATACACCGTGTCCAGATTCCCCTTGCTGGTTGTCATCAAAGTGTGAATTGACTGTGGCGGTTAGTGTGATATTATGGTTTGAGATGGGAAAAAGACAAACCATGATCAAATAGTCGGCATAAGAACCCCGGAACTTGGGTAGTCGGATCGATTGTGGTAAGGTTTCTTGAGCTTCAAAGCTGTTGTTTAGGCTCTTCCCGAACGTTGGTTCCGCGCTCATTGTCTGAAGGATGAAAACACACATCCGGACCATTCCTTGTTTGGAAGCATCTGTTCTATACTCCATCGCATAGAAGATACATAGAACAAGGAAGTCATGGGACCGATTAGAGTCGATAATAAATGACCGGAACCTTTTGTTGCACTGTAGGGTCTCCCAGAAAAGGACCAACATCTCAGGGGCCCATTTCACCGATTTTTGACTCCCAGGAAGATAAGAAGCAGTAGCTTGCATCTGGTTTAATCAATTAGCATAATGCGTTAATACATGATTTAGCAGAGAATACATACCGGCTGATTCAGAATTCTCGTCATGCCATCCACCAGGAACTGGAAGTCTTGAGGTCTATGTAGCCTGCCGAAGTAATGGCGATAATAATTCTTCGGTGGAGTTCCACGACCATCTTCTGGAATGGGATACATCAAGAGGACAAGGAGAAGTTGCACGCAATAGATCACCAATATCTGTCTGGGATCTTTCCAAACAACATGGTCGTATGGGACTCTCCACGACGCAGGGTTGTACTTCATTGCCTGTTTTAAATTAGCATAGCTCCCGTCGCCGATTCAGCAGAACATACTGTATTGAGAAGAGAGCAGAGTAGAGTCAAGACAGCCTGCTTATCTTGGCAAGTTGTGATGTAAGTAATTGCTTTGACGCCTATGACAGGCAATGTATCTATACTAGTTAGTAAATGTTATAATAACTTGGTTGAATCAGACTCAAGACTTACTAGATGGCAAATACATCGCCTTTCCAGTCAGAGTAAGCATAAGCCGTAGAATCTCGCATCGGTTGCTCTCCAATGTTTTGTTGGACCCCATAGCCGTGTTGCAGCCAACACCACTCTGCCAAATCGAAAAAGAGACCTTGCTCTTCGCAGTTGGAAGCCGAGGGATTGTGAAGTCGGCAAAGAAGAGCAAGTCCAGCAATGTGTCTATCAACTCCTCAGCAAGAGGCTTCACATCTTCGTAATCTTCTGCACGCGGTGATGTCGCCTCTTGAGCATCCTCCGGTTGTGCTTCGTCAAAGAGAACTTCCCCAGAAATCTGTGATTGTCTGGTCCTCCTCTTTCGACGCGCCCAGAAGAAATTATCCTCCCATTGTTCTAGATGCTCCGCCTCGTAAACATAGGGGAGGAGTCGAGTGAGGATCCGAATGCAGTTGAGCGCATCACGCTCGGGGGCAAGATCGGGGTCGGGGAACGATGGGTGATTTTTCAATACAATCAGCCGCGAGGTGATTGCGAGTAGAAGTGTTTGGAAGTTGGGCAAGGCATGATCGCGCGTGCGTCGTATGTCGGCCGGTGTGAAAAGGCTAAAGACATCCTCGGTCGATTCAGGAAGCTCCCAGAACTGCCGGTGTGGTTAGTCCCTAAGTCCCTAAGTCATATAGTAATTTTTGTGTCAGAACGTACTCTGGTCCAGTAGGGGTCGTCTGCGGGGATCTCCTGTTCCTCCGAGAGGCGAAAGATGCCCTGTTTGAAGACAAGCTTGGACTCCGAAGCTCCCATAGCGCAAGGAAAGAGCTGCTAGTCACGCCGTTATGGGCTTCATGCAGATTTTCACAGCAAGCGTTAATGTGTAGGTGAGGCGAGGGCGCTTGCCTGTTTATTTGCCAAAATGCTAGAAGTGGTTGGCTGTCTTTATCGTCCGGGCGCGGGATCTTGGCTTGAACACGGGGTATGGCAGATCGACCAAATGCCACCAAGTACAATTTACAGTGGGCTATATGAGATTACAGCAGAATACTAACTCACTCATACGCATCTCCCTTATCAAAGTATATTCTTACCATTTGTTCACATGTACTCCGTATAAAAAGTCACTTTCAGCAGGGCGGAAAAGATATCCAGCAGCCTTATAAATAAACAAAGATATGTCAAATGAAACCAGCTTGTAATAATAAACCTCGAATTGGTATCCTTGTAATACATCAGTGTGAATGAAAGAACCGCTATGATATTAAACATCACGACCATGAACGACCCAAACGCCCATTCGCCAAATTGTTCAGAAAACTGTAAACAATTACAGAGTTCCTCCACTGGCCGAAAACCGCCGGCTCCTCTCATACAGCCACTTGTTCTTGACTCCCAGACTTCCACGCTTTCCCATAAGCGGGGAAGGCGTACTTGGGCCCATGCTCGAGGTCGACTCTCCAAAGGAGTTACTTCGAGCCAGAGAGGAAGTGGATCCAAAGCTCTGGGACCCAAAGCTCTGAGACCCAAAGCTTTGAGATCCGAAGCTCTGGCGTTGAACAGATTCTCTGCCTCCATTTGAGGTTGCTCCATTTGACATTGCTTTGTAAAGCAGAGGGCTGGAGACAGGTGAGAAGGGTGTGCTGATAGAAGTGCGTCGCTCAGAAAAGCTTGCATTTGCGGACATGGGGGAGCTCTGTCTGCTTGCAGGACTGGCCTTGCGTGAAGTGGAAAGTCGGTATCTGGGTGGGGTAACATATGTTGTCCCAGGAGTTGCTGGTGGTGTGGCAGCAGGATCCAAACCAAGAAGTGAGCGTTGGGTGGGGGTAAGGGGGATATCGGAGAGGTCGTCCTTTGGCCGGAAGAGGGGATAGAGTGCCATTAGAACATTGAAAATGAAGAAGAGCTGGAGAATGAATAGCGGAACTTCCTGATACATATGGTTGGTATCAAAAATTTGGCGTGAGCTTGAAGAGGCTGTTAGCACGCGACGCGACGCACCGGAGTTCTTATCGCACTCACTAGGTTTTGAAGGTAGATCCAAATATCCAGCTGATTGCCAAAGCTGCACCGTTCCAAACCAGCTTCTTCACGTTTTTCTGATCAAACGTAGCTGCATTTTGGCGCCGGACAATCTCATCCAGCTGAGGGTGTCGCCATTTTCCAGGGGTCAGGGTACCCTCTGGGGTGGGAGGAGCAGCCAGCGGCGGTTTCGCTTTCGGGGTTGAAGGAAAAGATTGAGTCGCCATTGCCAACGTGGTGCAGATGATATCGAGGGTGACGAACGAGGTGAAATTGACTCGAGACTAAAATCACGAACTTAGCTACCAATCCGTAGATCCATGGATAATTGCACTGTTTTTTTTTCCTTTCCCTTTTTGACAATACGGATTGAACTCACTGATTTGATGAACTTGTTCAGCACTTACCTGGGATGAAAGAAACACAAGGGGCTGTTAGTTAGTAGTGCACATAATTATGAACAATCGTTCTTCTATAAAGTCATTAGTGTTGTTGACGTATAAGTTGACGATCCTAATGTGGCTGCGCTCGGCGCTCGGCGCTCGAGGAAGGGGGTGCACGGGCATAAGTTGACCCGGCCAAGCTGACACACCCCTTATCGCAGTGCCCCTCAACGTCATAGTCCCCGGATTGTTGACACTTCTTCCTCTCCAGACTGACCAACTAAAATGGCTGACTCTTCAATCGTGGAGAAGCTAGATGCTTTGGTGGCTGATATTCTTGCCGACTGGAATATCTACACTACCCTTGTCGCCGGGATTATCCTCGCCTTTGGGGTTTACTCTGTCATCTCGTCTCAGGATCCAGATATACATCCGTTCCTACTTGCTCGCCAATCGACAGCAGCCCCAGTTCGCCAGCAGGGTGAATCTGCTACGTACAGATGCCTAGAGACCCCACATGGCTTGCCCCTCCGCTTTGGATTGAATGTCAAGGATCCGAGCGCCCCGAAATGGTCCGGTGGTCGAAGAGGAGACCTGCGCGATATTTGGAAGACCGCTGTCCGTGGAGCTCTGAATGAGGATGGTACTATGTCAGGAAAGCAAGGCAAAATCTACACTGTCCTAGGTAGAAAGGCTATCGAGCACACTTTGGACCAGGTGACGCAAGAAATCAACGTTATCGGTCATCATCTCCAAAACTCCGGCGCGAAGACGGTGGCCGTTTGCCTTACAGACTCCATCGAGCTTCTAGCTACAATCTTTGGTACGTGACTTACCGTTCCGTGTGTTATTCTTGATGCCTAACCTTGTGCAATCTAGCTGGCGCCTTCTATGGATACAAGACGGTCATTGTGCCGCACAACCTTCCAGCAGAGACACTGTCAGCACATCTAAAACATGTTCAAGCGGATGTTCTTATTGCTGAAGCTGGATCCCTTGACCTGTCTCTTATCGTCAAGGGTAACAAACAATTGTCGCTCGTCCTTTGGGTCGCCAAGTATGGCAACCGACACATGGATTGGAACGAAATTCCCGAGAACGGCAATGATAGCCTGAAGGTTGCAGTTTGGCATGAACTGGTTGAGGAATTCAAGGACCTCGCTAGCTCCGATGTGCCCCAATACGACCCAAAGACCGAAACCCCTGCTGTCAGCACTGTTTGGCCGTCTTCCTCAGAATCCGGCCAATTTATCGATTTCCAGCCAGAGGTAAGACCAACCAAACTCGTGTGATATCATTTCCACTAACATTTAACTAGAACCTTGTGTCTGCCATTGGAGCCATAACCTCCACCATCCCTCGTACCCAGCGTTTCAACCCAACCGATCTTGTTCTTTCTATCGACTCTCTTTCTCGGTCCTACCCGCTCTGCACAACTATGGCTGCACTGTTTGCCAACTCATCTATCGCTCTTAACTCTGTCGCTGGAGAGAATGTCGATTTTGCTTTGGCTACGCTTGGCGTGTCTCCCACAGTCATTGTTGCTTCGGCGCAAACCATGGCCGAGTACTACAACAATATCATGCACCCGCACACTGGTATCATTTCTTCGGTTGGACGCTGGCTTCAGGCACGGACTTTAGATGCAGGAAACATGCCAACGCGCAACTTTATTAGTCAATTAGCTCGTGTCAGTCCGACTTCTGAGCTTTCGCTAGATGAGCTGCGCTTGCTTTGCATCTCCCACCGCATTGATGCCGATCCTGCCGCGCATCTTACCTCCGAGCAATTGACCGAGCTTAGAATCTTCACTGGGGCTCGAGTTGTGTATGCCTTAACCGGTCCTGGTGTTGCTGGTGCGATTGCCCAGACCAATGCCTTTGACTATAGATGCCTCACCGGTCCTAGCCACTTTGGTGCTCCGCTGAGTAGCACTGAAATTACTTTGACCAACGTCCCTGAGGACTCTCCCGACGGTAAAGAAGAGGGTCAGGTACGTCACACACAATTCCACTGCTTTCATATAGAACTAACATTCACGCCTTTAGATCACTGTCTCTGGCCCTGCTGTTGTCGGCGGCACCACTACCCTTCCCGGCCGAGGCCGCATCAGCAAGGACAATACATTGGAATTGTGTTCCTAAGCGTGTCGCTTCCAAAGTGGGCGTTTGAAATAGCATTTCCTTGGAGCGTACTTGAAATTTTTTGAACCACCGGAATGGTTGGTAATGAAATTGACCAGACTATTGCGTACATCTGAAGTAGCATCTAGCGGGGTCAGATGTGGCAGGAAATAAAATATCTATTCTTTGAAATACACGGCCAGCTCCAAAATATCTGTGAAGTACAGTAATATACATGCCAATATGGCTCAATCAACTCCAAAAAAGAATCACAACGCTGCCTTTTTCTCAACATTTTATTTGGCGTTTTCCGAGAGCAATTGCTTAACCACACTGTCATTAAGCACATCAGCGTTGTCGAATCGCTTCAACTGCGAAATCAGGACAGGCTTAAGCTCATCACAGCGAGCCTTGAAAGTCCCAGTCTCTTCTGATACTCTGGGCAACTGAAGGGCCTTAAGCATGCCGTTGTAAAGGGCAAGGTTCTCCTCAACTCTCTCAATGTTCCCGAAGCGACTGGTAGGCGCATCGTCCTTGAAATTTCCTCGGGACCAGGCTGCATCAAGCTTCTGAGCGTAGCCACGGACCAGGGACCACTCGGCCTCCTTGAATTCCGCACAGGCGGCACTAAGTTCCAACAGTGTGCCGATAACGAAAGGCTGGTATTTCGGGTCGTTCGCGATATCCCGAATGGAATGTTGGTGAGAATCCATCAGGCTGGCTGCCTCTCTCGCCAATTTCAGAGCTTTGACGGTTGCGGGACCCTTGAAATCCGCCTTCATGGCTGTCCGGTGAAGCTCGAAGAACAGACGGCGAGCGATGTTCCTATTGCCGAGACTCAAGCCAGTGCGCGAGGACTGTTTGGCGCACTCGATAATGGTTGAAAGCTTGCCAGCCTCGCTGGTTTTGCGAATGAGGAGCTCCCATCGATTGCTGTTCATTCTATAGTTTGACATGTGGAGCCCACTGACGTACGGGAAAAGGTTGCTGAAGTTTTTCGTTTCGAACATTATCTTGAAAACCTGGAAAGCCTCTTTCTTCGATGGCAGCTCGTGGTGCTTCTTGGGCGTTAGGGTGAACTCTTCGGTCTCGCTGATCTTCACGACGATCGGCTCGTTTTCCAATTGCTTCGCGTATTTCTGTCTGAACACGCTCTTCTGTTGTCGTTTAGGGAGACCAAGGGGAATGAACACCTCATTGCGGAACCGCTCTAAAGACTCGTTTAACTCAGGGGAGGATGTTTGGGTGAAGGTTGGGATTACTGTTCCGGCCATTTCCGATTAGAGTTTGATACCACAATGGATAAATTAATGCATACCTGAGTTCGAACCATAGCTACGGGCTTGCATAGGTCTCAGAATGGACTGGCGCACCGAGCTGGTGGTGCTCTGGCGGAAGAGCCTGCTCATGGAGATTTGAGCCATCATGTGCGATCAGAGGCTATGTATAGAGTGATGCAGGGTATGAGGGTAGTAATTGATAAATTGACAAACTTATTCCCAAAGCAAGAACAAGAAAACACGATGTTGATCGGTATCGTGGAGAAAAAAAATACCCGCGTTCTCTGTCCCCGAACGGGCCATTGAAGGCTTGGCGGGAATTCTGCCGATCCGGCCAAAACTCGACTCCGACTTTCTTGACTTGACATCCTCATCACAACCATGGCAGCTCTACCAGTAATGCGCCCGCTGGGCTGCTTAAGGTCCCTGGTGAGGGCTGCAGAGCCTATCCAACCCTTCATCAACCGTCGCTTCATTTCGACGGCCTATTCGAAGAGGCCCCCACGGGTACCTCTTCCCTCGAACATGCCCGAGCAGTTCCTATCTCAAATACCTCTTCGCTTCCGTCCGGATCCCGGTATGTCCTTCTCAATTGAGCGGAAATGACGCGAGATTTACTAATTATCGCTATCTCATGTAGAGCGTGAACCCCTCAAGATCTACCCTGCTCCGCCATCTGCTCGCAAAGCATGCAAGGACCCCATCGCAGCGGTTACCGAGTCGCAATTGGCAGTCCTTGACCCCACGGGTGAGCGCAAGGCAATGTTCGACTACCGACGAAACCCGCGCAGTGTCAAGACAGGCGATATTGTACGAGTGACATTCAAGAACGGCGACCCATTCAACGGAATTGTTCTGAGCATCAAGTTGCGCGGAATTGAAACCTCGTTCCTCATGCGAAACGAACTCACTCGTGTCGCTGTTGAGATGTCGGTCAAGGTCTTCAGCCCCAACGTGAACAGCGTGGAGATTGTCCAGCGATCGGAGAAGAAGCGCAGAAGGGCGAGATTGTACTTCCTCAGGGACAAGAAGCACGATCGTCGCAGCGTGGAGAATGTTGTGGCAAGCTATGTTCGCCAGAAGAAGGCCTTCTTGGGTGGTGGCAATCGTCGGAGGTGATTGAGTTAGAGGGCGTCTGGCGTGGCCCTCATTTGCATACATGTGGCTGTATTACTACCTATCATTTTGTACTTCATCTGTGTTTATAAATTGCGATATCAAATACAATTTTGAGCCTTTCTATTCTACCGCACGCGCCACTTCCCGACTCTTCAACGCTCTTCCCGGCAATTTTTGTTATTGTTCTCAACTATGTGCTAGATGATAGCTCGACGTCTGCCTCGAAAAAAGAATTAACGTCTCTGTTCAAGTTAGATATGTGTTGTCCCTTGCAATACAACTTATTTTCTCTTAAAATGTCGGCAATCTAATGAAAGCATTTCATTTCAATCTTTCAATACCTCTTCAAAAATTCGGTCCTTCCATGCGTGAAAAAAACGTCTCATCTGTACATCTTGGTGAACGAATGTATCACGCCCTTCATCCAAAAAAAGGATTCTCAGACCATTGCCAGTATCTGGCCCTACTTCCAGTGTATCGATTTTCCCATTCGAATCTTGCGAGTCAAGAAACCCCTTTCCGTCATTTGCATAGATCAAGACCGCCGACGCAGTCTTCGAGTCCATATGATTGCCGAAAAAGGAATCTTTTTCAAGAAACAATTGTTTTCCATCCTGCGAATCAGTCAGCACAGCCATCGGAATTGAAGGGCACAGCACTTGCAAGGATTATGGCCATGGCTTCGTTTTCAAGGCCCCTGTCATCTTGTGCATAAGCCCAGTGAAATACAGCTCCATCAGGTGTGTTCATTATTTCTGTGAATCCGTCAACTGGAATTTTTATAACACAACGTTCGAGATCTTGCCTGGTTGGATGTTTGTGGTATAAAAAGGAACGCGGGGCGTTGCATCTACAGGTTATGGTCGTTTTCTCTAGTAGTTAAGTGAAGGAAGGTTATTTTATCAAGGTTACTCTGCATCGTATAAACATCTAGTCTTGTGTGTTCTTCCATGTTTCGTACAACCAATAGCATTGACCCGTGACGACCGGCTGTCTCACAGACATGGATTCTATATTCTGGTCCAACAAGGATGTGAGTGATCCTATCTCACTCATTGCCATTCCCCGATATGTGACAGTCCAATCATATTTCGCATACTACAGTAGATTCAATGTCGTACTGTATCGTGCATCGGTCCTACCGCCGTCCAAATTCTATTGGGGCATCTAGTCTGAGGTCTCTTGCTATTAGAACATTCAATAGATTAAGCTTCGACACTCGGAGTATTCTTTTCCCTTTCTCTTCTCCGTTTTCTTCAAAGCTTTCAATAGACCGTTCTTTCCCTCCTTCACGGCGATTTCAATAACTTCATGATCTATACCGGCCAGGGTATTCCTCGGTTTCTTTCCTTAATCTCATACTATTCAGAAACAGCCCATAGGCAAAGAACTCGATGTCGGAGTCCCGTGTCTAATATGAGGGAAGTAGCCTAAGACGCTGGCAAAATATTTGTCTTCATAGCTGTCGTATCTTTCGTCTTGATGGCTGTTATTCCGTGATCTAAACAAATAGGATCCAGGGGTTACTTGTGCAGTTGAATCTAGATACAGCTATAAATATTTCAATGATATCCACTCCAGTGTTGTATTTTGTAAATGCTCGAACATGAAGAAGGGATCCCAACAATTAATATATGTATCGGAAGCTGTTGGGGACCGTTAGATTTCTTATTATCAGATTTGAATGAGGAAAGACATACTTCAAGTTTTCTCGGTCCGTCAGATCCAAAAATGCAGTCGCATCCAGATCTCTCCCCTCGAGACCACCCTCCATCTGGGACTGGATACGATCGCGCTTTTGATTTTCCCAGCGCAACAATAGACCAAGGACACTGATCAAGACGGCCTCGATCAAGTGCGAGACAATCATGGACCAGATGCCGAGGGTGTAGGTAGGTCTGAAGTTCGAGTTAGCAAGTTTGTTCGGGAGAGAGTTTAATAATCCTTGAAAGAAAACGTACGATTGATCAGTTTTGTAGAAGAACGGCCCAGCAATGTTTCCAGTGCAGTACCCCAAGAAGAGCACGGCGTTAGTGACAACTTTCTTAGTGTGGCCTAAATACCAAGTAGCATTAGTCTGTGTAATCTTGTGAATTTAGCATCAACCGAATTGAAAAGTCACTTACCAGCTGTGTTGGCCATTTGCATACTTAAAACAAGTACAAATGCAGCATTGTACGGGCCTGTAAGGTAATAGCAAATTAAGCGGCCCACACTGTGCTCGACGGGAACAAAGCGAAGGCCAAATGAGCCGGCAATGTTAGGGATCAGGAAGATGAGCACAAAAATGCATCGTCGATTCTGGAAGCGGTCATTGAGATAGACGCATGTTAAAATCGAGATAGCAATGATAAAGCCGTACGGAATCTGTGGTATATATGTGTTAGCGGGATAAATGTAGATACCAAATTAATCTTACCTGCATAAGAGTGGTCACCAACGTTGAGAACCCAAACCCTTGAATAATGATGGTGCCAAAGTTCGAGATGCCACCATTGGGAATATTGCCTGCAGAGAGATGTCAGTTAATGCAACCAATTTTGACATGGCACGGGTCACATACAAACAACGCCAAGAATAAAAAACATGTAGAGCTTATAGTCCATGAAAGCCTCCACAATCTGATATGGCTTAAGATGCTTGTTCTCAACACCAGTCTGATTTTCTCGTATACGCTCAACCGCCATGCGACGTTCTCTCTTGGTAAGACCACGAGCTGTAACGGGTGAATCGGGGAGGAATGTAAACATGACAATACCCCAGGCAGAACACAGGGCACCACTGAAACATAGTTAGTAAATGAGTAGTTTCAATAAGGGCGCCAGCATACATCACAATAAACTCGTACTTCCAAGACGGTAGTGCACCTTTCAGATGACCAATTCCATAGCCGAGTAGCCCACCCAATGCAATACCGAGACCATTTGCTGTATACCACAGCCCAAGACGTACTGGCTGTTCACGACGCGTATACCACATGCTCGTGATGAGCATGAAAGCTGGGTCAGCGCAGGCTTCGGCTGCACCACCAAGGGCTCGAAGGACGGCGAGGGTCTCAAAACTGTTACAGGCAGCTTGGATCATGAGGAAAACACCCCTTGAGCCGGAATGTTAGTGTCTGGCTGTGGTATCTTCGATATCAGTCTAACAAACCACATGAAAATATTCGCACCCAGATATTTCCCTAAACACGTATCAGATGGATCTACAATCAAATTAGTAGAAATGTGATGAGAAAATCATACCAATTGGAAGACGCTGCATCAAAAAATTGGTAGGGAATGCCCATGCTAAGAAACCGAAATAGAAGATACTGCTCAGCCAGCTATACCGCGTTCCATGTAGATCGAGATCTTCTCGAATCCCAAAAATAGCAGCGTAGCTCAGCGTTGTCTGTTCTCAAAACGCGTGGTATTAGTACAGAATTTCGGCCAAAAAGGTGAGAGTAGGAAAACAATCTCCAATGAAAGAGACTGACCTTATCAATGTAGAAGAACGCATAGCAGACAGCTAAGTAGGGTAGGATCATGAAATCAATCTTCCACAATAGCTTTCTCGCCTCCACAGGATCGACTTCTTCGTGAAGATCACTGGGGTCATCGAACAGCGCCATAGCCGTGTCACCATCGGCGTTTTTGGCAGATTTAAATTTAGAGTGTTCATGATTGCTTTCTGCGTGGGTGATAGTGGGAACTTCAGCAATATTGGCCTTGGAGTCAACACCTGGGGGAACATGGTCTGCCATAGTGGAGTTACTTCTGTATAATAGGAAGCGGAGAAGAAAAATCTATGAGATTGGGCTAGGCGATAAATATATAAAACGCAGGACAAATGCCGGAGGATGGGACGGGACGAAATGTATAAAGTGATAATGACCACCTCGGGACGACACCGAGGCTCCCCCTTGATTCAAGATAGCCTTGGAAAGAGTTGAAAGCGCAGCCATCTGTGATTTCCCCGCGTTTTGCAGAGCTTACCTGCCTCAAAGGGACTAGCAAAGGATCTGAAAGGATCATCTGCGGGGAAGACCCCAGAACGGGGCCCCCACGCGGAGACGGTACGCGAGTTGATATGGTCAAAACGTGGGGAAGGTTGGTCTTGGCTGACGAGTATTCTGTAGACCTGTTCAATCTGGTTTATTGCGCTAGTATATCTTGACGAATCTGGCTGAAGGCCAAAGTTTGCCTAGCACAAAGGCTGCTACTATGGTCGGTGGAAGTCCGAAGACTCAGGGATTATCCCGCTGGACTGGTCGCTTCTGGAGTTATTTACCCCCAAATGCTAGGTTATGATGCAGGCTATTACATACCAAATAGGCCACTGTAGGTTTTGCCTAAGCTAGCCTTCGCACCTCGGTTTTATACGGCAAATTTTGAAACGGGAAAGCAGTGTGCCGAAATATATAAATACGCAGGAAAATTAAGACAACACCAGTCAGGAAAAATGAGAGAAAGAAGGGGGAAGAACACTCATTATGAAGCAATTTCACAGATGAATGCTAGAGATAATTTCACCTGAATGTAATATCCTCTATCAATCCTCAAAACAAGCAAGACGCTCTTCTATAATACTATCAGGAAGTCATTTTCGATATTTTTAACGTAAGAATTCCCTGAAGCCGCCAACAAAGCTACAATATATGATTGAAGGAGTAGGATATACCTTTTTGTGAATATATACCGGGCTATACGAGAGGTAATCTATATATTAACTCTACATTAATATAGTAAGTTTTGCACTACTAAAGCTAAGGCTTAGAGGTAGGGGCTTTGTTATAACATGCCCCTGGACTGGCGAGTCACTCTGGCTTCGACTCTACGGACCTGCCAACCTTGGAATCCGTTGATTATGAATCTACAAAAGTCAAGAGAGTAAACGATTATTGAGAAAAAATAACAAGATAGTATATATTTATACAGCTATTTAGCAATGCTTTAATGGGTTGCATCGATGCTAAGATAGAGACGCGAGCTTATCCTTCATGAGGGCTGTCGTCATACTCGGCAAACTTGCGTGCCGAAATCTTCTGCGTAAACATATGATCCAGCTGCTCAAAGGTCCGGCCTTTGGTCTCGGGCAAGCAGAAGTAAGTCCAAACAGCGGCAATGATCGAAAATGCAAAGAAGATGAAGCCTGTCTTGCCGCGGAGGTTACCCTGATCAGGGTTAATCATGTAAGGCACGGTAAGAGTCATGATCAAAGTCCAGAAGTTTTGTGTGAAGAAACCAATGCTGACAGTGTATGAGCGCAGACGAGTAGAAGACATCTCTCCGCAGATGACGTATCCAAGAGGTCCAAGGGTAAGGTCGTAGAAGAAGTTCCAGATGATAATCAGAACACACTGTCCCATAGCAACCGAGGAGTTGTAACCTGGTACAACATCGAGAATGCCAATGACGAGGAGAATGACAGTCAGAACAACCATGCCGGGGAAGAGAGCTCGGCGACCGATGATGTTGATGACCCACCATGAGCCGATGTTTCCAACGACGCCAACTGCGGTCACACCAACACCCATGTCGAACGAGGAAGAGGTAGGGATACCAGCGACTATTGGAAATAATTTATTAGTAAACAGAAACGATTTGTCAACTTGGGTGGACTTACTCTGGAAGAAGTAGGTTGAGTAGCTGAGCACAAAGTTGACACCACTGAAAGAGTTGATGGTCCAAACGGCCATGATGATCAGGGTGCGACGAAGGTCAGTTCCGCGGAAACAATCAATGTATCCAGCGGAGTTTGCCGATTCCTCTTCAATGCGAACTGTTTCCTGGATCTCAACGAGCCAGGAATCAATGTTGCCGCCAGTCTGGAAGCGTTCGAGAACCTTCTTGGCCTCGGCGTGCTTGCCCCTTTGGACACACCAATAAGGGGATTCGGGGCAGAACCATACGCCAGAAAGAAGGATGACGGGGAAAACCCACTGGAAAGCAAAGGGGATTCGGTAGGCAAAGGTGTCGGTCCGCGCACCGAAAGCCTTGATGAGGCAGTTTCCGAGGAGCTGACCGACTACAACAAAGAGGTTGACCATGGAAATAGTGATTCCACGAAGGACGACAGGGCAGGCCTCAGAACAGTAGGCACAGGCAGTGACAAGGAACATGCCGAGTGAGATACCGTTGATCAGCTTTCCAGCAAGGAGAACACCAGGAACGAAGGCAAAGAACTGGATGAAGACGGAGCCAATGGAGATGAAACAGGCAATGGTCAAAGTCATTCTTCGGCCTACCCAAGGAGAGATAAGACCACAGATCAGACTTCCACCCATTCCACCAACGGTGGCAATCATATTGAAAGCAGCTTGCCATTCGGCGGGAAGGATAGATGTGCCATCAGCTTGGGTGTATCCAAACACCGCACGGAATTCAGGAGCGGCAAGGAGGCCTCCACTGATCTGCATATCATAACCCCATAGCACGGCAGAGAAACAGAAGAATAGACTGTATAACATGGAATTGCGGTAATTGGTCAAAGCAACCTTCAAGCTCATAGCAGATCCGGAGGCCTCTTCTGTCTGCTCTGACTTCTTCATATCGGCGAGATCCATATCCATGGTAGCGGGTGTAGCCTCCATATGGACACTGTCAGCAGGCTTTTCCTGCTCAAGACCCATAATGGGAGGGAAGAAAGGGGAAAAAGAAGAAGAGAGGAACAAAAGTGTCCGGGGGGAATTTGAAAGTGAATCGAACAGGATAATTCAAAAGCTTGTGCTGCTGTTAGGTGGGGATATTCGTAGTATTTAATACTCCAGGATTCTCATGCCATGCGTCTTCCTCCGCATTCTTCTAGCCCGGCTTCGGGGTATGAAATTTCGGCCCCGGGTCATGCTCACAATCTGGGGAAATTAGCTGACGAGTTAACTGCCAAGTTAGTTTTTCCCAAGTGGAAAATGGACCCAGTTTGACGGGAATGAGACATTTCACGGCTTGCCGATATCCCCGTCTATATCTACGGGTCCACGTGACCGGACGTGATTGGACAGGGTCCCGATTTTTCTTCTTTTTCTCCAGTTTGTGGATCATTGGGGACACTCGAAGACTTTTAGATCGTCCACATTCTTTATCGGCTCCGATACACGCGGTGCCGAGAGCCCCGGTTGATGTTCACTGGTCAAAGAAGATCCATTCTCTCCGCAAACCCAACCCCACAACCCGTCGGCTCCGTTAGACCCGCGATAAAGCTTGGAGAGCCGGGGATAACTACATGCCGACGAATATTTTACATCCACAGGGTCCATAAAATGTGTAACATAATCCCAATTGCGATGTTGTGCGAGGTACGACGTCATATACTCCAACCCTCTGTTATAAAGGACGCAGAGTAGCAAAAACTGCCCCCTCCCTAGACTACCTGAGCAGTCCGAATTTATTCCCTTAAAATTCCTAAATTCTACTATGAGCGCTCAAGTCGAAAAAATGGCCCTACAGGCCGATCCCGAGCGGCCCGATTTCATGAATCCCGCCGTCTTTCGCAGAAATACCCTTCCCGCGCGTTCTTATCACATCCCCTCTACATCTCTACTTCTCAATGGAAACTGGGAGTTCAATATGTCCCGGTCACCACCGGAGGCACCGGAGCCTAGCGACAAGACCTCCGACGAGGACTGGTCCAGCATTGTGGTTCCAGGACATTGGCAGTTGCAGGGCTGGGGAAGACCAAATTACACCAACACACAATTCCCGATCCCAGTGTGCCCTCCTTTTGCACCCACAGAGAACCCCACGGGTACATACCGTCGTAATTTCCAAGTGCCGGCCGAATGGAAATCCAACCACCCAGAAATTCGTTTGCGATTCGACGGTGTCGACAGCGCGTACCATGTTTGGGTGAACAAGTCCCTGGTCGGATATGCGCAGGGCAGCCGAAACTCCTCCGAATTCGACGTCACACCTTTCTTGCAGGAAGGTGACAATGAAGTCTTTGTCCGGGTCTATCAGTGGTCAGATGCTACTTATATCGAAGATCAGGATCAGTGGTGGCTATCCGGTAAGATTTAGATTGCGAAATGCCACAGAGGGAAGGAATCATCTACTGACATAGTAATAGGAATTTTCCGAGATGTCACTTTGATTGCATTCCCCGCCGCCGATCGCTTGAATGACTGGTTCATTCGTACAGACCTCGATTCCGAATACAAAAATGCCACACTGCTTGCCACGATCAATTACCAAGTCTCGGAGCAAAGCACTATTGCACTCAATTTGATTGAGTCAGTGGATGGCAACCGTCATGTCATTACTTCCACAGAGTGCACCGTGGAGCCAGCAACATCCGCCGTTGAATTCAGCTTGCCTGTTGCCAACCCCAAGAAATGGACTGCCGAGCAGCCGAATCTGTATGAGGTTGAGATGATTCTGACAACTCCTTCATCCAACAAGATCTTCAAGACTACACAGCGCACTGGTTTCCGCAAAGTCGAGCGCAAGGGTGGCTTTATGACTGTCAACGGAATTGCAATTCAGCTTCGTGGAGTCAACCGACACGATCACCACCCGCTTTTGGGTCGTGCTGTGCCGCTCGACTTCATAAGAAAGGATCTGCTTCTCATGAAGGCTCACAATATTAATGCCCTTCGCTGCAGCCACTATCCCCCCGACGCTCGCCTTCTGGATATGGCCGATGAGCTGGGCTTCTGGGTTATCGACGAAGCCGATCTCGAATGCCACGGTTTCTACGACGCTGTCTCACGCCCGATGGACATGGACGAAACTCTTGGCTACGAGGAGCGCAAGGCGATGACCTTCCCTAAGTGTGGTGCCCCCACATCAGACAACCCTGCCTGGCGGGAAGCCTACGTTGATCGCGCTCATTCTCTGATTCAACGAGACAAGAACCACATTAGTGTTATAATTTGGTCTATGGGCAACGAGTCTTTCTTCGGTACATGCCACCGTTCCATGGTAGACTACGCCCGGGCCTTCGACAACACTCGCTTGATCCACTACGAGGGTGACATAGATGCGGAAACCACAGACATGTTCAGCTACATGTACCCAGAACTCGAGCGCTTGAGGAGACTGGCAGCAACCGAGGGAGTTCAAGAGAATGGCGAGTTCGACAAGCCTATCATTCTCTGTGAATACGCTCATGCCATGGGCAACGGACCCGGCCTGCTTACCGATTACGAGAAATGCTTCGACGAGATCCCGCGTTTGCAGGGTGGTTTCATCTGGGAATGGGCTAACCACGGTTTGTGGGTCGAAGGCAAGGGCGAGAAGGGCGGCTTCTATGCCTACGGTGGTGACTTCGATGACTACCCCAACGATGGAACATTCGTGATGGATGGTCTCTTGAACAGTGTCCACCAGCCTCTGCCCGGTCTGTTGGAGTTGAAGAGAGTCTTTGAACCCGTCAAGATGGAAGTCCGTGGACAGGTCTTGGCTCTGAAGAACCGATACAACTTCTTGGACCTGAGCCACCTCCAAGCTTCATACAAGCTTGAGTTATTCGACAACCAGTGAGTCCACATCTCTCGTTTCAATACATTGAAGAAAAGCTAACATTGCAACCTAGAACCACCACCTTAGCAACTGGCTCTCTCGAGCTGCCCTTCGTGCCTGCTGGCGAATCTGCCGAGATTTCTCTACCAGCAGAGCTCTTCCAGCACAACGCCCACCCAGCCTACTTGACCGTCACTATTGAGCAACGTGAAAAGGTTGAATGGGCTCAGGATGCTTATGTCGTTGCTTGGACACAGGAGTTGGTCTCGAAGCCAACCGAGAATACCCCAGTCAAGAGCATCTCTACTCAGGATGCTATCTCGACCACCTCCACCAAGACCACTGTTTCTGTCAGCGGAGCCAACTGGTCCTTCGAGTTTGATAGCATTCGCGGACACCTCAAGAAGTGGATTTACAACTCTACTTCCATCCTTGAGCCGTCTCCCGAGACAGGCCTTGCCATGATTCCCGGCTTCTGGCGTCCTCCTACCGACAACGACGTTCCTTCCGCAATGCCCTACTGGAAGCGCTTCGGAGTGAACTGCCTCACCAACCAGTTCCGTTCCTTCAAGACCTCATCCTTGGAGGATGGAAGTGTCTGCATCGAAAGCGAGACCTTCCTCTCCCCTCCCGTCCTTTCCTGGGGATGGAAGTGCATTTCCCGTTATACCGTAAAGCCCAATGGCTCATTGTCCATCACTGTGGACTTGAAACCCACCGGCGCCGCACCGGATACCGTTCCCCGACTTGGCCTCAACCTCCGCGCCAACTCTGATCTTCAGGCCGCACGCTGGCTCGGACCCGGTCCTGGAGAATCCTACCCCGACAAGAAGGTCTCCCAGAAGATCGGCTTGTGGAATGTGGAGGACATCGAGTCCCTGCAGACTGTTTACGATATTCCTCAGGAGAATGGAAACCGTGGAGACACTGCTTGGGTGGAACTTGTCACTCCTAATGGCACTGGATTCCGCGCAAGTCCGCAGGAAAGCACAGTTGTGACTGGAGGAACAGCTACCTTGAACTGGACTGCTAGCCAGTACTCCGATGAGGCTGTTGAGGCTGCACGACATCCTTGCAATCTTGTCAAGGATGACGCCGTGTTTGTGAGATTGGATGACCAAGTTGCGGGTGTTGGCAGTGCCGCCTGTGGCCCTGGTCCTTTGGATGAGCATTTGGTTAAGGTGCAGGATATCACCTTCGGTATGCTGTTGGAGCCTGTTTCTCTGTGAATAGTAGGAATTTGGACTTGTATTTTTTAAATTAGATGAAATGACATTTATACCCTTCATATCATTCACTGGGAACTTCAGTAGGACGTTGTTCAAAGTGTAGATCTAGAATAGAAATCATTTTACAGCCATCCAGTCTTCTCAGCCTGAGAATTCAAAAAGAAATGCCTTCTCAATAAACCTACTGCTAACCGTGACCCACTCAAATATTTCCTCCCTGTGAACAGCTTCCCAGCGGAAATTACCATAACTTCAGACTACAGGTAAAGCCACTATTTTGATATTACCTATCAAGACGGTAATTATTACAACGCAGCGATCGTCTAACTCTGGAACGTCTCTGCATTTGCAAAATGATGTAGGGAAAACCTATAAAATTGGGGAAACCCATACCGAGACTAGTTCAAATCAAACCATCCCACCTCGAGTCCGAATTGAATAAAGGACTTTGAAATCCTGCACTAATTATCACTAAATTGGAATGACGTTGATGGGTTTGTGGCGCTCACATACCTTCTCCGCTTCGATTAAGGTCGTTACGACACCTGTAGGGGCATATTTATACCTGTTTCATCTATATATCTGTCAGCCATCCGTATCGATATAGCCGTGCACATCGCGTTATCTGAAAATTAAATACTCGCGGGCCATATCTGCATCTGTTAGCTATATATAGCCATATACCTCTAATTCCAAAGGGAAATACCCACAGGCTATGCCAACCATATCACTTAGCTGCCTAATGATATAGCCGTACATATCTTTCTCCATATTAAAGAAAAATACTGACACACTATACCCGCCACATCTGTTAGCCATTTATGTTCACATAGCCATGCACTGCTAAGCTCAAATGCAGATGAGTTACTCGCACACTACCCACCACAACTGTTAGCCATCTATATTGATATAGCCGTACAGCATTTTCTCCTCACCGATGGAAATACTCACGGGCTACCCCACCAGATCTATTAGCTAACTATATTTATATGGTCATGCACTTCTTTCTTTACCTGGAAGGGAAATACTCACACCATTCTGTATCTACAGCAACAGTCAGCAATCTATATTTAGGCAGGTGCTGATTGACATATGCTAGAGATAAAGAGCATGAAGATAGAGGGCAGATTATACCTGGCGTTTATCCATCACAGCTCCTGCAGCTGGCCCAGTTGGAGCAGCCACTGCCACACCAGCGATAATTGCACAGATAAAGATAAAACACCAGATTATATAAAAATCTGAAATTGTTTTAGGACTAGGGGATTTGGAGTTGGATTCAACCTCACATAGGAAAATATATGTAGACAAAGTGAGCTGCTAGGGATCAATACTAACGTGGGTGTAATGGATAAAATTCGAGGATGGGGGGCTTATATGTAGAATTGGACACGCAGATATGATAAACGTATACCCGGTGTTCCCTAAGGAAGGAGGAAATCAATAGCCGTCGGCATCGGATCGTGGAATAGCGATAATAGGCTGCAACAAACGGGACTAAATGGGTCCCTGGTTACCTCTGGTTATCCATTGTAGATTGTCAGGATTCCCCTTGATTGGTCTGCTTGAAAGATGCTGGAGTCTACGGGGAATTACGATACTGTAACAATAGCTTAAGGCTTCAAGACTATCGATTCTCTTTTGACCACACGCAACGGGATTGGCTGAATAAAGTTAAGTGGGAAGGAGTGCCAAGGACGCTTTTATATTTAGATGCGGAACCCTAAATAGATTGGATAAACAGATGGATTCCAACTCCGTGTAGAGAATTCGAAGTGGGGTTGACTTCGATAGACAATATACTTCTAGGAAGGATAATATATAATAGACCAGGTAGCCAGATTCATTGTATGACCATCCTTTGTCTCTTAGGCTTCAATTCGGGGGGAACCAAGGGAAACCAGGAACCCGGGAAGTTATTAGGCGCGGCGGGTAAAGCCAATGGAAACACTCTAAATCTCATGCATCCTTGTATCTTCAGGTAAACCAGGCAATCTCGATTTGAGGAGGCCCGCTTTCCCACAGTCTACCATGAATACTTAGATTTACTACGGAGTACTATGTAGTAAACTTCGAATGTCACGCGCCATTTTGATATCCACCCTCGCTCTAAAAAAAAGCAAGTATCTTCCAAGATTTCTGATACCCGGGGTTGAGGGGTTGACTACATATTTACGTATAGTTCGAATCTGTTACTCTTTCCGAATCCGGAAAGGATATAAAACCTCAATTCTTCGCTCTGACATGAGTTTTAACTTATAATTACACTATCATTCTCTATAAAAACGACTGAAAATTGTGGATTTGAAAAAATAATAGTGTGTAGCCCACGTGTAGCCCACACTCAGCCCACACCCCTCCAAGGGGGGTTGCCAAGGGGGTGTGGGTGGCTCTGGGTGGGTTGGAGGGCGGTGCCACGAAAAAATGACATCACGTGCGTCCCCGCGTTGGCATCGTTCACATCAATCCGACTTTTCCACGCGTGTCTTTGCCGCCTGCGCCGTTGATTGATTCATTAGCTGCCAATTGAAGCTTATTGTTGAAGCTGAGATTGTTGGGGGGAAAGATATCCCTGATATCAGCATCCTGGCTCGAAAATGAAGAGATTCAGGGCGGCTCGAGCGGTTTGTCTCCCGTTTTCCCTTGCCGGGAACTAGCTTGAATCGAATATCGAAACTAACAACCCACAGTGCGACTCATGCCGCCAGCGCAAGACAAGGTTAGTCTTGTGATATATAATCTTGTAGTACATGACGATTAATAGACTTGATAGATGTGACGCTCGTGATCCCTGTGGGCCCTGTGTGAGCTTGAACCAAACTTGCTTATACGGAACAGAAGCTACATCGTAAGTGGGTTTATCTCATTTTGAAGATCAGCAATTAACAACAGGTTAGAAGGGGGAAAAGTGAAATGATCTTGGATACGGTCTTGCGAATGGAAGCTTCCATTGAAGAACTTAGGGGCATGGTCGTACGTTGACGAGCCGTCCAGGGTCATTTTTTTCCTTACTGATGATAAATCTCAGGCCATGGGCTCCGTTTCAAGTGCGATGCGTGGCATCCAGCCCCATCCAACGCCCCCTGCTTCAACAGTTACACCCATGTCTCAAGATTCACGCCATCATCCCAGCGGATACACAGTTAGGGACCCCACTGAAAGTGCAGTGCTTTCCTCGGGTCATCTTTCCTCAGCAGAGTCTCTTTTGAAGTGGCCAGTTTTTCTTGATCATCCTGAAATATTTGGGGAGGCAGAATCTTCATTTCTGTCGCTCGAGTATGCACGATCGCCCTATAAAACCAAACTATATGCCATATTCCCCAGTGTGGGCTTGTCAGAAGTCAAAAATATGGTAGGTGTATTCCAACGGACATACAACTTTTGGTTCCCTACAATCAGCTTGGACCACCTGAAGGGCTTGCAATTGAGGATATGGCAAGAGAATCTTGAGCCCAGCTGTCAATCGTGTCTCGCATTATTAGTCATGGCTCTGGGTTGCGTTGGGGCTTCCGTCACGGACGAAGAGGACGGTTGTGAAGAAAAGTCTCAACAACTGAAAATGCAAGGAGCGTCATGGTTCACTGCTGCAATGAAGATGCTTCACTTGGCCCACATTGAGATGAATGTAGAAGCATGCCAATGCCTCTTGCTGACTGGGTATGACAACATTCTTACAAGCTGAAACGGCGAACCAAGACGAAATTAACAGATATCTAGTCTCTATTTCTCTTTCTTGCAAAGACCGCTGCAAACATGGTCTTATGTGAACAGTGCGGCGACCCGTTGTCGTTTCCTGCTCTCTTGTCCCTTTGACAATCCTGAGCGTGATGATCGAGAACACATCACCAGAATATTTTGGTCGTGCTTTGTACTAGAAAGGTGAGAACGGGAAATGACACCCTCCAATTATCACCATCTGACCCGCATTAGCAATTATATCTCAGAGTTGCCCTCGCTTCCGCAAAACTGCAATGCTGAAATCGAATCAGTATTTTCCCTCCCGGGCAAATTCCACTCACATGAAGATATCGAAGAGGAAGAAAAGTCGACCTTATACTTTCTCGCATCGATAGCACTCCGTCGCCTCCTCAATCGAGCTCACTATATGCTCTATGACCGCGACATTGGCCTTCAAATCGATTCCAATAATTTCCCATCTGTGAACCAAGAGCTGGGTCGCCAACTGCAAGACTGGTATCATACACTACCCCCAAGTCTACAATTTCCCGAAGATGGAAAACCTGCGGATGATCCTCATAGCGAGTATCTGAGGCAATGGTATCTCAGTTGCCGAAGTGTTATCTATCGACCATATCTGGAATGGGCTCTCGCTAATCCGATGTGGGATCTCAACAATAACCTGCGTGTGTTTGACGGTTGTCGGGCTGCTCTCGACACTTGCCTATTCAAAATAAGGCAGATGAAACAGGTGCCTTATACTGTCATGGTAGACACATGGCCATGCTCGCTTTCGTAAGTCTAATTTTGGACGGCTTCTCGGCTGTTATGCATGATTACTGATTTGTCAAATTCTCTTGTTAGACTCGAAACGGCTATGTTGACTCTCATGGGTGGCTTCTGTCATCCACAGCTCACAATGCACCTTCGTCATATTGCCCTGCTAGAGCTAGGACCTCACTTGCAGCAGCTTTTAGAACGATGGATGACGATTCATGGATCCTCCGTCTCTCCTGGCGTCGAGAAGGCATTGAGATTGATCATGAAAGCTCACGAGTTCTTCGAAAGCAAAAGTGCAGACTTCGCTCCTTCCCATGGAGAAGAACAACAACAGCATCTCTCTTCCGAGGCCCATCGAATGTGTCTCGAATAGTACTTTGTCAATGACCCTTTGGGGAAATTCGGGGCAAAGTATGCCATCTTGTAACCAAAAAGCCGCCATAAATGTGGCTCTTCCTCAAATCATCGACACATCTCGTGAATGGTGTTCCGAACTCAGAGTTAGCAGAAATAAGCTACAGCGCGAAGTGATTACGCGTGCGACTGAAGGCTCATTAGAAATACGGTAACTTGAGGGCCGCCGGACATTATTGCGCTCACTGCTGTGCAGTGGGCCTATCCTCGTACCCCGGCAACATTTCATTCAAGGTACGTACTCGACATATCTACGCTAAACTTCCTATCTAATAATCCAGATGCCAGACCAGCCTTCCAATATCCGTTTGAACAGCTGGCTAGTTTCAAATGCACACCTAAATCTGGCCTCCGTACGCAAATCAACTCTCAGTAACCACTAGCTACGTGGTAGACTTCTATGTCTCAACTGTCCTATGATAGATAGCATCGCTCATCGTGGGCATCTCGTCTGAAAGAATATACGACAGAAAAAGCGATATACTATGCAGTAACTACCATCACGTTCGCATCTCTTGTGCCATCCCGTCTGACCCAGAAAGTCTGCGTATATTCGCCCGGCTTTTGTATAGACATACACCAACTAGTGAGCCTTTGCGAGCACCTGCGGGGGGCCTTATCAGGGGGATGATTCGGGTAGCATTGCCTTTTGACTAGTAATCTTACCGCTAAAAGGATCACATCGAATGCCTAGCGATAGAACTTGGACATTTCATTACTCTTCTTATGACCGAACCCATGTATTGTTCCAAGATACGTAAAGTCTAGCTACATGCCGGATGAATGACTATACTATGTAGTTATTCGAAATCCTGAATTTTCCTTGGTTCTCTACCATCAGTTTTTTTTCGAAGGTCGGCGAGAACATATTCAGCGAATTCGACTCCCACTTCATCGGATCCGATTCTGAATTTCGCCAAATACGCAGGTTCACAGCTCGCAGTGTCGCCCGTTACGCAGCCAATGTAGTTGCAATTGACATGCCATTCATGATCGCGTTCCTGGACACTGGTTGGTTCCACAAGGATTAAGATATCCCTGCAGGAAGAGTGGGTTAGAAGCAGGTACTGCCATGGACGTTGCAAGGCGGCATTGACTCGGAATTCCACCGAAACTTGGGAGCTGTACGCCTTGAACCGAGCTAAAGGTTCAACTGAAATCACATAGAACTCCCATACCCCCAAAGCTGTACCATCAGCAAGGATACGAACTTCTTTGAAATCGAGCGCGTTTTCCCAATACTGACGGTAAGTTTCGTCCAGACCTTGCGTTTTAATCTGGAGTCTGCGTTGTCTATGGAAATTTCGCATCGTGCTTCCCTCGTCGAAATGAGATTTAATGACAAGGTTGCTGTCGAATAGGTTATAAGGGCACCATGAGAAAGCACCACGCGGTGTCATTGTACTGCTACCATGACAAAGCAAAGCCTTAGGAACGCATTCCTGGCTCAAAACAATTTTTTTAGCCATATCGACAGCAGAGTCACCGGGTTCAACGCGTATCGTTTTTGCCATAAGAGCTGTGATTATCATTCGGTCGAGTGCCCATGAAGTTGTCCGGCAGCTTAGAACCTTCAAAAGATCAAAAAGGGAAGGCTTGGGATCCCTGAGACGCTCGATAAGTCTAGTTACTATCCGATTTCCCAGGGATGTAATACCACCAGCGACAACATCTCCATGAAGACTTTTGAGGACCATTCCCTCAATACCCTCTGGTTGATGGTATAACACCATAATATTTCTCGACATAGCTAACTCGAGAGCAGTCCAGCCACGTGTGAACCATGGCGACAAAACTAGAGCTATCCCGGGGCTGCCATCTTCTTTCCAGGGAAATTGAGTAAGATACGTATCGTGAACAATTGTTTGACGTGCGTATTGGTAGTTCAGATTCATGTTACTTAGCGCGACACGCCTTGCCTTGCGATCTTTTGGGATGCAAATTGTATCCCACCAGATCCCAACACAACCAAGTTTTGCAGCTGCTCTAGCGAATCTGCGGAAGAGGCATGAGTTGACTTTGCCCGGCTCTCGTATACCGACACCCGTGCCGTCGGACCACACATGCGATATAGCAGCGTAGTCATTTTGCCTCGCAAAAAAAGGTCTCATTGGTTGTGTTTCATCAATCGACCATACAACTGCGCCTGGGGATTTGGTGTCTCTATTCGCGTGCTCGAGAACAGCCTCCTCAAATGCATCTATTGGAAATTCTAAGATACGACAGGTCTCTTCATCGTCGCAAACGTGAAGCTGTTCCTTGAGATTGCTATTCTCATTCTCAAGTGGACAGTACTCCGGTGAGCAAATATTGTGTTGTGAATGAGCGAAAAGATCGCGGCACCCGGAGTTATTTATAACGTCCAATAGTGCAGGGATATCGTTTGGGCCGCGATTAGAAATTTTTGCCAGATTCCATAGTCTTTTAGGACATATCTGAAGATTCTCTGCGACCGACAAGGCAAGTGAGACTGCTGGAACCGTGATACGTGAATATAATCCAGATTGCGCTGTCCAACTCAGGAGGTTTGGATCGTTCCACAGCCAGTCTTGCTCTGAACTTTTGAGGTGGCTGATCTCCGAGCGCCAGAAGTATATAAGTTCATGTACCTGAAAGGCCAATGGCTGTTTAAAGGCCTCGATGAGACCAATTTGCAACATTTTCTTAAACCCAGACACCGTGAAATCGAGTAACCAGACATCCCCTACATTATCGGCTGCCAGTGCGCAGGACATCGCACAGAGCAGCCACTCGCGGAAATTATTCCATTCATGGCAGGCAGGGACCAGCTGCTGAATTTCAGCCTGAATCCTGACACAGCGATAGGATTGACAACGTCGGAGTCGTGCTTGTAGGCAGTGGTGCTGGATTGCTTGTAGTAGCTTCAAGTCTCCGGAACCCCACGCGAATAGATCTGTGTATCCAGGATGCTCGGTAATGACCTGAGACGGGTCTTGATCTAAGACATATTGCAGAGGCGCCCCTGAGGATTTTTCGTATTGACAGAAATGCATGTTTTGACATAGCCCTGGGAGTTCGTCGCGAATCACTAACCACAATGGCGCAAATAGGTTTAGAGATGGATCGAATGGTAAGATCTTGGGACCTGGGTCTGTGGCATAGTGCAGAAGACTGGTATTTTGTGCTCGAACGATATAGCGGTATCTTACTAATTCAGCTTCCTCATCTGGAGAAGGGGGGATTTTCAACGGGGCGTGATAGTGGTGTACAATCAAAGGGTCGTTTTGCATAATGTTGGACAATGGTTTGGACGTTTATATAGAAGCTTTCTTTTGAATCCTAGTTTCCCCCTCTGACAACCATGATAGTTCGTTATAAGTCCTGCCCTCATCTTTGGTTACGTGAGATAATTTACGCGCTTTGGATCGGGCCGACTGCAAATTGGCTGTTATTGTACCTATCAAATCCTGCCATGTTATTACTAAGGTGGCTGAGCTGGGGAGGAAAGCGGGGTAAGGGCAGTCCAAAATCTGAGGCTGATTAGGATGAGTAGATGAACCCGAGTGCAGTAGTTCTATTCTCCGGTGTCTTTTGTTTAGTGTACTGCGCCTTCTTGACTGCGAGAGTCAATCCCCCAAACCGACGGTGCAGCTTGTTACAGACTATACGCGTGAAGCCAATGGATTCGAAAAACTCTCTCTCATAGACACGATAGATAGAACCTACAGTTCTCTCTCTCTCGGCCCTCTGGTCAGAACCATGAGATATTACATTAACTGGAACTGAGCACTATCCAATCTTTTCTACAGAGGCTTGCGCTCCCACTAAGGCACATGAATGCATACAAACTCAAGTAATACAAACGAGGTCATTTTAATGAGTGCTTGGAATGAACTATCTACCTCTCCATATTATGGTTCTCTCTTTTCAATGTTCTTTCCCATGGAAACCATCAAAAATGCGCTACTGGGGATTCCCGACAGCACGGAGAAGACAAGTCTACAGGAGATGGAAGAGTCGATGGTTCGATGGCTCTTTGGCTTTGGCGGCCAATCAAATGCGGATTCGAATCCTAGCAGAGGTAAAGAAGACAAAGTAGAAATAAGTCGCCGTCGGCAGCTCTATAAGTTGAAAAAAAAAACTATAAGGAAGTCTTAGTTCGATTCGACAGAAGTCACGATCAGGCAAGCCGCAGATTCAAAAGATCAGGAGCCAGGGTGAGATTCCTAGACTATATAAAAAAGATAAACTATCAACTACGATAAATTCCTCTTTAGTACCAATCGTGACACGACCTTTAAAGGTTCAGGCATACTCCCAATTGATAGAAATAGGGCGTAGTGGGGCAGACTACCTGTAGGTATATTTTACGAGAGCTAGATACGCTATATGGGATGCATTTAATCAAGCAATCAAGGCATAATTGACAATTTGATACGATCTGCACCTAGAAAATTGCTTGCTACGTGTAGGGCAAAGGGATACTACACTAAATATTAAACGTATTGAATTATTCAGCGATTTCTCTACTTTTCAATATTGGTTTATATTCATTTACTACATAGTGGTTGTATAAATTCATGCGGTAGAGGTAAAACTCAGTTCTCGTTAAGACTTGCTCTCATAGAGTGTATAACCTATTCTCTACGGATCGTAAGACAGAAACAAGGAAATATACATCCACATGTGTAGATGGAGGTGAGCAAGCTTGGCATAAAGCACCGCAAATTTGAAGGACACATCAGCATATATGGAATTAAAAATCCGGAATGAGACCTTTGTCGCATCTATCCGAGTCTGATCCGATACTTACTACATAGATTTAGGTGCGATATATTATTATATCTATAAGCCTAGACGAACAAGGATCCGAAGAATAAGCGCCCAGCGACAATATTATAACCGTGATAGCGAGGACATCTAAAGTCCCCCCTAACATCTAGTTACTCGACTAACAATTTCAAGTCACGTTCCGTCTCACCTTCCACATTTAGCGATTGCGAGCCTCGGCCTCTCACTCTCTTCTATTCATACATTCCTCATATCCATGCCTTCGCTACTATATTAGCACTTCCAACATGATTTTTCTTCGCACAGGCCTTGGCCTAAACGGAACCACCTCGGTCCCTGGAGAGAAACAACCCGAAGTCCCGGAAAAAGAAAGCCTCAAAAAGGAGCCCATGAACTGTCCGAATGAATACCATGAACTCAAAACAAACCACCTCGATGTGCAAGACCTACACCCTGCAATGACCAAGGAGATGATCACCATATTCCGACAAAAGGGAACCGACTACCAAAACTGGATCAATTACCCAGACGACAAGGACTGCCGAAGACCATGTATCGTTTCACCATCCACACTAAAAATGGACGAGCTGATCCGACCCTCCGACGATAGGAATCAATGGGACGCATATTTCAATGCATTGGTAGATGCACCCGAGGAAATAGGAGATCCTCGTCCACTCGATCTCCCAAGAGGACTGGATTACCACAAGCTATATCTCCGCAAATTGGGAACTGAAAAAGACGGTTCTCTGGGTTGGAATAAATACCACGGTCGTGTGGCGCACACTGCTATCTTCGCTGATAACAATGTCAGGCTTGATGGTCCTCAATGGTCGCAAATTGCGCAGGCGCATTACCAGGACTTTTTTGACATTGATTCCCTGAAATATGTTTTTCGGATGACGGTCGTCAATGAGGAGACGCATACCTTTGTGGCTAAGGTGCTTTATCCGAGATATGGGATTGAACTTGCGGGGGATTGCCAACTCAGGCCCTGGTTGTATGATACTGATGATTATCGGGAAATTATGGGGACTCCGTTGGGAAAGGCTGTTGGTGCTCTTGTCTTGGGGGCTTTCCCTAGGGGCACAAGAAGGGTTATCCAGATCCTTACTTGGCAGTTTGATGGGGATTTGCAGATGAGATTTGATATTTCGCGGATTCCATCAGCCAAGAATAATTGAGATGGCTTTGTGTTCAGCCCTTGACCAAGGCTTGCAGGGGTTTCAAGGCTTTGAATTGTATCTATTTATGCGTTTTCTCTATTTCAGCCATAGAGATGAGAGTGAACGACTCGGTGCTTCGCAATAATCTTCGTAATTGCAGAAGCCAGCGTTTCCTTGCTTTATCTAGTCCCTTCTCCTTGTCCCTTTTAGACTACAATGGTCTTTGTATTGGGATTAATCCGTAGACTAAGAAAAGAACATATAAACAAAGGGAGGGTGTTTTATAGTTCAATTGTTCTGATCTTCTAAGCTATGCTTCGTAATATCCAGGTTGACTACTCGAACTACATAAATACCATCGATCCCACCTCGAAACATCCCCACTAAGCAGCAGTCAACAGTTTATCTAACAATCCCCACAGATTCTATAGATCCATACCAACTTACTATTACCCCTATCACTCCTTCGCCATGTCTACTCGTGCTAGCGCTTACGCCAAGGACCGGAGTTACTTCCTCCTCCTTCTACAGGTCCAGATCGGAGAGCTGCGATCCAACCCCGATTCTCGTGCTCAGGTGGTTACTCGGCTTAGAGAACTTTTCCGTATGGTACCCCGTTGCTTAGAGAATGCGCATCTTCTCGGTGACACTCTCTTCTATGAGAGTTGCTGCACTTTTCAGACGGCCTGCCATAGCGCGATCCCCATTCTTCGTAAAGACGAGGACCCCATCAGCGCATATATGGCTGCTGATCAGCTTGAGAGATCTGTTTCATGGGAGAATCCCCAGTAAGAAATTAGGGCTCAGGGTTTGAATTTCTATTGTCGTCAATAAATATACTAAAATCTAATTTTTAAAAAATTTTGTTTCTCTTTTTTCTATAGTGGTGAAGTTAATTATATAGACGTAGATGTTGTGTTTATCTTGAACAGGGGGTGTTAGTTAACGGGCTGGTGTAAGGGTGTCAAGCGCTATTTGGGAGGCATGATTTAGAAGCTATCAGCTATTAGACGCTCAAGATTGGTATAATTTTTGCGTTACAGTAAAATCCTGAAAGCCCACTGTACATATTATACTAAAAAAACATATTTCTTATGCGCTACTTCTTCCAGTCACCTGTCACGAAGATTCCGGAGTCGCTATGACGTGTTTTACTTTTAACGAGTCAGAATAAGGAATTAGATGTTATAGCGAAAGACATATCCATTTTTGAATTAAATTTAAACCGCCTATTGCAGTCTGGATGGGAGGAATATTCTACGCAAAGCCCTGGAGATACTTTACGGTTAGTCAATTTTTCGACGGGGATTATAACAAGACCATATCTCGCTGTTTATCGTCGGTTGAAGTTCAAGAAGCGAGACTATCAAAACCAGTTAGCATCACCATCATAAAAATAGATCAAGGATAAAGAATGTATCCACTTACGGCCAAGAACAAAATTGCCAGGTTAGAGAAAATGAACGCAGCGAAGATACCCAGATCCCGCCACCGGTTATCAAAGGACATACTGAAAGTGGAATAGAACTGCTCTCCAACCTTGAACGCACAGTACTTGCAAGCCTGCACCGCATCATCGACAATGTATCCATTGCCGCCGCGATCAAAGAACGGCTTCATGTACTCTCCACAGGTGAGATTATCAGGGGCATTGAAAAGATTCAGTTCCGACTCTGCACAGACCACATCCCGACCCTGCAGCTCTGTCACGACCATTCCGCCAATCAGACGGGTGAATGGGTCGAGTTGGTATAGCCATGCGCGCCAGAATCCTGGCATCTGGGGCTTGGGAATTGAAACACCACAGAATAGAGAGAAGATAATCACGATAGGTGGGTTGAGCTGGGACGCGATGAAGCTGTTCGGAGTCAGGGCTGAGATCATCTGACCCAGAGTCACGGAGAACATCTCCGTAATGAGGATCATGAAGAATTGGTAGCCGGCTCGGCTGGACTCTGTTTGGAATCCTGGGATGTAATACAAAGGCAGGAAGAAGCAGACGGCGCACAGGAGACTGTAGGGAATTTCGGCGACAACCAGGGACAGGGCGAAGGCGAACTGGCTGTAGGTTTTTGATGCGGATTCGCGGTAGAAGATTAGACGGGCCATGTCGTATCGCGGCTGGACCATCTGGAGAATGATAGCTGGGAGGACGGTGACGTTGAAAATGACGAAGATGCGGTATTGCAGCGAGGATCGAGAGTCATCGAGGTTCAAGAAGACAAGACCGGTGATGATGGAAATCACAACATGCGTGTAAAGCCTGGTGAAGCCGTAGTTTTTTGAGCGCCAGAATGATAGATTCGTTCGTCGACAGACTACCTTGATCTGGTGCCAGAGAGGTGAAGCGTACTCTCGATCCACTGTATTGTCGTCATGATTATCCAGCACGGCCTGCGCACGAACTTCCTTGATCCGGACGATTTCCTTTTTGACTGCTTCCAGTTCAGGAGAAGTGCGCCAGATGTCGCCCCAGTCACGGTCTCCGATCCGACGTGTTTGGCCAGCGCCAATGGCGTCGAGCATCCACTCGGCTACATTAGCATCTGGGGGACACTCAGCTCCATTGCGATGGAAGTAATCCAGCAGAACCTGGGAGTCGGGACCAATGTCACCGTGGTAGATGCATTCGCCTCCTCTTTGGAGGAGGAGTAGGCGATCAAAGCTTTCGAAGAGGGCGGCGTTGGGTTGATGGATAGTGCAGAGAATAGCCTGGCCTGCTGCTGCTAGCTTCCGAAGGAAACGAACAATGTTCCAGGCAGACTGGCCATCCAGACCTGAGGTAGGCTCATCCAAAAATAGAAGCAGCTCAGGCTTCGCCGCCAGTTCGACGCCGATTGTGACTCGCTTTCTTTCCTCGACCGAGAGACCAGTTTCAGTTGTACCGATGATTGCATCTGCCAGATTCTCCAGCTCCAAGAGGGTTAGGATCTCTTCCACGTAAGCGTACTTTTCCGATTGGGGTGTTTCAAAGGGCTGGCGCAGGTCTGCAGAGAAACGCAGCGCTTCTCGTACAGTCTGCATGTCCTCGTGGATATCAAGTTGCTCTGCGTAAGATGTACCTCTTTGGAATGCGGTTCCTGGAGGCTTGCCATCGACAAGAATATCGCCGGTGATCACACCGATGTTCTTCCTTGACGCCAAAACATCCAGCAATGTTGTCTTGCCCGCACCAGATGCTCCCATAAGTGCAGTCAATTTTCCAGGCTGAACATAGCCGTAGACAGAGTTCAGAAGACGTCTGGTACCGGAGGGCACAGGGACTTCGTAGCAGACATCCTCCCAGGTGAACACGGATTGCGAGGAGATCTTCAGGTTTGATCCAGCATCAGCCTCGACAGTTTTTGCCTGTCTGCTGGCTTTCTTCTTCATCAGGGCATCATTCAGCTCTTTCCGCTCAGCGTTTTCTTTCTGGTAGAAAGTGATGGTCTTGCCACCAGCACCGAATTGAAGTGTTTCTCCAAAATACAAGTTCGAACAGAGGAAACCAATAATCAGGGCAAGCATGATACCGAAGTTTCGCCAGAGATCGCCAGAAAGATAATTGAAGGTTTGTCCAATGTAGTTGGAGCCTGGGATGATCGCCGAACCGGGCTCGCCTCCCGCTAGAGTACAAGCCTGGTGCGCAATGTCGCCATAACCAGGTCCAGTTGGAACGAGCGAGTCTGTCGTACATGTCAGAGTAAGGTGTCTAAACTCGTTGACCATCAATGAAGCGAATCCAAGACCAAAGGGGTTGATGAAGTAAATCCATCGCAGCCACACCTGAGCGGCAGACCACTGGATAAGATATCCGGACGTCAGAACGAAGAATGTGATAATGACAGATGCGAACTTCATCGCATAATCGAAATCAGGACATAGACATCCGACGGTTCGGAAGAACACCGTCATGGTTACATAGCCCTCGAGGATGATCAAAACAAATATAAAGAATGCCCCAGCATCAAGAACCAGTCCGCACATAAAGTACACAATGATACTGAATATGAGAATCCTTGCGATGGCAAACGCAGTGTCAACGAGAATCTGCGCAATGAAAAGTGCACTAGGTCTATAAAACGTGAATGAGCGGTGCTTGTTGACGATTCCGCGGCCCATCATTGTGGCAGCGAGTTCCGAGAATGCTTGGAAACCATTGAACAGCAGACTGATGAACAAAAGACCTCCTCGAGTAAATGCACCGGCACTCGTCTTAGGTTGATCTAGCCACACTGTACCCAAAATGATGGCAATACCAACAGAAGTAACCCACGAGACGGTCAAAGCGAACTTGTCTTGCCATTTGAGGAGGAACTGCCGTTTCATCAAAGCCCAGGTTTGCAGATGGAAAGGGATCGAGTATACAGATGAGTCCGAAGTAAACTTGCGCTTTGCCTCTTTGTTAGCGATCTCGAAATCATCGTAAATTTGCTTTTCCTTTTGAATTTGGTTGCGGTAGGCCTTCATTTCCCGATCTAGCGTTTCGCTGAAGACGGATTTGTCGAAGGCTTCGACTAGCGCTTGTGGCGTGGACGGCACATCGTCGGCACATCTTCCATCCTTGAACTCCCTCTCGAATGGGTCGGTGCATCCTGTCAAGTAGTCCGGAGTGGTCTGACGAGGCTTTTCGCGGAAGCCGAGGCCTTCGAAATATGCTCGTGCTTCTGATGTAGGGCCGAAGAATACTTGACGGCCATTATCAATCACGAGGACCTTGTCGAACTGTTTATAGATGTTCTCAGACGCCTGGTAGAGTGACACGAAAGTTGTTGTTTTGTAAATATTAGTCAAAATCCGCAGGGACTTGGCGAAATCGAGGGCAGTTGAGGCATCCAGACCGCGAGTGCTGTTATCCCAGGCCAATACAGTCGCAGACGTGATCATCATTTCCGCAATCGATACACGACGCCGTTCACCTGTTCTAATTAGCTTCGATTCACCTGGAGCTGCACATCTAAAACAGACTGCTTACCTCCAGAGACACCGCGAATAAACTGGTTGCCAATCACGGTGTTGGCAGTGTGCTCAATATTAAACATTTTCAGAAGCAAATTGATCACTTTTTCTTTGAACTCAGCCTTCGAAACACCCAGTGGACGCTTTCCAGGGGTCTTCGTGTCGAGGGCGAATCCAAGGGTCTGTTTCACGGTCAAGGTAGGCTGGTGAACATCATCCTCTTGGTTGTACACGGCTTCTCCGCGGAATCTTTTGGAGAACACATCCGACTCAAAAGGACCATAGAGGACTTCACCATCTACCCCGGTATATCCAAACCGCTGGTTCGCGATAACTTTGAGGAAGGTCGTGCAGCCTGATCCAGGACGACCAAGGACCAAGACCATCTCACCGGGCCGTGTAAGACCTCGGAAACCCTCCAAGATGTTATACTCTTGGCCCTTCTTTCTCCACCCGAAGAGGTCAATGAGTGTTCCCGGTACATTGAGGAAATCGATGATTGCATCTGGGAATGTTTTGATGTATGTTTTAACACCGCCCATTCCACGAACTGAGAGGTTGTTCCAAATCACACCTTGAAAGACGGTTAGTGCTTGTTTTTTTCTCTGAATATAAGTGTTTACCTACCGATATGCTTGTCTTTGATTCCAGCCTGTTCAGCTGCGACACGATCGCCATGTAGGGTCGTCTCCAGATTCCATGACTCATCCGACGCAGTAGAACCCTCGCCTTTCTCAATATCTTTAGTGGTGACTGTTGCCATCTTAGACACTCGTGATTCTTGTCTGGATAATCTGCGGGCTTGGTGCGAGATGTTAGAGAATTGTTTGCTCAACTCCTCAAAGTCCTTCTCGGCAGTCGTAACATCGACACCTGTATTGAAGGAGGCACTGGCCGGCATGTTGGATATGCGAATCTCTTCCAGCTGCCGTCCATAGCTGTTTGAATCGAGGGTATCCGCATCGGATTTGCTGCTGGTTTCCGCCATGGCCAGCTTGTGGTCCGACTCGACGTTAGATGTCATTGAAGATCTTAAGTGCCGAGGGCCGATCCCATATAAAAAACTCTCGGCGAGCACGTCCACGGGTACTCCCCAAGAGTGTGTTGAATTATTGAATTATTTGTTGGAGAGATACGAAAGAAAATTATGATAAAACGTGAAATACTGTCAAGCTTGGAACGTTTGAAGCCCCTGAAACAAAGCGTTAAAGAAAAAAAAAGAAGGCTAGAAGATAGGGAAGAAGCTAAGCCCAAATAATCCTTGGCTTAAGACTGGTAACATCTGAACGCCTTCCGACGGTCCACCGAGCCCTGCAGGTAAAAGAATTAAATGAAACTAGCGGTGTTGGTTTTGGGCTTCGGTAGAAAATTGCGTCCAGGCAAAATCCTTGAAAAGTCCAATCAAAGGTGGGGGGCAACCCTCGAGGGACGGCATATTCCGCGGTGGATTGACCATATTTGACCAGATTCGAAGATGCCAAGCAGACGGGCTCCTAAACAGGTTTAAAGCGTAAAACTCAGTTGACATGACTCGTGATGACTCTCGTGTTTGCTTTGAAGTTTTGATTATAAATTCAAGCCAAATCTCACAGAAGATCTCGTTCTAGAGCTAAGGCACGATCTGGGGTTGTGGAGATTAGCCAATTAGTGCCCTCCACTTTATGGGGTATAGGCAACGACAGCGAATATATTGAACATGTAGAACCCTGGATCAATACATCAATGTTGAGAATTCTCGATTTCAATAGTATCGTGTTGATATGATTTACAGATATGAATACCCTGTAGGGAGTATTGCAGAGCATATTATACTACGTACATAGTATGACCATATGCCCTTTAAGGTATCCTTGCACTTAGGCAACTTAATATCCTTGAAAATAGCTTCTTTTCACCAAATCAGAAAAAATTAGCGAATTGCAAAATTATTAGACCCGTTACGCCAACACTTATCTGGTTAGTGTCGGGATATCTTCGGTTAACATTTTTTTAAGTGAGCTCCATAGAACGGGGCAAATCTTTCGAGAATCTGACACATAAACTTGGAAAGCATTTTGCTGCATTTTTATCGCATTTTTAGCGCATTTTTAGCGCAGAATGTTAACAGGGTAGTATCCAACACGTGGCAAAAGATGCGCCACGCAGATTCGGAGATCCTGGTCCAATTAATGATGATATTTTCCAAAAAATAACCCGTACAAAGTAAATATCTCGCTATATATATGTTGTACTGCATTTAGGTCACAATTCTCCCAGGGTGCCGCTTTATAAGGGCGCACTATGTACGGAGTACTCACTAAGTACTTTACAGCGTACGGAGTAGTGTGATCTCATATGTACAAAATGAACACTTCACCGTGGAGGCTGCATTTAAAAATGGTGCCAAGCAACCAACCTTCACACAATCCTGGTGTTGGTACGCCCTAGTCAACGATAATTCCCAGTCGACGATAATTATCAATCAACGATAATTTTAAAAATTAAAATATGTACCTTTTCTATGAGTATGTTATACAAAAGGTAGAAATGGTTCAAAATTCACCCCTTCTATTTTTCTCAATCCCCCGCATAGGATTCGGAAATACAGGCAGATCATGATATGTAGAAGGACTTCAGTTAATTTGGCATCGAAATTGATCAGAAATATCATTCGGTAGAATTAAAGAAATAGGATATTCAACTTCTACATATAATTTATATATATTGTGCCTTTCTTCATATGCTTTTCACCCCTCTATGTTCAATATTTGGACTTAATCTTATTGCCAGAACTGTTATTACCTACCTGCCCCTGGACTGGCGAGTTACACACTAGGCCAAAAAGACCACTATATCTGAGCATTACGCTCAGATATTCCAGGCTCTGATATATATAGTGCGACATGACAAGAACACTCTAATCATACCTATATCATATGTCAGTATGGAGCATTTTTATTGTTTTTAGCTAGTTTCAGGGGTATGAAAATATGAGTTATGAATTTCCAATCATTTGTACCCTTTGCATGACATGCTAATAGAAAAGGTACATATTTTAATTTTCAAACTTATCGTTGACGGGGCGTACTAACACCAGGACGGTTGATAATCAAAAACCTATTTAATATTGACAAAGAATTTCATTTTGAGACTAAAATCCTGCCCCTCATGTTCAATGATGGGCGTTGCCATAATTGTGCAAGCTTGGATAATTTTATGGCAACAAGGCGACAAATTCAGCGCCGTCCGATAAAACTGCCATCCAAACTTGCAGATCCTCGATATTTACATGACCTCTAACCAAGTGGCAATCCACTGTATCATTAGCCATATTCATCGCCCTCATCGAGACCATACTCATGGGAAACGACCATGATGATTCCCATCCCAACATCGGAATACCAGGGTTGAAGAATCCATAGGGCAGAGGTCGCCAACAGTGTGACCAGACAGCGCAAAGTATTGAGACCGGTCTGCCTCTGTGTAGACTTGTACGTTCGGACAGCGTTCATCCGGACTGACTGTAGTGTCTGAGCCATTCGCCAATTGACCGTCAGTAGAGACTGAACTAGGTTGCTTTCAACACGGGCTTCTTGCAATGTCTCGAAGAACAGGACTGGACAGGTGACAGGCTAGGTGACACACAAAGGAATACCCAATGCGCGACCTGCAGCATGAGGCAATGGCGAAGGGACAATAATCCTATGCGATGGTATCCAGGGTTATGGGCGAACGGGGGGTTACATGTTGCAAGCTGCCAATGGCACAATTCGCGCGGCGGATCGGCACCGGGACTGCCAGCATCAATTGAAGCATTTTACGCACAAATACCGCAAGAAGAGAGTTGATGGAAGGAGACGACAAAGGGCGCGGGTCTGGTCGTGGATTGCTGTTTTTGATAAATTCAACTATAGCCGCGCTTATAGATATACTGGTTATTATTTCATTCACTTGTCTTTCCCTTTCTGTCTCTCCGTTCATCCTCCATCAATCTTGGAACCTAAACGTTCGAAACCATGTCGGATCGCCAGTACAAGTTCAACGTCCAAATGGGCTGCGATGGTTGTTCCAATGCGGTTAAGGAAACTGTGGAAGCCCTCAGCGGTGAGTTCAACAACCCTAATTTTATATCATTACGATTTTCGGGGCACTAATGTGTCCATTTTCCACATTGCAGGCGTGAAGAATCTTATCATTTCCATTGAAGAACAAACTCTCTCAGTGATGGCTAAGCCTTCTCTCTCTTACGAAACCGTGTTGGAGGCCATTAAAGCGAAGGGCAAGAACGTGCACAGCGGCGAGATGGACGGCGTTGCTCAGTCTGTTGAGGACTTTGATTTGGGGGCTTTGCGTATATAATAGTACTTGTATTATCGTGAAGTACGTTCAATCGATTCATGTTTCATAGAAATTATAAGCAATGGAAATCACGTCCACCAAGAACCTGTTTAGGCAAGTCTAGCCACAGCTCTAAGCAGCACCGGCGTCCTCTATAATACCCTAACTGTGAGAACTGGGCTTTTTACGAATTATTCGGTAGATTTTACGCATACCATAATATCAATTTGGCGAGGACAATGCACGCGTGCCCTGGTGATAATTCATTCCATCCTAGTCTTGACACTCACACTAGCACTATGAAAAACACAAAAAGAATCACATCCTCCCTAAAACCGTTGTTCATTAATGGCAGCTGTGCTTTTTCCCCGTGCTATCAACCTTTCCCGACCGATTCACTTGCGCCCAAGCTAACAATCCAACACAGATTGAAATCCGCCACAACATTCTACGACTGAATCCCTCACGCCGCACACCCAAGATAAGGGTCAAAATGGAAATAGCAAGAAACAAATTTCGCAATTTCTCGATGCCAGAAGTTGCCACCGAACCCGCAAAGAGAAAATCCAGAACAGTCTAAAAAATTAGCACATGCATTCAAGGGGTTATTAACATGGAAATTAACATACCGGCAGCCAACAGCACGAAGATGAAAGCAAAGCGGATCCTTCCGGTAGATACTTGACGACTAGCTGGAAGGGTCTTCGTAGAAGTGACCCGTCATTGTCATGGTCTGACTTAGACTGCTTGTGTGATGGTTTGTCTGAGCAGCAGGACATGGTGAATATAGATTATATGAAGAATTGGTTGAGAGAGGATGCACTCAGCTTTTGATGTAGACTATGATTTTAGGGCCATAGGTCTATAGATATATGGCTGCGTGATTTTCGCGTGAATGCCCCACTAAGATGGGCTCTGGGAGTCCGGGTGTTGGTTAGACCCCTGGCTCCCCTGAGCCTGTCCAGCGCCAAGACTCGCGAGTACACATATGAAATAGCTCCGGAATATCGATATTCCTATATCAGTAAATGCAAACAAGCCAAACACAGCAACCGAAGAGGGCAAAATGTCACCTGTCTACGCCATTCCTTTGTCTAAGCAACAGTTCGGGCAATGATGTGACTAGACTCTTCAGTGGCATCTTCTATCGGAGGGTAATGACATATACTCCTTCCAAAGATGATGATACATACCGACCTGGACTTCCTGACCTCGTATGCCCCACTCTCGAGCGACTGCGCATGAATGAATCAAAAAGAGATACAGAGCGAATATTTCATGCGGCTAAGGTTTCCAAGAAACTTTCCCAGGCCTTGATAGAGATTTAAGCTCGCCATCTAGTGTAGGTTGAAGTTGCAAGGCAGTCATCGGTACCCCGCAATGCGGCTCTGTTAAGTCAAGCACAGCCACCAAAGCGTTTTCAGGGCTACTTCCAGGTACTTAAGGCACACTTCTGTCTACTTTGTAGATCCAAATCAAACAACTTTTCTTTTGCAAACCAAGCCAAAAATGCCCCCACTCGAGATCTCATTGGAAGGCAAATCGTCCATTACTCGCCAGCCTGAGCGATGTGCCCTCAGATTCAAGGTCCGGGCGACTGGGCCAAACCGAGAAAGCGTATCCAAGGAGGTAACCGCGACATCAAATGAGATCAACCAGCTTTTCAAAGAGCTGTCGCCCAAAACAGAGACTGGCGAAACAATTACAGGCTCGCCGGTGACCTCTTTCTCTTCCACCTCGCTGCAAACACAATCTCACGCCCCGAAGGATAATAAGGGCGAATCTCTACCTACAGTCTATTACGCAAATTTGTCACTCAACGCGCTCTTCCAGGACTTCACGAAGCTTAATGAAATTGTCGGGAAGCTGATTTTGTACTCCAATATCGAGATCCAGTCCCTCGATTGGTGTCTTACCGAGGCGACACAAAAGGCTCTGAGCTCCAAATCTCGCGAGGAGGCGATGCGTGATGCTGTCCAAAGGGCAAATGATTATACTAGAGTCATTGGGCGGGAAGTCGTTGCGGTAAAAGTCAGCGAGTTACAAGGCGGAGTACAGTTTGACATGAACCATGGGCGAAACTATACGCAGCCGCAACAACAGGCGATGGCTCAGCAAATGCAGCAACAACGGCGTTTAATTGCAGGTCTACCGGCCGCCTTTGATTCCCCTGCTTCCAACTTGAGCCCCCATTCAGGTGATTCCACCGCACTCAATTTGAGTCCGCAGTTGATTCGGTACACGAATTCTGTGCAAGTTGTATTTGAGGGTGTAGACAGTCGAAAGGCCTAAAGCAATCTTGAACTAAAGTTTCTTTTTGATTATAGATTTCCAATTTTCATAGCTATATTGGCGAGAAGCTAATTGGAAAACCGTAAGCAATCATGTGCTACGATATCCCACACCATTTCTGAAGCATCATGTATAAGTGCACATATAATTCCTAGTTAGTACCTTGGTACCTGACCACTAGGGCCCCTAGCACTCCAGCCTGTGCTCTTGTTTACTCGATGATTAAAAAACGGCAAGGGTCAGCGCTAAAATGGAAAAGGACAACCATCTATCTCGCACGGCCGCAAATCCGATGCATATGTATTAATGCCTAATTCCAGTCGGTCTGGGACGCTAATAGCAGTAATCAATATTTCATGCGAGGTGTGCATGGTGCAACGTCAATTGATACGTTTACCTGCGAAGCGTCATATCATAGATTCTATTCGTGAGTCGTGAGTTACACTAATTATGCTGATAGACAATAATACAAATTCCTCGGGTATGAGGAAATGGATGCACTTCATTTCGAGATTCTTGAAGGCTACCGTTAGACCGAGGCAAGTCGCAAAGCGCTAAACGCTAAATGCAAAATGTCTATGCGGAGATCTGCTTAATCTGTGCCTCGAGTTTCTTCATGTCACCGCCAACAACGCGGTTGACCTCCTTGCCATCCTTGAACACCACAAATGTAGGCATAGCGTTCACACCAAGTTCCTTGGCCACAATTTGTAGCTTGTCGACATCTACCTGGATAAAGCGAACATTTTGGTACTGTTCGCTCAGCTTGCCGACGACGGGGGCGACGGCCTTGCAGGGTCCACACCAGGTAGCGAAGAAGTCAACAACGACGGGGCCGGAGGAGACGAGGGCTTTGAAGATGACTTGGCTGTTGAGCGGAGATTAGAATTGAATATATCTAGCGAAGAGTCAAGAATGCCTTACTTGTCGATCTCGGTGACCTTTCCGTGAGACATGATGGTTGCCGGGCCTGAGTTGCGTGACTTAAAGTAGAGACGGACAGCTTATGAGGGGTTAGTGTTGGTTGTTTGTTTCTATTGGATATGGCCCAAAGATATTGTTGATGTGGGAATACATCGCGGAATGTTGTTAAAGTCAGTACTTACCAATGTATAACGCAGCAAGAATTGCAACAGTCTTGTACTCCATCTTTAGTTGTCGGCGGTCCCCAAGTTCTTTGGTGGAGCGTCGTGTTATCTCGCGTGACACGTGACCTGAAACTATGCCCTATCTAGAGATACAGGATCACGACATTTGAGCGACAATGATTGGTCTCAAGTAGGCCTCAGCTCAAATGGTCGTACTATGATTACGCTGGATCTGGGCGTCGTGGCTTCGGCAAGTTTAATCCAACTACAACTCCCAAAAGCCCCTACCATCACCCTCTACATAGACTGGCGACGATCCATCCCTAGCAAGACCATATATGTGTCTCATGTTTAATGGAGGCTAATACTGTGAACTGGGCCTCCGAGATTCCTGATGCTCCGTCCTGTCAAAAAGAATAAGTATCAGGTGATGATTTCTTTCCCGCATGTCATTATATTAGATCCAGAGGATCATGCTATGTACGTACTGATTACATCCCTTTCAAAGCTAGTTGGCACATGCCATTATATGTACTACATAGTTGACAAATATAGGTAAGGTAATGATGTCAAAAAGAAGCGGGTCTGGGTCAGCATACCTAATTATCTTGATTGCCGTCGGCGTGGTATGAAGGCCGCAGGTTTCGTCACGGCGATTATCGTGATCGCCGCGGTCCATGCTATCTCTGATTTATCTATCGGTATCTCAGGCCTGGTAATCAGCAAGCGTCGCATTCTTTCTGATAAGATGTGTACGTATGTTGCGGCTCTGGAATGTAGCATCCAGGAGATCCACCCCAGCCTAAGGTTCCGTATATACTTCACCTGTTGGTCCATACCTTTGTTTCCCATATCCATGAACTAAACGCAGCAATAATATCTTTTCTACTCAATACCGGGTCGACATGAGTCCGCGACACCCAACTCCCAAGATAGAGCCTGAATCCAGCTCCAGTGACACACTCGTCAACTCTGTTACACGTCAAAATACCACGAATAATGTTCCGAGCACCACCGGGTCGATGTTGCGCCTGTCGTTATGGGTCTCCTTTGCTGGATGGATCTCAAACTTCGATAATGGCTACGCTGGCACAGTCCTGATCATGCATTCTTACAAACGCTCATTCGGAAGTTGCGAGCAAGTTCTAGACCCGAACACGTATATCGATATCCAGCATTGCTCGCTGACGCCGCTACAACAATCCCTCATCAGCCTCAACTTCCTGTTTATTGCCATCGGAGGCGGAATTGCAGGCGTGACCGGTCAATACATGGGACGGAGGGGCTCAATACAGGCTGGATGCGCATTGGCAATCATCGGTGCTGCTGGAATGCTTGGCACCAGCGGAAGCTTCCTTCGCTACATGGTGTGCCGATCGATCAGTGCTGTGGGAATTGGACAGCTGATCTCAGCCAGTATCACTTACGGTTCCGAGTGCATCGTTGCCGAGAAGCGTGGTCTGTCCCTGGGGTTGTATAATGTTGGACTCGCTGGGGGGAATGTTGCCGCTTTTGCGGTGTGTGCCGGCTCTGCGCGTCTGGAGCCAGCCAACGACTGGCAATGGAAGACACCCATTCTATGCCAAATACCACTGGGAATGATTCTTGGTGCTGGAATCTTGATGCTTCCTGAGTCTCCGCGCTGGCTCATGGTACATGGCCGGGAGGAGGAGGCGCGGAACTCGTTCAGCGTGTTATACTCCCAAAGCCCACATTCGCCGGAAATCACTGCACAGATTGACGATATCCGAACCAATATCGCGAACGAGCGGGCAAGCCTCAAATCTGTCTCATGGTTTGATATCTATCGCAGGAAGCATATTGGTCGCACATTGACATCTGCCATGATTATGGTTGGAGTCGCCATTACTGGTATACAATTTGTACAACCATATGCCACACTGTTTCTCAAAGGGGTTGGTATCAGCGACCCATATTTAATAAATGTCATTATCGGCCTGTGCATCCTAGGAGGAGCGCTTTTTGGTCCGTTCATTGTGGAATACGGCGGAAGGCGAATTGCCATGCTTTGGGGTTATATTATCATGGGTGTCTGCATGCTCACTCTTTCTTCTGTGAGCACCGCTCTTAACATGGATGAAAATGCAGAGATAGTGACTGTTGTTCTTCTGTGTTTCTGGGCCTTTGTTTTTGGTGGGACTATTGCTGTGAGTGCTAACCTATCTTCTGTTGAGATGCACAGCGTCTCCCTTCGCACCTTCGGACAAGCCAACACAACAGTCTTCTACGGTATATTTGCCTTTGGTGCAACCTTTTGGACGCCTTACATGTTAGGTACGGATTACGGAAACATGGGTCCCAATGTGGGCTACTTCTATGCTGGCATTACCGCCGTTATAGGTGGTTTAACCTTTTTGCTCGTGCCAGAGACTGCTGGAATCACACTGGAGCAAATTGATGAGGGTTTTAATATGGGAATCAAGGCATGGAGAACGTCGCTTCCCAAGAATAAAGCCATTGCTTCCTCACGGAGACGAGATATGGCAGATGGAAACGTTGGAGTTTGATGAATGACGCCAGGATGTGGTCAATTAGCTATGAATATCATACAAATATAACTTCATTATTAGTATACCATCATTCAGGACTATTGGTATGTATTCCTAGTGAAACTGCGAGGTATGAGACTAAGAATGGGGTAACAGGAACAATATACTATGTACATAGAGCGCAGAAACGCCAAATATCACGTAGATTCCTCGGACCCAATGAGAAACAGATGTATGAGAAATAGACTAGAAAATCATCTCACAATTTCCTGGAATTTCTTTTTCTTTTTTCGGCGATTTTATTGCTGGGAGATATACGGAGTACAACATAGTATAGAACCATTCACGTGACCTCCAGGCCCTAAGGACAGCGCTACCCACGTTCCTTCTTGCGGCATTGCGGCATACGCTCACTGAAAAGAAGACTTGAAATAAATATAATCTCATTAAAATTCAAGATACATATACGAGAAGGAGCTGGTTCACTGGACTTGCGGGCCAAGACCATGACGTGTCGTCGTTCACGGCCATTGGGGCGTCGAGAAACCGCCATGATAGGTATGGTGCTGCATACGGACCAGGAGATCATGAGCTATATTCATGTTTTGAAGTAGTGGTAAGCGCATTTATTGGCATTCAAGCTCAGAAAGGTTGCTTCATTAATTGCAGTTGAACTTTGTAGAATGAGACCATCATACTTCAAATACTACACGACATAAGCGTTATTTTATGACTCTACCAGGTCACTACTTCCTGATCTGAGCACTTTATAGCTTTTAATCAAGCCTTTAAATTGATTGATCTTCTTCCTTTCCTTCCATTCATCCTTTCCTTCCATTCATCCTTTCCTCTCTCATACACTTCGAACACTTCTTCAGTCAGAAAAAAGCCCAACTCTGATCTGAAATCACTACGCAGAGTAAGTTCATGAGATTCAAATTAGCAAGGAACGAGAATTTGCTAAAAAAATATTCTATTTCAAGCCGCAAAGCTCGGGTATCAAGCTCTGCTTTACAACCGCTTATCTCCATAACCCCTCATCTTTACAACAATTTATCTTTACAATCACTCATCTCTACAAATTCGCTGCTCCTTATCCGGCTATCATGTCTTTCTTCTCAAACACCGGTCGTTTTGGCATGCGTGATACCGAATCTGATCTGTCGCGACTCACCCAGGCTAGCCATTTGCCTAAAGCATCCCCTGCAACTCTTCTGAACATCACAAAGCTGAGGGCAGACTCTAGCCTCACGGCCTGGGGAAATGAGATCGTACACGTCTTACAGCCTTTCAAGCTTGAAGCCTTAGTGGATATCGATCTTCCGAGGCCCAATCCAGGAGATGCCAACTACAGCAGATGGAAGTTCTGGACACTCGTTGTTGCTGGCTGGCTGCTCAATCAGGTGGATACCTCTCTTCAGTCCAAAGTGAAGGGACATTCAAGTAGCCTCGTTTTCGCGGACGAAATATTCAGTACAATCAAGCTACTGAGTCTGCAAAACCAGTCAGATTTCATCACAAAGGAGATCAAGAGATGGGAAGACATGAAACGCGAGGACTTCCCTATGCCTGCAAACTTTATCCTGGCGTACCAGAATCAATTTAACCGTCTTAAGACCGAGAATCATGCTCCCACTCCTGAATTTGCGCTCAGCAGACTTCTGCAAGCATTGCACGGAGAAATCATGAAGATTCCGTTCATCCAAGAGGAAGTGAGGAACTTGGAACGCCCTGTGGACTACAAGCTTTTCGTGTACTATTGCAAGGTCTTGGTTGAGGAATCTCGCAAGCCCACTGTCTCTACTGCTGGTGATTCTTCTCCGGAAATTCACCGAGAAGCCAGAGGCCGCATCCGTGAACGAGACATCTCCTACCGTGGCTGGAGACAAAGCACCAAGGGACAACGCTCGCCATGGGAGTGAGTACTTTCCATTCTGTACTGCCCAGACCTTGCAACTAATAGGGTCGTGAAAACGGGCACTTGCAATCGATGGATTTGAGACTTTTTACACAGGTGATTCAAGAAAAGAAAAAAGCAAAAAAAAGAATGTTATTGCTATAGATTCCTGGGTTTTGCTCTGCATAACGAGGCCTGAGACAAAATGGACAGCATTTGATACAGGACATAGCAATGAAACAGATTTTCTCCTTCATAATTCACCTTTGACTACATTATTTGAAGGTAGAAACCAAAGCTTCCACTTACATTAGTCTTAGAATAATGCGCCTTTGACCAATTCTTTGATTAAATAACTATGACTTAGAGATCGGGATTTCGCGAAATATGTCTGAATTGCAACTTATAATGTCTTGTTTGCGTTATTCCACAGCGGATGCGGTCCGGAGTGAATATAATAGAATTTGGCATCTGTTACCTTTCTAAATATGTATTTTTGATTTTATTTCACTCAAAAAATCCAAGGTAATTGAGCTATGTAACAAGTAAATATGTCGGGAGCATACGGAGACTAATTTTTCTAGCTCTCGAAATTGAGAGTTAGTCTGAGCGTGATATTCGATGGATTTAGGGTCATAGTACGCAGTAGAAAGCCTTTCTCCAGTGTATCTGACCATTTCTCTAGTATATCAGACATACATAACTTGGTTCGCGTTGTGGTAGCTCGGTAGTAAATTATCTAAATGGAGGCTTTCGTCAGATGAACTTCTGATGGATATCGCTATATTTTACTTTTGTCAAATGATCTATGTAAATAAAATTAAGACTCATAAGCACAAAGCGGTGGTAGTGGGACAGAAGAGAGGGCTGTGTCTACATATCCATCTAAGTTGATTGCAAAAAGAACTACTGAAAAACAAGAATATACGACTGAGAACGACAGTAACAGGGAAGACCGTGGTAACCGTGACAATCACGAGGAAACCAGTGGTAAAGAGCAGATAACACGATAATAATCCACTATTATCTAGCGCAAGGCGTTAAGGCAATAAAAAACAGATAATACCAGCCAAAAGGATGTGTCTGGTTGTCCTCAGAGTATAGTTACACTGCATCCCAATTATTAATTCGATTTCCATGCCCAGATGATCCCGATGACTTTGTTCAACATCCCGGTAATAGTAAACTATTGGCAATGCTGGCAAGGAAGACCGCACTAGCGAGGAAGGTGCAGACAAGGAATATGCTGGTGAAGTTTTTCCACTGGTATCAACCTCAATGTAGGCAAATACGAAGGAGGCTGAGGCTAAGTCTGATGCTGACATTTACACTCAGGTGCCCAGCCACGACGCTGAAGACGATGCTGATTATTTCGGAACCACGCTGGTATTTAAATACCTTGGATCGCAACTAATTCGGTGATACCTGATCCTCAGAAGTAACAAGATGATTGCAATACAACCAAAAGGGAAACCGCTCAGGACAACAATAAAGCTTGTGGCGATCGAGCCGATATCGAAGCCGAAAACATCGACCAAGCTGGAGGCAAAGAAAAAGACGAAACCGGATACGAAGAAAACGAGCAAACCGGAGACGATGACCAAGACGGACACAAAGAGCAAGAAAGGCCAAGGCAAAGACCAAGTTCGACACAAAGACGAAGAACAAACCGGAAACAAATCCAAAGCCAGCAACGAAGAAAGCCGAGAAGACAAAAAGGACGAACGCAGAAAAGAAGGTACTATTCATGGAGACGACGACGAAGATCCAGCTGGGAGCTTAGGAGATGGCAGCGCTAAGAAACTCAAGGAGCGGAGAAAGCGAAGGCCGGCGACGATCAAATTCACAAATATTGGGCTAGTGATGAATATTCCAAAGACGATAAGACAAAACTAGCGATGATGATGACGAATTCTGCCGTGGACAGCGAGGTTAACAAGCCAGTAAAGAATAATAAACTCATACTGGGCAAACAAGAATGCAAGAAGAAGAGCAAGATGGACGACTACTGTTAGAAGCCGGAATGGGAAATTGACTTATGCTCAAGGTTATCCTTTGTGCCCTGCTGCTCATTTTCAATTTTTGATGTTTTTCTCATCAGATATATGTAGGCATAGGTGGCTTGCTAGTAACCAAAAGGCCATTTATAAATCTCAACATTTCAACTATCCTGTATGTGTCCCCAACGAATTAATTTCAGCAGAAATTCATTACCTCTAGGTATCCCGAATGACACTTAAAAGACACCCTAAAGGGATATTGGAAAGGTATCAAAAGAAAGATATTGTAGTGTGATAAAAGCTGATTAGCAAAAGTTTATGTCATTAGATAGATGAATTCTACGGATGAGAAGCTAGAACAGCGAGATCAGGAAGCAACTTAGACAAAAATTCGGGTTCACTACTCAAACCAAAGTGTCACAATCTCGGGTGTTAGCATGGCTAGCAGCAACGGTAGTCAAGGTTCTCTGATGCTTAGTCCCATGATTTCTTTGCCGGCATGGCATGATCTTTTTTTTGGATAGCGATCCCGTGGTAGTATCACAACGAGGGCCGTGACAGAATTGTTCTATGGCAAGTTAAATATGAAGGGGGTAAAGGCAGTAGTCCGTACGAGGTCCGGGATTGTGCATCTGCATCTGTAGTTCACGTGCCTCCCACATATAGTTGACAAGACATCGAAGCCGATATTTGCTCATCGACTGCACTCCTCTCAGCTCAAACTGCTCTAGTCCGTCAGAGTTATGGAGAATAACACAAGCGAAGGTAACGCTGATGTGGAAGGTCAGGTTCGATTTGGTGCAGCAAAGCTACCTTGTCTCTTTCTCTTGTCCGTGAAAGAGTTTTTCTATCGTGGCGGAGGGTCACGAAGGATCGGCGGTCACACATTCAAAGACGAAGGATATCGTTAGCTGAGAGCAATTAACAGTATCAGTTCCATAGGAGGCACCTTCAATGAGTGTCCGCGGGGGAGATACCATGCAAGAATCAGGCTTATGAGCCATATCGCTGGGAGAAAGATGAAACAAGAGGTTCTTTCTAGAATAATTTTTCTTTTGTCTCAAAGTTTTTTTCTAAACACATGAAACTTAGTGTGAAGCTTTGTGGGTTGTGCTGGAAAGGTTCGCTCTAGAGCTGGGCAAGGTGATGAAAGATGATGACAGTAACGCAATGGCTAAACGCAAGCTGTAGAATGAGCCGCAGCCTAAGCCGCGTGGCTCATGTTTGATTACCAGATGTAGCATCAGAGCCTCAGGGCTGTCTAGGTGACCAAGATACTTGACTGGTCCTGGCTGTATTTCTCAAGGTCCAAAATATAGACAATACGTAATAACCGATGAGGTTATATTCCACATAGAGCTGGTTGCGAGATTATGAGAACTATGAGGATGAGGTCTGCCTATATATGCAAGCTGGGGGTTGTAAAATGAAGATGAGGTTGAGTAAAGATAGATTTGCATTGCCTACCTAGGTAATGCAGACAGACGGAGGAACTTAAAAGCAGGACAGCTACTGGGTGATAATTTCATTGCTATGTACTCCGTACGACTACTCGCGTTAGACAGATCTCCTATGTTATTTGAGTGCGGCTGAAATGGCCATTTACCAATAGCCATAATTGTGCCATTAGGCCCGTGTCGCCGGGAAGTGCGGAAGCGATGCATACCTTAGACTCGCTTTCTCCACCTTGTACGAACAGCTGCCTTACAGTAGCTAGTATCTTCTGCAACGTGAGATTGCGATGCGATATGATCGACTGGTCGATCGATCGTATCGACTGGTCACGCTCCATGAGGCCTTGTTCCCCAACCCACCCCTCAAGGCAATGGCGAACGATATAGAAGTGAAATCAACCGCCCGAGAAAATGTTGGAGTTAGGCAGTTCGTCATCTACATCCTAGTCCGATATATCACAACCGCCTCTTAAGTGAAACAGACACGGATGCTAAAATACGCTGGAATAGTCACAAGCTGTCGTCTTGCATGCGCATAGCGGAGTTTTTCTTGTTGGTTTGGGTCGCCCTGCTAGTAGGTCCTTTCACGTTTGTACCTTTTGTGGACGGCGAGTCCACTAATATGACCTTAATAATCGTACCAATAAAAGCCCTCAAGCCATTAAATATTGTAGAGGGAGACGTGAGAAATGGCGGTGTAAACTGACTAAGCAAAAGACGTGTACTTAGTATATAAGTGCTGGAAGCAAGAGATTAGAAGAATAGCCATTCCTTTCTCCTACAAACTACCCCTGGGTTTCCTTCTCCTATCTTCCGCTATTCAACAACCTGCACTGGTTTTGTCCGGTTCGCAGACAGGCATTACCCGCGTCTATGACAGCGCACCCCACTTCACTACATAGAATGCCGTATTCAACTAGATACTAGCAATTTATAAACTACATAATACCTAGCTCACTCTACATAACATATTTCCCCTGCCAGGGGGGCTTTCCCTATTTTATCCACCGCCGCTTTTGTGAGGGCCCTTAGAGTCAGGCTCATTGAGACTACTAACAAATCAACTATATAAAAGTGATAGAGATGGACTTAGAATATTATAATGAGTTGAGTAGCTTTGGATATCGCTTTTGAGATTTGTTTGCATTATCCAATACAACTAATAGAGTTATGAATATAAAACATCATCTGCCTGCTGACCTGTAAATCCTGCATGTGCCAAAATAGGAAGTGGTAATGGGGAGGTAGAGAACTGGTGAGCGATGCATTTTCCATTATATTTTCAGACTGAGCTATGGTCTCTACTCCAAGATGTTTTTTTTACGAGCTTCGGCATTGACATAACATATTTTTCGTTTTCAACGGCTAATGAGGCTGTATTAGGAGAGAAAGTCGGTAGAGTATGTCCAAGTATTCTATCTAGCTCTCAGAAGTAGAGCACCTTCAGCATACTAAGCACTAATCTCAGTGACCATGAGCTGCCGCGCCCAAAGTCTTATTCAACCACGCATGAATCGTCCTCGAAAGCTCCTGCCCACTACCAGTCTGGCAATGAAAGCCAGCAACCCCCTTTGAAAGTATGCAAAGTGGCCCAGTGGCCCAGCGCATCTGCCACCTGCTTCGGTTGTCCAATATAACTGCTTTCCAACTCGGCATCCCCGACAAACACAGGCATCTTAATCTTGTCAATGAAAGATTCCACATTGTATTGCTTGACCTGGGTGAAGAAGTCAGAGGGCGAGTGCGTGTGGAACGCCCACAGGCCTTGATCGATGCCCCAGGCGGCGCCGGTGGGGAGTTTCCCGGCCTCCCGAGCTGAGAGGACGACGTCGTCAAATTGCGTGTAGTTGCCCGCCTCATAGATACTGAGCATCTCAGAGGACAGCTCCCTTTTGTATGCAGCGTAGTTGTCCCAGACGCCGTCGATGAAGACCGCTGCGGACAGGCGGGGCTCGAATGCTGCAGCACGGGCAGCAAGGTAGCCGCCAAAAGAGTTACCCACGAGGACAAGACGGTTCTCGTCCACGATGTGCTTCTTTTCCGAGAGAACGTAATCTACAACGGGGATAGCGACTTTCTCCCAGTCGGGGATAAAACCAAGGTTCTGGTCACGGCGCACAGTTGGTTGTCCTGGGCCTTCGTAGGTGATACAATTCCATCCTCGAGCCAGGGCGGGGGCGACGAAGTTGTGGTAAGAGTCCTCCTGCGCAGCGTCGAAGCCATTCCCGATGATCAACGTCGGCAGCTTGTCGTGCTTGCTCTCAGAAGCAGAGTACCAAATAGCCTCAACGGTGAAGTTACCATTGGTAGCAGGAATGCGGATGCGCTTGCCAGGAATAGGCAAAGCAGCTATCCCCCTATTGAACGCCTCAATCTGCTCGGCCCACAGGCTGTTGATGAGAGGATTGCTCCAGTTGCAGTGGAGGTAGTTGTCGGCCTTGCGGAAATACGAGGCCGCAGAGAACCACGTGTCCCTGACATTGAGAGTGTCGTAAGCATTCTCAGGGTCTTCGGCCTGAGCCTTGGTATCCTTGGCGAGCTTATAGAAGACCTCGCTAAAGGACGTCATGTTTCCGGCTTTGATATCCTTAGCTGCGCCAAGAATAGGGCCGACGTCTCCTCCTCCTGTGATGGACTCGCCGAGAGGAGTCAGCAAGTCAAAGTTCATCGTTGAGTCATTGCTCAACAGCAGCATGGAGCTATTAGCGGTGCTGTACGCCGCGGAAGCTACACCAGAATGCAGCAGAGCGGTCAAAAGTGGGCCAGTATAGGCGGAGGAATGTAGTTTCATAGCGAATTACGAGTGAAAAGAGAAATCTAAGGAATTTGTGGTAGCTTTGTTGCTTGTAAAGTAGTTTTTTTTCTTTCGGAATGATTTCTCTCATGTCTTGTCTACTTTCCACCTCTTCTTATACTTCCCCGGCGATCAGGGCCCAAGCCATCCATATTTAGGCCCTTCCGAGGCTAAACCGTGTCTAGTGTAGGCTTTGCGACGGAGTATTCTCATTGGTTATGCGAACCCGGTGGCGCATTACGATATCCCCGACCCACAGCAAGCTTACCTATACTTCGGTTTCACCTGGGCACTTAGGCACCCGCCCATCGCAACCAAACTTCCCTTTTCGGCATCGTGGCTGGCATAATGGTCAACCGCGGGCGCTCCAGAGGCTGCGTGACGTGCAAGCAACGCCGATTTAAATGCGACGAGGCGAAGCCGGAGTGCCGAGCGTGCCAGCGCCTTGAGCTGAGCTGCGGAGGCTACAACAGCCTCGAGTATCCCAAAATAATGTTCAAAGACCAGAACCACAAGTTCTGCAACAAAACCAACCAAGTTGTTGGTTCTCATGGCCGAGATGTCTTGAAGCCTGCGACTAGCCCGAGTCGGTCATCTAAGTATGATGTTCAGGACCGGGAGGTTGCGAGGGTTTTGACTTCGCGGCGGCTCTCTGAGCCCGACACCGCCGTGCCGTTCTTTCTCAGTCATTATGCCAGCATGGGCCGCGATATGGGATCCACGCGCGGGTTTTTTGAACTGCTCATTCCAGCCTACCTCTCGCAGGGGGAAGAATCGGCGCTCTCGCTCGCCGTGTCAGCGTTAGCTTCAGAGATCTTGTCCATGTGGCGGCAAGATTCCAGCAGCTTCCGATCCCCACGGAAGTCTTATTCTCGGGCAATCACACGTCTTCGGATCGCAACACAAGATCCCATAGAGCGTGGTAAACCAGCAACCGTGTTAGCCGTGCTGGCGCTGCAGACGTACGAGAATGCGTCTGCGATATACGATCTTCGCCGGGCCTCGAGCATGCACCACAATGGCGCATCGTCTTTGCTCTTGTTTGTGAACCCGGATGACATGGACGGGATGGTGCGCGCCTATCTACGAAAATTTATGTTACATACCGAAGTTTCAACCGCGATACGTCAGAAAAAGCCACTAAAGAATATTGCATACTCGTGGCTTGGGAGCAAGGATACGATGGTTGTGGCAGAAACCCCCAGCTCAGCACTCGACGCCATAGGGGCGTCCGTTGCCGAGTTGCAGGCTAGCTACACGCAGTTTGTGACGCAGGGTGGCTCCACGACGTCGTCGGAGCACACTATAAATGAGTGGAGGGTCGAGGCAAGGAGAGTTGATGCAGAACTTCTGGCGTGGGCGGAAAACGTACCAGCTCACTGGAGACCGCTAAGGCTGAAAAGTGGTCGAGATATTGATTCGTCCATACCAACTTACCAGTCTGTCTGTGAGGTGTATCCTTCCTGCCAAATTGCCAGCATTTGGAATTTATGGCGCTTCCAACGCCTCTTGCTGGCTAAGATTATAGTCGGCTCCCTCGATGCATTCTCGGATCTGGGCCATTCTGGTTTCGCATGCGGGCGGTTCTTCGGCGACCCCATAGATTTCGCCAACTGCAAGCAAACGCTCCAAGAAATGGTTGACAGCATGTGTTACAGCATACCCTTCCATCTTGGCAACCGAACCACCCGGTCTAGTCTCACAGATTTCACTGACCCGACAATTTTTCTCCCCAGTCAGTACTCATTGGAAGACGGGACGCGACTGGTCAGAGATGGTCTCAATGCGGGACTATCGAGGGAAGACCACAGGCGCCATGTTATCGCACAGGGCCCGTGGCGCGCCATGCACCCGCTCAGCCGCTTGTTAACCCTCTTTTCGGAAGATCACGGTGAGGTGATAGCGACCATTCTTAGGCCTGGACAAAAGGAGTGGATCCGCGACCAGTTCCTGCGTGTCGCCACGTTGCTGCATCTTCCGTCGGATCCGGGCAATAACATAGAGACATCAAAATCGCCGAGAATGTCTACAGACGCCAAGGCGGAATACCTGGCCAGGGAGATTAGGCAGGGTGCAATTCTTATGAGTGGGCCGTAAAGCTTAGGACTTGTAGATTGAAGAAGATTCAGTAGTGGCCACTCGCTGGAGGGAGCGCTGAGTATGGGTTCTCTGGTGTTATACCGAGGTGCATATCTGGTTTCTATCATAGTGTTTCTATGCAATGGAAGCAGAATACAGGACAGGTGTTGATTGTGATACATACAGAGTACCCGGGGCCGGATGAAGAGGCCATCAAAAGGCCGTGACGGGCTGGATACCCTAGACTCAGAACAGCTTTTGATGGTTTCTGACACATCTTCTGGAAAGTAGTAATACGAAAGGTTGCTATCCATGCAGGAGTGGCATATACATGAGGAGATGCCTTGATACACTGAGAGGTTGCTGTGGCAGCTTTCCACATCTCATCCAAGCTGTGTGATACTCGTGAAAAATTAGCGACAGGTAGACACAGAAGCACTAGGATGCAAGGGGCTACGGGTAAAAAAACATGTAATGTCCAGTACAGTGAATTTCTTCATCCCGATTTCAAACCGCAGAGGCAGCAGAATGCGAGAACCATCCAAGTCGCTTCTCTTGAAAGACGCGATGAGTGATCAGTGCGGCGAGGTCCCACCTATAGGCTTCCCATTTAAGGTCGCTACCCCGGTCTGGGTCTAGACAAAGTACAATACAAGACCTAGTGACTAGGACCCCAAGAAAACATATTTCAGACCTAGTTCGACCCAGTTTTTACATACATAAGGATCTTGGTGGTCATAAACCAGCCAAATCAGTAGAATCATACACTTAGTTAGCGTGAGAAATGTGATATTGGAAGGACACTAATAGGGGGGACGATAAGTATATTATAAGCGCACGGCTGGGCTAGGGGGAAGTCTGGTTGCTATAAAGAAGCGGTTATTTCCAGATGGAGGGACAAGGTTGAAAAGATGGGAAGAATCACTTGGGGCATCTAGGTAGTAGGTACATTACCTGACTACCTGGTGAACTTGATGCTTGACCTTGCCTAATTTGAACTGACTTCCGGCCGTATTTGACCTATGATATACTAGAACTTTAGATTAAGAACCTTTTAGCTGTCCTTTTATATCTTTTTGTTGCTGTTAGAAGGCTATTAAGGAAAAGGATAGCCGTATAATAACGATGAAGCCTATGTGTATGCAGTTCCCACAAAACGGCTGTTCAATAAATAGCATTCGATGTTTGGAGTATTACCATAGAAAATCTATGAGACCTGCAAGGAGAAAGAGAATGTACGTCTTGACAATCGGAAGGGGAATAAGCCGATCTTCAAATCGCCTTTGGAAAAGCCAGAATGGTTCCCTCATAGGCTCATATGCCAGACATATATGCCTTCCACTAGGACCAGTGATCTCAAAGGAATCCACATTTGTTCGAAATAGTGCATAGCCGCGATGTGATGGATCTGTGTTCGCAATGTGTTCCTCAATTTGTCGTTTGTCCTCGGCTTCGTTTTGATCAGATTTCGTATTTGCTATCTTTAGCGTTACGACACTTTCTGGTCCTTCTTCATTTCTGTATTTATTAGATATAGGCCAGGTACGATAGTGGAAATAATAATACCCTCTTATATCACGTGCAAGCCACACAGTAGAGGAGGCACCCCAGCCGGCTTTGACTAGGACTTGATAGCGGTTGGCGATTAATTCACCCGGATTCGCTGGGTAGAATTTGGTGGAATGATAGCCTGGGTAGATCTCTTCGTCCACCAATTCATCTTCGGGTATCAGAGGTTCCCGAGAAGGCATTGGGAAGAGCTGCCTGCGAGGTGGAGTCAACGAGCGCGTCATTACTTGTCTGATCGACTTCATCGGAAGTCGATCAAAGTGGTGTCTCATGTGAATAAGCGGGGCTCTTGACATCCTAAGTGCAATGCGAAATGGTACGGGGTGAAGGGGGAAATGGTAAGGGACCCTTTATTGGCATTTGTCATGTAATCAACAGGGAAGTCAAGGTAGTCACGATTTAAAAAAAAACTCAAGGGAGTTGATTAGAATGAAATTTAATCGATTTTATAGCACTACATTTTTGTTAAGAGCAAAAGTCGATTCAAGTGGTGGTAGAATTGTTGGAAACCCACCACGCATGATAGAGTCGCGTCAGCAACAAACTCAGGAGTTTACTCTTCCAGTATTACGAATGTAAAGGGCTATCAGGCATAGCCTATGAAAACTCAATATGTGAATGACATACCGTCGGCTGAAGATATTCACAGAGAAGCCCAGTGGTAATAGGGCATAACAACACAAACACGCTGTATGCGATATTTTTCAGATACAATGCCACGAAGCAAAAAAAAAAAGTAGCCAGCACGCTCAGATAAACAATCAGCAAGAATGATAAGAAATCGAGGCCACTAGCTCCTAGACCAGTAGAGATAAGATGGTTGGCGCTCATATACATGCAAGGAAAACCTGCCCATGTGTCGAAGGACATGGGGAGGGAGAGTTGGGGTAATGAGTGTGGAGATTTCAGAATGAATGTGAGGAGGGGAGAGTATCAACAGTAAGGGAACAGCTCTGCTTGTTCCCATAACTCTAACAAAACACCCCAACATATGGTTGAGAATAGAGCAAGTTATAATGACAAGGAAATAGATTTTGTGCGTTGGGGTAGGAAATTTGGGAATTCTCTAGCAAGAGAGAAGTTTAGAAAGGAGAGAGGATAGGGAGATAAGTTGATTGGTTTTGCGTATGTGCAAGGAGGGGCAACCATTGACGCTCATCACAATTCGGACTTGACTGGCTCGTTGACTTCCCATTGGGCTCTGCGTTTGCCCATCATCTCCTCAAGGACTTCGAGACGTTGACGTGTAGTACGGAGGGCATGGTCCATCTCACGGTCAGAGACTTTCTCTTCCCGAAGCAACGCAGCGAGCTCACGCTCATCGCTTGTACGAACTGCAGATGACCTGCGACTTGGGTGGGGCTCGGGCGATCGATAAGCATTTGGAAAGACCATTCCGTCCATACCAACTCGATCTTCCAACCAGTTCCAGAGCTCAGTCTCTTCACGTCGCCACATCTCCTCGTATGCAGCGAGTCGCTGGGGCAAGCCGTGACCTGGACAGCCGACTCCATGCGAAAGCATAGACGACGGCGGCGACGAGGATCGGAAGAACGCCATGTAGAACAAGATTCCGATAATAAGAAGAGCGAATTTGCTACTCCATAGTGGACTGAGAATGCTGGTAAAGGGCTCCAGGAGGGGGCGAACCGGTTCAAATAGCCCCCATGATTGTCCCTTTCCGGCATTGGGATCCACAGCAACCTTTAACGAACTAGCTGCGGTGGACTCCCGCCTTGCGCCATCGCCCTTCTTGCGCCTTCCTTTGCCTCGTCCAGCGCCGCCGGCACGCCCACGGGAAACAACTGCAACCTGCAGAGCTTTGACAAGCTCATTACCGAAGGTCGTCTGCCCATCAATTGCGCCTTTCTCAATAGGACCCTTCAGCCAACTCTTGCCTGACCACTCAATAGTACAAGTCATGAGGAAGCGAGTTTGATTGCCAGGAGCCCATGTAAAGAGGTACTTGGTCATGGTAGCAAAAACGTTACCACTGGGCACATCGGGTGTTTGGGTGCTCAGGGTGACAAGAACAGCCTTTTCAAGGTCCAAGAAGTCCATGGTCTCGGTACTGATACATTTTGTTTGCCTTGGGCCGATGGAGCCATTGAGAGGCTTGATGTACGAGTACTTTCTGGTTGGGCATTCGGTTGTTAAACCCTTCGCTGTTCCTTCGAACTGTAGCTCTCCGCATTTCTGGTTGTCGGCAAGGAACTTGGTCATAAAGTCGCCAGACGCTGGGCCGAAAACTAAAGAGAAGACCTTGCCAAGCGGTGCCGAAATTACTTCGTCTTTGATGACTTTTTCGTACTGTCCGTCTGGGTTCACATATTCAGTGGGTGCATGTGTAGCCGGGCCTGGGAAATCAGGAGGCGCATCCTTGGAGGCGCCTTTGTCGCCATTCTTTTTATCGCCATTGCCATTTGTGCCGGCCGCGGGAATAGCCGCATTCGCAGATAGATTTGAAGCCTTGCGGCTCAAACCTGCTCGGATTGGCAATGACGCTGCACTAGCGTTGGCACTGCCGCCAGCCTCAAAGAAGCTATCAGCATGGTCCCCTTCCTCGTCCTCGTCGTATATTTCATCTTCGTCGCTGAGATCGCTCTCGGACTCGCTCTCCTCCTCCCCAACCTTCTCTGTCTTATCACCGGTACCATTGGTCACACGGGTTCCATTCACAGAACTTTTGATGGTAGGGTGGTTGATCTTCCAGATGTTGACCATTAAATCGTATGTGGACTCACGACTGAGCAAACTGCGGAAAGTATGACGCGCGTGGAGTGTCTGAATTGCAATGGCATTGGGGAACACCATAGCAGTACTCTCCTTTTCAATGGCAACAATCTCATCGAAGCTGATCACTAGAGTTGTGACCCATCCTAGAATGTTGCTGGAGAAACAGATGTGCCCTTCTGAGATATAGATACGGCCGGCGAGAATGATTTCACGTTGTAGGGCACAGCTATAATCTTCAATCAGATAATCGTCTTCGGGTACACTCCGGAATAATTGGTGGAAGTCCCGGTTGCGCTTTTTACTCGCAACCGCAAAGCCAGTCAATCGAGGTACACTCGAATTGACACCAGGAGCACCAAGTGCAAGAGCATTAGCAATCGCTCCGATTGTCGAAGCCGTGGCCCCAGATGAGCCTCGATGACGCCGAGCAAGTTTGCTGCGCACACTACCAGTGCGTTTGATGCCCCCGCTCATGTCACCATCAAGGATACTACCATTGGGGGGAGTCTGATCGCCCATAATTAGGCCATCTTTTGGAAGTGAGGTTGTAGACTGAATCTCCAGAGCGTCTTCTAAGTCCGAAGGCTTTTCATAAGCTACTTGGACTGCGCGCGCTGCGCGTTTGTCTTCAAGTTTGGCAGAGTCCTCATCTCGTCGGGAAACAGCTGTGTTGTTGCGCTTGTCAGTGGGGCCCCCGGGCTTTGTGATCACTACGCCGTCGGCGGTCGTGATTGACTCACCGGGCCGTGCGTCAATGTCCAGATGACTGAAGTTCAGATCTCCGGCCCCAAGAGTCTCTACAGCGGATGGTCTCCCTTCGTCAATCTTGCTGCCGTTATCTGATGTTTTTTCACTTTCCTCCGAAGGGTGTTCACTGGGAGGTTTATCAGCGTCAGCAGGAGGTTGAGAAGTTGGACGATTTCTCTGTTGTACGTTGATGCTATTGCTGAAGGAAGTGGCAGCATTTTGCGCGACTGAAAACACCGAGGAAAAGAAGCCGCTTTGCTGAGTTCCAGTCGGAGTCTTCGCCCCTGGGGTCTTTTCTTCAAGTGGTGTCAGTGCGACAGACATTGAGTTGGACAGTTTGCTTGGGCCATGAGCTGCAGAAGCGGACCGCGCCCGGCGGTGGGAAATCATGTTTCCAGAAGGGCTCACGGTGGTGACTCCAGAAGATGGAGAATGTTCAGACTGCATAGACTCGGGAGAATCGGTAACATTGTTAGACAGTATTTGCGCACTGAGAGGGCGGTAATCAGTTGGCGTTGGAGGGGTTACAGTTGTCGCCGGCGCAGGAATAGCGGTATGAGGTGGGGTGTTCGGCATGGGGCTCGCTTCAAGCGAACGAGGCTTGTTGTCTGTTAGGTCGGTACGAATTGGCGCAGGCAAAGGCGGAACATCATCGGGGACTGCCTGTGCTCGTTTCGATGAAAGGCTGCTCCGTCGACTGCTTCCAAACAGACCCCGCCCGCTTTTGTTACCCCCGGGCTTGGCTGATGTAGTCTCCGGGTCGTCACTAGTGTCTTTCTTTTCCGAACTGAAAGCACCTTTAAGGCGTCGTCCAGGGGATGTACCACGTTTTTTGCTATTCGAGTTCGTGGGGACATCCAATGCCATACCCGATGTCGCGCGTCGGGTTATTCTTTCACTCAAGTTTGATTCCGACCCAGTGGCACTAAGACCACCGCTAACAGCTGACTCCGCATCGGCATGGGAGCCTTCCATGTCTCCTACATCCACCGATGTAGTCTTGATCAATGGTGAGGACGTGGTGTAGAATCCGGCATGGGAGTTATGCGAGGTGAGCGGTGGAGGTCTAAACGAAGCCAAAAAGCACAGCGAGTTAGAAGTAGTCAAAAACAATATGAATAGTTGTTCAACTTACCCATCCGGCTCGTCATCGTCAGTCAACAGATGATTGCCTTCATTCCCTGGCCCAAAGCTCTCTCCGATCGATGATGGGGCTGCGGAGGTCCCATCCCGAGAGTCATTGGACCGGCTTTCATGTAGGTCGTCTTCCACAACCACAGTCGGCACCGTCGGCTCGTCGGTTTGTTGTTGGCTCTTCTTTTTATTTTGTTTCCGCCTTCGACGCGCATCGAGTAGCTTTGAGAATCCACTGGGACCAGCCTTGTTGGGATCTACTACTTCTCCACCCTGGGTTTTCGGTCTCTCGATAGTAGACTCGTGAGATGACCGACCATTGCTCTCGATTGCACTTGATTCTGCAGATATTGTCCAAGAGCGACGAGATCTGTTTTCGCCTTTCAAGCTTGAAGACGAAGAGTCGGCCATAATTGAAGAATGGGGATCGGGGATCGGGATTGGTGCGGGCAGACCAGGAGACTCAAGGGAAAGTTGTCATGAGGTGTATGTATTGAAGACTTTCTCTCTCTCTTTTATTATCTGAGTGAGAGCACTTCCGTACACAGACGGGAGAAACAAAGTACATATGTAAAGAAAGGGAAGTGTTGAATTGACCACACATCCCCTGGAGCTCCGAAACTTAGTCACCCGCCAAGTTGGCCCCGGCGACATGTGAGACTGAAATCGAGACTTGTTTTTTTTTATATTCAATTGGGTTTATTATAATTTTTCTAGTTTATATTACTTGCAATGATATGTCTCTGTTTCTCAATTATTCCTGATATTCTCCCAATTCCTCCCTAAATCGAGGTAGTAGAGCAGCCTAGCAGTATAGCTATAAGCATCTAGTACTTTAACTCCGCTTCTCCACTGTGTAGAATGTGGATGTGACTTGACAGTTCGCTGTTTTCGGTTGAAATAGAATCTTATATTCGTTCTAGAATCTTGAGAAGAATTACTCTTCTTTTAAACGTTACCTCGTGTACTTCATCCTCATACACCTGATGTACGTTGTGTGCTACTATCAGATCAAACCCCATTGACTGTGCATAACGTCACTTCTCCAACATTTCCCCAGATAAATCCCATCAAAGGAATGCACCTGGTTTTTCTCTCTTAACTCCTACAGAACTTATCTTCGCCATGGAAGTGGCCCCTTTGGCACTGGTAAGACATTACTTAGCCCCTCATTTTCAGGACAATCTGACCGCAGTCCTTGCCAGGCCCACACCCATGCGCGGAACGCAGTGCTAGAGACTCGCAAGGCCAACCCAGTCGCTGCCAGCGAAGAGCATGATCTAGCTGCTGGTGAATTTGCAACAGCTGCACAGACTAGCTCCGACCATGAGGTGAGTCTTGGTTGAGTGGAAGATCTGCCCCTCGGCTCTGAGCTAACGCGTCATAGGCCCTACGGACTCTACGTTTACTCGAAACACACCACAAGAAGCTCGCTGAAATCCTCCGATTCCAGCATGAAAATCCAACCACCATCCTTGCTGAAACAACAGCTACTACTCCCTCCTCTACATTAGCGACCCAGCAGACTGCAGTCGAGTCCGGGGGCACGAAAAGTGCAAGCGCGAACCAGGATGCGCACCTGCCACCAAGATTGGTGGGCACCGCTCGTATCCCAAGTCGGGATGCGTCCTCTATCGCTAGTAACCTAGCTTCTGCCCGAGGAATCCCGTCGCACCCCCGGCGTGGATCGCCAGTATCGCCAACACTCACATCGCAACATGTCGCAGCAAAGATGACCGAAGCACCACCGAGGGCTATGTCCGGCGAGACAAGGCTCCGTGACGGACCGACCAAAAATCGACACAGTCGTGTTCCTGCGCCTAGACAACCATGGTCTCCTCCGACACCCAGTTCCACCGAGGTGATTTCCCAGAAAATTGTATCTCATGGTGCAGCTGAATCTGGCGGATCGAAAAATAAGCCTGCAATTGCCGATGAGGCATTCAACCGCTTCTACTCAGCCTTCGGAGGGCTGGTCTCTAAGGTATCGGGGCCTTTGGCATTCGCAGGGATTCAAATAGGGTCTACGGATCCAACTAGCGCTGAACAAAGCCGCAAATCCTCAGCTGAGGTGAAACTGGACCGCGAGCATGCTGTTCTAGACAGGTCCATGACTGCCGGTGAGCCCGACGTAAACAAACTCTTCTCTCGAGCTGCATTGCGGTCGATTCGGGATGGCTCTGGGGCAGGTCCTGGGAACCCAGCAGAGTCATTCTACGTAGTCCCAACCACAGGTGGGACTATGTCATACGCAGGAATCCTCACCCGAGCTGAAAAGCAGGCACGCAGGAACAGCATTGAGGACGGTGATGATGACTTTGTGGATGCGCGAGAGACCCCCGCGTCTCCTGAAATGCGTCACAGTGCCAGTGGTTCGCGCATATGGGCGGCACGCCGCGGCGCATCCGATAAGCTTCCTCTGCAGACACATAAGACAATGGAAGAAATGCAGGTGGAGAATGAGACATTGCGAGGTTTGACTGACTCACTTGCGACAAGGTTGCATATGTGGGAGGTGAGCGCGCAGTCTTCGTCAATGGCGCTGCAGCAATCCATCCGAATGATACACCGCCAGAGCGGCGGAACGCCTGATTGTTCCCAGCCTCCAACGACCACTACCTCCCCTGTTGCTATGCTGACTTCGCCACCAGCTGTTACTGATGCACGGATCAAAGAACTCGAGGAGCAGATCCGGCTTGCCGAGCAGAAATTTGAAACTGCTGCTCACGAGAATGATAAGCTTAAAAATGTTCTTGGGCGATATCGAGACCGCTGGGAGAAATTGAAAGAGGGTGCTAAAACTCGGAGAGCGGAGGGTCGCTCGGGTGACAGTACAAGCAATACCCCTACGAGTGGTGTGAGCAAACCATCGGAACTCTCGGGCTCTCCGGATCCTAGTCGTGGTCCATCTTCTAGTCAAGCAGGGTCTCGTGCTGCAGGTGACAACCCGGCATAGTCCCACAACATCCATTATTAGTGGGTGGAAACGGTGATTGGTTCTTGAATGCTATCCCCTCTTATGAGATATGTCTATAACAGTATTTACGAAGCTTCGAATTCAATTGATTTATGATTTATTTCGATCGGGTAGCCTAATGGAATTCTCCGAGGGGCAATAGATGAGGTTAGACAGATGAAGGGATGAAGGGATGATTAGTGTCTAGTGCGCACATTCTTTGGGCTTATCTATGTAATTGAGAAGTAGAGAGACGATGTAGGAGAATGTAACTGAATAACTGAAAATTTTCGAGCGTTTCATTCAAATATCACGCAAGATATATACAACCAATGGTTTGACACAATATAAACAACATACACATCAGACTATTTACTAAGTCCTAATCTCTCTTTCTCTTCAACATGAAGTTCTCAACGACGAACAACAAAAGTGGCATTGCCACGGATGTCCTCGGAGCTGCTGCCGACAAGGGCAGTGAACTGACCGGGCTCAACAACATACTGCATGCGAGAGTTCCAGAGACCAATCTCCTCAACCTTGATGGGGATCTTGACAGTCTTGGTCTTTCCAGCAGCAATGACGACCTTCTTGAAGCCCTTGAGCTGGCGGTTAGGAACAACAACGGAGGCAATGTCATCCTGGATGTAGACCTGGACAACCTCGGTACCATCACGCTTGGAAGTGTTGGTGACCTCAACGCTGACAGTGACGGTCTTCTCAGATGCGGTGATCTTGGTCTTGTCAACCTTGATCTTTCCGTACTTGAAGGTGGAGTAACTCTTGCCGTAGCCGAAGGGGTACCAGGCCGAGGCATCACCGAGAACGTATGAGTGGCCGAAAACGAGAGTTCCGTTGTCGTACTTGTGGCCGACATCACCCATGGAGCGGCCGGAGTTGAGGTAGTCGTAGAAGATGGGGAGATCACCAACGTAGCGGGGGAAGCTGACGGAGAGCTTGCCGGAGGGGTTGTAGTCACCAAAGAGGACGTCAGCAAGGGCGTTACCACCCTGCTCACCGGGGTAGAACTGTTGCACGAGAGCAGCGGTGGAGTTGGCAATCCAGGTATCGGTGATGGGCTTGCCGCTTGAGAAGACGACAATGGTAGGCTTGCCGGTGTTGGTAATGGCCTTGATGAGAGGTCCCTGGGCACCAACAAGGGAGAGATCGTCGGTGTCAACGTGCTCACCAGTGCTTTGTGTTTGTTAGCATGGACACTTCTAAGTATATCTCGAAACAAGATCGTTGTACTCACGTTGCGTTCACTCCGGTCCAGAGTTCACCCTGATCACGAGACCAGGTTCCGACAACGACGACAGCGACATCAGCCTTCTCTGCGGCCTCAATGGCCTCAGCAAAGCCTGACTCGTCAGTGCTGGCGCGATCGCATCCCTCAGCATAGAAGACCTGGGACTCGTCGTTAACAGCAGCCTTGATTCCCTCGAGGGGAGTGACACCGCGGTATTGACTGCGGTAGACAACGTAATCACCGTACTATTGACGTCGTTAATATCCTGGTCAGCAAGCGAAATAAGAATGTTGACTTACGTTCATGAGACCATCAACACCAGCCATAGGGCCAATGACGGCAATCTTGCTGGACTTCTTCAGGGGCAGGACGTTCTCGTGGTTCTCAAGAAGAACGATAGACTCCTTATCCAAGTCACGGGCAATCTGGACAGCCTCAGGGCTGTTGATGAGCTTCTTCCACTGATCCTTAGGGGCAGCAGGGTAAGGGTTCTCAAAGAGACCCATCTCGAACTTGGCGCGGAGCAGGCGAGAGACAGCAGTGTCGACAACATTGATGTCGAGTTGGCCGGCTTTGACAAGCTCGGGGATCTTCTCGAAGTTGCTATTCGGTAGTCAGTATCTGTAGCTGCATCGTGCGGGTTTTGATAGAGCTTACAATGAACCACCTCCCATCTCAACGTCGGTTCCAGCCTCCAGCAGCTGCGTGGTAACCTCTTCCTTGTCAATAGGGTTGCTCTCGCAGAGCTTGAAGTAGGAGCAGACTCTGTCACTGCCACCGGCATCGGTCATGACGAAGTAATCGTAACCCCACTCTCCGCGCAGAATCTCGGTGAGAGTGTGGTAGTCAGAGACAGCGGGAATTCCGTCGTATCTAGAAACGGATGTTAGAATGGCGATATAAGACAACTCGGATCAGGCTGAACTTACGAGCTGTAAGCAGCCATGATGGACCAAGCACCAGCATCGATAATAGCGCGCTTGAAAGGAGGCAACCAACTATGGAATGGTTAGTCAACTGTTTTGTCTCCAAGTTTGGGGGCTGACATACGTTGTGCGCAGCTCTCTCTCACCACCGTGAACTGGGCCGGTGTTGAGTCCCTGCTCCGGGGCGCTGAAGCCAGCAAAGTGCTTGACCATGGCGGAGACCTTCTTGCTCTGAACACCCTTGACGTAGTGGTAACCAATTTCACCGGCAAGGTAAGAATCCTCGGAGTAGGTTTCCTCGACCTTTTGTGTCTGCTATTAGCTTCATTGCGCTAAATGTATTAACATAGATGAAACTCACACGACCGTATCGAAGCTCACGAGCGAGATCGACAACAGGGGCGAAGAGCTGGTTAACACCAAGTGCCTTAGCTTCCTGTGCGGTGATTTCCGCCATTTTCTCGATAAGCTGCACAATCGTGTGTTAGACTTCCAGCGCAGTATGTATGACAGTGCAAGTACAATAGCCACTTACCTCGAGATTCCACGAGCATCCATAGGCAATGGGCGAGTTGAAGATGGTGGCATTACCGATCAAGAATCCGTGGATACCCTCGCTCTGAACAATGGCTGGGATTCCCAGAGTGGTGTTCTGGACGAGGTAGTCCTGGGCTCTCTTGATGTTCTCAGAGAGCCACTCCCAAGGAACGGGTTGTCCGGCTGCAAACCATCAGTATTTGTGTTTTTGCGGACTGGTGGAGGACTCCATACCATAGAACATGCCCGACTTCATTTGCATGCTGTTGACCAGGCCGGTGTAGTTGAATGCTCCGGTGTCCTGGTTCATCCAGTTGGTAAGATCACCTAGGCAAAAATGCATCAGCAATTGTAACTTCTCCATAGCGGCGATTCAGACAAAATCATACCCTGGATCAACTGGGATCTCTTGTCCTCAATGGTCATTCGGCTCAGCAAGTCCTTCACTCGATCGTCGACTGAAGCTTTGGGATCCTTGTAGAGAGGGGTGCTGCTTGGCTTGCCCAGAGCTAGGGCAGCAAAGAGCTGCACGAGCAGCAGCCCATTGGAAAGTAGATTGGCCACCATTTCGATGACAAGACAATCACTTCTTTTCCAGATTTAATGGAGAAGAACTATTGTCGATTGACTAGTGTGAGATTGGTGTGAAGGAAAAAAAAAATCCTGGGGAAAGCTCCTGCATATAAGTTCATGCAAGTGCAATTGCCTCCCCTACACTGTGGGGACAGGCAATTCGGCTAGAGACTTAGTCGCATCGCATGACCCGATTTAATGATCCTGCTCATTAGAGTAAATCGAAAAGGGCAGGTAGCTCACGCCATTGTGCTGCGGAAATGAAGCCGTCTGCAGCACCAGAACGGATGAAGCTAGTCTAACGGTGCAGTAGTGCACTGCTTGGCGTCAGTAGAACCGAGCTAGAACTATCACGAGACGGAGCAATTCCCCCGCCTCCACACTGGCATGGCGCTCTGGGGTTGAGGGGAAATGACTGTCGGCTGTCCGGCTAAAATGACCTGAAAAATGGAGAGTGTCCAAGACATCTGGGGTAGTTGGCTGCGCCTTTTGGGCAGTGGTCTGTGCTCTCAGCTTTTTCCACCTATTAGGGCTCTCCGCTTCATTCAGGTGAAGAAATCATTCTGTGGCATGTGATCAATATGGATAAATTGAACAGAAAAGAGGCTAAAGGTAAGATTGGTGGCTAATAACGCCGAGAGAGAGCTCCTCTGTGGATGATGTATACAGTGTGAAAATAAAGAAATAATACATTGGTAAATGCCTAAACAATATATCCGCAGAATGCAATGCCAATTACAAGAATGTACTCCATATAGAAATCTACCAGAAAAAAAAAAAGCGCCAAGGGGAAATACTGTGGAAAAGGGGGGGAAAAGATGGGGAGGTGTATGCAGAATTAAAGTGGGACCACTCTAATGCTCTTCTGCATAAGGAGCTAAGGGAATTTCGGATTTGTGAATTATCGCCGAGCTTCCATATCGTCAAAATAACCGGTATTGGGGCTTCGCTCCGGCTGTGTCCCATGATCTGGTGTCGCTCCTGTAGCAGCAACACCGTCGGCAGTTTTGGTGTTCTGGGTTTTGCGGAGAGCACCGCCCAGCCACGCGAGCCCACCACTCCACGAGTCACTCAAGCTGCGAAGACGGGTCGCATCTTCGTTAGTGAGCTGTGAGGGTGAGTTGTTTATTTCTGTCGGGAAAGCTGACTTCGAACGACCAGCCTCCGCGGGTGTGTCCGCTGGGTTAGTGGCGGACTGGAGTCGAGCAGTTGCAAGTGAAAGTGCCGTGTCATTATGTCCTTCGACGAGGGTTGGATCTGCGAAAGCGGATGAATCTGCAAAAGCGCCGTCGAGTTGACGCCGACGTCCCAATCTCCGCCTCGGCCGATCCTTGAGAGGGCTACCATCGCCACGCCGGATAGAATCAGCGACCACTGCAGTGAAGCCACCGGAAAGTGCGGGAAGAAGAGGCCCAGGGGAGAAACGATGAGATAAAGAGCTACGCAAAGCGCGCCGCGATGGTGTTTCAAGCGGAGTCCCATTGCGAATAGGGTGGCTGGCTTGATTTAAAAGCGTGGGGGATGAAGCGCGTCGTACGGTACCGTCATGTCCATTGGGCCCCGCTGCCTCTTCAAGACCAGGTGCAGGAGGGAACTGCAAGAGAACTGTTGACGCTTGCGCTTCCTCGGTTTCCTGTCCAGGAGGAGTAACGGGGCGGATATCAGACTGCGGGGTCGCGACAGCCTCATCATGGATGTCTGCCCATGGGTTGGACATGCGAGATGGTGGCCGCAATGGTGAGGTGTAGTCAAATGGAGCAGACAGAGGAGACGCGTCGGTTAAAGATCCGCGAGGTGAAGAGGGCGCGATGGAAAGAATGCCTCTAGGGGTAGACTCATCATCGCCATCAACTCCATCAGTGCCTTGGCTCAATATAGACCTTGGGGACTGTGGAACGTCATATGGTGCTTCTGTGGAAACATCTGACGGTTTCGGCAATTGATGGCCAGGCGGAGGCAGATCAATTCTATCATGATATCTTTCGCCATCGAGTAAACCAATGGACCCTTCCTCCTCGTCGGATGAGAATGCCGACTCATCGTCAGCGCGGACTCTGCCGCTCGTGATGAAGTAAACCCCGAGGAAAGTCAACAGACATCCGCCGACAAACTTGGTCGCGCGCTCGGCTGTTATCGATTCAAAATCACGGTAAAGGACCGCGCTTCCGGTAATGACAGCGAGAGTGAAGAGAACAAACTGCGTTGGAATCACCTGGGTGGAATCGAAGCGTTGTAGAGCGCGATTGATGTAACGGACTTGCATCAATGCGCTGAAGACAAGGACGAAGACAAGCAGATAGGTGATAGGGAATGTAATAACATGCCACAATGTGCCAGACAGGAGCGAAGAGACACCCTTGGTAGAAAGAGCCGTGTACCCGCCTGTTTTATACGAATCAGCAGCAAGATCAAAAATAAAAGAACGCCAAAACTAGAAATTACTAGATGGAGACTTACCAAATAATGCAACGAGCCCAACATCGATAAGGATCGATCGCGAGCCATACCGGCGACTTGCCCACATGAGGCCGACAATCAAGGATGTAGTCAATACGAGATAAAGCTCAAATTCCCATCGCGTGATGTTCACCCAAATTTCGTGGGGTCCAATTTGTTCTTCGGACGATTTAGCACTAAGAACCACAACGACCGCACCAGCAATAGCGACGAGCACACCCCAGAGATCTCGCTTGCGAAATTGCTCCTTGAGCAAGCATGGCGCAATAATGCAATTCGATATCAAAGCCACAACTCCCAGCGGCGAGACAATCGACGCAGGTGCAAAGCCGTAGGCCATAAAATTGCCCAGTTCCCCCACAACCATAAGCACGATTCCAACCCACCAATATGGAGACTTGAGGTAGGATTCGCGGTTGCCGTTTGCACCATCCTTGCTTCCGGTGCTATTGTTCCGCGAGCTCGAACCACTGTTCCCCCTCTCAGTGTAGTCGCCATCATCGTCACGATAGGGTTCGAAATCATCCTGCTCAGAGTTTCGGTATTGGTCCCGGGATCTTCCCCTCGACTCGGAGCGTGTTCCATTAGTTCTAAATTCCCCGTTCCGATTCTTGTTCTGTTCCCATTCTCTTGCGATCCGAATATGTGCATAGCGTTGGATATTGAGGGCTAATGAGATCAGAACATTGCCGCATAAAGCTGTAATAATGCCGATCAGTGATGACCATTCATGCATGTTTCCCCCGTTACCTCCATCATGGTCATGGGGGGTTTGTAAAGTGGAATTTGATGGTGCGGCGAAGAGTTGGTGGATAGAAGAAGCCGCTAATGTAGATGTTCTTGAGGGGGAGACGGCCGAAGAAAGAAGACCAGGCAGCAGGCCTGCTACCAGCACTGACTGAGAGGATGCCATCCGTTCGTCTAAAATGATGCGATAGTATTTGAGTACTGCTTATCGCACGCTTTGGTGGGGAAACTTCTTTGATTGTCAAGCACCCCTTACACCCCAGCTCTCCGTCAAGTATGGCCGATCAAAACGAGCCCCCAGATTCGACGGTGAGCATTCGATCTCAAGCTGCAAAAGACCGCATTCTGTTCCGGGCAATCCGGCTTTCGTGGGCGAATATTATCACCACGAGTAATGAGTATGAAGAGGTTCGGGGATGTAGGCGGCAACCTTGGGATGCACCGAGCGGAAGCGCCGCGGAGAGAACTGATATGTCAGCACTAAACCCCCGGGGTCCCAGGGCCGTTTCTAAAGCTTCCAAGGCCCCTTGCGACCATCGGAGCCTACACTGTATTTAATCCTAACGTTACACTACGCAAATACGGATTGAAACAACCCCCTAAGGCGACATTAACACGAGATCAAAGCTCGCGTGGTTGTTTCCATCGCTATCATTGGTGGTTCGAGCGGACAGTTAGCCCTGGGGATCTCAAAGAACGGCAAAAGAAAGGAAACCCCGTAAGGAAATAGTTCTTATCACCTAGGATTCCTGTAATAATGTGTATGTGCAAATTTTTCTACCTCTTGTATATTATACAACAGCTAGACTCGAGTTATGCAATTCAAAGTGACTTTTTTCATATGAAAAATCGTGAATATTGTACATCCTCCAAGCAGATCATCGCTTTGCTTTCTTCTTTTCTGGTCCTTGTTCTTCATCACTCAGTTCCGCATAGATAGCTTTTGGTTGTGTTTCCTTGTATGCCTTGGTGAATATAGGCTCCTTCTCCGCCTGGTCGGCATATTTCAACAGTGCTTCACGTGGATCCTCGTCTCGCATGGAGCTGAGTGGAATATGCTCGAGGATATGTTTCTCATCTGGGGTACCTTTGGCAAACGGCGTCTGCACTGGCATATGCGGTCGGCGAGGATCCCGAGAGCGACCAGAGGCTGTAAAGCCAACTGTAGGGTGACGAGCAGATCTGGTTGCCGAGCTGTAATGTGGGACCCCGTTGGAACCGACTACCACCGAATCGCCTGCCAATACCTGACTCAGGTCCGCGGTGATGGCAATATCATCAACATGTCGGAGTTTTGGTGCCTTGGACATAACCGTCGCTGCGCCCTTCGTGGACATAGTTGGGTTATAGAGGACATGGGTTTCGGCATTGGCGGAGCCCGTCATAATCTGATTAAGCTTTTCGTGCCATAAAACAGTAATCAAAGGCGATCCCGGTGTCACAGGAGTGACGAGCTCTGGCTTGAGAGTAGCCGGGTTGAGGATATATAGGTGGCCCGTATCAGAGCCGGTGATCACATTGGCAGACGAAGGAGAGAATTGAATGTTGGATGTCGGATAGCGGGAAGATGTCGAGGTATGTGTGACGGTTGTGACTGGAGTTTTAAACTTTCTGGTGTCCCAAAGCTTGATCGTATCATCACCGCCTCTAGTGATAACAAGCCTTCCATCAGAACTGATATCAATACCGCTTGTCCATGTATCTTTGACATGAGCATCCCTGATTTCTGCGCTAGGTCTTGTGTATGGGCCATCTCCACTCCACATAACTAGGCTCCCATCTAGAGCTGCACCTACCAAAATGTTGGCGCCTCCTTGTTTCGGGGAGCCCCATGCAAGAGCAGTCATCTTAGTCCGACCAGCGGAGCCAGCCGCCCGTGACTTGTGTACAATCACCTCCTTCTGGGAACGGCCGACATTGGCATCCCAGATACGAATTGTGCTGTCGGTTCCAGCGGTGGCGCATAGGTTAGGATCAGATGGGCTCCAAGCACCAGAAGTAACTTCGGACACATGTCCTTTGGTATGGTGCAAATCTCGCAGATACATGTCCCCCTTCGCGAATTCTGTGAGTATCTCACCATCGCGGCTAAGGACTCGTGGCTGTGGAGTCGCAGTCACAGCTAGAACATAACTTGGGGAGAGCGGATTGAACGCGGCGAAGTGCAGGGCGTGGGTGTCTTGGGCGGCCGTCGCTTTCTTGGCTGAAGGATCGACGGATTTGAAAGCGCGGAGTGTGGATGGAGTCATCGAGGCAAAGTCAAATAGTTTCAGTGTGCAATCGGTAGAACCTGTGATTAGTCGCGCCCCCGAGGGGTCCACGGTCATAGTGGTCACAGCACGCTCATGCGCCTTGAGAACGAGCTCATGCGATACGGGAAATTCATCCTCGTCATCTTCTGAATCATCAGAATCTTCGTCGTTATTATCATCACTGTCTTTTTGCTCGTCATTGCTCCCTGTTGCTGCTGCGCTAGGGGCTGTCACGCCGGTGCTTAATTCACTGCCTTCGGGTTTCGGAGCCGAAACAGCGACACGCTTGGATCGGTCAATCTGTGACTCGACATCAACCGATTTCGCCTGTTTCCCAAAGCTGGAGGGAAAGAACTTGCTGAATGCTTCCTCGTCGAATTCATCCATGATTGACTTTGAGAAACTTTTGCGACAGATGGTGCGAAAGGCTTCAGCCCATAGTGATCATCGTGGCACTAATTTACCGCCTTTCTCTCCGCCTCCCCCGTGTTTACGTCCACAGTTCAATTCACCTGGGCAGCTTGCGAACCGTCGCATATACCCTCTATATTCCTATTAATGTAATGGAAAGGAGCATTTATAACGTGTAAACATACATACAGAGTCTACGAGTGCCGCTTTTAATTAGGACGGTCAGGATTTCACCCGTACCTCGTGAAATATATATCTCAACTTCAACTACGGAATATGTATATATATTTAGCTATACTGTTGATGCGCTAAATATAGATATACTCATGTAAATAGATAGTTGATTGAATAATGAATCTATTTCATTCAACATTTAGGATATATTATATTATAGCCCCTGACTTGCATAGTGCTAGTAGCCCTCTAGGTAACTATAGAGAGGATCAAACTGCATGAGCGCTTCGTAGTAAGTAGAAAAGAGCGCTGACATATAGCACTTACAGATGTACCATTGAAGAGGGAGATAATTTGATACCAATAAGCACGCAGATCAAGACCTCGGGATATCCATGGAGGAATCCTGGGTTACCTGTAAAGATATAAAAGGGATATCCGTTCTTGTACGATGGGCTGTTGTGACCCACTGTAGCAGTGTGCAACTTGAGCCGAAGTGCTTGCCCGGTGCATGCAATCTCGCATAGTAACTACAAGAGGCGAATCATGTACTTCGGATGTATGTTTATGGATAAATTTAGGTAAATTCTTAAACGGTTTGCCCTTTAAATTCGTTCGTTACTCGATTATTACAATACACAAGGGACCTAGCTGAGCGCAGGTCTCCAGCGCAAGCACTCCGGCACTCTACCCTCAAATAATTGCCAGCGTTTACAGGTATAGACCCTCCACAGGACCGCCGTCCTGCTTGGTCTTCATGATACGCTCACGAGCAGCCCGGAAATCGTCCATCTGCACCCTCATACGGCGCTCTCTCAAGGCCATCAAACCAGCTTCGGTACAGATGGCACGGATGTCGGCACCAGAGAGATCATCCTTCTGGCTGATGAACTCCTCAAGGTCAACATCATCACCCAAAGACATCTTCGATGTGTGCAGGGTGAAAATCTTCTTCTTGGTGTTTTCTAAAAATCTGTTAGTAAGCTGGTATCAAGTAGCAAGCATAAGGGTATGACTTACGGTCTGGGTTCTCGAAGAGAATCTTACGGTCAATACGACCAGGTCGGATCAAAGCTGGGTCTAGGGTTTCGATCTTGTTGGTAGCCATGATGACCTTCACGTCGCCACGATCATCGAATCCATCCAGCTGGTTCAGAAGCTCCAGCATGGTTCGCTGAATTTCTCGCTCACCGCCAGATTGTGATTCGTATCGCTTGGTACCGATAGCATCAATCTCGTCAATGAAGACAATTGATGGAGCATGGTCAGCAGCAACCGAGAAGATCTGGCGAACCAGGCGGGGGCCATCACCCAGATATTTCTGGATAAGTTCACTGCCAACAATGCGGAGGAAGGTTGCGCTAGTCTGGTTGGCAACAGCCTTGGCAAGCAGCGTCTTTCCGGTACCTGGGGCACCGTAAAGAATCACACCCTTGGGGGGCTTGATACCCATCTCTTCATACAGCTCAGGGTGTAGCAAGGGCAGCTCCACGGATTCTCGGACTTCCTGGATTTGCTGCTCCAGACCACCGATATCAGCGTATGACTCTGTTGGTGCCTTGTCCAACTTCATCACCGAGACAAGGGGGTCAGATTCCTCCGTCAGTACACCAACGACGGAGACTGACTTGTGGTGTAGAAGAATACTGGCACCCGGCTCGAGGAGATCTTTATCGACGAAAGACATGATCGAGACGTAGTACTCAGGGCCGGTGGCACTTGAGACAATAGCATGGTCATCATCAATCAACTCTTCTAAGTTGCCGACACCCATCGGGCTGCCTCGCATGTCATCGACTCGACTCCGCTCATCAGCATTCCGATCCGTCACATCCAAGTCACCACCTCGGCTGGCGGGATCCTGGCTGGCCTGAGCCTTGGCCTTGCGCATTCGTTCCATGTTCTCAACATACTCTTCTTCTAACAACAGGTGGTCGTGAATACGTTGCATGCGAAGGTATCGGAGCTTGCATCGCGATGTAGGGTAGATATCGGGGAGCTTGGAGGCAGTGCTTGGGCCGGCAGCCTTGCGCTTCTTCTTTCCAAGTCGAGTGGTAGGTGGTGGGGGAGGTTCGTATTTAGGCTTGTCCTTCTGATGAAAGATGGTCTCAGCGATAGTTGTGTCAGAGGAGATGAGTAGGAACATACCTTCTTATCCTTGTCATCACGTCCATCGCCTCCAGGGCCGCCGCCCAGATTAGACTGCTGTTGACCCTAGTTTTGAATGTTAGAATGTAAATCGGGATGGCCTCCTAAAGGGCGGAAGATTGGGACACTCACCATGTTTGTCAGCCACCGATAGGGAGACAATCAGAATCCCTGGTGTGAAGATGCAAATGGAACCCAAGTATCGTGGATCCTGAGCTTCAACGGGTAGTAAATGATGGGAAAGACGAGTCGAACGGGATGGATTGTCAATGCAAATGTGGTGGTATCGCCGAAGGTCAGACGCTGGGCGAGCTGGGAGCTGTTAGGTCCACACGTGACTAAAAAGGCCTCAGGCCGCAACTGCGTCATTCACGCCTTATTGCCTTAAACCGTTTTGTCTCATCGGCACGTTGCTTGTACCTCCGACATTCTCGAAGACAATCAAATTCGTATTCCGCCGAGGCTCTAGACTGGGATTTGCCTTACAGAATCCAGGCTTAAAAGTGGTGTTCTTTCTCAGGGTCTATATCTCAGGTGCATATAACAGGTATTTGGGCTTATCACTCAGACTGTTTCCCGTATAGTTCCCCTCCATTGGTGAGATCCTCGCTTCTCTTGAGTTCCGTTCAATTCACTAGGGGATTCCGTACTCTGGGGATGTGGTTCTCTCTACTGGATCTAAAGCCTTCCTAACACCATCCTCCTACTATTAGCCCACTCTTGTCTTTCTCTCCACGGCAGTTTCCACGCTCTTGTGCAGTCCTTGACAAGACGGAAATAGATCTATTTGACTCCACAATTCCCACATAAAGTGGTCTTGTCTTTCAGCATCTCTTGTTTGACCTCTTTCTGACACGAGTCCTCGAATCATCATGGCTAGCAATCGTATGCGTCGCATTGGAAAAGAAATTGCGGACATTCACGCCGATGCCCATTCTCAAATCAAGGTCGAGCCATTTGGCAACCAGGACGATGTCACTCACCTAAGGGGGTCATTTCCAGGGCCACCTGGCACTCCATATGAAGGTGGTACCTACAATATCGAGATTAAAATCCCCACCGATTACCCTTTCCGACCACCTACCATGAAGTTTGAGACCAAAGTGTGGCATCCAAATGTCAGCAGTCAAACGGTCAGTTTCCTCTGTATAATATACATATGAGAAGGACCGAATGCTGATAGCGAGTGTAGGGTGCAATCTGCCTTGATACGCTCTCTAGTGCTTGGTCGCCAGTTCTGACCGTCAAGTCCGCTCTGCTTTCGCTGCAATCTTTGCTTAGCACACCTGAGCCTAAAGATCCCCAAGATGCTGAAGTGGCTAATATGCTTCTCAAGACGCCCAAGGAGTTTGAGCGTGTTGCACGCGAATGGGCAGTCGTCTATGCTGGAGCTCCCGCGGGTGGTGCTGACAATGGAAGCGGATCAAGCCTAGATGATACCCGGCAAAAGGCTAGCGAAGACAGTCTTGCAAAGTGAGTCCTTCTTCGACCATTCATTGTGTCTGGTCGCTCACTGTTACCTATAGGTATGATGGATACAATAAGGATTTGATCGACCGTTTTACCAGCATGGGCTTCGAAGTTGATCGTGTTGTGGCTGCTTTCCGGTTTGCTGGTGTTGAGCGACGAGGAGGCCAATACTATGAATTGGAAGCAGACCGTATGGCTGATATTGCTGGCCGACTTCTCGGTGAGTAGTGTATATTTTGGTGTCTGTGATGAACTTGGAATGAAATCTGGCAGAAAGCACATATGGAATACAAATGAATTGCATTTGGGGGGTTTATGAGTGTCAAATATTTGCTACATAGATTTTGATCGATATTAAAAACAATAAAACATGACCAAGAAATGACTTGATGATCTGATGTGCCTTCAGCTAGAAGAACTCCTCCAGGGCTGCGAAAGTGAGGGTTCGTGTTATCGATAAGCATACCCAGCTCCAACCTTCTCCCTCGGATCACTCCAAATGGATTAATTGCTAGGCTTATTGATAATTGCCGAATACTTGTTTTCATATTTAGAACTATCCTGTGGTTTCCACCTCTCCATGCTCATCATCTCTCTCCAGTGATACTCCAACCAGCCCATCATCATCTCCGGTCAAGAATAAAGGTTTCTAGCCTTTGATTCTTCAAACAAAGTCAAGAGCACCAGCGCCATGATTGAAGACGACATTTACCGTGCCTCATCCCAGTACCGGCTATGGTCATACACGGAGCCATCTCTGCAATCCCTCAGAGCTTCGACAAATGCCGCTGCCAGCGAGCGCGTGCGAGCCGCTTTGCGTAGATCGCGCGAAACTCATCAGTCAGCCACATCCTCCGCGGCGGGCACACCACTACCGGAAAGCAGTACGGAAATCAAGAACAAAGATGAGAAGGATGTTGAATGCTTGACACCAGAGGAGGAGCTCGTTCTTGTGCGGTATTACTGTGAGAAGACGCTAGAGCTGGGCGAAACATACAAGCCACCAATTCCAACAATGGTCCGGGTACGTTTGACTATCAGAGAATTCATGCTCTTTTTGGGGGTCATCACAAATAAAGCTTAAGAAGCTGACCTTTCCCTCGTTCTGCGCATACAGGCCACCGCGATCCAATACCTCCGCCGCTTCTACCTAACCAATTCGCCCATGACATACCATCCAAAGTCCATCATGGCGTGTGCGCTCTTCGTCGCTACCAAAACTGATAATTACTATATGTCCCTCCGGCAATTTGCAGATGGAATTCCTGGTGACACAACGACGGAGGATGTCATCGCACCAGAATTCCTGCTCATGCAGGGACTCCGTTTCACCTTTGATGTACGGCATCCATTCCGGGGACTTGAAGGCGGCGTAATGGAACTACAAGCCATCGCACAAGGCCAAGGCCAGCCAGCCCCCCATATACCACATGAGACGGCGGAAGATCTCCAACAAGGATTGCTATCTATCGCACCTCCCCCCGTCCCCTCGTCCTCAATGTCAGATCGAATCGCTAGGGCCCACGGCACAACTCGTGAGCTGCTGAAATCCGCTGCACAGATGACGGACGCATACTTCTTGTATACACCATCCCAGATCTGGTTTTCTGCCTTTTTACTAGCGGATCGACCCCTAGCCGAGTTTTTGCTGGATGTCAAACTTGGTGGTCCTGTCACAGCCACAATCCCTGCTCCCGAGACAGACGAGAATGGCCTAGTGAACCCTCTATACGAAATCCGCTCCAAGCTGCATCACGTATTGACTGAATGCTCTGCTCTTCTCCAATCCTACACACCCCTTTCCTCGGACCCCGCGCAAATGAAGAGCCTCAAGCGTATTGCAAAGAAACTATATCATTGCCAGAACCCCGAGAAGGTGAATCTGGCAGCCGCTCAGAAACGGGAATCAGCACAACCATCTACTGCTGTTCAAAGCGACGCTGGAATGGCTACTTCTGAGAGCGAAACAGAACGCCTAGCGAAAAAACGGAAACTGGAACAAGAACGGATCATTCGCCAGGATGGTGATGTTTTTGGTCCGGAGTTGGTCACTCAGCGAACCAAACAGTGATGACCAAGCCATTGAATCTAAATACACGAATATTTTAATATCAAATACCGGAACGGACACACTTCTAGATGCACTAAATGTCGGACACGGCGATATGTTTCCAAATCTCCAGGTCTCAGCTGCAGCTATTAGACCTGAAACCTCAGTCCCAAATTCAGCTAAGAGCACAGATGACTTCCTGTCATTATCGGACAAAACGCTCAAACTTGGCTCAAGTGTTCTGGTCTGATCCAGCATGGGGAACAAAATTGGACCCAGGCTTCGATGTCAATGGTTGTAATTGATACATACATCCTACATTCCTCCCTCCCCCGAAGTAGACTGTCTGGTAACAAGTATATCCTCTAGAATATAACACCATTAGACCTACCATGTTAATACCAGTCTCACTGTTAAACAATACTCTCCTACAGCCTGAATTCCCATCCCTACAAGCCCTACTCTACACCTTCAAGCCCAAACCAAGCATCATCAACATGCACGTAGCATACATTCAAAAAGGCAACGCATCCAAAAGATGCACAAGAAGATCCGCGACAATCAACGGATCTCCACCACCAGCAAGCTCATCCTTAAGAACACCCAGTTCCCACTTAATCGAAAAGCAAATCTCCTTAATAGAAAGGGGATTCCAGCGCACACGCACGCGGTTATCATCCCGGATCCCGAATTCGCCAATTTCGCCCAGGAATCCAATCTGGATGATGCGCTCGCCGAGCTCCTCCAGCCGTGTCGGGATGTTCTCCATATCAGGGCTGGGGGATTGGCTCAGGAGGACGAAGACTTGGCATTGGAGCTTGTGGGTGAAGGTTTCGCAGGCTTTTGTGTAGATTTCCCGGAAATTGGCCGGGTGGATGCGAGATCCGTCCATTGTGGCTATGGGTGTGTTGATGTTATGTATAGCTATGGGGACAGGTTTCTAGGTTTCTACCTAGTGTGAGTGGTTAGTGTGTTAGGCTTTACCTAGACCTGGTTATAGGTTAGGATAATGAGATGATAGATGGGATGGGAAGTGTGGTGAGGTCCGGGGGCTATTTATCTATATGCTATTGGTGATGACTTGGATTTGGTTCTTTGTTTGAGGGAGGAGACAATGAGGGCTGGTATGGCCATTGTTGATGTTCTTTGTTGGTATATCGCCACAGTGTGTTATTAGTGTTTGGATGAAAATGACAAGAGAGGAAACCTATCCTACAGCCATGACAGCACTGATGGGGAGATTATAACAGGATATTGAAAATATATCAATCCAAGAGAGCTCGAATGTATGTATACAAATAGCACCATACGGGTATATTTCAGCGTAACGGACATCCCATATATTCACTTCGGAGAGAACTAGATACTCTATGAAGGATGCATAAGACAAAGCGAAAAACAAATCGAATCAGGTCCAATCGAAAGGGGGTAATGAGTTCATAGCAATAAACGCAGAAGTCCAATCCCCCATGACCCAAAATCTATTCAGAAAAGGAGGGAAGGACAAAACGATCTAACGGACAAAAAGAAAATAAATGAAAACCATCCCAACCCAAGGAACTTTTTGTTGAGTTCCTGTTTGCGGGAACCAAACTTTTAGTGCCATTTGGGCATTTGTATTCCTTCAGTTCTCGTCTAGCATTTCGTCATCAATAGGGGGAAATAAAAAAAGAAAAACAAAGTCGAAAAAAAGAGAATAAAAGCCTTTAAACAGCACCGGCAGACAACATCTTGTTGCGGAGGTGGTTCTTGTAGTCACCGATGGAGCCGTCCCACCGGCGGATGGTCTTGTCCTCACAGACCATGATGTCCTTAGCGATCTTGTCGAGGAGACGGAAATCGTGAGAGACAACGACGACACCACCGCTGTAGGCGTTGATGGCATCAGCCAACGAGTCAATGGTGGGAATATCGAGACCGTTGGTAGGCTCGTCAAGAAGAATCATGTTGGGGGACTCGATGGCAAGCAGGGCGAAGACGATACGGGACTTCTGACCCTCGGACAGGGTACCCATGAGGGCAGTCTGGCCCTCACCGCTCAGACCGTAACGGCCGAGCTGCTGGCGCCAGTACTGGTAATCCTGGGACTTCTCAGGGAAGCGGTCACGGACGAACTCCAGGGAGGACTTGGTGAGATCAAGCTGCTCAGAGGAGTGCTGGCTGTAAACACCGAGCTTCAAGTGAGTGTGACGGGAGACACGACCACCGATGGGGCTGAGCTTTCCGGTCATGAGACGGAGCAGGGTAGACTTGCCGACACCGTTGGGACCGACCAGGGCGGTACGGGAGTCCATGTCGACACCGAGGTCAAGGTGCTCGTAGAGAGTGTCATCCCAGTTACCGGAGTAAGAGAAGCTGACATCGTCGAAGGAGAGAACTGGGGGAGGGAGCTTCTCAACATCGGCGAAGCGGAAGGTGAAGACGCGGTCGGCAACGACGGGCTGAATGAAGCCATCGGCCTCCATCTTGTCGAGAATCTTCTGGCGAGACTTGGCTTGACGCACCAAGTTAGCGTAGGTACCAGCGGAAGCAATGAACTTCTTGATGTGCTGGATTTCTTCCTGCTGCTTGGTGTAGGCCTTGGCCTGGTTGGTCTCCTGCTCGCTACGGGTCTTGTGGTAAGAATCGTAGTTACCACCGTAGTAGAGGAGCTTCTGGCCACGCATATCAATCATGGTGGTACAGACACCGTTCAGGAAATCCATGGAATGAGAAACAAGGATCAAAGTACGATCCCACTTCTTAAGGTACTCCTCGAGCCACACACAAGCCTCCAGATCCAAATGGGCAGTGGGGTCATCAAGCAAGAGCAGAGAGGGCTTGACGAACAGGGCCTTGGCGAGGGCAACACGCATACGCCAACCACCGGACATGTCCTTGGTCTTCTTGTTGATGGTGTGCTTGTTGAAGCCGAGACCGGTCAAAATGAGGGAGGCACGAACGTGGAAAGTAGAAGGATCCATCTTGTCCATGCGCTGTATATGAGAGTTAGCTTCTGTTCTGGAACCAAGGAGAGCAAAGCTCGAAAAATACGTACGTCATATAGATCTTCAAGGATAGGGCTATCAGGGCCGTCTTCTTCAAGAACCTCCTCGGCCTTCTTCTCCATTTCTTCCAACTGGCGTTCGGCCTCGCGAACAACCCAGTCAAGGGCACCGAAGTCGGTGGGGGGTGCACCCTCGTTCAGAAGGTAGATATCGATGTGCTCAGGAACGGGGTACTCGCGGGCAGCAATAGACTTGAGGATAGTGGACTTTCCGCAACCGTTCTCACCGAGGAGACCATAGCGACGGCCGAAGGTCAACTCGAGGGTGGAATCGGTGACCAGGACCTTTCCGTGGAACACAAGGGAGCAAGAGGTGATTTTAACGTCGCGAGAGGCGGGTAGAGATGACAGCACACCGGTGGTGACACGATCCGAAAGACCGTGCTTATCCAACTGTTGTGTGAGCTTATCAACGGCGGACTGATCCTTAGTGGCAGGCGCATCAATGGCGATTGGTTTTCCGTTGCCATCGAGTTCGACCTTGGTCTCCTTCTTGGGCTTCTTCTCCTCGGCACGCTTGGCCAAGCGGGCGGCCTTCGAGGCGGAAACCATGGTTGCGGGTGTGACGGTATGAAAAAAAGGGGGGTTTTAAAAAGAGAAGTAAGGGACGGAAGGCGAAGGGAGAGAGAGGAGAAAGGATGACAATGCAAGAAGAGATTGAAGAGAAAAGCAAAAAGACTGAGTGGATCGCCTGGCGGGGCGGACAGAGAAATGGAGGGGCGTAGAGCAGTGGAGTTGGTGGTTTGCCCTTATCGATAGAATCCTATCGATTGTCAGTTTTTTTTTTTTTTCAAAAGAGAAAAGAAGAAAAAAGATGGAAGGTAAGAGGTACCTTTCACTTATAATTTTTTTATATTTTTAGGACGAGGTGAGTTGGCATGTCAGGGCTTAAGAAATTTCAAACAAAAAAAAAAAATCCATCAGTGGGCTTGGACATAAGTGGACTCTGATTGGGACAGACGTCACCGCGTTGAATGCCTGAGGTGTCGATTTGCCACTTTGATTTGTGGGATACGCGACTGGACGATAACAGGGGAGAGGGGGAAGCTATATTTGGAGAGATAACTAAATAATATTTAATATGTACGATCTCCCCTCAAAGTCTTTCACTAATTCTATCCAACACTTCTTTTTCCTCGGTAGAAAGTAATACCCCATCCGGCACTGAAATATCACCGCGTTCTATTACCAACCGCCGAGGAATATCAGTCAAACTATCCTCATAATGACTAGCAACACTAGGTGTTTGCTTATGGTCAGCCTTTTCAGCATCCGCTCGAGACTGAGATAGAGGATGTGAAGTCCACCAGTACAATGGATACCGACGCTGCACATTGTTGAGAACTACGGCCACAACCTGCATCAGCGTCACCCCCAGCAACATAACAGGGAACAGGAACCAGCCCAAAGCGACGGTCTGGGCGTGTGTCACAGCCAGAACAGCAGTTGCACCCGCCGGCGGGTGTGTAGTATTGGTGAGAAGCATAACAGCAGTGGTAAGAGCGCAGGCAAGAGCGCCTCCAAGCTCAGTATACGCCTCAGCACGAGGATCCAAGGCGAACAACTTTGATATCCCGACACCAAAGAAACAGGCGATGACCTGACTCAGGATCGCATTGCGTGGTTGTGCAAAGGGGGATTCGATCACACCAAATTCAATAACTGCCGCCGCACCCTATTGTCAATGAATACATAGAGTCAGCCCTAAGTCGCTTTCCTGTTCCTCTCTGTTCTCTCAAATCTCTCGAGTTAGACAGCCACAACTCACAAAACTACCAATAATCACTGGCGCATCATGCGCTTGGAACGAAGGCACCCGTTTTGAAACTGATGCCACCAGAGCCACCCCGCAAAACGCTCCAACCAACGACCAGAAGGCAATCACGATGTTGCCTATTGGCTTTGGTGGTCTATCACGATATCCCAGCATATAGGCGACAGGTTTTGGTACGAGATGCCATCGTGGAGCTGGCACAAACGGATTCAGATACCGATCAATATCGAAATTCCAGGTCGTCGGACGGGATAGTGTCACCGGTCCATGCGGTGATGAAGCCATGCTAGACTTCTGCTGCAATGGGCAAATATGATTCAGGCTCTGGCAGGTTTCCTAGTGATCTCATGGCAGGGAAGTCCTACGAACACGTTTGGGAGGTTCAGCCCTATCGGGGATATAAAGAAAGAAACCCCATCAGCCGTATACCGGTACCACTGAGTGAGTAATACCTCATTTTTGCCATTTAACACGCAACTCTTCTCTCTTTCTCCGCGGATGTCAACTCACCAATGTCTTGATGCCAGGCCCAATTTGGACTTGTCCACTCAGTGGATTTGTATTTGGTAACATAAACTACGATTTGGGACTAGCGGCTTGGCATACCGTCATTATCGAAGATGCCATGTGACGTTGGGATGTTCCTATTTCACCATACATATCGATGCTATGTTTCATCTCAATACAACAATTAACATGTATTATTTTGGAGTGTCATCCAAGTCAAAAATGCAGTTGATTTCCACACAAACCAGCTCTCCCAGGTATTGCGATATATGCCTGACCAATAACCGAGCATCCATCTCCACTAAAGAAAAACAGAACACCATATTATACTAAAAGATCGTGATATGCGTTCAGCATACCTATAAAAAAAGAACCAAAAGGAATCAAATCTGACTCCCAACATCCCTCAAACACTCCTCCCCTTCCCCAATATCCAACGGCAATCCCACGCACCAAGCCCGCGGATATTCCATCCCCCACTTCGCCATAAGCGCCCTCAGATCCACCTCATGACCGGGGACAACATTAACAAAAATTCGATCACCATGTGATTGCGGCTCAGAATGCACCGCGCCCTCCTCTTCGCCAACCCGGAAGAAGACACACTCCCCCACCGACGCCTGCATAACCCCATGTCGGCCTAGCTCAGCAGCTAGCCGTGCTCGCACAGACTCCGCTGCCATGGCGCAGCCGACACAGCGCACGGACACACATATGTGACCAGGATCTGCGGCGCGGGCGTCGTTTTTGGCGGCTTGTTGTGTGGCGCGTGCTAGGTGGGTTGCCGCGGGTGGGATGAACAGGGTTCCGGGGCCTAGGAGGGTTGTTGTGAGCTTCCAGTTCGTTGGGGTGGGGCTTATGGAGGGGATTTGGGCAGTTGGAGGTGTGGACGGTGGGTGGTGGTCATGATGCCCGGGTTGGTGTTTGTAGGGTGAGATTGGGGCTGAGGGTTTTTGGTTTGTTGTTGCTTGCCCTGTTCCGGTGGTTTTGAGTAGATTAGTGATTGGTGAGAAGAAGGATTGACGCCTTGTATGGTTTATTTGCGGTTGGAGGGGAGAGAAGAATAAATCGTCCGTGTGCCAGCGTGGGGTATCGAATTCGTCCGAGCCATTGCTTGCTCTGATTGTGAGCCAGTAATGGGATTGCTTGTTTTTGGTCAGGAAATCGTGGACATATGCCAGGAATGAGAATAAGGGGGGCTTTATTGAGCCGCTGATTGTGGCTTCTGCCCAGGTGTTAAAGGATGATGGCAGGTTACATGGTTCGAGGGTCAGGAGGGGTCCGCAGTATGTCCATGAGGACGAGTTGTTGACGGTAATTAGATCATCTGCTGGCAGTAGTTCTTTAGAGTCGGAAGGATATTTGACTGAATATGGGCAGAATCGAAATTCTGGTAGCGATTTAACGTCCATCACAATTATAAGGTTAGATCAAGAATCTCCTTTAGAGGCTGTGAAACGATTTGAAAAGCTCCTGGAACTGATATGTACAGGATGCCTGAAACACTTTCCATTTTAGTGTCAGCCTCTTGCCGCTTTTTTCTCACTGAGTAAAACTGAGCACGCATATGTGGAGGCGCAGGTGATCACTGACCATTATATAATCAACATGTTCCCCCGACTTCACTTGACTATCAAGTGAGGGCATTAAGGGTAACTTTAGCGTTATGGCTTTCAATCTAACATGAATTTTCAACAATATCCACAGATTCTATTGTGAAGCTAATCTGAGCTTTATATTGCGCGTTTCACGTTAGAAGTCCGTGCTTCCTCACGGGTTTCGATGTAGTAAAATACTACTGCACCAGATGTATACAAAGTACAAGCCTACATCTTCTGAGCGATTTGATTCGCTACGGGACTCAATTATTTGGCTGAATAAGCCAACTGAATTTCCAAGGTCCACCATCTTCACTTCAATGTTTACCCTATATAGATAATCCAAGCGGAAATATATGACTCGATCCCAGAAAGACTTCAACTCGATTCTGTCTTGAAAAAGCTGGGGGCTTGGCAGGGACATATCTTTCGCATGGACAACAAGCATATTTCCTTCGCAAGCTTTGGCTTGGTGGTGCTTGACGAAATTCGCTTCCCCAAGCGGAAACCTTTAACCAATGTACTGGGTGGGTCCGGAGCCTACGGTTGGTTTTGCCTATATTTCGATTTAAACAACCAGATTTCTGATCGATTTGTGTTTCTAGCGACTCTAGGTGCTCGGTTGTTTCTGCCCTCTCCACTGAGCCGCTCCTTGGCCTGGCCAATCCGTATTGGAAATGACTTTCCGGACCCCATTGCAGAACTCTTGCATAGCTGGGATACAAATTTGGTGATAACAAACGAACCAGACCAGTCCTCGACTCGAGGCTTACTAGAGTATCAAGATACCACATTCGGACGTGCGAAAAGCCTTTCCATTTACCCTTCTTCTCTCGCCCATACTATTGCCGTTTGTATTTACTTGCTGATGAATCCAAATTCTCAACTTAAATCCGCAAATTATCAACATACACTAACTTCAAATTATCTTCTAGCGAAGAATTTCAAGTACACTACGCCGATTCTTGCAATTCAAGAAAGCAAGTTATCAGGCACCGCCTTGCTAAGTTCGAAAGTCTATCACTATCTCGCCAGTCCCCAAGATATGAGAAAGCATTTTCTAAACATACTCAGTCTTCGAGAGCAGGCGGGTATACAACATCGTCCTCTGATTATATGGGAACCGGCTCCTCTTTCATGCAAGCCGGAGAACCTCCAAGACTGTCTAGAGGCTGCAGCTTTAGTCGACGTGTTTAGTCCAAACCACTTAGAGCTGGCTGCATTGTTTGAAAATACTGCGGCTACTTCTGATAGAACTGAAATTGAAAGGCTAGCTTTGAAATTACTAGCCAATGGAGTCGGCCTAGAAGGAAAGGGTACGGTGATTATTCGAGCTGGTGAAAATGGCTGCTTTGTTCAATCAAGCAACCTCATTTCCAAATGGCTACCTCCATTTCACATGGCAGGGACTGGAGAAGAGCAGGCTACCAAAGTGGTTGATCCGACTGGGGCCGGAAACGCATTTCTGGGAGGCTATTCTGTCGGGCACCTCCAAACTGGAGGTGATATAATTCAGGCGGCTTGTTATGGGTCTGTCGCAGCATCGTTTGCAGTAGAGCAAGTAGGAATGCCGGAGAAGAGGAATGAAGGAGATGAAGAATTATGGAATGGGGCTAGCGTTCTTGGAAGATTGAATGAATATAGGGCTAGGCAAGAATCCACCGGCTCAAGATAAATTGACAGCCTGCATGGTGATCACCGTTATCCATATTGAACTGGTTCATGATACGTAGATTGGGTTGGAGTGAAATCGTAAACTGATAGGGCAGTCACTTTCTGTACACAGGTCCGCATATCATCCTGTGTTATTAAACAGTTAGTTGTAGAATAGTTTATCAAACCCGTGGAATGAGTGCATGCTGGAGTACTGATGAATTTCAAGTTGCCTCGATTATATAGCCGACGATCAGAATACTCCAGGTTGGAGACGAGCAGTTATTTTTCATGTGTTATCTCATTTTACGGAGTCTTCAGGACAGCCTATTCTCATATACCTTCTCTAGGCTTTCACATCATCACAGTCCGTGGAGGCAATGATTTCTTGCCAACTATCAAGCGTCTCCTGTTCGCGAGCAATACTCCCCCCAATGGCAGCCAAGGAATCCCGTCCTAGGGCTAATCTTGCCGGGAGACTACGTCCCTCACAGCGACCAGTCTTGGTGAAAGCCTCAAAGAGCACTTGAGCACCCTTGACAGGGTCACCAGGTTGATTGAGACTGTAAGCAGCGAGGGCATCACGGGTAGCCTGGGTGCCAACGTCTAACTCGGGAATGCGGTTCTTGGCTGTGATCTTATGGTCACCAGTGAGGAAGTTGGTACGGAAGTAGCCCGGTTCAACGCAGGTGACTTCGATATCGAAAGCAGCTAGTTCGTTGCGTAGGGACTCAGTGTAGATCGCGATGGCGGCCTTGGTAGCGCAATACATGCCCGCCGCTGGGGAACCATTCCAGCCGCCAATGGACCCAAAATTAGCGACGATGCCGGATTTGCGGGCCCGCATAGAGGGGAGAGCTGCTCTAAGGATGCGAAGCTGTGAGAAGACATTGACATCGAATTGATCGACAATTTCTTGGTGGCTATATAACTTGAATTAGAGCTTGAATATTGATATGAAGAATAGGGCTTGATTACCTGCACTCTTCTACACCTCCTTCCAAAATATACCCCGCGTTGTTTACCAAGATGTCAATTGGTCCAACGGTAGAAATAACGTCGTCGATAACCGCCTTGACTTCGGCATCGCTGGCTTGCACATCAAGCTTCTTCGCAATAACACCAATCGAGGCCAAATCGGATAGCTTTGAGGGGTCGCGCGATGTGGCAACGACAATGTCTTTGTTCTCAGTGGCCGTAATAGCCAACTGGCGTCCGAAGCCAGAGGAACAGCCGGTGATGAACCAGATACGGGGCATTGTGGCTACTGGATCTGACTGCTCTTGTTTTGAGCAGAGTTAGAAAGAATGATAGTATAGAAATTGATTCAGCAAGAGGATCAAGGCACAAGACTGGTTATAAGTAACTGTGCTCGGAGCCAAGGCCAGGATTAAAAGAACTAATCCGTACTTGGCCCTATGCGGAGCTAGGGGCAGGGTCAAAAGAACTCCATAAGTGGCCGTATGTGGAGTCAAGGCAAGGGTCCAAAGAACGAACACATCCTGAAATTGAAACTATACGTCAAAGAGAGCCCGGTATCTCCGGATAACTCCGATCTGCAAGGATGTTCCCTGTCATCATCAGTCAGCTGGCGCTAATCTCCGCATTTTGCGCTAAAGTACGAAGTATGAATAACCGGGCCGAGGTGATCACTGATCATCACCCGATCATCCCCTGAGTGCTGTGATTTACTCACTAGACACAAAATGAGTGTACATTATCCACGAGTAGATCTAGCCTCCTGGATGCAAAAAAGGTGAAGGATCATCGAGCTTGGTACCATGCGAAAATAACCCAATTCTACGGGTTCGATGAAAGAAGGTTCATGCGAGCGATGGATACTCTGGTCAATAGGACAAAGAAGATCGATGTTTACCAACGGTACATTTTTCATCGACCATACATATATCGATTCAAACTGATACGAAACCGATACAAGCAGCGTATAAGTTGGTGGCGAGTGAGTCCCATTCGAATTTGTTGTCAATCGCAACCCAGCCACTCATTTGCTAGTATAATGTCCATTGTTGAGTTGATCTATTCTAAGGCTGGTAAGGCTGGGCTTTGTAACTTCCTGCAGGGGTAGTTCTCTTTCCGTTTATAAGCAGGCACATCTAGGACTACTCACATGTAGCAGGACTGGCACATGCACTACGCTTAAGCTATATGCTAGCGTTGAGCTTTGACCTCAGGAGTCAGGACCCCTTGTCTAGTTATTTCTCAATTTGTGACTCGGCTATAATATCTTCCTGTTTCTTACGATTGATATGGTGGCCATCAAGCACCTGGACCGCAAAGGTCTTTACGGAAGGATATATAGCGCACGAAGCATGCAAGATCTCATAGGCGGCCTCGGACACGGTGAGCATGTCTCCAGCACTACCGCCGCTTGATTCCAAGCAGTACATTTTGAGTTAGGTGAGAGCATCGCGACTTCTCCAGGACTGACTCAGAACTTGCGCGATAATAGCAGTTTGGTCCATCTTCTTTTTCTTCTTCCCCTTCGTGCGAAAGAATTGTTGTTTGGTGGAGTCAAGACTAGGAAGATGTGTTGGGCGCGTGGCACGATTATAGCTACCACAGGTGAATCTATGTTGTCTGTGCACTTTATGCTCACACTTCACGCCTTGAATCAGGACAAAACATGATGGGCGACTCTATAGGACTAACCCCTTCTAGGTATAGTGTATCACTCTGCACGTGACTGATATCCACAAGTGAAGTCTGACACCGTGCTGACATCTACTCGTGAGCCTACCTATGTAGGTAAGCCTAAGTACCCCATAAAAGCAGCGGTAGTTTGGGGCCATTGTTAGGCAGCAATATGACCTCGGGATGCGGACTAATTCCGCGTGTTTAGGGTAGACATATGTAGTATGAGACCACAGGTTTGGCTGTTGAAGTGCTTTTGTGTATTTCCTACGTTTTATGGTCACTAAATGCAAGGGTGGACCGTAGGATCTAATTAACTATACTTATTATTGGAGCATGCAAAAAATTACATCCAAAACTTCAACTTATATTGCTTTATATAAAGTAGATCATAATCATCATTGCATTTACAAACCCTAGCTTAGACGTCCAAAGTACGTCCAGTGCGGGAACTCTCGCGAGCCAACTCGATCAAACGAATGATCTCACGAGCCTCCACGCCGCTGGCAGGGAGCTCACCCTCGCCATTGAGAGCGCGGACAAGCTTGCGGTAGTACTCAGTGTAGGTGGGGGCCTCCACGGTGGGAACCACCTCCTTGACTGGCTTGCCGTTGTGAATAGTAGTCAGAGTACCGTAACGCTCGCTGGGCTCACAGCCGTAGCCCTTATCCTGGGGCGTCATGCCGGCCTTGAGTTGCTCTTCTTGGATATCAAGGTGGTACTATACAACTTTGTCAGTTCTTACTTTTCTTTTTACACCACAGGGATATGCGCAAGTAAATGATCTTACCTTCTTGAAGCTACCCTTATCACCGCGCACCCAAAAGCGCAGCTGCTCCTCCTCAGGGCTGACAACGGTCGCCTTGGCGGTAACCATAGAGCCGTCGGCATAGTGCAGCAGAACGGTGAAGGAGTCCTCGAATGAAGATGAGGTGACTCCCCGGGCGGAGCCAATGAAACCGGTCACTCGCTTGGGTAGTCCAAGCAGGTGCACGGCCTGATCCAGGAGGTGGCTTCCAAGATCATGGATCGCTGTGTTACCGGGGATGGACTTGTGCTTCCACTTGTGAGAGTCAGCAGCAGGCACCTCAGGGCGGTGACGGTCGAAGTGAGTTTCAAACTCGGAGATGCGGCCAAGTGAGCCGTTCTTGACGAGCTTGGAGAGAGTTACGAAATCGGCATCCCAGCGGCGATCTAGCGCATTAATGAGTAAGGATTTTGGTAAACAGGGTGATTATGAGACATACTCTGGAATACGGCAAGCTGCTTATTATTCTTCTTCGCAATGGCGATGAGCTCATCGGCTTCCTGGGTGGTGGGGGTAAAGGGCTTCTCGCAGACAACTGATATATCCCATGTTAGTTAATCTACGTCAATTGATACTTGATATCTGGGATTTCTGAGCACTTACCGTGCTTGCCAGCCTCAAGCGCCAGCTTGGACAGCTCAACGTGAGAATCGGGGGCAGTAGTAATGATCACCACGTCGATTGCGGGGTCCTGGACCATCTCCTCGGTGGTACGGAAAGACTTCACACCGGGGTGGTCCTCCTCCGCGTCATCGTCTGGCTTCGGGGTGCGCTGGACAATTGCATAAAGCTTGAGCTCTGGGACCTCCTTCACAAAGGGAATTTGGAAGACCTTGGCGCTGAAGCCATAGCCAACAATGCCGACATTGTAAATCTTGGAAGCCATGATGAGATATAGATTGAGAATTAATTGAGAGGGGAATCAGCGGTAATAGAGAGTATTTTATATGGCCCCGGAAATCATTTAGCGGGGGGACATGGGAACCTTGGAAGGTCCTGGCGACGGCAACGTTGGATCGGGTGGGTCCAAATGCCGAGTGCGTCGGGTTCCCGATGTGGCAATGACTCTACTTTTACTTTGGACGTGAAAATATCTATCGGAGCACTCTGTACCTGATTGATAATCATATATATCCACTGGAAGTTATATTCTTGACATCTCGGCTTGTACCCGCTCTACTTTGTATGTTGTAGAGTCCTCAATTGCGTCATCGGCATTTGCCATCTATGCCTCTTGCACCCCCACACACCTTGTAACCTCGATAGCATCCTACCAATTGCAGTTAGCGGCATATTCTTTCGCGGAAAACAATCCAGACTTACCCGCGATCCCTGGGGTTGGCATAGCTGGCTCTCATACACCAAGTTTGGGTTTCCGACAAAATTGAAAGTGGGCACATCATCTTTACCCACAAAGGAGTGCACTGTTCTTTCGGCCATCCCGGTAGTATTATATGATTGGGAAGGTCCAGCCTTAGCCACTTCACGCTTCTGTTCCACTGTGCTGCGGACGTATTCCAGATATGGCAGGTTGCCCGGGTAAATGACATTGTCAGCGGCGAGTACCGTACCCGGTACAATAGCCCCGAGGTGCTCACACAGCTTGAGGTCAGTAGTGTAAGCCGGTTTGTAATGATCAATGAAAATAAGTTCCACTTTGTTCACCTCTCCCGAGGTGATTAATTTGTGTAGCGATTTATCGCTTCGACCGACGATGATGCGAACAAAGTCACGCAATCCAGCTAGCTCGACGAGCATATTGGCAATTGCGGCGAACTCTGGGTTCAACTCTAGACTCAAGTAACGTTCGCCGCCGTTTCGACGGACTTCATCGCCGAACAAGATCGCAGAGTAGCCCACGTAGCAGCCGAGCTCGATCATGGTCTTTGGCTTGAGTTCATCGATAAGTTTGGTAACGATTTTGCCCTTTTCAGAGCCAACATTCATAAAACGGTAGTCTTTCTCAAACTCATGAATCAAATCAATCACCTTCTGGGGATGCCCACGGACTTCATCCAGGTTTGGCTGCCCATAGATGTAGTGCAGGAGCTTCAGCTCCTTGCCGGCATCGCTCTAGAGTATGAGTTAGCATCGTCTCTCATAATCATAGGGTCAAAATGCAAATCCTACCGAGGTGACTGCTGTAGACATGATGTGAAGTTAGAGTAAGGTAATTGGATGAATTATGAGGGAATTCTAGACATGGCGAACTTCCAAGTTTATATATGGCAGCCTCGGGGATAATCAAGCTTGAAATGCTTCGAAGACAGTAAATCCGAGTCTCGGACCATTCATTCACTACGTAACCACTCACCATTCACCATTCATTAGTAGATTGCGTTATCATTAATCCAAGCCGGCATCCCTTCAGGCAATCAATGCCGAGAACACACTGGCAAAGCCTCGGAAACATGATCCCATGTGGCAATTCCGGATATTTTCTGGAGGTTAGATCCGAGACCCCCGCAATTAGCTCTGTTGTTAGCTCTGGAATGATAATAATAATTACTTGCCCAGAGATCTTGATCTCTGAAGAGTAGTAGTACGGAGTACAAAGTAGATCGAGGTGCATCGTCACACCACTGAACTAGATCTGCAGGCCAAGCCCCTCATTAATGTCCAGCCACCTCAACTCACATTTTCCCCCTCCTCGTGAGCGCGCAATGTCGCATAGTCCAGACTAGCCTTGCAAGGTTCATTATTCCCAAAATACGGATTACTCATAGCCAAATGAGCAGACACATCTATCCGCTCGTTGCGGTGAGACAAAGGCTTAGCATGTCGATCAAATCCGCCAAAGCTTCAGTCTCATCAGAAACTTTCTCACGAGTATTGTGGCATCTCCTTCGAATATGCCTTTCATTCTCGCTGTTGTTTTTCGATAACACTATTCTCGTGGTCGCGGGGTTCTTAGCGTATCGCCGGTCAATAGCCAATCGACGCCTAGCGACACAACACGATGTACCGTTTTACCCGAAAACGGTCCTTATCACAGGAATAGGTACGGCTCACGGCCTGACTCTGGCAAGGTCATGGGCTGCAGAAGGCCACCACGTGGTTGGGGCCGATGTTACAGACCTGGACCTGCCAATGCGCTCCGGCGGAAGTATGTCCAAGGCCCTGGTAGCATTCTACCAGATCCCCAAGGACCATTACATCTCCCGGCTACTCGACGTTATCCAGCACGACAAGGTTGACCTTTGGATTCCATGCTCGCCCAAGGCATCACCCACTGAAGATGCGACGGCCCGACAGGTTGTTGAGAGTCGCACTAACTGCAAGTGTATCACATTCGACACTGAGTTGGCGGCTTGCTTTGCCCATCCTGATTCTTTCAGGCAGTATGTGATTGAGAGAGGTCTTCCTGTGCCTGAGTATCACAGAGTCCAATCGCGCGACTCTGTGCACAAGATCTTGCACCGGTCGCCCGCCAAAACCTACCAGATCTCCCGAGCGACCCCATCTGCGAATGAGAAGGCTATACTCTTGCCGAGGCGCACGCTGAGCAAGACATACACGATGGTCAGCGAGATCCAGATCTCCAAGGATCGCCCATGGATTCTGCAGCAAAAATCTCGCCTTGGAGACCTATTGGCAGACCTACTGATCGTTCGTGGCCACGTTCAAGCCATCAAGGTACGACTTTCCGATTCTGGTTCGTCTACGTGGGGTGCATCACGTCTGGATGAAGTTCTGGCCGCTTCAGTCCATAGGCTCATGCAGACATTGGCAGCCAAAGGTGGTGTGCGCTTGACAGGTCATCTCTCTGTCAGACTCATGGTCGATGAAGAGTTCGACGCGCATTCTGTCCGACACACTATCTACATTGCCGGCTGTACATCTGGCGCCACAGCTGTCGATAATCTGTTGTATAATGTACCTTGCCCCATCACAGGGTATCTATCTGTGTTTCCTTCCAATTCAGTCGATTCAGCCACCGTTGCAGCGATACTGTCCTCAACCCATCCAGCGCCAAAATTTGTCCGAGCCGCCATCCTTCCCGCTGCTTTCTTGCAATTTTCATTATTTCACTTTGCATTCACAGCCCTTGAAGTTGCAGAGGCTGAGTTAACGAGGCTGTTGTTCTGGAAAGATCCACTGTTCTCTTTTCTGGACCCTGTTCCCTGGTGGTGGCAAGTACATGTCTATCAACCATTGCGAGAGATCTGGATGTTGATGAAACAAACACGAGAGGCAGGATTGACTTGATTTCTGATTTTTTTAATGTATTTTAACATGAATATATGAGAAACGAGATTATGTATGGTGTAAATTGACAATGTGCATAAATTGACAGGCATACGCCAAGCACAGTGTGGCTGAGTTCCCGAAATAGTACCTAACGAGAGGGCTGTCGCCTGGGCGATCAGCAGATGTGGATGACATACGTATGTCCTGTGGAAACAATAGACCAGGGTAAGGCAAACATACAAATTAATCGTCTGATTGAATATTGAACTTTTAAACTTACATATCTCTACCGTTGTGATTTTAATAAATTGCAAAGTTGCGACATTGCGACAGAAAAATACTAAAACAAAACAAACCGACACTTTTCTCCAGCCTGGCCGACAGACCCGACCCCCCACCCCAGGTCTAATTCTCCAAGTCTCGACTTTGTTTTCTCTTTCACCTTTTGTGTACTTTATGACTTCACGATAGACGATATCCTCACCCCGAGACCAACCCCTTCCCTCCGAGCGAAAACAAAAAGCGCAACACCCTTGCAGCGCTCCTACACATAAAGATGAAGTTTCAAATGCCGTCAGGCGGAAGCCTCGGACGGACGAAAAACATCCTCCATTTCATACAAGGGTTCATTATCTTCATTGCATGGGCTATAACCATCGCTATATGGACCAAAGGAGGTAGCGGCATCGATGGACGCACAGGCTGGTACTGGGGTCTGGTGAGTTTTCCACTCCTACAGCTTCCAATATAAAAGAGAGTTCTTCGATTCTGACATATATGACCGGATGACAGTGCTGGTTGAGTATCCCCGGCCTGGTGTACTTGGTGGCAGTGCCGATGTGGCCGCGAGCCCGACGCTTCGGTAACGTCTATGCCTTCGCTTGTGTCGACATCCTCTACACGATTCTTTGGGCCAGTGCTTGGATCTGTCTCGCTTCCTACGTTGCCGAAGGAAAGTCCAAGGGCGCGAGCAGCGACAACAAGAAGGACACCGCCACAAAGAGAGCCGAGGAGGAAAAGGACACCAAGAAGACCGGATGCGATAATTGGGCATACGGAGGCGCTACTAAGTGCAAGCTAAGTGAGGCAACTACAATTATTGGTGTATTCATCTTGTGCGTAAATTCCCTCTGGCTCCGAGACACAACGATTCCCTGAATGAAACTAACGGACAAAAAGCATCCTCTTCGCCATAACGTCTTGGATGTCCTTCCGCAACGTGAAGCACTTCCGTCGCACTGGCACTCTGCCCGATGCAGTCTCCGACCCAACCTTCGCCGCGCAGAGCAAAGCTGCCTTCTCGTCGAACCCAGCCCATGACTTCGAGGATGATGAAGATAATTTCCGTTCAGGCCGAGGCGGCGGCATGGGTGCCTCATCCCGCGGCGACGATGAAGACTACGCCCTGCTGCACCAGAGCGAGGTGGATGACATAGGCAGTTCGCACGGCCGGACCGCGATGCAAGGCTCCTATGATCCCACCGCTCCCGCTCCCGGAGGCGTCCTCCATGATTATAACAGCACCGGCTACGGTGGTGCACATGGCCAACACTATGTGGAGCCATCTACTCAGTACAATCCATCCGACTACACCCCGTCTGAGTACACTGCTCCCGCTGGGTTTAATGGCTCGTCGGTGAGTGGGTATGGAAGACGGCCGAGTTGAGTAAGAAGTGCTGTCATTGTACATGGAGGCATAGTTCAGTGAAATACCCGGAGGATTGATGATTCGTCTTGCTTTTTTTGCGTCTTAACGTTGACCATGGAGCGGTGTTGGGCGCATCGTTGTTTACTCTGGGCTGATGCCCTTGTCTTTATCATGTTTCTCGGGGTTCTTTCGGCCCTGGGATTACGATTGTATGTCCTGTTTGGTTTCATTGGATCTAGGAAAACATAGATGTATTGCAATGTAAGATTATATATCTCAGTGTTTTTGTATGTTAGAATACTTTGGTAGGCACTGTATCTAGATGATGCCTCCAAGGCGAGATATCGTAGACCTATCCACATAAAGCAATATCCCATTTAGGGCGTATGAGGTCATGTCATACTCGTACTCTATAATCCTATCACAAATGTTCTCACCTCATAGAAGATTGGCAGAGATATAGATAGTCGTACCTGACATTCTGCCACCGCTTTCCCTATCAGTGGGTTTATGGACAGCTTGCCCTCTTGCCATCATCATCTCTTGACAAGTACACTCCCGAATATTGACCTCAAAGTGAACTGTGCTTTGTTGAATACTTAGAAAGTATATCCAGAACTGTGCCTTGTATGAATTAACCCATTCCCCTATCACACCTTCACGTTTCACCCCCGGAACACCCACCAAGTCACACCAAAGCACATATACTAACAACTCCAAGCAGCAACACCGACCTTCCAATCCAAACGCGAGACCTACGGTCTCTCCAACCCCCAAAATGGCTAGCGAAATTGATATCTACAACCAATACCCAATTTATATGGACCCCAGCACGAAAGCGCTCTCACTCCCTCCCTCATCTGGCTCAACACCCTCTCAAACAGCCGCCATCAATGCCGAACTCGAAGAACTGAACCAACTACACCGCGCCCTAATCAGTCTCGACGCACCCAACATCCCTCCCGCGCCCCTCCCCGTAAACCCCAAGCGCAGCGCACAGATTACTAAACTCCGCGATAGCGCCAACGCCGCCTACCGCAAAGCCAACTACGAAGAGGCAATCAAGCTGTACTCCTACGCCATTGACATGGGACTCAGCCGGCCAGGCTGGGAGCCCGTGGGCGTTGCGCGCGAGGAGTTGTCGGGTCTTTATGCAAACCGCGCGCAGGCGCATATGGCTCTGCAAAACTGGGCTGATGCGCTTGTTGATGCTAAGGCTAGTGTTGACTCAAAGCCTGTTGGGAATGTTAAGGCCTGGTGGCGCATTGCTAAGGCTCTTTCGGAGATGACTCGTTATGAGGAGGCGCGCAAGTTCTTGCATAAGGCGCTTGATATTGAAGGGAGGGATTCGGAGGGTGGGAAGGAGTTGTTTGGGTTGCTTGGGGAGGTTGAGAGGGCTTTGTTGCGGGGACTGTCTGCGTAAAATTGTTCTATCGTTGTGTTTTGTTTATGCATGCTCGGCTGCCGTTTTTGTTTCGCTGGCTAGGCCATTGTGCCGACGCTTTTATGGTTTATTTGGTTCAAACTACATGATTCCCTATCCGGGATGTTTCTCGGCGTTTATGCGTTGTTGACGAGGTTTACACTCTGATATGTATATCTCTGGATTTACGTGCTCCCCTATCAAAAGACATTACAACGTACGACTTTCTTTCTGTTCCTTCTTTTTTGGTGCGTGTAGTTCAAAAAAGCATGAAATATCAACGAAGAAAGACAAAAGTTGCGCTAGCTATTCATCTACACCCGGAACTATTCTGGGTGTTAAATATCAGATAGTATAAAGTTGAACAGGAATGTAATCCGTTTCATTTGCCAAAAAAGATGTAATCTATATACAAGAAGTGTACGCTGAGAAAATCAGTAACCAAAAGCGACGTTTAAAAATCAAACCTGCACACTAGACCCATCGCTCTTCTTGCAGGCACAGGCGCCCGTATTGGCAGCCACCTGCGTGGGTGTACGCGCAAAGCTAGGAGGCACATCAAGGACTGGGTTGCGGGTAAAGAAGTTGCGAGGGCGTAGAAGAAGAGTCATTGGCTCCGCAGGCATGATCGGGTAGTCCTCTGGCGCGGGGAAGTGTGTCAGACCGAAAGTGTGCCAAAGAACGACGTCGGTGTTATCAATCGAGCAATTGGGACCAGCAGCTTCGATCCACGCGGGCAGGCCCTCCGAGGGCTCGCCAGAGGTCTGGGGGACGTGGCGACCAGCTGGGTGGACTTGGTCGTCGTCATCTAGAGAGTTGGGTCAGAAAAAGGAACACGATATACAAATTGGGAAATAGAAAAACTCACATTTAGTGACATGGACGGCATGGCGTGCGAATCCTGCTCGCTTCCAGACCAGTCCGCCAGCCTTGGGAAGCAGGGGAGGAACATCACGGCTGACGAGCTTGTAGCTGACAGGCTTCTTGCTGTATGGGTTGAGCTTGTTGGTATTTGCCATGTCCCAGGTACGGCTGGTAGATCCGTCATAGTCGGACATAGCCTCGATGGGAGTGGAGAACTTTGTCTTTTTGGCGTAGAAGGCGTTGCCGTACTTGTTCTCGGCGCTGCCAACTTCGCCGGGTCCTTGAACTGCATCCACCTGGAAGACAGTGTTGCTAGGTCCATCGATGTTGGGGTCTACACGGAGACAGAACAGGTGCTGATGGTTGTGGGCATTGACACCGGGGTACACCTCAGTTCCCCAGCCCTTGGTATCCTCGCCGGGGTTCATGGAGTAGGTGTTCAGGATGCCGGTCAGCTTGATCTCGAGCTGGACTGTGCCGTCCTGGTGGAAGATCCAGTATACGCAGTACTCGTAGTTTGCTGCGGTGAAGATCTGCGAGATGATGAGCTTTCGGCCGCGGGTTACAACCATCGACTCGTCGCGGAAATCGGTGTGCTTGAATAGGATACCGGCATCTTCTTCGTGGATGCAGATGGCGTTCTTAATGATTGTGCTGGCACCAGCTCGGTTGACGAATGCAGCGTCCATGTAGTGGATTGCGCCCTTGCAGTCACATCCCAGGGTCAAACTGTTGGTCATGTATCCGCCGCCGTACTCACCCAGATCGAATGCGTGCTTGCGTTGGTGGGGGTGTTCCGGGTTGCCGTAGGGCACGACCATCTCAGCCAGTGAAAGACGCCAGAAGATAGGCCGCACATTGCCCTGGTCGTTGAATGTGATGTTGTTCAGGACAATGCCCTCGCGGTAGTTGAAGCCGACGTGGATGTTCCAGTTTTGCCATTCAATTATCCGTCCCTTGACCTCGAAAGACACTCCCTCTGGCTGGGTGATGTGAATTGGCTTAATGTCGGTCCGATATCCACTTTCTTTCTCGATTGCGGCCGGGTGGTAGTTGTTTGGAGCAGCCTTGCTGAGAGGTCTCCGCACAGGCGGCACATCAATGTGGATGATCTGCTTGGTCTCGGCATTGTAGATGGGACAGAAGTCCAAGGGATAGGTGTACTGGGAATCATCGGGGTGAGGGCGGTAGTACATGAGGGCCTGCTGAAGGCGGACACCGGTTCCAAAACGCTCATCGTATCCAATTGTCCATGCTAGAATACCATCTGATCAGTATTGATCTTCAATAAATGAGAGAAGTCCACTTACGGTCACAGTATACTTTGTGCATATCCTCCTTGGGAATTCCAATAATACCGCATTGTTCGATAACTTTAGCATCCTTGCGCACGACATGTTCCACCTCCTGCAAATCCTCCATGGTGATCAGAGGCTGAACATTCGGTGTGTGCTGCCACTTGATGATCTTCTTCTGGTCCAGGTCAACCACACCATCATAGATCTTGCCACCAGGCGCAATGGCAACCACATCGGCAGCTCGAGAAGGACGAGGAGTACTCTCTGGATTAGCCACCCAGGCCATCATCTGGGCCTTGCGGGGCTCGTATAGTGTGACCGCGTTGAAGTTGAGCGAGCCATGTTCTTTGCGCACAATGCTAACAACCGTATCAATTTCCACTGTAGAAAGAGGATCAAGAGGATGAGGTGGCGGCGCAGTAGCGCTGACCTGGTGAGTCAATTGCTGTAGTCGGTCGAGAACCATGTTGTGCTGGAGGTATATGGAAGGAGATGATTTCGATGTGATGAGGCTAAAGCGCCAATTCGAGTCGAGAATTCACTAGAGAGTTGGAGGTAATAAACCGACTTGCTTCCCCCTCAGATCAGGGCATGCAGTCTATTTAACAAGCAAGTGGGATCTCCATGTGTCCCTAACCCTGGAAGTATACCTCCTCGGTACCTCTATCCGATTAGATAAAGCCTATTTGTGGAGGCCGGATCCGATAGCTTAATTGGTATTAGCGCAATATCTCAATTCCTAAAACGGCAAAGAGATGCTTGTCTGCAGCTTGATGTTTTTGATATCATCTGTGCGTTATTCATACCGTTTGTCACATCGCGGGGTAGACTCAGAAATTTCGCATGAGAATCCTCAACTGGGAACGTGTACTTGACCTCAATTGCGGTCTGCGGATGCGGACCTTGTCATCCGAGAAGATCCCTAGATATGTCGGGTGGATTCCACAAGGCGATACGAAGTACACAGAACCAAGCCGAAAGAAGCTCATAGATCTACAAATCAGGGCAAATTGAGCCAACAAAAGCCAGAATTCCTATACATAGGACACAGACAGGTCCGATCTAGCTACAGCAAGAAAGAAAGAAAACGCGACCTAGATCACAAGAACGAAAGGCACAAGGCCATAATAGAGCCTATCAACGCCTCGTAAATGGATTCAAAACCAACCATATTAAACGCCAGGCACCTCCTTGCCCAACACCGTCGTCTAGACGCAAGAACTTGGCACAGGCAACTAAGCCTACGCAAAGCCACAGGCGCGAAGACAATGCCGAATATCGAAGGAAAAGCACACGATGTTCTCGTGACTATGTACATACATCATATCATATCAACCCGAGATGTTTCAGGGACTGTGCCTCATACCCGGCCCATTTGATAGGCTCCGGGAGTCGGGGCATTGTAGCCAGCTCCTTGGTGCTGGGGTGTGTGGGCGCCGGCTCCATGAGACCCGGTATTGGGAGTGCTGGGAGTGCCACCCGAGTACATAGTGGCACCATTGAGGTTCGGCGTTTGCTGGGCCATGTTGTAGGCTACTGCGGGCATCTGTCCGTTGAGGCCCCAGATTTGGCCAGAATATTTGCTGTCATCAATTGACCCACCGAAAATGAGCTGGCGCGTCTTCCAGTAGATCTCGCCAGTCACCAGCGAGTCCGAGCCAGCCTGGTGGGCGATTCCGACGCGCTTGACGCCAAGCTCATCGGCGATGTCTTGCAAACCAGATTTCTGGCCTAGGTTGGTCAGAATCTGTGCTGCGGCCTGGGAGAGAGGAGAACCGTTGACGGCTTGATTACGACCGGCGTGCTTCATGAGGTACTTAATGTCGTAAAGTGACGGGAAGAAGATGGTAAGGAGCTTGTGGAACTCCTCTTCGTTTTCTGGAAGCTGGGAGCAGAGCATGATCTTCATCAAGTAGCCAAAGTCGTACCCGGAGTGGAAAGAAACCCAGTGGACGTCATCCAGCAGCACCAATCCAGAGCTAATCAAAAGAGCACCGAATTCGAAAGGATCGATGCCATTCTTTTCGTGCATAGCGAAATCAATTCCAGATTTGGCAAGCATAGCTGTTGACTCCTGGGCGTACATGTCTCCTTCGAGTGAAAATCGGAAGTTGAACTGCCATGTGCAGGGAGCGGGCACACCATACGCTTGTCCATTAGCATCACTGCCTGAGGCTGGGGGAACCTCTCCTTCGTCATTGAATAGCGTGATGCCTAGTTGTATCATCTTCAGAAGATCGACATTGCATCGGAGGGTCTGATAATGGTAATCTGCTTTGTTCGAAAATGACCCAATCGGGCGAGCAACAATACCAGGGAACTCAGTGTCCTGGGTCCTAGTCAGTAAAAATTACTCAAAGGAGATATCCGTTTTGCACAGATACAGCGTAGTTGGTGCTTACCATGCTGATATAAGGGTACTTGTCGACCAACTGCCTCAGTACCGCCATCTCATGGGCTAGGTTGTGCTTCCAGACATCTCGGATTCTTGACTTCACTGCACCGCCTTTTGCTTCAAGTGCTAACCGGCCGTCGTGGCCCTGGTGTAATTGCTGTTGTTGCATTTGCGCACCGCGCGCGAATCCCATTTGTGCCGCGTGACTAGCAAGACCGGTGCCACCGCCATCGCCCGCACCAGATCCTGGGAAGCCTGCTACTGCCATACCATTTGCAATTCCGCCGGATAATGTGAAAGGGTTGATGTTGGTGTTCGGATTGCCCGCGAAGCCAGGATGACCAAGCGAAGGGGGAGGGAGCGTATTTCCAGATTGTGCGTGTGCGGGATGTTGAGATTGAAGGTGAGCTTGTTGTATGTTGTATGGGGCATTTAGGCCAGACGGCCCATATCTGCCAACGGGAGGTGGCATTTTGTTGTTTCGAGGATGCGCATGGATGAAGTGACAGTTTCGTCCCTCGAAGGCGGGAGAGCTACTTGGTCTACCGTATTCGGTTAGCGCGGGTAATTGCCAAGCACACCTCTTTTCCTCATCTTCGGCTCCTCACTGTGTCACTTTGCGGTTGATTGCGGACTAAGGGACCAAGTTACAGTCCTTCACATCTTCCCTCTCTTTATTTCCGTCTTTCAGTAGTATTTACTACCCGATAACTCCCACAATGCCCGCCCGCAACCCCACCGGGTTCGACATCGCCCAGTTCAAGGCCGCGGCCTCCCCATCTTCCGTCTGGGCCAAGCGGGATCCATGGGCTCGCAAGTACGTCAAGCGATGCCGATGTAAAGTTGACTGGGATAGGTACTAATGTTTTACAGTGAGGTCTGGCGCTACAACGGCCCCTTCAGCAGATTCAACCGCTTCAAGGGTCTCTTCCCCGGCTTCGGTATCGCGACTGTCGCTTTCGCTGCCTACTGCACATACGAGCACTTCTTCATGAAGGATGATCACCACCATGGCGACGCTCACCACGGTGAAGGCCACCACTAAAAGGTTGTCTCTGGAGACCAATTGAGAAAGCCGCCGACCGACAGATCATCGAGCGGAGGATGTATACCCCAGACGACAAGAAAGAGTCGTCTCACCTCCGCGAGAATCACAGCCAGGTTTTGGATCATAGCGCCTACAGCTTTGCCGAGTCAGGGAACTTTTGTCGTGTCAGGGTGGAGATGCAGCTTCTCATGGCTCATAGGGAGCATAGCTTCTAGATGGCGCTTTGGGTTTGATTTGTCGAATGTATATAGCTTTTGTTCCACTACTACAACCACATTTTCCTTTATTGTTTGATCATCAACTCTACATGGGCTTGCTATTGCATATTACGAGCTGGTTAGAAAGGTTGGTATGGCTTTCAGCTTCTATAAACACGTAATATCATTATCGACATGAACCCCTACTGTGCATGTTTGGGACTTCTAACTTTTGTTTATGCTAATTATTCCTCGAATACCAGCGAGATACCATCATCACCGGCAGTGACAATACGCTTTCCATCTAGGCCTTGTACGAAGCCCATGATGCCGCCAGCTTGCTCGCCTTCTTCATTTTCCGTGGCACCCATGTGTCCCTTCCACTCCTGCATCAGTCCCTGAGAAGCCGCGGCAGTGCCACCGCGTGCATCCCAACGTCGGACCACACCATCCAGGCCGACAGACGTGAGCATCCAAGAGCGGTTCTGGTGGGCTGCGGGAGCAGCGGCAAGGGGCCCTGAAACAGTTGCACCGAGTCGCTTGTTGCTAGGCAGGAACTCAACCTTGACAACGGCGCTTCCCTCATGCGCATCTCTAATATGCCGACGGACCGCAAATCGGTGAGCCGCATCGTACATCACAATTGAACCATCCACAGACCCAGCAGCAAGAAGGGTGAAGGGGGCCTGGGAGAACGAGAGGGACTCAATGTTGTCCGTTTGAGTCTGCAATGCGGCCATAATAGTGCCCGCAGCGGTGGAACCTGACTGAGAGGCTGCGCCTTTGGCCTTACCCTTGGTTGCAGGGGTAGCTGCTGCGATTCGGGGAAGGCCGACAATTCTAATGTGGCCCTCAGCACCACCCACTGCAGCAATACCACCGCTGGGGGAAATGGCAATAGTGTAAAGACCGCCCTCCACGGCAAAGCGCTGATCCTCCGCATTCAATCCAAGGACGGCATTGGTACCCGGGGAGTACTCGATGCCAGCGGCGGCAGCAGCTCCAAAGACATCGTAAACAAAGAAGCTGCCATCCTCGGAAACAGTGGCAAGCAGATTGCCATCAGGTGTCCATGCGCCTGCAGTGCATGATTCGGTGTGAGAGAAGAAGGTCTGGATGATGGAGATAGGCTGGCCGGGATCGGTATGATCGATACGGAAGACCCACGCGCTGCCATCATTGGAACCGATGGCAATGACATTTTGAGTTGCTTCGTTACCCTGCTGGTAGGGGCACACGGCCATCCAATTGATCTCTTCCACTTCCTGGGCCTCGCCAACGAACTCCCATGCGAGTCCGGTCTTCTGGGGTGTGGTATCCCGATAAGCTCGCAGCTTGCCATCCAGACCCGCCGTAATGGCATACTCTCCTGCTGGCTCGGTGAAAACCACGGCATTCACAGTGTCAGTGTGCCCGTCGAGCTTGGCTAGAGGCAAGAGAGACTCGCGCTCCCTTGGCTGAGGGTTCGATTCATAGCTCGATGGGAGCACAGGACGCGGTGCGGGGGTCGAGTCAAAGATGTAGGCTGTGTCATCGCCAGAACCGGTCATGACAATGTTGTTGTGAACCGGGTGCTGCGCAACACAGAATACAGAGTCCGAGTGCGAGTCGAAGTGTGCCGCTGAGTCGTTCTGGAAGGTTATCTCATCTTCGATGGTCATGTTCTCGTCGTCATATTCTCCTTCTCCGTCCGACATAGGCTGATCCTCATCACGCTCAAAGATCTCTTCGGCATCGTCGGCCTGCATATACTCGTCCTCTTCATGCTCGCGATGCGGTTGGTTTGAAGACATTTTTATTTTTTCAATGTGTGGATAGGTGGGAGAAAAGATGTGATGCTAAAAGGAGTGATTAATGAACAGTCACTCTTGATACAACCCTTTCCTCAAACAATATTGAAGCAAGAAGCAGGTTGTTAAGGCAACTTGAAATGTCCTCGATCTTTTTTCTTACCTCCCCGCTTAGAAATCCACCACCCCGCGGCAGATTACGCTCCGCGTCTTACCGCTTTAGTGACCGCTTTTGTGTCAGCGCGAGGCGCGAAATAGCATCATTGTAGGTGTTTATTGGAATTACTGGATTTTCTATGAGTATATGGCCACAGTCCCGATTGTAGACTGTTTAATTGCAAATTGAATTGATTCTTTGGACTAATTTGGGTGTTTCAAAGTGGAAAGAAGCCATGAGCTCCGTGCAGGATTCTTATCCATGCGAGCAATGCGACAAGGTATTCGGGCGTAAACACCATCTGAAGCGCCATATCCTAACTCATACTCGCCCACAACTTCATCTTACTTGTGACCAATGTGGCACATCACTAACGCAACAATGCTATGACCGGGGACACTCGGGATCGAAAGAGCATAAATGCCGTTTTTGTCCAAAGTCCTATACTCGCAGGTATGCCATAGTCTCTGCGCTGCAGACACTTTATATTCATACATTGTTCCAAACCTGATTCCCCACAAAGACATAGGCTCGCCGCTCATTTGAGGAAATACCATGGAGAGAAAGAGATAAAAACAGAGCCGTCGGACCAGACGAGTCCTTTATCTCCGGAGAATATCCAGGATCCTTGCTCCATCTCATCAAATATACGTACATCGCCTTTCTCATTGAATGAAGATGAAACAAACCAAAGTAATCCAGGCCTGGCCTTGCCTGCTACAAATCTCACTACACAGGATCGGAGTGATGTCCCTCATGATGTTATGGAAATATCAGACGACTCAGAAAATAATGAGAACGGCCCAGCATCGCGACCAAGACCACGTGCTAATACTACACGTGTCCGGGGTTATCGGCGGCGTGTTCCAGCTCCGAGTGCCCGCCCTCGTGCCCCTGCTGTTCCCTCTGCCTCTACTACCCCTGTTGCCTCTACTACCCCTGTTGCCTCTACTGCCCCTGCTGCCCCCACGGCCCCTGCTGCTACTACTGGCTCTGCTGCTCCTCCTGCCCCCGTCTCCCATACTGCTCCTGCTGCTCCTGCTGCAGTCAGCTCTTCTCAGCCGACGCGTCAGTCGAAATTGTTACTTCCCAAAATGCGCCGTTCAGATGAGCGCTTCTTGTTGCCTGAATTCCGTTACACTGTGATGACCAACGCCTCGATATATGGGTCACTTAAGTCATATCTTGTGGGCCTGGGAGAAACAGAAGATGCGAAATTTCCATGGTGGAGGGTTATCCAAGACTTTGTGCACTTGTATTATGAACACTTTGACCATGAATACCCTGTTGTTCACCCATATTCTCTAGAATTTGGGCATGACAAAACCTCATGGATGGTACTTTTAGCAGTGGTCACTGTCGGGAGTCAATATAGCGCTTTCGGCAATGCTAGTCAGTTTTCAGCAGCTTTCGGAGACATATTGTCTCGCGCAATAGCCCAAAACGTAAGTTCACCCCCCGACGAAAACCCGTATCTCCCATATTAATCAAATCAGCAACCCCACTCACCCGAGTCAACAACTTTATCCTATGCACAAAGTGTATTTCTTAATGATGTCTGTCTGATGTTTGGCGGGTCACACAAATCGCAGTTAAAGCTGCAGTATGAACGAAATGCACTCGTCACATTGGCTCGTATCTTGAAGGTTGATCAATGCATGCAAACAAAAGCGTCACAAGCTCCAAGACAGTGGAAATCCTGGCTAGCAAGAGAATCTCGTATACGTCTACTTCATTGTATCTTTCGTGTGTGCCCCCTGCGACAACCTGGAAGTTATGAAAGCCTAACTAATCTTTTACCAGAACTCGAATGTCTTCAGCTCATTTTATTCGATCGTCAGCCGATATTCGGGCAGCATGAACTCCCCGAGGAGTTTCCCTGTCGTCAATCACTATGGTGTCGCAGGAATGCTGACAATTTCGTCCATGTATATCAGTCTGATCAAAGTAAGCCAATTTTATCTGTTATTCACCAGATATCTCCGGGATTGACCACAACTTATAGGTTTACAACGTTCTCCATCCACTCGACTTGATGTCAGAAAAGCCAGTGAAACCATGGCGGGAATGGATGCTTATCGCCGAAATCTCTACATGTTGTCTCTTTACAGCGAGGAGAGATTGTTCCTTGATAAAATGTCATATTCTTCCATCTGGAAATCGTCTTTAACTCAAGTGCCTGGCGTGCCAGTTCAGGAGCAATTGGCCCATCTTCCATCAACCCCTTCAGCTCTGCGCACGATGATGTTTCAGTCGATGGATGAAGTATTCGCGGCCATCCCCACCTCGGCTAAGCCAGACTATATTGCCGCTCAAGATGTCATTCATCATGTCTTATGTCTACTTCGGGTAGTATCGCTCCATATGCTTGAGTCATTTTCCGGGTGGCAAGGCGAGGACGCTGAAATCGATACGTCAGCAAAGAGCTTGAAACAGTGGATGGAAAACAATGCACCTATTGCCAGGAAATGTCTGTGGCATGCTGTGTGTGTTTTCAGCACATTGAAAGCTAAGCAGAAATTTGCCTGTCATGATCCTCTCTGTTTCCTGATTGCTTTCTTCTATATATGGGCATTCGATGCTCTTGTGGTCGCTCCTGAAATCGAAAAGCCGGAAGCTTCAACTAAGGAAATTCGCTTGTTAGACACCAGAGAAATTCATATTTGGATCGCTGAAGGCCCAAATACTCGGCTTAATCTAGTTGGGGTTGGCGCTCTGACGGGCAAGGGAAGCTCCTTGCGTCTACTCAGTGAGGTCTACCAGATTTTCTCAAAACGCAAGTCCTGGTCTGGACTTTGCCGTGGCCTTGCATCTGCAGTTGAGCAGCTCCTGAGAAAACAGACAATTCTTCAGGCAACAATCCCTCAAGAGCCTCCCCAGGGAGCTACCCAAGGTCCTACCCAGGAGTCTACTCAGGAGCCTACCGAGGGAAACACCGATACCCAAATGACTTGAAACCTTTGTTACTTATCCTTTGGAATACTATATTATACATTCAGAGCTACCTACATACATATGTACTTTAATGATACCCAAAGTCTGTTATCTGCCACCGCGCATACCACCGATGTCTCTCCTTCTGCCTGTGTCTAATCGGCCCGATGAACCTCTCAATATCTCGAATAACGAGTGAAGGAATACTGCTGTTCATGTCTACCTGGCGAGTCAATCGAATTTCAAAGGATTCATTGACTAGCGATTTTGACACGTTCATCTTCCTCCTAACCTTAGATATCAAGACTGAAATTGGTGGTAAATGTCTACTATAAAACAAGGTATTATATGAAAAATTCGGACTATCTACCGGTGGACGTACATACTCATCTAATCACAGCAGTTGTGGCGCATTGTTTATCAAGCATCTGCTTCCAGCCCAAGACAAAAATAGTTCTTGGCGCTTCTTCCAAGGTTTTCAAAGGCCAAGCTCTAACCAGACCTGCCCAGAATATCTTTAGATCTTGCTACCTGCCTTTCTCCGTGCCTCCCTCTCTTGATCACGGATCAATCGGCGCAGAATCTTACCACTCGGGCTCTTGGGAATTGCATCCACAAATCGGATACCTCCCTTCAACCACTTGTGACGGGCCTTGTGTTCTTCAACATGCTTCAAGAGAGCTTTGGACACTGATTCGTCGGACCCCGCAGTAGGAGACTTGACAATAATAGCCTTGGGGACTTCTCCTGCACGAGCATCTGGAATGGCAACAACGGCACAGTCCGAGACATCGGGGTGGGCGAGGAGATGGGATTCAAGTTCGGCAGGTGCAACTTGCAAACCCTAAGAATGACGTGTTAGACTGCGAATATTTCCATCAACCGGCGGTATCACCAACCTTAACCTTGATCAACTCCTTAATACGGTCGACAATGAACACGTGCTCGATGCCATTCGGGCTTTGACGAATGACACCCTCATCTCCAGTACGCATCCATCCGTCCACGAATGTCTCTTTGGTGGCTTTCTCGTTGTTCAGATAGCCCAGGACGACACTTGGGCCTCGGACCACCAACTCGCCTGGTGTGTCGTATGTTGTAATTTCCTCGTTTTCGGGTGTCATAATGCGTACCTCGAATCCAGGGATCAAGGAACCAGATGAGCCTAGCCAGACATCATGGGGGAGGGTTGAGCTTATGACCGTGCTGGTCTCCGTAAGACCTATCCGCGAATATGTCAGCTACGTGTGGATTAGAAGCACCAATAATCACATACCGTATCCTTGGCGGATCATAATATTCGGGTAGACTTTGAGGAAATCGTTCGCTGTCTCCGCACCTAGGGGTGCTGCTCCCGTGAACATAACCTTCACCGAGCTCAGGTCATACTCGGAGCACACTTCTTGAGAGCTCAGCATGTGAATGATGATCGGAGGTACCTAAGTGGCTGGTCAGTATTTGACAACATTTTCTCATGAGAAAGGACCTGCTCACCAGGAAGAGCGAGATGATCTTAAAGTGTTGAATGGCGTGCAGGTAGGATTTCAATTCGAACCTGGGGAGAACAACTGTTTGGTCGCCTCGGTATGAGCCAGCATGGCAAATGACCACCAGAGCATAGATATGGCTCTGCGGAAGGAGACCGAGAGCAATCTCCTGAATAGGGGTCCTGGTGCCTCCCCCATCCCGATAGCTCTGCTCAGATGCCTTGATCTGAAGGGTATTGGCAATCACGTTGCGGTGTGAGATCATCACTCCTTTCTGTTTCGCAGCAAATTATTAGCCAAAGTGTTATTCAAGTTGTTGGGATACTACTTACCGGCATTCCAGATGTTCCACTCGAGTAGCACAAAAATGCGGCGCGTCGGGCTCCCTCACCTGCGCTCCATCGCAATTCATCAACTGGGGGTAGAGACTTTCCAGCCGCGATGAGTTCGGAAACGGGCTTGTATTCTGCCGGAGGCTTCGCGCCTCCGAGAATCTGATCAGGTACATCCAGTAGGTAGATTCTGTTCTTTGGGAGACCGGCTTTGGCCGCAGCCTCCAGTGAGATGGCGAGGAGAGGAAGGCAAGTGACCAAGGCCTTGGCCTTGGAATCAAGCAGCTGATGTGTCAACTCGGCGGCGGAGTATGATGCGTTGGCAGGAGTGACAACACCACCCAGTCTGTGAACGGCCCAGAATAGGGGCAAGGAGTCGATCTAATGGCGCGAAAGAATAAGCTCCTTTCTACTCCGTATGTATTGTTGATACGGTATTTCCACATACAGTGTTGAGGGCAAAGACGGCCAGTGTCTTATCCCATTCTGACCCTTCATTCGGCGCCCAACCAAATTCCTTTGAAAGACTACGAGCCAGGGAGTCAACTCGGTTGGCTACCTCTTGCGACGAGTATGACTTCCCAGTGAGGCCGCATGTATATGGGTCCCGGGAGCTAGCGTGTGGCACTCGTCCATGTCTCTCATTGAGCATAAACTCGCTGATTGAAATACTGTCAGGGATGGGGGCCAATTGACCGGCCTCTTTTGAAGGTAAGAACACCATTTCCCCAAATTCTCGGAGGCTCAGCGATCCGTCGGTACAATCAAGGGGAAAATGTGGGGAACTAAAGTGAGTTCGGCTATTTTTAAGATGTGATTAGCTGCAACGAGGCGAGCGCAATGATGGGGTTTTACTCACGGTTTAGAATAGTTAGATGAATAGTGCGAATTGGAGACCTTAAAGAATAATATAACTAGCTGATAGGAGATTTATGAAGTACGTGGTGTGGGGAAATCGGTAAACCATGCGAGAAATCAAAAGAACGATTATACCGCTAGCTTCTTGGGTTTAACCGAAATTGGGTAGCCGGTGGACTAAATCTGCATCAACCGTTCGGCTTCAGTGGGCATATTGCTTATATAGCAGCTCATCGTTGGCGGAGTTTTATGCTGCCAAGACTAAAGATACCTCGGTCTTGGCATATCCGAGGGTATCGTCTATCTGCATGCTCCATATTCTTATATTCATATATGCTTAACTTTAATTCCAGGAATTCGACCAGATTAATGATATGAATAGAAAACTGGAATATCTCGAGAAAACCGACAAATCCGTTTCCTACACTTCCCAGGTCGCTTCGATGAAAAGCAACCCCAGAAAATGCCCCGAACATTTAAAGTGGCCTTGGCATGTAGATCACTAAATCCCCATTGGCTCGGCTTACCCCTTTGGGAATATACCGAGTATCTACAATATACTACACCAATACCTCTCTGTTTTTAAGAAGCTATTTATTTACAGAATGAAATGAAAGCTTGACATATATGGGAAATAACACCAAACACACTAAATAAAGCTTCAATATAAAGGACAAAAGACTGTTCAATCAAATTGAAACATGACAGAGTGGTATGGCCAATCCCCCGATATAATAGAGAACCTTGGATTATAGAAAGATAGTATTGTCTAGGTTCTATGATTGCAGGACCTGGAGTCAAAGTAAAGTTTTGGGGTACATACCTAGGTATGTAGGTATCATTCCAATGATTGTTCATCACCCCCATGTCAAATATGATCGATCATTTAGTCCATCCTTTTCAAGTCAGTCATCCAGTTCATGAACAACCTTGGAAACCGCTGATAGCCGAGCACATTGTGTTTTTGAGCATCTCCTACTTAGAATAAGGTCAATGGAGTGTTTAGCTGCAAAGCGTCTCGGTCTCGTGGGTTAGGGCTCTCATCATGATACCAACCTCGGGAGTCTCTTGTTGTTCATCTCAAACCAAATGAACATAATACCATTGCTTCTAATTTGAAGTTTATAGCGGGCAGTAAACTCTCTCGAGATTAGCTTAAGTAATGTAAGGTCAAAGTTTATTACCGCTTTGTACCCCGACCTCGACGCCGCTCTGGCAAAATATATTCCGGGCTCGCGCCCAAGCTCCATCATCCTTCCATCCTAAACTTCATTCAAACATCCCATGATCTTTCGAAGCTGGGTACTGTTGAAGCTGAGTACTGTCTGAAAATTAGACTGAGTACAATTGCAAAGCCAATTCACCTTGTATGGTGGTATTGAGTCTACTATACTGTGAGTATCACCATCGGCCTGTGTCAGCAAATATGATGTTGTTGATAGTGAAATCTGTTCTTGGATATGCCTGAAGATGATACTTATTTAATTCATCGCACATTAGCTTGATTGCATGACAATTGTGGAAAATGGCACCACGCCTTGGTGTTAATCGTCGCCAGGCGGTTGAAAGGCCAGTGCGAACAGGCCGCATTGCCAAAACAAAAAAAGAACAAGCCAATAAGGGTGAAAATCCTTTGTTTAACTTTTTATGAACTATGAAATGCTGACACTAGACAGTCTCACTGGATCAGCTGGAAGCTGCTGTTAACAATCAAGCCGTTGAGCCGGTTTATGGAGCACCCCCAGCCTGGGCAGAGGTATTCAGTTGCTATTTTCTTGATAACTCATATGGTCTATATACTCATCCTTTCTCCAGGGCCGTCAGCAGCTTTGTGATGCGATTCCATGGTTTCGCTGCACTCAAGGTGCAATGTATCACAATGAAGGCTTCTGCTATGGTTTCCTTGTTGATGCTGATGGTGGTACTCGCACTTATATCGACGAAGAAGTTATAATTACCAGAATGTAGGTGCTCTGCGTCCAAACTAATGTCCTGTCTCTGCTAACTTTTATCAGCGGTGGATGCTGCACCAAAGACTCGGGAGGGAACTTGACCCTCGAAAAGAATCAAGACCCGGACAATGCTCTCGTCCAAAGCATCATCAACACCCAAAAATCCCAGCTTGCTGTTGGTCTTGTTATTGGTAATATATCAGAGATTATATTGAAGGAAACCTGCTGACCACCGGTTATAGGGAGCAAGAACAAGGTTCTCAACCGAGAGCTTCCACATCGGTACAACATTATGGACTGGTTTCATGTTACCAATGTTTGGTTTGAAAAGATTGGCAAGAAGCACGGAGTTAAGGTCCGCTTTGAGAAGCTGAACCTTGCGGAGAAAAGCTGGTGGGCGGCCAAGGACTCTCTCCCTCCGGTGCCCCTCGATGAACGGGACTTTGAAACAAAGCCCGAAATTCTCAAGTGTGAGAGATGCTCGACGGAGAGTGTTCGCTTGTACGAGGAAGGTTGGATGTGCCTTGAACCTGGTTGCGTCGGCTTCTGGAAGATCGAAAATGCTTTCCCTCCCGCTGAGCTCACTTTCAATCCCGACTTCTTGAGCTTCCGCAGTCGTCCAGACCCAGCAATCCAGCCTCACTACAGTCTAGTTCCTGACCTTCTGTCCACTTTGGATGAGCATGCTGCGGATGTCAGCACCTCTCGCATCGCATGGAAGGGAATTGTGTGCCCAATGTGTTTCAAATGTATCCGACGAACCTTCTGGAGCGGTTGGAAATGCGATGATGACTCTATCGATGGTGAGAAGTGTGCAAGTAGCTGCCCATTTGAAAAGTTCATGAATATGAACCCTATTTCACTTCGGATGGTCCTCGATCATTTCGAGCTGGCCCCGATCAAGCGAGCAATTCTTTTTGACAGGAAGTTCAGCATTCCGGAGATTGACGACAATACCTTGTTCCCTTACCGGAAGTTGACTTACAAACTCGACGGAGTTGGCTCGATTACCCACTTTGTGTCCAACAAAGCAATCAATAGCCGCACGAATGGACCAGATGACCTTTTCATCAATCTTCAACGGGGTGATCTTGGTCTCAAACGGTTCCGGCTCCAGTCCAGTCTAGGTAAGTGAGCCAGGTACAAGCCCCAGAAATATAGTTTCTGACATTGGAACAGTTGCGGGTACCCTTACCTCACATTTCGCAGTCAACTATGTAAGTGAAGAGATATTACCTCAACATTTTAGTCTCTATATCATCTGACGAAATGGAACAGGGTATGCCCTATAAATATGTCGTGTCTGTCGATTCTAAGGGCTTCGGTGAAGCACCCAACGACATGCTCCAGGCTCTGGGCCGTTTGTCGTGGGCAACCGAAAAGGCAGTCGTCTGTTCTGGGGATAAATACTTGCCTCCAAATGAGTTGTTGACGCTTGGCTATTTTGAGGAAATGAAGATCGGGGTAAGTTAAAACTATGGGATTCAAAATGCCCTAGGCTAAAATGTATTCTCTCAGTTCCACGATGACGGTGAGTCTTCGCTGGGTCCCAGTATTGCCACACTATCCCTTGGAGCGAAAGCAACCATGTTCGTTCGTATGAAGTACAAGTATTTCAACGGCTGTACCCGAAGGGCTGAGCCCAAGCAAATTGGGACTCTTCTGCAAGACGATCCTATTCTGAAAGATTGCATGTTTGAGGGCGAACGCCGGACACTGAAGGAGGGGTTTGATGCTGGTGATATCTCGCAAGAGGAGTATGATGATTCTCGTCGTGCTCTATCGATGGGCCGCAAGGGCAAAGAGGCCCCCGTTACAATCAAGATGGAACTTCATCATGGTGATTTGGTTGTCATGCACGGAGAAAATCTCCAGAAGTACTATGAGGTTTGTGGTTTTCCTCCTTTTTACTAACACTGAACTTCAGAGCTGACCGCTGTAGCATTCTGTGGTGCCTGAGAACAAGTTGCGTTTCGCTTTGACCGCAAGATACGTCAAGCCTGACCATGTTGATGCGAAAGAGATCAAAAAAGGCCAGTTCTCGCTCACACCTGAGCAAATCTACGATGGAAAGTGATATTACTATTTGCCGAGTGATACGATTTCGAAATATCTTTCGCAGTTCTGTTCCATCTTGTCAACTTTGATTGCTGATTTCTATGACTCGAGTACCACGACCTTATATCTATCTATCACGGTACTGATTGCTGGCTAACTTTTTCATTTTTGTTGCGAATATTTCTATGATGTGCCCAGGTCCTGTTTTGCTGCTTTTGCTATATACCCTACTGCTTATACTTTCTATTGTGTGCTTTATATTAGCTATATCTACGCTCGACAACCACTGCCGCGCTACCAAATATCATATCTTATTTTTAGTTCTTGAGATTTTTTCCTAATGATATCCTGCAATTTTAGTGTAAAGTAGACAGGACGTTTCAGCTTTGCTTTGAGCCATGGATCTTTTGTTCGGAACATGACATAATCCAGACTCCACGGGCGCCCGGGCGTTCTTTCCCAATTCAGTCGGCACTCCGACCGAAAAAGGAAAAACACGGATCGGCTTGAAGACCTTAACTAAGCGGCTCTGCGGAACCCGCACGCGGACTCCGATCGATCTACAATAGTCTACTTTTTCTTTTTTTGCTTTTTTCTTCTCATCTCAGGCATTAAAAACGCAGAAGCATCATTACGGCTCTATTCAGTAAATATTTATGTTCAATGACTGCAAATTTACCTACCAAATGAACGACGACGCACTGCGAGCTGTGAGTGCTACCACATGACTTGTCGGCATTCGTATACTGACGATATTAGTGTGACCTTTGCTATTCAAGAAAGGTTAAAGGAGTTTATCGAGTCTATTCACTGCCTAGGGACTGATATTTTTCAATAGGTTCGCTGTGATAAGCAACTGCGTTGTGCAAATTGTACCGATTCGGGCGTGGAGTGCACTCGTATAAGGATTCAACGACCTCGCAAACACTCGTCGTCAGTGTATGTTTTCATATGATTCTATCTCGCTACAGCTATATGCTTACCTGAATCAATAGAATATCTGCTCTCGGGGAAAGATTGTTAACCCTAGAAAGAACAGTTTCCGAGTATGATTTCCATTATGCTTTTATTGAACACCCATTGATTGACCGATTAGGGGCATTGAAAATATCACTCCACCCAGTGTGGCAGACTACCATGATAGAGATACGCCATCGAAAAAAAGGAGACTGGATCATGTCTCGCGCATAGAATATGCTTCCCAATCCCCCCGGGATGACATCGGATCGACCACACACCATGCAGAGAAGGCCAGAGGGGTTATACAAGGAGAGCTTGATGGAAATGAGCGCATGGATCGTGAACGAAAGGCAATCCTCAGATCTGCCCTGCAATTTGTGGATATTACAGGCCAGCGGAGAACCTCAATTACCGATAGATCTTGGCCGTTAGAACTGCCACATGAAGATTTTCAACATGCTGGTCCATTTATTGCACCATCACCAGAGCTGGTTTACATGCTTCTTTCAGGTATAAAATGGCGTCTTCGTTTCTAGGACATGCACTAATAGCAGTACAGAGCCAACAGCTGCCATCAGGCGTTCTAATTGCGTACAATGGCCGGACCATATCTCGGATAAAACACTAGAAAAGATGGCTTCAACCATTCTTAGCGACAATGACCACGAGCGTGGGCAGGTATTCTACCAGTATAGTATATGCATTTATGTTAGGGCTATCTTCCATCTCTACCAAAAACCGAGAGCATATAAGGATCCCCGCCTCAACGCCCAATTTCTGAAGTCCAAAAAATCATATGAAACGAATGCCTTCCTCGCTCTCAGAAGTCTCAATTTTTTGAGTCCTCCAACCCTTCCTTTTATTCAGTCATTGATTTCTGGGGTATGTCATTATGTATGCTTATACGGAAAGTCTTTTGTTGACATTATTGACCAGGCATTTTTAATGATGTATCTTGGCAATATGAGCCAATCCTGGATTCTAAATTCATACGCTGCTCGGCTGATCACCGCTTTTGGCTACCATGAAATTCAAAATCCGGTTGGAAATTCAAGCTTCGATGAGGAGATCCATAGCGCTATATGCTGGTGTTTTTACCTCGACCGAACTCTGAGCACCCTTCTTTACCGACCATTGTCACTGCCCGAGCCTCGTGTCTCTCCGTCGAATCTAATCAGTGCCGAAAATTCTCTGCCACTTATCCCGTTAATACGGATTTTGTTTGATTTAGCTCAGATCCAAGGAGAGCTGTTGAATTGTGGAAAGGCAGATAACACTCGCCAAATAATCGCCAATCATTCAAGACTCCAAGAACGAATGGAGACCATATATTCAAAATTACAATCTGTGAGTTTGACTAAATTCGTGCCTTTTTTTTTCAAGCTAACCTATTATCCCAGAGTCGAGCCTCGGCACCAGACTGTATCGCTTCGGATTGGATCTCAGCTGAATTTTGTTATTATGCGATTCTAGTTGATATTCTTCGATCACGTTTAAAATGTACCTTTTCCCCATTGACACATAAAGAATGTGTGTCATATTCTCGCAAATCTCTCAGGGCGCTGCATCACCTTCAGAAGAACCTCACGGATAACCCGGGCTTCGTGGATCCTTATCCCTCATTCCTAACATGGTTAGTTGGTCTGCGTGAGCCATCACCCATTCTTCCACTAATATCTCTTCATTTCCCTCAGGACTGTTCTTCTATACCCATTAAGTCCATTCTTCGTCATCTTCTGCAACATTATTGGAGAATTAGACATGAATGACTACAACCTAATGCAAGACATCACTCAAAGCCTGTCTCAGTTTGCCTCAAGTCCATACATTTCAAAACTGTTGAAACTGATGGATCACCTGCAGAATCTCTGCATACCATTGATCCAGGCCAAGCAGCGCATGGGCCCGCAGGTCAAAGTCCCTACTTTGTATCCTTCAATGACTGGGACCTGGCACGACCAACCAGCTAGTGCTGATGAGTATGCACCCCTTACAACGGCGAGCTCTCCATATATGGACTCTGTCACTGGAGCAAATCCTCAAAAATTGCCAACACCCAATGATGGAAGCTATTCTCCCGGTGATACGTTGATGTGGCAATTATTTAATAGCGAACTCTCGCTGGACTGGTTCGAGTCTGACCCTTTTTCTTATTGAGAATGCGTATATATTGTGCTTATTGATACACCTGTTTGAATGACATTTGTCCTTTCTCCGGTTCTTTAATTTCTTGAAGTTCTAGTTCCTGGACTGTTAACCTCTTTGTTGTTCCTACGCAAATATCAGGTGCATTCTATATATCTAGCGATAGTATAAACCATCAGCTAATGCTGGTCGATTCCCGAACTATCCCGGATGCTGGCTCTAGGTCTCCAAGGTTATTTTAGGCAAAGATATACTATTTCTCAACTCCAGACACTGCATATGTGGTTGTGGATGTAATAGATAGAGTGGGGCTAAAGACTCAGCCTCTCAGCCTTGCCCAAAACACGAAGAAATTGGGGGCCAAGATGGTTCACGTTCTAGGATTTTTGACCCCCTATGGCTTATTGGGTTTTGATACTGACCCAAATGACACCCATAGATATATGGTGTTTGACCTTGGTATGACCCCCCCCCCCCCCCCCCCCCCCAAAAAAAAAAGAGAGGACACACCCTATGATGACACTGGACCCCTACCGGATCCCGGGGAATAAACACCCAATTAGTAATTAGAAATAAGCTGGAAGTCAGTAGATCTCACGTATATGTGTCGTACAGAGTATTTCGTACATCATATATTAACAGGAGACCACATACATACTTGCAGACATAGACGTCCCACCTGGGCATCATATATCACTTGGTCAGTCTCGTACAATATAGTGCGGGTGGTGACCCCCGTTGGCGGTGGAGACGGTACCTCGACTTAGCGTGGGCGCAGCTGATGGAGTCCCAACACACCTCCCACATATTTCCCCCAAAACAACTCCTGGTTTTGCATCTTTACTAGACTTGGTTTTCTTTTTACCAAGCCTGGTATATTGCGCTCTACGGTTTCATTGGGAATGCCCAGAGCCAGCTCTTCGGCAGCGTGTCACCGGCCCGCGTGGTCGTTCCCCTCATTCAAATCACTCTGATTTCCTCTCAAGTAGTCACTCGTTTTGTCATTCACTCCCTTGATTGAGTGCCCGAGACTCTAGGTCCTGCTAAACGATCTATTGCGCAATCCTGGGCGCGTTAAGTCGAGTCGACGGATTCTCACCTCACCCCTCCGAAACCATGTCGCAATATTCAAACGGCCAACAGCCATACTACGGCCAATCTACAACCCCCCAAGCCTCTATCCAACCTGCCACAGGCCGCTATGATGCCTATTCGTCCCAAAACCCTGCGCCGGACCAGCATCTTCCTCGAAGGATGCCGAGTTACAATGCTGGGGATGATTCCTCATTCTTCAACCCTGCCCAGGCCCAGAATATACAAGCGACCGAAGGAAACAGACAGTATTCAACACAAAGCGGTGGCTATGGCAGCAGCGCGGGACAGGGTGGCTACAACGTTGCGCAGGGACAGGGAGCCTTTGAAGACGACAGAGACTCGAGATATTCGCAGACTTCCTCGGACACCATGTCGCAAATTTCTCCGAGTCGCGCCTCTTCGCAAGCCTCCAGCCTGTCCTATCGGTACCAATACTCTGGAGCACCGGCATCCCAGCCAGCTTACAACCCGCAGCAATACGGCCTTCCACATACGCAGTCGCAACCGGTCCTCGCTTATAACCCCCATACGTACACAGGCTCCAGTAATGCTTCTTACGCTGCCCCAGTCTCGGCCCATCAACCATATAATCCCGCGGCATACCAGTCTGCCGCGGTTTCGGGACTAGGCTCTCCGGCCCTACCTAGAAGACAGAGCGCAACTTCACACTACGGGCAGACACCGCCGACTCCACAATCGTACGGCTTCTCTCAACAACAACAACAACCACCGCTTCCACCGCCGAGGGGCCCTGATCATCCATATGGAGGACGTTCTTACCAACCCATGTCACCGAACCCCATGTCACCAAATCCCACGTCACCAAACCCCTCGCCTTCTTATGTACCGTCAAGCTCCCCGGGGATGATGCCTATGCCTCCGCCTACATCACGTCCTTATTACAACAACCCACAGGGGACTGCGTATGACTTGCCATCTCCCCAGTACCCCCCAGCGATCCCAAGTGGTTCCTTCGAAGAGCAGCCTCCGATGCCTCCCGTTCATCAGACTCATGCAAATGGCCTGTATGGCAAGCGGCCAAGTGTATCTCATTCTGGGACAGGGCGATCCCTGCCGACTCCTCCTGGGCAGTCAGACTTACCATTGCGAACGGATACTTTGACTCGACACCCCCAATCGCGACCTCTCCCTGGACCACCAGTCGATGAAGCCAGGACAAATGGCAATTGCTTGCCGGCAGAAGCTCCCATGGCTTATGAAGATGTGCTCAGAGAAGACGAGATGGCAGCGTTGCACTCTCAGAACTTTGCCCAGCGTCACAATTCTAGAGCATCCCATGCTAGCTCTGCTTCAAACATGCACTTCTCGCCTGACGAGGAACACACCCACACCAACGGTAATATGGAGACAGCTCCGGGATATAACGTGAATCACGATGCGTACTGTGACGAAAACGATTACGGCGCTGCTGGTGCGATTATGATGGAGGAAGATGCAGCGCGTGAGGAGCGTCTTCAAGGGCGAAGGCGACGTGAGACCAATGCCTCGGTTCTCAGCTCGCATGCATCCAACATATCGCCAGGGGGGCATTCGCCACACTCCGATCCCGATGAAGATAACTATTTCATCGATCAGGACATAGGACGGCTTGAAGGAGGCTACCCAGTAGGGCCCTATGGCGAAGAGCCTTTTTACAATTCAGAGAAGCAATCGGACCCTGCTGCGGGCAACGGTTTTCAAGGAAAATCTGGTTCGTTCAGAAGCTCTGGGTCCCCTGATGGCCGTAGTGAGTATTATGATGAATACGGTCACCCGGCTCTTGCATATGAATACGCCAACCGCCTCCATCATACGCCGGCTGATGCCAGGGTAGACGCCGGTGGAACAGGTGGATTAGCGGCACCCGATGCCTATTCCCGACGGATGAGCTTTGACTACGGCGATGAAGGAGAAACACCCGATGGTCAAACACACTCTGGAGATCAGTCTGATGATGAGATCCCCTATCAATCTGTACCTGAGGATTTGTTCTTCCACCCTGGGATGCGTCCATTGCCACCAGCGCCTGTCCAGCCTGCTGGTGGTAATGTTAGTCTTGGGCCATATTTAATGCCCGCGGGCACATATAACCGCCACTCGGAGCAGCAGGATGACTTTGATAATTATTCACAGTATAACATACCGTCCGTGCTGAACTCTGCGGACTCTTATGGCGATGCTATGCTGAGCCCTTCCCAAGTTCCGCGGTCGTCATCTTTGTCGACTCCTATCGGGCCTCGTGCTGATGCGCCCACCAGGTCGAAGACCGATGCGGACCGGCTTAGATACAGGCAGCAGCAGCAGGAACTCAGCTTCCAGCTTCAGCAAAAGGATTTACCGGACGAGCCTATGCCGCTAGATCTACCAACCATCCCGCATCACAGGCGCAAGAAGTTCCATCCCGCCAAGCTGTCATCGGAACAATTCAAAAAGTGTAGCGAGCCGTGGGCTCTGAGTTCTCTCTTGGCCTGGATTAAAGATCTGAGTGAGGATGAAACAGATCTTAGAGAGCAAGCAATTGCTGATGCCATGGTCGCGTTGTTCACTCACAAAGTTCCCACCATGAATATTGCTGATGCCGAGACACTGGCTGCTCGAGTTGTGAGTGGTATGCTTGAAGGAGGTGCATTGGTAAAAGAAGAAGAATGGGTCAAATTTGGCCCAGGCACTCTTTCGGGTATCCTGTTTCAGATCACTGGCACTGGATGTTACTCCCCAAGGCTCCACTTGCACGAGATGCACATTGAGGATACCGATAGTTTCGGTCGATGCTACTCGCATCACTGTATGCGGACGTTGAAGAAGGTCAACCTCAAGGCGCAGATGATGGCACCGCAGAAGAAAACCGAGGACTGGGTGACTTTCTACAAGGTACCCAAGGAGGTCTTGGACGCTCATCCGAAGAAAGAAATCGATCGGCAAAACAATTTGCATGAAATTGTCACTACAGAAGACTCTTACATCGCACAACTGGATGTCCTACGAGAACTGTATCGTGATCAATTGGCTAAGATGAATCCTCCGATCATGCCGGCGAAGCGATTGCCCAAATTTTTGGCCGACGTGTTTGGCAAGGTCGATGCCGTGAAGAAGGTCAACGAGGATTTCCTGTTGGCACAGCTTAAATACCGTCAAAAAGAACAAGGCCCTTTCATCTCTGGTTTCAGTGACATCTTCCGGGAATGGATTCGCAAAGCTAAGAATGTTTACATCGACTATGCTGCAACCTTCCCAACGGCAAACTATCTTGTGCGCAAGGAGGCCGAGCGCAACCCGCACTTCAAGCAGTTCCTAAACGTGGCACGGGAACATAAACTGTCCGGCCGTCTTGGCTGGGATACTTACCTCAAAGCCCCGATTACCAGAATCCAGCGGTATACTCTTCTGTTGACGACTTTCTACAAGAATATGGACAAGGATTCCGAAGAAAAAACAAATGTGGCACAGGCCATTGAAGAGATCAAGGTTGTGGCACTGGAGTGTGACAACAAAGTGGGAGAGATGAACAAGAAGGCCGACTTGATGGAGTTAGCATCCAAGCTACAATTGCGACCCGAAATGAAGAAGGAAGTTGTACTCAATCTCGAACACTTGGGTCGACAGATCATCCATCGAGGCGAACTGCAGCGCCCTGGAACCCGCACAAGATTCCTTGTCGATACACACGCTATCCTGTTCGACCATTATCTTGTTCTTGCCAAGATATTCACAACACGCGACCAGGCAGTGAAGTATGAGCGATACGATATTTCAAAGCTCCCTATCCCAATGGATCTATTAGGCCTGGAAAGCACCGACGATGATCCTGTGATCAAATCATCCGTCAGGGGAGTTTCGACTATCACGCCCTCCCAAGCGGGTGCTGGCAGCCCTCTTACACATACAGGGTCTGGTGCATCTGGAGGAAACGCAGGCGCTGACAACTCCAAGGACGACAAGATCTTGTACCCTTTCAAAATCAAGCATCTAGGCAAAACTGGAACATACACTCTCTACGCTTTCTCAGCGCAAAGCCGCATAGAGTGGTGCCAAAAGATCATCGAAGCGAAGACAAAGCATGCTGCTGCTCTCTTCTCGCAGAACGCCGAGCCATTCCGACTGCGTGTGCTTGCAGACACTGCGTTTGGATGCTCTGATCATGCGCCCGGCTCTAAAAGTGTCACCATCAAGGGCACCCCTCTCCATCGTGCGGTCAAAGAAGTCGAGAAGCGATATGAAAGCTCGAAGACTCGCCCTCCAGCGGTATGCAAGACTGCAGTCAACTGTGCTACGGTGTTCCAGCAGCCACCTGGGCGCATTATGTGTGCAATTGGCACAGACTATGGACTTTACATGTCTGAGCTCAATAACCCGCGGGGCTGGTCCAGGGCTATTCCTATCACGCGGGTCACACAAGTTGCTGTATTTGAGGATTTCAACTTGCTGTTGTTGATTGCAGATCGGTCTTTGATTGCATACCACCTTGACGTGGTCTGTCCTGCCAATGGGAAAACCCAGTCATCTCAAGATTCAGCTCGACGAGCTCCGCAGAAGCTCTCTGGAAACCGTGAAGTGGGCTTCTTTGCCGCTGGTCGTCTAAAGGACCGGTACTTGGTCTTGTACAAGAAGCGTGAGGGACTATCATCTACATTCAAGGTATGTACAGCCACAGTGAACTCAGTACAGCAACAAGAAACTCACATACAAAAATCTAGGTTCTCGAGCCCGTGCTGCAGAAATCATCCACAAATAAAAGCCGCATGTTCTCACGTCGCTCACAAACGGAGTTCTTCCGTGATTACGACGAGTTCTACATCCCTGCCGAGACCTACCGAATTAACATGTTCCACTCCTCGCTTGCCATCTCAACCCAAAAGGGTATTGAAGTCCTCACTCTTGACAAGAAACTTTCATGGTCTGTCCCAGACTTTAGCACCAACGACACCCAAGATGCAGCCGATACCCTACAGAGCATCGCCAATCGCATCAGTGGGCTCAAGCCACTAGGAATGTTCCGTCTCAGCGAGAGCGAGTTCCTAGTAGCTTACCAGCAGTGCGCTGTGTACGTCAACAAGCACGGCGACGTCTCTCGCAGTGTAGTCATGGAGTTCGTTGGCAGCGCACACACAGCCTGTCTCTATGGCAAGTTCCTAATTCTCTTCAACGAGGACTTCGTTGAAGTCCGCAACGCAATGAACGGCCGCTTACGACAGGTTATCCCCGGCCGCAATGTCGTCTGCATAGACGACGGGAGCAAGGTGCCTGGATCGCTTGATGGAAATGCACACGCCAGCACTGGTGGCTCGACGAGTCTTGCCAGCGGCTTCTCTGGCACCACTAATGGCTCCCCAGCCCCTACGGGTATGGGCAACACGGTCAAAATCTGCATGCAACATCCAGAGTATGAGCGGAGTCAGATTGTCTTGGAGCTGATCGAGAATGAGGGGCAGAAAGACTAAATCAATACTAGTTGAGCGTTTTGGGGTTGCCTTGATTCATGTTTTGTTTTCATTTTGGGTTTCACTTTTTCTTCTCTTGGAGCTCGCAGCTCTAATCCCTTTTCTTCGCCTTTTTATCCCTTTCTACTTTTGGGCCTTGTACCCTGCCGTCGTGGGCATCTTTTTTTCTACGTACGGTGCCCCGTTTCTCCATGCCCATGCTTGTTTTATACCCTTTTTCTTCCTCTCTTGCATCGTTACACAATGCCCTCTTACTTCTTTCGAAGGTTTGGCGTTCATTGATCGATCCTCCCCCTTGGGTTGTTCCAGCCTGCTTGATGATAATGCTGTCTGTACATAGAAAACGTCATTACATCTCATGACCTGACGATTCTCTGAATTCAGAACACTTTTTTCCCTTGACGATTTTTTTGATTTAGTTGGTGGAAACATTGAAGTCTCAATCTATTTTTTCATCTTGGCATATTTACGTAGATTGCAAATACACTGTATAAATCAGTACATGTACTAGGAGTATTATATCAAATCCACATGCCCAATAAACAAGAAATCAGAAATGATCCTGCCGGTTCTAATAGGGATCTAAAAATCCGTGTTCTAATCCGATGGGAACCACGCATCGAAATATGAATTCAAACATCCAAACCAAGTATTGTAGTACAGAATTGCATGACGATCCAAACCAAGGAATCAGCAATGAGAAAAACATATGGCCAACCAACCGTATATGACATGAGACAGTATGCAAGAATATCATGACTCGAAGTCGACGAGCTTGCTGATCACCTCGCCATCACGGGCCGAGGAAGAACGACCACCCTTAGTAGAAGTTGCAGAGCTAGAGACCTTGCGAGGAGCGTGATTTGCATGATTTTTTCCGTCCAAGAGAGAACTTCTCTCTTCCCTCCCGCCACCAAGAACCTCAGCTCCTTCAAGAAGGTCACGGTCGGCGTCACGGACGACGCTACGGCGCTCTGTATCAGCGCCATATGCGCCAGCGCCCCAGCTGGGGGTACCACCAGGGATGGCAATGGCACTGCCCCCACGGCGGGGGTAGTCGTCTTCGTCTTCGTCGTCTTCTTCTTCCTCACGGCCGAGAGCATTGCGCTCGAGGTCGCGCTGCGCCTCGTCCATTCGCTTTTTGACTTCGGCTGCCATGCGGATTCCGTCTGAGACAATGTTGTCGAGGACGCCGCGTAGACCCTTGCCTGGGGGCACGATGCCTCCTGAGGCGCCGGCGACGGGCGCAGTTGAGCCAGCGCTGAGTGAGGAGGACCGGATACTGCCAAGGTTGGAGAATGTTGTGAGGTTGGACGACATAGAGGAAGATGCGGCCAAAGCGGCAGGGTGGGGGTGATCAGAGAGATGGAAGGATTGAGGGAAGTAGGATTCAAAGAACTGCTCTAAAAGTTCGTCGGCCAAGACAACCATTCGGAAAGTAGGGAGAGTGATATGCAGGGGGTTATTAGGGTCAAGAGCCTGGTTGGCAGACTCTGACGTTGAGCGGTTGTGATCGTAGCTGTCTGATTCGGCGGTGGGAGACTTGGCTGACTGGGGGGTTACGTCTGGTGCTGGAGAGTTGGTGGACTTGGCATCATCAACATCAATCAGATCTTCTTCGTCATCGTCGTCGCCAATAGCAAATGAGTCTAGCTTTTCAGTTGCCTCTGCCGTTACATCTTCCTGTGTTGTTTTTTGGTTCTCTGGGTGGCTGGGGTCGGCGTATTCGAAACAGCGACGGATGAATGCGCTGACGCTACCGAGGAATTTCTCGTCGGTATTGAGCGAGTTATCAGCATGATCACGGTCTGCCGAGTTCGGATGTTCCACGGATAGAGTGGCTGTGATTGTTCCCTCGAACCCACGCCGGGAGAGGAACAACAGCGCCTCGGAGATTTTGAGTATCCCCTCACGATCAACCTGGCCATTTCCACTGTCATCATACAGGTCAAAGAAATAGCTTATGTTATTCATGATGTCAGGGGACCCCTTCAGGCGGGCGAGACCATTCACCACATTTTGGAGATCTAGTCCCTCTTCAGGGTCTGTGGCCCACTTACGGTAGAGGCGCTGCATGAACTCATGGTCTGCTGGCTGCCTGCGATTCGCCCACGATACCGGTTTCCCTGATGAAGATCCTTTCCTCGATGGTCCAGGGGAGTCAGCAACCGCCCATTTGGATGTGGCGGCTAAGAACTCCCGGAAAGCATCATAATCCATATGTGTTGGGCTAGGTCCGAGACCAACTCGGCCAACTTGAGTGTCCGCAGGAGGAGCAAGCATGGAAAGGCGTGAAGATTTCTTCCTCTCCTGTCGCCTCGTCTCTTCCTCAATAACTCTCTGGTGCTGTTCCCACTGGTACAACGTTTCATAGAAGCGGTCGTAGATCGTTCCAAGATCGTCCACACTCAAGCGTTTGCTTTCGGGTCCAAGGTTGCGGATAGAAGTACGCTTTGCAAAAGTTTCGATGTTCTCTAGTACAGCACCCTTGTGCTTTTCGCGCGTCTCAGTGATCGTGCTGTGAGTGATGCCAGAAAACTCCTTGAAAGCAACCACCATTAATTCCTGGAATCTAGTAATGGCCCGCAGCTTGGGATTCTCTGATCTCGGGTGGGCAGATTCATCCAATCGTGAGAAATACGACTTCAAGACTGAGATAAAAGACCCATCATCTTGTGTCTCAAGAAGCTCCTCGCCGTTAACTCGGAGGATGGCAAGACCGACCTGGAAGAGAACCTTGGGCCCTTCTAAGAAAAACACGTCCAAGACACGGAAAGCAAAGACAAGTGGCATGGAGTTAATATAGAGGGAGAGAAACCATGGCAACGATACAACAGAAAGTTGTACATCTGACTTGGTGAGGTGATCCCAGAGAACTGGCATTGTTTTCTCAACTAGAGACTCGAACACCTTCTGATCGAGTAGTGTGCCGTACATTGTTGTTGAATAGTAACCGGGGAGGAGACGGCTACATAGCACAGAGAGAAGGAAAAAGGCCTGGGCCTCTGACATATATCTAGTCAAGTTAGCAGATACCCTTAATAAATTGAGATTCTGAACATACATCAGCAATGCGGCAACCACAATATTCATGGCTTGGCAATACCCAATCTCCGGGTCAATCCAGCTGTACGCGGTGAGAACTCGCCGCAAGCGTCCAATGCCTTCTTCGCTCTGGAATCCAGGATACTCTGGTAGACTGCGATTCAAATCTTTCTCGATCTCATCGATAGCAAGAGATTCTTGTCCCTCAAATTTGGCCAATGTTTGTTGATACTGCATCGGAGAATGAAGACGAAGGAATAGAGAGCCGGATGTAAGCTCCCATATTTCTCCGCGTAACCGATTAGGCAAACCAACTCTGATTAGCTTGTGGAAGGTTGGCTGGCGAACCAACGTGACATTGCGACCATTTTCTAGATGATATCAGTCAGATATCAGAATATACGATCACAAAAAAAGATACCTCTGAAATATTCGCCCCAAAGTCTCATCTTGCTGCGATCACGTAGCTTCCGTGCATCGCCAGGGTAACGGAAAATGAGACCCAGCCCCGCATCTGGGGGTTGACGGGTATCAGCCTCTTTCCCGTCTTGTCCTTTGGCTTTTGCACTCGAGAGTAAATATTCCGAATAACAATCTGAGACGACGGTCCGTAAGCTGTCAACCTCCTTCATTCCTTCCCGAAGGCCTTTTTTCAGCGTATCACAGAATCGCTCGCAGGCCTGTCTGCTACCGACAAGCTGCAATATAAGGCGTTGAGGGACGAAGTTGAGTTCTTGTTGCTTATAGAGCAGACCGTTCCACGTTGTGAGCGCCAGGGAGAAAACATGGCTGGCGCTATGAAGGCGTTCGACGCGTCGTATGCAAGATAGCGGGAGAATGAATCCATTGCCTGATGGCCCGGTGCCGTGTGTCTGGCCAGTCCAAGTGGTTGAGGCACTTGCTGTGGCAGAGGGAATGAAGCTCGTTGGCTGGGTTGAAAAGCAGATGAAACGTTCACTCAGATGTAGACGCCCGGCGTATGTGTTTCCCGGCCGGTCAACTCTGCGGGTACTATCTGCTTGATTTGCCGACGAATTTGGTAGTGGGAGAACGAGATCAGCGGTTATCTCTTGAAGCGGGTTCTGGGAATCAGGGAGGCGGAATTGTTGCCGGAACAGGGATGCCTTGGAGGGATTATGATCGGGCGAGGATAGGGCGGGGATGTTGAAATTTGCAGGGTCAATCAGGCTCTGGGCCTTCTGAACGAAGGATGACCACGGTATCATGTTGGAGAGGTGAATGTGGGAATTTGTGAGAATGTCTAAGCCGATAACCGATGATGTCCGGATCAAGCTACTGTTAGGAACTTCAGGCCGATCCGGGCTAGGAATAGGAAAAAAAAGCCCGTGCGTAGTTGAAAATGGAGCTTCAAGGTCATCGTACAAGCTAAATCATCCTTGGCCGAGGACTAGGCCTGCAGAACAAGAGGGTCAAGTCGGGTGTTGTTGTCATTGATAAGAGGGGACGTGATGATGCCGGCTTCACGTGACTGTCCTCAGCCTTATCCATAGCTTGGCGTCTGCACAGTTCATGCTTTTTCCCGCCTGTTTCCGCTATCAAGCTATAAGACCGACGAGGGAAGAAAATATATATATAAAGTTATCTAAAAAGGTGCCTAAGAGGAGTATAAGAAGACTACCAAGAAGACAACAACAACACAAGGCCAGACTTTTCTTGTATACGCGCATAGTCAAGTATGTAGTATTTACATTTGTCTGATATATAATGAGCGCTAAGATACGTCGCATGATCCATATGCTTTATTTTTAGGGTAGAATATCGGTAAATACAGTGGAATACAACCTTACACTACGAAGAAGAGCTAAGATCTAAAGATATTTCAATTTATGAGGCTTGATTGACATAGATATACACACTACACAAGAAACACTGCACAAGCCTCACAAAAAACAAAAAAACAGAGCAAAACCTAACAATGATAATAAAACAGGATTTTAGTAAAGGCTTGACATGAGAGTGAAATAACATATTGGAATGAAACATAATGTAGGTGGAACAAGAAGGTTTAGGAATAGAACAAGACATGAGCAAGACCAAGCCCAAGGCAATCATTGGCCATTGAAGATTGGCCGTAGGATAGCATAGTGACCGAGCGAACAAGCAGATAACATTGACCCAGCACTGTGCAGACTGTGGAGGTGGTGCTGGTCCTTAATCAGAAGCATTGACCGTGGAGAAAAGATAGCCTAGTTTGGCTAGTGGTGGTCGTATGTCAAAGGACAGTGAAAGTCTTTTTTTTATGTTCTTGTTGAGTGAAGCAAGCGCCATAGGGCTGGTTGCAATCATGTGGATTGGCTGTGGAAAAGAGGTGGAGAGCCCAGTGTGGTTAGTGATGGGCATGCCCTGCATGAAACGACAGCGGAACTTTGTTTTGTGGTTTCTTTGTGGTTATTTGTTCTTGTGTCTGTTGAGTATCCTGAGGCTTCAGAATTGCGTGCGTGGATTTGGCCGTGGATAAAGTGGAAAGTCCAGTGTAACTGGTTGTGGCCCTGGGGCAAACGACAGCGGAACCTTTCGTTTTACTTCGTTTTGGCTCCTGTCAATGGACCTTTTGGTTTGCTGGCCCATTGGCCTAGAAAATGAGTGGAAAGCCTCGCCTGGTTGGCAATGGCCGTTGATCAAGGATAGCGGAACTCTTTTTCTGTTCTCGCGCTTGGTTGGTCTTGCTTGTGGTTGGTCTTGCTTGTGGTTGGTCTTGCTTGTGGTTGGTCTTGCTTGTGGTTGGTCTTGCTTGTGGTTGGTCTTGTTTTCATCTTGTTCTCCCCCTAAAGTTCCTGTCTCGTTCCTTTCGGTGGTCTTTTAGTATCAGAGGGCCTGGGGTGTTCATAGGTATCAACTGTGGAGAACCCACTTCAGGTAATGACGGGTATAACATTTGTTTCTTTGTTTCTTCTTTTTTCCCTTTTTTTTTCTTTCTTGTCAAGCCACCAATGGTAGTAGCGATCTTTGTTGTTTCCCGGTGCATATTATCCAAGGGAAAGAAATTGAAAGGATGGCCTAGGCGGCTGGTGGTGGCCCTTGGTCGAAGGATGACTTCAAGGAGTGGATTTTGTATTTGTATTTGTATGTTTTGTATTTTTGCTGCGTGGAAAGCCCAGCCGAGAAACTCTCAAAATGTGAAACTGAGCACTGTTCGGACTGGCTGATAATGGCCGAACAAAAGACAGCAGGGTTTGGTTGGAAGACGAGATCAATATGTTTTCTCTTTTCTTTTTTTCTTTTTTTCTTCTTTTTTTCTTCTTTTTTAATTTTTCAGTTGTTTTTCATGTTTCGTTTCCATCTAGTTCTTATCAAGTGATCCTCGAGCCTGAGAAGGCTCAGTGTATTCGGGAAGAGCCTCCTCGGAGGAACGTGAAATAGTCATGAGACCCTGCTTTTCACAGGCCTCGCCGTCCTCCCAGGCAGCCTTGCGCTCCGCAGAAGGGGTTCCACGGTAGCGTTGCCAGAGGAAAACCACAGCCTGGCCGACCAACATGCCAATGGCACTAGCAGTCAATCCAGCCAGGACACCCAATACAGCTGGGACAACGATAAAGTGCACAATGCGAGAGAAAGTGCGGGCGAAGGCGCTGTGGTGTGGGTTGTGGTGGTGCGGACGAGCGGAGCCGTGGGCATGGGCATGGTGGCTACCGGGGCCGAACTTTTCACGTCCAGAGCCCTCTTTCCCGAAAGGAGGTGGGATAGGGAAAGGCATACCATCATGGCCCTCTTCGTGGGGACTAGGGTAGGCCATTGTCTCGCCCTGGGGTTTCTTGTGTTTGCCATGGCAGCTCTTGCGGCCGGCTTTGGCCATACCAATCACACGAGCCTTGGCGCCAGTCAAGAGGCCCCGAATGCGAGAAACGAGAAGCTCCTGTAGGCATTTGGCCTTGCCGTGGCACTCCTTCCATGACAAGCGGTCGGAGGCGGGGGTGGTGTTTTCGACTTCAGTACGAGCGATGAAGAGCTCGCCATTGGGATCCTGTATAACAGTGATCGCAACGGTATCGACAGGAACTGGGTGGCTCTCCAGGTCGAGAACAGTGAACCGAATATCCAGGAGTTCGTAGCCCGGCTCGTCAGATGGTGCGGCCATCGGCATGATTTCAAGGGCATAGCCAACAGGCATGGGGGTTGAGTCCTCTCCCTCTTCATCTTGTTGCACAGCAAGAATTGGGATAGGCGGGGCTGGTGGGAAGATTTGACGGCCGTTGGCCAGCAAGCGGTTGTCTTCGATCGAGAAATCCAGAGTCTAAGGGGGTGTGTTAGCTAGTTCGAATGAATAAACGGATTTTGTCATCATTACCAGAGATGATGGTTTGCCCTCAGTCCAGCTAACAACACCTTCGTCGTTGGTTTCACGGAAAGGACATTCGGAGCAGGGCAGATCAACAATTGCATGATGAACATCCTTCAAAAGCATGGGGTGGACATTCACAAATCCATCTTCAATCATATCGACTTTAGGTTCCATCTCGGGGACGACCAGCATGGCACTGGCGCTAAGAGCAGCAGCGCCACCCAGTAAGATGGAGCGCACAAACATGGTGATGGAAGGATATGAAGCGCGATGCAAAATGTAGATCAGATGCAAGTGCCTCTCTTCTTACACTCGAGGAGAGGAGTAGACTCAATAACGATGTGGTGAACAATATGTCGAGGGGGTATGGTATGGAGGTACAAAGTGATCTTCTTTCAGCGGGAAGTGGAGTGGGTGACGCCAGCGCCTGCGTGGCTCGTGCTGTCATTGGTGGATGGGGGACAGTCAGCCTGCTGACTGTGCAGTCGGCATCTCCCGGTCCCGGGCTTGGAAAATCGTGTTCGTATTTGTAGGATCCATGAAAGACCCATCAGGGCTCTGAACACATGCTGTGGTGTATCACTGCCATGAGATTTTGTAAGAATAAAAATGGCAAGGACTCCAATCCCATGCTTGTTGGGTAGGCGTTCAAAATCACGCCGATGTCCGCATACCGCAGTATACAGCTCCGTATATCGCTTCCAACTGCTAGGAGTTGGCATGATGTCTCCTGAGGACTTGGGACAATACATGGTACTGCGGTATACGCTTCGAGGTGGGGAATGAAAATTTTGATTCTAGCGTGGAATTTTGCTGAGCGCGAAATGCGAGCCTGGTGCGTGTAGGGAGCGCCAATTTATTTGTGTTTGTGCCACACCGAGCCGTATAGAAAGTACTGCAAGGTTTTTCAGCTTCTGGGAGAGCAAATGATGTTCCCACAACACGGGAGCTGGCTGTTGCAGCCGAAATTGCCATGTTCAACAGGCTAACTAGGCAGATGCCGTGGTTTGTGCCATGCTGCCAGCTCCTGGGAGATCAAATGATGATAATGGTCCCCGCTCCCACGAGCTGGCGCGTTGTTGCAAGGTGCCATGGTCAGCTTGCCGAACACGCAGATAGCCTACAAAAGATGCCATGCTGCGAGCCCCTGGGAGATCATATAATGTTCCCCGCTCCCAAGGGCTGGCAGATATTGGTGTATTGGCATGTTCAGCAGGCCGACCAGGCAGGTGGCGTGCTTTTTGCCAAGTTGTCAGCTCCTGGGAGATCAAATAATGATAATGGTCCCCCGCTTCCAGGAGCTGGCTCTCATTGCGAGTTGGCATTGTCAGCCTGCTGAACACGCAGATGGCATCTTTTGCGCCATGCTGCCAGCCCTTCGGAGATCATTGAATGTTCCTCGCTCCGAAGGGCTGGCTGTGTGGGTGAATGGGCGTGTTCAGCAGGCTGACCAGACAGGTGGAGTTGTCTGTGCCATACATCCAGCTCCTGGGAGATCATTAAATGGCAATGGTCCCCCACTCCCAGGAGCTGGCATATTGTTGCAAGGTGGTATAGCCGGCCTGCCGAACACGCAGATGGCAGACAAAAGATGCCATGGTGCCAGCCCCTGGGAGATCATGTAACGTTCCCCGCTCCCAAGGGCTGGCATGTTCTTTCGAGGCGTGTTCGGCAGGCTGACCATGCTGCCAGCTCCTGGGAGATCATTGAATGGCAATGGTCCCCCACTCCCAGGAGCTGGCGTGTTGTTGTATAGTGGCACGGCCAGCCTGCCGAGCGCGTAGATGGTTGCCAGCCCCTGGAAGACCAGAGAAAGGTCGTATCTCCCAGGGGCTGGCTTATGGTTCCCGAGGCGTGCTCAGCAGGCTGACCACACAGCCAGCTCCCGGGAGATCATCAAGAATAATGGTCCCCCGCTCCCAGGAGCTGGCGTGTTGTGGTAAGGTGGCATAGCCAGCCTGCCGAGAATGCCTCGGGAACAACAGCTACCACCTGGGAGATGGAACCTTTGTATCATCTCCTAGGTGGTGGTAACGAGGCACAGAGGTTGTCACTTGCATGTTCGGCGCGCTGACCATACCACCTTGCAACAACGCACCAGCACCTGGGAGCGGGGGACCATTATTGATCTCCCAGGAGCTAGCTGTTGCCGAAGATAGCACGATCAGCGTGCCAAACACGCAAGTGAGAAACTCTGCGCCTCGTTACCAGCACCTAGAAGATGATACAATGTTCTCATCTCCCAGGGGGGCTGTCATTTTTGGAGCGAGTTCAGCAGGCCGACCATGCAGATGGCGTTGTTTGTGCCCATTTGCCAGCTCCTGGGAGATCATGTAATGCTCTCTGCTCCCAGGAGCTGGCTGTTGCTGAAGGTGGCATGGTCGGCCTGCTGAACACGCAGGTGGTTGCCAGCCCCTGGGAGATGATATAATCTTCCCATCTCCCAGGGGCTGGCTGTTCTTCCTGCGGCGCGTTCAGCGGGCTGACCATGCAGATGGTATTTTGTACCATCTTGCCAGCTCCTGGGAGGTCATATGATGCTCTCCACTCCCAGGAGCTGGCGTGTTGCCACAAAGAGGCATGGTCAGCCCGCCGAACACGCCGGAAATTCTTCTTATGTGCGGGCCGGAGGCCCCAATCGCACATCTCCTACCCAGTTTCCTGGTGTAGGCAAGAAGTATATACCCCAGTATAATATATATACTCTAGGGTAATCTGACATGTTCGGACATGATATCCGAACAGTACTCAAACAAGATGTCTTTCCGACAAAAATCATACACCACCCCGAAGGGTGGGCGAACAAGAAAATCGAACACAACTCAGAACAGGTACCCTGACGAGCTGCCATGGGCGTCGACAGAAACAATGGGTTCTTGTTTCAGTGTCTTCGGTAACAGACACTTGTCGCTGAACTGTGCAGATGAAGCGGCAGTCATCGGACTTGCCAGCTTGCTGCATTGTCGTTGTTGCGATCATAAGAGGTGGCCCATTCGTCCCTCCCCTTAGTCGCCGTCCGGTGCAGGTGAAGCGGCAATCATAGGACTTGCCAGCTTGCTGCGTTGTCGTTGTTGCAGACTCAAGAGGTGGCCCATTCGTCCCTCCCCTTGATGGGGTGCGCAACGTACCACTTGCAGTTAACCGAACAATGTTCGATCTCCTGCAAAACAACGGAGGAAGACATAGATAATCCGCTCCAAGAATGGAACATCATATCCGTGCTCCCAGCGCAGTTCCTCCAGGAACTGTTCGGGACCCTCCAAGGCGTAAACGAGGTGTCCAAGGTGATCTGCCCACAGTGGGAACGACAGCAGAATCACCATCACCATGACGAATACGCCAAAGGAGAGCCAACGAGTTCCTGTCCACAACCCCCTCAGCACAGCCGATCCCTCCTGCATCTCTGACTCGTCAGACGCAGTGACGGCGGGTGGGTCGGAAGGCCAAGCTCCTGGCATTTGAAGACCAGAAGTCGCTGCCTCTTCTCCGCCCATTTCCTCCCGCTGTTCTCCTGCAGACTGTTGAGCGCTGCAAGTCAGGTTTTCGGCGTCCTCGACCCTCTTGGCGCCTTTCGAAACCCCCGCACGGGAATCTGTCCCTGTTGCAACAGCATTCTTGACCGAAGCGTCTTCGGGACTGGCCACCAGGGAAGAGGTGGAGATATCGCGAGGGGTTGCTGTGACCTGCAACCCCTCAGAAGAAGACATGATGGTAGGACGAGCTTGAGTCCTTGTCGCGCGTCTCGCAAGCAACACGTCGAGGTGCGAACGAGTACCAGTCCGCAGGCTCGGAACAACAAGCTCATCCTCGGGCTGCCAAGTCAGATCTGAATCATTCCGAGTCGGCTTAGTAACAGCAGGCACACTCGGAATTTTCTCAGCTGACGATGGCTTAGTCTGGGCTGACTTGGTTGGGGCTGGCTCACTAGGAGCAGGCACACCCACAACCTCATCAGATGTGATGGACACAGGAGGCTCAGGCACACTGGACTCGGGCACAGTGGACTCCAAGGCAGTTTGAGTCGGCTGGGGAACAGCTGGCTCACTCGTCACTGCCTCAGGGCACACCTGCACGGTCTCGACAGTCTCAATTTCCTCCGAAGCAGCTTGAGTCGGCTGAGAAACAGCGGGCTCACTCAAAGCTGCATCGACAGGACCCTGCTTGGTGGCCTCCAGGACAACTTGAGTCGGCTGGGGAACAGCTGGCGCACTCATAGTTGCCTCGGTGGGCACCTGCTCGGTCGAGACAGTCTCAGTGTACTCCAAAACAGCCCGAGTCGGCTGAGAAACAGCTGGCTCACTCAAGGCTGCCTGGATGGGTGCCTCCTCTATCAAAGCAGACTCAGTGTACTCCTGGTTAGTCAGAGTTGGCTGAGAAACAGCTGGCTCACTCGTGACTAGCTGGGTGGACACCTCCTCTGTCGAAACATGCACAGATTGAGCTGGCTGCGAAACAGCTGGCACACTCACTGCTGGCACTTTCGGGGCTGTGTTCATCACATATGCCTCACACTGTGAAAGTAAAAGAGACCCGTTGGCTTTGACCTTTTCTCTTGTGATCCGCTTCTTGCGGCTTGGTCCTTCGTCCTCGCTGAACCCGACGGCGCGAGATATTCGCTTCCGCCCGGCGAGCTTGACGATCTTTCTCAATCTCCGGGGCACATAGCGCCGACGGCTTCCGACGAGACGATCCGCCCGTTTGAATATGAAGTCGTGTCGGCGTTTCATAGTCGGGTTTGTAACAGCAATTTCCAGGCCCTCCACAATGTTGCGAGCCAGCCGGCGCGGGGGAAAATTGCACGTGGTTGGGGTAATCGGGCCAATCGTTAAATCAAATCCCTGACCGCTATATACCAACATATCATGATTCGAAAAGGGGATTGGTGCAAAGGATGGGGCCTGAACGGTGGATGCTTGGCTTCCTGGAACAGCCGAGGCATGATTTTGGACGACGGATGGGACGTTGGCATTTGATGGGACGTTGGTATTTGATGCCTGACTTCCGGCATTTGTGTCAAACTCCCATTCCATATAGCCGTCAAATGCCTCAGCCTCAGCCTCAGCCTCACCGTTCAGCTGTGCGAGTTCACAGTCGAAAATATAGTCATTTAGTTCCATCATGTCATTGGTCTCCACGTGCTGGGGAGCGATGGAAAAAGTGGTAGATGGTGCTTCTTGCACCACGGTTTGTTGCGCTACAACAGGGGCGGCAAGTTCGTGCCCCGGGTCCTCGGTGAGTTCCATGGGGGACCCGGCCCGTGATGATCTGCAGCTCCCGCTCGATGTCGAGGGGTCGCTGGGATCAGCATAGACCGGTCCAGGGTCACGTTCTTTGCCCTTGCTGGTCGAACTTGGGAACCATACATGCCCCTGGGAGCCTGGTTCCTGGCGTCCCAGGACATGCTGGAGTGCAATAATCACAGGGTTGGTCTGAGACTCAGCAATCGGTGCACTGCGAGTCTGGACCTGGCTGGCCCTTGTGTTTTCCATGGCCGAGGCATGCATGGTTCCCAAAGTCTTTAGGAGGCCTTTCAGTCGAACCTCCGCACCTGCAAGGCGTTCTTGCCTGCGCACGTTGTATTCAGTTGCGGTCACAATCTGCCGCAGTTCTTGTAGGTCTTCCCTATCTTTTGATAGGTTTTTGCTGTAAGTTTCCAAGGACAGTTTCCTGTCCTTCACCAGGTCTTCCTCTTCAGACGCTTGGTTCAACCGATCTTCAAGGACCCCAAGTTGGGCATCAATGTCCCGAGATCGATTGCCATTGGACTGTTGGATCATAGCATCCATCTGATGCTGGTCGAGGAACCTGGTGGTGCTCCGCTGAGTTGCCATTTGAGCTTTGAGAGCTGACGCCTGGGACCTGGCGTCATTGAGCTCGCTCTCCTGGCGATGAATGATCTGCTCAGCTTCTGCAAGTCTCTCACTTAGCGTGTTGAATTGCTGCTGTGAGGGACTGGGTCGGAAAGTCGTCTGTCCGAGGTGGGAAAGGGCTGTGTCGGGGCCCACCAGGGGGGTGATCCTGTGCGGAGGGCCCTGGTTGATATGAGAAGAGGAGGAAGAAGAAGACGGGAAGGAGGAAGAAGAAGAAGAAGAAGAAGTGGCATGGGGAGAAGGGCCAGGCACCATCTGGAACCCAACAGGTCCATTGCGGTGCGGACCGCTTCGAGGGACAGCGGGGGTGGGGGCACCCGTCATCTGGAACCCGATGACGCCGTTACGGCGGGCCGCTCCCGGTTGATTTGCCATTTCTTGGAAACTTCGAACACTTCAAAAAACAAACTTATGAACTTTGAAATACGTTGAGAGATAATTCTCAAACACACAAATCAGCTTCTTTGGATGCAATCAGAAAGCAGAAAAGCAGAAAAGCAAAGAGAGCAATTATGAGGAAGAAAGAGAGGAGAGGAAAAGAAAAAGGGAAGAGAAGATGGGGGGGAAGGGTAGAATTTATAGTCCTCGACAAACGAAGTGATGGTGAGGCTCTGGTGCCTGATTGGTCAATGGCCTTGCTCAATGACTTGGTCTCACCCCCTTCGACCAATCAACGGGCTCCTCCATTGTTTATTGGTGACAAGATCTTTATTCAACAATGGCCATTGTGAGATATTCAATAAAGAGAACAATGGGGTGTCTCCTTGGTGCCTTGAATGCTCTTTTTCTAGAATTATAAAGTCCCTTTTAACAATACACTATACAATAAACTTCTCAATCTATGTGTATTCATCTGTACGTTGCGTAGAATCAGGTTCGCCTAGATAGCAGCCATGAGTGCTCGGTGGGTAGACTTCAATCCTGAGATCTGCGCCATGTCGTTGCGGTTGAATGTGCGGCTTACCGAAGGCCAGTGCACTCGGCTTGCCGAACATTATTCTTCCAATGTTGAATGAAAGTCTTGGCGATTCCGTAGTACTATGTAGATCTACTCTAGCCTACAATACAAGCAGGCGAGTGTGCTTGTCACCAGGGCTCTTGGTCGAACGATCGGTCCTGTCCCTGGGTTTCTACCATCTGGGGTGACGACTCAGTGGCAATGGCCGACTTGCACTCTTTGGTGGTTTTGTACTGCTCTAGGACATAGTATATTGAGTTCCAACCTTTTCTACACTGGTAGTGATTGCTGACACAAAGATTATGTTCTCCAGAGTCGCTCGTGAGGGTGGATGATGCTTCGGTCACACCTGACAAGGACCCCGAGCGAACAAGGGCACGGTACGGCCCGGGCCCGTGACAAGCAACCTTGGAAGCAAAGCTCATCCAGCAGCTAATCAGCAAGCCGTGGGCGATGTTTTACATACATTGCATCAATGGAGATACGCAATTATGAGACTCAGACCCAGTCTACATCATCAACAATCGCACAATGGCCTTGACATCGGAGTTTGGGGGACGAGCTTCATGAAGAAAAGCGAGGCAAGATCGAGCTTGAACCAAGGTAATGACCCTTGCTACTATTCCCAGAGGTTTCCAGAATCAGTCAATACCGGCTAAGCAGGCTCTCAGTCGTGAGGTAGGACATTCAAAATCATACCCATCGACCATGCAGAGAAAGTCGAAACACTACACTTGGTGGATTACTGCGGTCCTGGTCTGCATACCCTTCAGATTACAAGAGATGGCTACTGTCCAAAGGAGGCTGACATGTTGTTTGCTATAGGTTCTTGATCGAAACGTCGAAGATGTCTCAAACCACCCCCAGCTTCTTACCACAAATATTCAACAAGTTGTCTCATCTTCCTGGGAACATCGTTCAATCCGAAAATTACCCCCAATCGTTCCACAATCTAGAAACCAATATCCTTTGGTAGAGAGTGATCCAGAAGTGACACAGACAAGGAGCATCTAGGAGCTTCAGCGGTTTCTACAAAGGACGAGTGGCATTTGCCATGATGTGAAGAAGAAGCAGGAGACTGATCTCAACCAGCAAATCTCGTTGCCAAACTTGCACAGGGTCTATATCTATGGCCTGGGGCCTACCCAAAAAAGATGACCGTGTCTCATTGATAAAGATATGGGCCACAAAGAAGCGGATCGAGAAAAATCCAATGTTGGCCGTCTCATATGCGGGGAGTTTTGTCCTGTATCCAAGTCTCACTGGATCTCCAAGGATGACTTCTTCAATTATGTACTTAATACACGAAGTATACTTCTCCTACTAGTGACTGATACATGGCGAGGCAAGTAATAGGTAATGATAGATGAGACGGAGTGCGAACTAGATGCGACAACATGGCCATCTCAGTACCTTTTGTCGAGACAATCTATCAAAATTAACATTTCCTAGATGCAAGTAGACAGTATGGCAATCAACGTCGTCAAATATCTACCAATCAAATAACCAAGAGGAGCTTCACATAAAAAACATTAACGAACCCATGCAACTGAGCTCAGTACATCTGGTGTCTCCGCAAGTCATTGGCCCTTTAAAATGACTTTGCTACACACTATTATCGCTGATAACCGAGTTGGGAACATTCCAAGTGTCGCAAAATGGGCACATAGCATTTTGTTCATGTGATGACGGCAACTTGTGTCGACTTACGAAGGCGACAGTGGCAGAAATAACATAAAAGAAGATACTCTCTATCAACAAGGTCAAGTGTAGTTATGTATAGTAGAATTTATATACAGTGGTCCGAAATCACCTGATGCATTATCGATGTCTTGTACATTATTCGACCTGCTCAAAGCTTAGACTTCTTGCCAGTCACGTTGGGTACAGCATCGCCTGAAAGCAAGAATTCCGGGTAAGACAGTGCCCCGCCGGAAGCGCCGCCTGATGACATGCGCCAGTTTGCACCATCGACTGTTTATTTGTCAGTATGGAACTTCCATCGTCATTTTTTTGGTTATCTAACAACTCACCAACAAGCGTTTGACCAGTGACATAGCTGCCAGTGTCTGAGAAGAGATACACGGTGGCATCGGCGACATCGCGGACATGGCCAAACCGACCAAGCGGCTCAGCCTTGGTGTAGGCCTCCAGGGTATCTGATGGGAGCAGACGATCCAAGCCCTGATGAAAGGTAAGTTAATCAATTTTGACCTAGGAATAGCACCATTGAGACTTCTACTAACCTCAGTCTGTGCGATAGGTCCCGGTGCAATGATGTTGGAAGTCATCCCGCGAGGACCATACTCGATCGCGACACTGTGCGACAAAGCATCGATACCGGCTTTGGCAACGGATACATGAGTCTGGAAGGGTATACCGCGGTAGTGGATGGTGGCACTGACGAAGATGATTCTTCCACCGGTTCCAATTGGTAATGGTTGAACTAAAGGGTTGTCAGTTCCAATGATAGACAGGATGTCAGATTCGCCGAATGGTGCACCCACGAGTCTTTGAGTCCATTCTGTGCTTGCTTGCTGACTCTCTCAGATACGGAAGAGTTGCCTTGAGGGTATTATACGAGCCCAAGACGTCAATATCCATGACAGACTTGAACGCATTGACCGAGAGTTGCTCGATCGAGGCCAGGAAGTTACCCGCCGCGCCGGCACTGTCCAATACCATCAGTACGAGAATCAAGCACCGGGGTCAAGTTAATATATTGACATACATGACGAAATCAATCCCACCAAGCTCCTTGACACAGCGCTCAACTGCTTGTTGCAAATTCTCGAATTTGCGCACGTCCACAGAACCAATTCCGATCACCTTTGCGCCGGGTCGGGCTGTAGCGATGTCATTGGCGACGCGCTCGGTCTTCTCTACATTGCGGCCGACAATGCAGGCGTTGACACCGAGGTGTACCAAGGCGCGGACCTGGGCACTGCAGATGCTGCCGGCACCACCTGTACAGAAGACTACTTTGTTTGCTGGGTTAAGGGGTTAGTGCATGCAATGACAATGGACTTGAAGAGAGCTCACTAAAGATGCCATCCTTCCAGGAATCACTCAAATATTCTGACTTGGGCAGCGGCATTCTGATTATTATGTCTCTAGAACCTTGAAATGCTTTAAAGAATGCGGGGGAGTTGGGGAATGTTCAGGAGGTAAGCTTGTGTTTAATAATACCTACCGTTTTCCCCACATGGACCTCGGTGGACCTCGGTTGGATTTCGGCGTGACTTCGGTTGTAGCGGGCAGTTTTATGAATTTTATGCATCCCAAATTTAGACGCATATGTAAGATATCAGTTTGTGTGCATCACGTCTAGAAAACCCTCCAGGGACCTTAAATAGATTCATCGACTAGCTAGGCAATGTTGTGAGACTCAAACACCTCCACTCCCTTAAGTGCCTTGACAACAGTTGCTACTAATCGGTCGCTGTCCTCGAGCCCAACGCTGATGCGAAGTATATGCTGCGGCACTCCGTACTTTGGGACCTTGTCTCTGTTCCAGTAATTTGCTAACTGAACATATGGAATCACCAGAGTGAAATTGGTTCCAAAACTGGAACCTTTGCAAACATCAATGATATTGTAGAAATATTCAGCGCTGTCTGGACGATGGAAAATGATACTCAGCACATTACCATAGCCTCCACCTTTGCGCATCACACTTTGATATAGAGATGAACTTGGTGCAGTGGATGGATGATGAACTGTAGCGATTGACGGATGAGAACTGAGCAAATTGACTAGCGGAATGGTACTCTCATTACATCGCTTCACTCGCCAGGGCATATCCTTGCAGTTTTCTATGCGAGTAAGGTTATCTAGGGGAAAGTATGTCTCCTCGTAGTTTGCGAATAAAGCTGCTTTGATGGTATCATGATGCCGAGAGCCGGGGTTTATTACGAGGCTAGATGCCGTCAGAGTGGGGATATATATTGCAATGAGACTCCAAACCAACCTTCCTCCAGTAACATTAGATGAGCCACTGAATGTTTTCGTCAAACTGGATATCATGACATCGACACACGCAATGGCATCCGTTGAAACTCGGCAGTCTATGGCTCCAAGCCACACGACATTCATTTCGGGCACCTCGGTTAGTATCGAGCCCAGATTAACCGATCCCATGGCAGACCCGATTTAAATCATAGAAAATGGCTTGTAGTGCACTACGTTATACGATATAAGTACCTAAGTATTCCCAAGGTAACTTTACTTACAGAATACAGACCAGCTACATACAAAATTGAAAAGCAGCTAGGTGCATTGAACTGCATAAAAGAGCTGGCTGATCCGTGCATGAAGTGAAGTGGAGTGCCTGTATACTGCAAGGGATGTCCACTGTAGAGCACCTACTCCCGTGTCTCTTACGTTGCTCTTATGGTGCAAGTTTACTTCGAGACAATGAATAAAAAGAAGAGTCATTATTTAGGTGCATCTATATCTTCTGCTGCTACGCCTTGGTATTGGGAGAGATCAAAGTCTTGAGGGCCTCAAATGCATCGTACGTATCCATATGACCTCCATTATTTGCAGGCCGCGCCCTGTCTAAATCGCTTTTTACTCGCAAGAATCACATGTAGCTCTCTTCAACTCCCTATCCTTGCGGTCCCCATATCACATGACCCATGGGCGGGCACACGGAAACAGCGGGGGTTCTCCAGGTAGAGCCACTGGGCGAGCGACTTCTTTGTACTTGGCGTCGCGGCCGTGAATCAGCCGCTCGATAGAATCACCATTGTTTTTCGTAAGACGGAAAATAATATCCACACTTTTACGAGTTCAGATACTGTGCTGCCACATAGAAACTACCATCTCGTTCAAATAAGATTGTCTGCCCCTACATTTGTAAATCTGTAAATCGCAGGAGTCGAGCAAGAAGGAGGAGTCTTGTTCTCCTATCGTGCCATACGCACCGTGGAAATTGGCCAGTGTCTCGTTGATGATGCATTTCCAAAGGGCGTACTGCATATCACGAAGTCTGTACAACGTGCGAGCTCGGTGACCTCGTCGAATTCTTCATAGTATCACAATGCACCAGCGTCTGCCAACAAACAAAGCTGTTTCTAGACTACTTCTTTTCCCCGATATTCAGTTGCAGAGGTCCCTTGTCGGTACCAGGCGGTGGTATAACTAGTACGCCAGCAATTTTCTTGCAAAAGGAAATCTTTCGAATCTAACTCTCCTTTATTCCGATGAAATTATCAATGAAAGTAGTGTTATTGATGGTGAGGCCAGTCAAGCTGGATGTCTCTAATCCAAATCAGTCAGGGCCACTTACCCAGGGTGGCGAATTGGTTTAGTTCAGTTGTTCCTAGAAAGCTTGATAGAATCCGGTGAGATTCAGAAAGGCAAAACAGCGGGAGAGGTGAATATGGACAAGGAAGCCCTCAAATAGCGAGCTAGTTGGGTGACATAGTCGACGCACTCGTTGAAGTTTGTGTGAGAAGGCGATGCCAGATTACCATTACCTGAAGCCAACGAGGCTCCTTGGTATTTGATTTCCACAGGAGCTTTGCTTATCAACGTGGACTTAGCGGAACAGTCTAGCCCTTTGACGTGTACCTTGATCTCAAGGGTTCGAATCAGCTCGGGAGGCGAGATCATGATAGAATCTTACATCTTGAATCACCGTACTCTTCACCTACTGGGATAGTCCATGGTCAATGTCTCACGATATGTCGGGATCGAGGGGATTAGTGTGCTGCTGAGTACTATTGCAATGGAGGAAATATGATGGTTTTTGCCTTTGATATTGCAAACTATTTTATTTTTCAGATACAAAAACGTGAGCTACTCTACGAGACCAGCCTCTTACAAATTATCTCGCCTTGAAAAGTTTGCTATGAATAACCCATCGCTGGAGTCGACATGGGCCTACCACTGGAGGTCATCAACATGGTTTATTATCACGGTAATGGCCGTGGCACTCTTCACCGGTATTTTGCATTTATCTTCCAATTTTCTTGGGCTAATTATCGTATCTCGTCTTCATACCAACCGATACATTTCTATCCAGCTTTATCGTTCCTATCCTTCCCTATATGCTCGAGGCTCGAATTGGCTTACATCCTCTTCGTACACAGAGCATGAGTTCTTGGCTCTTAGCTGAGAGTGCCGCAGTGAGTGTTGTTGTTCGGATTCCGATGGCGCATTTTGCGGATGAGTCTGTTTCAAAGCGCAACTGGTTCCTCTGGGCGCTATTAATAGCCCTCGCTAGTACAATTGTGACAGCATTTGGGTCTTCGTGTATGTCTGGAGTCACAATATTTCGAAGGTCACATTTTCAGTAACTGATACTACCAGGCAGTGTTTGTTCTGTTTCTTGGCCGTTTAGTGCAAGCTATCGCCAGTAGTATCATGTGGGTTGTAGGATATACTACGGTGGCAGATACTGTTCCACTCCAACATACGGCCAAAACATATACCGTAATATCAATAGCGGTATCACTAGGTACATCAACTGGGCCCATGCTGTCTGGCGTATTATTCCAACTGGCCGGGTACCAGGTGGTATAGGCGAGTGCCTTCGCGGTCATTGGAGTTGATATAGTCTTTCGTTTGTTGATGGTAGAGAAGAGACATACAATGGAAGTCAGTATGTAATTCCAATTCTCCCCAAATGGTGTATGTTCTGACAGGGCCGCTTTGAAGATATCTCAGCAGACACAACTACCGAGCAAGCCTTGAATTCCGAGTACACTCCCCTTCTCTGTGCTGAGTACGATCAATCTGTCGCGACACATCCCGTTCTCCAAAAAGTACCGAACTTTTACCAGTGCATCTTTAGTGATCCCAGCTTTACCGGCGGCGTATGGTGCAGTTTCATGTTTGGTTTCTTAGTAGCCACGTTCAATGCTACCGTTCCGCTGCATGTTCGTGATGAGTTTGACTGGGGTAGTATGCAATCTGGTTTTATATTTGCTGCCCAACAAGCTCCACATCTTGTGATGACTCCGTTAGTTGGTTGGCTAAAAGGCCGCGTGGGAACACGCACGCCAACTGCTTTTGGATTTGCCGTATTAGCTCCGCTGGTCTGGCTTTTAGGTATTCCAGGCAATCAGCATTTTCCATCCGCAAATAAAGGGAACTGAGGATCTGTTCTATATTTGCTGACAATGACCTTGATTGGCTTTCACACAACCTTTCTGAATGGAGCGGGGACGATCGAAGCCACAGGTAAGTTCCATATCTCGCATTCGACCTTAGGACATGTGAGACAAAGGCTGACAATCAAAATGAGAAGTGGTCGTTGACGAGCTCCAAACAAGGCACCCCAAAGCATTTGGCCCCAACGGTGGAAACTCGCGTGCCCTAGCGATCGCCAGTATTCTCTGGATACTAGGATCATTCGCGGGCCCTGTCACGGCTGGAGCACTGAATGACAAGGTTGGGTATTATACGATGAATTGTGTTGTTGGTGAGTAGCTCTACATCTTTTAGAATCCTCCCACTAACCTGTCATAGCTGGATTATGTACTTTGTCCTCTGCTGTTGCATTTCTTTGCCTTCGGTCACACCCGAGATACCAAGAGACATGAGCATCAGTTACTCTAGGAGACCCACCGATTCAGTGTTTGTTGACTCGCAATATATGGCAGAATCGGTCATTGAATCATATTCTAGATAAGTCTTATTTATAGAAATATATAGATCCTCATTTTACTATAAAAACAACATACAATTCCACTCCTCATTGAGATGAAGAAAAGCCGCCTGCTGATTGGCTAGCGCGTAGACGGCCCGCGACGTCACCGAAAAAGAACGGTCTCTTTTAAATTGTTGACGCGAATCTTCTGCTCAACTCATTTCAGATTCTATCATCTTCGTCAAATAAAATTCCGAAGAAAAGGGGTTGTCTCTGCAATATACAACATGGCCTGTCCCATCAGCGTCAGCAAGTTTGTTGGCACTGTCTCCCTCGGTCTTCTTACCGTACGTCAATCGCATCTATCGCATCATCAAATACGATCAACCAACATTAACAACATCTTTCTAATTCGCAGGGCCTCTCCTACTCCACATCAGCCATCACAATCCCAGCCCTACAACTCCTTCCAACCGCGACAACTGCCGTCCGCTCCCTGAACGAAGTGAAGCGCCTAACCCGCCGATATGCCCTGCGCCTTTCCTTCCTGACCAACGCCTGCTTCTGTTTCGCATGGTGTCTCTCATCTCCGCGTCGCCGACACCCATACATGATCTGGCTATGGATATTCTCCACAGTTAGTGCCCACGGTGTTGATTTTTGGTTCAACCGTCATCTCGGCTTCAAGAACTGGGCATCCGCTGTGATCCGCGACGTTTCCCACTTCTCCCTGGTTCAAGACTCGAATACAACTAAGGATGAAGACCTTGCTATGGTTGAGGCCCAGGAAGACGTGAATGGCGAAACTGTCCAGCGCGAGATGGACCGGGAGCGCCGACTCCACCGAGCGCGCACTTGGTTGTCTGGTATTGCGCTTTCGATTGGCATTGTTGGTCTTTGGGGTGACAAGAGGTGATCCCTCTCCATTTTATTTTAGTCCGTAAAGGTCGTCTTCCTTTATGATGAACACACCGGTTGTTGTTCCAGGTCTAATTTCTGGAAAAGCCTTTTCAATTCTGTTTCTTTGATTGCGTCTAGTCTGCTTCGTGTCTGATACCTTTTTGTTCTGTTCTACTTCTGTACTGCACGTCCTTTCCTGTATATAATAAGTCAATTAACCTCAAAATGGAGTTACTTCTCAACTCAGCTCCAGCATATCTGAGCCATATCTACAAAATCGCTAATCCGTCCAGCCGAGTTGGATCTTATTAACATCAAATAATGCGCGTGGGGAGGTGGAAACGAATGATATGAATCAACACTATAATTTCTGTAGCTCATGGTTTCTCTAGGCAGCGAGTATGGCTTCTCGGTCGTCGGTATTCAGCCGAATTTCCTTCGTAAAGCTTTCCATTATGTTCGAATGTGATATATTTATTTATTTATCTCTTCTTGTCATGTGTGTAAGCGGCGAATCCTCACAGGCTTGGAAAAATGCTCATTTTCAAGAGGCTTCGTGAATTCGTCAGGGGCATTCATCAATAAAGTGAAGACAAAGTGAAGATAAAGTGAAGATAGAGTTAGGATAGTTGGAGCATAACACAGTATTACACACCTGGGCAGGTATAAATCATAGGTAGATTACCTTAGAAGGGGCACTAATATTACCTAACTCTTCCCTTTACCCATCCATGGGCTTAGGTATACCTATATACCTATATACGCAGTAGTCCATCCTTAGGTAGGGCTATAAATACCATCCCCTTCCTTCCTTTCTTCTTTCTTCTTCCTTCTTCCTACAACCCCTTCCACCTCTACAATCTACACCATTGGCAATGGTGCTATCTTATACTCATACTCTCTGTGAATTTTGCTCTTACCGATCCCTTCCCCTCATCCCTTCCCCTCTACCATTCTCTACTAACATATTTTCTAGATTTATATATATATTATTCCACGCCACCATGTCTTGGGACGCCAGGAACCAGGCTCCCAGGGGCATGTATGGTTCCCAAATTCGACCAGCAAGGGCAAAGAACGTGACCCTGGACCGGTCTATGCTGATCCCAGCGACCTCTCGACATCGAGCGGGAGCTGCAGATCATCACGGGCCGGGTCCCCTATGAAACTCACCGAGGACACGGGGCACGAACTTGCCGCCCCTGTTGTAGCGCAACAAACCGTGGTGCAAGAAGCACCATCTACCACTCCTTCCATGGCTCCTCAGCACGGGGAGAACAATGACATGATGGAACTCAATGACCAGATTTTCGACCGTGAACTCGCACAGCTGAACGGTGAGGCTGAGGCATTTGACGGCTATATGGAATGGGAGCTTGACACGAATGCCGGAAGTCAGGCATCAAATGCCAAACTCTCCTCCATTCCTGCAAAGACTGCAGTTGATACCGACAATGATTTATTGATGCCTCCGATCCAGGCATATAGTGTTCAGACCCTGTCCCAGTGGTCAGTCAGTCGCTCAGTTTAGAGAGGAACGCGTAGGTTTGCTCTTCAAAAACCCCTATGGGATCCTTTTGCTTCCATTGTTTTCTCTTCTCTTTTCCCATCTTTCATTCAACCAAATTTTCTACAACATCATTAAGATGTTTAACCAACCTGCATCTTTGTTCCTCCTTCTGCTCGCAGCTATGGCTGCCTACTGGCAGCATGAGTTGTTTCCAATTGTCGGAACAGTTGTCATAGCTGTTGTTGTTGCCATCCCTCACTTCAAGCCACGCCCCAAGTCATATCCTAAAATCCAAGTTTTTCCAAAGATCCCCTCAAAACAGAAATATCTCAAGTGAGAAATGAATGAGAGCGCCCAGAAGAATTTCCTCATTTCCTTATGTATCAGAATCAAAGCAATAACAATAGCAGTATTTATCTACGAAAATCGCAACCACTAGACCTGAGATTGAAGATTGCAGATGATCGACGTGGAGTCAGGTAGGTAAAGTGGAGAGATGGGAAAGGGAATGATTACTTGGGAATGCGATGCTACAAAATACACAGAATGTAAAACATTGTTGATAAAACTGCTTGTATGATAGCTCCTTCATTATTATTATGGGGCGTTGGGGAAGAGGTTATCCTTTTCTACAAATATACCTTGTTTTCAATTAAGCAGAGGTCAAATATGCTATCTACCCCTGTTGGGTGTCATTAATATCGATTAAAAAGAATAGTTAGGAGCCTAGTTAAATGAGGCCTTAACGATTATAGGCAGACCAATGATCTGAAGAAGTAAAATTAATCCCAATACGCTAAGGATAATGGCGGAGTTGTCGGAAATGAGCCCCTTGGCGCAAAAAGAATATAAAGGACATGACAGCGCAGCTTGTGTTTCTAAGGTTCTGTAAATAATATAACATTGATTGATATCAGATTTCAAGTCTATAAGCTTGGAAAAAATGGTTAATTTCACCATCGTCAATGGCCAAATCTACACGCCAGGCCTGGCTATTGTTGATGCGCCACAGCCTAACACGCCCCTCGGAGGAGGCAAGTCAACACGCCAAGATCTATTAACTCCATACTCTATACTAATTCCTTAGACAACTTGCAAGTCGCAATCGACGTATCCGGCAATGGCCAACTACCATGGCCAGCATCAACCGAACCCGATTCGCCCACCCGCTTCCATGAGATCACAATCTTCTTAACCTCCGAGTCGCACAACTTCACCATATCTAATGGCACAACGCCCGTGTCTAACACAAGCTACGTCGGTCCCGTTTTGGACTTGGAGCCCTCATCCACCGTCAAACATGTGAACTGGATTTGGCCCGACTGCCTCGTGGGAGACGGCTCTGGCTCCGATGACTCGGCGCGTGGAGCATACAATATCTCCATGCATCAATCTTTCCGCTGGAATGACACGGACTATTATACTGTCTTTGATCTGCCAATCTCTGTCACCAACAGTATACCCGAGAGTGACGACCGGATCGACTGCGATCTGCTGGAAAACAAGCTTCTTAGCGCGGCGGAGATCGGCGAGAGCTCGGATTCGCTGCCTGGGCAGCCTTGGGTTGAGGGTGGAGCGAGTACAACGGTATCGAGTCCCGAGGCAACCCCCACAGGTGCGGGTAGTCGGAGTCATTCGGGTTTCAAGAGAGTAGCTGGTATTGCGATTGCTGCGACGGCACTTTTGCATTTCCTGGGTTGAGACTTTTTTCTGGGTATCGCGCTTTTCATTTCATTCCTTGTATTTGTACTACTTTTTTTACCATTCTTTTTTTTGTCTTGAAATTATTATATATAGGAACAACCTTTTACTTCCACGTGTTATCAGCCATATATTCGAATATGAGTATCACATTCATGGCCGATCGGCGAATAACGGTTTTACTCCTTCCGTTGATGATCATCGTTGATATTACCGCCTTTGGAAGCAAGTATACATTCTAGTCATTGATTTCGCACCTGGGCAGTATCCCTTGATTACTCAGATCTCCCTCTAACAATGCCCAATACCCTCTGTCAAGAGTCTCTTCTACAACTTCAGTGAAGTATGTCACATCGCAGCCGACCCCAACGTTGACGTGGAACTCCCAGCTCCCTCGCTTTCCATGACGCTTTTGTTCGCCTCCCGACGAGTCCTCCGGTACCGTCTCGCCCGAGCTCTGATCATAATCTTCGCAATATGGAATCTGGCCGAGATACATCTGATCCAGCATCGAGTTTATGAGGCAGATAACACTGTCCTTCGACACCGGCCGCAAAAGCGCGAACGCATATATATTGCAAGCATCAATTGGAACAATGAGCTCGTTCTCCGCAGTCACTGGAGCAAGGCACTCACACAGCTAGTCTTGAAGCTTGGTCCAGAGAACGTGTTCGTCAGCATCTATGAAAGCGGCAGCTATGATAACACGAAAGGCGCGTTGATAGAACTGGACGGAAAGCTCGAGCGGATGCGGGTGCCACGGAATATCACTTTGTCACCTGTGACACATGAAGATGAACTAGCCGCACCTGAAAGGGGTGAGGGCTGGATTCGCACTCCAGGGGGAAAGAAAAAACTCAGACGAATACCATATCTGGCGCGGATACGGAACTTGAGCTTGCTGCCTCTGCAGGACCTTGCACGAGAGGGTATCATGTTCGATAAAATCCTGTTTCTGAATGATGTTGTATTCACGGTTTGTTTGAGTCATCTCACTTTCTGTCGAATTACATTCTAACTAACAACTCTCCTTTGTTGTTCAGCCGAACGATGTACTCGAACTTCTAGATACTAATGACGGTGGATACGGCGCTGCTTGCTCATTGGATTTCTCCAAGCCTCCGAGTTACTATGACACATTTGCTCTTCGGGACATTGAGGGCCATGAACCAATCATGCAGACATGGCCTTATTTTAGCTCTGCGAAATCGCGAAATGCAATGAAATATATGTCTCCTGTTCCTGTGACCAGTTGTTGGAATGGCATGGGTACGCTGACTTTCAATCTAGAAATCTTTGCATTAACTAACATATCTATCTCTAGTGGCGATGCCCGCAAGTCCATTCACCGCCAGCCCTCCTCTTCGCTTCCGAGGTATCCCTGATTCACTAGCGAACTATCATCTTGAAGGTTCCGAGTGCTGTCTCATCCACACAGATAACCCACTATCAGTGGAAAAGGGTGTTTATTTAAACCCTTTGGTGAGGGTTGGTTATAGCAGCGCCGCATATACAGCTATTCATCCGATGTTAAACTGGCTCTCTTCGGGGCGGATTATAGAAGGGTTGTGGATCAATCGCTTGCGCCGCTTTGGTATCACTTCATGGTTGAAAGAAGAAGTAGTTCGAAGGCGGGTAGAAAAGTGGAGAGCCTTGAGCACTGGGAATGAAGAGCGTGGGGAAGTCTGCATTATCAATGAGATGCAAATTCTGCATCGCTATGGATGGGCTCATGTGTAACAATATTTTTGAGGCAAATCGTTTGTATATTGGTCTTATATTGCCAGCCTATCTAATATTATGCTTATAGAATGCTTATCACATTGACCTGGGACAATTATATACATGAAAATACCTAGTTTAGGTCAAGCTCTGCACAAGAGGCTGATCTGCGATGTATAGATAGATCGGCTACTGATATAGTCAGTGCATGAGCACTTCAGAAAATATCTTCTACTCCATGAGAGAGACACAACCTCCCAAGATCTAATAATACAGTGTATCTCCGTCTAATCTCATCTTTTGCCAAATTGACTTTTTATATCGCCGAAGCCGGCCCACCTGAGCAAAATCTCGCGATTATGTAACCCCGAGCAAATCGCCCCGTTTGGGACAGTATCAAACAGCAAAATCCCCCACATACCCTCCATAAACCACCTAAATCAGCAAATACACATAAAATGGCAACAATCCAAATTCTAGACGGAGGCCTTGGCACCTCCCTGGACGATCTATACAACATAAAATTCGATTCAACAACAACCCCACTCTGGGCCTCACACCTTCTCGTGAGCGATCCAGCAACGCTACAAGCATGCCAACGCGACTTCGGCGTCGCCGGAGTAGACATCCTCCTAACAGCAACCTATCAAGTCTCCGCTGAAGGATTTGCACGCACCAAAACTGCGCAATTCCCAGACGGAATCCCACGCAGCGCAGTAGGACCCTTCCTACGGAGCGCCGTGGACATCGCCGAGCAAGCTAAAGTGCGCGAGAGCGCAAGCATCGCGCTCAGTCTTGGCCCGTATGGTGCGTGCATGATCCCGGGCCAGGAATATAGCGGTGCGTACGACGCCGAGCACGACGATGAGGAATCGTTGTATTTGTGGCACTTGGATCGTTTGCGGATGTTTGCTGAGGCCGACGGGGAGATTGCGTCGCGGGTGCAGTATGTTGCGTTTGAGACGCTTCCTCGGCTTGATGAGGTTCGCGCTGTGAGGAGGGCGATTCGGGATTCTGCTTTCGATGTGCCGTTTTGGATTGCTTGTGTTTTCCCGCGAGATGATGATGTCTTGCCTGATGGGAGCTCGGTGGAGGAGGTTGTTCGAGCTGCTGTTGCGCCTATGGAGAACGGGGCTGTGCCTTGGGGAATTGGGATCAATTGTACTAAGATGCATAAGCTTACTGGGCTTGTTGATTTGTTTGGTCTGGCTGTTGCGGGGGGTGTTTCGGAAGGGTGGGTGTCTGCTGTGCCGAATTTGGTTCTCTATCCTGATGGGACGAACGGGGAGGTATACAATACTAAGACGCAGGTTTGGGAGAAAGATGAGGCCTTGGTTGATAAGGTGAGTGCTAAGGTGAGTACAATGGAGAAATTTTGGAGGTGACGGTTATGCTGACGTGAAATTTAGCGACCTTGGGAGGAGCAGTTGGCGCAAGTGGTCAATGAAGCCTACGAAAAGGGCCCTTTCAATTCCTTCCTTGTGGGCGGGTGCTGCAAGGCTTCACACCACGATATCAAGAAACTTGGACAGCAATTCAAGACTCAGTAGGCATTATAAGCATGGAATGAGAATAGAATGAAATGAATAATGTACATCGCTAATGTTGAATAGCCATCTCGGCATGCAAATATTTACACATCATAAAGTCGTTTAAAAGAGCCAATCGGTAAACTTTGTCCACGCGTTGCTAGGTTTCTCCACATGCGGAATCTCCCCTTCTAGAAGCCGGCCCGACCATAGATCGATAGTGGCGGCACGCTCAAACTGTACATTTACGTTAGCAACTAAAAATCAGAAAGAATGCGAGGGACTGAACTGACCTTAGTGCGATGCCAGAGCTTCCAGCAAATGATGGGAACAATGAAGATGGGGATACCGATGTACGATGCCACAAAGCTCGATGTATCCCAATTGCCCTTCAAAAATACGGGGAAACCAGCAACGAGAGTAATGATAGTGGAACCGATAAAGCCCACCCATGCGGCATAAGGTTGAAGAGGTGCCTTCCATGGAAGGGAATCTCGGCTCACATTTTGTTTCTTCATTGCGGCATAGAAACGAATATAGCAGAAGCAAAGGGTTGCCCAAGCGATCAAACCGGCAACTGTGCTCAGGTTTAGAAGCCAGGTAAATGCCTGCGATGCGCCACCACTACCGAGACTCAGGTACGCCAGCGGCCCAAAGAGCCAGGCGGTAATGACAGCCACATATGGCACACCGGTCTTGTTCACGCGCCCGAAAACCTGGGGCAGCTGCTTATCTGTAGTCATGGCGACAATCATGCGGGATCCGACCCAGCAGTATGAGTTGCCAGCAGACCAGGCGGCGATGAGAATGCATGCATTCACGATGGAGGGCAGTGCATTGATGCCGGCGTTGGTGATGGCAATCACAAAGGGCGAGCTGTTCGCGTTGTCGTCGCCAGAGACAAGGCCTGGGGATCTTGGGTCCACGATCATGCCGATGAGAAGTGCTCCGAGGATGTAGAAGAAGGCAATGCGGTAGGTCACGCGGCGGGCGGCCTTGGGGATAGCACGGTGAGGGTCAACGGATTCGGATGCGGTGATGACGACGGTCTCGACGCCAATGAAGCTGAACGAGGCGTTGACGAATGACGACAGGAAACCGAGGAAGTGGCCTGTCGGACCGGTGATGCCGTTGTAGTTCGTCCATGGCCCAGGGTTATTCCAGTAGCGGAATCCAATGGCATCGCCCTTAGGACCGCCGCCTGCAGTGATGACAATGGAGACAACAACCAAACCAAGGAAGCAAAGAACCTTGACGGCACCTCCAAAAACTTCGGTTTCACCATAGAATCGCACACTCATCAAATTGATAGCCAAAATGAGCACCAATCCAACAGTAATCACCACAGCAGGCGTTAGATCCGTCCAATATGAAACAATAACCGCGGCCGCTGACACTTCCGAGGCGATGGCGATTGTGTAACAGTATCCGTATGAAATAGCGAGGGAGAAACCAACAGCAGGGTCAACGAATCGAGTTGCCCAGTGAGGAAAGGATCCAGCAGTCGGGAAAAGCGTTGCGAGTTCAGCGATACTCTGCATGACGCACCACAAAACACCTCCCACAATAATATACGCGAGCAGCAAACCAGCGGGGCCAGCTTTGGCATAGGCAGCTCCAGTTCCCACAAACAATCCGGTGCCGATACCACTGCAGAAACCAATCATGGTAACCTGGTAGTTACGCAGACGTCGCTGCAAGGCCGCACGACCGCCGATATTGAGCTCATACTCCCCCTTGGGATTCCCATTGTAGTCGTCGAAATCTGTGCCGGGGGCCGGCTGGACCTTGTCGGTGTTGAAGCCGGACTTGTCCATGCTGTCATTTGAAGTGTCGATCATGCGGGCTAGTTGTTCCCCGTATTATACCCCGGAGAATTCACAGGTGATAGTGGTTATGTGGGAAAGGCTTTCTTTTTCCCCCAAGAATATTATTCAGTCGCGTCCAAGCACGACATCGGGTTCCGTCGACGCCGGTTTCTAACCCACAGTGGGGAGGCTCATTGGACTGCATCGCTCAGATTTCTTCTCTCCCCACTTTTATGGGAGGCGTTTGACTAACTTTTTCTTGTTTGCCATAATCGCGATGTGAGGCGAATTACGATAATCAATAATCAACATTGATTTGTTCGTTTTGCGTCATCCCAAGGCCCAGTGAGGTATAGCCATTAAGCATTATGCCCAGTAAACTAAGTTCCAAGGTTGCTTCCAATAGGAGTGATGAAGAATGTATGCATCTAGATTCCACGTGATTCGCCGAATAGGTTCCAAGAATTTAAGCTTTGCCTCAAATTTTAGGCATTCATTTATTTGGCAACTTTATCTAAATCGAACCGTTGGAACCGATGTTTGTCCGCTCTTTCAGAAGAATACTAGGTATATCCCTGGTTATATATCTATAAAGGTCATCTGTACGGTTTATTGTCGTAGAATGATAGGCCAGTATGTCTTCCTTCCATGCTGCGCAGCGAACCTGGAGAGGACAGAGGCTGCATTCGTGGCCACTACTTTTATTTAAGTAAATCGTGAACAAATTAGACTGACAATATGACTTCAAACAATAGCCACACCTGCAAAGGGCTTAGAGAATGTCAATTGGTTATGTTAGTCCGAACAGAAACTCACCTGAACACAGGGAGATATATATCCCTTCACACGCATCACATGTTTACGATATATCGCGAAATCATCCTCCAGTCCACTAAATAGTAATATAGTCAGTCGTAACGTAAGAGCCACAGAGTTGCAGGGCGAGTAATAGCTAGCAGGTGGGTACTTTACTATATTTGGGGGGGGAGTTTGATCTTGTAGTAAATCATAGACCAGCATATACCGATTTCAATTGTTTTATTCACCCGGTAACCTTGGCCCCACAACATTAACCCTCCAGTCCTAGAATTTTTTATTTTTCAATGAATCACTCAAGTGAATTCCCGTTTGATCAATGTTCAACTTGTTTTCCCCAGCCATATTTTACCCCGCACCTAGAACACCTCTATTTTCTGTGAACCATGCCATGGCCATGGTGCTTTCCGTCCAGACAGGGCCGGTCAATAACTACCAAGACTGTGAGGACCCAGTACAATGAGTTAGCTATATCTTGGTTGATCAATATACTAAAAACCCTTAAAGTCTCCACCTCCACCAGGCGAGGAGACTGGCTTGAAGTTGCTGCATGATGGGTTAGCTCCAGAAGTCGAGTTTGTGGGCCCATCTCTATCAAAATCTCGATAATTACTAATTGACGCAGCATCATTGCTGTTCATGGACTGGGTGGCCACCGCGAAAATTCATGGACAGCAGCCAATGGGGTAAACTGGCTCCATGGTCTGTTGCCAGGTGATATGCCTAACATCCGAGTCCTTTCCTGGGGTTATAGTTTAGCTACTGTGAAAAACTCCCATGAGACAATGTCCGAGCAGAAAATATCTGAGCAACTAGTCCGTGACTTGTGGGAATTGAGATCATCCACAAATGTACGAACCCAAGTGACCAAACAGCGAAACAAGAAAGGGTATTAGTGCTGACAGATGCAACGCAGACAACCAATCGTCCGATTATCTTTATTGCACATAGTCTTGGGGGGACCATAGTCAAAAGTGTAAGTTTCACCATTGTGCATAAAAGAGGATTGTCGTTGATCATCACCAGGCCCTGCTTTATGCCGACTCGGCGCAAGAAACCCCTACTGCGGACCTTCGCAGGATCAGCCTCTCAACACGCGGAGCGATCTTCATGGGGACACCTGAGCTAGATTCAAGGCTCGTGGGACTTCAAAGCTACTTAGCTAGCGCCAAAGGATCTGAGCAGGAGTCCAGCGACATTTATAAAGAGGCGCACTGGTTGATGACTATATTAGAGAGCTACCCATCGATCAGCCAACATATTTGGACTCTATTTGTTCATGAGAGACTCAACTCTCCGTCAAGAAATACTCCATTGGGCCAGGTAAGAAAATTATCACTAGCCAGCTGTGGAATTCTTACTTACACTATGTTGGCTGTCTTTGAACCAGACTGCGTCGTCCCCACAGGATAAATCGTCACATATTTTCGTCCAAGCTGATCATAGTGGAATGGTCAAGTTCGAAGCATCGTTGGACGAGGGATATTTGCAAATCAAAGAGCATCTGGTGTATGTCGAGAAGATATTGAAACAATCGACTACGTCTGAGTGATCAGGCCATAGTATAAAATTGTGCTTAGGATCGTTTCCTCCAGGGGATTTTTAGGCTATTTATGCACATATATACCCACCGTAGGGCTATCGGTTCATTAGTCTTCCGCTCTCAAAAATAAGGCTCCACGCTCACTTTATGTTTGTCTCCTTTTTGGCTTCACAAAAGCCCAATCCGGTAGGGGCGTTCGATAGTGCCCGATAAGACTAAAATTATCGCAAAATTGTGCTAAAGCTGAAACCGTGGAACAAGCTGCCTACGCCAAGCCTTGGACTTCCTCTCACTTCCCGGTCCCACGGGCTGCCGAGCGCCAAGTTTCACCATAATTTCCAGCATAAGGGGTTTATGCAGGATTTAATGCCTATGACAATAGGCTACGGTAGAGAATCCTCCTTATTTGCCGTTTGCCGTTTGCCGTTTGCCGTAAATGAACAAATTATAGTCGGTTCAAATTTACCCCACTTTTCTTTTGTAAAAACTTGATAAATGGCAATTTGCACTTCCGTTGCGAATTGACCCGCTTATATAATCCCATAGTTAAGAGTGCTAAGGCTACCTAATTAGGTCTAGACTCCTTTTGAAATGTTGTTTCGGGCCTACCGCCCACATGACTGCTACAATACTATTGGCTCTGCTTTCTATCCCGCCCTACTCCAGATTCTGCCCTTCTCGGCCAATGTGAACCCTTTAGTTTCGGCATGTGTTTACCGACGATCCCTAGACTTTTAACGGGGTTTCCAAGATTGACTGTAGCATTATTAAATATCCCTGTCAATAGCGCCGATCTTGCGTTTTCACGTTCTCCTGCACCTTAAAATCTTATCTCTCATTCTCTCCCCTTTTATCGCGAGGGATGCCCAACTATACCTAACAGCCTTCAATCTTATTTAACTGCTTTGTTCTCCTCATATTCTCATTCACTTGCACTATTTATGTTGGAATAACTGAAATGGAACCTTCTCAGCGAGATGCCCAGCCGGAGGCATCCCCGCTTACCTCTAACAGAGAGGGGTCTCCTGTAAAGGCAGCGCCGGCTCAGAAGGCTGGCAGAAAGCTGCCGGGATGGCTTGATCATTTCAACGCCCGCGATCTCAAAGTGTTATTTCGTTGTTCACTAGCTGCGTGGGTGGCGTCGCTGTTGATATTCATCACCCCATCCCTAACTGTCCTTGGTACTGCGACATTTTTCGCCATGTGAGCGCATCTATACATATCCTCTCGTTATCAGTTGCTAATGCGATTGCGACCAGTCTGGTACTATTCATGGTGCCTCCGACCGGCATTGTTTTCATTTTCCTTTTAGGAACTCTGACCCTCGTCCTTGGTATGGGTTTCGGCTGGGCCTGGGGTGTCATCGCCATGAAAGCTGCTATTGCAGCGAGACCGGCGGCTGAGACTCAGGCCAGGCTTCAAGCCCTAGGACAGGCCGCATCCAGTCAGGCTAATTCCACCGGACAGTCTGTGGCTGCTGTCCAGCAGGAGCTTGTCTACAACGGCTGGATGCTTGACTCTCGTGTTACAGCTGTCTATTATTGCCTAATCTGTTTATTCATCTATTTAATCGTGAGAATTCTTTGATCTGAGTTTAAATCATCAATCCGCTGACCTTTGCGCAGTCCCGTCTTCGGGCTATGAACCCAAAATTCATTCTGCTGCAGATCTTTGGAATCATTATCATCGATGTTACTCTAACTATTGGCCCGCTGCTTCCATCATTCAACGGTACCATTCCAAAGGTCTTGATTGAGCCTGCTGCGATTGGAATTGGGTTGGGTCTTGTCTCCCATTTCCTCTTCTTCCCTCGATCTACCTCCCATGTCGTGCTTGCTGGGATGGAGGATCTGGTGCGGCTACTTAAAGGGCCTCTGGACGTCACGGAAAAGAGTCTCCTGACAGGCGAAGACTTGGCCATGGCAGACCTACAAAAGATCAAAATGAAGAGCATTGCTGCTTACAAGGATCTCAAGCCGGCCCTCAGCTTTTTGCCATTGGACTTCTCCGTCGGTTGGTGGGGTGCCGAAGACGTCAAGACCATGAAGAAACCAATACGCCAGGCTTTGATAACCAGTCTTTCCCTTCTAGAAGTTCATATCGCCCGCGTTGGTGGATACTCGAAATTAAAAAAGTTGGACCAGATCATTGCGGATCGGGATTCCGACTCCGAGTCCCAATCTGATGGGAATGAGAAAAAACGTCCACACGAGGCTGGTATGCGCCAGCTGATGGAGAGTATCAATTTGGTACAAGCACTGCGAAGCCCGGAACATGAATCTATGCGATCTGAAACTGTTGAGGTACTGCGCGAATCCATCAAGGATATTCTCCCAGCGTGCCAGGAAGCTGTTGAGATCGTTGCGGAATCCCTTAACACAGTTAACAAGCGTTGGTTTGGTCGTCCTTCCCAGGAACGTCTCAATCAGCTGCACGAGCGCAGCCAGACTGCGCTGCAAAATCTTCAGGCTCTGCGCACATTGTTTGCAACGGAAACAACCGAACGGTTGATTGAAATCCATGCGGAGGTCTTCGATGAGGATGGCATGCTCAAGGGTCTTGATGAAACTTCATTGCCCAGAGTCAGGGGTATCACTATGGGAATGATCTTCGAAGAGCAGGTGCTTGGCGTCGTTGACGGATGGGAGCGGGTCCTGGGACAGCTTGTCGCTCTCCTGAAGGAACGCCAGAAGATCCGTCTGTGGCTACCCAAGGGCTTGCGATATGCAGTCAACTGGGTTCGTCGAAAAAACGCTGTGTCGCCTGTAACCGCGGCTCAGGATCCAGTCATCGACCCCGATGTCGCAGAAACGCAGTCCAAATCGGCACAGCATCATCTTCGCATCAGCAGAGGCTATCGTGCCAAACCAGGCAGCCGCATCTCGCGCGCTATCATCGGCACCTATCATTGGTTCATCAACCCAGAAGGTCTTTATGCACTGCGAATGGTGGTTGTCACCATTGCACTCTCTATCCCGGCTGCGATTCCTAGCAGTGCGGGTTTCTATTACCGCGAGAAAGGTCTCTGGGCTCTCATCATGGGACAAACTACACTAGTCATCTACATGGCCGACTTCACTTTCTCCTTTATTTGTCGAGCCATTGGTACCGTTTTTGGCGGTGTCCTTGGCTTAGTTGCATGGTATATCGGCTCAGGCAACGGGAAAGGTAACCCGTACGGTCTTGCTGCTGTCATGGCTGTTGTGCTCCCAATGCTCATGTGGGGACGTATCTTCGCCCCTCCTGCCATGCTTCAAGCTATGATAATGGCTGGTGCGACTTGCATTCTAGTTGTTGGTTACAGCTACGATGATACGTAAGTAAACTCTATCTTATTGCGGGGAAGAGCGCAACTAACATACTTCCCCAGGCACATCCCATCTTACGGTAACCCTGGCTGGGGATACAATGTTTTCTGGCGACGACTTGTGCTTGTTCTTATCGGCTCAGCAGCGGCACTGATCGTACAGCTATTCCCTCGCCCACCGTCTGCCTCGCGACACGTCTGCAAGTCCCTTTCAAATGTCATCCGCTCATTGTCGGATCACTACGCCCTTCTCCTATCCTGCTGGGGACAAGGGCGCGAAGAAGGTCTAGCCGCAGAGAAGCTAGCTCTAAACCTCGCAGAGACTCTCGCCGAATTGGACGGACCCATCGCGTTGCTGCGCTTTGAGTTTTCCGGCTCGCCATTCGACAGCGACCGTCTCGGCCAGGTGCAAGCGCTGTGCCAAGAACTCAACCAGAACATCGCTCGCCTACTTTATCTATCTGCTTCGTTGCCAGAACACCTGCAAACCCGTCTAGCCCGTCAAGCCGGTCTCCTTGACCACCGCAATATCGGCGATGTCATGGCTGTTCTAGGCGTGGTTGAACAATCACTCAAGACAGGTGACCCTCTACCCGAGGTGCTACCAACGCCACTGCTTAAGCGTTGCCATGATTTCTGGACAACGCGTCACGTGGAGATTATGCTAAGCAAGGATTTGATCCGCGACGAGAACTACCGTCGTTTCTGCGTGGCCGTCAGCGCATATCTCAAGTTCCTGGCGGCAGTGGATGATCTGGTGCTTGTTATGAAGGGCACATTGGGCGAGTCGCACATTGTCAGTCGTGATCTGTTGAGTGAACAGTATAAAGTGTAAGCATATATTGTAATAAGTGTGTTCTATTCGAGTATATAATTGTGAATATACCGATGTGTCATAAAAATTGGATCTCCTCACATCCCTCCGCACGGCCGGTTTTCTCCAATTTTTTTTCTTCCCCTCACTCCACAACTATTCTAGCGCCTTTCAATGGCATTCAATATTTTGTTTTCTTTCTTTTTGATCTCCTCTATAAACTACAATAATTTTAATCTTTAATCATGGCCCCTCCGCGCCTCGCCCGTCTTCCCCGGTGGATCAGCCACTGGCTTGGCTATCGTCCAGAAGCCGTAAAGCCACTCCCTAAATACCAAGTCGCTCTATGGTCCTTTATAACCTCATTCTGCGGCCTATCGGTGGTACAAGCAATTTTCAACTATTCCGACTACTTCAACGAGCGCAATGTACCAGGTATAATCGCATCCTATGTAAGTGGCAAAATACCCAAAATTGCTGAATGAATCGCATTCCCAAAAAAATCCACATTGACTCACACATCCAACAGGGTGCATCCGCCGTCCTCGTCTTCGGCGCAATCGAAAGCCCCCTCGCGCAACCACGCGCTCTAGTCTTCGGCCACTTCTTCAGCGCCCTGATCGGCATCTGCATTACCAAATTATTCAGCCTGATGCCTGACCAAGAGCGGTTTGAGTCCCTGCGCTGGCTGGCCGCTTCACTTTCAACCGCTATTGCTATTGTCGTTATGCAATTGACGGGTACGACTCATCCGCCTGCTGGAGCGACTGCTCTGCTCCCGGCTACTAGTGAGGAGATTTGGAAGCTTTCTTGGTACTTCTTGCCTGTAGTTCTGCTGTCTTCTGCTATGCTCTTGGTGTGTGCGCTGCTGTTCAATAATTTGCATCGGAGATATCCTGCTTTTTGGATCGAGCCTACTCCGCCCAAGCCTGCGCCTCCTGCTCCGGTGCCGGCGCCTGTTGATGTTTCTTCAGGAGAGGAGAAGTCAGTGAAGAGTCCTGTTTGATTTGGGGACTTGGGGAAGCAAGAGGTGTAGTTCGAAAGAGCCTGCATTACACTTTGGAAATAGTTGCACGGCATATGCCGCTATCCGTTTGGTGGGAGATGGTTTGGGATGCATGGAAAAACTTCGCTGCTCTACTAATATATTCGAGATTCTTGAGGAAATGAAAAAGTTCATCACGCTTTGGGGTTAATCATGGATGTATAGTGTTTCACACTGGTAATACTCAGAAGCAATATCTCGATATTAGCGATCTAGTGGTCCTCTAATTTTGCGCCATCATAAGCGGTTGTAGTAGGAAAGGTCGGCGTTGTATAAGATCGCAGGGGCAGGGTAAAGCTCGCAGGGTAAAAGCTCGCAGGTTTATAGGGTGAATTTAAGAATTTCAGAATTATACTGGTGTCTTCTTAACTAGACCAAGAAGTAGGAGGATACTATGTGTTATCCATACGATATTTACCAGTTTTTTTCTTCGCCCTATGACCTCACCCTGCGAGCTTTACCCTGCTACCCTGCGGCCCTATACAACGTCGACCTTTTCCAACACATCCCCAGGTCCCTTTATCATTAAAAGCCAGCACATTAGTGGAAAACTCCTGTCTAGGTCGTCATCCGTCTTTTAGGGCACATTATTTTGTTTTCTTCCTTACACTTTTCATCTTCTCTAATTTTCTATACTTTGAACATTATTCCAAGTAGCAATTTCATTTGATGTTTCCAAACTTTATTTTACATTCTGTATTTCCGAACCACCACCATTTACCATTTTCATTCGATGGATGTTTCCCAAGTTTGTCGTACATTCTGTATGCCCAAGCCACCACCAGTTACCAATTTCATTTGATGATTCCCAAGTGTGTCGTGAATTCCGTCTCCCCAATTCACCCCCAAGTTGACAATTTGATTCCCAAGAAGTTCCACCCAAGTATGAGCATTGTTCAAATATCCTTCAATATTCCCGTGCGATGTCCAAATAGAAATGTTCCCTGAAAAAAATCCAATCTCAGTGTTGTTGCTTTCGAGTTGGCATGACAAATTGTTCGTGAAAGATTGTCTAACCAAAAAGTTAGCCACAAGCTCGGGCACTGTAAAAACAAAGAATACTTACATTTACTCTTCCTCACTGGAGGAGCTTGAGGGGTCATCAGAGACCTCTTCCTCAACCAATGGCGGCAGAGGCGAAAATGGGAGAGGCTGCGAAGTCGGCAAATAGCATCCCAAGCATTGACGGCAGAGGCATTCCTGTTGCCGCAGATATGCACGACCCCAAAAGTTTCTTAGATATATCAACCGCCAATCGCCTTCGTCGTTTTCGGCTGGATTGCTCTCCCAGCGCCGCTGTTCGATCTCAACCAATCGTGCAGCACGGACAGATTTTGCGTCTTCATTGCTGAAGCCGCTCAGAGTAAGTCGTCCAACCAGGATAGCCAGCATACCAAACAATCTCTTAATCACTGGGTCCTCAATCATCAGAGTCTCCCTGTTGATGGTTACTTGGCCGGCGACCTCGTCAATGAGGTCCATAAGCTGCTGGCATTTGAACTCGAAGCAGCTACCCATGTGAAAGATTCCAGCGCGCACCAAAGTCCACATGGAAAGGGTGTTGATGAGCCGACGGAGGTCAGACTGTATGACGGGGACATATCTACCACCTGACCTGCCAAGAGACAAGTTCTCGAGATCCTTGGAGAACTCATCACGGGTTTCCTGGAAAGTCCGAAGGGTGGAGCTCTGGATGTCGGGCTGCATCTTGATGGAAGAAGGTGTTGTGATGAATGAAGTAAGTTATGTTGATGATGAGGATGATAATAGTAGTTGAATAAACGTGTAGTCAATCAAGACCCGGATAGATGGAGATGATAATGATGAATGAAGATGATGAACAAGAAATAGAAGAACCACGAGGAGCAAATCTTTTATACTCGAGCAATTGGGTCGACTGGTCCGAAGAAAGACGTACAATTATCGTATTTGTCTATCTAGTACAGATAACAATGGCTTTGTAGAAACAATGAGCCAAAGGGGCAAAGAAGCTTACAACCCGAGTCCTTCATTGAAAGCTCGGCGTATCGCTATTTGCCTCTACAAAGAACAAACAGAGACCGCGTATTCTAATGACATAGAAACAACACGAGGAATTGGCAATCATAACAAAACTATCGTCAATACTCAGCATATCATATAGAAATTGGGGAGTAATTGAGTTAGCTATCACTAACTTTATGTGATACTATACCTATAGAGAGACAGATTCACATATAAGCCTAAATAATAGATAATCCGTGATCTCTAATCCTTCCACCTCGATTTCTCTGTAATGGTCTGAGTATCGGCGACAGTTTTGTTATGATTGCCAATTCCTCTCATGGTTTCGATGATACTAGAATGTTTAGTCTCTGCTTGGTGTTTATGGAGGCAAATAATGAATGATCTGACTTGAAATTAAGGGCTTATGTTCTAAGGCTCTTTGTTCCTGTGGCTTATCATTTCTATAGATCTAATGTGTCTGTTATCCAATTGTTTGTCTATATGTTTGTCTCTATATAGGGTTTGTTTGCTAGAAGCTTGGCATGTGGTTTCATGTGGTTTCATGTGATTTCATGTGATTTGATCTCGGTAGCTAACCTGATTCCTCCCCGCTAGTTCCTATGCATACCTTATATCTTTATCCTTCTTTATACACCCCCACCTATGGAGATAGTTGTCAGATTTCATAGCGTAGAACCTAGCTTCTACAACTCTCTACTCAATCAAGCTACTCACATTCCACCATGCACTTCGACGTAGCCCTCTCCTGACAATAGTATACGCCCAAATATATCGTATTGAGCAATTGTCAAAGATGCAAGTATATAGAAATACCTATATAGGGTTGAATGGGATATACTATTAAATGACAGAAGAATGCAGGTCCTCTTGTTCATATCCGAACTCTATTTTCCACTTTTATATGGTCTCCACATCATGAATCCTTTCGGATATTCTGGCAGTCCTGGAGAATTTCTATAGTTAATAATCATTTTTCTATCTATAATACCGCGAAGAAAGACATTTGAACCGAACATCTAAGACAAACACCCGAAAAAAAGTACATCGGGGTGTTGTCTTGAACATTATGTCAGTTCTATCATCTTGAGGTAGATGAATCAGATTATTGAATCACCAAATTCTTAAGAACAAAGGCCGGATATTCTGTTGAAGTAATATTGTAGGCATTAAATCTCTAATCAGATGGTTGAACGGCTATAACACATAGAGCCTACGGGGATAAAGTTGCAAGAAACCCTGATAATACTACCTGTGATATGTTATACACGTCCTTTATAGTCCACACTAAATTGCAATGAGTAATGAGCTCGAGTTGGCGATTGTATATCGGTCCGACTCGAGCTCATTTTTGCTTTGGGGGCTGCGGTTTCGTTTCAGCGCGATGTCACCGCTTCTTTTTTTTTTTTTGTCAACGTGCAAGTTTCATCTAAGTATCATGACTCATGCACAGAGAATCATCAGAATATCCAGTAGCATAATAAACGCATATTCATTTCTATCAAGCAAAAGAAGGCTGGAGCTTCCCACAGGCACGGTCTGCCAACCTCTCTTTCATGAGCACCTCATAGACATGCGATGCCCATGCACAGCAAACCTTCCGCGTATCCTTTGGGTCGATGATCTCCTCAATTCCAAACGCATTCGCTGTCCGCACCGGATTCATCAGCCGTGAATACTCTTCTTCCAGCTCTTGATACCGTTCTTCCTTCTTTCCAACCTTCTCGGCCTCACGCAGCTCATGCCGATGCGCGACCTCGATTCCGCCGTCCAGCGGCAACGAACCCCACTGTCCAGATGGCCAAGCAACCTGCATAACCGGGTCACGACAACCGAACATAACCCCACCCGCCACGCCAAACACACGCCGTGTAACGACATTGAATACCGGCACCGTGGTACTGAAGTAAGCCTTGGCGAGCTCAACACCCCAGCGCATTGTCGCCGTGCGCTCAGCGACAGTTCCAATGGCATATCCCGCTTGACATGACATGTTAGCGTATTTTCAATGATCTAGGATGAAAGATGGAAGAAGATTACTCACGGACGTCCAAAAACTGCAGAATAGGCAGATTCATCACATCACACAATTTCAACAACCGCGTTAACTTCTGACTACCAGCGGCATCCAATGCACCTCCATTAACTTCACAGTTCAGCGAGATAATCCCAACCGGACGACCGCCCACACGTGCAAGTCCACCAATTGCAGTGCGCCCCCATAATGCTCCGATCTCAAACCAGGAGTCTTTGTCAACTACAGAGGTGATGATCGAACGCGCATTGTACATGCGTGCTTGTCGTCGAGGAATGATGCTCCGTAGTGCGATATCCTCGCGCTCCTCGGAATCAGTGCAGGGAATTGTTGGCGGTGCATCGCTCCCACTGTTTGGGAGGTAACTCAGAACTACCCGCAGCTGCTCGTAACATTCCGCCTCGTTAGCGGCGAGATTATCGATCGTGCCGTTCATACAATGAACCATAGGCCCACCCAAATCTTGGAAGTCGAGGCCTTCTTCAAATGTTGCGCCCTCAACAACCTTCGGCCCTGCATTAAACAGTGCTCCAATGTCAGCTGCCATCACGGAGAAGTGGCAGGATACCACCCTTGCAGCACCAAGTCCAATCTACACAACAGGTCAGTTCCGCTTGCATCAACCAATATCAGATAGTTCAATCAAGCATAATGAAGAAGCAAGATGAAAAGAAAACAGCAGAGAAAAACTTACCGCAGGCCCAACAACAGCCCCCAAATTTGGAATCCCCATATTCAACTGCTTGATAACATGCGGAAAAGAAGAAACATGAGGAAGATAGCTCCAGCCCTCTTTCCGAATCGTCGTAACACTCCCACCCCCAGAACTCCCATCAACAAGCTTAACAACCGGCAGCCGCAACGCAATAGCAAGTTTCTCAACATAAACTGTCTTACCTACACTCGCACCATCGGCATGTCCAGACCGGATGCTGAAATCATCAGCCGTGAGAAGGATCTTCCTGCCGCGAAGCAGTCCAGTGCCTTGGATGTTATTGCTTGGCACGAAGGAGACGGGCTTCTCGCGCATCGGCGCTGTCTTTTGCCATGTCACCGTGCCGGAAACGGATCCAATTTCTTGGAAGCTGTTCGGGTCTAGCAGTTGCTCGATGCGCTCGCGTACCCATAGCTTGCCTGCTTGCTTTTGGCGGACGTAGCCTCGGTTGGTGGGATCTGGCTTTGCGGCTATTTCCCGCAGCGTTGCTAGTTGGCCTAGTACATCTGAGTAGTCTGCCGGGAGACGATTTTCTGTAGACGTTGACTTTGACTTGGGCTTTTTTGGTTGGTCTCCTGGTGGTGATATATGGGATGTGACCTGGTTAAGACGATCGGTGGCTTGGTTATTGCCTGTTCTGGTTGGTGGGTCGCTGTCTTTTGTCATGGTGTATCAATTGAGATGGGTTGTTATATGTATAGTTTACAGTGCGGCATTGGAGATTGTTGAAGGCTTTGGTCTACTGAGGGGGGTGTCGGCTATGTCCGAGCCGAGGTCAGTCACGTCGAAAGCTATAATATCTTGTCGAATGGAACATTGAATTATCCTATGATGAAATATCTTTTGAGGTATTTTAATTGATCTCTATTGAGAAGATATCACACCTGATTTCATTCATCTACTGTGTTTTGACATTTGCATCCAATTATCCCCATTTTCCCCCTTTTCCCTTCAATGTCATCCCCGCACTCACGGCCGATTAAGCGACTGTTGGTCGCCAACAGGTAAGAGCTCCTATAAATAATATACTAACAAGCTCTAATATGTAATAGAGGAGAGATTGCCGTTCGTATTCTCCATGCAGCACGAGAGTTACCAAATCCAGTGGAGACATTCACGCTCTACACATCGGATGACCGATCGCACTGCGATCTAGGACGACCACAACATGTAATTGAAATTCCATCAGCATCATCATATCTCGACATTTCACTCCTGGTAGACCTAGCTCAAAAACACTCTATTGACGCCGTGCATCCCGGGTATGGATTCCTCAGTGAGAGTGCTGAATTCGCATATCGCATGTGGCACGAAGCCGGGTCTATCGTCATAGGGCCTGGATGGGAAAACCTTGCCCGAACGGGCGATAAGCTGCAAGCGAAACAGCTAGCGAAACAATGTGGCGTCCCTGTATTAGAAGCCATGAGTCAACCTACGAGCAACGTGGACGAAGCATGTGCGTTTGCAACGCAGGTTGGTTTCCCGGTTATGATCAAGGCTGTTGATGGCGGTGGTGGCCGTGGGATTCGTCTCGTTCGTGAGGAACATGAACTGGATAATAGTATTCAGAGGGCGATTGGCGAGTCGCCTTCCCGGACTGTCTTTGTTGAGAAAGCTGCAGTGGATGGGTTTCATCATGTTGAGATCCAAATCATTGGCGATGGGACAGGTCAGGTACGACATCTATGGGAAAGAGATTGCAGTGCTCAGCGGCGGTTTCAGAAGGTGGTTGAATGCGCCCCAGCCTTGATGCAGGATAGAGAGTTGGTCGGTCGAGTGATTGAGTCTGCACTCAGGATGGCAAGTGAAATCTGCTATCGATCATTGGGAACGTTCGAGTTTCTGGTCAGTGAGCAGCGCGGAGAATTCTACTTCTTGGAGGTGAACCCGCGTCTGCAAGTTGAGCACACTATTACGGAATCTATCAGTGGGATAGATCTGGTGCAGACACAGCTTCTTCTCGCCCAGGGATACACTTTGCATGGGCTGGGTCTCGGTGCTGAGGTCGACGCAAGTCATCCTCCGCCAAATGCCTTTTCAATCCAACTTCGACTGTGTGCCGAAGACCCGAGCAACGGGTTTTCTCTGAGTATTGGGAAAGTTACCGGGTTTACTGTGCCAAGTGGACATGGAATCCGGGTAGATACTCATATCAATCTCTCTGGCCCCGCACTAGTTGTGGGATCCAACTTCGACAATCTGTTGGCCAAGATAATCGTGACTGCGCCCACCTGGAAAGCATGCGCTAGAAAAGCCCAGCGGGTCTTGGCTGATTCTAGGATCGACGGCATGAAAACTAATATCAGCCTTCTACGAGGAATTGTAGCTCATCCTGATTTCATGGCCGGCAAAGTCGACACCCAATGGCTTGGGCTCAATCTTGACGCAGTACTCCAGCAAGGAGAGAAGATATCGAAGATACTTCAGCGGCTAGATGGCCCAGCCGGGTCTTCACAGCAATTTATCACCCAAAGTGGACTGCCGGCATCTAATCTTTTGTTGCGAAAAGGGGACGCATGGTCAATCACGTTAGAACCTCTGGTGAAAGGTTCCCAACAGTCAGACAAGATTGCCCACCATCTGCGTCTATCCCGAGTGCTACGTAATGAGTTCCCTACTTCACTCGCTGCCGAAATTGAATATACGACTCCAACCTCGCAGGGCGCAATCCCCTATCGGATGCAACTCGAAACAACTACGACTGCTGCATCGGCATTGGTGTCCTCGTCTCATCGGCGAGGTGATCCAAAGAATCCTCACCACATCATCCTCCCTCTTTCAGGCAAATTGATTGAGATACTGGTATCGGATGGAGGGGATGTTGTTGAAAATCAAGTCCTCGCTTTCGTCAAACAGATGAAAATGGAGCTCGAAGTACGAAGCCCTCGAAGTGGTCGGGTGAAATGGGTTCATGAGATGGAAGATGACGAGGAGGATGTTGCCGAGGGCATGCTTTTGGTCGAATTAGAGCCAAACAATGGCAGAGTGGAAGTTCGGGGCAAGTTATGATCCTGCATATAGACCAACAAGCTTGAAGTATAGATGGATGGCATTGACTCCCTGTACATATCAAATTCGCGAGTCCCTGATATCACCAGCGAATCAGCTTGCAGATCCACCTGGTTTCTCAGCATCATTGGTCTAGTGGTAGAATTCGTCGTTGCCATCGACGAGGCCCGTGTTCGATTCACGGATGATGCACAACAATTTATTTTTATTTTTTTGCTTATTAGCTCTAGAACCACTTAAGAACTCCAATTGTAGTCAACAGTATCAGCTGTTTTCACGTACCTGTATGTGATGGTCAATCATTCAGAATAAAATGCAAACTCGAGTTTATGCGTATTTTCGTGTTTATTTTTTGAGGCAGGTGGTCATAACAAGCGGTCACCTCTACATGTGACGTCACCGTCTCAGCTTCCCCATCCTTTATTCTTCTCTCTATCCCCTCTGGCTTGACTCCAGAGTTGTTTTTTCAGTATGGATGCCCTCGGTGTCTATGTGCTGACCTTTAACTGTGCAAAAAATCTTGTCGATGTTGACGCGTTCGCGGACCACTTCTTCGATGCACTCCCCGCGTCTGGTGCGGGGAGCTCCGCACCCGACCTAATTTTCCTCTCGCTACAAGAGATCGCACCCATTGCCTACTCGTTCCTCGGAGGATCCTACCTTTCACCTTACTTTGATGGATTCCACCGTGCTGTCCAGAAAGCCTCGGAAAAAAAATGGGATCAACACTACGTGAATTTCCTCACCGACAACACGGGAATGACAGGCCTGATGCTTTTCGCGCGCGATGACACCCTCGGCAAAATCGCCTGGATCGACACAGCCCACGTCGGCGTTGGAATTCAGGAAATGGGAAACAAGGGCGCTGTCGGTGCACGTCTAGGATACGTTGTTCAAGGACACCCATCCAAGACCGTGGATCTCACTTTCGTCGCGGCCCATCTCGCCGCTATGGAGGATTCGTACCAGCAACGGAACATGGACTGGAAGAGCATTGTTGAGCGCCTTGTATTCACGCACAACAGCAAGAGACCAGCTGAGAGATCGAGTGTGAATGAAAACACTAGTCTTCTCGACTCCGCTGCATCGGCGCACGCGGAGGGCAGTCGCAGAGATCTCTTCGCGCCAAACGCCTACCTATTCCTCGCCGGAGACCTCAACTACCGCACTTCGAACATCGGACCATCCATTAAGGAGATTGAACAATTCCCCCGCCGCAATGTCGCCCCCCATCACCCGTCGCACTATTCCCACCTTCTGAAGAACGACCAGCTCGTGCGCGAGATGAGCTACGGCCGGACCTTCCACGGGCTGTCCGAGGCTCCGATCGACTTCCCTCCCACTTACAAATACTCGAATGCTGCGCGCGAAGCTGTCCGCCAAGGCTCGGACACCGATGATCATGAATGGAAATGGTCGAATCACCGTTGGCCCAGCTGGTGCGATCGAGTCCTTTACATCGATACACCCTCGTGGGTTGGTGAAGCTGGAAATGTCAAGCCGATTGCTTACGACGCACTGCCTCTCTTTGCGCAGTCTGATCATCGTCCCGTTGCGCTCGTTGCTTCGGTACCGCTGCGATCCTCTGATGCATCAAACACCGAGAACACAGGTCTGGGTCCCCGAGCTGTGGCTCCATTCTCTATCGATCCGAATTGGAAGTCCAAGCGGGACATGGCGCGACGAAAGGAGATTGTTGTGGGTGCAGTTGCGCATCTGGGACTGACCAGGGAAGGAAATGGACTGCTGCTCGCGTCGCTGCTAGGTATTATCGGAGCGTATTTCATTCTTCGATCTATGCTGGAGATTTGAGTGAGGGGTTGACGGCGTGATGAACAGTGCTCGGGGAAACTTTGTTTTCCTTGCTTTTTCTTATCTCTTGCCCTGTTCTGTTGTCACTTAGGTGTTTTCGGAAGAAATATCATGCAATGCTACCAGTTGCCAGAACCGGCCACTGGATGAAAAAGCCTAGCTATCTTCCTTTTACTATGCATAGTCTCCAAGCTTCCCAAGCTTTGTAAAATCGGGTTGCATCGTCGGCGGTCTCAATCGAATGTCCTGTGACACTGTAGTAGGGAATCCCCCGCATTTGTCTTCAAATGGGTGCCATCAGATAACTCGGTCCGGCTGTAGTCCCAATTATGTATCCGACATGCGGGTAGATGATCTTCCTAGCAACAACCTAAATTAGGCAACACTCTTGGCCAAGTCACATGAACCGAGCCGATCCGAAACGGTCTGGTTGCATTCTGCAGGTGAGAAAAGATGGCGCTGAGGGCTGAGGGGAGCGCCGTGGCTTTTTTCTTAGATGAGGTCATATTTTCTGGTTTTTTTCCCTTCCGATTATCGCTCGTTTTCTGGCTTCGGAGAGGGGTTCCCATGACTTTGACTGGACTGAGACTGTAGTCTGCAGGAACTATGAATATAGGTATCTCTCGGATATTTCTGTCACTGCTGTCACTGCTGTCACTGCTGTCACTGCTGCGACTGTTGTCACTGTAAGGTATCAACTCTTCATATAGGAACGACCGGCAATTCCTCTCCACTTTGTGGTCACACAAAATCTTTTTTTTTTTTTTTTTCTCTGGCTGTGATGGTCCAGATGCTGAGATAGAACTTCGATTGTCTTCTAGACGCCAAATATTGCTGTTCCTGAAGTGTGGTCCACTATTCATTCACGGACTGCGACATCCGGCTGCGGCTGTCCTGGAAATACAAATATCAGTTATTATGCTGTTCTTCCAGTTCCCACAATATACTAGTACATCCAACTTATTAAATTAGTATGATTCCAAGGTTGTAACACCAACCATTAACAAACGTGCGATAACGCATGGAACAGGCCACATGAACTGGTCAAGTGACTAGCAGAGAGCTTAATCTCCTCTCCAAACAAAGTTGTAAAAAAAAACAAGACTACTAGTAGGCTTCACCGTGTGTACGACCTTACGAAAACGTTGCCAAGGGATGTTGAAGATGAGGTTTCATGAGAGGCGGTGTATGGTCTAAACGTGTTGCTATAGAAGATCTAGACACGGAAGTCTGGAATGCACAACACTGGCTATGACAGCCCTGCATTTTTAGAATATTGGAAATCTCATATTATTTTCTGATTTAGGAAATGTTTCTAGTTTAGCTGAAAAAAAAAAGAAGGAAGAAAAAAAAAGGTCCGGGCTCCACAGCCTCCACAGGGATCAAAGGGAGAAACCATACAAAATGTAGGGCCAAGTCAAAGAGTGATTGAATTGGATTGTTTCTACCTATTTAGGGAAGTTTCAAGGACAGAAATATTAGATTATCATTGGTTTATAGGGATATATGAGATAACGATCATCTAATAATTAATACAGAATAGAGAGAATAGGGGGCTATACAATCAAAAAACAGACAAAAAGCAAAATATGTCATTGACAGGGCTGATCAGGAGAAAGTGGACAGAAGGATCAGAATGTTCCATGCAAACTTGCAAACAGGCCTGAATGGGAAAATCGAGGAATCCCCTGAGTTCGGTGGAGATTTTTCCAGAACTACTCCATAGGCCCGAGGGCCTTCAATTTGAAACATTTGAACCCTACTTCCGTCAGGAATACTCAAAAGAGTAATCAAAAAGCAAAGTAAAAACATAACCCACAATATGTATACATATATAAATCTACCTACATGCTCCATACATATATAATAGTATACTTTCATAGTATTCACGGGAAGTATTACGCCGTACTAAATCTGAAGCTTAACGGTCTGATTTGCATTAGGCTGTTGTTTCGAAATATGCCCTTGTCAGCAGCTCCACCTGTCCCTGCAATATACATATGAGACTGCGAGTCATCCCGCGATCCTGACGATGCATCGTACCGTCTTGTCTTTTGGATGTAGAGCGGATCCTTCATTGGCCTTCATGCACCGAAGACCAGCATTTAAGCCGATCAACCCGCATCTTCGGGACAAGGGATCAGGATCGACCGATCTCTGCAGTATTAGACTCTACAACAACATAAATATGTAAATATATAAGTGGCATATACTTGTTAAATCTTCTATAACAAAACTATTAAAGAACTTTGGTAGGGGAGAGAAAAGAAGCCGGAAAGCACCGGCAAGTCAATACTACCCAAGGGAAAAAGACAAAAAAGGGAGATTCAGATGGTACCAGGTTAGAGAGAGATTAAAGAAAATAAATAGAATATATATATATATATATAATATATACAATAAAATGGTAATATAAAACATTTAAAAAAAACCACAGACATAATAAAAAAATATAAAACATAATGGAAAAAAAAATAATAAAAAACACCCAAAAAACACCAAAAAACCAGCAAAAACCAACCCCAGCAAACGGCCTAATAATGGAACCCTAAAAATTCTAATCCTCCTATTTTCACTTGGAATTTGTATTTGTTGGAGTGTTTTACATGTCTAAGCCATCTTTTTGAGCCTCTAATATAAACCCCCGTCATCTTCTCCCTGGATCCTCTCTTTCTTCAAATCCGGTCTCTAACCTTGTGGCTGAATTTCTATTTCTCTCTGAACCTCCGACGTCATTGTGTTGTACTACACATTCTAGGCCTTGAATCCTTATTCTCCGTTACATTTAAGCTTGAAAACTGTCTAGTCTACTTTTTCTTCTTCTTTTCTTCTCTCAAGACTCTTTTGAGACCCTCCAACTCCCTTTATCCTTGATCTAAACCCGGTCAATATCAATCATGTATTCTTGCGCAAACTATCCCCGTGGATGCCGAGGTCGTGTGAACAGACAAGGAGCGAAATGTTCTGACTGCGTTGTATGTGATTCCTAAAACTATATCTTTGAAATATGTCTATGCAAAGAAAATGGTTCAAAGAATAGAACGAAAAAAAAAAAAAGCTAACCCGTTTACAGTCTCTAAACTTGCGCCGTCCAGCTTTCGCTTCACCATTCGCTCAACCACGCGAATACAAGCGAGGACTGCCCTCAGAACTCTTTGGCGATATTTCATCCAAGGCGCCCGAGTTTGAGCTTCAGTGAATGCAAAGTACCCTTTCCCGGGACGGTCCGGAGAATAACCCAGCTCCTCGTTAGGTTGCATCCTGCCGGCTGGGATTCACCTCGCATGATCTACGGCCGCATCCTTTGTTCTTAATTGCCTCTCTCTCTCTTTCTCTCTCTCTCCACATCTCTCATATGCATCGCCGGGAGTTTCTTTGTTATATTCGGCGGCCACCTACTATTGGCTTTGATTGCCTGATTTCCTGGTTTTCCGATCTCACCACACCTCTTTGATCTCGGAATTCACCCTCTCTACATTGGCCGGGCTAATGAGCGAACTTCCACGAATCTCTTTTGGGAACTGGGAAACTTGGCATGGACTTCGCGAACATTTCCTTTTTCGCCCGCTTGGGTTTGTTTCGACAAAGAACAGCCCGCTTTGTTGTTTTGCATGGATAGATCGCATTTTTTTTTTTTTTGCATGGATACCTATGGACATGGTTCTGCCACTGGAGGGCAGTGGCGCTGATGGATTGGGTTCTTTCAACTTTCCAGTTGATCCTTCTTTTCCTTGCGCATACGTGTGCTTTTGATATTCTTTTTTTTGGTTTTTTTTTGGTTTTTATGCCCTATTTTCATGTTCTCTTTAACTGATGTTGACTCTTCTCTTTGTGAACGGTGATGCCATACCCCTCTGTTTTACTTGCGTTATCATATGACCATTCTCCCTAGTGCTATATACCTATTTACAGTATTCATACTGTTATGTCTTGATCTTGATACCGTCTTGTCTATCCTTGAACTATGTAGAACTAAATCCAGAACACTCAGCCCTGTAAGATTCTTGATCTATTCTTAAACCTGATATGTATCCTTTACTGCCCAAGCCTTGCAGTAACGCGTCTGGGTCTATAGACCCTCAGCCCCCCCGCGGGGCTGTGAAGTTCCGGCCCCCAACACACCCCTCTCTCCCTAACCCGTAGGACGTGGGACCCGGCCCCCGGCTACTCCTCTTAACATTTTTTCAGCCGCAGTAACTCCCCTCACATTGAAACAGATATCCGAGCCCTGACCAAGAAAAATCAAGAAAAGAAAATACCCCAAGGTTAGAAATACGCGCATGCACACACCCCTCCATATCTCAGCTCAGTCAACACACCGACACAATGACAACACACACCGACAACACACTCGCACGGGTGTCTTCGTCCTTGATCCTTCACCAGCCCCCAGCCCACCCATCCCACTGTGTGCCCAACTTCCTGCGTCATACCGAGACAACACCTTGTAGCTAGATGCCCGTCAAGCTCTAGGCCTCATTGACCGGATCCTATAGATCTGCGCCTTACGATAGCTGCACGGGTGGCATGCTCATCTCACCTTGTGAGTGGCCTCGACAACGTTACACGCGGACTAGGCAATAATGGCATAATGGCATTTGTGCGAGGCTTAGTACGACATGCGGCGTCGATCGTTCGGGTTTTGTTGATAGCTCACGCCTACGCAGGGGTTATCCCTGTCTTTGTGGGCGCACACACGCATAAAATGCACAAGCTCTTGCGGGTGATATTGGATTAACGCCGTTAGGCCTTCCAAGGTATGATTACTTCCCGGAGCATTGGCTTTTTTTTGGTTTTTGCAGGTTGTGAAAGTCATGTGGTCACTACATGTGGTTTTTCGGGGGAATCTAGGAGCGGCTGGGCCTAGCTTTTTTTTCGGAGAATTATTGGCTCCGAGGGAATGGATTCGTTCAATATGGAGTATGTATACGATGTGTGCGACGTATACGAAGTAGTACCGCTTTTTTTTTTACTCCTGGGGACGTGGATAGGGCATGTTGCACTGGTGGACTACTATCCGAGGAATGGGGGGAAAGGGGGAGAATATAGGAGAATAATACGGAGTAAAGAGAGAGAACTATGTCGATCGCTTGTCTCAGAGATAGATAGTTCCCACTCTTGTGTGTTTTGGCCTCATCTGAAACTATATTGATATTATTGTAAGCTAGACATCCATTCAAGTCCTCGGCTCGGGCCAACCCACAAGCAAAATGAACTCCAGGGGATCTAAGTGTGGCGGAAAAAACATACCCAGAAAGAAAGGTAGCAAAGATAACAAAAAGATAAAAGAAAAAAAATAGAACAAAACCCACATTCCATAGTTGTCGGATAATCTCAGGATAATCTAAAACAAAGCCCAGTGGGATAAGCTAACTAAGGAGCCTAGTGTTAAATCCGCTTCTAGCCGCTTCTACCGGCCTTCTATGCACTTTCTCTTTTTGTTCTATGGCGTTTAAATTTCAAGCCCCTTTTCGTCTGTTTTTGTCTGTTTTTCTCGGTATTTGGGGTAATTTTGCTACGCTCAGCCACATATGCTCCGTAGCGGATCGTTGTTTCAGGAACTGTGGGGAATTAGACACGGTCTATCTCCACGGGATGTCTACTTTCGAGAACTAGCTCGTTTGGAATTTCCGCGATCTGTTCGGTGATCACTGTGGGAAGGGTAATCGGTGTGGCGTTGAGATTCCCGTTGACACATGGGTAAATCATCCGAGTGCTATTGAAAGCATTTGTGTAGTATTCATGAATGCCTATTTACCCGAATCAAGGTCTTGAAGGATTATTTCGGGCATATTGAAAGATCTGATTGATTGGGCTCACATCCCTAAACTTAGGTACCTATAGGGTGGAAATTCTAAAAGATTGCTTTCTTAATTACTCCGTAGATTAAATAGTATATTAACTCGTCTCGCATATCCCGGAACAAGGGCAACATGTTATGCAGGAGCTGCAAGCAAGCCAATCCTCGTGAAGATCAGTAATATAGATTGTTAAAAAAAAAAATTCAGGGATAGAATCCAAGCCAAAGACGTGTGTGAGGTTGTCTATATCCAACAATTCAAGCAAAGTGGATATCGTGCGTTGTCACACGTGCCCAAATACGAACCTTTATATCCACCATGCCCTATAAGCGTTCGAAGACCCCTGTTCTAAACCTCTAATCCGATACAGAGGTGTCAAATCGTCATGGATATATACCCGATCGGATTTACAATATACACTTTCTCGGCTATAGTTTCCAACTGGTTATTAGGTCCGGTCTGGAACGCGCCGTCGGGTTCTGGTAAGCGCGGCAACTTTGGCCCTCTGGCCCCCTTGAAGAGCCGCTTTGGGGCGTAGATCCTTTAATCTCGGATTCTAGGGCCTTACGCGGACACCGGCACTTGGCGGAGAAAATTTGCAATTCTTTTTCGACAGCGCAAGAATTGCCGTCTTGGGGTTGGGTATGAGTTAGGCATTTAATATCTTGGCCTTTATTGGTGGATCTTTGTTTAGAGCTTGAGGTGGAGGTTATACATAGCCTATAGTTAGAAAGAAGCTCAAAATTCGATACTGCATCGTAGATGTTTCTCTAGTTGCAACCATCTACACACCCAACATCTGCTGGCACACCCATTGTGCGGTTTTTGTGTGGAGTGTCCAATCTCGTTGGTCTTCCACAGTTCCAGTTTCGGTGGCTTCGGTGTCATGCACATCTGCACGACAGGCCTTTCCAAGTGCCTCGAAAACAAAAACCTGATCTCTCATATATTCATCTAGACAAGCTCTCTTGGCGTTGGAGACAGGTTTCTGGTCTGGCTGGGCATTTGGACTCTCGTTTGAGATTTCCCTGATGAATCCTTCCACACATCGGCGGACTAGGTCGGCAGCCGCAGAGAATGCTGTCTCGTTTTGAGATTCTCGTCGAGGGTCACGGGCTGGCTGATGTTTTTGTTTCCCTTTATTCTTTGGCTTAGATAGGCGATCGCCTCCCATGCTGCCGAGAATATCATGGCCTATTCTGAATCCTGAAGAGGTATGGGCCACAAGAAGGATGTATACGTGGCTGCGGTGATTTGTAGCTTCTGATGTATGGATCTTGATAGGAACTGGCGTGTGTTTGGATGATGATTTGCTGAGAGGGTCCTCTTTGGGTGGAGGTGAAGTAGAGCTTTTAGCAAATATAGATTGATCTAGCTTCCTCGTTTCACGGCGGAGAGTGCGTTGAGTGAGTTGTTCAATAAACTGCCGAACAGTACTCCCCGTGCCCTCTTCTGTGTCGGTATTTAGGGTGGGTTGATCAGGTGCTAACACTGTGATATCAATTCGCGTCACTTTCCCCGGTTCGTGATCCATCAAATTAATTCGCGGGAAGCTGCATTGAGGCTCGGCTGCCTGATCGTTTTTTGATGACCCCTTGGGCTGATTTTTGTCATCTTGATTATACCGAGATCCGAGTGTATGTATGAAAAAAGTGACTGCTCCAAGGTCAACCGGCCCCGTTGTCCAGCCGCGCTTATGAAGGGTAATAGGCAAGGGGGGGAGGCCAAGTTTGGCGAAATTGGGCACGAGAACTTGCACTGCATAGTCGTATGACGGAGAATGAGTACCGTTGGTCCCACCGGTTATATTCACTTTCACAAATGGGGCAGTCGCCTGCGATCCAACATAAAGCAAATAGGGGTAGAGGGCCTGGAAGACGAGAAAGATGGCACCGGCAGTCGCGAGCTTGATGTCGTATTCGGACTTCACCGTCACTTGCGACAAATCAAGCAGCGGACCGCTTTCCGATCTAGTAGACTGTGGAAAAAAGTTCAAGAACTGGGAGCCAATCTCGACTCCGGATACTTTGCTGCCGCTGATCTCGGCTAACAGCTTCACGGCTGCAGCATGAGACCTCTTAAGCCCCTTTTTTCCCTCTCTGTTCCCGCGAACATGATCAATGCTGACTGGACGACCAGTCAATGCAGATAACCCGATGGCGATTCGAACCAGCTGTCCGCCTCCTTCCAGGGTTCGGCCGTTCAAATAGACATGGTTTAAATTAGATGAAGTAGATTGTGACGCTGCCATTTCAGGCAACCTAAGTTATTTTTGACACTGGTCTTAAAATCTCTCGAAAATTGCGAAAAGCAATTAATATATTCATTTTGACCAGTCTCACCTTTGGTACTGAGTCAGATCCTGAGGCTGCAGCTGCGCCATCTTGGCGTGAGTCACCGTTACGGGGATCTCAGCCCCAAACGTTATTAGCGCTTAGCGAAGACTTAAATATGGGAAATCGAGGCTCATCCGAGGAATGGAATGCATCAAATGAATTAGAATGAAGTGAATGAAATAAATGTGTGAGGCTAGGAAGCTGCCATGAAGTTATTTTGCACCTTCCGTAATTAGTGACAGAGTAGGTACTACACTTCCTTCCATGAGTCCATCTTTTGAATCTTCGCTCTTCAAATCCTCAAATCCTCAAATTGCTTCTTCTTTCAATAACTTCTGTAGTTATATACTCTGCAGACTTTTTGTAGCATGTTTTCCTCTACATCCAATACACGCAGCCTAAGAAGGTCTATGTCCGCCCGCACAATACGAAAGCCGCGACGACCAGCCCCGGAGATCACCGATGCTGCCATGCAGCATGCAGCTGCTGCAGCTGCAGCTTCCCGAGCAATGCGCTCGAGTCAAAGCTCATCCCAAGAGTCGAAAACCCCGTACGAACGACTAGGTGGTCCAGGAAATGTTGCCATTCCCCGAAGGCGTCCGGGATCGAGCCTTCGAAGCACGGATGATAGCACATCGGCCAGCCAAGGCGACCTACCTAAAGTTTCAAACGCTCGTCGGTCAAAGGAACTGACCGGCGCATCGGCCCGGGCCCATTGCTTCGATGACCCTGCTGCTCTTCCGCCAATCACAGAACTCCAAGGACTTGATGGACGAGACAGCTCAGTGCCATCTTCATATCGCCGATTGCGCAAGGCCAAGTCAATGTTCTCGACCAGACAGCGAACCTCACAGGCTCCATATGGAGTACCTGCCCTTCCTTGCGGTGATCCCCTTGATCCCGAGCGCAGTCCTGGATTTCAGATGCCACGAACAATGAGGCGATCCATGTCTTTTCTTCGAGGAAGTTATCAATCCCACCAAGTTGATTCAACTCCAACAAGTCGCGAAGCAGCTATTCAGCTTGCCCGTAGCCAATTTGCCCATGATTCCGACGGTAGAGGTGTTCAGACTCGCCGGTCATCTTTCTTGCTCAGACGCAGGAAGGAGCACAGGCCGTTTCGAAAATCATTCCGAACCACGAGCGAAGGTGGCTTTGCCGACAGGCGTACCGGGTATTCTTACAAATCTCGGTCTTTTTCAACTTCCATCAAAAATAAATTCAGACGTGTGTTCGGGTTTTCCAAGGTCGGGGATCAACAAACTGTACCACATGGTAACCCAAATAGCGCTATGGAGCCTACGGTAACTCCGATTGAGAAAATCACGGAAGGATCCTCTCCTCACAAATTTACAGCTACTGAAGATGGCAACGATGGCAACGATTCCAACTATTTCCAGTCAATGCCCCATTCTCCCGGCCGCGATAGTCTCTGCACTTCCAAGTCACGCGTCACCAGTTGGGCTGATTCAACTACCCCAAACACAGTTACAACCCGGAAGCCAGGACATCGCCAATCTCTCTTTGATTAGAGAGGATGGGAATCTGAATCAGCAAATACCACGGACGCCTACAATGGATGATATCGAAAATCAATCCCCTTTGGGCATGCGAGCAAACAATCATCGAATTAGCATTGTTGACAGCCAAGATCTGTACACTGCGTTGATGAAACAGATGGGCCAACATTCTTTGTCTGATCCCAACGAGGAAATGGTCTTCGGCAATGTATCGCAGCATCGTGTGATACCAGAACGGACTAATTCGGTCTACTCCCAACATGGCAAACGCACTATCCGTCATGTCCCAAGCCGGGAATCCTCGGCCTCACCTGGTTCATTCGCAACAGCACGTGGTGGTGATCAATCAAGTCCACGGAAGTATCCGCGCTCGGCTAGGTCAATGCAAGTTTCTCGGGGCATATCGTCTCAGGTGACAAACCAACATACGACTACTGTTTCAGATAAAAAGTCGCCGCCATCAACACACGCTTTGGGCGAGGAATCGGATGATGATAGTGGTAGTGTTATTGTTTCTCGCCTTCGGGCCTCGAAAAGGGATATTGTTTCCCCAAGTATCTATTCCCGGACCACCAGTGGCAACACCCCAACCAGAACTGACAATGCCGACATGGGCGTCCATGATGAGCCAGGAACAGCGACTATCTTTACTCCACAGCGGACAACATACAGCTCACCCAAGCGCGCTAATCGGGTTTCATCTCCCACGACTCAGGTGAATCCCAGTGCAGACTGGCAGCAATGGATGAGTTCACAGATCGAAAGAATTGAACAGGCAAGCCCCGCAAGGGAACACATCAGAGAATATGCACAATACCAGGACGATGATGAGTACTTGACCGGCATAGCTCGACAGGCTCCTGTCGCTATCTCGGCTCCTGCTTCAGCAGCTCTGCTAAATATTCCAGACAGCCAAAGTATCACCGATCGCAAAGCTTCGGTTGAGAACAAAGTCCCATCACAGAGCAATTTCTCCCGTCCGTTAATACAGGCTTCCGGCATGCGAACCATCCTGCCATTGCAGACAAACCAGTCAGAAAATATGGTACAGACCCGCGCTAACTCATTGGCCATGGATACCGCTGTTGATTCTGGTGAAAATCCTTCACTCAAGCCCATCCCCATTGCTTACAATCAAGAACCCTCACCAATTCGACTAAGATCTGGAAACATGCAGCCGCCAGAGTCCCCAACCCCCAAGAGAGTTGGAGCAAAACGGTCCTGGACCAAAGAGCAGCAGCGACGCTATTCAGCTAGGCGTGCTCCAATCTCCCAAGATAATAGGATTAATTATTTCCGGTCCATGCGCACCCAACGGGACAACTGTGCAAACAATGAGAACGCAAGGGAGCAGGCTCAGTACAATGACATTATGGAGAGTTACCACCAACTTGAGGACATTCATTCCACGATCTCTAGCAAGCGCATGGTGGATCTGTTCTTGGACAGTCGCCGTCGACAAATGGGTGAAGTCACTGACAATGATACAACCACAGAGGCTTTTCTTTGAACGCGAGGGACTGACTCTTTTTGCTACTGGAATACCTCGGAGATTGTTTCATTTTTGCTGCGTCATATTCTTTCGAAGATCCCGGCCACTCATTCACTCATTTCTTGGGCGTCATTCTGGGACATGTATTGTATACTAAAGCTCCGGGTCGGAGTTGGGCGGTTTGTTTACTTGATATGGAAGTATGAAAGCAGCTATTGTTATGTTTTATTATTTTCGCCTAATAAAAAAATCTTCTCTATTCATTCGGCATTCATCTGTTTGAACAAATAAAATGGTGATAGTAGTAAAAAAAATCAAGAGCAAAAAAGAATTCTCTCCCTCGGGGAATCGAACCCCGGTCTCCCGCGCTTCTCGGTATTAATGACAAGCGGAAATCATCACCACTAGACCAAGGAAGAAGGTGATCGAGTTACTGCTCGACCATTGGAATGGTTAATGGAAGAACCCGTCAATCTAGATATTATGAACATACCTTGAAAGCTATTCACATTGTAGTCGAGCAAAATAGTTGTGGATGTTTCAACAATTTAATCAAACAACTGTTGAAGGCAATATTTATTTTCTAGTCTAATATATCATAGATGAGGCTTTAATGTATTTACGGGTGGAGGAACATCCTGTATTGTTGAAAAAAAAAAAAAAAACACTTGAAGCTCGATATATATCCGTTGACCATGGTGGCTACAACCATATATGCCAACTAAAAATTGCTTTGTTGGAATAACTCTTTCGAAACTATTACATACAATTGTAAAGATTTTTGCCTTCTGTCACTCAACTTAAATGAAACTGCGAGAGAGTCCTCGTAAAGAGGCAAATAAACTGCAATAAGTTGAATTGCTGTAGATACCTTTGTTCGTGGAATAGTCTGCTCAGCCACTGATATCCACGCGTGGTATTAGGTGGATCACTGCGTGCAAGGAAATGTTCCTTGTCCAGTTGGTGGGCCCATGTAGGTATTTCCCGTGTGGGCATTCGCCGTGTAGGTATTCTCCAAGTAGGTAATTGCCATGTAGGTATACCCCTTGTAGGTATTGTCCACATATAAGAGAAGAGAAATGGCACTGTTTTTGCGTAAGCTCATAAGTTGCGGGACATAACACATTTATCCAAAAATGGATATTTTCCTAGATATCCTGGATACATTGATCCTCGATCGGTGCTATGCAGTTCTCTCACCAGACCCAACAGCTGTTTTCAACAATGGTACTGTAGCCAATCCGAATTTGAATCGACATGTCCGGGTTTATTATCCCATGCAGCCGTCAAAGTGGGCGGAGGGAAGCCTCTGGAAGAGAGATGACATTGCCAGACAAGCATTGTCATTATACTTGATTACATGGTAAGGTCCCATTACTATAAGCACACTAGTATCCAGACAACTAATCGAGATCCTGCTATACGCACCAGGCTTTTCGCAATGATAATGTACCTCTTCGGTAGCCTCCTACTATACCACACACTATTCGACAAAAGACTCCTCCAACATCCACGATTCCTCCGAAACCAAATCAAACTCGAGATCAACCAGGGCATATCCGCAATTCCCGTGATGGCCATTCTCACCGTCCCCTTCTTCCTAGCAGAGATCAGGGGATGGTCAAAGCTATATGATTTCACCAGCGACTCCCCGTTCTTCGGATACACTTTACTGCAATATCCATTGTTTATCTGCTTCACAGACAGCGGCATTTACTGGATACACCGTGGTCTGCATCACCCTCGCATCTACCGCTGGCTCCACAAACCACACCATAAATGGGCTGTACCGACGCCGTTCGCCAGTTATGCGTTTCATCCCTTAGATGGATGGTCTCAGAGTCTACCTTACCATATTTACCCGTTGCTTTTTCCGTTGCAAAAAGGTGCTTATCTGGGGCTGTTTATCTTTGTCACTATATGGACGGTGTTGATTCGTGAGTTTTCTGGTCCCCCGTGAAACGATAGCATTAGCATGGTGGCTTACCTCGAGTTCTACAGATGATGCTGAGTACATGCCAACGTCGGAGGTAATTAATGGCGCTTCTTGTCATACAATGCATCACTTGTACTTCAACTATAATTACGGCCAATTTACAACGGCGTGGGATCGTCTCGCAGGAACGTACCGAAAACCCAAGGGTGATAGCTTTATGGAAAGCCAGGGAATGGATGGGAAAGAGAAACTCGTTGATAAGCGTGATTGATATGGAGATGGAGATCCAAGTAGGGCCAATCTTGTATTTAAGTGTACCATACTAGTCGACCGCTTCTGCAGCATTTGCTTCTGACCAGATCTTCATTTGGCTCAAGATAATAATAGAAATAATGATATTTAAAAGAATTGTTGTATATCCTTTTTTTTGATTTCAAGACTATTTTCCTGCTTTCCTTGCTTTTCGTTGTTACCCATCCCACCACCAACCATCATCAATCAATCAACCAACCAATACTACCAACAACATAAACAAAAAGCAAAAATAAGAATAAAAACATACAACAGTGAGGATTCGCTGGTGGTCACCCACCCAACTACTAACTCACCGGCGTGTGGCTTAAGTACGGCTGAGCGGACGGGAAGCCCTGTTTTCCACACCCTATGGTCGTATGTATCAGGTTACTTCTAGAAAAGTATTATATGATACAAATAGCTCAATAAGACTATGTACATATAATTGGGGAGCTTCTATACTTTCGCTCCTTTATCGGATTTCTAAATATTGCACACAGGAAGCTAAGTAGAAACTCAGCTTTGTAAAAGGCGAACATATACTGGATATAAAAAATACATCAGAGCTCCTCTCCTTCAAACGATCTACGTGTAAGAATACTGAGAACTAAGTTAAGTTTTGGAATTGTCAGAGGGATTACAGTGTCTACAGTGAATTGTAGATAGGAATGGAAAAACTCTGTAGTTACGTGAAGAGGGAAGAAACTATCTGCAGGAATGAGAACTAATGGCTAGGAGCAAATGAGTGGTCATATGACCTCTGACAGGAATCCTATCCAAAGAAATAAACATGAGATTTCGTTGGCCTCTCGACATAAGGGAGACAAATCTTCGACATCTCCTCTTGCAAGTATGTCATTGTCGAGGTTGGCGGGCTCGCCTTCGTCATCCGAGTATTCATAAGCTGACTGGTGGTCCTGTCTGAGGCTAGAATACGACTTGAATTAATATTCAACCATCATATGTAGATAAGACTACTTGCTTAAATATCTCTCTCGATAGAATGAGTTGGGCGCGAAAAATAGTTTGCGTTTGATAAATATAGGGAAGTAATGCTCTAAAGCTCGCTCGGTAGTATCGGCGATTAACCAGTGAGAGCGTCCAGTGAGAGCATCCCTCAAACTCTAAAAGAGAGCTGTGGACCACTTTGTTGAAGGCTAAAGGCAGAGGACAGAGAGGAAGAAAATCATGATCTATTCAAACTAGAAAATCCAGGTTATTTATAGCTGGAAAAAATCATCTCAAGAAAGGCCCAGGCTGCTAGATGGTGATTCAACACATCCATTATATAAGTTGCGGCTATTGTCAAAGAGAAAGAAGAAGAAGAAGAAGAAGAAGAAGAAGAAGAAATCTCTGACATTCAGACTATGTCGGAGCAGGGTATTTATACTCCCGCTATCTAGCAAAAAACTGCTCAGTCTGTAAAAAATGTACGGGAGATGGGACCGTCTAATAATACCTGGCCTTTTTCCTTCATTAGAGAAACTTAGGCAAGTTATCTTTAAGATACTAGTATAGGTTAATAGTAAAGAGAGCGTCCTCGTGCCTTTATATAGGCATCCTGTTGAGCATCTTAGACAGATCACCTGTTTTTTCCTTCTGATCCTCTCTAATGTCATAGTTCATCGCGAATAGGAGATTGAAAGTAAGCCCATCGCATAATGTCAGATATCAAGTGACCGATCCCCTATTTCTTCAGGACTTAAATAGCTGTCTTCTCTCTCCTTCTCTCTTCTTTAACCCAGTTCCTCATCAGGGTATGAGACCTTTGTTGGAACACGTGACATTGGATGTTCCTCTCGCGCTCATTAATTCTATCTTCTGAGCACATAAGGTATACCTTCGGATCTACGTATGTTCTACGGGGGAATAGGCCCACGGGCTTCGCTTACCCCAAGGCACCAGCCAATAGACCCCACAATACGGGAACTCAGGGGGGAGCCCCACCTCGCCTTTCGTGTCGCCGATACACACCTCAAACCACCGACCCTCGCGTTATCACCACACGATGCCGTCTTTGCTTGGCCTTCCGTTGGAACTCCTAGTCCAAATCGTAGAAGAAACGATTCCGGCGGATTTTGAAGCCACAGCCCTGTCTTGTAAAACTCTATTTGCTGCCAGCACCCCTTTCCGAGCGCGATATGCTACCCAACGGAAACGCTTTCGAAACTTTACATTTTCGCGAAAGATTGATCAAAACCTGGAAGGGGCAGAGAAATCTGACTCAGACGAATGTTGGGATGAAATTACCCAAGAAACAGGTATCCGGATCATGACCACGCGAGAGCTATTGGAACACATTGCTCTGGATCACTCTGTGGCGCAATATATACAATCCGTTGACCTGAGAGGGCATGCAGATGTAGAGGAAGATGAAGAGGTATCAAATTCGCTGGAAGCCGAGGTACCTGAGACTCTCAAGAACTTGGTGCTCACATCGCCCTTCATTGAAGCATTTGGGGGGCACCCAGATGATTGGATTGGGCAAATCAAATGGTCCGAAATATATGCAGACGTCTTCCTTTTGACCCTGCTATTGCAAGTACGAAAAGTGGCTTTACATCCACGTTGGGATGAGCTAAATCCTTTTAATAAGCGTAATGCTTTGACCAACGAACGTCTATGGCCGGTGCTCAAGCTGATTACGCACCGGGCCAATCATGCCGACGAATTTCCCAATGCGCCGTTGTCCATGCTCTCCATTGTACAGCCATCCCGTGACATCGGCTATGAAGAGAGATCTCCTCTGACACCATTTGTACCATTCCTGGCAATCAATTCCGTCTCCGAAGTCTCCCTGACTAGCTGCATCTTCAAAGACGATGGGTATACTGGAATCGTGTTTGACCCGTTGGTGGAATTTTATAGTACAAACTTGCGGAAACTGATTTTGGAGTCATGTGTCGCCGGCACGGAGGAGCTATCACAGCTACTCTTGCGAATTCCAAACCTGGAGATCTTTGAGTTTTCTCACGAAACCAAGTGGCATGGCTGCGGCCATAACTGGCACATTGGTGCATTCCTGGATACTGTGCAGAATTTCTGCGCAAAGACACTCAAGAAATTGTCAGTGACAATATTCACTCATTTTGGTAATAAAGGAGCCACTCTCATGGACATGACACGTTTTCGGAAATTGGTTGAGCTTGAATTGGACATTGATATGCTGTGCGGTCCTGCGTATAATCCGTCGATGAGAGATTTGGAATGGGATGAATTTGAGTCGGCTGGCAGTCCAGCCTGGCCCAAACTGATTGATATGTTGCCAACAACCATTGAAAGGCTCAACTTGTGTCTTAACACATTCAATGATGACCATCTGGAGTGCATCGCTCATTTAATTGAGGGCCTTTCAGATGCTCGGGTCGCAAAGCTGCCCCATTTAAATAAGTTGAGCCTTTCTGTGCGTATGGATTCAGGCTTGACGATTCCGGACGTGGCACTTGAGCCTTTAAATGCTGCGAAGAAAAGTGGTTTTTCAATTCTGAAGCTTGGCACATCCATTCCTCTTCTATAAGAGTCATTTTCTTGAAGCAATTTTAGACAATGAACACCGACTTTCTACCTCCCTTTTTGAAAATTGTTCCTGCTACTGCTTGCGTGCTTGTTGATACGAGATGATGTCGATTTAGCGGACCATAGAACGCACAAATATCTGACATACTTGGAAAGGTGTATATTGGTATCTAAGTTAGGATAAAACTTGGTAGTTGATATGAGCTAGTCATTGAGGCTGAGATTGCCTGGATTTCCTTTGCTCTTAGGATGAAGTCGAGAACTTTTGGTACCATATGATTTTAGTTAGGCTTGACTGAATACATTCGAGATTGGAGGTCCCTCTCCTATAAGATACTCTAGTATATATGGAATCCAAATAGTTTGTATAATTTTATACTAGAAATTAATGAGGATATCACAGTCCAAAATGAAGCTTAGTTTATTCTTTACCTTTCTTTCAATCGAAGTCGAACTTGCTTCTTTGGCATATGTATTATTGTTATAACACTAAATGCACAATACAAGGTAAGAAGTTAGAATCATGACTTTATATGATGCTAACTTGCGACATTAGGCTTGCAAACCGTGCAAACATGTTGGGCGATTTGTTCGTATCGCCAAGTTCTCCAGGTGTTCTGGTGGCAACCCGATACGGACCGTGGACGGACCGTGAACCCGCATCGAAATACCTGGGCACTACGGAGTACATCCTCTCTTGTTGGCCGACCTTCTATCATAATTAATTTTTTTTTAAAAAGATATATAAAAATATGTTAATCATTCTCTGGCATGATTGAATAGTTTACTTTCTTTCCAATTGCTCGCTCGAATTAAAGTCGAAGTGACTTGATCCAGGGCATTGGACTTCATGTGATCGGTTCGATCGGGTCCTCCCGCCCGATACGGACCGTCCGTTGGAATCAAGATAGCACTCTCGATTCATAGATAAATAGTTAGGATTCGCACGGAGAGAGAGGAAAAAAAACTAAATTTCAATAGCACATCTGTCAGTCACCTCCTGGAATTTGGAAGGTTCTATTCGAAATGACCTCCAGCAATCCCTCATACCTTATTATCGGCGCAGGTGTCTTTGGTGTGTCAACCGCCTACCACCTCATCCAAAAGTATCCTAATGCATCAATAACTCTGGTTGATCGAGATGCATATGATGCCGAGTCGCGTGTGGCCGCATCATGGGATTGGAACAAGGTTATCCGTGCTGATTACGACGACAAGGTCTACTGTAGACTTGCTCTTGAGGCTCAAGAGATTTTCAAGTCCGACCCTCTTTGGCAGCCACACTTTCACCAGACTGGAGTTTACTGGAATTGCCGCAGTGACTACGCGCAAAATGTCATCACAAACCACAAGGAGCTTGGTCGCAATGATGATATTATTGCTCTCCCTGTTGCTGAAGCTAGAAAGCTGTATGGAGGAATCTTTGATAACGCGGACTACACTGGTGTCAAGGAGGTTCTTGTGAATAGGGCTAGTGGCTGGGCTGCCGCTGGAGATGCTCTTCGAGCAGTGACAAAAAAGTGCCTAGAATTGGGCGTATCATACGTCACTGCATCCGTTACTAACCTTGAATTCGATGGCCATGGCTCTTGCACCGGTGTAAAGATACGATCTGGAGAGACATTGTCGGCCACGCATGTTATCGTCGCTGCTGGGGCTTTCACACCGACATTGCTGGAGTGGAGTGCTGCGAAGAGCGGCAATACTGGGCTACGAGCCGGAGAGCGAATTCTTGCGGCTGGTATTACGATCGGAATGGCACAACTCAACGAGGAGCAATATAAAAAGTTCAAAGACATGCCTGTTGGCTTCCAGGGCTACACACCGACTGAAGGTACGCTCTTCCGGTGTATTCGTATGGAATGCCACTAATGATTCCTAGGGAAACCCTTCATTGGCACCCTTCCCCCTACTAAAGACCGGGAGCTCAAGTGGTGGGGATCTAAGATTTTCACAAACACCCGAGAGGTACTCCCCGGGCATTATATCTCTTCTCCTCCACCCACGCATGACTACAACCAGTGGAAGGTTCCAGGACCTCTCAAGCAAGATATTATAGAGGCGAGAAATCTGTGGTATGGGCCCGAAAGTGCAACATGGGAGATGACGAAACATCGCATTTGCTGGTTAGTGACCCCTTGACAACGCAGCGATTGACTTCTTTTTTAACATTTGAAAGGGACGCTTTCACCACTACCTCGGACTTTATCATTTCGCCCCACTCTGCCTCCAAAGGACTATACATCGCCAGTTGTGGTTCGTTCCATGGATACAAGTTTTTCCCAGTACTTGGAAAATACATCACACAGATGCTTGAGGGGGAACTGGCGCCCGAATTGATGGGAAAGTGGGCATGGGATCGACAGCGACCTGACTCGTCCCAAAACGTGGAGTACCCAAACTCTGAGATGAAGCATTTACTAGAACCTGCAGCAAAATTGTAGAGGAAATCGGATAGGCTCTTCAAGCCAAATCAAGTATTACCAGTGTATTTTCTAGCCAATATTGCGGCGGTGTTGTAACATGATGCATGTCGCAGGAGCATAATGAAGCCGACAGGCTGATATAAAGAGCCAGATATTCATTCTTCATCTCTATAAAGCATTACAATAGCGTACAGTTCCTCAAGAGAACATAAGTGACGACGATGCCTGCCACTCTTCTAACAGAGTGTTAGGTTTACACCATAGGCTAACCTAAATTCACAATTGGGAGAAGCTTCTCGATAAACTTGATGATGTTGGAAAAGAGCATATTGGGGTTCGTTGTACAAATAATCATTGGCTCACCCGACTGGCGGCAGCCTGTATCGCTGTTCAGAGAAATCTAACAACAGTCATAATTCTGACAAAGATAAAAGTAAACTTACAATGCGGAAATTTCCCATGTTCGCCCGGATATTAGTAGATACAGAATGAGTGTCGAAGGTATGCGCAGCAATTTCAAACGTAGGAGGGCCGCTTTACCGAGACGACCCTCTTTCTCTGTCAATGCGCAATGTGCCATATCCTCTCCCTTCGCTCTTTCCCGGAATCGCGATTAGGGAAAACAAGACAAGGCCATAGGTGCGAAGAATAGTAGACCATGTAAACAACAAATTTCTTTCAAAATGCCAGCCGCAGAAGGCCCCATGTCTGTCGTCGAGTTGCTGCATAAAATTCTTTTGGTTCCCGATTTGAAGGAGAGGGTCTGGCAAGCTGCTTTTTGTTTGGTGTTCTTGTTCTGCTGGAGTGTGACCACCACGTCTGCAGAACTGGTCCGGGCTTGGGCTCCTAGGTAAAGTAAAAGCGGAAAGCTTATGTCTCCTGTTACTCTCGGGATGGCTGTTGTTTCAAATCTGTATGGGCATGATTACTGACTGCCTACAGAATTTTAGCCCCCTACAACCCTTCAACCCCACCAGCTCCACTAGCCCTACCAGTCCCAGCGTGCTCCAAGATCCTTGTTGTGGCAGATATACCCCCAGTACCTCCCAACTGCCCTCTGGCTGCCATTGATGATGAATATCGGGCGCCTAGATTTACTTCTAGACTCCTCCGCCATAGCCACCATCAAATTACTGCGCAAGCCCAGATTTACTTCTAGACTCCTCCGCCATAGCCACCATCAAATTACTGCGCAAGCCCAGCTAGCACGACCTATCACACATGGGAATTCTGTGGATTGCGACTGTGAAGTTTGTATGAATTCCCAATTTGACTCCCTGGATCGGACAGAGCGAGGACAGTTCTGAATTGTAAGTAAAGAGTACACTTAAGCTGATATGAAGCAGATATAAAAGCCATTTACTTGCATTTGTGAAAGATATATACTAAAGCCTGACGGGGTTGAAATTCACTATCTGCACTTGCTTGTCATTGAAAGGACTAACATAGTACCTAGGAAGAGTTTGACGAGAGAATGACGCCAGAAGCTCTCAGTGCCAAGACGGAGCTTTTTTCATTTTGTTTTCACCTTGTTTTTAGTTTTTTTTTGACTCCGGTGGTCTTTTTTTTCTCTCTTCCTTACTTGAATACAGCAAGGTTCTTCTTTGACAATATTGGATAATGTCACATTTTTCTTGCTTCCCGTAGCATGGTATCTCCCTCCCTCTTTTTATGATCAAAAAAAAAGAGAAAGAACATTAGTATTCATATCATGTATTCCGATGTGTCTATTTCCCGTCACTCCTGATAGAGATAGGTCCATGTGTACCACTCAAATTTCTTATCTTAGAAAGTTGCAAAAACATATGTCTCCCTCCTAAACTAGCTTCAATTTAATATACCCGTCATCCTGACGATTGCTCTCAACGGGTGATAGATCGGGGTGAGAGCTAGCTAATAGCCAGTTCCTCCTTTGGACGCGGAAATTTGACTTTGAGCATTTAAAGACCTCTACAAGACCCAACGTCCTTGACTGAAACAATATTGAAGATGAGCTACTATATGTGGGGGGACAAAACCGACGAAGAGATTGATCTAGAAATTTCTGGAGATATATGTCTTCTTCAAAGATACCGATACGCTACCTTTGTCGACGGAGGGAGCCTAAGAAAATTTCCTACCGATTTAAAGGGGCTATTACAGACGGAGCTTGCACTTCGGGAGAATACTCAACGCGAGGTAGCCTTGAAAGAAAGAATAGAGCAATTTACCAAGGAAAATATCAACGTGGCTGTTATTCAAGAGTTACAGGAGGACTTGTCGACAGTTTCGAAGGAATATTGGATCCTGGAACGACGTTGGTGGGAGATCAGATCTTCATTTCGAGACAGCCCGCTGAGGAGAGGTATCGATTACTGGCGCTCACAGCCAAAATGGTATATGCATCGAGTACTTTGGGAAGATTGCGTTGGGAGAGGAGGCTGTTGTGGTGGGGACTGTGGATGCTGTTCTCATCGCCAGTCGGAACGAAAATTTGCAGTTGGTCATTGCACCGTGGAGTGTTCTTGTTGCGAGAAGGCCCGGGGGTTTCCGCCGACCTAGAGCAAAAGTCCAAAATCCAGGATTCCTTCGTGCTTGATTATACGGGTGCACGTGCATGGTATTACAATCGAATCAAAACTGCTGCTTTGCTAGGGTTGACGGTCGGTAGTTATGAAAACCCTTTGGATCTCATTGTTGACTTGCCGCCAAGATATACACCTCCCTTCCAGGAATCAACCCCTCATTGCTAGTTAGATAGTTGGGCTGTTTGCTCCCAGTAGGAATCAAGTCTCTCCCTCCGCTCCTTTGGCCCATACATAGCGTAGAGCCCAAGAGTTATGCATATTCATTGACCATATCATACCTTGCTTCACACCAGATTTCTGTCATTAGGTCAGTATCTTATTCTTTTAAAGGCGTAGTTGGATTTGTTATTCTTTATCTGTATTGAGGAAAGTTATAAAAAACAATTGCGGTAGAAAGGAAAATAACCTGAGGCTGTACTTTTATATAGACTGGCCTATCTAACGCTAATCTATTAGGGCCTCGCACTTACTCGCCCGCGAGCGTGCGTGACCATCACTATTTTTCACTCGAATCATCTAAATCGCGCGCACTCAATCTATTAGATAATAATTGCTTCTTTAAATGATCAGGGTGTTCTTCAGTTCAACCGCACTTGACCACTAGGGCTTAAGTACGGCTGAGCGGATGGGAAGCCCTGTTTTCCACAACCTATGGTCGTATGTATCAGGTTATGTCTAGGAAGGAATTGTACAATGCAACTCGTCTGATAGTAAATTCGTATCCTGCAGAGGCTCGATAGAGAGAAGAAAACAATTAACCGCAAATTCCAGCATATGTGCGACGAAAAGCAGATTTTCCATGTATGAAATCTGATTACATTATATTTATATTTAACATCTATGGTAGACTTTGGTGACACCATTGAATGAATTCATTCAAATTTCCCAAGTCATCGGTAGCATTGTTATCCATATACCGCAGGCTGACATCGGATCTGCCGGTAGCATCCAGCGTGGCATTCAACAACCACCAAAGCTCCTGGGCGTGTTTCGGATACCCAAGGTGAAGTAATTGATCCTTGTCCAGGAGGCCGATAACAGAATCCCAGATGCGTCTCCAATTACCAGACGCACAGCGTATTCTATCGAGTGATAGGTATTTTAACAAGCCTGCTCTCGCCTGGAATGCGAGGGAGTTAATAGCTATTATAATATTGTTAGCAATTTGATTCCTTGGCTGCCTTCACTTATTAACGTACCATAAATCAGAATCAGGAGATGCTCCACTGATACTGAAAGACTCCATGGTATTGGGTCTTTACTTAGAGGAGTTTCAAGTAATTCTGTGATCACATCTTTCAGGGGTGGAAGAGGGAGCTCGGTCGAGTGCGACATGGCAATTCTGCTGAAAGAAGATGCGCTTTCGGCTTCCCATAACCCGGCACTCCAGGGGAAATGACAGTCCAATTCAAAGACCGATATGGATGGGTGGTTTTTGAAGCAGACTGTGAGGAATCCATCCGCTAGAAAAGCCCAACAAGCAATTCTTGTAGCTGGTCAGCGACGAATGTCGAAAGAAAAAACATGATAGGAAATGATGAGGGTATAAGTTACCGTATGCACACTTCATCTGCCACCAAATTTATCCAAGTTCTCTCATCACAAACAGTAGGAGCTGTTCCTCGCTTGAGCTGAAAAATCCCTAAGGATCGTATGGTGGATACTAAGCATGGATGTCGGACGATACGAATGCGACGTCTTGTTTGCATATTGTCTTGTCCAAATTGAAGCATCTCAATAATGAGAGCGCTCTGTAGCAACTGTACGGTTGACAATCGATGCGACTGGTCTTTCGGTGAAGCGAGTGTAGACAGATCCGCAATTTTCCGAAAGATATATTCTTCCGCGACATCGAAGAGACCAGATGGCAGAGCTCCTCCATCCAATGGAATAGTATATGTGGCACCGGATAAAAAGATGGACAGTAAAAGAGGATTTGAGATGTTTCCCGGGTCGAAGGTTGGGAAATGCACCACGGGTAAATGCCAGTGAAGAGAGTGGAAGAACGCAGAGATAGAAGCAGAGATGTTAGAAACCCCCAAAAAAGTAGACAATTCCATGAAATCAAGCGGGCTTAGCATTTCTGTGCTTCCAAGACCCATTGACTTTGAAGTTTCGACCAATTCTGTCATAATCTCGGATAGTTGGTTGGAAAGCTTTGAAGGGAAGAGTGTATCAGGGGTGAATTGAAGTAGATAGTCATCCGTAAAAGGGGGGAGAGTAGATGGTGTTTGGAAAGGGAAACTTGTAAGTTGGAAGTCATTATCAAAAGCTGACGTGGGATCAGTAGGAACGAGGGCATCTTCGATATGGGAATTGAGTGTTTCAAGGTTTCTCCGAACAGAACTCTTTGCAGTCTCCCCGATTGCTAGCCTGTCCCTTTGGAAAGACGGATTGGCGAAATGTTGGAGGAAAGAGAATGATCCACTGTCTCTAGATGTGACTCGGGATGCGGTTATAGAAGCCGGGAGTGCGGCTACTGTGGAACAACTGGGATCCCGAGAAGGAATCTCCTGGGCCACAAAAGTACATTGTCGCCCAAGCGACCGACAGCGAGAGCATGGTTGACTCCTATCACAAGATGCCCTGGCAAAGAAGCACAACTCACAGGAATGCCTTTTCCTACCTGGCTTGGCTGCAGGAGGCGCAGGTTGGTTGAGCTTTTTTGCACAGGTTTTGATATGTCTTCGTGTCACCTCACTTTCGAAACATAAGTAATTGTCATTATTTATGGCAAGGTACTTTACACACGGCTTTAGAAATGATTTGTTGCACAAAGGGCAGCTGGAAGAAAGCTGCCGTGTATCTGGGAGGTGGTCAGCCTATTCATATTTTTAATATCGAGCTTATTGGACCTTACGGGTCGCTTCATGGCGAATTAAATGAGTTTTCCTCTGATAAGATTTTTCACATAGTTTACATTGAAACATAACGTCGAAAGCATCCTTTGTTGTCACAATAGCTGAGTGAGGAAAAAAAAAAGGAAAGGGGGTAGCGGCTATTACGGGTAGTCAGCGCGTGGATAAATTCTATCCGTGCGTGGCCGGATCCTTGAGATCCTTGACCACTGAGAACCTTTGATGGCATATTAATTTTTAAAATCGCAAACATTCAAAGAAATTCTCAATTCCAAAAGGATATTTTAAATGAAAAACGAAGGAAACAACGACTACAGTATTCCGTACACCGATCAAGATTGGTCATTTATTCAGGCAATGTACTCCGTACATAGCCCCGAGGAGTACTCCGTACTCCGTACAGCCCTAATTTTGGCTTCAGCAAACTACTAATCACAAATGGGGCTGGGCTTGGACCATGACATGTTATCTACGGAGTACTCCGTGGAGTCTGCAAGGGTAAATGACAGAACGCACTAACAATGCTGCATACTTTGATTATTTGCTAAATGAAACGCTTCCTCCTAGCGGGCCGGGCCATCGGAGATGGGTGCTCTTATATATATCCTCTTATATATACTCATGATCAACAGTTTAAGTGTGGGGAAATATTTAATTTTCGTGTTTTATATGTATGGAATATGCAATAATACCTGAAAAGGTCGCAGACATCCATGAAGACTAAACGCCTAAAGGAGTAGCTCCTTAAAAGCACTGGTGCTTAGACTATGGAGTAGTGATTTTCCTAACGCCATTGAAAGTAAGCGGACTCTATGGGGACCTATTTTGGGCGACCGGGAGCAAATGAGCGGAACTTTCCGAACCCCTGGCGTGCATGGAACCTGAGTGCATCGCCCAGTAGTGGAGCCATACAAAAATCCTTTGAAGATCAAGGTATCATATCCGCTAGTTGAGAAAAGTTTCTTTCGGTCGAGCCCACGACAATTTGCATAATTATTATTCCATAGAGATACTCACGATTATTTTCTGTATGATGTGCAACGGAGTTATTAAGATACCAAAACAAACCCGAGAACCAAAGACATGCACGGAAGACGTAGATCTCACTCCACATGGGGAAATAGACGTTGTGGGTCACAAGAAGATCGACAGGATCGAAAAGATCGAAAAGGCGGTGGGGTTGACATCTCTAGCGCAGCCAAAAAGATCAAACCCCCTCCGCCTCCCCCCACCCGCAAGGGTTAATGAACGATGGGGCAAGGCGCAATTTATATATTGAATTTAAATGCTTGTGCAACGCTTCGGCGATGCGATGCAGTGTTGGTACGGAATACCTTGTACAGAGTGCAGAGAACTTTGTACTGGGAAGGAAAAAAAGCAATTAGGATTGGTTGGCTTCAAATTTTAGAAATGCAGTGTACCTGACTAGAGGCCCATGTACTCCGGTAGCTGGGGTTCTGCATTAGGTAGGAGGCACATGACTGGTCTGTCGGGACTCGAATTTAGTTGCACAGGACTTTTGCAGGTCCGATTTAGGATTATTCGGCTTATTTCGCCGAACAGCCCTATATTGAAGCCGGCACCTTGCTTGGAATAGCCCCTGAGCTGATATATCAGCACAAAGACTTGGGATACGTTCTGCATACGAGGGTGTGTGTGGCTGGACTAGTTCAAACTAGACTCGGAGCGGGAGCAATCAAATATGGCGCTACTGCGATTAGCGGCCCGGGTGTGAAGTGATAGGTCCAGTATAAGGTTTGAATATCAGCTTTGGTTCATTGGCCGGCGTGTCAACGAAAAACGAGTAAAATCTGAAAGAAGGGGACCAATCAGGAGGATATCAACAAGCGAAATGGGCTGGTCTGGTCTTGATTTCTTGCTTGGCGTTCATTCTTGGCCTAGGCAATAGTTTGTGATGTAGATCGACGTTTGCTCCCCTTTTTTAAGATTGCTAAAATGGCTAGTTGATGGGTTGTAACATATAAGGCGGCCTACCTCTCTGGTTTGTTCCTCTACCCCATCGCTTCGTTGTTGGTTTTCGGCCTATCACTCGTTTTTGCTGACATCATTCAGCGTCCATTCTTTACCTCACTCTGAATATACTTCGAACTCGCAACAATGAAGCAGTCCGTGGTCACTTCCCTTGTGGCCCTCGCAGCCTCATGCACCGTGAGCAAGCCCTCGCCGTTGGTTTCTGTTGCAAAGAGATGTGTAGCTAACAGAATATGTCATTATATAGGGAGTCCAAGCCTCTGATAACTTGATTAACGTGCCCGTTAATCTTTGCGCAGCCATCCTGGGACAAGCCAAGTGCGAGCAGGAGGCTACCACCTCTCATGGCTTGATCAGCGTCCCTGCCAACGCTTGTGTGGCAGCTCTCGGACAAGCAAAGTGTGATCAGGTCGCTTCCACTCATGGTAGACGCCACCATGGCTTGATTAAGGTGCCCGTTAATCTCTGCGCAGCCATCCTGGGACAAGCCAAATGTGAGCAGGAGGCAAAGACCAGTGATGGGTTGATCAGTGTCCCTGTCAACGCTTGTGTGGCAGCTCTTGGACAAGCCAAGTGTGACCAGGTCGCTTCCACTCACGACAAACGCCACCATGGTTTGATCAGCGTTCCCGTTGGACTCTGTGGAGCCATTCTCGGACACGCCAAATGCGAGCAGGAGACTGTCGCCCATCATGGCTTCATCAACGTGCCCGTTAACGCGTGTGTGGCAGCCCTTGGAAAAGCCAAGTGTGACCAGGTCACCTCCACTCTGAGCAAGCGCGGTGGTTCCCTGATTAGCGTGCCTGTTGGACTGTGCGCGGCTATCCTTGGACAAGTCGAGTGCAACCAGAAGACAGCTAGCACTGGCGGCTTGGTCGACGTGCCTGTTAACGCCTGTGCAGCGGTCCTTGGAGAAGCCAAGTGCGATCAGGCCTCTTCTGTCGGTAGCGGTGATGACGCGCTGATCAATGTGCCCATTAACCTCTGTGCAGCCATTCTCGGCGAGGCTGAATGCAAGCAAAAGTCAGCCACCGGTGGCGGTTTGGTCAACGTGCCTGTCAACGCTTGCGTCGCTGTTCTCGGACAAGCTAAGTGCGACCAGGCCTCTTCTACTGTCGGCGGCGGCGGTGGCAACAACAACAACAACGGTGGCGGTAGCAATGATGGTTCTCTGATCAATGTGCCTGTCGGACTCTGCGCAGCTGTTCTCGGAGAGGTCGAGTGCCAGCAAAAGACACCCACCAGCGGTGGTTTGATCAACGTACCCGTTAACGCATGTGTCGCAGCCCTCGGTCAAGCTAAGTGTGACCAGGCCTCTTCCTCTCCTGGTAACAATGGAGGTTCCCTGATTAATGTGCCGATTAACGTTTGTCTCGCTGTCCTCGGTCAGGCTCACTGCGAGCAAAGCTCTCCCCCCGGTGGTGGTCTGATCAATATCCCCATCGACCTGTGCCTGGCTGTTTTAGGCGAGGTTGATTGCCATGATCACTCTGGTCCATCTCCCCCAACTGCCACTCCTGCCAAGCCCACTGTCCCCGTCATTGTGCCCGGTGAGACCAATACCCCCGGTGTTCCTGGCGAGACTACCCCCGCTGTTCCTGGCGAAACTACCCCCGCTGTTCCTGGCGAGACTACACCTGCTGTTCCTGGCGAAACTACCCCCGCTGTTCCAGGCGAGACTACTCCTATTGTGCCCGGAGAGTCTTCTGTCCCCGGTGTTGTGCCAGGCGAGTCTACCGTCCCTTGTGCTGAGGCTTCTACCACCCCCGTCGCTACTATTCCCGGAGGCCCTGGTGGACCTGGAGGACCTGGCTCTGCTTGGCCTTCCGGCGGTCCCTCTGCTTCGGGTCCTTGGTCATCATACAGCCGTGTTCCCGCAGTCACTGTTGGACGCCCGACCCCCACCGGCTCTTTCACCCGCGTCACTCCCACCTTCACCAACGTTGGCACTGGCTGCAATGCTGCCTGCCAATCATCTAAGACCTCTGCCGGTCTTGTCGCTCACACTGCCCCTGCCTCAGGTGGTAGCGAGGGTGGTGACAACAACGCCAGCGGCAGCGCCATTCCCAGCACCATTCCTTTCAACGCTGCCGGCCGCACCACTTTGTCCGGTGTTGCTATGGTGTTCGGAGCCATCTGCGCTTTTGCTATGCAGATCTAAGTGGGTATGTAATTTTACATGTTGCTCAAGGCGGTAACTGGTGGTGACATATTGTATCGCTCGGTGTTGATATTTGTCGTTTCTGTCGCGTTGGACATACCCGTCCGTCCTTTACTTTCTCCTGTGTTCAATGGTTTAAATCAGCATGGATTAATATAAATACACGATATACGTTTCTCAATTCAGCTTCCTCTTGCGGTTAAAGGTGTACATGTATATATCACGAATTTATTCGTCTCACCATTTTTTCTAGAGCATTTCCTAGTCTTTGTTTACTACTTTCCCTTTTATTACGTAGAGCAACATTGGTCCTTAAATTATTAACTTCTGCAAGATATTGAGGCGATACAGTTCATTCAAATTCTTCCAAGTCAATGATTACATAGATATGTACTGGTAGCGTAATGGGTGCTGCTCACACTATGCTCACACTATCATCCAATTCGGGACAACTTCTTGAAGCATTATTTGCTTACCAACCAATTTCCCTTCCTGGGCAACAAAAAAGCAAACAATGACCCACTGAACATGTCAAAAATTAATGGCTTACCAGATGACTCAATAATAGATATGATAGATCATCCGCCAAGTCTTCAGGGGAAGGGCGCGGCTTACCCCATTTGGATTTCTATCCCTTTCGTCTGGGCATTAGTCCATTTATTGCGATCCACAACTCTTTCTTCGTGTTACGTCCAATGCCTATCCTAATCTCTGCAGCATTGCATTCCATTTATTTGTCCTATCTTCCGAGTAAATCCCGTACTTGCTTTTATCTGCCTCGTCCGGAACTCCAACCGCCGCTCTTCGGCATTGTCTTTTAGAAGGTTCCATCATGATTTGGGCAATATTGAGCAAAGGAAGGCTAGATTTGCTTTATAAAAAACCGAAAAGAGACCAATTGGGCTTGCAAGTGCAAGAGAACCAGAAAATTCCTGATCGCCAGCTCCGGTCCATTATCTCAGAGAGGTTTGCTTTTTTGGAAGCTAAAGCCGAAACTTTTTTCATTTACCATAAACTCCATAAATTCAGAGCTTACTGTCTCGTACTTGGCTGTACATTCAGCAAAACGGCTTTGTTTGTAAGCAGGTGTGTGAATCATTTCCATTTCGGTTGGACGAGAGCAAGCACACTCAAGTTCAATTAGCGAAGTAATGTACAAACTATCATCAACGAAAATATTGCTTTGATGGAGATCGGTGTGAACGAGGGTGAAGGGGCTATTTCATAGATCTTTTGTAACATTTGTCGGAAAAGCCACTTGCATCGCAAGCAAGGCCGATGCTCAGTAAACGTAATCACTCCAAGGCTCTGATTGTTGTCGCATTGGTTGAGTTCTGAGTCGACAATTATGAAGTCCCCGGAGATCCATGCCATATGAATCAGCGACCGAATATGTCTAGGGCCGTGATCGTTCTCTAGATCGCGAATTTTGAGTGACAATGGACGGTTTGTCAAGTAGAGGTAGCCGTTCTTGTTGATAATGAATGAGGCAATTGTTGGAAGAGGAATGTCCCTTCTCAGCCAGGCTGATATGGCAGTGTATATGGGATGCGCCGAAGCGGACGTCCCAAAAACGAAAAGGCAGTCGGCTGAAATGCTGGACACACAGGTTAGAAGAGGGAGATTGTCGATATGTGAGAGCTAGCAAGCTTCATCAGTGTAGTGTCAGTTGTTGAGAGAATAAAAACCACACCGTCTCTCCATCGGAAGTGGCAAAGCTGTAACGACGAGGAGTGGGAATATCTAGGCAATACCTTGCAGCCAAGCACAGATCCCTACTTTGGATCGAATATTCTCATCACAATTCCCTGGATAAAGCCCTTGCCTAATCGGTATGTCAGGGGCAGCTTAAGAATAACTTGATTTCCCTAGTGTCTTCTAAACTTTCAATGAATGATAGAGACTGGGAAGCAGACGTTGGAACTTTCATGACACCAATCTTCAACATCCGCCACTTGACATAAGTCATTCGGTGGAAGGCCCAAATGGTGGGTTATAACATCCTTGACTGAATACATATGGGTTTGAAGACTGGTAAAAATTTGTAGTATTAACTGGGATAGTCGAGTCGACGTAAGATGTTGACCTCTTCCTTTCGTGCCTTAGGGTAGGTGGTCTCACCTCTCAGCAGAGTGAGGGTCTTCGACATTGTCTTAGTGATTGTGTACTTTAACATAAATCCTCACTAGTAGTGAAACGGGTGACCGCGTAAATTTTGTAGCTACAGCGTTGTAGAACGTGAATTGTTGCAACTCGATGAGCGGTGGTTGCCCAGGGCACGAATGTTTGCTCTTGCCCTGGCCAGGCGGGCAAGTACTCAGATGCGTAAAGCTGCAGGCGAGATAGCTACATACTGAGTTCTGGATATTTCATCATGTTTTGACCAAGCTTCCAGTAGCCACTTAGTGTACTGCAAGTTGGTGGTTCAGCTCAAAAGAAGACTTGACATTATGGGAAGCCTGGCTGGCTAGATAAAGTCATGATCGAATACTTTCCAATAAGAATAATACCATGTGTGAGGTGTTTCCCCGGTATTGGAAGTTCAAGATCCCCACGGATACTGCCATCGGTCCGACATTAGCTTCCACACTGTTAAATCGATAGGTTATGCCAACATCAAGCAGCTCATATAAATAATCCGTGGATGTTGGCAATATGACCAATAATTTTTTCAATGGAGAGAGTGAGACATAAAGTATCAAATAGGTCTCGTTCAATTCATTTATCAGCTAGCTTTGCGGTTTGGTGGTGGTGTTATATATTATTGGATATATCACCCAGCTTAGAGTACGCGGAGGAACGGAACGGATCAAAGCAGATCGAAGATTCTGAGGTATTTTGCAGGCGTAAAATGAACCGTTCAGGTTAGAAAAAAAGATAGCGAAAGGGACAAAAGTTGAAATGGAAAAAAAATGCCAAAAAAATCCCCTGACCCGGGATCGAACCAGGGACCTCAAGATGACAGGTTCTTTGCAGAACAGGACAATTACAGTCTTGCGCTCTTCCAGCTGAGCTATCAGGGGATGTTGTTGAAGCCTTGGCAGATTTTGTAAAATATAACTCAATTTATTTTACTAGGTATATCTATTCTTTATATGGGGGTTCACTCCCTCTCACAAAAGAGATTTGGCATGTAGAAGCTTGGGGAGAGCCTTTATAGAAACCGAACCAATAATAACCACCCCGTTCTCAAAAGAAAGGCAATCTAAAAATGCCCCACAGAGGACTTCGTCTTGGATATGAGCAAATGTTCCTTCAACGTGTCGCGAGTATCTGCTAGCATTCCACCAAGCAATTCGAACTAAGAAGCCCGTTCAGTATCCTCAGATTCGTCAGGCACTCAAAACTCACCACTCGTGTATTCACCAGGTGACGTGTGGATGCGACCGGAGCAAACTCCAAATAGAAGTGGGGTACACAGCTCTCAGTCGATCAAGCCAGCCACATTGCAATCCTCGTCAATTAGGACGTTCACTTCATTCAGGTCATAGTGGGCGGTCTACAGCGGGAGCTTTTCCAGCTGTTCAAGACTATCCAAAACCCCGAAAGCTGACTCCGGTATGGGACGATATCCTCTGGCAGTGAAACCAGGAGGGCCTCGAGCTAGGATCGAACATGGCCCTCAACGCTACGCTGCTGTTAGCGAGGCAGCCCTTGGACAGAACGCGACAAAGGGATTTGTTGATAGCAGATTGGCTTTTCGCACTCTAGCCAGGCAGACGATTGAAGGAATATGCCCAAAAACCCTCTTTGAGAAGCTACTCATCTTCCAAAGCTGTGGCATGAGACACAACTGATCTCAAGGCGCTTCTTACGATATTGAAAGCATCTCAATCGACGGACTCAGTGTAAGATTGCTCCACTATCTGAAGACCATCTGCTAGTGCAAAGAATAGGGTCTGAGTGAACATTCCCTGCATGGGAGGTCGATCGACACGATTTACAGGACTACCCAGATGCTTGAGGGCCAACTTCTTTGCCTATTTGACTTGTTCTGCTGGTGTATTAAGGAGTCTATGAGGGCTTTATTAGTGTGTATCGCCAGTATTGTCGAGGACTGTAGGATGAAGAATCGCAGGGGGAGATCGGGGTGGATATTGGCATTATGACAATCTTCCGCTGGGGGAGGGTGGGGATGAAGTTTGTTGCTACAGTAGTTAATAGCGGCCTATTCTAGTGATCAGTATAGGCACGGCTCCATGAAGAACAAAAACTCGGGACTTTTATGTGTAAAATGGACAAGAAGGAGAAGGAGGAAAGGGGAGCTTGTGCGAGTCAAATTGACAAGCCAGATCATCATGCCATCGCTCTTGTCCCTACACACATAAACGTGGAAGATTCTACCACGTCACGAGGATCTACGCCTATGGATGTGTAATCCTGCCGGGACGGCAGGTTTACTTAGGCCGCTACACCTAAGTGATTACATAAGATCATTTAACCGCTAGGCCAAAAGATCATAAGGACAAACAGAACATCTGTTTGTCATTGCAGCGGTATATATATTAGGCCCTAGACTCTGCTTAGGACCACAGATGGATTATGATCCGCGTCCCGCGTATTGTTTCCGGAACACGCAAAGCTACAAAGGCGTAGCATTGCAATTTCAGATCCTGCAAGCAAAGCTCGCCGAATTCGAAGGAGTTGCTTCGGAGCAGAAGGTTCCTCACGATACCCGTGTACTCACGGATAAGCAGCCTTTCCCACCAGGTGGCGACTGTTCTGATTGTTGGGTTGGTAAAGTTTGAGGAAGGCGAAGAAGAAGATACTGGGATGAGGATTTGGTTATATAGTGATGCATATGGAATCAAGGGGATGATACTAAGAGTTGTGGAGAGTGGGTGGATTGCTGAGCTTGGTCAGGAAGTTATTTGCATTGAATATTCCTGTCACTAAGCCAATATAAACTAGCACGATATTGACAAGACCTGAGAACGATTGGTGTTAGATCGGGGTCTCAAATGGTTGTTGGCGCATTTTCCTCTCTGGCCAGTTGTCTGACATGTCTAGTTTATATCGTAGCAGAGAAGCCTGAGCCTTGATGCAGAGAATTGAGTATTGCTGCAATACTTGTATTTGGCTCTTTTTATATATTCAGAATCATGTCTTCTCTGATGAGGGTGGCGGACAATCTACTTGTACAGCTGAACTGTTTGTGTCTGAGAGTACGACAGCAAACCCTGGTTCCCCCATTCACCCCCAATCCCACTCTGCTTCCAACCAGAAAGGTAGCCATGTGGGCTGGGGACCTCGGCACTATTGATCCACACGGTCCCGACTTGGAGTTTCCGCGTAATTCGCTTTGCAGTGCCGATGTCATTCGCCCAAACGCAGGCCCCTAAGCCAGTATCTGTTCCATTGACCCTCGAAATCACTTCATCCTCGGTTGACCACTTCATGAGTGGAATGATAGGACCAAACTGTTCTATCTGGACGACGAGGGAATCAGGTGGTGGTTGGTCCACGACAACAGGTGCGATGAAGAGCCCTGGGTACTTGTCGTCGCTGTTACCCCCGCGAAGTAACGTATAGTTGTTCTCCTTGCAATCAGCAATGAGATCTTTGACCAACTTGTACTGTAATTCATTTTGGATTGGACTGAACAGGGGCGAGTGGTCACCAGAAAGGTCAATTGTGATGTTTTTGACTGCCTCCACAAATGCGTCTCGGAATTCTTGGAAAATAGCCTCATGCACATAAACCCTTTTTGTAGCAACGCACATTTGACCTGAATGGAAAAAGGATCCGGCAGCAACCTTAGCAGCAACAGTTTTGACATCGACGTCTGGGCAAACAACACTTGCATCGTTTCCTCCAAGTTCGAGTGTCACTCGTTTCAGAGTCTTGGCTGCGCTTTCTGCTACCTTTTTTCCAGTTTCAGTGGATCCGGTGAAACTGATCTTGTCGATCCCCGGATGAATGGTAATGAGCCTTCCGATATCGTTGTCTCCGTTGAGTGCTTGGAATACACCCCGCGGAAGCACGGATGACGCAAGCTCAGCGAATTTCAAAGTCGCACATGGGGTGAATGGCGACGGTTTAACAATGATGCAATTTCCCATGACGAGCGCTGCAGCAATCTTGCCGGCGGCTAGCACAAGCGGAAAATTCCAAGGGCAAATCGCACCCACCACTCCTATGGGGTGATGGATAGACACGATCTTGAGTTTATCATTTTCGTATTCAACTTTATCGGGAAATGACTGAGATGCTGGACTAGTAAGCCTTTTAATTGGAAAATAACTTTTGGATTGTAGATTTGAAATACCATTAAATCTGATAAAGGCCAAAGTATCATCAATTTCTATATTTGCGAGGAGTTTCTGAGAAGATTCTTAGCAGTATTCCCAATATGCACAATGTGAAAGGATTGAGTTACGGATTTTCCAGTCTCTGCTGCCAGAGGGACATGTATTTCATCTCTTCGCCGTTCTAGTTCATCGGCGAGTTTGAGTAGATACCCCTGTCTTTCTTCAACAGACAAGAGCTTCCATGATTTGAATGACACCCTTGCAGCTTCGACTGCGTCGTTAAGGTCTGTCTCATTTGCGACTGTCACCTCCCAGAGAACTTCATTGGTCCTGGGGCTCGTGACTGTCGCAGAATCTCGGGCCTGGCGCTCCGAGTTGATAATATTGTAGAACATTTTGAGATCTCAGAAATAGACAAAGACTTGATATGGAAACCTCATACAGCTGACTGCTCAATTAAATATTAAGCCCCAAGTGAATGGTGGGTCAACGGGTTTCTCCCACATTCGTGACGGGATTTATACATCATAAGGGAAATATACCCGAGGTGTGGAGAATTGCCGCCAGGGAGGGAGGAAGGTGGGATATATCCGAAGAGCATCACTCATCCCATCTATTTTCAGTTCTTATGTGTAAATACACAAACTAAAGGCTAATCTAGCTTATACTCCTGAATAAGCCCATGTTTGCCGTTGGATGTTGAACATTCCGACCATCAAATAATCACCATTACCAACCATCCCTCCCAAACATCCAAGTCAAAATGAGCTCTGGTTCGGAACAAAAAGCACCACCAGAACAGGTAGCTGCAGTGCTGCAAAATGTAAGAAACCCTGCTCTCTCAATGGGAGCTGTGAATATTGCTCTGACAATATGCTTTTCAGCAAGATTCCAAAATTTCTTTCGAAATACAGAAACTCCCGATCCCAACAATCGAGCCCCAAGAGGTTCTCGTTGAATTGGAAGTTACTGGTATCCGCGGGACCGATCTCTCACTTGCCCGCGGGCATCTTGGCCCATGTCAAACTATCCTAGGCCATGAGGGCGTAGGCCGGATTGTCGCCGTAGGCTCCTTGTGCACAAGCGAGGCAGCTACGGTAGGCCGTCTAGTTGGCATTGGATGGATTCGTGATGCGTGTGGAGACTGCCACGTATGTGGCGATATGAAAGATGAGACACGATGTCTAAAGCAGGTTTTCAGTGAGCGTGATGTGCCGGGTACGATGGCTAGATATACCGTCGTTCCGGAGAGGTATATCACGCTTCTGCCGGATGGAGTCCCTAGCAAGTTGCTAGCGCCGATGATGTGTGCCGGTGTAACAGCTTATAAAGCACTAAAGGTAGCAAACCTCGCGATAGGTTCGTGGGTAGGTATTTCTGGCGCTGCAGGTGGAGTGGGATTGTTAGCATTATCGTATGCAAAGCAGATGGGCTATCGACCTATCGCAATTGATGGAGGAGAGCGGCGAAGATCTCTTTGCATGGATGCAGGAGCAGATGTCTATTTGAATTTTGAAAAAGAGGACAACCTAAGGAGCGCCATGCTCCTAAAAACGGAGGGCAAACTTTGTTCTGCTATCGTGGTGTGCGCTGGAGCTGCAGCGGCCTACGAAGAGGCCTTGAATTGTGTCGATTACCACGGAACTCTTGTCGCAGTAGGCATCCCCCCACTCTCTTCAAAGATATCACTTCATCCCCTTCATTTGATCGATTATGGAATTCGGATCGTTGGGAGCATCACAGGCAACCGTGCGGATATTGCAGAAGCTGCAGAATTTGTTCGCAAGGATTTGGTGAAACCAAGAGTCATGGAAATTGGGATTCACGAATTAGAGAAGTATGTTGGACGTGTGAACGAATTGGACGCAAAGATTGTGGTACGGTTGGGTGAAGGGTTGAGCAAAGAAATGTTATGAGTTCTATGTGATCCCATCAAATATACATTACGGAGTACACACTCTTGACTTCAACAAGTATGACCTATATATTGAATTCAATTTTTACTCCCCCAATTTTTTAAGCTAAACTGTAAAAAAAAAAAATTTATGTAGGCAATTGGCTATAGTATTGAGATTATTTTGAATACTTAGTATACTATCCATTTGCCTCAAATTACAGCCTCAACTCCGCGCCCTATGCGCGGAAAAATACTTGCGTATTCCCGAAAACACTGGTATCGATATCCGACCGTATTGATTGTATGTCCAGGGTGGCATACTTAGTCGCCCGTAGAGTACTGAAACGGGCAACCCCGCACCGAAGAAAAAGGCCCGAGTTCCGTTCACCCTACTTCGGTGCCTTGATACCGGCAAGATGAAAATATCTATGTGTCTTCTGCTGTTGACGGGGGCTTACTCGGTAGATGCGAAAGGTAGCTTCCTCCAGTCTCCATCTATCGTTGGTACCAATATCAATACCGCAGAAGCGATCCATACCACCACCGTTAAGTATGATGGGGAGGATGGTATCTTGTTGCCCCAAAACAACCGCAATGGATGGGTCAACCCTGAAGATTTGGCTCCTATGCCACAGTGCATCGCTCAGCAAGATCAGTTCACCTGGCTGCGTGCCATGACGAAATGCACCAGCAAACGATGCACCTCCCACTTTGGATTTATCTGCACCCACCACCAATGGCTGACTGAACTCAGCTGCCTCAGCATTGCATTCTCCCCCGACCTTATCAAAAGTTATCTCCCATACTGTGGTCGATCGGTTCTCGCCAAAGCGCAGTTATATCAATGGATTCACATTATCACAGGTCGAACGTGGCTTGTCGATGTCGGCGACGCGAGCGGTCTGCAAATTCTCTCACCAGATTCCCTAGCTGAAGGGTATGCATCCGTTGACGTGATTCACAATGCACCGAAATGTCTGAGATACTCCGTTTCTGCTTTATCTATGGAACCATTTCAACATGTAATGGCCTCCTGTGGTTTCACAAGCACTACCCAACACATCGGAAACGCTGCTCGTCCCTGGGAATATAGTGAAAGGCTACGGTCTATGATCGCTCTGGATTTTGAAACTGTTGGTTACGATCTTGTCCAGCGTCGCATCTACGATCTGGTCCTGCATCGCATTAGTGATGGCGACTATTTTGACAAAGATTGCTTCTGCAACAACTTCAATATAGATCTCAACAAGGAACCTTGTTCAGGGTCAGGACAATTGGACTTCACGAAGGAGCGTCTATGGATTTATGCCACCTGTGGGCCGACATCCTTACCCGAGAACTGGGCGGGCACACTCAAAACCACCCCATTCGCGTACATTTCCATCGAAGATTGGCACTGGCCCAAATGCGTCGCAGATATGCCGGAGCAGGTGATTGAGCTTACTGATCAGTGTGCAACCGATGCTTGTGAGGTCGGTGTCGGTGGCTACTGCGAAATCAAGCGCGCAGTTGACAGGGCTTGCTTTTGTTCCAACATCAACTACGATTCCTGCGGAGGGTCGTGCCAGATATTTGAGACACGAATTGACTATATCAAGTGGCTCCATGATCTTTGTGGCAATGTGCAGGACTGGCACGGTCTGCCAGATAATTGGCGTCAATTAGCCGTCCCTACCACCCTCGACATAATTCCATGGCGTTGGGAATTGAAGCCATCCAACGATTCAGACATTACCCATACCCCCTATTTGGGAGACGCCGGAGTAACAGAAACATGTGCCTCGAATGAGTCCAAACTCACAAGCTTTGCTCTAGTCAATATAGCTACTTTCCTTGCAGTAGCTCTCAGCCAGAGAACAGGGATAGTACGTCGAATCGCACGCCACTTTCCATGGAACTTGCAGCCGTGGTCATGGGTTGTCAAGGGAACATTAATCGCCGCTCTACACCTCCTTGCAAACCTGTTCAATGTCTTTTTTATTCAACAAACCCATGGCTATGAGAACGTTTCCGTTATTCAATTAATACTCCTCTGGAGCTCAATGCCCCGGCCTACTTGGCTGACGATTTTGTTGATTGGTGTCCCAACCTTTAGAGATTCGAAGTTTTTTGCGGTCGGCTCTTCGCTATTTGCTGAAGTGATTCTCCAGTTTTTATCAGCATATTACCTGCTTATGACCGCTCATTATGGTATAAATCACCATTTCTACTTCGGAGGTATGGACGGAGCGGAGAGAGTGGGACCTGCAAAAACGATGTATGCTGGAGCACTCGTGTGGCTTATCATCGTTAGCGTGGTGATTTCTCAGTTAATACGGGCTATTAGGATGAAAAGGTTGACTGGTCCTAATTTCGACACACCAGAATGGCAGGGAGGCAAGCAGACAACATCGAAGATTGAGGAACTGATGGACCACTTAGATGAATGTTGCACAAGGTTCATGGGGAGTAGGGGCTCAGAAAAATCACCGTTAATAAAGATTAAAGGACGAGATCGCATGGATTATGGCACTTGCTCTGTTGAAGGCCAAGATGACCGGGTTTCCCAGAAATCATTTGTGGGATTGTATGCGGCTACGGTCATCAGTATGCTCCTTCTCTGGATTGCGCAGTGGCTCTTTTGGGGTGGATTTATTGGTCTTAGTTCGGAAGAGTACGTATTGCACAGTCATTACTTGGTCTATATCAACTAACCGAATATAGGTTCTGTCCCCCTCAACTATGGGTCCTCACGGCTATCTGGACTGCGTTTTCATTAGTAGGCGCTATTATAATTATTTAGCCAAGTTTATTGTCCATTTCGAGCCCTAGATCTATGAGCGTGTTTCATGAACTATTCGAAAAACCCGCTCTCATAACAATATAAATCTAAAATTGTCCATTTTCGTTAGCTAATGCCACGGGCACCTTGGCATCCCTGCGTCGGTCACTATTGTTGAAAATTAACATTCAAAGGCCCATGGGACAACGATATTCAATTTTAAGAGATGATGATGGTAGTGGTATTGATGTTGAAGGAAAAAGTCCGGGTGGGCTTCCTTAATGGAAAGCCCACCCCCTAAATACCGCCTGACTACTCCGCCACACTTGGAAAGAGATACCCTCGGGTGTACCCGTGCTCAGGTGGACCCTTAAGTGATTATATAAGAGCATTTAACCTCCAGGGCACCTGATAGGCCAGCCTTGGAAGAGATCATGCCTAAAGACAAACAGAACGTGTGTTTGTCATTGCAGCGGTGTATATATGTACATTAGGCCCTGAAATTGGTTGGCCAGCGCACACCGGCATCTTCAATTAGTTCTGTAACGCATAAAAATTGTGGTGGACATACCCCTCACTACATGATAAGAAGTGCGAGCGGAGAATCGCCACACCCGAGAGAGCGCCGCAGGTTTCACCCATAGATGGCAATCTTGTGACCGAGATGTCTGGAATGCGGGGACCCCACACTTGGGCTTGAATCCGAAGCAAGCTGAGAGACTCACTATTTAAACAAACTATGTAGGGATAGGCAAAGAACTTTCTACAACACAAATTTCATCTACCTTGGAAATTCAACTGTGCCCAAGATGCATCCCAACAGTGTCATCATTGGAACTACGGCCCAAAACACAACGAAACGAATCGCCTCTTATCTGTCTTCAAGCCTTGACTTATTGGAGAAATTATGGAATTTCTATGGGCCGATTTTTATAGCAAGCCTTGCATTGCTTTGGATGCTCCAGGCCCTTTACAACAAGTTCTTCCACTCATTGAGCAAAGTTCCCGGTCCAGGATTGGCGAGTGTTAGTGAGTTGTGGAGAACAATGCGCTACTTCCGCGGAACATGGCACGATGATATTGTTTCTCTGCACCGAAAGTACGGCAACGTCGTGCGAATTGCACCCGATGAGGTAAGCTTTGTGGATGCAACTGCTCTGAAGAGTATATATGGGATGGGTAAAACTTCGCTGAAGGTCAGTACTAAACACATATTCAATTCTTTCTATCACTACACAACCGGTCTAAGACTGGTGGTATCGAAGCTGAATTTGGCCATCTGGGTACTAAGGTTTGTTGTCTTAGTCGAATTGGTATGATACCTGGCTCGTTCCGAACATGACGGCCAGTTTCTTCGCGGCCACTGAGCCCAAAGTGCATCGGCATTTACGTTCTCGCGTCTCAAATGCGTATTCAATGAGTTCTATTCTCTCCATGGAGCCTTTCATCCAAGAAGTAGCTTCCGAGCTATGGGGACGCTTTCGGGAATTCAGCAAATCATCCGAACCAGTGCCACTACATCTTTGGGGAAATTACTTTGCTTTCGAGGTTGTTGGCCAGCTCTCCCTTGGTGGAAAAATAGGATTTGTGGAAAGGGGCGAAGACGTGGATGGCATCATTAAGAGTATTCACGACGGCTTTTATCTCATGGCCAATATGGGAAATGTGCCACTCCAGATGTTTTGGTTCAATAACCCAATTTCGCAGTGGATGGTAAAGATGTTTGGTGGAGAACGTTTGAACTCTTTTAGCATTTTTCTGCAGTGGCTGGAGGAGCGAGTCATAGAGCGCATGACAAACGGACTAGGCAACAAAAGAAAGGATATGCTTCAACACTTTGTGGAAGCAAAAGATATGAATGGCCAGCCAGTCAAAAAGGGTGATGTGATGATTGAAGGGGTGAGCATTCTGGGTGCCGGGGCCGACACCACATCTATCAGCATTTTGGCAGTCGTAGGAGCAATTTTGACCCACCCTAAAGCGAAGAGGCAGCTACAGGATGAGCTTGAGCAAGCCTACAAAGAGCTGGGACTGGAAGGAACAGACTCGGAAATTGCCTTCAAGGATGCGGAAAAGCTCCCTTACCTCGCTGCCGTGATCAAGGAGAGCATGCGACTGCACCCTTCTATCAACTACCAGTTGCCGCGGGTTGTTCCCCCATCGGGAGTCCAGATAGGGGATCATTTCATAAAGTCGGGATCTATTTGCAGCATCAGCCCTACGACGATGAATCGTTCTAAGGATATTTTTGGTGCTGATGCAGAGGAGTGGAAACCTGAAAGATGGATTCCGGCCACGGAAAAGGACCAAGGCCGTATTTCAACAATGAACGGATTTCTCACTACGGTATGCTTGAGCTGGGATCCATTCTACGTGATACACGAGCTAACTGGAAACTGTCAGTTTGGAATGGGCGCTCGCAGCTGCGTGGGAAGAAATATTGCCCTCGTCGAGGTTCACAAGTTTATCGCTCAGTTCTTCTACCACTTCGACATCGAAGTGATTAACAAGGAAAAGCCCTGGGTCGTTAAGTCGCAGTGGTTTGCTATTCAGAAAGACTTTTGGGTGAAGATCAAAGAACGTGAGCACTAGCCTTGATTGCTACCAGGAAGTGAGCCCACATCGCGGTTGAACGGGTAACCTGATTTGAGGCACTGCTGTAGATATCTAGATGGAGGAGAGTCGACTATTTCACTGCATGTTCAGTGAGCTATGAGGAACGGGTGCTTTCCTATCCATTATTGTCTAATTTTTAGTCTATGAATGAGCATTTGTATCTCCACATGACAGAACTGTTATGATTTCCATTTCTTGTAATTGTTTCACAGTTAATGCAATAATTGTGTTGACCTTCAGTCATTAAGCTTTTTAGCAAATGTGAATATAACAAAACAAATATTTCCCTAGCTATGGGAGACATGGTGAATCTTTTACTACTGCGCCTCTCATGCTTGTAAGAGGTTGGGGGGATTGAGCCCCTGTGCCTGTTCTACGGAAGTTGAGGAAAACGCGGAAATGACCGTAATAACTATAATTGTGAGATATCTGGGTAGCTAAAGAGATAGGCTAGAAGATAGAAGCAATAAAAAAGACGGGGTTAGCCAAGGACGACTCTTCCTATACCGATGCCTCAACTAACGTGAGACTTCATCGCACACAATCCGTAAAGGTCCACTGATAGCACATTTTAATTATAACAATGGAGGTTTAAGTCGGAATGTTGGGATCAAGAAATTCATATTAAACTTGCACAGCCATCACTATTGCCCAGAAAGGGAAAAGTTTTCGAACTGCTTCATCAAATAATTAACCTGTTTCATGTTTGTCTCGTCAAACCTTTTAAGCATCCGCTCTGGTACAGTATTACAGCCCTCACGCCCATCAACTGGCCTCATTCTTTCAAGGATCACACTACAAAGTAACCAGAACTCCGATGCATCTTTCATAAACCCAACTCGCTTTCACATATGAAGCAAAGAGTTGTTATCAAAAGCGTCATCTGAATGACAAAGAATAGTCTCCCGGTGAACCCAGACCTTTCTCCAGTTTTGCAGTGCATTTTCAATTCTTTGGAACGCCTCTGAAGGTGCCATTGCGTTTTGAAGTTGGAAGACCAATGTATGTAAAGCTTTTTTACAACGTTTATTAGTATAAATAAGCTCGTAAGAGCATGGAAATATCTCCGTACCGGTGACTATAATGAAGAGATTGAGGTTTCCAAAGTGAGCGAAAAGCTCCATTTTCTCAACATGTAGATCTGGCTGAAATATTGTTTCAAGTACTGACGAAATGGAGTACTGATGATGGCGTGGAACCTTTTCTGCCCATGTAGTCAAGGCCGCGAGGCACTCTTTCGCAGTGAGTGCTTGGAAGCATTCATCCGGGCAATTGATGCTCATTGCTAATTCGGCGACGACCATTCTAGGCGGCATATTGTTGAAAATCACAAATTCCCCATCAAGGAGAAAGATAAAACTCAATATGCTGTAAAACCAGTAAGAGATTTGCTCATGTGATTATATAAAAGGTGGCAGACCGAATTTTCTCCTCTGTTTCAATAAAAAGATCCCATTCAAATACTCGTTCGTCACTTTGCAGCAACATATCCCGGTGAATAACTGAAGCAGGTTCGAGGTCTCGAGCAATCTGTAGATCATTAAGTGGGATGCTTCATGCAGCGACGGTACACGCGGAAAGAAGATAAGGGCAAAGCTTACTGCGATTAACGTGCTATATCGATGGAGTCTCACTCGACGCTTGTTAACATCTGAGCCCTCCCAATTTTGAAACAGGCAGACAAAATAGGCCGCCTGAAGAGATTGGAGGCGGTTCGATTCACCATCTAGATTCCGAGCCCAAGTTGATGTTGTGAAGTCTTCCTCGAGCCACTGCTCACTGAACACTATCTCTTCTATCGGATTGAACCAGGCTCTAGCAATTTGATTGTCGCTTTTATCCGGAGATAGGCAGGCCCCAATAATAACCATGGATGAGAGAAGAGACGGTGGGGCACTTAGCGGGTCAAAAGTCGGTCTGTGAATAATAGGACAATTGGGGTACCATGAGGACCAGAAGATTCGGAGAAATTTGCAGATATTGGGAGGAGAGAAGAAGATGAGACACATATTCTGAACCAAGTTCGACCATTCAAGAGCGATGAAGCTGTTTCTCGGTTTGTTTTGAACACTGTCTTTCACTCTATCAATTATCTCTTGGGTTTTCAAAGCCAGAGGGTGATGTGCCCAATCGTAAAGGGAAGGAATTCCCGGTCCGGACGGGAGCCGTGAATTCTCTAAGTTCGACAACTGATCCCATCGCCATGTATTTTGTAGCACATTCTCCATGTTGGACGATGATTCAGTGTCAATTGCTGCCATAGACGTACCGGAGGCTTGAGAGGCACCAAAGAAGTCATATGTCTCTTTTCGTGTAATTTCCCAATCAATTCCCTCGACCGCGGCGATCTGCTGTCGTTGAAATAGGCTTCCACAGCGGAAAGAGTTGGCAAACCCATTTGCGCTCGTGAAACTGGTTAGGAAGTCAAATTTTACAACTAGATTCTCATTTTCAGGACAAATCCCGGCCCAAATGGCATTGAGCGATGGTATGGAGAGATCGAGCGGCCACCATGTTGTTTCTAACTCGTCGAGAGAGGGTGGGGGCGGGGATATATCTGGCGGGGGAACCGAGTTGATGTGAGCTGACGATGTGGGCTGTGCTAATTCCAGGAGTGAAGGTTGGCCATCCAGCTCAAGCCTAGGAGGGCTAGCGACTTGTCCGTCTTCAGCGTGCATCCTTGTCGAGGGACCAGAGCTGAGTGGGTCGAGAGTCGTTTGCTTTTGCACGCCGTTATAGGAGCACTCAGTTTTCTTCGTGAGACATGTGCTGCAAGTGAAGCATAAATCGCAGGCTCGCTTTAATTTGGAGCACCGATCGCATGCTCTCTTCTTTCTCCCGCTGGCATGGTTAGGGGAGAAAGGGATGCCGAGGCCCTTGTTCAGTCGCGATTTGCACGATTTCCAGTGCCTTTTGAGTGCATCGCTTGAGTTTTACTTTAGCTTCATTATGTTCTAACCATATCAGTTGGGACCATACCGCCGATTGAAAGGCTGCCCACAAAAGGAACACGCGTACGGCCTAGTACTTCCATCTAGGAAAAGCGTCGTGAGAAATCAATCAGTGAAGAAATATGTAAATATTCTGATATGGGCAGTGCTTCAATACCACCAATAACAGATGTAGCGGTGGGCCTTACGGGTCAAGAGATGGCGCTCTAAATGCTGCATACGGTAGAATTTGGCAGTGCAGAGAGGGCATTCCATATCGATATGAAGAATGATATCTGGATATTGGTAAAAAACTATTCACTCTCCACGCAAATTGAGCTGTATGATAGATGTTATGATTATCAACAATGATGAAAGTGAGATTATAATCCATGTGTTCATGTGTTTCTATAACCCCCACAGCCCGGTCTAGGGAGGCCCGGGGCACCTGGGCCCCGCCCGCCCGGGCGCCCGGTACCTCCCGCTTACCTCATCTTAACACAGCCGGGCCGACCCTTCCTCCGGGATGCATAACCCCATGGACTTTTCTCCACATTCTTACGTTTTTTATTCGGAAATTTTGTGAATAACACATTTATGTAGCTTGAAAAACAATGGCAGTCTATATATGATGTCATTTTACGGTGGTCCAGGAGAAAATCCGCCGCTCAATTGCTACAATACCGCACCGAATTGGATCACTTTCCTACATTATTGTCGGTTTTTTGACCTACCGAAAATAGCAAAGATCATAAGCCCCCGGAGCACACCACTCTCCCTAGCAATATTGACAAACAGAACAGGAACCCTGACTTCATGATATTGAGTCGTAGCTTTAACAAGTGAACGGGAGAATCCCTCAAACCCCCCGTCACCCCGTGGGGAAATTGGACCAAATAGGAAAACATACTGAGCTACCTAGGTATCCGGCTACTGTGGAGCCCCAGTGTTTCTTACTTCCCTTCGCGAGTCACCGAGCTCCGGGAGCAGCGCTAGTGGGTGCGGACCGGCGGAGAATGTCCGCCCCCAGCGGTAAATCCCCACACCACCGGCTATAGACCACGGAGAGTGAATAGGATTTGCTATAGTGTCTCCCGCATTAGTATCAGTTGTGGAGATTGCTAGCTGGGGCTGGTGGTTCAGAACGGAAACAAAACCACGAGCGGAGCAAGTGATTAAACATTTCTTTCAAATAGTGCACACAGTCTCGCCAATTTTCTTCTTCAATCTTCTCTTCAACCTTCTCTTACTCTTACTGATACGACGTCAGTCGCTTTCTCCTTACATTTCGGCAAGATGACCAAAACCCCCGCATCCGGTCAACCGCTAAAGTTCAAACCTTTGGCTTTGCCACCAAAGTTGACGAACGGTGATTTCAACGAATTCATCCAAGAGGTCATTGAACTTGTCGGCACCGAAAATGTTGAAGTCATAACCTCGAAGGACCAGATTGAGGATGGTTCTTACATGAACCCTAGACATACACACGATCCTCATCACATCATGGAACAAGACTATTTTCTTGCCTCCGCAATCGTTGCTCCTCGTAATGTCGCAGACGTACAGTATGCAATCCCTGAAAAGAACTGGAATGGATCTTCTGAGAGGAAATGCTGACTTCTTTTGACAGAGCTATTGTGCGACTTGCCAATAAAATCTCATTTCCCCTTTGGCCTATCTCTATCGGAAGAAACTATGGATATGGTGGTGCTGCACCAAGGGTCAGTGGTAGTATCGTGATGGACATGGGAAAAAACCTGAACAGGGTCCTAGACGTCAACGAGGAAGGTGCATATTGCCTGGTAGAGCCTGGTAAGTATTGAGATTCTTACAGCATATCCAGAGAATTCGTTTCCTAATTCTTGGATATGAAGGTGTAACATTTCATAATTTGTATGACTATCTTGTGGCCAACAATCTTTGGGATAAACTTTGGATGGATGTACCGGATCTTGGTGGCGGTTCTGTTCTCGGCAATGCCGTTGAGCGAGGAGTGGGCTACACGCCCTACGGAGGTTAGTGTCGCTCAGTGAAGACAACGCACAGGTCAGGTCTGTCCTTACACTGAATTTATCACAGATCATTGGATGATGCATTGTGGTATGGAGGTCGTGCTACCAAATGGCGAGCTTATTCGGACTGGTATGGGGGCTCTCCCAGACCCCGAACGCCCCGAAACTATGGGTCTGAGGCCAGAATACCAGCCCTGGAACAAAACTGCTCATCTTTTCCCTTACGGTTTTGGCCCATACATTGATGGACTTTTCAGTCAGTCTAATATGGGAATCGTGACAAAGCTCGGTATGTGGCTAATGCCGAACCCGGGTGGATATCAATCCTACTTGATCACACTTCCCAAAGAAGAGGACTTGAAGCAAGCAGTTGATATCATTCGGCCCCTTCGACTGAATATGGCGCTTCAGAATGTGCCTACTATTCGTCACATCCTCTTGGATGCTGCAGTGCTTGGTGATAAGGCATCCTATTCCTCAAAGACCGAGCCTCTCTCCGACGAGGACCTGGACAGGATCGCTAAGCAGCTAAATCTAGGACGGTGGAATTTCTATGGAGCTCTCTATGTGAGTACTGATCCCCAGTCGCGTTGTGAAGCTTTCCACTAATTCCTTACAGGGACCTGACCGGATCCGCAATGCTCTCTGGGAGACGGTGAAAGAGGCCTTCTTGGTTATTCCCGGTGTCAAGTTTTACTTCCCGGAAGACACCGCCGAGAACTCAATTCTTCGTGTCCGTCACAAAACTATGCAAGGTATTCCAACATACGACGAGCTCAAATGGATTGACTGGGTCCCTAATGGCGCCCATCTGTTTTTCTCTCCCATTGCAAAAGTAGCCGGCGAAGATGCAATGTTGCAATACGGAATCACCAAACAGAGATGCCAAGAGGCTGGCTTGGACTTCATCGGGACCTTCACGGTCGGTATGAGAGAGATGCGTAAGTCCGCCCTAGAGACCGTCATCAAGTCTTCCTAATATTGCTTGGCATAACTAATATTCAGGCTACTTTCTAGATCATATCGTGTGTATTGTATTCAACAAAAAGGATCTCCAGCAAAAGAAAAAGGTTCAGTGGCTCATCAGGACGCTTATCGACGACTGTGCGGCCAACGGATGGGGCGAGTATCGAACCCATCTGGCTGTCATGGACCAAATCATGGGAACCTACAACTGGAACAACAGCAGTTTCTTGAAATTTAACGAGGTTATCAAAAATGCAATCGATCCCAATGGCATCATTGCCCCTGGGAAGTCGGGTGTTTGGCCCACCAAATACAGTCAAGTGGGCTGGAAACTGTGACTATGATGATACTGAACTTTAAGTATCTGTGATCAGCAGACAGCTCAACATCTACAATTCTCCAAGAACTCTCGGGCCTCCATCGCCTAGAGCCCTCTTTGGGACTGCCGTTTATTCTCGAGGTATAGCTGCACCCACTTCAGCTATCCAGAATGAACTGTTTTTCTAGTGTCCAATATGAATCAACGTGGTACTGTACATGTAACATCTGTTCTTTGACTCGTTGTGGAACGGAGGGGTAACAGAAAGTATGCACACCTCCTATAAATGTATCCTTACTGGCGCACATAATTATGTCATATCTAGGTTCAATCCATCGCTAGGATATACCATCTAGTCTATCAATTGTTTTTTTCAAGGCATTCATGTAAGGCAAATCCTCCCGCATCAAATCTTCGGCCCAATGATGAGATTGGCTCGTGCTTACCGGAGTAATGTCCTTTTGTAGAAAGTCCTTCGAACTGCAAGCTCAGCCTCGTGTTGCTCAGTATTTGTCTTGGTGGCGTGGCTCTGTTCCCGATATTGCAGATCATCAATGCACTGACTAGGTTTCATATCGCCAAGTACTAAGTACCACTAGCCCGATGCACAGGCAATCTTCCAATCGCTGTTGGGCTGATGAGTTGTTATCAACTATGAGAGTTCACCTGAGGAGTATCTTCCGTAATTTCGCGGAGATGAGAGGTGTAAAGCTGCACATCCATGGAGGCTTACACCCTGTATCCCTGGATGAACTTTGACATCGTTCCATCAGAGGTACTAGTACACAAATATACAGCTGCATATTCAAAAACATTTACGAGGTTGAACTTGACCTCGAGCCACGTTGCGAAAGAAAAAATTGACATTTGGAACTCCTACCTAACCTGGAATGATGGTTTCAAATCTCTCACTTGCATTCAAACTGTATGTTGGGGTTACGATCGATAACTAGGAAGTTGAAGCGACCTAGGCAATATACATCGCAGCGTGGATTAGACTAAAGAAAAGACTCAAATTTAGCAAAGCTTCCTCTGTTCTTTTCTGTAGTTGATCTGGAAGAAGTGTATTGGATTTCCTTTCAGACGGCAACCACAATTTCGCCTGAAGAGCACTTGGAAGAATACAGTGCAATCGAGAATGAAAGTTAACTTCAGGCTATACATGCGACTAAGCTCGTGTATGTGATTGGCAACTTAAGAAATTTGCAGTACCGTATAGGGTGGCATCGCTTACAAGGCGTTCTAACGTAGGGTGGCACCGCATATAAGACATCCCGATATACGGGAGTCCCCTCAATAGTTGATCTGCGCCAAGACCTAGGCACCGGGAACTAACTCTAGGGCCGAGCTGATGGGGGTTCGTCCCTAGGAGGGCACGAGCACCCCACCATGCACACCGAAAACAATCATCAGCTTCTCGGTGGAAGATATCAATTTGCCAGATAGACGCACGGACTAGTATTGATGTCATCCAATCGATTTGGAAGGATAGTGGTAATTTAACATGTTTTCAGCTCGACAGGTCACATGCATGGTATACTGGATTGCCTGATTGATGACATGCACAACTGATCAAACTGGGATTGATCTCCAAAGTGAGGCTAATCCTGGGATTATTTATCGAGCAGATAAAATGAGCATAAATATGGCCTCAACCCTCTCACTTAAGTGACAGGTGTCCTCCTTGCATAATCAGATCCTTTACATATATATTCCTGCAAGCAGAAGCAGCCAGATATCCACCCGATTACGCAACAGCGCTCAGCGAAACTCGGGAATTTCAGAATGCTATGCACCTCATGCGGCATTCCAACATCAAGACAGGATTCTAGCTCCCCTCGAGCAAAGGCGGCGGTGGCGGATCGCCGCCGTGAGCAGAATCGTCGGGCACAGAAGCGATTCAGACGTTAGTGAAATTGCCCACCATGAAATGTCGATGATATTGACTTTTCGATCGCTCATGAGCAGAGAAAAATCGCGAGCGGAAAGCAACCCCAGACCAAGATCAATCACATCCACAAAACGGCGCCTCCGATACCCTCGACGATATTAGTCCATTAGCCTCCTGCGCATTGACACCACTCACATTGCCCATTCCAATGTGCACGAGTCGCAGGCAGTCTTCAATATGCCGTTATGATGAGAATCGCGGAGATATTGTGATTGATTATGATTTCCTTTTGGATCCCAACGATCGCGGGATGAACAAAGGCGCGGACGATTTCTGGACAACGACACTGAAACACACGGCACCCTTTGCTTCTACTGCCCTTGTTCCCCCTTTAGAGCTGAAAGACTCAAGAGCATATCATACAACGAGCAACCCGGGTGATTCTGTCGATCACAACGAAAGTGACAGAGTGCCAGCAGTACCGACCGTGCTTCATCGAGCAGTGCAGACTGGAAATAGCAAGGTTGTATGCCTTTTACTAGAGCATAACGCCGATTGCAACTCGAAAGACAAAGCTGGCCTGACGCCTCTGTTGTATGCGGTGATCGGAGGCCATGAGGAAATATTAGAACTATTGCTATTACATGGGGCCAGTATAGCACATGTTGATAATGGTCACTGGTCGGCCCTCCACTGGGCTGTGTTCCATAATCGTCACAGTATGTTGGACCGGCTTCTGAGATATTGCGGTGGGGACACTTCGTTGCTGAACATACGAGACAAGGACGGGCAGACACCGCTATCAGTCGCGGTTGGCGCGGGAAGTGAGGTGGCTGTGAAACTACTACTAGAATTTGGGGCCACAGTCAACGTAGAATGAGTGAGTATATTTGCATCTCCACATATAGAAGCTCGACGTCATCATCACAAATGATATATATTTTTCTAACCTCAAGTCTAAAATCGTTTCGTTTGTTCTTGTAGTATGTGTTGTGACTAAAGGGACGGACGAGGTGGGGCGGCAGTTATATACTGCATGGATTTCGAACAGACATAGGCCTCGGACCTTGAATTTGACCCGAATGCCACTCTGCTTGTTGAATAAGAAGTCATGAGTCGTCCAGTCTTTACTCGGGTCCACTAAACCAAAATCGAATTTGTGAATCAATAGTGGTACCATTTTGTATATCTCGCTAAGAGAAACCTATAACGACATTAGCTACCTCGTAATATAGTTCACCTATGTAGTATCTGAATCGACTCACCTGCTGGCCAATGCAACGAGGTACCTGCCCCAAACACCAGGTTGTTGCATCTGTGTATGTCGTAGTTAGTGTTCATTCCATCTTTCTGGATGAAAAATTTTGGCATCTGGGCCATATAAACCCCCATCTTGCCTTACGACGGCCGCGTTCATACCAACTTTCCATCCTGGAGGGATGTACGTTCCTGCTCACTTAATCCCATTCTTACCGAAGACCTGAGGCACATTGCATCTAACGCCAGGATGTAACCGCAATGCCTCATTAATCTTTGCCTTGAGAAATGGGAGATGGAAGGTTTCGGAATAATTGGGGAGTTCGAATAATTTTCTGCTCTCCGCGGCTTGGTAAATCTCCTTCCCAACTCTTCATGTATAGAACGATATCTTGCAAGGTAAAGAACACTGCTTGCAGCTCAATCGTAATTGGATCCGCTCCTGCAGTTCTACCATTTAGTCATGCGTATCAGCGGATTGCATCTGCGTGCGGTAGAACTGGGGGTAAGGAAACCCATAATCAGCCCACAGAGCGACGGAACCGCAGCCGTTGCTAGTACGGGAAGCATTAACTTCAAAGATGCGAGAAAGGCCTGGCTCCCATCATTCTCAATAAAGCCAAGGGAGTGGCCAAAAGAGGGCTCTCCAGCAAATTTATAGACGTACCTAGCAAATGAATTTCATCAATATGTAGCCTTATAGACCAGGAAGAGAATGAGTCTCAATATAGAAACCAATCTCCGAGATCAAATTGTTTCAGGTGCCCAGGCAGGTGGAATGGTTCGCTGAGTCATACGCTCGACGAACAAGCGACTAAAGTCGTCAATGTATGACTTCAAGGTCAAGACAGTAGACATACTGTACACGCTGCTCATTATGCGTCTCCGCTCAAATTCATCTTTTCGTCGACGATGGTAAACGGTTTGGGATATTTGGAGAGGCTCCCGCATCCCAGATATGATAGAAATCAGACTCGTTGAGTGGTGAGATTGTGCTGTATATCTTGCGAATGGCCTCGGGATCTGCATAGGCAATCTCATCTGGTGCGATGCGAAAAGTTGGTCCACATCTTTCACATTGCAACACATCCAGACCTCCTCTTGATATAGAATCGGTCAGCTATAGTAGGGTGATAGATGACCAGAACAACCCAGGAAATTTGCTGAGAGGATGGAATGTCCGGCAGTAGATACACCACGATAAGACATACCAAAAGGTGGCAACCAAACTTGTAACAAGAATAAAGCTAATACTCTTTATCTTGTATGATTTTCACCATTTGAGATTTCGGTCAGAGTTTATCAAGCTAGATAGGGTCCACCTTCACTATGGCCATTTCACTGGAATGCCACACTAGTTCGGCAGTATTCATGGCCGAGTGTTTTGTAGTCATAAGCTGGAGTGTAATCAGTATCATTACTAGTAATTTGCTTAGTCCTGGGTAGTAAGCCATGATTATACAAGATTACGCCAAGCTCCCAGGGTGCTTACGGATGATGATCCATGTAGTTGAGTAACCCTAAATATGACAGTAACAAAACAGTTTCCAAAGAAAAGACTACGAGCACTGAGACGTAATAATACTGTGCCAGTACTCTATTGGTTAGCACATCTCACAAGCTAAGACTCCGCGAGAGAGAGAGGAACACGTATCTGCAGGCTAAGCTTACACTATCATATCAGTGTGGGGATCATCGCCTCACTTTGTTCGTTCAGTTCGTTGACAAGCTAGATGGACGGGGTTCCTCACTTTACCTGATAGGAGGTCAGCCGGGTAGAACAACAAATATGATGACTACCCTATTCGTGTATCATGACTGTATGCTGTGTGTTTTTTGATGATTGGTATCTGCAAGTAGTGCTTAGTACTGGTTTGCACTTCGACCAATTAGTTCACCAGTTGTGTGTTATGATATGGCAAAAACTGCTTTTACCTCCGGTGCCAGTGGCCTCCGTGGTAGCGCCATTATTAAGCATGCCTGCAACACAACCACCTCTGACAACCGGGACTCCATTATAGTCACATTGAGGAGCCCTTTTGAGTGTATCTTCGCGGACCCTCGGATTAAGTTTATCGTACTCAACTTCACATATGATGTTTCCTACCCAGAGGAAAAGATGAAGGAGGTCTGTGGCCCTGTCAGCTATGCATAACTTTGTTCCTACCTTCACAAGGACGATTTCGCAGAGTCGTACGCTGTAAACAAAACCCTGTTCGAAAACTTCCTCACGGCTATCGACAATACAGCGCCCAAGTTGGAGAATATTACGCTTCCGAGTGGGAGGAAGTACTACAATCTCCATATCGAACTCGTGCCATCTCCAGTGCAAGAAAGCAGCCCGCGCTGCTATGGACCATTCGAAAGCTTATATTTCCGCTAAGAAGACAAAATCACTGAGATGCAGCGTTGCAAGACCTGGTCGTGGAATGTCATCCGGTCCGAGGCTATCATCGATGCAAACCAGTAGCCCTATGGCCTGAATAAGCCCCTGGCCATTGCTATGTACTTCTTGATCTGTCGCAAGATGTGGATCTCCGCCTCAATGCCGACGAAGCAGCGATATTGGGAGGGCGCCGAGGACATGTCGTACGCATCTTTGATTGCTGACCTGACTATATTTGCTTTGACCCAGAGATTATGCGCCAATGAGGCCTTCAACGTCACCAAGGGGCAGTATTTTTCTTGGCTGTATATGTGGCCACGTCTTGCGAAATGTCTCGGCGCGAAAGCCAAGTAACAGCTGCATTTCGAAAAATTTGTGCCCAGAGAGGGCGGGTTGCAGGTCGAATAGAGCCTGGCCGAGTGTTGTTAGGACGAACGTAAGGTATTGGAGGACTTGTGCAATCGTGAGGGTTTGCCGGGTGCCAAAGCGATATTTGACATTGACGACTGGGATTTTGGAGACTTTCTCTTTCAGCGGACGTGGAGTGCTACACTGAGAGTGAACAAAGAGCATTGTTTCGGATGGACTGATCACATTAATCCTTACCAATCGTTTGTCAATATGTTCAACAAATTGAGACAGCTCAGGTTGATACCCATGTGATGCATGGAGTGTCGTTTGTCAGCTCATCAAAACTCGTTTCCTGCACATAGCTGAAAATGCTATTATTAGTTTGCGGTCCCCAGCTCGTTCACCAAATAATATAAATTTCACTCAGCTCTGGCAGACTTGGTCGATTCTCTTCCAGAAACTTTGAGAATAGTTGCCGTAGAATATTACCCTCTAGCCCAATTAAATCTTACCAATTTATTGAAATATACATATATCGAGATTTTAAAGCAAGTAATTAGGTGGGTTGGCAACTTCAATGAACAATGAAAGCATCCAATGAAGCAGACAGTGGAATTACTGTGAGGTCACAGTCCATTTCCACAGGTCTATGATCACAAGCTAATGAAACCACGTTCCTCTACTCTCTCTTCAATCTGGCCTCCATAATTGGCCAGTTTTTCGGCGAGGTCGTTGTCTCTAATACCTCCAACCCGGCCTTCTCCAACAATGCCTTCTGTTCTGCTTCAGACCTCTGCCCACCTCCACATGACGCCAACATACTCAAGTCGTATCTTGTGATATTTTTAGCTGGGTTGACGTCTGTCATTAGGGCCTCATGAATCAATACTCTCGATTCTGGACCCATAGCCGCGGCAATTCGTGAGAGGTATTGGACGACCATGTGGTCGGCATGATTGTGCAGGACACTACGAAGATAGTAGATGTAGGCGCCTTTGATAGGTTGTGGGTACGACAGGTCGTGGTCCATGATTTCAACGTCGGGAAGAGAGGCAGCCGTGATCTTGCTAGTGACTTGAAGAAGGTCTTGCAAAATGATGCGACCCCGAGAACGTGGGAAGGCGTTGCGAACACGCATAGCCTGATGACCCAGACCGCCGGCACTGGGTGAGACAGCATTAGTTTGAATCTTCCTTTTTCTTTTCTTCACTCAAGGGGGTGATGCTCACATATCAACGAAAAGGATATCATCGGCGGTAGAGTTGGCGAAGATAGTTTCAAACGGGTAGACGTGAACAAGATTCTCCTCCTCGGTGATACGGGGGATTGTCATGTAATCGTTGAAGTATTTGCTGAGACGCGGGTCATCTGACATGCTCTCCCAAAATGATTTGGTGGTATTGGCCCCGACCTGCCAGCCACAATGATTTGCGTCAGGTATCACTTTGTAATTGTTTTCACGAAGCCAGGTAGGAAGAGCAAAATATGAGGGCATCAACCCCACTCTGAGTTTATCACTATTAGCAGCCGTATTGTAAGTAGGGGAATGTGAGATACTCACTGAGTCATGACGTTGCCTTTCCTGTATGGCTGTACGTAGTCCCTAGTGATTGCATTTGCTGCATATTGGCCCAAGGAGATCTGGTCAACCATATAATGTGCATCCAGCAGACGCATGATTCGAGCAACCAAGCCTGGATCGGCATCAAGTTCTTTAGCAATATCGGCGGTGCTGAGTGACCCCGAGTGCTTGGAGAGAAGGTCAAATATGCCCATCTCACAAGCAACCCCGGTACCAAACAGCTCAAGTGGACCCCAAGTCTGCGCGTCGGCAAAAGTCATAGGGGTATGGAGTTGATGTACAGCCTTTTCAGCAAGGTGCAATGCACGAGTGCGAACAGCCTCATCCTCAGTGCCAGAAGAGAATAATGTAGAAGCTCGACTGCAGAGAGCTTCGAATTCCTGAATCCATTCCTCAGTGGTAGACATATTGATATGGTGGATTAGTTATGGGATTGGCTAGCTAAGAGGCGAAGGCCATATGGAGACTTCAAATCTTTTATACCCTATAAACAGAACGCTGAGCACGTCAAAAAGCTACATCTGCACGTCTATTGAAGTATTACAGCCAGATCCACAGATGGTATGCTTACATGCATGCAAATATGACACCATGTATGATGACAGGTCATGAAAGACGGCTTACATCGCTGATTACATCCACGAGCTTACATGTAAACGCTGATACATAACAAGGATGACACGGACCAAAAATCGTAATTCATGTGGGAAACTGGAAAAAAAGTACATAATGTCTTATGCGTCCATACTCAATGTAACAATGATCTTTGTAACCCCATCCACTGTCCAACTTGAGAATACTTCGTTGTCATTGTCACTCCGACTGCTTTCATCAAACTTTGTCTCATGACGCCTGGTCAGTTCAGTCGCATCCATGCCCTTGTGGCAGAAATTGCAGACTTGAGTGGAACCTTCAAGGGTTCTTCTGAGCAGTTTATGGTCGATAGCTCGCCATTCTTGAAGAAATCCGAGGAACTTGCCGCTCTTGTGCAGTCCCCCGAAGAGCATGCTACATCATTGATTCTCAGGACAATGGAAACGGCTGTTATTAGGACACTACTGTCGTTGAATGTCATACAGACTATTCCGAGTACAGGTTCTATCTCCCTCCAAGACCTTGCGCTGGCCACCAAAACCCAGGCATCCCTACTCGAGCGTCTCCTGAGAGTAGTGACAAGAACAGATTTTATTATTCGCGAGAATGGAGGATATCGCCACACGCACACATCATTGGCCTATAATGGTTTGCTTGGGGCGCTTTTCGCGCCGTGTTATGACGAAGGAATTCGCGCCTTGATTAGGCTGCCCGAGTACCTGGCTGTGAAGGATAAGGAAGAGGCAAAAAGCGCTATGCACAGTCCGTTCACGTGGAATGAAGGCCATGATGGCAAGGCTACATTCGAGATTCTGTCCACAATGCCAGAAAGAATGGAAGGCGTACACACTTTGGCAATGAATGTCCAACATTTGCGGCCATACGCAGGCGTATTTGACTATGCCAAAATTGCCTGCGAGGATAGTGAAAGAATCGTGTTCGTGGATGTGGGTGGGGGAAGTGGACATGTTATTAAGGAGATCCTGCAAGCATTCCCTCAGATACGACCTGAACAGTGCGTCTTGGAAGATCGCGCAGAGACGCTTGAGCTAGCCAGGACGACGGGATTGCTTCCCTCTGGCGTGCAGCTTCTTGAGCATGACTACCTTGCTCGTCAGCCAATTTCAAATGCGAAGGCATACCACCTACGTGCAGTAGCTTATAATTTGGGCGATATCGAACTTGTCCAGCTGTTGAAGCAGATAGTACCAGTAATGGGGCCTGATTCAAAAGTTTTGATAGCCGAGAATATCCTATTTGCTGACAATGGCACTGCATTCAGTACCGTGTCAGATATGATTATGTTGTGCATTGGCGGCAAAGAAAGAACGGAGCGAAATTTCTGTGAAGTCCTCGATGAGGCCGGCCTGGTGATCGATGGAGTTCATCGTGCATCCGGGTTAGAGTACGGAATTGTGGAGGCAAGCTTGAAGATCTAATGAGCTTTCAGTAGCAAAGGGCAAGGAGCAATTTGAATAATTTTCTGCTATAAGAATGACGGGCATGTCGACGTAGAGATCGCCGTAGGCCACGCTCTCGCTGGGCGGTTGCGTATGTACGCTGTCGAGAATTAAAAAAGGAATTGGATCCACCCAATCCCAGAAAAGGGACGAGTTTGAAGCAAAGAAGCCTTTCGAGTGGTCTATGGTTCGCGCACACTGAGGATACTTGATATAGGTGTTAATACATATTGTAGTGGGGAACCTCGTCCTCCACTACTATGGGCCCTGCTATGCCCTCCTCTTTCTTTATTTCGGAGCTTCATTATGTAATCATTAGGGTACGAAGGGTATAACTAGTAGGTAGCAGATAGATGCAGATTGAGAAAAACACATCCCTATACCTCTCTGAATTCATCCCGTTGGAAGGAGCCCTAGTACCTTCTGTATGCTAGCTGAGTATGGTGCTGAATTGCGAGTGCTGAATTGACCCGTATGCCTGAGAACACACCTCCTTGAGCGTTCCCCTCTTCAATATGTAACTGACAGTGCAGCCCCCAGCTTAGATGGATATAGTCTTTCTCCTTCTACCAGTTCAGATGGCATTATCTTTCTCTGCTTTGCTTACTATTTGTAACTCATATAATAGTTGTTACTTGAAATCACTGCATGATCTGATATACCTTCAGGCTTACTAGTTCTTCACAATTCTATTTGCCCACGCAGCATTCCTGAGCCACCCGCATACGTATGTTACCTAGTAGTTTGTAGCATAAATATAGTCATAAAACCTTTGTATTAAAGACCGGGTTGATCAAATTTGTGGAAATAACCGTATTCTAAAACCTGGAGCTTGTAATGTACGGGCCATGCATCCACTTTCTTGCAACCTAGTAATCATGTATTGCTTACATTGTTTATTGCTTACACCCTCATAATCACTCGTTGCTTATATGCAAACCATCACGAATTGAGTTGGCGCAAGTTGCTTAGCCTTTGTCAACACATGAGGGTTCACTCGCATTGGAAACTATAAATAAGGCCCAGAGCTTTTCCATAGCATGGTCTGAGTACTATTTGTCGATCTTCAAGTATTACGAAAATATGGCCTTCAATACAAGTCGATCAGTTTGCTTGGCAAAGATCATCGCTGAAAACACCACCAAAATTGAGATATATCGTGAAGAACAAGGATTGCCCCCCTTAGTTTGGGCCCTGATGCACCGCTTGATGTGAAATATCCAGATAGCGTGGAAGGATGCCGACGGGCACTTATCGATGCTACACTCGAGCTAAGTGACCTAGCGATGGGTCCTGTTGAGCTTCGTTTACTACCTGGATGGGCAGTTTTAACCATGTTCGGCGTGACACAATTCATCTTCGACTTTGACATAGCCCAGCATGTGCCTCTTACAGGCGATGTCTCTTATGATGACCTCTCCAAGACAGTTAACGTCGGTACATCCGTACTCCGTCAGGTTCTGCGGGCGGGAATGCCCTACCATATGTTCTACGAGCCACGGCCAGGCCACGTGGCACATACGGCGACGACCAAGGTCATGGCGCGAGATCCACTGATCAAAGACTGGAGCAGTTTATCTACAGATATCATATTTACTGCTGGTACTGGGCTGACCGAAGCCTTGAGAAAGGAACCCGCGGCTAATGACCCCGCTAAAACTGGCTTCACGTTCGCCAAAGGAGCCAGCGAGTCTAGCATGTACATGTACCTTGAGCAGCACCCCGAGCTGGCTCGAAAGTTTACAGGTGTCATGAGGGCTTTTCAAAAAGATGAGGCGTACTCACCACGACATCTCATCAACACCTGGCCGAAGGATTTGCAGACCGGCAAACTTGTCGACATAGGCGGATCTACGGGAGCCGTGGCCTTTGCGCTGGCCGATGAGTTCCCAGGACTTGAGATCGTGGTCCAGGACCTACCCGGGGCACTTGAAACCGCTCAAGTTCGAGAGTCCAATAATGTGTCGTTCATGCCTCATGACTTTTTCAACGACCAACCTGTCAAGGACGCTGACGCGTATGTGAAGGCCAATACATCAGCTCTCTGAATTGTATGCTAACTGTTAACGTTGTTGATTCTAGATTTTTGTTTCGTTGGGTTTTGCACAACTGGCCCGATATGCATGTTCAACGCATACTGAGGGCTTTGATCCCATCGTTGAGGCCTGGCACTAAGATCATCATCTTTGACGACATAATGCCTCCAGCTGATACGATGAGTTTGAGTGTTGAGCGATATCAGCGGTAGGCTACATATATAATTGGACCCTTTACTTTGACAATGCTGATCGTACGTGTTTCAGAAACGTTGATTTTGGAATGCTGACTATTTTCAACGCCAAGGTACGTGCACCCAGACAGACCAACATGCTGTTTGCCATGCTCATCTGGGAATCTTAATTGCAGATTCGTGACGTCGAGGAATGGGAACAAGTCATTTCTCAGTCAGACCAGTGTTTCAAGGTCACAGATATCAGATATCCTGAGAATTCTCGACTTTCTCTCATTGAAATTGTATGGCAACCCTGAAGGTCTGGTATGCCTCGCATATTATCGCTGGAAGCGTCTCACATACTCTACTAGGTGGAAGGGGAATTCATACGCCTTATTCCTATCTAGAATGAGACAGTGGATACCTAAGCTGATATGAATTAATGCAAGAATACCCACGTGGGGTAATTCCTGCCTCTTTATATCTGATTTTGCCCAGCCTGAGATGGATAAAGAAATCAAATAATTGAATAACAATAACGTGAAAAAAGTACGTCCGATTGCAAGGTAATTAGTCCTAATAAACTACAAGTATTTAAGCGTAGTTTAGACTCATTTCTAATATTTCAATCCCTGAATTATGCGTCTAACGTAGTGAGATGTAGTGTGAGGCGGTAATCTTGTCAATCAATCAATCAATGAAAGTTCAATTAACCTGTTGCAGTCTAACTAGTTGCGTATGACTATGCAGGCGCTCCATCCAGCTGAAGCAAGAACTCGAAGCCAAACGCCGAGTTGGGATCACTCCTAAGAGTAAATATAGAGGCTGATTTGTAAAGAGTGGAATCAGCCCATTCCTGCATATTGTAAACCCGCAGACTCAAAAGCCCATACACAAGAAAAATATATATATCGAATGCGGCGGGGTGCACCCTCCGATAGACTCCCGCAAAGCTCATAAATGGGCCCTACCTTCGAAACCCGACCCAACGCACAGCCTATCAGTGGGGGCCCATAGGGCCCCTATTAAAGCCTATCCAAGGCGGCCTCTGTAATCGCTGTATTACGACCTTCCACCAGATATATAAAGTTCAAATTTAAAATCTAGGATTACAGTAGCTATATAAGTATATCTTTGAATTTTGAATAAAATCTAGCTTGTAGAAGTCGAGATACTATTAGTCTTAATATTTTGGTAAGATATATATTTTGGGTTTGTGTAGGAGTACTACTACTTTCTGAGTGAATTTCTGTGATTCATAAATTATCTAAACAAAGCGCCTTTTGATATTTAAACTAATGAAATATTACCTTTAGGATAAGGCTTAGAAACGGGGGTAAAACGGAGGGTAATTTTAAAGACCCTACAAGGGGGTTTAACTTCTGAATTCTCGATATATTTGTTCTGTTTGGGGCCCATTTAGAGGCCTATTGACCCGCAGTGGACTTCTATCTTAGGCCCATAGCCTATCAGTGGACTCGAGGCCGGGCTCAAAACCTAGTCCATTTGCGGGTTGGGTCCGGGTTGGGCTTTGTTTGAGCTTTGTGGGCTCTGCGGAAGTCTACGGGCCTCTGCCTTCCGCCTCCCCTCTCTGTTTCTCTCCCTCTCTCTCCCCTCCTGTATTCCCCCCCCCCCCGCTCCAGTTGTAATTGATGGTGTATTATTCATGGTCAGTTGCCCAGCATATTTGTCAACTCTGGCTGAGCTTCTCGTTTCCCAGTCTCGTTTTCGTCATTGGCTAATACCCATCGTCTTCTACACCTGCGGTAATATTGTCCCTATGTAGGACGAAGTTGTTCTAACTATAGAAGTTTACCTGGATTGTGCGTGGCAGGTAAGAATTTGCCAGGAGTGAAGCTATTTAGAATTCTAAAATGTGGCTTGTTTTGGCACCGATTCTTACATTCTTGGACACTGTGTGTATAAATCGTTTATATTGCATCTTTATACCCACCAGCTCCAGATGTGGCTTTGGAAGCCACGTCGAGGCTATGTAACCAATACTCTAAAACCAGAGAACACACGGTGGGAAAACAGGTAAAACATGAAAAACAGCAAAGCAATAACAACAGAAAGACAAGAAAAACCAAAGAAAAATATGTCTAGGAGACTAGCTTCTTCAAATCCCCAATCGTTGTTATTTCGAGGTAGAATGCGTCACGAATCTCAATGCCAAGATCTTCTCGCAACTTCTGCGAGATAACGAGCGACATGAGCGAGTCAACCCCAATATCCGCAATTTCACACTCATCGGTCAGTAAGCCCATATCAACAGCGAGCTCTTCGGCCAAAATGTCTATAGCGCGTGATGCAACATCGTCCATACCGTCGGCTTCTTCGTAGCCGCTGTCGCTGTCACTCCTTTCTCTCCCTTTATTCGGAGTCGGCGAACTTTCTGGAGTGAGAATGTTGTAATCGAGCTCAGGCAACGTTTTTGGACTACCACCACCCGACTTATTGATCGATCCAGAACGTGGAGGAGTTATGGGGGATGCAGCACGATTCCCATTTAACTTCGCTGCGACTGCTGTAGCCATTGCCTTTTCCTGTAGGGAGCTTGCAGATCGTTGTGGGCTTGCAGCCGCAGCTCTCTTCTTATTGGTAACAGGAGCAGGATTAGTCGCGCCTGCTGGGCGGAAGAAGCGATTCAGCATCAGTCTCGGCCACTGTCGGAACAAGATGGCCTCAACTACGCCCACAATTTCGCCGTTCTGTAGGATATAGACGTCACCAACATAAGAGGGCAGCTTGCTGTTGTCGTCGATAGCTTCTGGCACCATCCTCACGTATGCGAGATATCGACCACCAGGGGCCAACGGCTTGGCAAATCGCATGGATTTCCATGACGGCGTGATAAAGAAGTTGTTGATATTGTCAAAGTGGGTGCCACCATTCAGGATGAAACCAGACAGAGATACGAGGCCATCAATGAAATGCGGTGGCACAGCCCAGTCTCCTTGGGTGTCTGTAGGAAAAACGACTTCCGCCACGGCTTCGTCTTCGTTGAGTATGACCGATTGCATGGTACGATACATGCTAGAGTAACCCACTAGCTTACCAAAGAGAGTGTATGCAAGTTCGGTGGTGAGTTTGCTGGCCGTACCCTTGATTGACATAGCATTGAGTGCGTCAATACGACTGGTAACAAGCCTGGTCGTTCGAGCCCAATTGGACAGCCAGGTCGAAGCGTCTTCATAATAGGCTGTGGCATGGCAGTACCATTTTTCATTGGCTGGGTTGAACCACTTAATGTGGACTTCGCCCTTCTCGAGGTTGGCTTCACCATTAACAAGAATGGGGTGTGGAGCAAGAGAGTTTGGATCTTTCACTACCGGGTCGTGATACTCGAAGTTGGCAACATTGATTCCCATTCCACTGAATGCCGAGGAGAATGCTTCTTCTTGGATCCTTTGCGCCAATGTAAATGCCATGTCGGCATGAAGGAACTATCACGGGTCAGAAGGGTTGAGCAAAGAAGGAGGGTATCATTAACTTACCGACGAAGCAACACCATAGCCGTTCATAGCATGTCCTTCTATCACATCGTTGAGTGATGGATCGGTCATATTGCATTCTCCCAAAACTTGTGCTGTCAATTCGCCGTAATTTTCAGAGTAGAGTCGTTGGATGCTTGCTTTTCGGAACCCGCTAGCAACCGGAAGTGCTGGCTCTGGTAAAATCTGGCCCTTGGTCAAATTCCAATCTCCTCGGTACTGGATCCAATAGTTCTTGTTGTTCCAAGCGTAGTTCGGCAGGGATGCAAGCCTGAGTGCGTGCTCAAATGGACGATTGTATTCATTCCAGTCGATATGGAGACCAACCTCGTATAGACTGCTCAGCATTTTCACCAAAGATGTCCAATTAGCGCTGTCTCGCCGAAGGGGAGAGCATGCTAGGCGGGTTTCGGCAAGTGTACGGCTGATGAAACCGCTGCATACAGGATGAGGTCCGAACTCAACCCAGACCGTGGATTTCGACACTACGCCAGCTTCCCATGCTGCACTGAGAGCTCCGGCGAAGTCAACCGTATTTCTTAAGGAGGCGGTCAAATATGATGAGTCGATTTTAGCGCCTGCCTCGATGACTGTTGAGTCTCGTGGAGATATGATGGGAATGCTTGGCGTGTTGTAAACAATCTCTTGGGTTTGGCGATTAAGATCATTAATAACATCGTCCATTTGAGCTGTGTGATATGCATGTGGCACGTCCACACGTGTTGTTCTGTATCCTGCTTTGGACAGACGAGCCGAAAATCCTTCCAGATGTTCGGCAGTACCACCAATAACAGTCTCATTGGGGCCATTGATACATGCTATCTCGAATGGCGAGCCGTCTGCTTCACGCGCTATGTCGGCCACCGAGGCGCGAACAGAGACCATGCCATGCGTGTAAGATGAGCAGTTTGATTCTAGAATAGCTGCTCTTGTCCCAACGAGGAAGACTGTATCACTGTCGGACAGCACACCAGCCACGGCCAGTGCGGCGTATTCGCCCAGGCTGTGTCCAATAACGGCGCATGGCTTGATACCAAAAGTCATACATAGCCGAGCGAGTGCAACCTCAACACATACGATGGCGAGATGTATGGAGCAAGGTAACAGGTCTTCACGAGTACTCGTTCTATTGATGGCAGGTAGGAAGGATGGGAAGTTTTGGCGACGTGCAAGGCTGTCAAACTGATCGAGCTGTGCTCGAAAGAAAGGAGAGTCCTGGTAAATCTCCCCTGCGATTCCCACATAGAAACTGCCTTGGCCACCGAAAGCGAAAGCGACCGGTGGTTGTTTCACTAAGGTCGGACTCTGAGTTATAGCAGATTCGATGTGCGGTCGAAGCTGCTGGGCAGCCTCAGCTAAGGATCTTACTACAACCGATTTCCGGTATTGATAGTGGCGTCTCCTAGCCGAGAGTGTGTAGGCAATGTCGGCAAGAGATACGTCTTGCGAAACTTCAAGATACTCGACAAGGCGCTTGATGTTCAAGCTGAGAGATTGAGCTGTCTTTGCTGAAATCGTGATGGCATGAGCCTCGCGTGTGTCATCACATAGCCGTGGCCTTGGAGTGGCCTCTTCAATGATCATGGCTGTGTTACCTCCAGCAGCGCCAAAGTTATTGACCATAGCCAGCCTCTTCTGCGTACTGGTCGGCCCCCACTCGGCAGCTTTGAATGGAATCACGACGCCTATCTTGCTCAAGTCCGGTAGTGCAGGATTCAAAGCTGTCTTCACGCCGATATGAGGTGGAATGATGCCATTCTGGAAGACCAACATAGTCTTAACAAAAGCCATGATTCCTGCAGCAGCCTCTCCATGACCCATATTGGCTTTAACTGAGCCCACATGCAGGGGCTTTGGCCGATGGGCATGAAATCGGGGAGGCGCGAACACGCTGGTCACAGATTTCATCTCGGTAGGATCACCAGCTTGCGTCCCTGTGCCATGCATCTCCACATATCCTACATCCAGGGGGTCAATCCCAGCTCGCCGGACAATCTGATTGTACAACAGAGCTTGCGCCGCGTCGTCGGGATGCGTGATCGAAACCGCTTCCGCCGAATGAGAAGTAGCTGCCGATAAGACTACCGCTAGGATGTTATCGTTGTCAGCTTCTGCGTCCTCGAGTCTCTTGAGAACCACGCTTCCGACTCCATCTATTCAGAAATGTCAGTTAGTGGACTTCCTGGAGATCATGTAGTGATCAAAATAAAATGGCGATGGCATACCAGATCTACAGTATCCGTCTGCTCCCTCATCCCAGGTCTTACAGCCCCCCGTTGGGGAGAGGAAGTGGCCTTGGCTGAGTCCAGCGTAGACATCAGAGTTGGTGAGAATATTCATTCCTCCCTAAGTAAGAAGTCAAGATTAAATTAGCTCTTAGAAGTTGATTATTTTTCGTGTGCATCGGCAAACTTACGGTAATGGCCATGTCAACATCTCCACTCCACAGTGACGAGCACGCGGCTTGAATGGCTGCCAAACTCGAAGAGCACGCAGTATCAACACTAAAGCTAGGTCCCCAGAAATTGAGAAAGTAGTTAATACGTCCGGGGCCAAACGCCCTGCATCCACCGGGAATAAAATATGTTCCTACTTCCTGTCCGGAGTTGACCTCGCGATAGTCATCGCTGGCTTGGCCGTAAAAGGTACCAACGCGCTGGCGGTGGATGATGCCTCGACCGTCGACATACCCGGCATTTTCCAAAGCTTCGTATGCTGTCACTAAGGCTAAGCGCTGCATTGGGTCTGTTTGTTCAGCCTCCCTGGGTGACATGCCGAAAAACATAGCTTCAAATAGTCCCGGGTTGTCAACGAAGCAACCGTAAGAAGTCTTTGAAGTGTTATGCCGTTTTCCTGTAGGATCTACGTGCGTTGCAACGTCGAATCGATCGGCAGGAATCTCGTGGTGCATGTCTTGACCCTGCATCAACCGCTCCCAGAATTCTTCGGTGGTGTCTGCTCCCGGAAAACGGCATGCCATACCTACGACAGCAATCTTCGACGACCTTGTGTCCTTTGGCGGACTTTTTCCCAGAGCAAGATCCAATACAGCCGGCACCATAGCGAGGTCTGACACCGCTGCGTCGGGCAATTCGATCTGCCAACTTTCCAGCATGTTCTGGTTATAGTGCGATGTTTGTATGCTAATCAGTTGCGCCGATTTGGGCATCACCTGCTTCAGTCGCTTGGCGACAGTTTCAATAATCAAGTCCCACCGAACCCTTTCGGTCAAAATCTCTTCCATGATCTGTTCGAGAAGCGGTCCGGCCTCTATTTCCTGGAATGGCTCTCCGCTCACTGGCGATATTAACGGAATGTGTAGCTCACGTGTGGATTCGATCTTTGGGACGACTTGCTCCACGTGCTCCACGCCATACACCCTGTCTGTATGCCACATACCCTGGATTTTTCTCATTGCCACATTTTTTGTCTTCTTGAAGACCTCAGACTCGGAGAAAAGCGCCTTCAGTGTTCTGGGTGGTCCACCTATGCTGACAGAGCTTCCGGCGTTATCGACGTTGAAAACAGACGCGCAGTTGGTTAAAGGATATGCCTATCGCGTCAATTAGAATATATCCAACGAGTTCAATTTCAGCTTTGTGCTCACTTTGTCTTCGTTGAATTGATTTACCGCATCACGCGCGTCTTCCTCACCCACCCCGTGGACACAATATACCCAGGCCCCGTTGGCATTGATCTCATCGGGGGAGACCTCCAATGATCGACAAACTTGATCGACAATCAGACCAAAACGAAATGCCATTCGGCAAATATCTCCGGCGATGCTTGGTATCATCAAAATGCTCGGTGAAAGAGCAACTGCGGCTGCCGAGAGGAGACCCGAGCCCCTTCCGATGACTGAAGTGCTGACGGATGTGAAGTTGTACTCCAGTGGATGAGCCTCATGATATCTTGCCAGAATATGAGTTTTGTTATCTAAAGTGGATGGGTGAAACATACGCAACAAAACTTCCCAGTTGAAAAACCAAAACCAAAACTCGCTCGATAGCCCCGCCGAGTGGCGTTTTTCTTAATTGAACAACGTGGTCTGTCAAATCGAGGACGCTTTCGAAAGTCGGGATTAGGTCTCGGTGGAGATGGCTTAGTCTGCTACACTCATCCTTCAATGCCAGTGTCACGCATTCTAGCAATGATGCTAGAACCACATGATCTCGCTCTTTGCTGAGCAGCTTTAGCTTTCGGAATAGCGTTCTTTGATCACCCTCTGGGTCTCCTTGGGGGATTTCTCCCGAGAAATACAACACCTTGGCCGAAGCCATGACAATATTTGCTTTATCGAGAAGTTATAGCCCGTGATCCCAGACTTTAGTAGGCGTAACACTTCTAATATCGCGAGTATTTAACTGGAATTCACCTTCTATCTATCTATTACTCGACATTAGTCTGCCCGGGGTATTACACGTCAGCATATAATCAATTACTGCACTATCTGAACTGCTTACTTACGCTTACCTGCACGCCTTGTTGGGGTCAAACCTTCTAAACGATGGTCCAAGTGGCGTTCTTTGCTTCCCAGTCGATTTGAAAACTGCAGGGTACTGCAGGTACCAAGCTGCTCTAGCAATTCAGCTGTGACTACTTGTACCTCCGGGTTGATCGATATTGGGTTGAAATTCCAAATATCACAGCCTCAGAGCTGAATAGCGCGTAAACGATCGACTTCAGCCCCAGCATCCAACCGCCTGCACACAACGTAGCTTAAAAATATGCATCTAACAAGTCGCCACTACTTTCATCATTGTCAACTTCCACGTTGCTGTTTATTCACTAATCTCATCATTTCCGCTCGCAACGCTGTCAAACTCGTATATTGTGAGCATAATATTGATGTTAAAACCCCCACCTCAAGGCTGAGTATATGTCTTCCTCTCCACCCACTCTTGCAACGCTGCGAATTAATAGACTTGAGATGTGAATTTTCCATAACTTGTCCTCATGATGTAGTGCATACATGAGCGGACTGGACTAATGTAAATTGTATATGGTTTATATCACCCTATGTGTATGGAGATGGTAGATGACAGGGTAATATATGAGGTCTCTCATTCATGTCTTCAGTTTACTTCTTCGTGCCCAATCGCCAACGTAACTACAGTTATTTCAATATCAATAGATTAACAGCGACTGTGCAATATTAGATGTTTGAGAATACCATGGGACTCCCTTGTCTGTCCATCTTCAAGTGTTCCTATTCCTGTACGAAAGATGATGGAAGAGACAGAGTGATCTCACCTGGCCTGAGGACAGCGAATGCTCGATCAAAACCTTCCTCAGCAAGGTCGGACAGGATTGGCTCTTCTTGCATGCGGATTTGCTTGAGAGCAGCCATTACCACAAAAAGTAATAAAGTGTAACCTTCATCAACCTTTTTTGCGTACCATCTGGAAGAGTCCAATTTTTTGCAATTTCCCCGGATACATCATTTATGTCGCCGCTGCTAAAACACTGGGCACTGGGCAACGCCAGATGATAACTAGGCGAGAAGAATGGATCAATGAAACATGCTACATCGCCCACAATACGGAAGTTTAGACCATCATAAGTGCTGACACTGTGGGAATAATCCGCGGCTTGTCTGAGACCGGGAGCTAGTTCAACTGGTTCCAAATACGAAGAGATCTGGGCATAGTGCAACTAAAATTTTCAGCGTTTGAGCTTCCGTTATCCCTTCTGATCACAGATCTTCTCAGCAAGGAAAATTCCTCTTCAAAAACAGGTCCGATTGAGACTGTGCCATTGTGTAAAGGCAGCATCCACGCTCAACCTGGCCCATCTAAAAAAAGATACGAATACTAGGTCAGCGACTACAAGTAAGAGTTTGTATCATTGATAGACTCGCCTTCCATTCTTCTGGATACGAGTTGATTTGCGCGATCCCTTCCTACACTTAGTCGAACTTTACCCATAAAGTACACCCACAGAGCAGTCTTTTTTCTGAAGCTTTCGTTAAATTTACAGTTCCTGAGGTACTTGGTCGGCAGAGTATCAACTCAACCTGCCGCATCCGCCAAATAGCCGAACGAGATGGTACCAGAGCGACCATCTTTCGTCTTCTATTCAGTCGAAACGGGTCGTCTAGGGTTGGTCAATTTGTGTTGGCTGGTGAAATTATCATTACCATAAGGATCTAAATTTACTGGCTCCAACGAGACATTCTCAAAACTCTTTGCACCACTCTTTCCGGCATGGCGAAAAAATAATTTCATCCGATTCGGATCTCACCACCTTCCAGGAATATTCGTTAGGACCATTAGCCCGGATCAAGTCTGTGTCTGTGATGACATCAGAACAGACCTCCACACATCGCCAAGGTTCTACTCACATCCTGCACTCTTTGCGTTGACCTTGAAAAATGCGCCGAGCTGCATCCACACTTCAGCCTATCTGAACTTATATGAGACACACAAATACGCTCTTGATCTGCCCGATGGCTATCTCACCTTTTTCTAGAATTCATGCTCCTCGAATGCGTCTCCCAGGTCGATAAAACGCAGTAAATGTCTCATTAAAGGCAGCAGACTGTCCCCAATGTGGAATCTGCAAAGTTTAGTTGCTTAAGCAGGAAATATGTGGTTTCTGGCAAACGGATATTTGCCGGGGGCGGGTATCTGCTTCAAGCAAAAAAAATATCAACACCTTCATATGCGAGACCGGCCGCAGTGTAAGAGCCACCAGGCCGCCACCTGATACGAGCACGACCAAGATCGAGGAATCGCCATCTTCTTCGAAATACAATGATATGAGTACTAAATATTTGATTTAATTACAGCTGAGTGGCGTGAAACCGATAAGGGAAGTTATGAGGGTGGCTTTTCTTTCTTGAGACCTACATATGTACATAATGTGGCAAGTAATTGAGATTACCTCAAGATCAGCATCATGCTTACTCGTGATTATCGGTGCTTACCGAAGATTATTGTGTTTATTTTCATCCTTTTCCGTAAATACTACAATGCGGGATCAATCCTGTTTATCTCATTCTTTGCCTCATGATGGTAGTCGTTAGAATAAGCCCGGCCTGTGCAGCCCAATTGGGCACAGTAGTGTAACTAGTTGACGACAGGGATGTCAGTTTACCATAAATGTAACTTGGGGTACGCCTTATTTTACAGCCAATCAAAGGAAGTTGATCAACTACATACATGCTACCTCCATGCATGTTGTCAACAAAGCTATTCCTAGTTTGGAACACTTCGCAGAGTAACACGAGGCGCGTCAACCGTGACATACTGGGATAACAACTATCAACCAAGTTGGTCAGAATTAAAATTTAATTATCTGTTCTGGTTTTGTGATACTATTTACTCCTATTGACAAAAAGGTACATCGCAGCTCTTTAGCAAAGGGTATATCTAATACATCTAATAGTACACCCACCAGGGACTGAGCGCCTCGAAACTCGAGACCTCTAGACCCGGCAACTTGAGTCGCAGAATTCCCCCCTTCCCCTCACGATCAACGTCGCCCATCATTCTAAATACACCAACAATCTGGAGGCGGTCATGCGGCACCACCGGGCGCCTTCTTCGGCTCATCACCGTTAATCTTATTCCAGCTGCCAAACAAACCAGTGACAGTGGCGACACCATAGGCGGCGATTGTAATTGCAAAGACAGCTTTCAGACCACCCATATAAGCATCAATAATAACGGAAACCTGCGAGGCCATAAAAGCTTCACGGATTTGCGTTGCACCGGTCCCAATAACTATGGCCGGGTCGATCTCGGGGAGGTTTATGGTAACTGTTTCAATCAACTTATTGTTAAAGACACATTGTGCTCCTGATAGAAAGAAGGCTCCGCCAACGGTAGTGAAGACTAGCATTACTGTTAGTAGGCAGCTCATGTAAGCCACGGTAAATCGGGGACTCACAATTAACGATAGCTGTAGCCTGCGACATGTCCTCTGGGGAAGCATGGACTTGTGCATTCGACATCGCAATTTGGAATGTCCAGCCCGCGCTGAAACCAACGAGAATCTGATACCCAATCCATTTGCTAGCAGGCGTTTCAATACCAAAAGTATAAAATAGGCCACATCCGACGGTTCCCAAAACGCCGCCTATAGTCCAGAACAGAGGTACGATGCCGATTTTTGATAGTGCGAATCCCTGCCCAATGGCAGCGAGGGTTAGTGGGATAATGAGTGCGAGCATTTTGACACCAGATCCGATTGGGTTGCTGTTATAAACGCTCTGGAAATAGATCGGAATAAAGTAAAGGATGATGACGTAGGCACCGCCGAAGAAGAACATGAATATGGAGCCCACACAAATATAGCGTTTCGTGAACTACAGCCATTCCACTGTCAGCTCATGTCATAGCAGGATAAACTCGCATTGTGTCTTACCAGTCGAGGAACAATCATTGCACGTTCCTTCTGGTAGATTTCCCAAGCTACAAAAGCTAGAACTATCAAGAAAAAGCCGACCAGCAGTCCTATAACCTCACTGCTCTTCCAAGAACGTGTTTGACCGCCATACTGGAGTGCCAGCATAAATGAAACGATCAATCCCATCATAAGGGCTCCACCGATGAGGTCCATTTGCAAGAACTCCTCTTTAGGTGCAGCCCCCGCCGGGGCTGCACTACTTGGTGTCTTGAAGAGAAAGAAGATCGTTCCGGCAGCTATTCCCCCGACGGGCAAATTGATATAGAAGCACTATTCCGTGATCAGTGATAGTCCTCATATGTCAATGGTTCTCATCTTACCCAGCGCCATGACACTTTTTCAGTAAAAGCACCGCCAATGAGCGGTCCCAAGACCGCAGCAATGCCATAGGTGGCTCCGGTAAAGCCCAAAAGCTGTGGGCGTCTTTCAGGGGGCGCAGTGAACCCGATAATTGTGAAAACTCCCACGCCAACTCCGGCTCCTCCGAAGCCAGCGATAGCTCGGCCCACGATGAGAGTTGTAGGGTCTTTGGCCACGGCGCAAATGAGGCTGCCCACTTCAAAAATCAAGATGGCAACGAGAAACCAAAGCTTGATCGGAAAGTACTTGTAAAACTTTCCCCAGGTTGATTGGAAGCCTGTAATTATTAACAATTTCACATTTATGTGGTTTCAGGCCTACGTATCCAAGCATTCGTATCTGGGAAGAACGGAGCAACTCTGTATGAAAGGTCAGCACATCATCCGGAAACAAATCTGTCCATGTAGCTAACCACTGCCATATGTCATCAAATAGGCTGCCCCGTACCAGGACACTTTGTTCAGGTCATGGAATTCGTCCGTTATTTTGGGAATAGCTGTGCCGAGAATGGTCTAGTGGTAGCCTTGGTTAGCTAATGGGGTAGATCGCGAAACGAGGGACTGACGTTGTCAAGCGCGACCAAAAACATGCCCAGCATGAGCGAACATAGAACAGCAGCTAGGCGGGCACCATGCGGGTATTCATCAGTGGTATGAGCTTTTGCATCGTGATCGGTGACATGCATACCACCTTCATCTGAACCTGACACGCGGGTAGATGAAGGCCGAGAAGGTTGTTCCACCGTCGCCTGTTTCTCTGAGTGCATTACTTGCTTGTCCATTGTTGACCAAGCTTTCAAAACGGTGAAATGTAATGATAGAAGAAAAATTGTCTCTTTCCACATTACGAACTAAGTAGCTTTCTTCATGTATTTCGGCCTTCGGACGAAGCCCAGCTGCAACAGATAGAACAAAACAGACATGTCACATCTCCGAGCTAGAGAAGGAGGGAGGAGTTCGGCCGAATCAAGCTCAGCCCAAGCTCAATCTTCTTCTGTAATTCTAGTAAAGAGACATGTCTGATTGATAGGATTCATACACTGTATCAGGCTCGTGGATAAAAATGCCGAGATACTTGAAAGGGAACTGCCAACAGAAGAGTAAATTTGCATCGCTTTAGAGTTGCACGTTGCCTTAGCGTGTGCATATATGTGGGAAGAAATATAGCCATTTTAACGCCAGACCATAGCAAAAATCTCGGTTCCTGTTTAGGGCCTAGGGGGGCCATATCCGAGTCTGACAATATGTATACATATCTCGGTTGAATCGTCCGACCTCGGGACGGACTGTTCGGACGAGCGACCATGAGTCAGCAGGAACACGTCCCGACCTGGGCCCCCGAGCTGCGCCCGAGAAAACAACATCTAGAGCCCCCATCATCTACAAGGAAACCCTCGGAGATCTCCAATACTACATCTCTAGTACTAACCATCTCGGTTCAAACTTTTTAATAAGGTATCTTCACATTTTTACACTCAGGCAAATGATAGTCTCTCTGCCGCAGTTCTAGCTTGCGACAGCATACCCATCGAATGATGAGTGCCTCCTCGGACGAACCCGCAACGAAGCGCCGAAGGGTTCGCAAAGGTACACACAGCTGCTGGGAATGTAGACGGAGAAAAGTCAAACGTACTTTTTCATCGCCGGATGATGCAATCTGCATAACTTGCCATCGCCGAGGCACAAAATGCATCAACCAAGTGATCTTGGACGGACTGGAAATGGCCGAGAGCAGTAGAGGAGATGCCGAGCAAGATGCTACTATTAATACACGACGGTTGGGCGAGAAAGGCGTCCGTTCTCAACCAGATGATATTGTTAGCTGTTCACCACCGACTACCTTTCCAACAACACAAACAACACCGGCATCGTCAGTGCACGGCAAAGTTAGTCGGCATCTTCACATACGCGGCTCTTGACTAATTATTCTATAAAGCGAAACATCGTGTCGAGTCACTTACGGACCGAGAAATCACCAACCCAACTTACGATACCTCAGTTGGCACCAACACCAGAGTCCAGTCATGACTCGGTCTGCGAGGCTTCCGCATATCCCAGCATCACTCAAGCTCTCCGGAGCTCCCTCCCTCCTCGGAAAGATATTGGAATTCTGCTCGAAAATCTCAGCAGCATGTCCATCTTTTGTTATCAATCCAGCTTCAAGCGATGCAGCGCGTTGCCGAGCGAAATGGCCAAAGAACAAATACCAGTAGCCAATATATTATATTCAGAAAGCCACCCCGTCTTGTTGGCAAGACAAATGCTGCTTTTCGCAGTAGGGTTGCAACACCTCCCTCCTAAAAAAGCGATACCTAGCCTCACCAAGCCTCATCGCGCCATCATGGAGCAGGTAGCAGAATCAGCGATCAAGCTGGTGAACACGAATGACCTCTTGCTGGGCACTTTGGAAGGTCTCGAAAATCTCATCCTTGAAGGCTTCTACCACATAGATGGCGGCAACATCAGACGATCCTGGATCACAATGCGCCGTGCTGTCACGACAGCACAGCTATTGGGCTTGCATCGACCGGGTCACTATCGCTTCAAAATCATTAGCCAGCAGAAAGATCTTGATCCTGCGGTCATGTGGGCCTGTGTGGTTTCCACAGAGCAATTCTTATGCTTGCTACTGGGTCTACCAACAAGCACCAGCGGTGCAAATTTCACCATACCCAGAGCAACGGGCACCCGTGTTGAGAGCGGCAACTTGCCTGTACTCATTCCGGATGTGGTGCGCAAGATTATCAAACGGAATCAGATTCATATCCCCCAGGAAGCGCTTGACATAACTCAAGAGATCGATCAGGAACTCTTGAGGGTCACCGAGCAATGGCCACCTGCGTTCTGGCGACCATTGCAATTTGCGGGTCTCAAAGTCAACTCGGCGGATGCATTCTGGGAAACTCGACGAGCTTGGGACCATATATTTTATTACTCTTTGGTCAACCAGCTTCATCTGCCATATATGTTAAACCCAAGGCATGCCTCGCAGAGGGTGTACTCGAGAATCGCCTGCGCAAACGCCAGCCGCGAGATTCTACTCCGACAGATTTCGATTCGCACGTTCAATCCGGTCACAGCTGGCTGTCGGATGGGCGACTTTGTAGCCCTGATTGCGGGCATGACACTGATGCTAGCTCACATCTTGAGCCGCTGTAATAAAGGTACCGAAAACCTACTCGTGCATCAACGTGTTGGAGACCGGGCGACCGTGGAACGGGCTCTTGAGTGCATGGAATCTACGTTGGAGGTGCATGATCATGTCCTCACCGCTAAATGTGCTGCCCTTCTCAAGAATTTGTTGGATATTGAGGCGGGTCCTGCAGAGAAGCGCTCGGGTCATGGTCAAGAAGACAACCAAAACGTGTTGATAGCCAAGGTGCCATACGTTGGTGCCATCAGAATTGCGCGAGATGGTATTTCTATTACGCCCTTGGACACAGAACAAGAGCAAGTTCCCCATGAGGGTGTGACAATTGGTGGCTTTGGATCTATCGAGGTCAGAACACCACACGACCCTGACAATTATACTGACGATTTCACGGCTGATGCTGCAGCCTCACGAGAAACCGCGCATACAGTGAGACCATCATCAGCACGGAGGCACGGGGGACAACTTTCCCAGACCACGTCTGGAGATGTTTTCGCACTGCCAGAAGAGACATTCCCCGATGCTTCCACAGGTATGGAAGAATGGCTTTTCCAAGGCCTTGACACTGCCTTCTTTGATGTGCTGATGAGCGGAGCTGGGGAGCAGCCGCTGAATGGTATTGACACTGAAGCATGGAATTTTACAATGTCCCCATGAACCCTGGAATGATAATGAACGATTTGCAAATCCCAGGTATCTCCTGATTTGGTGTCAATTAACATAGCCCAGTCTACATACAGACACCTTTCTTGAGATACAAAATGATTTAGACATAGTACTATACATACTTGGCTTTTACTGGGTATGAAGACGCTGTGGCATCGGTCTCAATAACAGACACTAGGAAGGGGAATGTAGCCTGAAGTATGATCATTTCTCTACCTAACCTTGGAAATGAAATGGTTATTGGTAACAGTGGGTAGACATGCATGAGACAACAAAATGTTCGCTGTATCACGCAAGATATTCGCGCGGTCCGGGACCCAATACACATTATATATCTCGAATTTACATACAAATTTTTGCTCCAAAAAGGTCCCCATACGCTTTTCCTCTTTATTTATAGCTTTATCACCGGTAGTAGCTTCATATATATCTATGAACGCTTTTGACTGATTTTCGCCTCGAGAGGAAGGGTTGGACTCGCCGCTACACGGAGAGTGACCCTCTTGAGAGGTGGTCCAAGCTTCTTAAGAGGTGATGCATCGATCAGTGATCTCGGGAAGCATTTAAATTGGTTTAAACTAGCTGACTCAGTTACGGTTAGACATTTTTCTATGGGAGGAATGGTAAATGAACGAAGTTTGTAGTAAGGGGGGAGAATCCTAATAATAACACTAAATTAGAATCTAATAGAGCTAGTTGCCCTGGAACTGGTGCGATTTCACTATAATATCTAGTCGAAATGTAGAACTTGATCCTCCAACTTATTCCCAACATGGATACTGGCGGGCGCGATAGCGTCCGATAGTTCAACGTACAATTTATTTTAAGCGTCGCAGTAGACTAACCAACCCCACTGTGTACTCGACAAACCTATTCTAAAATTATCTAAAATTATCGCCAACGGCATTCATAACCCGAACGCGTATTAAGCCGAGTCGCCTATATGCTCATCCACGAAGTCCCGCTCCATATGCCGTCGCCCAAACTCAAGCGCCCCAACATTTCAACCCTATCGAGGAGTCGAGCTGAAGGCTCACACGAAGAAAGCTTGGTCGGCATAAGAAGATAGTCCTGACCAAGAATTTCTTGCCTTCCTTCAGCGGTGCGTTCACGCTTTACCCATTGTCCCACCGCACCGTTCGCGCAGTGGTGATGGCGTAGCCTTCTATGATAAATGAGCCACCAGGAGACTCCGACAGTCATAGGTACCGACCGAAGCAGCGATAGCCACGGCAGAAGAACTCCCGAGCCGTTGGTCGACGTTGGGGTAGACTGGTATGCAAATTGTTCGCGGCGACGGCGCGCGACGGCGCGCGACACTGCGCGACGGCCAACCTGGGCGCTCTTGGCTCGGAGCAGATAACGCGGCCCACCCTCATTTGCAATTTTAATGACGGGTGTAGATATCTATCGGAAAACATCGGCGAATACAACAAGACATATATGAACATTTGTAGGCATATAGACTGCTTTTTATCCATGGTATTTAGACTAATAGAACATTTCACTCTGCCCTTCTTATCGCCGGTCAGTGTACGTTTTGAATCTTGAGTATTTTTACTTTGACTGACAACATCCCAAGATTGTACACTATAAGACCTCCAAATGACTTCAAGACATCCCGGAAGTGAGGAGCAGCCTCTGACAATTTCTCAATGGCGTGAGTTACAAGAGACTGTTTCCGAGCCAACTCACATTTTGTCGCTGCTTGAGCGAGCACAACCAAACACATCAAATGCATGGATCTCATTAGCAACTCCCGAACAAATCATTACACAATGGGAGGATATCACAGCACTTCGATCTCAGGGGAAAGATCTCCCAATATTCGGCGTGCCATTTGCTGTCAAGGATAATATCGACGCTGCTGGGTTCTGCACAACGGCCGCATGCCCTTCATTCGGTACCGAGCCTGTCGCTACCGATTCAACAGTTGTGCAACGGCTGAAAGCACAGGGAGCCATTGTCGTTGGCAAGACCAACCTTGACCAGTTTGCCACGGGTCTTGTCGGTACGCGTTCACCGTATGGAGCCGTTGCCAATTCCTTCGATCCGAACCGAGTCAGCGGCGGTAGCAGCTCGGGGAGCAGCGTGGTCGTCGCCCAGGGACTGGTTCCTTTCTCTCTTGGCACAGATACAGCAGGCTCAGGTCGGATACCTGCTGGGTTCAATAATCTTGTTGGGCTCAAACCCACGCGGGGCGCTTTGAGTGCATATGGCGTGGTACCAGCGTGCCGCTCACTTGATTGTGTTTCTGTCTTCGCCCTGACTCTGGAAGATGCCGATTTGATCCTGAAACTGGCCGAGGAGTATGATCCTCAAGATGCATACTCGAGAGATCGTGCTAGCTGTGCGACTGAAAAGTCTCCTCGAGGAGCCTTGCCCTCCCAGTTGACACTGGCTATATGCTCCAACCCTGAGTGGTTCTGCCAAACTGAGCAGGCTGCAGCATACCAGGATGCATTGACTAAAGCCCAGCAGCTGGGGTGGAAGCTACATCCCGTTGAGTTCACACCCCTATTTGCCCTTGCCAGCCTCCTGTATGAAGGCCCATGGGTTGCTGAACGATATGCTGCTATCGAGAAGTTCATCCGCTCAGTGCCAGCTGAAGCCATGGACCCAGTTGTTCGGGGTATCATAATGAAAGCCGAGAAATTCTCTGCTACAGAACTCTTCGCGTGCGAGTATTACCGACAAGACCTGACCCGTGAGATCGAGCAGATCTTCAGGCCATACGACGCGCTGCTAGTGCCGACGGCCCCCACATTCCCTTCTATGCAAGATCTCAAGGATGAGCCGATCAACGCAAACAGTCAACTGGGTACATATACCAACTTTGTGAATTTCTTAGATTGGTCTGCTTTGTCAATTCCTGCTGGTTGGAGAGAAGACGGTCTTCCTTTCGGTATCACACTGATAGGACGGGCGTGGGAGGAGCCGCGATTGTTCCAGCTCGCTCGGCGCTGGATGTCTGATGCCCCGCGCTTGCTGGGAGCGACGGGTGTGGAATATCAAGAGCAAAGCCCCGAGCTTACTGTCCCCTTCAATTCGATGCAGTTGGCGGTAGTTGGTGCCCATCTTACTGGCTTCCCTCTGAACAAGGATTTGGTCTCACGGGGCGCAACCTTGATCACTGCTACAACCACAGCCCCGTGTTATCAGCTATTTGCACTGTACACACCAGGGCGAGTATCAAAACCTGGTCTGAAAAGGGTTACTGATGGCGGAGAGGCAATCGAAGTGGAGGTTTGGAACATGCCGCTCGACAAGATGGGTAGCTTCCTCAGTACCGTTGCCGCGCCCTTGGGCATCGGATCAGTTGAGTTGCAAGATGGCCGGTGGGTCCACGGGTTCATCTGTGAGCCTTCTGGACTCCAGAATGCAAAAGACGTCACCAGTTTTGGCGGATGGCGAGGCTACACCCAGTCCCTCGACACTTCTACCACCGGATCGTCGCGCGCTGCATCTACTACGCCTGCAACGAGCATTGGTGAGAAGCGTATCAACACGGTTCTGGTCGCCAACCGTGGCGAAATTGCGCTGCGCATAATCCGGACCCTGCGTGAGATGAAGATTTCATCTATATCTATCTATTCGAGTGCCGATGCTCGGGCACCACACGTTACAGCTGCAGATTTAGCACTTCCGCTGGTCGGAAACACAGTATCTGACACCTATCTGGACGGCAAGCAGATCCTGGCTATGGCTATCGAGGCTGGTGCGGATGCTGTCATTCCTGGGTATGGTTTCCTTTCGGAAAATGCCGAATTTGCCACCGCCGTCGAGGGTGCAGGTCTGGTATGGATTGGTCCAACTCCAGAACAAATGCGTGATTTGGGCTTGAAGCACCTTGCTCGTGATATCGCAATTACTGCTGGCATTCCCATTGTTCCCGGTAGCAAGGGTTTAGCCAACAGCCTCGAAGATGCACTGGTAGAAGCGGAGAAAATCGGCTATCCAGTGATGGTAAAAAGCACCGCTGGTGGAGGTGGAATCGGCCTTCAGCGGTGCGCCGATATTGATGCACTCCGAGAAGCATTCGATAGTGTCCGTCGACTGGGACAGGCAAATTTCGGCGATGATGGGGTTTTCATCGAAATTTTTATCGATCGGGCACGACACATTGAGGTTCAGGTGCTCGGTGATGGCGCTGGTCGAGTCATTTGTGCTGGTGAGCGCGACTGTTCGTTGCAGCGTCGAAACCAGAAAGTTGTCGAAGAATCCCCTGCTGTTTTTGTCCCAGTCCGAGTCCAAGCTGATATGCGGCGTGCTGCTGCTGCTTTGGTTGCTTCATTGCAATACCGCAATGTTGGTACTGTCGAATTCATCTTCGACATCGATACCGAGAAATTCTACTTTTTGGAGATGAACACACGTCTCCAGGTCGAGCACCCAGTGACTGAGGCTGTAACAGGCCTTGATCTTGTCGAATGCATGATGCGCATTGCCATGAATGATTGCGCCACTCTGTTTCCTCAGCAGATAAATGAGATTCCGGTCTCTGGTGCAGCGATCGAAGCTCGTGTGTATGCTGAAAGCCCCGTTCAAGGATTTCGGCCTTCTCCTGGAAAGCTTTTGAACGTCGAGTTTCCATCCGATGTCCGTGTTGACACTTGGATCAGTTCAGGTCAGGAGCTATCGTCGTCTTTTGATCCGATGATTGCAAAGATCATTGCACACGGCGATGACCGTCCTGCAGCTCTTCGAAAGCTTTCAGACGCTCTGGAAAAGACAATAATTACTGGCGTGGAAACAAACCTAGGATATCTGCAGCAAATTGTTGCTTGGGAGGCGTTCAACTCTGGCGCCTTCACAACGGGATCCCTCAATGCATTCACGTACGAAGCTCGGGTCGTCGAGGTTGTTGATCCTGGGTCCGACACAGCTGTACAGGACTTCCCTGGCCGTCAAGGCCTTTGGCATATCGGTGTGCCGCCCTCTGGCCCAATGGATTCCTATTCATTTCGTATCGCCAACAAAATAGTCGGCAATGATGACCATGCTGCAGGACTTGAGTGCTCAACCCAAGGTCCGACACTGCTCTTCCACTCCCCAACCACGGTTGCGGTCGTTGGTGCGAATGCCCCTATCTCTGTTGACGGGGAAGAAAAGCAGCCTAGCATAGCCATCAAGATTCAGGCTGGACAAAAACTTTCTATTGGTAAAGCCGCCAATGGTGCCCGAGTTTATCTTGCTATTCGAGGCGGCGTTCAGGTCCCTGAGGTCCTAGGCAGCCGTTCGACGTTTGCAATCGGTCATCTCGGAGGACACAATGGACGCAGCCTTCGCATTGGCGATCTTCTTCCATTGGCACATGTTACAGAAGAGGAAGTTCCATTGCTCAAGGGCCAAATCCTTCCCCTACCGACACTTGAGAACCCAGAATGGGTCGTTGGCGCGATCCCTGGGCCACACGGTAGTCCGACTCATTTCACACAGGACGGGCTTCAGGAGCTGTTCAATGGCAAATGGACTGTCCATTACAACAGCAATCGGCTTGGAGTCCGTCTCACCGGGCCTCGTCCAGAGTGGGCACGGAAAACGGGTGGCGATGCTGGCCTGCATCCCTCCAACATCCACGACAGTCCTTATTCAATCGGAAATGTGAGCTTCACAGGTGACGAGGCAGTTGTCTTGACCGCAGATGGGCCAAGCCTGGGAGGATTTGTCGCGTTTGCCACGGTCGCAGACGCCGAGATGTGGAAGTTTGGTCAGATGCGGCCAGGCGATCACCTTCGGTTCCATCCTATTTCACTTGATGATGCGCAGGCACTCGCAAGGGATCTTGAGCATTCGATCGCTACCCTCAGCCCACTGACCAATGGTGACTTGAGACAAACAAGCTCTGTCGTTGTCTCAAGTCCGATTGTCAAGGAGATCTCCGACGCTGGCCGCTTCATTCGATGCTGCCAGGCAGGCGATCGAGCCCTGCTGCTCGACTTCGGTAATGAAGATAGCTTTACCCTACGTCAAACATTTCACATCATGAACTTCATTGAGAGGCATCGAATCTGTCCGATCCCAGGCGTTGAGGAGCTCACATCAGGGGTCCGAAGCCTCCATCTTCGCGTGAAAGCAAACTTCTCGCTCCCTCAAGTCCTCGATGCGCTGGTCGCGCACGAGGTTTCTCTTGGAATAGAGCTCCCCTCCCGATTATCCTCGCGCATCGTGCACATGCCTCTCGTTTTCAACGACGAGAGAAGCCGCAAGGCCATTGCCCGCTATACTTCGACTATCCGTTCCTCAGCACCGTATCTACCCAGTAACATTGAATTTTTGCAGAAACTGAACGGGCTTGACAGCCCGAATCAGGTGGAAAGCAATCTTTGTGATGGCACGTTCCTGGTACTGGGAGTTGGTGATGTGTACCAAGGGTCCCCCTGTGCCGTGCCACTGGATCCTCGCCATCGACTCTTCGGAACGAAATACAACCCATCCCGTTCCTTCACCCCTCGTGGCGCTGTGGGTATTGCTGGTCAATACTTGTGCATCTACGCAACTGACTCGCCTGGCGGGTATCAGCTCGTCGGTCGTACAGTCCCTATCTGGGATGAGTTCCACAAGCCCAGGCTGGGCGAGAAGGTCCCGTGGACGTTCTCACTCTTGGACCAGATTCGTTTCTACCCTGTCACTGAAGAAGAACTTTCCGCAGCCGAAGCGGATGGAACCTCCAGTGATCTCATCAAAATTTCTGGCACTGAGCTAGACCTCAATGAATACGAGAAGTGGCTGGGAGAGAACGAAGAGGATATCACTGCTATTCGGGAGCGACGATCGGAGGCGGTACATGAAGCGGAATTCTTCAACGATCTACTCCAGCCATACGATCCCATCAAAATGCGGACAGGTCGGGGACGGGAAAGCGATGAAGCGATGACTGGAGAGCGGGTGAAAGCACTCTTGCCTGGGAGATGTTTCCGCTGCGCTGTCAAAGAAGGCGGTGAGGTTCAAGCAGGAGACCCTTTGGTGAGTACCACAAACGTCGACATCAATATTCAAGCACCAAGCTAATAGTATTTAGATTTGGATCGAGTCCAACAAAATGGAGGTCAGGATTTGTGCACCAGTCAGTGGAAAATGTGTGAAACTGCTGGTTTCAGAGGGAGACATCCTTGGGCCCAGTGACGATGTTGCTATTATTCAATAGGCGATGCCGTATGTACATAGAAAAGAAGCAATACCATGAAGTATATTCAGATAATTCGTCATTCGTTATATCGTTGATAAAAAAATCCGTTTGGTGGAAGAGTATTGTAGGCAACATTTCTCATAGAGTAGTGGAGTACAAAAGCACACGAGCGTTCGGAGTTAAGTTTCTCGGAATGTGGCTGCCTTTACAGCAGCTAAATCACCGACCTCTTCATGAAGCATGCGAAGTGCCTCACGAGCAAAAGGAGCAGCGGATGCCCGAACTTGCAGGACCCAGCGAAGCTTTTCGAGTTGTTCCACATACCCCGCTGCTTCATCAACTTCAGGACTCGTTGCCCACAAAAGACCAGCAAAGGCACCGACTAAAGCCACCTGGGCTGCTGCTGCGAAACCCCAAAATGATTGAATGTGTTCTGGTTGAAAGGATTCAATCAAGTTCATGGCCGACATCAGTCGGGCGCGGGCAGCGGTTCGAATCGCTGAACGAAGAGACAGCGCGCTATCTGGGGTCAGAACGCGAAGTAACGCGCGGTGGATGGTCAACTCTGTTGCCATATGTGAGAGATGCAAGGCCCCGTTCGTCGATAGCCGTAATGAGGGTGTTGATTCCAGCTGGAGGTTGGAAGGCACTGCCGCATGCCATTCGCGCAACTCCATCACGAGGGGTTTTGCCAGACTCATTGCACCTGATGGTCCAATCCGCTCAAGTAGTCCGCCTTTTTTAGTTGCGCCGATGGAGCAAAATGTGGATACAATCCGGCTGAAGATTTTGGTTAATTCAATAGATTGCAGAAATGCCGCCCGACCCGCGGGTCCGTCCACACCTCCCTCCCCATTCTCCTCTTCGCCAGTCGCTTCTTCTGGAAAGTCGTTGAGTGTACACGGGCCAACATCCCAGTCGCTTGTGCCCTCGTTTCCGTCGATCTGAGCAGGAATGAGAGATGGTCGCCCGTGCACAAGAACGCCCCACTTGTCTTGCATGTACAATGCCCAAGCTAAACGTCGTCGAAGACCTTTCTCCCATTCTGGGATTTCCCAGCCTGTGCAGTCAATATGAATTCCCAAAGTTTGCCCGAGTGATAGTAGTTGAGCCGGAAGAGTGCTATGGGAGCTCCTCATTCTTTGCAATAATAACAGGCCAGCCTGTAATGTGGAGAGCTTGGGCCGTTTCATATCGTCGTCCATAGCTCGCATTGCTAGATTCTCCAGAGCTTCGGTGTCTGGTGTCCGAGGTACACTAGCGAGAGTTTGATCGAAGAGCTTCCAGTCCAGCGCTACCAGATAAACGGCAGCGAGTAGTGGTGGTGAGAACTCGCGGTAGGACCGGGCATATTTCTCTAGGAACACGCCCTTATCCAGGATCGGGAATGTGCGATGCATGATGCGAAAATAAAGATTTACCAAGGTTGGTCCCAGCGGACGTATCGATTCCTCAATGCGATCTAGGTCAGTGATGCGTTGCATCTCAGAAGCCGAGTCTTTGTCGGGGTAGGTTATAAATGCGGCGGACTGGTCCACACGTCGCGGATAACATCTCTCATGGCCAGCAAGCGACATAGCAGATGGCCGCAGATCAAGGAGTTCAGGTTCATGATAACTGGCCGGGCCAATATATTCGGAATGCAGATGAAGCTCCAGACCTAATGTACCATCCAGTCGTGAATTAATTGGATCAGTTGTGGTCTGCTCCTCGATGGAGGCAACAGGGGATGACATTAGAGAGCTACGGTGCCTTTTTATCCTTTCATGGGTTAGGGTTAGCTAAGAATGGTCCCGCGGGATATCGAAACGTACTTTGTTTCTGTTGGGCTCGGCGACTTCCTGGTCCTTTTCCGCGGTCGGGGACCATGAAGAAATGTGCATTTAAGACCATTCAAGTTACAAAATGTGCAGTTATCTTTCTCTGGCTCCCGTATACATCGCGATTTGCGGTGACGGCAGCGATCGCATGGCCGTCGCGTAGGGTGGTCCACCACTCCAGTCGCGGACATTTTATGCAGATCAATTCTTATCTTCTTATTTGGGTACAGATATCTTGGATATACCTAAGGATTATCCGCTCATCCAATAGTGTGAGTCATCAGGATCGGTCGGGAATGACAATCTAGCTTATTTGGTGAGATGACGTTGACTGGCAATGTTGACATTAAGTTGCACGCGTCCCATTGATCACATGAAAATCACCAACGACCAGTCTCACGTGACTGCGTAGGGTTTTTTGAGCACTCCATTCACAACCTTGGAATTGTTTTGAATTATGTGGAGCGAGCATGAGCTCTTGGTATAATTTGAATCAAAATGTATCAAATCATTCGAAACGTGGACATCTAAACAGACAGTACAAAACAGTCATGGAATCATAAAAGCCACTGTAGGATTGAGCGGGGAGAACTAGTAGGCGGCTTTACTCTATTATTAGGCTTTAAGCGTTAACTAACTCTATCTAGATTAGGGCCTACCTATACGCCTAAGAAGAGTCCCAGCGCTCAAGCTATTAATTATGCAATTAATAGAGCTCTACTCCGTATATATAGGTGATGAGAGACAACTGTTTCAGAGCTTGCAGCCATACCTAATAGAATATCAATGTACAGAGTAAAGCAGATTAAGCAGTCAATAATCAGAAAGAGAAGAAAGATGCAGCAGGATAATACCAGAGACTGCCATGGTCAAGTTGGAAGAGCCAGAACTCTTGGCTATCTGTCAAATGCCCATACACTATGCAATCAGGCGACAGTGCGATCGAAAATTTAAGACTGACTACCCTATGCCAACTCCATTTCATAATTGTATCCAACCGAGGCTATAAAACCCCACTGTACTCCGTACTCCGTATACACTCCGCACTTGGATCAACCCAGTCACGTGACCGTGTTAACACCCCGCTAACATCTACTCAAGTTGCATAGATAGACATGCACACTCGAAACTACAAATTTAAGGAAGAATACGAATCAGTTCTTCACCATGGACACCAAGCTAGCCTTCTACGATATTGCCATGCGCCCCCCAGTCGAAAAGAACAACAGCGCTGTAAACCCCTGGAAAACCCGTCTAGCCCTGAACTTCAAATCACTCCCCTACACAACAGAATGGGTCCCACTCCCCGACATATCCAAAGTTCGGACAAGCCTGAACATCCCCGCATGCCGCAAATTTGCCGATGGCACAGATTTCCACACTCTCCCCATTCTAGTGGACCCAACAACGTCCCGCAAACTCGGCGACTCCTTCGACATAGCCGTCTACCTGCAAAAGCAATACCCAGCAGGAAATAATCTCTTCCCACCCCAGTCTATAGACTACGTTTTCAGCCCGGAGACCGAAATTTTAATTCCGTTGTCCGAGCGCGACGAGGGTGAATATCCCCAATATGCGCGTTTCAATATGAATATCGATGCTGCGTTCACTGCTCATGTCGCACTCATGGTCCAAGGGTTACCCTTTGATCCTGAAACTGCTGAGCAAACGAAAGCTGAGTTTGTTCGGCGGGCTGGGGTGGGCTGTTGGGAGGATTTTGCTCTTGCAGGCGAACAGCGTGAGAAGATTATTGCGTCCTTCCGGGATATGTTGGGTGGACTGGCAGAGCTTTTCAGTGGGGATGGGCCATTTTTGCTTGGGGATCGAGCTAATTATGCGGATATCATTGTTGGGGCTTGGTTGAGGATGGCGAGCAGGACTTTGCCTGGTGAAGAGTGGGAGTTAGTTAGAGAGTGGCATGGTGGTGTTTTTGGAAGGTTGCATGATGCGTTGGATATATATGCGGCTGTTCATTAGAGAGAGCTTGTAGTTTGATCTTACAGAGGCCCCACACTGTATATACTTCTAGTCATACTCTATAAAGATATGTAGAAGATTTAGCTGGTAGAATGCACAGTATTTGTGCTTGCTCAGGACTCCCTATATACCCTCCTCACTCTCGAGGAATAAATTGGTTATATCTTCGCGCTCTTTTGTCATTGCCGCTACTACACCACTAATCGTGACATGAAGAAATAAAAATATACAAAAATGCGAATTTGCTGGCGGTCAACTACCCAACTACTAACTCACCGGCGTCTGACTGCTGGAGTTGGAGAGGTTTGATTGATTTCCTGGCTATATCGCTGTGATCGTTGGGAAAATTTATCGATATTCGGGTCGAGTCCTCCACCCGATTTGTTTTTAAAGGTCATCTACGATGAGGGCAAGCAGGCTGGGTTCGGTTGGTGATGCATGAATAACAAGTACATGAGAGGGTATTCCAAGGTTATGTCTTTTGCCTGTGGTTCCGAGGTTACTGTCTAGGTGGGGTCCTTCTAGTGATGAACCTTGGAAGATCATTCGAGCCTCGAAGTAACTACATTCGACAAGAAGACATACATATTGCAACATGTCATTCTCCAATAAGAAACGTTCAATGATACCTAGGTACTTACATTCTGCATGATGCCCAACGGAGCCACGCTCATTCTAGCCTATCTTGGATAATTTATTTAGTCCAGGCCTCCTTGCTGGGAATAATCTTCTCTTGAACCAGGTGATCAAACACCCGGAAATACCCGTGCGCAACTGGGTACTCCTCCGTAAAACCAACACTCCGGATCTTATCCAAGCTCAGCTCGCGGTTGCGGCCCAGAAAGCTGAAGCCTGCTGAAAGGAAAATCCAAGTCTCCTTAGAAATCTCGCGAGAGCGTAAACTATACTCCTCGCACATCTTCTTGTAGTTGTCCTGGTGTGCGAACCACCACTTGTCGATGTCCTTCCAGCCCTTGTCCTCGGGACTTGCGCCTTCAGCATTAAGACCAAAGTACTCGCACATCTTAGGCCATACGAGGGTCCAAGGTGCAGGGATGGCATTGTCGGCCGTGTTAAATGCCTCTCCGTGCGCCTGGTCTGGCTTCTCGACAGACAGGTAGAGCTCCGAATGGGCGATGATATCCTGCGAAGATGGCGTATAGGTGTGGACGTAGTTTGTGTATGGTCCTGGGAAGACAGCGGTGGCACCGAGGCCGTTTACATAGCGGTATAGCATCAAGTAGAGCGCGAGAGGCTCGACGTACGTCATGCTTGTGGGAATGGGAACGTGGCCTGGACACCGGCGATGTCAGTATGGTCGAACCTAAGATATAGGGGTACGTACCGACGATCTGATCCGGTCGAACCTCGCACCACTTCCAGGATTTTCCCTTATTAGCTTCCTTGATTAGGTCAACCTGCGCATAGTAGAAGATCTCATCTCCCCAGGGCGAAGGAATGCGCGGATTGTCCTCACGCAAGGGAGGATTGATCTTGATATGTTCTTGGAAGCGAAACACAGCAGCTCCATAATTCTGTGCCCATCAGCCAAAGCAATTGACTGGTAATTGATTGATACATACGTTTGTTCCAGTTTGAAGCACGAGGAACTTCATATTTTTGCACAGCTGGTCGACAGCGTGCACGGCGTTATAGGTCATTCCCTCATTGATATCCCGGATAGCCATCACATCCATGGAGTATGCAGTCGCATTGGAGTAGGCTGATTTAGTTAGATAATGGCTGTTTGCATATAAGTCCATTGCCTACCAAGATAATACACGTGGGTGACATCTTCTAGGTTGGGAACCTTCTCTTGCAACTGGGACATCACCTCATCGAGAGTCCCCCGCAAATCGACTCCGCAATGCAACTCCAGTCGAGAGTCATGCGGCAAACCACTTTTCTCCAGCGGCAACGGCCTATTTGTCAGGCCGATCACCCTGTTAAAGGTGGTGGGCGTGGGATACGAGAGAGCGCATTTGGTGACGGCCCAGCCAGAGATACCACTGGCCCCAAAGACCAATGCAACATTTTTCGATTCAACCATTGCGATTGCTGTGTCCTTCACTTCGACAAGATATTGATGCATGCAGGGGCGGACACAGGCTTCTTCTCAGGGTTCGACAAGAGGGGCCATATTTAGGAGCGGCATCCTCGGCTCCTATCTCTCCTCGCTAGCAGTGCCATTGGCCAGCCAATTCGCTTCTGGAGAAATACCAACGCAATGGAAAATAATTTCCCCTCATGCAGAAGTTGCTGTTGGTGTCAACAGTCTGTTCGGCCCCCACCTCCTGGACCCGCCAAGAAGCTAATGAATCATTTCCTTTTGGTCGTTGTTTCAAGATGGGTCGCTTACAACCATTATGCCAGGATTATGCCAGGCTCCAGCCAAGACGGAGCTCGTCGGGAGGGTGATGGTTAGATTAAGTTTCTTGGGGCAGGTCAGAATCCTAAATAGTTTGGACATTCGTGGAAGGCAGTGGATCCGTCCGCCGAGGTCCGTGTGAATGCCAACCGACGGAGTGGCCCCTGTGGAGTTTTGAGGCCGCAATATTTATGCCATTTCGCCAGTCTTGGGGCCTCAATCTAAAGTTGTCATGCTCAAGATACGTTACCACTACCTGCTGACGGCGGCAGACATAAAAAACGCCCCTTTTATGTAGTGGATATTATGGAAAACCTCAGGAGCTTGTTTCTATGGATCTTCCATCTTCAGTAAAAACTACCAGACGCAATGGCCACGGAACAGCCGTTTTTGTATTAATAGCTGCTAGTGCAAGCTATTGGCCGAAAGTCGACAAGGATATAGATTGCTTCGGCCGTCTGAGAGGCATTCTGCCCCAGACTGTGAAAAACCATTCTACATGGGATCACATACTACTTAGCCCGTTGATGCCCCTGGCCGCATTCGTTCATTGTCTGTCGAAGATGGATGTCATCCAGAATACGGCAACCCCAGGCAATATTTCCGAGAATCGACATGCGGCTATATTTGGCGTGGGTATTGGGTTCATCGCATTTGACTCCATTATCATTGCGCTGCGCATCTATGTACGCGCTTTTCTGCTGCGTGCTCTGGGGACGGATGATAGTAAGTCAATTGAACCCAATTCGAGGACCAAACTAATAAAATACCTAGTTCTGATGATAATTGGTGCAGTAAGCGACTTTCAACCATACGGCTGATGATCTCAACTCACTCGCACTCAATCAGATATTTAATTTCGGATTATCAATAACGATTATGATCGGATCCAACTACGGAATCGGAAAACACGCGCTTGCCATATCGGAAAGTGACACCATGCCTATGCTGAAGGTATACAATCCATTCCCGTCTACATACAATTCCTGACCATTGCTAGTGTATCTGGGTTACACGTCTCCTCTACACGCTTTCTATGGGGTTGGTTAAAATGTCTTTGCTGTGGTTCTATCTCCGTCTTGATCCCCGCAAATACATGCGCTGGGCTGTCTTCTTCGTCATGTTCTTCAACATCGGATTATCCCTTGCGAGCTTCATCGGCGCACTGGCGGCCTGCAGTCCTCCATCTTTATTTTGGACTAATCCAATGTCGAGCGGCTGTATGTCCATAGAGCCACAGCAACGCTTCTATGAGGTCAATGGTATCTTGAATATCGTGACAGATATCTTGACATATCTACTCCCACTTCCAATGCTCTATGGGCTAAAGTTGTCTTGGCGCAAGAAGGGGGCTATTCTGGGGATCTTTGGGCTGGGTATCTTGTCCATTGCTGGTGTGTATCATCTTCATTTTATATAATGGGTCGTCATTGACATATTGTAACTAGCGGCCTGCGTTCGCTACGACTTTGTCACGAAATTATCCTCGGCCAAAGAAGAGTATTACCTCCTACTGGCTGACTCCCTCAACTGGTGCACAATTGAGGCTTATGTTGGTATGTATCTCCCATCCCAATGGTATGCCGCGTCTAATTGCCCTTCTACAGCCATATTCTGTGGTTGTGCTCCCTCACTCTCCATACTGATCAAGACATATGCCCCGTATATATTCAGTTCCAGCGGTGCCAGTTCCTCAAGTAGCACGCAGTCACCTAGAGCAAGACGAAACCCTCTAAAAAGTAATCGGCGTCGGGGAATGGCCGATACAACGCTGGGTAGTCAGGATGCCTTTATTACTGTCAGCAATCCCGGACAGGAACAGGATGGGATCATGATGGAGGCAGACCTAGAACCGGATGTGGCGACGCGGAAGTCGACGGAGAATACTACTTATAAGAAGGAGTATTATAATTTTACGAGGTAAACGTGATTTTATGTCCATGTGTCAATATTGAATGACGCTTCCACCTATACCGGGTGCATTCAACTGTATTCGCGGTTCCTTCTGGTTGATGCGATTTTCTTCTTCGCAGAAAATAGTTAGAGCCTAATAAAAGTACATTTTTAGTGACATCTACCAGCCCCAGTCCCAGGACTTGCATTTGGTAGGATGGGCGATGCGAAAATTGGGTCCTAGATATCTCCTATACCCGGCCCTCTCTCTCCTTCAATGACGGGTTTCCATCTTCAAGACACTAGTTCTCCCTAAACTCTACTCTATCTCCAGATGTAAACTAATTCTTGATGTAAGATCTTATTTAATCTTCTATGGTAGAGCATCTGGAAAAGATTGTCCTGCTTCTTGGTTAGCCCAAAGGAAGCGATATTTCTTCCACTCTTCAATTTCTGCTTCGCATGCAGTAAGATTGCTGCCTTTCTTCTTCGAGTTGTCCTCCTAATATTGGGCAGTTTTTAGGAGGTCATCAAATGTCGCCTGGAAACGGCCCATGGCCGGTATATGGGTAAATTTGCGGCACCCCTCATCACCATATATCAAATGAGCAACCTCGCAGCGTAGACTCGCCAAATATCCTGCATGTATGGCTTAAGCATGGCTAAGCTGACGGGAACCCCCTGGTTTAAACATCCTACGGCCGTATGCATTAGGTTACGTGTGAGAAAGTCATAAGACTGTAGATAATCTGGTGGCAAGTCACGAGCAGGGTCAGTGCGCTCCAGACAAGGCGAGAAGTAGGCTAAGCACCTTTCGGGCCGGCGCGAAGACCGCATAGGCCGCTCAGCCCAGCCAGAGTGATACGTACGTAGGTATATCATTGGTGCACCCAATGCTTACTACAGTAAGAAATAAGAACCACAATTTCAGATAGTTAAAAGCTTGGCTATTGGCTTATACTCCGTCCGTGTAATCTGCGGGTTATCCGGTTGCCTTCACCATTTCTCTTCGTACAACATAGTATTCTAGATTTGCGCATATAATGACATCAGACAAAATAGCAATAAGTCGGTTAATTTATAGACAAATGAAGCTTTATTATTTTGAGACTTATGTCGAAAGTGTAATCATCTCAAAGAGACATTGAGATTCTGCTCCGGACTCAACCCTGGTCATTCTTATCGCTTGCCATCGCTATCTTTCGTCCACAACTTGAAAGCGAGCCAAATTATTCCGTACATGTAGACTTGCCACTCGTAGCTTTCATCATATGATATTGATATTTGACGATCCAACTGAATTCAGAGGGGTGCTTATTCCGTGACGCACCCTTATACCCCTTTACAAGCAGTGACTTACAGCCCATTCACACCTCCCCCAAATCAAAAGTGGGAAGGCGCATTGAACACAAAATCGGGGACCAGTCCACCTATCTTAAGCTAAGCTGAAGCCACCTTCTCCACCAGAAAAGCAACCGCCGTCGGGGTAGTCGGGATACCTTATCTACCTTTGCGCACATCGGACTAAATTCGCCCCGGCCATAGCCAATTATATTAATCTTGGAAGGGGCTCCTCGTGCATATCTAACCAGGGTATTTTCTTTTTCTTCCCCCGGAAAGCAATGCGCTGAGACTGCGCAAATATTTATACCATGAATTCCAAAGATCTAGGTACCGACACAATCAAACCCGCACTCGTCGCAGCGGATGAAGAGGTAGTCGAAGGTCGCTTGGACAAGATCGAGCTGGAACAAGATGACGTTAATACAAATGAAGAGTTCGGCTATGAATCACACCGGTCTCCGTTCCCTGAAGGCGCGTCTCTAACTCAATATTGATATATATGTTGGTCGACTAACGATTACTATAGTTAGGGCAGTCGTCCCCGAGACGGATGACCCCAGTATGCCGGTCAATACATTGCGGATGTGGCTCCTAGGCATTGTTTTTACTATGCTCGGATCAGGCATTAACCAATTTTTTTCGCTGCGCTATCCGTCAGTTCATATTGTGGCCCTAGTAGCAGAGCTACTTGCCTATCCGATCGGCGTGTTCCTCGCTAAGACCCTCCCTCTTACATCCATCCGACTTGGATCTTTGGGCACATTCGTTGTCAACCCGGACAGGTCGTTTAATATCAAAGAGCACGCACTTATCGTTATCATGAGCAATGTCTCTTTTGGATATGCTTCGGCGGACGCGACAAACATTATTCAAGCTGCCAGCAAAAACTTCTACAATTTCGACCTCAAACCCGGCTTCCAAGTGATGGTCGTTCTTATTGCACAACTTCTTGGATTTGGCGTCGCAGGTCTCGCAGCTCCATGGCTTGTCGAACCAGCTCGCATTATATGGCCAGGCGTATTATCCAACTGTGCTATGCTAGAAACATTGCATTCGCGAACGAACACTATCGCAAACGGATGGCGCATAACCCGTCTCCGATTCTTCATGTACTTTATGACCGGCGCCTTTATCTGGTACTTTTTCCCCGGTCTGATGTTCACCGCGCTATCCTATTTCACTTGGGTATGTTGGATCGCACCAAAGAACGTCATCGTCAACCATCTCTTTGGTATGCAGACAGGTCTCGGTCTCAGTCCAATTACCTTCGACTGGAGCCAAATCGCCTACAACACCAACCCACTCCTGTCGCCATCATGGGCTGCATTGAACGTCTTCGCAGGCTTCGCGTTCTTCTACTGGGTTGTCACACCCGCCCTCTACTACACTAATACCTGGTACACGGCTTATCTCCCACTCATGACGGCTGACGTGTACGATAACACAGGAGCCGTCTACGATACGGCTCGAGTTATTTCTAAGGATAATTCCCTAGATAAAGTGGCTTACAAAAATTACTCGCCTCCATACTTGAGCGCAACTTTTGCCTTCGTATACGGACTTTCATTTGCTGCCATCACCTCAGTGCTCTCCCACATCGCCATCTGGCATGGTCGCGATTTGTGGGCTGCTCTTAAGGGCCGGAATAAGCTCGATATCCACGCTCGGCTGATCCGGGCCTCATACCGCCGCACGCCGTGGTACTGGTACGCTGGCATCATCGTGATTATCATGGCAATGGCCATCGCGATGGTCGAAGTCTATAAAACCAAACTTCCAGTTTACGGTGTCTTTTTAGCCTTGGTCATCCCAATTATATATATGGTTCCCTGCGGTATCGTACAGGGCATTACCAACGTGGATGCAAATCAGCTGAATGTTCTGTCTGAGTTCATTGGCGGATACATGTTCGAAGGGAACCCACTGGCCAATATGATTTTCAAGATCATTTCCACGGATGTCGTTGGACAAGGTGTTTACTTCGCTATGGATATGAAATTGGCTCACTATCTGAAAGTGCCACCACGTACCTGCTTCGTGGCACAGTTCGTAGCCACTATTCTGGGGGCACTCACCCAAGCGGGTGTTACACTTTGGATGCTTGGTAATATTTCGGGAATTTGCGAGTCTGACCAGTCAGATGGGTTCTCTTGTCCAAATGGCCGGACTGTCTATTCTTCGTCTGTTATCTGGGGTCTTGTTGGGCCTCGTCGACTCTACTCCATTGGCCAGATCTATTCTCCTCTGCTGCATTTCTTCTGGATCGGTGCTATCGCACCAGTTGTGACTTTCCTCCTCTACCGCTATACTAGACGCCAGTTTTGGAAGTATATCAACTGGCCCCTCATATTTGTCGGAACTTACAATGTCCCACCTGGTATGTCCCGCGTCTTTTCAGTGTCTCCTTTTTTCAATCGCTAATTCGAAGTCTTCTAGCTACCGGAATCAACTATTCGAGTTGGGCGCTAGTCAATTTTGTCTTCAATCACTTCATCAAACGCCGGTTCTTTGCTTGGTGGACCAAGTACAATTATATCTTGGCAGCTGCACTTGATACAGGCCTCGCCCTTAGTGGCATTATCATTTTCTTCTGCATCTCGTACCCTGGCGCGACTTTCCCTGACTGGTGGGGAAATAATGTGTACCTGAATACTGCTGATGCCGAGGGTGTATCGTACATGTCAATGCCAGCTGTTGGGTATTTCGGGCCTCCTAATGGGACGTGGAGTTGAGGCTGGTTATCATACATCAAGCAATATAAAAGTCTCTGCATGAATACCAAACAAGTTTTGAAATGTTTCATGTCGCAAAGTAAAAACACCAGTTATTTTTTTAAATACTTGATTACTAAAAGCTTATTGCATTGTTTTCTCGTTCGGGGGCATCACCGCAAGCCATACTTTGTATGCGGCTCTATTTAATGATCAAGATGGCGAGCAAATACTCAGGTCAGAGGTATTTCTAAATGGTTTATAGAAAAGCAGATGGACTAACTGAATTTTCAACTCAAGCAAAGAAAGTATTCTTTGTATTTTATGATAGAGCACGATTACTTCGTTAAATACCAGCTTTGGGCATTACGATGCATGTCTAACTACACTCGCCGAGAAAGTCAATCAAATAGGGTATCTACCCCTAGGTTATGTGACAGACAACGATTGACGGTACGGTAAGTAGAAAAGATCAACCTCAACGAGCGGAAACTCGGCGATATCCTAGCAAATGAACAACAAAATGAGTTCAAATCCGAGAATAACAAAACTAGAATATGGCGCAGGCAGTCTAGGGAGCAGATAACTAGGACTGCTTGGCGTTGCCAAGGTTGCGCCGCTAGATATCCCTAAAACTTGATCAGTTTTCTACATACGGAAGCATGGAATAAAAAACCCAAAATACGATCTGGTGAATCTTGCATAACTTATTTTTGTATATGATTGCCTTGATATCGTCTAGCTCGTAGCATTGGCTATGGAGTACCTAGCGCCCTTCGGCTTAAATGAGTATGGTCGCATGACTCGCCAACATTCCCCTTCTCTCACTTCTCTCATCTTCTACCACGACTACCGAAGTAGCGATGCTTGAAAAGACCTCCCCACCACTTGGTGGACAGCAAAAACCCACGAGATGGCTATCGGTTTACTGGCTGTCTGCTGTTGTCTTCTCATTGGTAGACTTCCGCAAAGCCCA